GCAAGGTGGATGGCTTGGCATATTGATTCTTTTCTTATCATGGTTTATGTCTATTTATACTGGTATCATTTTAATTCGTTGTCTATATGCAAATGGTAAAGCGCGTTTGACAACTTATAAAGAAGTTGCTACTGCTGCCTTTGGATGGATCGGTGGCTGGGTCACTTTTTTCTTTAATGCATGGATTCTTTTAGGTGCACCTATTCTTTATATGGTACTTTCTGGTACTAATTTAAACCATCTCTGTAGAGGCACTGCTGGAGAAATTGGAGAGAAGCCATGGATCATTATCTCTTCTGTAGTCGTTGCTATTCCTTTTATTCTGGTTAAAACAATGAAAGAAGTTGCTTGGATGAGTGCCTTTGGTGCTGTTGCTACTCTTGTCGTTGTCTTTATTTGCTTAGCTATGTCTGCTATTGATAAACCTAACCAAGTAAATGTTCATCACGATGCCGTAATCTGGAATATGTTCCCCATCGCGCTAAGTACTATATCCTTCAGTTTTGGTGGCAATGTCGTTTATCCTCATGTCGAGGCTTCCATGAAAAAGCCTCAAGATTGGCCAAAGGTGGTAGCTGGTGGTCTTAGTACCTGTGCTTTCATGTATTTTGTTACTGCCATCTCTGGTTATCTCATTTATGGCTCAAATGTCCTTTCGCCCATTTATAATAGTATTCCTGAAGGTGCAGCTCAAATTGTTGCTATTGTCGTGATCACTCTTCATGTCTTATTGGCTGCGCCTATCCTTACCACTTCATTCTCTCTCGATATTGAAGAAATGCTTAATATTACCGTCGAACGCTTTGGTAAAGTTAAAGAATTTTTGCTGCGTGCTATTATTCGTATCTTGACTATGGTTGTTATTGGCGTGATTGCTTGCTCTGTACCTCACTTTGGTGAATTGATGTCCCTTATTGGTGCCTTTGCTAATTGTACTTTAATCTTTATCTTCCCTGTCACTTTCTATTTAAAACTAACTGGTGTTCGAAACAAACCAATTTATGAACTTTTATGGTGTGCTCTTGTAGTCATCCTCGGTCTTGTTGGTTTAGTTTTTGGTACAATAGAAGCCGTAAAGGAATTAATAACAGCATTTTCCTAATCTGTCATATTTAGTCCATTTTTCTTCTTATTCTTTTTTTATATTTTTTCATCTTTTGTACATACTATTACCTTACATCATCACACAATTATATTCCATATAACAATTATATATAATCTATTTTTTTTTCTTTTTTTTTTTCAAAAAAAAATATTAAAGTAGTAAATTAATATTTTAAAAGGAATACCTCATAATATTATAATTTCCAGGATCTTTTCTAAATCCTAAAAAAAGGTGATCACTTACACTAACCAAATATAAAAGTTAATAATAGAATATCGGTGCCCATAGACGACTATCGGCCGTATTACGTTTTTTTTTATATCTCAAAAAAAATAAAATAAAATAAAATAATAAGATGCTACTCCATCAATACTTTCTAGTAATTTATTCTTTTTTACAATTTTTTTTAAAGAAAAAAAAAGTCTAAAGAAAAGGTATTCGATAGCGGTTTTGAATTTTATGTACTATACTTGGTGCAAATCGCATTGTCATTTTCAGTTGCTTTCATATACCCTTGCAAAAAGTCCTTCTTGATAGTGAATATTGAAATTTTGAAAACAAACAAACAAAAAAAGAGACTATTATGAGTCTAATTGAGAGTGTTCCAAGTAGTAGCAAAAAAGCTTTGTCTTTAAGATTCACCAGGAGTAGCAAAAAAAAAAAAAAAAAAAGAATGTTACAACAACTATGATCATCAATATTTACTAGCTTCTTTACAAATATAGCAAATATTATAACTCAGCTCTATCTGATTTAATTAAATTATTGATCTGGCTGTTATTGTTTCAGAGGATTATCTCTCCTTTCTTTAAGCAACCACATCAACAAGTCGGGGGGGGTTTTTTTGTCTCCCTGTGTGTCGCTTTAGATCTATAATAATAAAAAAAAGTAATAATAATAATTGAGACATTCAATAAAGTTAAATTTCAACTCGAGAGTAGCCCTTTTTTTTTTATTGTTCGTTCTAGTGTTAATAAAATATACTAATAATAAAGTCGATGATGAATGAGTAAAAATGTTCCTCCTTCAAATTGCAACCTAGCATGAAATTATATTGAGCCTTAACTTTATGACTTTAGAAAATTTGACACTTTATCTGTTGCTATGCAAAATTCAGGGCAAAAAAAAAAAAAAAAAAAAAAAAAACGGAGAAAATCTGAGAATTAAATTAAATGGCATTGCATAACAAGCTATGACTCGGAGTTCATTTGATTGTTGAAGATCAATAAGTTGTATTTGTAGACGAGTAGCATTGTTTTATTTGGACAATCATCATCATCATATAATACAGTTAAACAGTATGTTTCTTTTTAATGAATTTAAACAATTATTCTACGTCATTCTGTACTAAAAAAAAAAAATAGAAGCTACTAACAACTAAATTTAAATCGTTTGCATTGCTAGGACATTGGTACGTTCTAATTAAAGTTTAAGCTGTTCCCATTTATAGTAAATTTATCAAGACACTAATAATACACTGATTGGTGTGAAATCAAATTTTATCTTGATCACATAAAATCTCTACGGTTTGCTATTATCAGCATTTCTTGCACTTTTCAGGACGAAAAAACAATGATAATAATAATATACATTACTCCAAGAGTATGAACAATATAATAATATTTTTAGGGCCATTCGGATGAACTACTACTATTATTATGTAATGAAATTAAAGAGTTCAAAATTGCTTCAGCTAGCAGCCGTTTCATTAAATGTACTAATTCACTGAACTCTATCATTTAGGAAATAATAATAATTACCTAAGGCCTCGTTCTGCATTTTGAAAGAGAGAGCACTGTAGATATTGCTATTCCTCTTAATGTTACCAATATACATATTTTATCTTCACTCTTGTATGCAAGAAACTAGGATTAAAGAGGCCTCTCTTAAGATTTTATGTTTAGTAGAGCTTTTTTAGTAAGACTTAATAAAACCTCTAGTAGAATATTCCTTATTATCATCAGGAGACTATAAACTATTTTTCCCCCCCCTCATAAACTGTTTTAAATAATAAAATTATACACTGTTTCTTTTCTTTTTTTTATTTAAAATATATTCTCTTTTTTTTCTTTTTTTTTAAAAAAAAATATTCTATTTACATCTACACACACTTTTTTACAGTGTGATTTTTTTTTTTAGGAGAGTATTTATATATAAAAAAGTGATTAGTAGCGAAGTAAAAGTGTAGCAAAAAAAAAAAAGGGAATTGAAATTACAAAAAAAAAAAAAAAAAAAGAATAGAAATTTTTGAACCGCTTTTTTTAAAAATGTAAATTATTCAAAATCTATAATATAAAAAAAGCGTGAAGAATGAAAGAAAATATAAAAAAAACAAGCAAGCAAACATATTAAAGGAAACAAATATCTTTTTCTTTTAAAGTCGTTTAGAACCAACTGGTCTTAGTTTGATATTGAAGAGGGACATTACCATTACCGGTATGGTTACTGTTATTGTTATAAGAAGGACGTGCACCTAAAGGAGGGAATCCTGTATCACGAGGAGCACTGTTAGAAGACCAATCATTATTGATCTTTCTATAATCTTTGCCACCAAAGGAGCTACCACCACGACCACGGCCACGACCACGGCCACCAGAAGAGCGGGTTTCTCTTGCAATAGATTCCAAGAATTCGGGAATTTCTTGATTAGCTTCCTCTAAAATGCTAATCAAACCATTAACAATGTTTTTATTATTGCGATTGAAGAATGCAGTAGCCAAACCAGTGTTACCGGCACGACCAGTACGACCAATACGATGAACATAATCATCAATATCAGTAGGTAAATCATAAGAAATAACATGAGAAACGTTAGCAATATCTAAACCACGTGCAGCAACAGCAGTAGCAACCATAATAGGGGTACGACCTGTTCTAAATGACTCTAAAGCTCTTTCACGTTCACGTTGAGTACGATCACCATGAATAGCAGTAGCAGGGAAGTTATGGTCTAATAAAAAGTCAGAAAGGGAATCAGCCATACGCTTAGTTTCAACGAAAATCAAGCAGAGACCAGACTGATCACCGGAATGAAGGATATCAAGTAAAACAGAGCGTTTATCTTCATCTTCAACGTATTCAATCTTTTGAGTGATATTTTCTGAAGTAGAGCCTACACGGCCTACAGTCAAGAAAATATAATCCTTCAAGAAATCACGAGCCAAGTATTGGATATCTCTAGGGAAAGTAGCAGAGAACATAAGAGTGATACGATCTTCAACACGAGGCATATCTTCCTTTTCAACAATACGTCTAATTTGAGGCTCGAAACCCATATCCAACATACGATCCGCTTCATCCAAGACAAGGAAACGAACAATAGAAAGAGAAATACGGGCACGTTCAATCAAATCTACAAGACGACCTGGGGTTGCAACTAATAAATCACATCCACGTTCAAGAGTACGAATTTGGGCACCAATATCAGAACCACCATAAACAACAGCAGGCTTTACCCAAGAACGATAAGCAAACTTCTTAGCTTCATCATAGATTTGTGAAACCAATTCACGAGTAGGAGCAAGAATTAAAACTTGAGGATGAGCCTTACGAGGACGATAACCCTGACTATGATCTTCAGGAGGAGTAAGAGGACCCTTTGAAAAGAGTTCGGAAAAGACAGGGAAAAGGAAACCACCTGTTTTACCAGAACCAGTTTGAGCACAAGCCATCAAATCTCTACCAGCATTAACAATAGGAATAGAGTATTTTTGAACAGGAGTAGGAGTTGTATATCTAGCTAGTTCAATATTGCTCAACAAATGAGGATCCATAGGAGGAGCAGTAAAACTTGTAATGCATTCAGGACAGTCATGACCACTGATTTCGACAGGAATATCATCATATTTTTCGAAATTAATACCAGTGTGTTGAGTTAAAGCATCATCTTGAGTACCAAAAAGTTCTTTTTCAGTACGAGGATTACGATTACCAATATGATGAACACCATTCTTCCAATAACCTTGTGTTTCATCACGACGTTGGTAGCCATAATCTTGGCGGTTATTACGATAACCACCATATGAACCACGTTCATAAAAATCATTACGATTACCTCCATATCTACTGTAACCACCACGAGGCATATCTGAATAAGAGGAGTTCCAACCACCTCCATTATTGCGACTTCCACTTCCATTCCAATCATTCCAGCCATTTGTTCTAGGAGCAGGATGTTCTTGGCTCTCATTGTTGGATCGCTCTGCACGATTAACTTGATTTCTCAAATGAGGGGGAACATAACGACCCGCAGGTTGACTATTATTATTAAGACTCATACCAGCTAAATAAAAGGATGCATTAGAAACAAATTAAATGTAAAACAAAGCAGAAAAATAAAATACCAAATTGCTGATCTAAGTTTTGTTGGTTTGATGTTCCATTGTTCATAGTTCTTTAGAGTAAATTAATTCCTTTCTAAATTTTTCTTTAAAAAGAGAGAAAAAGAAAAATATCAATAAAGAAATAAAATAAAATAAAAAATAGAAAAAGGTTTCTTTTCTTGTTGATATTGCTACATGTTTGTAGTCATAATCCTTAGCCTAAAATCCAAAATAAGGATTTAAACATAAAAAATTTTATTATCCAATTATTTTTTATTATTTCACTGCGCCACCCAAAAACTATTATAAAGAATTTACTATTCAACGTAGTTGGTTTTTGTTACAAACGCATTTTTTTTTAACCCTATCAAAAATAGACATTATTTGAATTATAGCATATAAAGATTCATCATGGAATATATTCAAACTTGTTTTTTTTTTTTTTTTTTTTTTTTTTTTTTTTTTTTTTTTTTTTTTTTAAAAAAAAAATAGTCGAATCCTTTTATTTTTATTTGCCAAAATAAATTCATCTTTTAAAGAAATGACATTTTTAAAAAGATTCAACAAGAAGGAATTCTTTATTATGAAAATGGTTTTATTCAACCTATTCCTCTCATTTTCTGATTTTGAACAAAAAAAAAAAAAAACACATAAGAGTATCTTAGTTCTTCTTCGACATTCAAAAGCAGAATCAAAAATAAGACTATTTTTATGCAGAAAGTTAATTAAAAATCAGTTCTCATAGAGTCAACAGACATGAAGATAGATGAGAAGAATTATGTAGTTACAAGATCAATTAACTTTAATCAAAAAAAAAAAAAAAAAAAAAAAAAAAAATATTTTGGGACTGCCCTCCTTTTTTTTCATCAACCATGTTAAGAACATGATCGTTTTAGTTTATTTGCTTTAGAAATAAGGACCTATTTTATTTTAGAAAAGAAAAAAAAAACAATACATACTATTGTTATTAATATTATTTATACGTAACTTTCTTTTCTTAAAAATAGTAATAATTATATATAAACATTTCTATATAAAAGAATTAGGTAACTATTTGATTAAATGCTGGATCACATTCAACTTGTACATCTCTAAGTTGGGCTGAAATTGAGTGCGGTTTTGACCACTGCTATGATAAATAAAGATTAAATAAACAGAAGAGATAAATGGTATACTATATCTATTTTTACGTACATCAATAGGACCGTTAGACCATTCAGCTGTACCAGTTTCAATACTACCATCCCATAAACCAATTTGTATACGACTATTTTAATTGTTAATATGAAGTCATATTTGTAATTAACAAACTTACGCTGGATGAGATGGAAATTTACAGATACCAGTTCCGTCACACGTTTCAGCTTTAGTTTTAGTACGTATGATAATATCATCTACAAGCCAAGTAATTCTATCCGGTCTCCAATCGATTGTATACTTGTGAAAGCTTTTATCAACATCGCCCCCTTCCACTGCATGTATACCACCATTCACTGTATATTCAATTGTTTTCCCCCAAAAGTAATTGGTCCTAAATAGATACATAAGCTATTATTTTAATAGTGTAATTCTGTCCAAGACTTACTGAACATGCTTGTTATCGCCACCTATAAATTCAAAATCGATTTCATCCCCTATATCTGCAATTAAGATAAACGCAGTGACTGACCCTCCTGTTGATGCAGCCCGAAGAGTAGCAGAGACTTTTCCGTACAACATGTACGTTGTTGCATTTAACGTAGGACCTCTACCTCCAATTTGATTATAAGGTAAATCTATATGCCATAGTTATATAGAGTCCTTCTTATATATAAATAGATATAACTCACTCTTTTGATCATATAAACGAATATATTCTCTTGGGGGCATTAAATTGAGTTGAACGCCTGTTGGATTAATATCATATGTATCTTGCATACTATTTTCAACTTCCCAGCCTCTCACATTCTTTCCAAAATCGGTACGATAATTGTGGCATTTAGGCTTTTGTTCTTCACTTGATGCTGCTATAAATTCAGCACTTTCTGGCTGCACAGATGAAAGAGAAAGTTGATCTGTTGGAACTGGGGCATAGATAACAGAAGATACAATAACAGCTTCATCAAGAGAAGAGGTGTTATCAACATTCACATTTTTGTCAACAGCTTCACATTGAATCAAATTTATCAATACAAATAATGCCAAAATGCTTTTAGACAATATAATCATACTTTATATGTAATATCCTTTAAACAAAAGGAAAAGGAAAAAAAAAGAAGGGAAAGCGTGAATAGGTTTTTATTTTATATATGTACAGGCAAAAGGATGCATTGTTTACACAATATTAATAATAACTGAAATTAAAAACGACAACAATAACAACAACACACACGCACAAAAAGTTTATTCTTCTTCAGTATGCACTTCATTAGCAGGGAAATAACGTCCAACCATAGGTAATTTACCTAATACATCTTTCCTGACCAAAGGAACATCAAGAGCAAATAATGTTAAAGCAGTAGCCGTTGCTACTCCCCATACTGCAATTGTAGGAGTTCTAATAGTTTTCATTTTAATTGTTATTGTTATAGGTAACACACAGCTTGTATACTTACGTTCTAATTAATTTTGAAGTAGAAATGAGTTTGTAATGAAGTTCAGGTTGAATGTGAGAAACGACCATTTACTTTTTTTTTAAAAAAAATAAATAAATAAATATATTCTTGTATATATAAATATTTTTTTTTTGTTTTTTTTTAAAAAAAAAAGAAAAAAGTACAATATATCCTCGATACTCTCATTTCTTATATACTTTACCCCAGTATTATTTGTTTAACGGCGACGTAAGCAAAAAAAAAAAAAAAAAAAAAAAAAAAAAAAATTACCTGAAAAGGCAATTTGTCAGTTGAAACACATCTTTTATTATTCATCTAGTAGATAAAGCGTACATATGCACATATCAGGAGTAACTTTTTTGGATTGGAAAGAGAAGAGATAGAGCTAATAAGCTAAACAATCCGAGATAACAGCATGGACATTGGCTTTAATTAATTTGTGGTATATGTTACTAAAGGATAGGATCGATCATTATTGTACTACGACAGATAAATAGTTGGAATAACGAGCAGAATGTCTTGCATTTAAGTTGCCACAAAGGAAATTGGAGCAAATATATACAAGGCTTTCAATAGAAGAGATAATTTGTAAAGTTGATTTTTTTTCCCAAGTAATGCATTGCCAGAAAAAGCAAGAAATTGAAAACTAAATTGAGCTTGTGGTAGGCCTATATCCATTCATATTGTCATGTATAAACGATCATTTTTATTTAAAGCTGCACACACTTGTTAAAGATATTATCTATTAGCTAATAAAAGTTAAGGCTATACGCCAAAATATATATATATATATATATATGTATATAAAGGCGCACGAGCTTTAATTAGGGATTTTATTGACTGTGCAAGTGTGTGCATATTTAAGCAGAGAAAAGTGCGATTACATTTACTTTGTAATATATGCAATTAAACCCTATAACACTAAACAAACAAGGCGTTACTAAATATAGAAAATGCAACCCATAGAAAATGATTACGTAATACAATCTATTTGTTGTCAACATTATATTATCTTTTAGCATAGTAGATATTGTTATATTGAACACAATTACAGACCTTGCTCGATTTCATTTTTTTTAAAAAAAATGCTTCAAATTTAGGTATATCAAACCTTTTCTTCATGTTTCAAATCCACATGTGCCTAATAAAAATTCCAGTCCTTGCTCATTCTAGTTGTACATACCAATGAAGATCTACTTTATCCAATATGTCCAAAGATATCCAGTCTTGTCTATATCAACGAATATGGAAAACTCTGCTTTGTATATCTTATGATAATAGTTGAATAGACCATCCGAATAAATTCACAAATAAGCATGGTGTCGAATATATTGAATAGCTCCATATAAGCTACTATATGAGAAAGACATGATAAGGACTATCATCTTTATATTCTACCAGTATTGCTTATAAATTCCTCCTTTTCTCTTCATTGGACTTATTGTCTACGCAAATTTAGTATTTAAAACACCCGCACTTAATTTGAATAAAAAATTGTGATACGTAAATTTATTAAAAAATAAAATAAAAACAACAGTAAATACCTATAAAGTCAATAAAGTATGCATTTACTATACATGAAGGGAATATATATCCCCCAAACAAGAATACAGATAAAAGGAAGGAAGGAAGGGTACTCTTTGTAGTGTAATAATAAAAATAAGGAGTAAAGAAGTAATTGCATAGGATAAAGATTACAAGTCTTTGCAGCAATAAGATAGAAACTGAAGTTTAATTGTATTTATATACATGTGTAATCCTCCTTATTTCTTTGCGTTACTTTTTCCCTCTTTCTCACTTTCTCTCTCTTTCTCTCTATCTTTTATATTATTATTCATTAAATGGATGTTCATAAACGACATTCAATATTTGAACTCATACAAGAACCACCACCATCCTCGTTTTCAATATTTCAACCCAGCTTTCATATTAACAATTCATCTTTAGAACCAGAAACACTCGAAGATTATGATTTTGAATCAGCGCCCATGACATTCAACCTTCATAATGTCCATAACGAAGACGATGGACCCATTCCAAAATCTTCAGGTCTAACTTCACATTCTAATGTAACTAGTTTTGCGAGTACAGCACCTATTCTTCATCAACTCAAGTATAACAATGAAAATTTAAATACAGCAACTACGAAAGAAGACAGTAATAGTCTCAAAACTATAAAAGATAATGAGTCACAAGACACCTTAAGCACTAAAAATGACAATAGTAAAAATAGTCTTGTTATAGAACAACAATCACAGCAGCAGCAACAGCAGCAACAGCAACAGCAGCAACAGCAACAACATGGAGCAATTTTTGTTAATCATCTTCCATCAAACCATCGAGAAAAACCTTACCGCAATTATCAGTTATTTCAGGGACAATCCAGATTTTTTTTAGGCGGTCGATTAGTAACCAGTAGAGACTATCGAGCATTTATCGTAGCATTATTAATGCTTAATACACCTGCCATTTTATTTATGATATTCACGTAATGCACATATATATATAGTATTATAGACTATTTCGAATGACTATATGTTTATTTATTTAGTTGCCCATATTTATGGAAGCATGTTCATCCAGTTGTACCTATTCTATTTGGCTATTTCTTTATTCTTGCTATAGTATCTATGCTAAAAACTTCTTGGACAGATCCAGGTGTAAAAAAAAAAAAAAAAAAAAAAAAAAAAAAAAAAAAAAAAGCACTGTTCTTCAGTAATTCTTTTTTTTATATTCATATTTATATCATAATAGATTATTCCTCGTAATTTGCACCCAATAATAGAAGAGAAGGCAACAGCTAATAATAGTTCATTTTCCATTCAATCAGTGCCACTTAAAGTCGTTTGGATAAAGAATACAAGTTATTCATTAACGTATTGTGATACTTGTAGAATATATCGCCCTCCTCGAGCAAGTCATTGTAAACAATGTGATAATTGTGTTGGTAAAAAATAAAATAAAAAAGTGTATTGCAATCTATATAAATGCACATGTATTGATTTCATATTATTTAGAGTTTGAGGATCATCATTGTGCTTGGTTAAATAATTGTATTGGTAAAAGAAATTATAGATCTTTTTTCACATTTATTACTGTATCTGCTTTATTGTGTATTTTTGTTGTTTCTTCTGTTATTTATCAACTCATCTTCATTGCGAGAAACATAAAAGAAGGACAACTAAGTAGCTTTGGACCTGTATTTTCTAGAGCACCTGTTAGTTTTATACTTGCTATTTATTGCTTTATTTTATTATGGTTAGTAGGAGGGCTTAGCGTATATCATTGTTCATTAGTTTTTCGTGGAATATCAACACATGAGCAGGTATACATACATACATACATACATACATATATAATAGTTATTATCTCATATATATATATATATACATATATTAGATTCGAGCTGATATTATGAAGGCAAAGTATCCGGAATTAAGTGTAAATCCTTATAGTAAAAATAATCCGCTAAAAAATATGATCCATATCTTATGTCAACCTCAGCCAAAAAGGTATAATTTACACTTCTTCTTTTATGCATTATATTAAGTAGCTGTTATTTTTTTTTTCTAGCTATTTGCGCAGACGCAAAAATGCTGATCCCATTGCAGCAGCGGCTACTTGAGTTACTATTTTCTTTATATATAAATATATACCTTCTCTTCTTTAACTTATATCCTTTCCCCACACATACACATGCACAATAACCCATTTTATTTTATCAAGCTATCATTTTTATATATATTTATTATTGTAATTTATTACTACTAGACATAGTTGCATGTATTAGTTATCCTAATTTTATTAATCTTTCTGTATGACAATTAATAAAAACAAAAAAAAGCATCAACGACTCTTTCTTTTTAGACATATATATATACATATATGAATATACTATATTGTATTATATTATCCTCAATTAAGAGACTATTGTTCAATATCAGTTAACTTTTTCAATGGACAGCCTTCTACTGACAGTTTTACTTGCATAATTATTTTTAAAAGCAACGTAAAAGGTGTTTAATGCTGCTAATGATGTATTACAAGTATGCCAAATACACATACATTCATACAACAATAAACATACTTACTGTGTATTATTATTATTATTTTTTTTCTTTAAACAAAAGAATATAATTCACCAGTATCAAGGTATAATAGCTTATAGTATGTAATTATTAACATGAGAATGAATATAATAATAAGCCATCACTTATACGCCACACCAGGTGCATCATTATCACTTTAGCATATATTATCCTTATAAGCATGATCACATCATGTGTATTTTCAAGACCCTACTTTTTTTTTTTTTTTTTTTTTTTTTTTTTTTAGTATTTCAGTTTTTCCTTGATTTAGGTTGTACAAAAGATCAATTTATAAGGATACCAGATTCACCTTCTTCAGGTCTTGATGTAGATAGACTCGAAAATTACCTAATACAAAATAATAATAGAAATAAAAAAGAAGCCCCTGTCAGCACTAACGACATGACTTCTGTTCTCTATTGTGTACCTACATACGCAAAACCCACAGGGTCTATTTTATCTAGTAAAAAACGAAGAAAAAATGACACAACTTGGGAAACGAAAAAAAAAAGGGAAGGGAAGGGAAGGGGAGGCAGGTATTGTTTTATGTACATAGTGGATCATTTATATCAGGTGGTTCGTCTTCTTCTCTATATAAGTCTGGTGGGAGGTTTTTTTTTTTTTTTTTTTTTTTTTTTCAAGTATAAATGTATTTATATGCAAAGTTTAAATAAAAGCTAAAATAGCAAGTCAAATTAATGAATGAAATGCTTATAGATGATTCACTTCATATTCAATATTTAAAACATTGTAATAGACTCTATAATTGGAACTATAGAGACTAGTTCAAGAATTATGATTCCCTTTTAGGATATTCAGTTAAAATTAAACCTAAAAGCTGGTTATTTCGTTTGGTTAAAACTCCCTATCCGAGGCGATCAGTTGACAGAGATCATTGAAAAACAACAACAACAGCATACTATTGACATTGGTGTAGGCCTCGGAACTCTGTTTTATGTAACAACAAATAATGAAAAAACAAAGATGACGAGAGAAATAATTTTATTCGTTTATTATGATACCTAAGACATTGCAATTAGGTGTAACTCGAATAAAATAAGCTTTGTTGATTGGATTAGAACCACAATACGCTCAATTACTCCTTGTTCCTTTCTTCATCATCTACTCAAAGAGTATAGAATTCTAATGGTTTCAATGATAAATAAAAGTATGAGAATCCTTTATCAGTCTGTACTTTTTTTTTCTCCCTTCTCTCTTTAAAGTAAGACAGAACTATTTCATTTTTTTTCTTTAAAAAAAAACGGCTTTATTTACAGTGTATATATATAATAACGAATGACTTCATTTATGTCTTGGTATCCTTATTATACAGAAAGTATTCATCACTTCAAACTAAGATAAAATAGGATCCAAGTTAATATCAGACGCATCTAATATCATCTCAGATGGCCATATTATCTGTTCTTGACTTTGTGTATTACTTTTATCGAAATCAATGGAAGAGAATGTTAAAGGAGAAGGAAGGTAAGAAGAAGTAGTAGTAGTATTAGTAGTAGTAGTAGCAGCAGCAGCAGCAGCAGCAACACTCAAATTATCGTTTATTACGTTGTTTTCCTTTTGTTGATATTCAGGTGAACGCATATTGACCAGCATGAATAAGGAATCTATATTGTCATGTGCATTGTGGAATAAGAATTGCTCTTTTTCGTTTATGAGACTGTGCTGATGTTTCACCTTTAATTTCCTTATTAGTTTCTTTGATACTTGAGTTTGATCTTTAGTAGTCGTATCTGATACTGCTACCTTATATCGACCTTTAGGAGTAAGTGGCTTATATTGCTGTTTGTGATGATGATAGTGTTGTTGGTAGTAGGATTGCTGTAATAGCTGCTGATGATAGAGTTGTTGATGTTGTTTATGGACTTGTCTTTCTAATTCTTTATTTTTTTGACGAAGTTGTTCAATCTCGACTTTCCATTCATCCATTCGCTTTACTTTTTCTTCTAGTTCTTTTATATGACGTTCTTTGCGTTGACGAAAGGCACGTTGAGCTGCACGATTTTGAGCTGCACGTTTTGTTGGAATCATAGGTTTACTAGTATTATTAATATTAACAAAACGAGGAGAATGCATGAATAAAGAAGAAGGAAGATTCAAAAGTTTATTTTGTTCGTTGGCTAAGGGTTCAAAAGGAATACGGCTACTCTTGTCCTTTGTTTTTATTATACCTTGGTGATTGTTAGTTATCAATGAAGGATATTGAATAAATATAGCATCTAACGTGAATGCAAATTATTATTATTAATACAGAATAGTTTCCTTTTCTTTTTTATTTTTTATTTTCTCCATTTTATTCTACTTTACTTGGAGACATATCTGAGTTATCAGAATAATTGGATGGCTTGAAATGATTTTGATGACCTAACAATATGAATAGAACAAAAGAAAAGTTACACATCTTATTAAGTATAGTCAAATACATATATTATTATTATTACCATTTCTTTGAACTTGATATGAAGAAGATGGAGGAATTAAAGTAGAAGAAGGCTGTGATATAGTAGAATACATTTTTCTTTAATAAGAAAAAAAAATAAAGGAAAGAAAGAAAGAGGAAACGATATCTTGGTGTTCCTTGTCTTTTATATACATATACAAATATAACATGTGTATGTGAGGATTTACTATTACAAAACTTATCATTTGTTCCAAAAAGTAAAAGAGTTTTCATGTAATACAAGGGCTGTTGTATGAGACCCTTTATTTTATTTTATTTTATTTTATTTTATTTTTTTATTTTCCCTGAACATAAATTAATACGTACATTGTTTTGAAGAATAATGATTTTTCTTATTCATGAAACTTATATTTTGCATTTATTTGTGTAACTGATAAAGTAATAGAATTTCAAGGAACCAAGAATGTCATTTACGATTAAGAAGAAGAATTTTATTTAAAAATTGAAAAATGACCAATGAGCAGATAGCATTTATATATGCTGTTTTGCCCTGGTCAGATCACTATGGAAAAAAAAAAGGAAAGAAAAACCCTTTTGGGATAAAAGGGAAAATGTTAAATTATATGTATAAGTGATGATAATTAACTATCAGAAATTCGGGTGTGAACTATACAGTGATTTGCAATCAAGAATATCTTGGAGTGCCGGCCAATTATATTATTTTCTTAGATACCGCCATTCCAATTTTTTGTCAAGTAAAGTCTCTAAGGCTATTTTCAAGTAGAAGATGAACTGAACTTTAATCCCATATATGAATTTTGATGTTCCCAAAAAGGCTTCAAACTAAGTTTCTATCCAGGACGATTTTATGCACCTGAATAGATCAGTTCTCCAAAAGCAGATCAGATCAGCTTCCTGAGTTCATTTTTCTACTTGAAAATAGTTTAAGATTCCAATTTCATGAAAGGAATAACCAGATCTCTCGACACAAATTCTCTGGATCTGCTGGACAGAAAAAACACAATTGTATCCTTGATACAACCCTGCTCACCCATGAGGATTATAGCAACCATGTCTACACCCAACTCAAAAGTTTCAATATTTCCATTTGTTGATAAGGTAAAGATAACAAAAGAATAAGACAGAATAAATCTGTGAAGACTTTGTATAAAACTTTTATTATCAATCCAAAATTTAAAATAAAAAACCTGATTTTTAAAAGTTGAGTGCAAAATGGATCCTTATTTATATCTTGTCGACAACGGGTTACTTCGCGACAGGAACAGAATGAAGATATCTTGAAAGAAGAATATTTTCCCATAGAATAATTTAAGTTATTGTGTTTGAACTTTCTAGTCTTTGCCCTGACTGAGAATTAATCTCAGTTAACTCTAATAAATATTAAATTATTGGTGCTTGATCTAGCCAGTTATTTTTCTTGAAACCAAATAATGAAATCTTGTATGTTCATACTTATGAAAGATATAGGGAAGATGCTTTGTATTATATTCATTCCTTACTATACTACTTGAATGAATGTCATTATATTGTATAGTGTATAGATAGTATATGATTATATTTATAAATTAGTATCTAAGACAATATTATAATAATAATGTGTATATATAACTAATAAGTATAATCTATAATTCATATATCTTTATCATTAATAACTCCTTTATTTCGTAGAGTTAGTATTTATTATAATATTATTTTTCTCATCACAAGAATGTCTTATAAACTGAAATCAAATAATATTGTATGCATAAAGTGTATAACTAATAACTATAATATCATTCGGTCCTTCATGACTCTGATTTGTATATTATAAGATATTATATAATACATCATTATATACACAACATCATTCCTAAATTTGACTCAACAAATGACCAAAAGTATCCATATATCAGACAAGATACTCTAAAGCTCATTGTAAAACATCATCAAATCACTAGAAGATTAAAAGTCTGTGAATCTTAATGACAAGAACAGAAAACCAAGTTAAATAAATGCTTAACACTTGTAAAATATTTATTAAATCGAGCTGAATAAAAGAGAATTGCTTTTAAGTATTAATAACGCTAAGGCAAGAAGCTTATAATAGAGTGTAAAACCAAAGAAAATAAATTTCAGAGCCATGATCAGCAGGAAGCCTAAAAAATTCTCTATAAAGAATAGTTAAATTTGTCAAAGACGTACAGATGCATTGACTGCAAAAACTCTATTATAAAATTTACAGTTAGTCATTTGTAATGAGAGTACAATGGTAAAATAAACAAGACAACTGGCAGTTTCTACAAAAGACAATTTTCATCTTTAGAAATCATAGACAATCTCACAAGACTAATAGGCATCAGTGCAGGAATCGTAACCAAAGAGAGCGATACGATCGTAGCCGTAAAGGCACATTTGGAAACAACAACTGGGACATTACTCTATCATACAGACAATTTATCTGGTCTAGCCATTAGGCATCTGCAGAGCAAGCAGGCAGAGGAGAGCGATACGATCATGGCCGTAAAGGCTGGCCTTCTATATGTGCAATTCTATTTGAGATGGACTATCTAGCTCACTCCCAAATCCCTGAACCCTCTGACCATCTTGGTGAACACTTTGTCAATCATCTTCTTTCAATACAAAAACGAATTTCTGATAATTAATTATCATCACTTATACATATAATTTAACATTTTCCCTTTTATCCCAAAAGGGTTTTTCTTTCCTTTTTTTTCCATAGTGATCTGACCAGGGCAAAACAGCATATATAAATGCTATCTGCTCATTGGTCATTTTTTAATTTTTTAAATAAAATTCTTCTTCTTAATCGTAAGTTGAATTAAATATACTATCACACTAAGTTTTATTCTAACCTTAACCTTTATGATATACCATCTTTAATAGTATTGCCCTATGGCAAAGTGAGGTGCTACTCAATCATGATCATAAGGAAACATGGTTTCGGATGCAGTTATATGGTGACTTGCTGGATTCTGCATTTCTTTTTGATAAAAACTATAACATCAAACGGTATGTTGTATAAAAATGCAACGATAATAGACTGACAAATGTTCAATAATAGATCTGAATGTCACGCCTCCACAACCAAGTATCTAAAGAAGATGAAGAAGATTGATGACACGGAAAAAGACTGCAAAGTAGATTTAATCTTGTTTAATCATGGCTACGGAGACATGTTCACGTGCGAGGATAAGTGCGAAAGCGCTTTTCCAGGTGCCGTACAGAATGATTTTGAAAAAGGCAACAAGCTCAGAGAAAAGTGACTATTACAGTGACTCACAAAAGTGTGGCAATGTTTTATGATTTTTGGCTTTCCTTAATGCACAACATAAATGAATAAAGATACATTAATAAAAGTATTTTTAATGGAAAGTTGACAAAATTTACATTCTTTTTAAAGCTTCTTAGTCTCATTTACATGCATGGATGTTCATTTCAATAGCAATCATGTCATTTTATACGATTTAGCCATTTCGCTGCATAATAATTTTTTTTTCTTTATCTATTTTTTTTTTTATTTTAAATTATATTTCATTATTATTGAATGAATAAAAAGGTTTACTTCCTATTTAGTATCATTTTCCTCTCAAATTCATTACTAATCTGAACAACATTTGTGCATCATTCCCATTAACACATAGATCATCACATACATTAGAATGAGACCAATTCCTTACGATAAAAAGATGGATATTTTAGCAAAAATTAACGCTAAGGAGTCTTATAGGGATATTTCGAAGGTAATGGGTGTGCCAATTAGGACAATTGGAAGAATTGCCAAAGAAATTCAAATTACGATTAACGTAAAAGAAGGTAGACCAAAGAAGATTAGCCCATTACTTGGAAGATTGATTTCGCGATCTTTTTATACTGGTCATTTTATCACTGCAGTGGACGCTGCCCGGAACTTACATGGTCAAGGGTATGATATTTCCGCGCAAACCATTCGCAAATTCCTAAAATCGTCCGACTTTGATTCGAAGATTAAGAAATCTGCATTACCTTTGACGAATGAGCATAGACGAAATCGTCTAAAATGGGCCAAAGCTCATAGAAACTGGACGGTTGAGGATTGGAAAAAGGTCGTCTTTAGTGACGAAACAAAAATCAATCGTTTGGGTTCAGATGGAAAGCAATGGACATGGGTTAAAAAGGGTGAACCTCTAAAAGATCATAACGTCAACTTTAAGTATAAAGGTGGGGGTGGAAGCTTAATGTTATGGAGTTGTTTCACGCAACATGGTCCTGGTTTTATTGCCAAGATTGAAGGCGGGATGGACTCGCAATTATATTGTGAAATATTAAAAGGTGACTTTATGGAGACGCTCACGGATTATGGCCTTTGTAAGAAAGATGTAATCCTTCAACAAGACAATGATCCAAAGCATACATCCAAATATACAAGAAATTGGTTCAAAAGAAATAAAATAAATGTCCTTGAATGGCCATCATACTCACCTGATCTAAATCCAATTGAAAACCTTTGGTTTTATTTGAAGTGCAAGCTTGCTGCCTATGATAGGCCACTAAAAAACATGGATGAGTTATGGGAGCGAGTTGCTGATGTTTGGTACCATAAAGTTACAGCCAAACTATGCTTAAAACACATAGAAAGTATGCCGAGATGTGTTGAAGCAGTAATTAAAGCAAAAGGTGGTGCTATCAAGTACTAAACATAAAAGGTACGTTATTCATTTCATTTTTCAATAAACTATTTGCATTAAATCTTTATACACATAACTTTTAAGATTATTTTTTCAAAGAAAAACATTATATAATGAATATATGCTATAAGTATCATCAAAAAGAGGTGACTTCTGTCTTTCTGCCAGTATATACTATATAGTACTTTACTTAATAAATAGACGATTTGTTATTGCCGATTTGCATAAATTACCTAAAATTCTGAAACATTGCCACACTTTTGTAAGTCACTGTATACCTGAAATCAATCATCCCTTACAAGTCCAACATAAATCATATCGAGGTATTAAGTGCGCAATTTCATGGACTGACACTAACAATATACGGATCGAAGATGACTGAAATTGGTGACATCATTCATTACCAAAAGGCCAATGCTTCGATCCCCACCTCTCCCTTTAATCACCTGCCACAAGCTGCCCATTATCTTCTTACTGTGCTTTCCTTACAAGTAAGATTTAATATACTATGTTTGTGGTAACATGATCTAACTTTTATTGGTCTATAATTAGAGGAATATCGCCATTAATCTGAAGAAGCTCGAGATTATATTTGAAACATGTTTGAAAGATGCTGTGGAGTATCTGGCCGCTCCAATTGGTGTTACCAATAGTAACCTCTTCTTTCGAGAAGATTCACCTGGTTCAGAATGCTCGTATGAATCAAATACCAGTGATGAATTAGAGCTTAAAGAGCAAGAACGTCGCATAACGAAGTGCATTGATCGACAAATTAAAAATTTGGATAATAATGATGAAGGCTCTTTGACCGCCAATGATTGGGAGAGCTTCATTGAGGAATAAAGTTATTTTTATTCATTTGTTTGATGTGTAATTCAAATAATTCATTAACTTCATCATATAATATTATTAATATAAATAAAAACTATTGCTGAATCATAAAAGTGCAAGGTGCGTATTAAGTTCAAACAAAATAATGGATTTTTCTTTCTATTCATATACACTTTCTCTGTTCTAGCTTAAAATGCTTTTGTATTACTCATTATTTATTTTTGAGCTCATTTGAGTAGCTAGAGAAGTTGCACTCTAGATTCATAGATGTGGTAAAACTTAATTGCAAAATGAAATGAGTGTAAAAACATGAGTTCAGAAACGAAAAAAATCCCCACTCTCTCTTGTGGATTTTATGCCTGGTAGAGGAGCAGTCGCAATAGCACAAAACTAAAAGATAAATACACCAATTGCTCTTGTAATCTAACCCAAGGCTGCTTTTTAGACTTGGGGCTATTTCTAGGATTCAAATCTGGTGGCTTTATTCCCTAAACTAGTTTGGAGCTTTTAAAAAGCGAAGCTGCTACATCTCGCAATAGTCTCCACTGAAAATGAAATTCGTCCAATAAAACTTTTCTCATGTCTATAAATTTTATGCACTCGTCTCAAAACTTTTTTGCAATCGTCTCATTTTAGGTTAAAAAACTGTGTTTTGCAGCAAACCGACGTCGATCGAAGATCCTCTCTCTTTCTTACTGAATCTTTTGCCTACTAAAAAACCATCAACCGCACACCTTGCTGCTCCTTGGACGATTCGATGGCCAACAGTTTGTACAATAATACATGAGATGGATCATATTTTCCATGAAAAACTCCCTCCTGACCCTCCCACTGATACTGGTGCTTCTCTCGTGAATTGGTTGCTCAACTAACAGTGTTCATACTCCTGCACAATTGCTGAATTTTTCCTTTTTTTTTTTTTTTTTTTTTTTTTACTATCAACTTTTAGACTTTTTTCATTTTCCCTCTTGTCTCTTAAGAGGTTTTTTCTTTCTTATATATACTACTCGAACTGGCTCGGGCAAAATCGCAGATGAAAAATTCACTGTGCCCACTTGGCCATAAAAAAAAAAAATAAAAAAAAAAAACTTCGAGATATATCGATATAGTATTTAGTAGACATTAGTTACCACATCTACAAAAAGTTTATTCGAGACCTGCTTGTTTAAATCAAAAAAAAAAAAAAAAAAAAAAAAAAAAAAAAAAAAAAGGAGAGAGAAAGAAAATATATCCAATAGTACAGTCTCTTTTAAAATATAAAGAATTGTGCTGTTATGTAATAGACATAGGTTTTATTATACACATAAATAATACAATTCTTTTTTTACATTATGATATCAATAATTTCATCATCTTCTTCTTCTTCTTCTTCCGCATTATTATACTGTTTAATGCTATCTTCTGTTTTCTGCTGTACAAGTGGCTTTCTTTCTTGATGTACAATCGTCTTATTTTGAGTAACTCTAAAATCCATTTTTTCGTCACTAAAGATAACAATTCCATTGCCTCCATTCCAACTCTTTTCTTCTTCTTCTTCTTCATTATCTACATCAAAAGAAGGTTGTAGCATGTCATCTTCTGATAACCTTCGTTTATGTAGGGTTGTTTTCCTTTTATTCTTGTTTCTTTTTGTTATATTCTTTTTTCGTTTTTGTTGCATTGTCCTTTTTATTTTCTTGTTTGTTTCTGTAAGTGCTGACATAGAAATAGGTCCATGAGAAGAAGAAAGCGGAGTAGTAGAAGAACCGTCAACTACATGTCCTAATTCAACAATGGATTTACGACGACGGCGACGACGACGATTATTACCTTGTTTAACTTGCTGTTGTTTTGTTTGTCGTCGCTTCATCGTTTCACTTGCCTTTTCTTTTTTAGGTGCTACAGAAGAATGTGCTTTATTAGGTAGTCCTTCGCCTCCTCTTCCTTCTTCTTCTTTTTCTAGTAAACATGCATCGATATAAGACAGTATACGACAAAGTTGATCATATTCCAATCGAGCTAAATCAATCTCTACCTCATCCATGTCTTCTTCTTCTTCTTGTTTTGTAGAAATAATTGTCAAGATACCAGGCAGCTTTTCTGGATCAAGCTGATTGGTAATTTTCTCAAGAATCATCTCTTCTATCTGACGTCGATGATTATAAGACGATAAAGTTGTAGGTTCTTCTGAATCACTATCGTTATTACTACATATATTGGATTCATCACTGTTATTTAATGTCGAAAATGTATGTTCTTCTTCTTCTTCTGAAGAAGAGGATGAATAAGAAGATATAGATAAATTTGATTTAGTGCTACCACTACTACTACTACTACTACTTGGTCGTCTTTTTAGTGATAGCATATCTGTATTTAACAAATTTTCGACAACATAATTTTGATTTACTAAACTAGAAGGTTCAACTGTCTCAACTATTTCTGGTGTATAACTTGGAACTATGTTAAGAAAAAAAAAACAAATTGGAGGGGAGGGGAAGATTTTTTTTTAGCTATATATTGACAGCGAAAATTTGGATATATTTTATTACCAAAAGTTGTTAGCTCATCATAATATAAAGAATTTCCGGTAAAATCGAATTCATTTCGACCAAATAAATCTTGGAATTGAATTAATGCAGCATGTGTAGAATTCAAAAAAGGCTGAATGTCAAGCGAGATTTCCATATTTGTGGCGTTACTATCCTCTAAAAGGGACCAAGGATCTTGATTCCAAGATTGAAGAGATTCACTTATGTAATATGAATATATTACGAAGCGTTAACCATTTTGAAATAACAAAGAAAAAAACAAATACGCACACACACACGCACACACACGCACGCACAAACTCATCATGAAATTTATTATTGGAATCACTACCTTAACATGATCACTACAAGCAAAATTAAATATGCTTCATGTAGGAATTTGAAGTTTAAAATATTTTTTTTTTTTTTTTAATTTAATAATTAGTCGTGACTACTAAAGTATTTTATGCACAAAAAAAAAGCCTTTTTTTTTTTGTTTCACTTTCATGATAATTCTAGCTACACATTTCAATGGTCTTAAACTCGATTTATTTATTTATTTATTTTTTTTTTAAATAAAAAGAACTAATAAGAATAGGTATTGTCTAGTTCTCTATTTTTTTTTTGAGAAGAACCATGATGGTATTTATTTCAAATAAATTTATATTAAATGCATTTTAAAGTAAGAACTAATATATATTTTTTTTCTCAATGTATTCGAGTAAACTAAGATCTCTAGAATTCAAATAAAAATGATAATAATCAAGCGCATTTTGAACCGTGAAGTTAAAGAAGAAGAAGAAAGAAATAAAAGGATTCATCTTTAATCTCGGTTCAATATTGGTATTTAAGCTCTATGATTTATCAAAACCAATTATGAATCAAAATATAGGAGTATAGAGTACCTTATAGCAGGTATATATGCATATATTTAAGATTATGAAAATTGTATAGCTTTATCGTTCTCTACAAAGAGTGTTTATGCAAAAAAAAAAAAAAAAAAAAAAAAAAAAAAAAAAAAAAAAAATTGTTGATATAAGCAGTCCTATTATACGATACATGACATAAAGTACAAAGTCTGTTATTTTTATTACTATTATTGTTATTATAATGAATGTTGTGTAACTAGAGGATAGTGAGATGAAGGAAACAAATAATGAAGGACTAACGACGACGAGTTACTAAATCATCTGCATCATAATCCTCTTCATCCTCTTCATCTTCATCTTCCTCCTCTTCATCATCATCATCCTCCTCCTCCTCCTTTTTTTTCTTGTTTTTCGCAGAAGTAAGAGGAGCCACATATGAAGGTACTGAATTTTGTGTTATTGGAGGAGAAGGGTTATTATTAGCATTAGCTGGAGGTGAATAATACAGAGCCGTATTAGCAGAAGAAGGATACGTTTGATACTGTGGGGTGACAAGAGAATATGGATAATAGGATACAGCTTGTTGTTGTTGTTGTTGTGGAGCTGCTGCCTGAGGCTTTTGAGTTGTGATTGAGGGGAATACAATATCAGGTAACAGAGATCCATTGCGCTTCATAGTGCGTGCTATTCTACTGCGTGTTCTTAATGATCTCTTTTCTGCTGTAAAAGAAAAACCAGTATCTTCATTCATTCTTCTTAAAAGATCTTTATCATCATTATTTTTATTATTCATTTGGAGACTTTCAAGAAAGGTTTTAGTTGTAGTCGCATGAACTAAGAGAGTCAAGGATAAAGCGAATAGAAAAGAGTATAGGATACAAGTAGTAAAATGCATATTGATGAATTGTTAAATAGAATTAGCACTTTTTGAATAAAGAAAAACGATATAGTATAAAAAAAAAGAAAAGACAAATATCTAAACATTTATATAAACTTCTTATAGTAAACCAACATACAAAATAACGACACTAGATATACTAAAGGGGTAATTGTGTTAAAAGGAGGGATACAAAAAGAAATTTAGAAGAATTTTTGTTTTTAACGAATATGAGTGTTGAAGTCCAAGTTTTTTCAAGTTTTATTTTATGATAAAGGAGTAGTGTTCTTTTGTATACATCATAATGTGTGTTGAATAAAGATTAAATTTAAAACGAAAAACATGTAAAAAAAAAAGTTTATACTATAGAAATACTTCAACACTATTCATATTAAAAAAAAAAAATGCTTATGGTTGTGGGATTAAAGAAAAAACAAAAGACAAAAGGGATCTGACTTGCCAAAAAAAAAAAAAATCTTGTTCAATTTGTCTTTCATGTGCCCTGTAGATCAATAATTGTTTGTACTGTTTCTATTCTCCTTCTTCTTAAGGAAAAGTTTTCAAGCTTGCATCTATTAGATGGAGTTATGTTTACATACGATAAGCCAACAAATATACAACAAAGCTAACTATATATATGTATATGTATGTATTTAACATATTCTCTCAATAGATTATACTTTATATCGTTATATGAAGGTAAATCTTTTAGCAAGAGAAATAGGTTATTATAATTATTTTTTTTTTATAAATTTATAAAAACTGAAATACACTTGATTTTATTTTACTTTATATTATACGAAAGAATAAAAATGGCATTTATTTAAGGGTGCTTAGCAGGAGCAGCATCACCAGGTTCGTCGGCTTCTTCTTCATCAACTTCTTCTTCATCAGCTTCTTCTTCATCAGCTTCCTCTTCATCTTCTTCTTCTTCATCATGACCCACATTAGAAGAAGTTTTATCAGCAGCAGTTGCACGTTTAGCAACTTTCTTTGATTTACCACTACCACCTTCATCTTCATCTTCTTCATCTTCATCCTCTTCATCCGAACGACGCTTAAGGCCTGGTTCATCAGCTTCTTCCTCATCGGGCTCTTCCTCGTCTTCTTCTTCTTCATCTTCACCACCAGGAGCCACACCGACAGCTTCAGTAGCCTTTTTGGCAGCAGCATCAGCCGCCTTTACAGCACCAGCAGCAGGGGTCATGATACTCTCTGTTGTAATTTGAGTATTAACACGACGTTGAAGCATCTTGATTAAACCTCTACGCTTTAAAGGTGAATCGCTAACGATATGACTTGCAATTTCTCTTCCTGCATCGATGGGGGAGTGGTCCAATGCGCCTGAGACGAGCGTATGATCGCCAAGGCCACCAAGTGTATCTCCAATACCACCATCTGTGACTTGAGTAATTTTAGAGATTCCATCGTTCACAATTGAATCACTACCGACGACACCCTCTACAGCACCTCCAGTAACACCAGAGCTTCCATCAGGTAATGACAGGTCTTCAACTCCATGAATAGGCGATGCCATAGTAGTAGAAGTAAACAGCAACATGGTAGAAGCGGTTAAACCAAAGGAAAGAGCAGTGAAACGCATATTTTATTTTGTTAGATTAAGTTAATTTTATAAATGTAATTAAAAGAAAAGAAAGGGAAAGAGGAGAGAAGAGAGAAAGAGAAGATAAAAAACTTTTACTTTTATATATACAAATCAGAAATAAAAAAAAATAACAAGTAAAGAATTAAAGTTACTTGTTAGAGTAGATTAGTTTAGAACAAGATTCGGAATTTACTAAAAGCTCTAATATAAGAAAAAAAAAAGAAAAGAAAAAAGTAAGGGGGGAGGGTGGAGGGGAGAGGTGAAGAAAAGGAAGAAAAATTCCAAAAAAAGGGGGAGTGCGAAGGGATGAGGAGGAAGGAAGAAACGAGGATAGAAGGAGAAAAAAAAAGACAGCTTAAAATCTCGAGATATAACTTCATTTGATAGCATACAGTTCTCCTATTTCTTTAGCACTGCATTATTGTTATGATTTGACATCAAATGATGTTGTTTCCCTTACAACTCGGCAAATAACGAAATAAGGTAACTAAAGCTGATCGCCCTTTATTTAACACTCTAAAACTAACTTATACAACATACAGATCGACATTTTTTTTTTTTTTTTTTTAAAAAAAAAGTAAATTCTGTCATACTTTCGAAACTTTTGAAGGTGCTAGAATAATCAATCTAGGGAATAGTATTTGACGAGTTTTATTTGAACCAACTCTATGTATTATAATAGCAGAGGATGAAAAATGACTCCTTTCCTCTTTATTATCAAGTGAAATGGATAAAAAAAGAAAAAAGAATTAATATAAAGGATCGATTGGAACAAGAGTTATTAGCTTAGACTTAATGGGAAAGAAAAAAGTATAATGTTAATCTATTAGGATCGTCATGTCATTTCCATCATTATTTAAAATAGATAAATATTCTTAAAATCATTTCACCAGAGAAACTTCATCAAAGCAAAAGAAATACTTTTGTCTTTTACCAAAAATAGTACACCATCCCACTTTTTTCTTGTTTGTTGTACTGTGCTCTTTCTGAATCCAGTTCAACTCTACCACGTTACTGTTCTATAGGAGTAATTGGGTTAACAATTAAGTAATGGTATGAACAGCTGTTATATGCTCTTGTAAGTGAGAGAGAGAAAAAGGGAGGGAAGATTATCAGGGCTTTCAATGAGATTAAAACTAGAGAAAAGAAGACAAACATACGTTAATAAGAGAAGAATAAAGCAAGAAAATAGTGATATAACCTACTTACAGATAGCGTATTGTCACCAAAGTCAGTATCGTATTGAGCGACATAAAGATAAAGAAAGAGAATATAAAAATACAAAGGACAAGTCTATGAAAACGTCGTATAATTCAATTCAAGAACTAATAATATTAAATATTGTATCAGAAAAAAAAATAACATAGAAGAAATGAAGAGAGTTATTTATATGAGGGACTTTTTTTTTTTTCTTTGCAAGTGATATTAATAGAAATAAGATCTTGACAAAATATAATATGAAATAAAAATGATTTTATATTTTATCTGATAGACTAACACTTTTTTTTTGTTCCCTTTTCAAATGGATTCCAATGCCTTTAGTCATACTTGACATTATAAAGAAAGTCTTGTTTTTTATGGTATCCAAATGATTCTATCCTTATAACAATAGAAGAAGAAATAGAGGGAGTAACAGCTATTATCACTCTATTGTTTCCTTTTCATTTTGATTGGTTGTCTTTAGATAAGCCAACATGTACCAAGTCGTATGTTTCTATAAGTGAATGTATCGATAAGCATCTATTTCGTCATTACACCCTAACCCTAATCTACTCTGTTTATCTTCTTACCACTCTAAGACTATATCATTATAAGTTTTTAAAATAGCTGGTTCAATAATTTTTGTCAATGTTAAGAGGATGCTTTAATCAGCTTTAACTCTCTCTCTCTCTCTCTCTCTCTCTCTCTCTCTCTAGATCCTATCCTCAGACTACCTATATCCCATAATGACCAAACAATATATATATATATATATACTATTGGAGTGCTTCTTTACATATTTATGCTTTTTACAGTTGATAATCCTCTTTCCTTTATTCTCCATATGTTTTCATACAATCAACCTTTATATTCTCCGCAAGCCTCTGATTGATTCCACAGCTAGCCTACTACTATGTATCCTATCATCCTAAGAAATGGCGTATGCTATTATTTTCCCTTCTTTTAACAAGAGCTGCTTGATAGAGCATGCTTACTTGTTCATATTTATAATCGCCTTCCTTTTTTTTTTGTCTATTTGTTTGTTTTTGAATAATAACTTTCAATCTAGGATAAATCAATGCAATAAAGATGGATAATTTTATTTTCCGGCCATCAATTTTGTGTTTAAATTTAACAGAAAAAAAAAAAGCATACACACACACCATACGGAATATGAAAGTTTTGAAAACAAGGAATAAAATTACCCCAGAATTCAAATTTATTAAACCAAAAAAAAAAAAAAAACTTTAATTAAATGTAAGCAAAAAAAGAAAGAGAGAGAAATAATCGATGAGCACACTTGGTTCTATAGAAAATAAAGATAACCAAGATTTGTCGGTGAAAAGGATGAAGGGTATAGATAATAAGCAGGGAGAAATTTGATTACAAAAAGTTCCCTTCTTTATCGGAGAATAAAGCATCTCTGAGCCTAATTGATCAAGAAATAATAATACAATTACAAATCAATAATCATACTTTCACACATTATAATATTCCACCCCTTTTTCTTTTTTTTTTCCCTACAATAAAAAAAAATATATATATATTTATATTATTTCCCTTTTTTTTTTGTTTCCTTTAATTAGAATAGTTTAACAATGGCAAACGCATTTTCAAGATTAACACAAGGAACAAAGAAGCCCTTATCTGGGTTATTAATTATTTCACTAATTTATGCTATTCATAAAGCAAGAAAACAGTTTAAATCAAATATAGTTGCTGAGAATAGTAAACAACGACAAAGTCAACAACAACAAGTAAAAAATAGAAGGAAAGTAGGTGTCAATAAGGAATTCATCCAGCAAATGAAAAAGTTATTACCTATTTGTATACCAGGTAGAAGAACATAATAATATAATATACATGTATAATAATATTTAACAACTACTATTCTCTCTTTGCACCTATAACAACAACAAAAAGGCCTATTCTCAAAGGAATCAGGATTATTGTTCATACTTGCTACTGTACTTATTGCTCGTACCTGGTTGGATATTTGGTTTTCTGGGTTTAATGGGTAAAAGAGAAAGGAGAATGAAAGATGCAAAAGAGAATTAATCTATGTGTAATATAGCTCCGTAGTAAAGTCTATTGTATCAAGAGATAAAAAGCGTTTCATTGCATTAGCTATTGTGGAATTTGGTTTAATGATGGTAAAAGAAAGTAAATAATAGAAACATAAACGAGTATTCATTTTTGCTTTTGCTTTGCTTATTTTTCGCTTTTAAAAGTGGCCTATGAGTATTGTTAATAATTCATTAAAATTAACAATTAATGCACTTGCACTTAGTTTTCGTGAGCGTTTAACAAAGGTAAATTTTATATATTTTATTTACAAATTAGTTTATATTAAAATTTCAACTCTATTTAGCATGCTCATAATCAATATCTGGATGGAATTACATTTTATAAAATCTCAAATCTTGATAATAGACTTCAGAATGCAGATCAATTATTAACACAAGATATTGATAAATTTTCTGAGAATTTGTCTCATCTTTATTCAGATATTGCAAAACCTGTCGTGGATATTTTTTTATTTGCTTATAAATTAGGTGAAGCGATGTAAAGTAGTATTACCTAATAGTGTATGTTATTTATGCTGGATTAATAATCCTAGTTAATTAGTGGTAATGAGGCTCCTTTCTTCATGATTGCTTACTTTATCTTATCTGGCGTTTTACTTCGTGCATTCTCTCCTCCATTTGGTCGATGTAAGTCAAGTTTTATCTTTTTTTGATATAGGTTAAATAATTAACCATGTCCTTTTCACATTACATTAGACACTGCTATTGAACAAAAGTTAGAAGGTGATTTTCGTTTTACTCATGTAAGTATATAGAATGATGGTATGATGCTTTATTCAAGTAAATAAATAATCCCTTCTTTTAATAGTCCCGTATTATAACTCATTCAGAGGAAATTGCCTTTTATCGTGGAGGTGAAAGAGAAAAGGAAGTGGTGAATAATACTTTTCAAAAGATTTCAAATCATGTACGTAAAGTATATACACTTCGATTCCTAAATGGTATTTTTGATTCTGTTCTTGTTAAATATTGTGCTACAATGACTGCATATTAGTAAGTAGAAATCATGTGTGTCTATTGGAAATAGATATTTAAATATTTTATTAGTTTATTGGCAAGACCTGTATTTGATCGTCGTTATGGTAATACAACTTGATTATGTATTTATGTGTATTATTCTTATTTTTTTTTCTTCTTCTTCCTTAAGCAACGAAGCATATGGGCTATGATAATGACCCTACTACTTTAATGGAAGATTATTCTAGAAATTGTAAGCTTTTCTTTTAAGAGAAATAAGCTTATTCTCATCGTCTTTTCTTTGATAGCTAGTTATTTGATTAATTTATCTCAAGCCGTTGGTAGACTTATTTTAACTGGTCGTGATTTAACTCGTTTTGCTGGTTATACTGTAAATAGAAAAAATAATAGATAGATAGAATACTTACTTTATAGAGACTAACTAATATACGTATAGTCTCGTGTAGCAGAGTTATTTGATGTATTAGTTGATGTAAATCAAGGAAAATATAAACGCACAATGACATCTACGAATGAAAATGATGGTCCAAAGAGTAAAATTATTGATACAAATAATACAAATGGAAAAGTATTAGTTCGTGATGGAGTCATTATCTTTGATAAAGTACCTATTGTTACACCTAACAATGATATCTTGGTATGTGTTGTATATATATATATATATGAAATATGAAGGATGCCCTATATTAAAAAAAAAATTTTTTTTTCTTTCTTTCTTTCTGTCTATTTATAAAATGAAATAGCTTAAAGATCTTTCATTCAAAGTGAGTACAGGCATGAATTGTTTAATATCAGGGCCTAATGGATGTGGTAAAAGTTCCTTATTCCGTATTTTGGGTGATTTATGGCCATTATTTGGTAAAGAAAGTGCATCTAAAAAAAAAAATTGTTATACTCTACTAATCACGATTTTGTTTTAAATTATAAGGTGGTAATTTAACGAAGCCTGAACCTCATAAATTATTTTATGTCCCTCAAAAACCGTATCTTCCTTTGGGTACATTTAGAGATCAAGTTATTTATCCTGATACTCAGGCTGAAGCATTAAAGAAAGGATATGACGATCCTACTTTGATGAAACTTTTAGATACAGTTCATTTAGGTTATCTGGTTGAACGTGAAGGAGGATGGGATACAGTTCAAGATTGGGCAGATGTTTTGTCAGGAGGAGAGAAACAAAGAGTTGCAATGGCTAGATTATTTTATCATAAACCCCAATTTGTAAGTAATATGTATTTATATAAATATATGTATAAAAATATATATTTTTTTTTTAAAAAAAAAGGATACTAAATATGAATGCTTATAGGCTATTCTTGATGAGTGTACTAGTGCAGTCAGTGTAGATATTGAAGCAATCATGTATGAGCATGCTCGTAAAGAAGGCATTACCTTATTCACAGTATCACATAGGTAGAGTATAAATATACACATATGAAAACATGTTTTCTTATTGTTATCTATTATAGAACATCCTTGTTTCGCCATCATGAATTCCTTTTACGCTTTGATGGTGAAGGACATTATGAATTTAGAGAGTAAAATAAATTATAACGAGGGTATATGTTTAAAGACTCACATTTTCATAATAGAATGGATCCAGAGGATATTAACTCTGCTTTTGGTTTTGGTCACGGCAAATCCAAACCTCAGCCCAAGCTGGAAGACAACGAAGACTATTAAAGGTCTTTGTTCTTTATATATAGATATAAGATGATTCGTTAATAAAAAAAATATCCTTTTTTTATAACTATATACATATATATTTTTGTATTTGATATCCCATATAGATTCACGTCATTGAATATCTCAGGATGTACTGCCTGCTGCCTTCAGCAATCATAAACCGACAGTTTTATTATTAAATCCATTCTGATATCTAGATCTCCTTTCTCTTGAGACCATTAAGGGGGGAGTTTTTTCTATATTTATATACATATAAAAAAAAAAAAAAGAAATTTCCCCGGTCAATTTTAATATATAGTTTATCAGTGTGTTCATTGGGTTTAAATTGCCTTAATAAATAAAATACATATTTTAAACGTGCAGCATCATTCTACTATAATTACTAGCTTAAGTTGTACAACTTTTTTTTTTTTTTTTTTTTTTTTTTTTTTTTTTTTTTTTTATAGCTTCATGAAATTATCATAATAAAAACAAGTACTTATAAATCCTATATTTAATTTCAAGCCATAATGATTAAATCATTTTTTAAACTCTTGGCATAAAGGAAAAAAGAAAGAAAAAAAAAAGGCAACAACAACAACAACAAGGAATATTCCCCTCTTCCCCCCTAAAGCTAGAATGAATAGAGTTACTCTTTGCTAAAGGAAGAAGAAGAAAGAAGTTCTTACTGCATGTAAATTATTAAAAAGTATTTGGACTGTGTCTAAAAAAAGTGACAATGTTTAATAATAATTCTTACTGTTGACACTACTCGTTTTAAAAAATATATAAATAAATACACCTATTTTATTTTTAAATTGTCTAATTTTTTTTTTTTTTTTTTTTTTTTTTTTTTTTTATTATTATTATTATTATTATTATTATTATTATTATTATTATTGTCTATTTATTTTAACCGACTTATCCAAAGTTAAAAAGAACTGTTTACTTGACTTTACATGATGGATAATAATTTTACAAAAAGTCTAAATCCAAGTCAAGAAGAAGAGGTAATAAAACCCCTTTTTGTTCTTTTTTTTTTTTTGAAAGTAGCATAATATAAAGAGATGCCCATTCTATTTAGATAACAAGCATTGATGCTCAACTTGAACATGTAAATAAAATATTAAAATGGACAATAGCAGATTTGGAAAAGTTTATTAATACAATTAAAGCAAGGTAAACGATTGTATATTGAATACGAAAACAGTTTATAAATTGAGCTTAATTTCTTTCTTTCCCTAAAAATGGACTCAAGAATTTCTGCAGAAGAGACTTATCTTATTGCACTAGTCAAAATTGTAAAACTAAATAATTATGGAACAACAATGTCAGAGAATAATTCGAGTCAAAATCATAACAATTTGAATGTTAATTCAGGACCAATAACAGAAAATAGTACAACTTTTGAAAATTATTTTACGACTTTTCAAAAGGCAACATCTCAATATGAAACATCGATAGAAAAGACAATTGAAATACGACGTGGATTCATTTCATGTTTAAAGAACCAAGTAGAATTATTAACAAAAGTAAAAGAATCACATGAACAAAGGAGAAAGAAAGTGAAAGCTGTACTTTCAGAAAAGAATACAAATTACATCAATTTTCGTACACGCGATATTATCAAGGTAAAAAAAAAAAAAAAGAAAGAAATGTAACAGTATCACATTTTAATTATGTATGCGTGTTCTATCTATCTCATAGTTACATAGAGCCTATTTTAATAAATGTACCGAATACGCAAACCTTCAACAACAAACTTTAATATCTTCACATGAAGAAATGATGAATGATCAACATCATTTATCTCCACAAATGATGAGAATATCTTCAGATGAAACCCGATTATCCATTGATAGTATACGAGATGATCATTCCATTTCTTCTCATGAAACAACATCATCACCGTCTTATAAAAAGAACAGTATGTCAGGTTTTATTACTCAAATGAGATCACAACTTGCAAATGCAGCAGCAGCAGGAGATCCTTCTAAATTAGCAGCAAGACTTGCAAAATTAAAGAAAGATATAAATGAAACAGGTAAAAGAAGTATAATAGTATGATTGGTTAAAGTCATAGTCTAAGGGATGGATACATATAGATAATGAATATAGACACGGTATTAGAATATTAGAATTTTTACGTAAAAAACAAATTGAAACAGCCATTCATGCAATGAGAGTAATAATAAATTTGATTTTTATTTATTTTATTTATCTTTTTTTTTTTTCTTATTTTATCTCTTTTTTTAGCATGTCGAAGCAATATTACTAGGAAAAATAGACGTTGTGAAAGGTGTGATGATAATGATTCATAAACAAGAAGAGGACATATTATTGAATGAAATTAAAGTAAAGTAAAGAAAAGAAAACAGACAGCTTTTTTTTTTTTTTTTTTTTTTTTTAAAAAAAAGAGAGAATTGATTATCATGTATTAAATAGACACTTTTCTTTCTTTGTCTATTTATAGTTGGTTAAAGATACCTTGAATACTGCACAAGATATAGACGGTAAAAAGGATACAGGACAATTTCTAATAGAATATGATAAACTAGGATTTATAAAACCAAGACAAATATATTACGATAATTATTATTATGGACGTTGCAAAGATATTCTATTTGGATCTAATCTAAATGAATATGCGTTAGAACATAATCGTACTGTACCTTTATTAGTCACTAAATGTATTCAATCAGTAGAGACACAAGGTGGCTTAGAAAGAGAAGGCATATATCGAGTGTCGGGTAGACAAAGCAGTATCGATCAATTAAAAAATGAATTTGAAAAGGATGAAGAAGCAGTCGATTTAGATTCAAAGGATGTATTTACTGTGGCATCTGTGTTGAAGATCTATTTGCGTGAATTAAAACAACCTTTATTTAGTCTAACAATGAAAGAAAGGATAGAATATTCAAGTAAGTATATAAATCGTGCTTTTTTTATTTGATTCAATTCCAATTGTATTGTTAGCTATTCAAGATAGTCAGCAACGTAGAAACATACTTCAAACTAAATTAGCTGAATTATCCAGTCCACAAAGAGATACACTTTCAGTCGTTATTGCCCATTTAGCAAAGTAAAAAAAAAAAAAGTGATATTTATAGGTCGTGTCTATTTTATATGTAATACTCACATTTTACCCCTAGAGTTGAAAAGTACTCTCATGTCAATAAAATGACAATGAAAAATCTATCCTTTATATTTACACCAGCCTTATTTCATGATCATAATCAAGCTGAAAATGCAGGTGAATGGTACGCTGATAAGGTCATAGATGATTTGATACTTCAACATGAGACTTTATTTGTGGATGCAGAAAACCAATCAAAGGAACAAGCTACTATGATGGCCAATCAAATACCTCCTTCATCTGGAAGTGTTCTTAGTTTACCGTTTTCAATCGTAGGTAATAATATCGTACGTAGACAATCATCTCTCTCTACTCATACTACTTCAAATCATCATGGTGAAGTGACTAGACGACCTAGTTTGTTAAAATCATCCTCTTCCAACATACCACCAAATACGCATCATATATAATTAATGTAATATTTATTAACGCTACTACTTCATACACACCTATACGTAGATGTATATCTATTCTATTTCATTCGTATACACATCTATTTTGTTTCATAATAAAAAAGACATCACAACATATTATATAATAAATAGCATACCGTAGCCCTTTTTTTATTTTATTTTATTTTTATATGGAATAAATGATAAATAAGAAAAGAAGGAGAGAAAATAAGCCTCTTTTATGTATATAATTTATATATATAGTCTTCTTCTTCTTAAATTAAGCCATCATGTTTGTGTATCAAGTTTTATTTTTCTACTTATTTAGGGGCTTCCTTAAAGGACAAACAATGTTCTTCGCCCATAGCAGAAACAACAGAGACAACGAGTTCTTTGCCCTCATCGAATTCCTCTTCCAACTTTGTACCAAGCTCACCTTCAGGAAGCTTGACATCATCCTTAGTAGAACCATCAGGCAACATCAAAGAAAGATAACCATCATCAATGTTGAGAAGAGCATAATCTTGACGATTAACATTAGGAACATTCATGTTGTGAGTGGAAGGACAGAGATCTTCATACTTTCTATTAAGAAAAAAAAAACCAAGAAAAATCAACAAAAATGAATACGAAACATTTTCTTTTTCCGAATTTTACCTGCCAGTGAAGATATCAGTACCGACCAAGTGAACCTTAGCGTGACCGTGCTTACCAGTCTTGGAGGTAGACATTTCGACAATCTTACAGGGTCTGTTCTTAATGACAACGTGGCCGTTCTTTCTCAAAGCAGAACATTGCATGGGATAAGTTTGAGAGGCACCGGCATCAGCAGTCTCGAAGTTATGCTCGTGATCGTCAGACATACTAGAAAAAGGGGGAGTGAAGGTTTTATATTAATTTAATTTTACTCCTTTTAACAATAGAAACTACTTACTTTTTTTTAAATAGGATGAAAAATATATAAATATAAGTGTATATTTATTATATATAGGAAGAAATGAAAGAAAGAAAGAAGGAAGAAAAAAGAAAAGAAAAGAAAAGAAAAGAAAGCCACAAAAAAGAGTTTTTTTTATTATCCCCAGTTTTATAGCTTATTTTTTTTTAGTGTATTTATTTGATTCTTCTCCATCGTTTATAGTGCGGGGGGTGACATTGAAAATAAAAATAAAAATAAAAAAAAATTTTTTTTCTATTATTTTATTTGGGTCTAAAATTGATTGGACGAGTTACTTTGCACCTTTGTAATAATTAAGTTAACGCTTCATACTTTAAATCTGATTGGATCCGTTATTCTTTAATTACAATTAAATAATTTTTTTTTTTCATTACATAGTTAAATTTTAAGTACATAGTATCTAAATGATGTTGAATATCCAGATCTACTCAATAAAATAATAGCGAAAAGAAACCAAGAAACTAAAAAAAAAAAAACTCCCTCCTGTAAGGTACACAAGGTAAAAAAAAAAAAAAAAAGGGCGAGAAGATGAATTAGGAGAAAATGAAAAGGAAAATTAGAATAAAGTGATAAAGGATACCACTAACGTCGATTATTAAATAATAACCAGCGCAGCAAGTTGGAACCAGAATTTTCAATCGGAGAATGTATTATGAAATATAGAATATAGAGTCTAATTCGTAAAGAAGGGTACCAGAGGGATAGTCCAGACAGATCCAAATCGTAAGGGACGAGGCAGTTTAGTGGGACTCACTAGTTCAATAGAAAGGAGCAACTGAGAAGTGGAAGATATAAACAACTATTCATAGGTAGACAACAAATTGAATGGGATTTGGTAAACAATTTGGCTTATATGATACATGCATGGTCGATGTTCACTGCCCTTCTGGTAGTCATCCAACAGAGAACACAACTTTGTTCAACAGGATAGCATAGATAACTAAAGGATAGGATCTACACCCAAGTCGGGTATTCTCTGATAACAGTATTCTCACTTCAGTTTCAAGTAATTTTTTCTTTTAAAAAAATAAATAAAATAAAATAATAATAAGAAAGACGCTTCGAACATGACTTTGAGACAAATAAAGTAGTCAAAGTTAGGCCATACGATACAAGGAGATTAGACATAATAAGAGGAATTCATATGAGATTAGATTAGTTAGAAGACTGGATTTGGAGCAAAATACATAATAATTGTTTATAATTCATAATGACTTATTTATCTAGAAATAATCAAATTCAAAAAGAGTAATAGCCTGTATCACAACTACAGTAAAATACATACAACTGTACGCTTAATCAACCTAAACAAGCAATATACCATCTTGGGAGGGAGGCTAATGATAAAGACAAGCAGATATGTATGTATGTGTGCGTATATATATAAAACAATAACGAACACTAAAACAGTTACAATGATCATATTTTACAATAAAAGCATTGTCTTGATTAAAGCGCACACATTCTTAACCTTAGAAATAATATAAATACACCTGAGATTAGTTTACATTATTTCAATTCTTTAGTTATATTTTATCCTTTTAGAAGGATTTAACAGAAAACAGTCTGTCTGTCTATCCTAACTTCATACCTTAACCCCCCCCCTTTATAAGGAATCTCTCTTTGATTTCATGATTTTATTGATATTTCCTTGTTAATTACTTTCTCTGAGGCTTCTTTGAGCTACATCTCATACTCAACTGCAACTCTACAATATCCTTTGTGGCAAAGACAATCCTAACTTGCTCTAACGACAATTTCTGTCATTTCAAAAATCTTTTTCTATACAGCCCCTTTTTTTATTTTTTATTTTTTTTTTTAGATGGTTTCACGTTCATTGAAAACAATTGAAAAAAAAAAAGCATAAAAGCAGTCTCACCAACATGCAAAATAATGCTAATGCACGGAGATTGAAGGATTAGGAAGTTTTAATTTTTATAAGGCAGGACAATCTACACAACTTGTCATTTTATTTTTTTTTGTTTTTGTTTTTTATTTTTTGTTAATTATTTTATCAATCCAAGAATGTCTACAAATCAGAACATAAATTTAGAATCAACAGAATTGGAAAGATCTAATAATGGGAATCTAAAAAATACGAACAATCTTAATTCGTCTATTACTAATTTAGAAAATCAAAAAGTAAACATAATATTTTTGAATCATCCTTAAATGAATTCTCGAACATCATACCAACAATTAGCTTTTTTTTTGTATATATTAGATTGTTGAAGCTAAAACAGCTGTTATCTTATTAAAAAATTCTCGATTATGTACAAAAAATGAATATACACAATGGCTACTAAAAATGCTATTTCAACCTTGTTCGAAAAAGAATACAGACGTAACTAAAATATATACATTTATATAAATCTATATATATACATATATATATATTTTTTTTTAAAAAAAAAAAGAAAAAGAAAAAATGCGTATATAAATATCTAAATAGGGCGAGTTATTTTAGGCTATGAACATATTATATTTATCAAGAGGTCGAAGAAAAATTTGGGCGAGTGATTTTTCCATTAATCAAGGTTTGACTTTTGTGTGACAAATGTATGTCTTTAACATTTTCCCTTTTAGATCCTATTAGGGCCGCTGAACTTGCTAATAAACACAAGGATCATCTTTACGTAATCACACCTAAAACGACAATCATGACACTATCACAAGATAATCGCCTTGTTTATATTATTGATCTTAGTTCAAGTTTAGCTACAGTTGGAAATACTCGAGCTGATATATTATTACACGAAGTTTTTCAAACGTAAAATAAGAAAGGTTTTTTTTTTTTTTTTTTTTTTTTTTTTTTCTGTAACATTAAATGATATGTATTTTTTTTTTTTTTTTAATATTAATTTTTTTTTTAGACTCCAGAATTCATTAGAAGGTTTAGTTCAACCTTTCTCAATGCAAATCTCACCAACTCAAAAAGCTATAGTAAATATAATGAACTCTTTTTTTTTTCTCCCTCCCCCCCTCTTCTTATCTATGCCATTATACTAATCATTATATATACATATATTTCTATATAAAGGTGCAACCTTCATTCCGTCTTACAGTTATGGCAGACTGTTCTCAATTTGCATCTAATGTGAATGTGATACGTATGCTGGTAGAACATCCTACAATGAGAGTGTTTATACAAAATGTAGTGATTACAGCGAATAATATCAATCGCATTATTCGAAAGTTACGATCTGAATTTCTTACCTTTCAAGAAGATACTGCACAGTTTAGAAAGTTTATAAATAAAAATAGAGCCAATATGGGTTATAACTTGGATGTAGGAGGGGACGTGACGTCTTCAGATAATATCAGTGTCTTCAATACTACTTCCTTTACGAGGCAACCAGATACAAACTCATTTTCCCCTTTAATAATAGACAATGATAAAGAACCTTTCAGAAATAAAACTGGAACCATGAAAGAATCAACTTCTGATACAAGTCCTACACATCAGCAATCTCAGGATACTTCATTTTATTCATCTACCTCAAAGAAGGAAGTGTGGGGGATAGGCAAATCAGGTGCTAATCTGTCTCGTATCTTACATGCTGGTCATTTTGCCCTGAAATTATTGCCTCAGGAGGGTCGTGCACAGCTTATATTAATCACAGACGGTGCTATGAAATCAAATGTCCATGATAATACCTTTGTAAGACAATTTGCAGAGGAAGACATTACTTGTCATATTATTCAAATTGGTTATTCAAGTAGTTTTATACCAGGTAGAAACTTTGGTTTTGTTCCAGATACAGAGATTCTTCAATTTTTAGCTCGTGCTACTAATGGAACCTTTATGTATTCTGAAGCATGTTTAGCAAAATTACATACAAATATACTTTTGTATAATAATAATAATAATGATGATGATGATGTTAAGAAGGAGGACGAAGAGGAGAAGGGGAAGGAAAAGGAAAAGAAGAAGAAGGAAGAGGAAGAGGAAGAGGAGGAGGGGGAGGCTGTGGCGGCTACAATCACTTCAACATCACAAAGGTCTTGTGCTGTTGTTCAATTAGTCGATCTTGACAAGGCAAAACATATAAAAGCACCTAATCTCTTCCATAGAAAATTTTTGTTTCGAGAAACTATTCTTATGCGTTCTCTTCATTCTGAACTAAGATTACAGACAGAAAAGGACTCACAAGGGCAACTGAATCGACATGACTTATCTGGAAGCAATTTAACTGAATCAAATCATGAATTATCAAAATATAGGTTTAATTATCCCTGGGATCCTTACGCACGTCCTCCTGAAGGTGAATTACGTCTCTTAAAATATAGAGAGTATACACTTCCTTCTGAGTTTTCTCATTTGATTGCAGCTAGAGCACGTGAAGGATTTACAGTTCAGTCTGTCACATTTGACGATGGTACAGGCTCAAAGCATATTGATGTTAGTCTTCAAGACATCGAAGCCTCTGATCTATCTTCGATTCGCAAAGAACGTATTCAAATTATTATGGTCTTGCGTTGGCAACCTAATGTTCTGATTGAATATAGAATCAAGGCCACTTGGCTTCCAACTATTATTGGAAATGCACATAATACATACAAAAGTGAAAATATCCTGATGGCAAGTAATATTTTTTCTCGTGGTAAAGCGCCAAGGGCAGAGATCTTTGTTAGAACTGATGCCAGTTTTGCTCATATGCTGCAGAACTGGGATATTTTCAGAAGACGTGCGCAAATGATGGGTGTCGTAACGGGGTCTATCTTCTTTGGTGAATCCTATGCTGTATCTATTTATTCGAAAATAGAAAAACTCAAGAATTACCTAATCGATATATTTGAAGGGGATGAGATATTGAAGTCTGTGTTGGGTTTTCCTAACAAATATTGGATGACGAGTTTATCAGCTGGAAGTAATGATGCCAATACCTCCTATCTGTCGTCTTCTACTAATCGACCTGAATCCTTACTAAACGGTAATAATTCTACTACATCAGAAACTACAACTTCGTCACAACAAAAGTCAGCTTATATCGATGCCTTCAGAGACTTTTGGGATCGCTTCAATGCTTCAGAAGCAAGAGCAAGAACAAGGTGTTGGTATGATCCAGGATGTATTGATATTCTCGTGGGTGATGTATCGCCTTACATGACGCCCAAGCTCACGTCATCTTATAATCAAGAATTTTTATCAAATATAGAAGACGATATTATGTTCATGATGAAGAATATAGAAGCAGTTATTGAAGAATGGTCTGATTTTGTATCTGAAGATGGAACCTATGTTCGAATGATGCACAAACTAATTTCGAGTCCAGCTTTAAGCACTGATGAGCACATGAAGGATTATTTTTCGTTGTCACTGACATATCCGCCTTCGTTTTGTGAATTACGAATAAGACATGAATATGGCCGTCTGATGACGCTTAGACTTTTATTTTTTAATGTGGAAGCACAAGCTCGTAAGAGGGCAATTGAGCACTTGACTCAATTATTGAAAACGGATAGGAGAACAAATGACGCTTGTAATATGATCTGTAAGCGTCCATTTTCTCGTCTCCTCATGAGAGATCCTAAACATTTTGCTGAATCCTCGTTTTTAACAACTAAGCAAGTAAACTCAGGAGGTAAGAGTCGGTCAAAAACTTGGTATTTACCTGTAGCAATGTGGTTAACAAGTGAGTATATTGTTCGTGATTATCTGAAACGTATGACGTGGTTATGGCAAACCAATAATTATCAGGATGGATACCATAGAGAAAATAAAATGATGCCTATACATGATTTAGCATTCCAATTTTTATGTCAAGCTCGTTTAGATCAGGTAATATATATGTATAAATATATATATAAAAGACCAATCAACTAATAAACAGCTTTAATACAATAGGGTTATCAATTAGTTTCTCCTCGTCCAGATAGTACACATTTCTATCAAGAAATTGAGTTGCCTGGACATGAAAACAAAGAAGTATCTCTTTGCGCATTGCAATATTTTATATGGAAAGACTCTACGACAGGGAAAATTACAACTGAATTATGGATGGAGCCGAATGGTAGTTTTGATTTTGATCAATATGAATATGTTAAAAAATGGACATTTGAACATGATAAAAAGACAATCTCTCAATTAGTTACGTTTGATCAAATACATGCAGTTGGAAGATCAAAGAGTATATCCGATTTTAAAACGAAAAAGAAGGAAACAATGTATATAAAACCAGAAGCTCCAGATGAAGATACAACCCTTATTTCTCTTCCCCAATTACTTGATATAGCCTCTGTACTAAGATCAAATATGTTTGTAATTGCTTCTTTTCGACCCCCACAATACAGAATGACTTTGCTACCTCAATTGCAGCAACACAATCAGCAAATAAAATTAAAGACGCTTGTGACACCAACAATTGAAGATATCACAAGTCCAACTACACGTAGTAAGAGGAATCTAACACATTCAAAGGCTCAGCGATATTTACGTCGTCATGAAAACACAACGCTTCCTACTGATTCTTCATTCACCCCAACTGATAGTCATCCTCCTAAGCTATTTAGTTTTCGACCTGATACTTTACTCAATAAGAATAAGACTATAATTGCTAAACTGGACACGATTTTACAAAACTATGTATTATTGCATTATTTTGTTGAAAGATCATTAGACTATATTTCAAGTGGTGAGATTTTAATGTCACATCATGATGTGGGTACGGCCTTCTGGCAAGAGCTTTGTGATGCATTAAAGACGGCTACACAGGATGGTCGAGTTTCAAGCACAGGATTAATACCTGATTTACGCAAAACTCGTTGCTTTGTCAAAATTTTTGATCCTCGTTCCTTTATCATCATTCTTTTCCCAAGCTTAGAATCTGTTTCAACAGGACTATTAAAATTGCAACAAGATGAAAAATTGAATTCAATTTCTAAAGTTGAGAGATGTCATTTTCTTGATATATTCATGTTTGAATGCGTACGTCAAAAGCCTATGAAACCTATAAAGAATAGTTTATTATTTGGAAATTCTGTTGAGGAATCAAATCGTATTCGAATTGAGCATGCTATTGAGAATGCAAATAAGATTTCCATCCGACCTGTAGATTATCTTATCCATGAATCAGACGGTTTAGGTGTAATGTTAAGACCTGAATTATTTGAGGGACAGTATCAGTCTTGTCAAATTGGAGCTCAACTTACGGATCGAGTGCTTCGTGTTGCACAAGATGTGACACGATTTTATTCAAGAAGCTTCTTAAAGTCTTTTTATACATGCTTGTTGAGAGGTTTCATGGTAGAAGATAAGGATTTGAATAAAGCGTTAGAAGTTTGTAATGAGTCATTAATGGAAATTGATATCACTGAATTTGTAAATATAATGGTCATGCAAAAGAATGAATCCATAGAAAGGTATGTGAAATAGTGATGTATTTATTAAGTTATGTATAAATATGTATATAAATATATATATTTGTATGTATGTATGTATGTATGTATATAGTGAGACGCAAGAAGCTGAAATTCAGGAAAAATTCAATTGTATCTTTTATCAATACTTTGAGTTTGTTCAAACAAAGAGCAAAACAGTTTCCAATTTATTTTATTATAAACCACCATTTATTAGACATGAAAAGACGAATCCTCTTCAAGTAAACATGTCTGAAGATGATAGGGTTTCTTTCATTGTTGATCTAGTTGCACATTCACAAGCACCCTTATTGATTCGATTAAATGCTGTATACAGAATGCCTATAAGTTCCGACAATCACAGTTCTACTTCTGAAATTATTGTTCCTATTCATTCATTACCTACTTCCTACTCGGGTCAAACTATTGACGGAGAAAAATTTAATTTAAAAAGAGAAGGTCTTATGTTCCAAGACATGTTTCCTTTGAGACAAGAGGATACAAGAGTCTATCTTCAGATTGTCTGTCTGAATATGCCACGTTCTGATTTGGATGATTATAGTTATTTAGATAATTTATTCCCATATAATTTGGAGTAAGTATACCTTTATTGTTTAATACGAGCGAATATATATATATATATGTTAATTTTTCTTTTTTCATTAGTTTTTTAATACAGTCTATGAAATCCCAACCTGAATGCTTTTCATCACTTAGTCAAGATCAAAAGGTTGCACTAGCAGAAACAGAGTCTCGTGTAGACTGGCTATTAAAAGAAGAAACGATTCATGGCTTATTAAAGGCCCCCATCATTACATTATCAATATTAAAGTATGTAGAACAGCAGCTTATTACTCCATGCCCTTTCATAACCTATCGAACATCATTAAGAATACCTTTCCAATTCGTCAAAAATTATACTGAAAGTAGACTCATTTTTATGAACGAATTAGAAAAGGATAGTTGTCGTCAAAGGAGAGGAAAATATCGTCTTAAGCGTATTGATGATTATTTTTATGTATGCCAAGATGCTATTTTTAATATGGGTGAGGAGACATCTTATTCTAATAGCAATTCACCTATCATGCCCGAGCCTTCCCCTTCAGCTACAGAAATAGATCACTTTGATCGTTCTGCAGAAGATGAATTTTGTGACGGTTTAGGCATTTGTATTACAAAGACAGTGAAAATAGGACAAACAGATATAGAAGATGGTATGATAGAAGAAGAAGAAGCAAGTGTTCCTTTGGATAAAAGACCGTTGTATTGGTTAATATTGATCCCTTATGAAAAATATGTTCAAGTTTATTTTTATTCCAAATTACAATTGCTGGAACCTGAATTCAATATATTAGAACTTATCAAGGAAAAATTAAAAATAATTCAAGAGCGAACCAACCAATTAGTATTGTTAAATTATTTGCAGGAAACTCGTATTTGTAGGTAAGTTATATATGTATACATATATAAATATATATATATATAAGTATATATAAAAGGAAAAGTATGTCAAAATTTATATTTGATTCAATATTAGTAAATACCTCGAAGCACCTAATAGCATTAACATGGATACTGCTTTCTCAGATGAAGATATATCAGACGAAGATAATGAAAATGAAGATATTCAGGATGTCTTTAATAATACAGATATGACTGAAACTAACAAGTTCTTTCCTGGACAATTTTCTTGCCCACTTGTATTTACAAAGCGGTTTCCTCTACATTGGCGTTTGCAGCCAAATATTGCACTTAAATTTCTCAGTTCTGATGTCTTGAGATTATTCACAGTAGTTAATCGACCCAATATGTTTGTTATTGAGCGAGATGACTCGATTGTATATTGTAAAATATCAGAAGAGAGTTTTGATAATGAAGTAGAAGTGTCTCCCAATACAACATGTGTATCTCCTGTACATACACTATCTGGGAAAAATACTGAAGATGATACGCAAACTCTTATTGCTGTTAATATGCCAGAAACTACTCCCAAGCGCGAATTGTCAAGAATTTCGTCTACTTCACCCATGCCGCACACATCAAGTGTAACTAGGTCATCATCAAATGAAAAAAGGGAACTTGTTTTGGAAGTTTATGGCATAGATCTTCCATCTTGGGTAGAAAAGGAGTTTGTAAATCTAATAGAAAAAAGGCTAATTTCACAAATTACATTAAATGAAATACAACAATTCTTTTCAAGGAATTCTGTTACAAAACCTACTTTAGAGGTGTGATTTTCTTTCTTTCTTTCTTTCTTTTTTTTTTTATGTACCTCATATTTATCTAACTCTTTTTTTTTTCGTTTTTTAATAGGATGTTGATTTTATTTTACCTACTTCAAAACCATCTACTCGTAGAGAAATGCTAAGAATTCCAGACTTAGTGAATAGTCCTTACGTCCTCTTGCAATATTTCAAGCAATCTATATTAGCAGATAATATTCGACCTCTAACAGGGCCTTATGTAAGACAATCAGTATCTAATTACTATAATAACATGTTTTTCAGCCAAGACCCGAATGGGATTCAGGATGCATCAAAACGTCAATTAAACCCGTAAGCCTATTTAGTCCATTATATGAACTTATGTCTCAATATTTACTTTTTATACTTTGTTTAGTCAAAGCAAGACAACAAGAGAGATCCCTCCAGGCTCATTTTGCTTCTATTATAACTGCACAAAGCGTGCTCCTGGATCTTCGACACCATTAGAATTAATGGCGGGCCAAGGTATGGCAGGTATTTGTTTAACTCTTTTAAATGAGTATGGATATCCTATTACAGTTGTCCAAGAGGAAGGTAATTATGGAGCAAACTTTGATCCAGAGATGATCCATGATTGTCTTGAAGAAGATTTTAGAGAGGCAAAAGAAGGAACGACATTTTTTCATATATGGGTTGATATATGGGTAACTGGTACGGCTGACAGCGAGGCATTAATTCAACATATATACGAATGCTATCGCCAAAGTCTCTGTGATTACTTTATAGAAAAGACTGTTACCATTGACCTTGGTGCAGCTTTATCATTAGATGGAGCCTTACAAAAGGCAGTAACTGATAAGTCTGAAGGTCGACTTGGTACAATATTAAGGAAAAAGTTTATTGAATCAGTTTTATTCATTCTTCGTAAAGCATCTGAGTTTAAGAGTCCAACTGTATATGCTATGGAAAAATCAATACAGACAACTCCTTGGTGCATGGACGATCTTATACGTTATTTAGACTTTGAACTTCGAAAAATCGATTCTTCTTTACGTCCTACCGTTGCGTGGACATCCCTTGGAAATAATGTTTGGGATGGTGACGATGGTATGCCCAATTATAATAGTAAATGGGAACTTTATCGAGGATTTCAATACCGTCAACGTCAAAAGTTACAAAGCAATATTCGTCTTGTAGCCATTAGTGGACTAGATGAGTTTGTTGAAAAGCTTGGTAGTGTATCTGATGCCTTCCTTGTGGGAAGAAGACCAAGTACGGCTAGTGACAATGATAGTCAAAGGGCTAGATCTCGAAGAAGTTCAGGGGAATCAGCTAATACGGATGGTGGTAGTAGTCAAAGAAGATTTAAAACTGATACTCAAGAGCATTCACGAACCTCGAGCACATTATCTAATTCTGGAACATTGAGTAAAAGCGGGCCCCGGTTAGATTCAAAGAAACATTGCTTTATGATAATGACTCTTGATGTACATCGACTAACAGTCTACACTTACAACTGGTCGGATTCTATATCACAAGAGTTGTTTAAAGGTATATTCCGTGTTGCAAATAGACAAGAAGCCCGTAACGAGCTTATGAATAATATTTTACATCAGAAAATGGGTTTATTTCATCATACTCGATCTATGAAAACTGTTATGGAAGATTTTAGAAATTCTAATAATTATAGTCCAACTAAGCATTTATCTACAAACCTTGGTTCTGTAAATAGCAGTTATTACAGTTCTACTCCTCAAATTCATCATCCTTCACCAAAACCAGCAAAGAAGCCGGGTCGACAATTCGATACAATAGGCAAGCCAGATTTAACTCCTTCTTCTTTGAGAGCACCAAGTAATATGAGACGAAATGGAGCAGTTAACGATCCAATGTCTGTGAGTATGCTTGATCTAAAGGATATGGTTGCCTTCCCTACAACTGCTCCATCTCGTGAGCAGTTAGAGAATAGCATCATTAAATCTAATGATGCATCTTCCTCTCCTTTGGTGCGTCAAATAGAAAAAGAGAACCATGTAGACCGCATTCTTCAAAAATCAGTTATTCGTACAACTGAACTAGATCATGCATTAATGGATTCTATCACGGATTCAGTTGCAGATACTATCCGTAGCAAAGATTTTGATATTTTGCGTCGTCATGGGCAACCCTTTTTGGAAGCATTTCTACGTAGAGCTAAAGTACAATCTGCTCATCGTAAAGCATTAAAGGTATACATTAAATGGAGAAAGAGGTATGGTAATCCTAAAGCAGAGATGGACTTGACCGAAAAGTTGACGCGTCCTGAAGTATCTACAATCATGAGAACTTCACGTGTGCTTCATTTTTGTCGTACTCCACTCATCTTTTGTGATCCCGAAAAAGAATGGCCTAATTTAGCAGAAGGTTCCAATGGAAGGGCTATTGTGATAGAATGGTTTAATAACATGGCAAACTCATTAATGTCAGAATACGCGGCGTACTTGGAAAGCGCCGATATGCAATATATTGATTTTGCAAAGTCAGATGATATTGGATATAATGACGATTTTATATTTAGAACATCAAAGTTCAGTTTAGGCAAACATATAACAGCAGAATGCGCACCCACGTTTTTACTAAGAGTATTTGAAGGTGGATCTATTATATGTGAAGTTCGATTAACTGGTGTATTTGTATCTGTTACCCTTTATACATTACACCGTCAGTATGGACGTTTGGATTATAATCGTTTCCGTCACGAAACACGAATGAAGAAAAGAACAAACTTTAAAAAGTTTGAAGAAAATTCAGGTCATTTTAAACAAATGATTCATATCAATTCATTTGTATATGATTTCCAGCTTCATTATATACAGAAAATGCTTGACAATCCTGAAAAAGTACCAGCTGATTTAGATATTCTATCTTTTGTTCGTCGATTTGCTTTGATGAATCAGCAACCATCGCCCTATTCTAAAGATCGTATTATTCATGGTTTTTATCAATTTGATATAACTGATATCGAAACTTCAACATTCCTTGTAACACTTTTTAAATATGCACCTCGTTATGGTCTGTTAAATGTGACAACTAACAATAGCTGTTCAGCTGTAACAGTATCTAGTTTTGATTTGTCTTTTAATTCAGAAACTTCCATCCATCTTACTCATTCAAACTGGAAATATACTTTAGTTATTTGTCCAGCAAATGATGAAACATCTAATATGATATCTAAACCACAATATGAAGATACGTCAATCAGTAATATTAATCAGATTAATCTTGAATATTTTGTTTTGGCTGTTTATCAAGGTTCAATTACTCCAGAGTCTATGACACAAACTAGCTGGGTTAAGTGTGATAATTGTTCGCCATCAGATAATGTTTTATCTAATTTCGCATTACCTGAAGAAGGTTACACTTTAGCAGATATAGTTCGTAATGCAAGGATTAGAATAGATAATATTGTTTCAGAGGTATATGAGATTTTACAATACATATTATTAAATCCTAATTTGTTACATGCAGGTTATTATTAGAAGCAAGCGGGCTCATGACTGGAGTAAACTCTATTCTGCAGATCTTATTATGAAGAAGAATGCAAGTTCATCTCCTGAGCATTTGCAGCTAATTCAATTAATGAGTGAATTTGATCATATTGATATTACAAAAGCTGACAAGAGTTTAGCTTTAATCTTTAATATGAAACTTAACTGGGATGCAGCTTTAGATGTAGTAAAGAGTATGACAAAAACAAATTCAAAAGATTTTTATGAAGGAAGTTATCGTCACTTATTGCTTTATAATGCACGATACATGGATTTTATGATTCATTTACGTACCGATCCCTCTGGGCATATTCAAGGTTGGATGGTCAGTAGAGAAAAAAGAGCAAATACAATTGAATTTGAAGGAGCTGAGCGTGAGCAAATAGTCGGTTTAGGAAAAACACTCTACTATTATATGTGGAGAGTTATAGCTAATAAGCAAAGTATGTGAAATAAAAAGTAATGATGACAGTAATAAACGTAAAGATGTATATATTAAAATAAGGGGAGAGTATATGTACAGAGCATAAAATAAGGGATGGTGAATAATTAAGGATACGGAATGTACTTGGACAAATAATCTTTAAAGCAAGTATATGGTTATTCAGAGATGTTTTTAATTTTTTTCTTTATCTACAACAATGGATAGATTAAAAGAATAAATCGTTAAAATACAGTAGGGACATTAGATATATACTCATATTCATTTCAACGAATTTAATAAATAAATAAATAAAAGTACTTTTCTTCTCCTCCTCTCTCTCTTTTCTCAATTCTTTTTTTTATTCGTACTGTTATTTTTGATTGATATTAATGATAGACGAGAATTGTGCTGAAAATAAAAATGACCAACCAAATCATCAGCATAGTGTTGACAGTAATATTGCTAAACAATCACAATATTTGGAGGAAAAAAGTATAACTCCTACCATAGAAGCTGAACAACCTTATAAATCATCTACTTCAAGTGACTACCAACCTCTAGATTTTGTTGATTTACCATCTTCTTCAAATCAATCCAATCTGTATGTATATATTCTTCCATAAAGTTAAGATAAAATTATGAACTTATGATCCTTTTTATTTTATTTTAAAATAAAGTCAAAATTTAGCATCTTCATGTCAGCAAACATTAACAGGTATAGAATAATACATATTATATGTAAAAAAAATAACTTAAACTTTCCCTTTTTTCTTTTTCTCCCTCTCTCTCTCCTACCTCCTTCAACAACCCCCTCCCCTGCAGATACAATTCAACACCAATATCATCAATTTCCTTTGCCACCAAATCGTCAACTAGATCGAGATATATCTTGTACTTTTAGTCAATACGATGGTTCTGATGCGGATTGGCTAGACACAGTATCTTCAATTCGATCAGAATTAGTCCCTTATTTATATAATCGAAATCAGCAACCAATAGCTGGTATTAGTTTATTAGGAAACCTGCGTGGAGATATTCATAATTCAGGTCGATTTCTTCGCTATGCCCCTTCTACAGATTCTTTGATTGCCCTTCTAGAATCTAAGCGTAATAAGACACCACGAGGCGTAACAGCGACCACATCTATGACCTCTCTTAATAGCCATAGACTCCAATCACCAACTCCATTTACCTCAAACGAAGAATTGTCATCAGAGACACTTAATAATGCCCATCAAATACCTTATCCAGCATGGACGAGCTCAGCTCATCTCCATACTTTACCTTCTTATCACCAAATTCAAGCGATATTTGTCGGTCTAAAAAATGCATTTGGATTTCAATACGATAGTATGCTGAACATGCTGGACCACTTTATGATTATGCTTGATTCTCGTGCGTCGCGTATGTCCCCTACAATGGCACTGTTGACTTTACATGCTGATTATATAGGTGGGCCTAATGCTAATTATCGAAAATGGTATTTTACAGTACAACTAGACTTGAATGATCCAGCTATCTCCTTAGGAGGAAATAGTAGTAGCAAGGATAATACACGACAACCCACTTTGAAGGAATCAGAGGAAATATGGCGTACCAAGATGGAGCAAATGTCGGATGTTAAGCGCATAAGGCAATTAGCTTTATGGTTAATGGTATGGGGCGAGGCCTCTATAATTCGATTTTGCCCTGAAGTACTTTGCTTTATTTTTAAACTTGCTGATGATGCAGCTGATACTAAATTAGCCAATATTCAACAGAGGAGGATGATAGCTTCTGAAGGAGAATTTTTAGATAAAATAATCAAGCCCTTATATAATTTTGCTAAGAATCAAGTATATTATAAAGATAAGCATGGAGATATTACCTGTCGTGAACGAGATCATTCAGATATAATTGGTTATGATGATATAAATCAGTTCTTCTGGTCCTCCAAAACGATACATCAACTTGTCCTACAAGATAAAGTCAAGTTATTTACATTGGCTCCTCATCTAAGATTTGATGCATTACGGAATATTAATTGGAAAAGGGCCTTTCAGAAAACGTTTAAAGAAAAACGATCTTGGATGCATTTAGCTGTTAATTTTTCCCGAATTTGGATCATTCATATTGTGTCCTTTTGGTATTACATTGCAGCGAATTCTGATATTCTTTATTTGGACAGTGATGAATCTATTGCTGCAAAGGAGGTACCTGTCAAAATATCTTATACTGCTTTGGGAGGTGCTTTATCTACATTGTTAGTTATGCTTGGTTGTTTTGTTGAATATATTTATGTACCTATGAATTTTCAAAGAGCAGGGATTTTAACACGTCGTATCCTATTACTAATTCTAATTTTAGCCCTAAATGTGGGCCCATCAGTCTATTGTATCATGTTAAACAGAACAGGACATCTTGCAATGGCAATATCAATCACGCAACTAATTATAAGTTTAGTCAGTAGTATTTATTTTGCTATAACGCCACAATCACATCTATTCATTAGATCTAAAGAAACATCAAGTTCTTCGGGATTTAAAGAAGCTCCATTAAATCATGCCTTCACTGCAAGTTTCCCCCACTTGAAGAAAACAGATCGACTCATCTCTATTGGCCTTTGGGTTTGTATCTTTGGCTGTAAACTTGTAGAATCTTATTTTTTTATTGCCTTATCATTTAAAGATCCACTGAAGGCGATAGCAAATATGAAATTATTTCATTGTAATGATGCAATCATGGGCTCCTTTCTTTGTAGCTATATGCCATTCATTTCTCTAGTACTTATGCTACTTATGGAGCTAATTCTTTTCTTCCTGGATACCTATCTATGGTATGTTGTTTGGAACACCATATTTTCTGCCGCAAGATCGTTCTATCTTGGCATCTCTATCTGGAGCCCTTGGAGGAACATCTTTTCAAGACTACCGAAAAGAATCTATGCAAAAATTTTGGCAACTTCAGAACTGGATCTTGAAGTTCAACCAAAGATGCTTTGTTCTCAGATTTGGAATGCCTTGGTTATTTCGATGTTTCGTGAGCATTTATTATCCCCTGAACAAGTATCTAAACTTTTATATAGACAGGTAAAATAACAAGGAATAATCATCATCATCATCATCATTATTTGTTACTAATTCAAATCCTTACTATTAATGAATGGTTAGACATCTGGTGTAGGAACTTCAAAGCCAACTTTAAAGTCCCCTTCCTTTTTTGTTTCTCAAGATGATATTGCCTTCAAGACAGAGTACTATCCTCAAAAGAGTGAAGCAAGTCGACGCATTCAATTTTTTGCACAAAGCTTAACTACTCCCATGCCAGAGGTACTCCCAGTTCCCAATATGCCTACGTTTACAGTCATGATACCCCATTACGGCGAAAAATTAATTTTATCATTAAGGGAAATCATTAGGGAAGAGGATAAAAGCGCTCGACTCACTTTACTCGAATATTTAAAACAGCTTCACCCCTTTGAATGGGAAAATTTTGTAAAGGACACCAAGATTTTAGCAGACGAAAAGCTACATGATGGAGGGGCTTTGGATAATGAATCTGATTCTGATACATCGCAGAGGTCTACCTTGATTGCAGATGAAAAGATAGAAAGACAGCATAAGATTAACGATCTCCCCTTTTATTGTGTGGGCTTCAAGTCGGCTTCACCTGAATATACAATGCGTACACGTATATGGGCCTCTCTTCGTACTCAAACCTTATTTCGTACAATTACAGGTTTTATGAATTACCAAAAGGCGATCAAGTTACTCTACCGTGTTGAAACTCCAGAATTAAATTCCAGTCAGCAAACAAATATCTCTTCTCTTCCAAACCACATAACTGAAGCTGAACTTGAGGAAATGGCAAATCGGAAATTTCGTTTTGTAATTGCCATGCAACGGTATGCTCATCTCAGCTTTGAAGAAAAAGAAAGTGTTGAATATATACTGAAGTCTTATCCAAATGTTCAAATTGCTTACTTGGAGCAGGAAATAGTTGGAGAAGAAACTGTTTTCCATTCTGTATTGATTGACGGCCAGTGTCCTTATAGGTTGGATGGTAGTAGGTCTCCAAAATATAGAATCCGACTTCCAGGTAACCCTATTTTAGGTGATGGTAAATCAGATAACCAAAATACTGCACTTATCTATTATCGTGGTGAATATTTACAACTGATTGATGCTAATCAAGACAATTATTTGGAGGAATGTATAAAAATTCGCAATGTTTTAGGTGAATTTGAAGAGATGCAAACAAGTAACGAATCACCTTATTCTATTAATGATCATAATAAAAGCCCGGTGGCCATTGTAGGTGCTCGTGAATATGTTTTTTCTGAAAATGTAGGTGTCCTCGGTGATGTTGCTGCAGGTAAAGAGCAAACGTTTGGTACACTTACTCAGCGAATTATGGCTATCATTGGAGGAAGGGTAATATTATTAATGTTATTTTTTTTTTAAAAAAAAAAAAAAAGGATGTAAATAAGTAACTTTTTAACCTTCCCCTCCTCTTATTCTTTTATTATAGCTTCATTATGGCCATCCTGATTTTCTTAATGCTATTTTTATGACTACACGAGGCGGTGTGAGCAAGGCACAAAAGGGGCTTCATTTGAATGAAGACATCTATGCAGGTATGAACGCCTTTACAAGAGGAGGCCGTATTAAACATGTTGAATACTATCAATGTGGGAAAGGTCGTGATCTTGGATTTGGATCTGTTCTTAACTTTGTTACCAAAATTGGGTCTGGTATGGGAGAGCAGATGTTATCTAGAGAATATTATTACTTGGGCACACAACTTCCTTTAGACAGATTCTTGACCTTCTTCTACGCACATCCTGGTTTTCATATCAATAACATCTTTATTATACTTTCAGTACATATGTTTATGTTTGTCCTTCTTTTTGTGGCTGCCATTCGTGTACCATTAACAATATGTACTAATCCAACTTCAGATCTTCCACTCACTCCAGAGGGATGTTACGATCTTGAACCCATATTTCAATGGCTCCGGCGTGTTGTTACCTCTATATTTGCCATCGTTTTCATTGCCTTTTTCCCTCTCTTTTTACAAGAATTAACAGAACGAGGATTCTTTCGAGCATGCAATCGACTCTGTAAACATATGCTATCATTCGCGCCCTTATTTGAAATCTTTATTACTCAAACGTATACTAACTCTATCTTGAGCAATATGACGTTTGGAGGTGCACGTTATATTGGTACAGGCCGTGGATTTGCTACAGCACGTTTACCCTTTTCATTACTCTATTCACGATTTGCTGATACAAGTATGTATGCGGGTGCTCGCTTAGCTCTCATGTTATGTTTTGGCTCGTTTGTATTATGGATACCTCATTTGGCCTATTTTTGGTTCACCATTCTAGCCCTTATCTTTTCACCTTTCTTATTTAATCCTCATCAATTCTGTTTAACGGACTTTTTAATTGATTATCGTGAATATCTTCGTTGGCTTTCTCGTGGTAACGGCTCTAGCCACTCTAACTCATGGATTACCTTTTGTCGTTTCATACGTATGCGAACAACAGGTGTCAAGAAGAAGCGATTAGCTAATGGAATAACAACAACAACAACAACAACAAAGATGGTTGAAGCCCAACAAAGGCGTGCTTCTATTGGAACATTACTTTTTTCAGAAATTTTGCTTCCTTTCGTATTGGCCGTCCTGAGTATGATAGCTTATTCATTTATTAAGAGTTTTGATCAACAAGAGAGTGAAAATTTTTACAGGAGGTACAGTACTCCCCTTACAGTAGCTGTAATTGCATTTGGACCTATCTTATTTAATGCGGGTGCATTGCTTGTCTTGTTTGTCTTTTCTCTAGTAGCCGGATGTGCTGCTAACCTTTGCTGCGGTATTAAGTTTGGTGCTACAATTGCTGCTATTGCACATGGATGGGCTGTCATCAATTTGATTCTCTTTTTCGAAATTTTATATTTCTTAGAGGACTGGAAGTTTGTTCATGTTGTGTTGGGTATGACTGCAATTGTCTCTATACAACGATTTATATTCAAGTTGATAACTGTTTCTTTATTGACACGTGAATTTTCTGAAGATCAAAGTAATCAAGGATGGTGGACAGGCCGATGGTACGGTAGAGGGGTAAGTTTATTAAACTATATAAATATGTGTATTTTTTTTTTTTTTTTTTTTTTTCACTGTGTGATTAAATATTGATTTACTCACGTTTCCCACTTTTTTCTTTTCTTTTTTTTTTTTTTGCGGGGATATAGTTTGGTTGGTATGTATTGACTCAACCATTACGTGAATTCATTTGCAAAACGATAGAAATGAGTCTATTTGCTATGGATTTTATTATGGGCCATTTTATTTTGTTTGTTTTATTTATCATTTGCCTCCTTCCTGGTATTGATAAATGGCACTCACTCATGCTATTCTGGTTAAAGCCAAGTGAACAAATTCAAAAGCCTATTTATTCTGTAAATCAAAGGAGGAAAAGAAGAAGGATCGCCATATCTTACGGTATTCTGTTAGTTATTTTATTCTTTACTTTTGCTGCCTTACTAGTTGCTCCTACTATTTTTGGTCGTCGGTCCAATTTTAAGTTCACTTCTTTAACTATTTGAAAAAAAAAAATTATTTATCAATGTAATTTTTATATATGCATAATAAATCATGTCTTTTTTCCGTAAGATCGGCATAATTTTATTTATCAAATCATTCGTATATGGATGCATCAATTTACAGATTGTTTTTATATAAGTATTTTACTGTCGTCTTTTAGGATTTATGAGTTATTAGGGGAGGGGGAAAGGGGAAAAAAAAAAGAAAGAAAGAGAGAAGGTGTGATTGATTTTATTAGTGTGCAAAAGAAGCCTTTTTCTTTTTTCCAGTTTAAAAATCATCAGTCGAACCATTTTATTTAAAATAATCAAATTATTGTTGAGGAGGAGGAGGAGGAGGAGGGCGTTGATACATTCCTGGTGGTGGTGCACCTCGACCAGCTGGAGGGAAGCCTTGAGGAGGCTAATAAAGGTAAGATAAAGTTAATTTTATACATTTTCTTTTTTGCACTCTATATTATTTTATAATGACTTACCATGCCAGGACGGAAGCCTGGAGGAGGCATACCATGAGGAGGTCTAAAGCCCATAGGTGGCATACCTGGTGGGGGACGGAAACCTTGTGGAGGCATAGGAGGACGACCATATGTGACTGGAGCACCTTGATATCCAGGTCTAGGTTGCATTGCCTAATGATAATATATGATTAAGTTTTTATTTTTATCTTATTATTTTCCTCAATTATTACTTACGCCAGGTGCAGGACCACCAACACCACGTACAGGACCAGAAAGACCAGCCATAGGGGCACCCATTGGTGGAGGAACAGCAGGTAAACCACGTCCCATAGGCTATAAAATAAAAAGAAGAAAAATTAACATAGGCTATTGCTTTTTTTTTTCTTAAGAACATTACTCTTCCTATACCAACACCACCAGCTAATCCAGGAGCTCTCGATCTAATGTCATCAGTAGATGGTGGTGGAGGACCATCGATGCTCATGCTGACAATAGTTTCACCTCTTAAAATAACAAGACCTAAAGTTCTTTTTTGTTCGAGATTAGCTGCTGACTTGTCTTTTGCGTTTTTGTTGATTCTACGAAATTCTTCACAATCAGCTAAGACGAGATTCATATGTTTATCAAAAGCCAACATTTGACCAGTTAAGACACGCGAATCAGATAAAGTAATTCGTAGTCTATAGTTGACTATATTTGCCATTTTTGACCCTTTGGACGACTAATAAAAATAATCCATGTTAATGATGTTTTGTTTTGTTTTTGTTTTTTTCTAATTTGTGTATGTATATTTTTTTTACCATTTTTGTTTATATTTTATTTTTCTTCTTCAAAATCGGAGGGGAAAAAGAAGTATTTCTATTAAGTTAAAACTATGTTTACTTAATTATAAAAAAATATAAATATAAACAATAATAATAAAGTAAGCTTTTAATAAAAAAAAAAAAAAAAAAAAGAAATTCACGTAAAACGTTAAAATTTGCGGATTCGTATTTTTCCATTTACGAATGTATGCGTACTCTATCTCTGCCTTTATTTTTTTTTTTTTTTTTTCCTTCTGACTTGAAAATTTGGTGGCTTATGAGTTTATAATTCTTAAACATAATTGGATAATTTGAATGTCAAGCTTGAACCCTTCAATTTTTAAATTCAAATCAACCCCAGTTCTAAAAAAACAACAACACATAGACGTGCATATATAATATATACACACTTGCTAAACATTAGTTTTAATTTCGTTAACAATGCCTCGATTACATGATCTTTGTTCCAGAATTCAAAATGGTTTCCGTGCTCGACTTCAAACAATTGCGATACCAGAAACAAAAATGAATTTAGCAGTTGTTAATATTCTTTATAAGGAAGGATTTTTATCTTCTGTTACTAGAGGTAATCATATTGGACCTGACCTGACTTATACCCCAACTACAAACGAAAATGTTGCAACAAGACGACTTTGGCTTAACCTTAAATACAAAGCAAATAATCCTGCTTTAAGCAAATTATCTTTAGTTAGTAAACCTTCTAAAAAAGTTCACTTTACAGTAAATGAGTTGAAGAATATTGCTAATGGTAGAAGAGCTCAGTTCATTAAACCCCTTCAGCCTGGAGAAGTTGTGATTGTCAATACAAATCGTGGTGTTTTAGAAATTCAAGAAGCTATTGAAAAGAACGTTGGTGGAGAAGTTATGTGTCGTGCCTTATAAAGTAGTTAGAAACAAGGAATTTAGGAGTATATAGAAAGGGCTTTTTTTTTTATTATTATGTATATATAAATAAATAAATAAAAAACAGGTATTTTTTTTTGTTTTTTTTTGTCAGCAAATTTTATCATGTTATATGTATTTATAGATTAATGATACTTGCTTAAAGATTGGTTTTCTTATGCTATTTAAAACTGAAATGGCTGTAATTCACTACTGATTTGATATACTATTTATGGTTGGTAAAAAAAGAAAAATCTCAGATAAAATACTTGAAGTATCTTATTTATTTTTTTGTTAGTGTGTGAATATGGTACATATAAATCAAGATCAATTCAAGAAGTTAAAATATGTTTAGAAAAGATATAAAAGAAGCTCCATTATGGAGGCAAAAAGAAAAAAAAAACTATTAGTAAATCTTCTATACAAAACAAAATATGTCTCAACAACAATCTAGCTCTCATAAGAACATTTGTGTTATCACCAATTGTGACTCTCTTCTTGGTTATGCTTTAGCTTATCGTTTCTTGGAAGGTATGCGTAGTCGTGAAGACCCCGAAATTGCAGATCATAAGCTTCGTATCCTTTGTCGTAACAAGTCAGGTTATGAGTTAAGTCGTCTCGAGCAAATGGGTGCTGAAGTCGTTGAGGTAGACTATAAGGATGAAGACAAGATGCGTCATGCTATGAAGAATGTATTCAGTGTCCTTCTTATCCCTGAGAACTCTGAAAACCGTCTTAAGGAGGCTCATTGCTTAATTAAGATGGCTAAGAATGAAGACGTTGAACACTTTGGTTTGATGTCCTTGTAAGTTGAATTAGATAAAAATTTAATTGATATATGTGTATGTTATTCTAATAAGTGAATTGCATATAGTGTTGGTGTTGACCGTATTGATAAGGCCAAGAGTGATGACCCACAAAATCAATCTCATTATCGTAACTTTAAGGAGTACAGAGAAATTGAAGAATGTGTTAAAAAGGCCTTCAGTGGAAACAAGCACTGTATCTGTCGCCATTCTATCTTTAATCAATTGTACTACTTCTTGGCCCCTGTAATGGAGGGTAAGAACATGATGGAGCTTCCTGTTAAGGAAGATGCCAAGTGGAACACTGTCGACATGATTGATGTTGTTGAAGCCGTCTATTGTTTAGCCAAACAGGCCCGCAAGCGTCAACAAAATAATAATACTCACAAACAATTATATGAATTTACGGGACAGCATAACATGGCCTCTAAGGAGATGTGCAAAGAAATCGGTGAAGGTTTAGGTAACAGAGACATGAAATATCGTCGTATTTCTAGCGATGAAATGAAGCAGATGCTTCTTAGTATGAGAGATGATCATCGTTTCAAGGAACGTCCCAAGGAACACGGTGACTTCAAGAAAGGTAAGGATGGTTTCTGGTCGATGCCCCTTGGCAAGTTCTTGAACAATCATAACATTGAAACCATGTTGGAATATTGGTGCTTGGCTAATGAAAATCAACAAGATTATCATAGCAATGACCTTCAAAATATCTTGAACCGTCAACCTCGTAAGTTGAAGGAATACTTTGAAATTAATCGTGATCACTTCAAGCGCTTCAAGTAAACGTTTATCATGTCTTGATTTTTTTTTTTTTTTTTGTGATTAATAAATAAAGCATATTTTTTTTATGTTTGTAATTTTGCTCTTGACTTTTACATGTATATGAAATGAGACTTTTTTTTATGCTTATTCAATACAATTGTTTAAAATTTATACAAACACTATTATCCATTTGGTAATATGCTTTATTATATGTAAAATATATAAACTTAGATTATTTTCTATACAAAGTCCAGCCTTTTTTTTTTTTACTGCCTCCACATGGTTAATAATATAAAATTGGTGTTGATAATTGGTGGTTATTGGGATCTCTAATAATGTGAAATGACAAAATTTCTTTTCTTTTTTTTTTTGGTTGCTTTTACCATCCACGCTTAGCGTATTTTTCATTTTCAGATAATTCATCCAAATTAATACCAACCATGGCTTCACCAAGATCCTCTGAAACCTCGGCCAAAACCTTAGGATCATTATAATGAGTAACAGCTTGAACGATAGCCTTAGCACGCTTAGCAGGATCACCAGACTTGAAAATACCGGAACCTACAAAGACACCATCACAACCCAATTGCTAAATAAACGTACAAGATAAGAAATTAGTAAAACCAGAAATAGATATATAAATAGTCATATTATCAAGTTAACACGTAATAGGTTATTGTTTTTTTTTAAAAGAAAAAGGAATACACACACACACACACACTCACACTGACTCACTCACTCACTCATATAGATAGACACTTACCATCATAAGAGCAGCATCAGCAGGGGTAGCGACACCACCAGCAGCAAAATTAACAACGGGGAGACGACCGAGCTTGGCAGTTTCCTTAAGCAAATGATAAGGAGCTTGAATATCTTTAGCATAAGCATAGAGCTCTTCATCAGACATAGCAGCAGCACGACGAATTTCAGCATTGACAGTACGCATATGACGAACAGCTTCAACTACATTACCAGTACCAGCTTCACCCTTGGTACGGATCATGGCAGCACCTTCGTTAATACGACGAAGAGCTTCACCAAGATTCTTGGCACCACAAACGAAAGGAACCTTGAAGTTGTGCTTAGTAATGTGATTAGCATCATCAGCAGGGGTTAATACTTCAGATTCATCAATATAATCAACACCAATGGACTCGATAATTTGGGCTTCAACAAAGTGACCAATACGGACCTTAGCCATGACAGGGATGGTAACTGCTTCAATAATCTCTTTAATCATTTTAGGGTCAGACATACGAGCAACACCACCTTTTTTTTTTTTTTCAGTAAATAAAAAAAAATTTTTTTTTGTTAGTTATATTTCTCAAAAGGTTCTAATCTCTTGTTATTTTACCATTTTTACGAATATCAGCAGGAACACGTTCCAAAGCCATAACAGCACAAGCACCAGCTTCTTCAGCGATTCTAGCTTGTTCAGCATTAATGACATCCATGATAACACCACCCTACATATGATATCATCTGTTTAGGAAACTGTGTTTATTTATTTATTTTATTTTTTTTTATTCAGCAAACCTTTAACATTTGGGCCAAACCAGCCTTGATGCTGAAGTTTTGTGCTTCAGTGTTAGATTCTTCAACCTTGTTATTAGAGTGAAGGTTAGCAGGAACAGTAAAAGAGGCAGACATTTGAATATATAATTATAATAAAAGAGGAAAAAAAAAAATAAAAAAAAAAATAGAGGCAAGTCTTATAAAAAAAAAAAAATAGATGAAGATAATACAAAATCGGAAAGAATTGACAGAGTTGAATAACTTGAATAGGCTATTGGCTAAAGTTCACGTGATTGTGTGAAACATTTTGAAATATCTGAGTCATTTTCAAATATCAATTTTATGTCAATGTAAGGGCAAATGAGGAGATATTTTACTGTTTGCAACCACCAAAATAAGCTTTTTTTTATTATTATTTAACTTTATTTATTTCCTGTTCACCCTTAATTCATTATTGAGAAAAAATTATCTAATTTAAATAATAAATCTACATTCGATCTGCACTAGTAACAAAATCTCGGAAGAAGAAGAAGAAATAAAAGGCAATCTTTCTTCTTCTTTTGTTTGGATAAAAAATATGAACCAAACAAATTTCTTTTTTCTTTATGGGGCTTCATTATTTATAAAAATAAAAAAAAAAATTCCTTAATAATTTATAATAAATTGAGTCTTGACGAATGATAAAAAAGAGCTATAATACCTGAATCAAGAATATAAAATTCCTTTTAATTGGTAGAATATTGATAATAAAACGTAGTCCCTCATTTAAGAAGAAGAGATATCAACAACGTCTGTCACTGATTCGACACATATTATATACTAATTTTGTTCTATTTTCAGTTTAAATCAGATCAACTTACCTAACATATTATTGTTAATCTTCTTTAAAACCTTATCAGTCGTTCTCAGTGGTTTATTCTACAATACATACACAAATGTGTGAAACTATATCATTATAACATAATATCGAGTTATCATAGACTAATTATAGTCCATAATATATATGTATGTATGTATATAAAAATACACATTACTATATACATATGTATAACTACTATTGACAAGCATAGTTATGGATTTGTCGAGGGCTTAACTGTAGTATTTTCGGGTGAAATTAAGACTAATTAATTATATAAAAGCTGGATAATTTAGAACTATTTTTCAAGACATGTTTATCTATGCAAACCTAAATCTTTTGTTAGAAAAGAAATACCATATTCGAGATGAGCAAGATTATTGATCTTATTAACAAGAGAATCTAGAAGGATAATTTCCACCAGTTTTTATCTTGCAAAAGATTTAATAAATATTCTTAGCAGTATTACAAACACGCTGCCGTAGTACCCCCCCCACAACTTTTGCAAACAAAAGATATTATAATAGTCTATTATCTCAAATATAAATTTTTCCTTTTAAATATGAATGAAAAGTCTATTTGTTACAAGTTGCATTCATAGCAGCTAATAATTATTATGAAAGAACATATATAGTGTCTCGAATAGGCTCTTTGATTACTTCACATATTTATAATATATCCAAATTGTATGTTTGGTACCCCCCCTCTCTATACTATATTAGTTCGTATAGTGGGACTATCTATTATTAGGTAATCAATCCAATGCATGCAATATATCCAATAGTTATAATAATGGATAAATGCTTATTACAATTCATCTTGATTCATTATATACGATAATAACAAGTTTAATTTACGTGAATTATAGTTATGATGAATGGTGTCTTGAAATTGTTTATGACTGTATTTGTATTTAATACCAGCATAGTGTTTGAATATCTAGTTTAACTTATTATGTTTATTTTTTATTATAATATGTACAAATACAAAATCAGCTAGAAGCATGCATATATGACTTCTACTTCTAAAGATTGTTTAGGATTAGTTCAGAATACCATTTCTTACCGGAATAAATGATTACAAAAAATAAACTGGCACAAGATAATGTATTCCTATATCGCCTTAAAAGGCTAAAAACAAAGAAAAAAAAAGGCTTTTTTTCTATTAGTTTACAGAAAAAATAGAGCAAATCTTATAAAAATTCCTCTAATTGTCTATCTATTCTTCCTCTTTTAATTAAATGGTTACATAAGCCTACCTCTGAAATGTTTTAGAATGTGTAACTAAATATATGAATATATGTGTCTATATTTTTATTCTCTTTAATTCTATCCTTTATTTTTTTTTCTTTTTTAATTTTATTATAAAAGGAATTTAATCTCTGTTAACTTCTTTAAGCTAACTAAGTCAAACCAGCTTTTATAACGACTACGTAATAATAATAATAATAATAAAAACTGTTATATAATATATATCGGAGGTTAAATATTACTCAAACTTCTATCCTGGAGAAAACAGCATAAAATGATGAAGGTTTTTTAAAGTACGAAGTTTCGAAGAATAAAAAAAAAAAAAAAAAAAAAAAAAAAAAAAAAAAAAAAAGGCATACACTAACAAATACGTTTATTTATTATTTTTTTTAATTCTTTTGCTTCTCTTTTCTTCTTTTTTTTCTAAATAATAATACCTTTAAATATAGTATTTGGCTCATTTAGTTATGAATTCACCTAATGTATACCAGGAGCCACATTTATACGATCCGCCAAGTCAAGAATATAATGATCATGACAACGATGCGCAAGATCCAATGTTGCCCACCGTAGTTGCCAATACACTTTCAAATAACGATACAAGTAATAGCAACTATATTCGAGGGCCCAATAATACCATTAGAATTATTTTTCTTACATTATGTTTAGCAGGGTAAATATTTAACTGTGTTTAGTTTAGTTGTAGGAGAATACTAAGTTTATACTATTATTTGCTATAGACTTCAGTTTACATGTAAGACCAGTAATGATGGGATATAATGAGCAAAAATAAAAACAATATATAACTGACCTTTATATATGATGTAATGAACAGGGACCGTCGAAATGGCATATGGTAAATAATACATTTATATGAGTAAAGGAATCTTATTCAAGTATAAATTGCATACATGTATACATGTATATATGTCTGTATATAGGCACACCCTATTTACTTTCATTAGGGTTATCTAAATCATTCATGTCATTAGTATGGATAGCAGGTCCATTATCAGGTAAATTTTAACATATAATCAGAGACATATAATAGTAAACCGTAAAACAGGCTTAATTATGCAACCTATTGTCGGGGTTATATCTGATAGCTGTGAATCAAAATGGGGAAGACGAAGACCATTTTTAATAGGGGGAAGTCTTGTAGTTGTGATAAGCTTATTAGTGATAGGATGGACAAGAGAAATTACATGGCTGTTTACAAGACAAGAAGAAGGAGATACAGTAAAGAAATATGAAAAAAAAAATAATAAGCAATTTTTTGAACCTTTTTTTTTTCTCGCTATCTAGTTTAAACTAGTATCAATTATTATAGCAATTATATTCATTTATATACTCGATTTTAGTATTAATTGTGGTTTGTATATAAATCAAAAAAAGAAAAAAATCTTATTTTTTTTAAAAAAAATCTCTCTCTCTCTCTTTTTTTTTAGTACAAGCTTCTTGTAGAGCATTAATAGTTGATTCTTTACCTTCATCTCAACAAGAAAATGGTACAGCTTGGGCAGGAAGAATGGTTGGGTTAGGAAATGTAGCAGGATATTTTATGGGATATGCTGATTTAGTTCGTGCTTTCCCATTTCTCGGTAATACACAATTAAAGGTACTTTGTGTACTTGCTACGTTAGTGTTACTGGCATGTGATTTTATTACTTGCTATACTGTTAAAGAGAAAGCGTTTAATATGAATGATACAAATAGGTACTGTTTATTTTTTTATTTGAAACTATTTGACATTTTTTTTAACAAAAAAAAAAAAAATAGACAGAAAAGGGAAAATTCACCATTCACTTTATTCTCTGGTATATTTAAAAATATTTGGCATCTTCCTAAACCAATTCAAAGGATTTGCAATGTTCAATTTTTTGCATGGATTGGTTGGTTTCCATTTTTATTTTATTCAACTACTTGGGTTGCTGAAATATACAATGAAAACTTATTAGAGAATGAAGATGGGGAAGATAGAATAGGTCAAGCAACACGAGCTGGTTCTTTTGCATTTCTTGTCTATTCTCTTGTTTCATTATCTTCTTCATTTTTATTACCCTTATTCGTTACTTCAGTGTCCAAAGAAAAGAAGGATTCAAGCTGTACAATTCGATTATTTGGAAAGAAAGAGATCAGTTTAAGCTGGCTTGGTTTCTTTAAATTATCTTTTTTAACATTACCTCGTGCCTGGACGATAAGTCATTTTATATTCTGCATTTGTATGCTATCTACTTTTTTTGTGTCTGATGTTACAGCAGCTGCAGTTGTTATTGGATTATGTGGTATTAGTTGGGCTATTTCAATGTGGGCACCCTTTTCTTTGTTAGGTGAATATATAGTAGAGCAACAATCACGTATAGCTAAATATGGTTCAGAAGAAGAAGAAGAAAATGATACCATTCAATTCATTTATAAACCAGATATGATGGCTTCAAGGACAAGTTTAGCGGGTATTAGCATAATAGGAGCAGAGCCTGTATTATACCATCCTGTAGCGATTGAAGAAGAAGACATTCAAATGCTTGGTATCAAGCATCTTAATCAAGAACAACAACTTGGTCATAGCAGTAGCAGTAATAGTAATAGTGATAATGATAATGATCAATATGAAGAAACTTATCAAAACCAACAACCTCCAGCAGCAGGTGTGCTCTTAGGTATTCATAATATGTATATAGTTTTACCTCAATTCTTGGTTACTTTTTTCAGTAGTATTATATTTCGTATTTTAGAAAGTGGAGAAGATTCAAGAGATACGATAGGATTTATATTAAGAATAGGTGCAGTTATGGCAGGCATTGCAGGTTTTATTAGTTTAAAAATCGGAAAAGATGAATAAAAATATTATTATTTAAAATAATAATCCATTTCCTGTAATGTGGGTGATTGTTACACACAATGTTACATATTTAACATGTAGAATTTATATGCGTTTGTAGTCATCACTCCCCTCTACTACACTATAATTTAAACCCCTTCTCCCCCCACACTCACACCCTCCTCCTTTTTTATTTTATTTTATTTTTTAATTATTTCTCTTTTTTTTTTCTTTCATTTACATATTTCAAGATTATTCATTTATTTAACAAAATCATTTAACCAAGAATGGCCTTTCGATTTAATTGGCCAGAGTTTGACTCTGAATTTTATAAAGAAGCAACATTACAGCTTGAAACAGCTTTAAACAAGGGCAATAAGCCAAAGAATATTGTCGATCATATATCAGTAACAGAATTAAATATGGGCACAATAGTAATGATATTAAAGGATTATAGATAGATAGCATGCTTAATCATATAAATATATATTAGGCACCCGACTTGGAGATATTAGAAATTGGTGAACTTTCAACTGATAAATTTCGTGGTATTTTTAAATTAACTTATTGTGGTGATGCTTTTATCGTTATTCAAACAAAAGTTCAGGTAATATTTTTAATGAATAAATATGTTTATAGGTCACCTCATTTTTTATTTATTTTTTTTTTTTTCATGAATAGGCAAATCCGATGTATGCAAAAGAGTCCGATTTATCCCGATATACAAGACCTAACGTTCTAGCTGCAGACCAGCCTTTAATTGTACCAATGTTATTAAGGATTAGCGACTTGAAATTAAGAGGAATTATTGTATTAGTTGTATCAAAGACAAAGGGAATTACACTTGTTTTCAAAAATGATCCTTTAGAAAGCATCTTAGTTAGTTCAACATTTGATAGCGTTACTAGTGTACGTACTTTTTTACAGCATGAAATTGAAAATCAACTTCGAAATTTATTTCAGGAAGACTTACCTATCATGATTCATAATTTAAGTTTAAAACATATCCAAAGTGAGCAAGAGAGGGCTCAAAGGAAAGATAAGGATACTTTGTTATTACTGCTATCGAATAGAGCACGTTCTGTATTCTCTGATCCGGGCTTTAGTAGACGACAGGATTATAAATCAAATTGTTCTTCATCTGCTTCAACCGTCACAACTCCTCCTCCTAGACATAAATTATTGGATTTGCTATCTTTACCAGATTTATCTTCCCATCACTATTTTAACGAGACTCTAAATCAACCCACCTTTAGTGAACTTTATTTCAATGCTCAACAACAACAACAACAGCCATTTATAAATACAGCTGGTTCCTCGGATTTTGAACCAGTATCTTCATATACTCCTCAAGATAATGACTATATACCCTTAACAGCAGTTAATCTATCCGCATTAAATCCTCTCTACAGTAGTAATCAATATTCTGATTTAAAGACAGCAACAAACGAGAATGATGATTATAACCTGCATCCTTCAACAGATCCATCTCTATCCAGTCATTTACAAGACACCGTGTATTATGACTATTATCATTCAGAGGATCATGACGTAGACGCACCTTGGTACATTACTGAAGGCCCAGAATTACCATCACCAAAGGATTGTCACGATTCGTCTTCATTCACAATACCATTAGATGAAAAAATCATTTTGAATCCACAAGAAAATTCTGTAGCAGCTAAGCTGGCTAAGCTTGCTACCCTTCATCATTCCATTTCACCTTTTACTCCAACATTTCAACATTTTACTTTCCGTTCCTTACCTCATACACTTAAAGCTGATTCCGTTCACAAGATGGTAAAAAATAGTAAAAAGAGTCAGAGAAGACGTATTATTCGATGGAATACTACTATATGAACAACAGATGTATGTAAATAGAGACATTGTCAGTCAGTCAGCCATTCATTTATTCTATAATAATAATACATAATACATAATAATAATAAAATATACTGTATTTATTTCATTAACATATACATACACCTGTAATGCATGTATATATATAAAGAAGCAAATAAATATATAATAAGAAAGAAAACAAGAAAGGAAAGAATAAAAAAAAAATAAATGCTAAAAGTAACAAAGAAGAGAAAAAAAAATATAAACATACTTAATACATGTGTATATACGTACATATATCTATATAAATATATATGTATATCTATATAAGTATATATGTATATCTATATAAATATTTACTTTTTTTTTTTTTTTTTTTTTTTTGCCTATAATCTATGTTATAAGGAGGTATCCATTTGATTTTCAATCACTTTTGAAGAATTATTTTCTTCGCCATAACCAAGAAACCACCACCAAATGGCTTCATAACAAAATACAAATTGTCTTAACGTTTGTACCATACTTAGCCTTTGTTCTCTAAATCGAGATATGGTTTGAAGTAAAATGTCAGAGTCATAATTATCATCTTTCTTCATATTCCTTAAACGATACAAGACAGTATCAATAGCACAAAATGCTCCTGAACGTCCACAGCCAGCTGAACAATGAACAATCATTGGACCTACTTGATCAGTTAAACTTTTATCATAATCTGACTGAGTTTTGTCTGCCAGTTGAATGATCTGAAGTGTGCCCATTGGGTTATCAGGAACTCCGAAATCCATCCAGCCCGTATATTGCAAATGAGTTACCGTTCGACTCACGTCTCCCTTGGTTATGGTTAACTTTCGAATTATCATTACGTCATCCTCATGAGCAGTTTCATCTTCTTTTGTATTTATGACTTGTTGTATGTCTTCGCTCGTTAAAGTAATGGAAAACTCACCATATTGAGTAGGTGTATTTATGTCAGTTGGCCAATAGCGATGGCATTTAATCTTTATATGTGTGTACATGAATAAAAAATAAAATAAAAATAAAGAATAGGTATGATGTCATTGATATACATGGAATACTTTATATAAATATATATATATGTATATATTTACCTTGTTCATTTCTTCTTCTTTAGTTAACATCACCAAGACACGAGAATTTTGTTCCCAAACGACTTGCCAAAAATCATTAAATGTAGCTGGCAATGGGCCTTGAGTGGAAATATATCGACGATAAGGCTGTGTATTTTTATATGGACATTCTCTCATTATATTAACACATTTTGTATTCGTTCGATCTGGTTGAGCATCACTTGCAATTTCATCACTATCTATATACTGCACATAGCTTGCATTGATATAATCCGAGCATTTATTTTTACTTTCACGTAGTTTAACTCGCGTATATTCTAATAATATATTTATACAGGTAAGCATAAATATAAAAGTCTCCTTTTTTTTTCGCTAAATTTACCAAATGGCCAAATATTAGTATATCGATTTAATGCTCCCATTTCAATTCCTGCTACAATACTAAAAGGAAATTCATTCGGATCATCTGTATGTTTTGAATGAAAATGCATAATATTTTGTAGTCTTCTTTGTTCTGTTCTTTCAAGTTTCTATATTTGTATAAAAAGAAAAAAAAAAGGAGGGAAAGGGGAGGAGGAAGAATCGAATAATATTAAATAAAATATAAATAAAGGCCCTCTCCCCTTTCTCTTATTATACGTATAACTTACTTCATATGTCTCAGCTAAGATTTGTGCTCCATTTTCTCTTATAGTACGCTGTAACCATTCAGGTGCTTGGAAATATTTTTCTTCTTTTAGATGACCGCCTGCAACGCATCTAGGTAAACAATGATTACCGTATAAGACACGATCATGATTCATTGGATCTATGTTACACCTAGAGGGAAGTCTAACAGGAAATCTTTCACGAATCGGCCCATGTGATAGTTCCAGATTTTGACGTATATTAGAAAAGAAAGGATTAAATGCTTGATTTTCAAACTGTGGCATTGGGGCTGTAAAAGGACCTAATGGAGGCATACTATTTAATCTCAAATTGGGTCTTACTCCTCCATTTCCGTTTCCATTATTAACCATCTTAGAGGGTAACTTTAAAGAAAAACTATTTCCTACAATGGTGGGTGGACTAAAACTATTCTTAGGTGGTTGAGATGAAGTTGCATTAGATTCACAATTATCTTTAAACATACTTGAAAATGCGTCAAATCCACCTAATGAATAAATATATTAATATGTATATATATATTAAGTATACTTATATATACACATATATACCTTTCAAATAATATAATTTTCCTTTAAAGCCTGCTCGAACTAATTTAGCACCCAAGTAAGCAGATGCACTATTTTCCTGTAAAACTTCGGATTGTTGATCATAAAAAACAATATATTCTGCTGATTCCCAGGACTTCAATCTTTTACGAGCTTGATCCAAAACGATGGCTTCATAAACTTTATCAAGTGTGAACGTAGGTCTTTTGAGAATTGTATTAGGTATAGAAATATTGATAGAATTACAAATACGAGAATGAGAATATTGAACAAAAGAACGTACGTCTAAAACAAGTAATTGAGTCTTATTGTTTAAGAGCTGGTTTAAATTTGCAACGTCAATAGGTAAAACTTGATTATTATTATTATTATTATTACAAGTTGCTGTTGGTTGTCTACGATTTGAAAGTGCACCCATGTTTAAATTAAATACATTACTATTCATAGAAGGTGAAAGAGAAGTAGGTGTCAAGACCGTAGTTTGTGTTGCATGTCGAGCTTGAATGGCATTTAAAAATTCTTGGTGAAGTACAGGATTAATAGGTGCTGTATAATAAGGTGTATTGACTGCTGAGCTTGAACTTGTGACAGTTGCATTGGCTTCTTCTGTAGTAGTGTTGCTATTATTATTGTTCAAAATGGTCGGCATGTTCAGGGGAGTAAAATAAGCTTCATTAGATCCATTTCCTCGTGTAGGTGATTCAAAAGCTAAACTCATTTTTTTTATTATTATTATTATTATTTAAAGATATAATGAAATCAAAGAGAGAGAGAAGGGAGAAAAATTTGCTGTAAGTACTAATGTATTAAGTGCTCTTCAAGAAATATAGAAAAAAAATTAAAGAAGAAAAAGAATTTTTAGTTATAAATGGGGTTTATTTTTTTTATACTGTTTGAGTAAAAAAAAGGGAGGAGATAAAATTTAATTAGTCAAATGTACCACAGTTTTTGAAAAAAGTCATAAAAATTATGTCATAGGTAATCCAGAACCTTGATTTATATTATGTTTTAATTGGGCGGTTTTATATTTTATCCTTATAAGCCTATTCCCTTGCATACATAAGATAAATTTATGATGGTACCCTTTCTTAAATAGGTAAAGACACGCAGTAAATCATAATTGCTAGATGATGATCTTCATCTTAAACTCTAAGAATAATGCAGGTGGCCTCGGATTAATAATGTATTATTACATTACAACGATAATATATTTTTTTTTCTTTTTAAAATTTGTAGGACAGAAATTCTCGGTTGAGTTTAAATTATAGTTCATATTTTACAAACAGAAACAGGTACAATACAGTACGGCTGGTAAATATTGCTATTTTGCCAAAAAAAAAAAAATGCCACCAAGTCAAAATCTGGTTATCAGTTTGGGTAAAAATGACTGTCGCTTTCAAAAAATCATATTGTCTATCCCCAAAAATCATAATGGAGAACTTTGGCCAACTGATACAAAGTTCCAACTTGACCAGACAGACTGCTTCTCATTTCAGATAATTAGCTATTAACCTTGAGCCTATTCGTTACTGTAGAGTATATTTTTGAAACGAAACGGTATACTTTTACTGTGTGTCCTGTGCCAATTGAAGTTTTTTTTTTTTTTTTTTTTTTTTTTTTTTAAAGAAAAAAATTTAGCTCACGCTTTTGAATATCTATCCCAATTGGCGCTTTTCTCATAATCCAATTTGCGTTTTCGACCAAAGGTTGCATACACACCTTAGTTATAGGCTATATTTTACTAGAATAAATGCATTATATAATCACGGGTAATTAGATACGATTATTTATACCAGCTAGTCCTCTGAGTTCTTTACTTGGGTAAATTCACCATTATATAGTTATCTATACATCCAATATGATATGTATAATAATTAGCAATGTCTTCAATACAAAAGTTATGGATAAATATCATGATAATATAGATCTATTGGGTACATTAACTATCTTCCCGTGCAATCCTAGATTTGTCAGATCAAATAGTAATTTGGTGACCCTGTTATCAAATGTCTATAAACCCTTTGTATTCTGTATCTTAATAAGATCATCTCAATTTTAATAATCAACTAGTCTGAATAATATCTTTGGTTTTTGGTTTTGTAAATCGTCTGGGTTTAACACCAAAATAAAAAAATAAAAAAATCAGATACTCAGAATAATTGGTGGAATGCGAAATGATTATCTAATCTATGAACTGACCCCACATTTGAAAATTGTACAATATTAATATATTATATATAATAAACTCTTTGGCTTTATCTTCTAATCCGTACAATCTACACTATGAGATGGTTGTGGTCCTACAACAGCTGTTGGTCTTAAATACTGAGTGATGTTCATCCCCCCCAATCGAGTTGCTCCCACCTTTGCAAAAACTTCTCTGTAAACTATTTTATAAGTTCTAAATAACTTCCTAATTATCTTGCCTGACTGATGCTGTTAATATATGACATCATATAAAACCTACATGGATTATCAAAACCATTTAGTTTAATATGCGGTAATGCCTCTTCCACATGGTGCTATAATACTACTCAATAACTTTTAAAGAGCTATCGCTCTTTTCAGATGCATTTATGAAAAAATGTGAACACTTCATTTTGCAATAAAACTTAAATATGAGAAACATAAAATTGCTTTAGGGGTGAGTCTGACATATAAAAACGAGATAAAAAAAAGGGTAATCATAGGAGGGGGTAACATTATGTGGGATTTGGTTAGAATAATCGTCGACGGGCATGCTGTACAGCAGGATCATTTTTATCTAGATTACGTTTACTGACCTTTATAATAATTGGTGTGTGCATTGAGACAATACTGTCCAAAATACGAGTGGCAGGTAGAGGACGATTTCGTAATTTCACTGCAGATGAATGAACAATGATTTGTAACTTTTGGAACAAAGGAAATATCGGTAATAACTGATGCATTTGGTAGCAATCACTAGGAAAATTGACTGTTTTAAGCAGTACAACACGGTACATCCCATCAAATACATGATCCATACAATATACATGACAACGATTCCCTTTCATGAGAATACCAGAAACGATAACATTAGAATAACCATTATTATGTATTGCTTTTATGGAGTCTTTCAGCTCCCTACATAACTTTACTAATTCATTTACATGCTTGGTTTTGTTTGATTTTGCTTCTAACGATAACAGAATATGACCAGATTTATTAGAAACAACTGTGAAATCAGCTCTTTTACCATGGTTCTTGAGTGATGGATCTAATCTGGTAAATCTCTTGGAAGAATCAGAAATCATGGCATCAGCACCAATTGACTTAATCAGTGGGCTGTTTGGAAAGAAGTATCTAAAAAAGACGTCGATTGTATTTCGGACAAGAGTTGATTCATTTGATTGATCGGCAGAATAATCTGTACAATAAATATTCGTCATATCGTATAAAACTCTACAAACAGAAGCATCGTCCGGATGTTCATTCTCGTGCTCTTTGACATATTTCTGAATTGCAGTGATATCAATATTTCTTGTAGCAAAATCGTTTGCAAACTTAATGACTAGCTCATTCTGAGATTTCTTCATATAAACACTTTTAAATTCATCAACTTGGTCAATATCATTTAAAATAGATTGCACTTCTTCGTAATCCACAATATCAGTATTTACAAATCCATTGTCAATTATCATTATTCCATCCAAAGCCAGATGTTCGTGATCATTCAAATTTTGCAAATCTTCAGCTTTACTAATAGCAACATCCCGATAATTAAAGAATGCTTGAGAGACATCATAATCATTCACCAGCCATCTGATAGAGTTTTCCTTTTTGAGTTTGTACTGATAAGTTTGTCCATCATGGATGAGGTACTGTTTAGCTTCAGCTTCGTCTACAGCAACTGAGCTACTTGATGATGGTGTTGATTCGCGGCTCCGATATTGAGATCCTTCACTCTCTTCACTATCAGACGATTCTGCTGCAAAAACATCGGCGTAATTTTTCACCTGTCTCATTGTCTGTTGGATCTCTGCGGCTTTCAATTTTGATCTGGTGAGTTTTACCGACTTAGCATTCCAATAGTCCATAAATGCTTTTTGTTCTAAGATCTAATAAAGATTTTTAGAGCAAGCCTTAAATACTTGGTAAACATTTTTCATACCTCATAGTTATCGTTAATAATAGTATTAGCAAAGGCTCTAGCCTTTTTTGCTGATTCTCTCTTATCTTTGCTATCTTTGATACCCTCTACGAAAAGCTTGAAATTGGCAATTGCTGAATGTTTAGTTGGACAACGTTGCGTATCCAAGAACTTGGTTATGTCGAATAACTTATATGATGCATGTTCAGAGAAGTATGTAAAAAGCTCTCCCATTATAGCAGATTATCAGAGTATTTATTCTTTTTGATTGATTTGACTTTGATAGACTGATTTGGAGTGTAAACCGACAAGCTGGGAGTTATAACGGACAAGTTGTGTACAAGTATTGTCGCGAGTTTAAAAGGGACGAACTTGAATTTCTCTGCGGGGTACTACAATTTTTAAAATTGTCTACGTCATCATAAATGAATCGCTTACGTTTCAAAATTTAAATGAACAGATAATACTGCAGACTTTCACAAAATAAAAATCAGGCTTTATCTTTCATTAACGATTGTTGCTAATTACCCGTTCGAGTCTGCCATAACTCGTGTATTTCATTCTTTTTGAAGAAGGAATATAGTTGTAAGTGCTTTGACCTGGCCAGTAAATTGGGTGATTCCTTTTTTACACCTTACAACGACGGTATTCGTTACTCCCCCTATCATTGGCGCTTTTAGAGGTAGTTAGCCGACAGGGAATCGTTTCAAATGTATTAGCAACACTGGAGCCTCTTTTCTTTAGGAGATCAAGGTTAGTCAGATTGAACAAATCTATTAATGCCATTAACTAATGTTTCTTTTTTTTTTTTTTCTTTAATGCTTATATCCAACTCCTTTGTTTATTGTTGCTAATCACCCGTTCGAGTCTGCCATAACTCGTGTATTTCATTCTTTTTTGAAGAAGGAATACAGTTGTAAGTGCTTTGACCTGGCCAGTAAAATTGGGTGATTCCTTTTTTACACCTTACAACGACGGTATTCGTTACTCCCCCTATCATTGGCGCTTTTAGAGGTAGTTAGCCGACAGGGAATCGTTTCGAATGTATTAGCAACACTGGAGCCTCTTTTCTTTAGGAGATCAAGGTTAGTCAGATTGAACAAATCTATTAATGCCATTAACTAATGTTTCTTTTTTTTTTTTTTTTTTTTTCTTTAATGCTTATATCCAACTCCTTTGTTTATTGTTGCTAATCACCCGTTCGAGTCTGCCATAACTCGTGTATTTCATTCTTTTTTGAAGAAGGAATACAGTTGTAAGTGCTTTGACCTGGCCAGTAAAATTGGGTGATTCCTTTTTTACACCTTACAACGACGGTATTCGTTACTCCCCCTATCATTGGCGATCTTAAGGGATAGTTTGCTGAGAGGGAATCGTTTCGAATGTATTAGCAACGCTTTACCTTTCTTTTAATGCATCGACAAGAAGTTTTGCAGGTATATTTAACGCGATTTATTTGCGGATACAGCATGTGCTTTGTTAATCTAACATATGTAATAAACTATTGGCTGACATGTCATTACCTAAATTAAATGAAAAAAAAAAATATTTTAATCAGAATCTTATACTTGGTATTCTAGGTATCCTCTTCAGTATTTACTTTAAGAATAGATATAAATAAGACTAGCTTTTATGGATATTTGCTGGATAGGAGATATGATTATAAATATTACTTTTTTTTTTTTTTTTTTTTTTTTTTTTTTTTTTTTTTTTTTTTTTTTTTTACTATACAGAATTGTCATCACAAATATAAGTTTTAACAAAACATTTTACATAAATATGAGTTATATTTTGCATATATAAAGAAAGTTCGTATTTTTGGACTTAATAATAGTATTATCATCCAAATACAATCATTAAATGAGAAATACAATTATTCTAAAATCGAAAATTTTAAGCAATTGTGCCTGGAATATATTTTGTTAGTTTGAGCAACAAGTAGAAGTCAAGATTTGAGAGTATCTATGGATTTCTTCAGTATTTGTAATAGCTTGAGAATTACTTGTTATAAACTTGTCCAAACACTGAAAAAGTACAAAATATCGATGTGTGTAAAGAACTTCTTTCGAACTTATCTAAACGTGCAGGCATAGCGCTTTTGTATGAAAACATTTTTATCATTAGTGCATAAAAGGAATAGCAAATAGCAAACAACTAACAAATCATTGCTATATATCTAATATCTTCAAGTAAATAAAAGCAAGTCATACAGTAAACTATAATATAAATATGTATATGCGATCACTAGTTTAGATTGTTTTTGCAAGTAAATTAAATAATATTATGAATGGTTTCAACTATTCTTAATTTACATACCAAATGCCAGTACTATTGCAGGTTATTTTGTTGTAAATTAGCATAATATTCTAGTCGACATAAAATTATCAACTGCTATAGCAGTGTGATGTTAATAACGTTGATTAACTTTACGACTCCCTTGTTTTTTCAAATCTTAATATGTATATAAATCCAAAAAGAAAAGAAAAGTTTGGAATTCATGAGTACTTGGTAGCAAGTCCTTATAGGATTCACTTTCTTTTATCACTAATAAGAGGCAAAGTAACTAAGTTATCAGCAGATCAATACAAATTAAAATTGAGTCTGTAAGCAAAAGTGATAATAGATTGTATCTTGACTCATTAAACACCCTCTAAAATGAAGTAACTTTTTAATCCATTGTAGGTCTCGTTAATTGTTCGTTGTTAAAAGGAATTTTAATACCTTGTATTAAACTGGAAATATGTAATAGTACTTTGACTACCATTGATTCAATTATTTATAAATGATTGAACAAAAAGAAAAAAAAAACCCTCCCATCAATGGTTAATTGATTTGATAAAAGGGCTTGTCTGATTTATATCATCCCCAGGTATGTGACTTTTTCAGCAATTTGTAGTAAGTGAGCAATTCTTCAAGTATCTCCAAAATAATCTTTTTATTGAACCAAGCTGTAGCAATGTAAGCCTTTGTATACAGAATGTATTTAAACATAGCAGCTATTGCAGTTCTATTGTATATGTAAAAGGACTGTATGTCATTTCATTCTTTCAAAATTGTTGGTTAAGGTTGTTTACAACACCTTTCGTGAAGTATAAAATGCTTCTTATCTAGTAAAGATTACCAAGAATGAATAACTCGTCATTACAAAGCAACTTTTCTTTGGACTATGCTTTATAACCCTATTACAAAATGAGTTAAATAGCCCATCTACTCTTTACAATTGTTATAAATTTCATATTCACGTGAATTTTTTTTTCCTTTAAATACAATCATCAAAAATAGGCTTACAAATACTTCTTCATAATAATTTTAGTAATTTCATGATATTCACATTCAGCTAGGTTATGGCTTGTACTTGATTAGTAAGTTATATCATTATAAAACTAAATAGCTTTTCTCACACAAAGTTTAAGCCCGTGAAAATTTGATATTATTTTACAATATTAAGATAAGCAGGAAGGAAGGGGATGAATTACTACGTCATACGTAAGACTGCCCAACATTCAATACCTTTGAAAAATTATCTATTCTTTTTATTAATCAATCCCTGAATATTATGCTTTTTTTTTTCTACACTGGGTCACTGTGATCCAGTTATAGCAGGATATGAAGAGGCTTTTTTTAGGGCCTTAGTGTTGGTGATATGTATATCTTGCCACTTTTAAGTGAAAAGAAGTATTTATTTTCAAATAATGTCAGCAACGATATGAATCATACTGAGCGAAATATAGGTACATGGCCGACTCATATATATTTCCATCTTCATCTATCAATATTGAAATATATGCTAGATATATTGAGGCACATCTATATTCCTTGTTATAACTGGAAATTACTATAAATACCAATGAAATAGCTACCTTTGACTTTTGCTTAATCATTGTGTTTATAAAAAATGAGTTAATAGATTAAAATAAACGATGTTAATGGCTGTAAAAAAGTATATCTAGCATAGTATATTCTTTATATCTCTTGTAAGTAAAATATAGCTTTTTTTTTCTTTTTTTTTATCAGATTCAACTTTCAAAACTAGACTACATTTGGTATTCTTTCTTCTCTTATTGCTATTGTTTCATATATATTAGAAGGGCTGAGGATTACAATAAAGATTAGTCCAGTACGATAAGGTGAATACAGTAAAAACACCTTAATGTGTGTTTTCGCTTTCTTTATGATTTTTGAAAAAAATAAAATAAAGTAAAGTAAACCTACTTGAAAACAAGAGGAAAAGAAATGCAAGTTTTTCAGCTATTAATTTAGATGTGTAAACATGACATATGTCTTAACGATGATTTGATATCCTTATCAGTTCTTCTTGACAATACAGATATGTTTATTTTTTTTTATCTAGAGACAATATTTAATATTTGCTTTAGTTTGTTTACCATTTTTAATTGTTTTTTGCTGTAAAAATCTAAAGAAAAGAAAATATGAAGATAAAAGACTAATTTATGAAAGCATTGAATGGTCGATTAAAATTTTTATATTACAAGAATTGCGCAAACAATATAGGATGCTAAATTTTCTTTTGTATATAAGATGAAGGTTATTGTTTGCAATAGAAATTCTAGCGATCAAGCCACTGGTACAATATAGAAATGATATTTCTCCAAATATTCCTATAACAAGATATTTTCAGCTTTCTTTTAAATGTCAATGAATATTGAATGTTCGAGCTATAGCACCACCAGCTATTTAATATCACTATCATTATCATCGTGAAATAATATCATATCCATTCATGGTTATCATACTATAAATAAATGTAGTTTTTTTTTTTTTTTTTTTTTTTTTTTTTTTTTTTTTTTTTTTTTTTTTTTTTTTTTTTTTTTATCTGATTTGTTGTAGCTATTTTACTACAAAGGTGTGATTCTAATATTATACTTTTCAACAGATATTGCTAAAATTTGCAACCTATAAAATTATTACTTATAACTTAATACACAGTCAATTTCCTTTTATTTTGTATCATGTGAAATTCACTTTGACTATTTGACTTACAAAACCCAATTATGAATTCCATAAAAATGTATGATAACTCAAAGACCCACAAATTCATGAAATCAGAGCTTGTTTAACTCTATAAAGACTACAAATCATGAGGCCAAAAAGGACGTAAATTTAGTTTCACATAGCACAAAATAAGGAAAAATACAGTGCATGTCAGCAACCGTCATCCAAATTTGGACTTTTGAATCTTAGTCAAATATATTTAATTCTGTTTTCTATTTTATTTCATTTTTTTTTTCGTATTTTGTTTTATTTAGAAATATAGATACATTATTTTTTCTTTGAAAATGACAAATATCCAAAATAGAATTCAAGCTATTAAGCAACAGCTTACACCAGAGCAAGAATATGCCATTGCTATTGAGTATGTACTAGTATATTAAATCTTTTTTATTTATTTCTTAATGTAATAAATAAATAAATAAACAAACAAACAAAAAGTCCTATTGCTAGTATGAATGAAGAAAGGGCGAAAGCAAGTTTTGATATTCGGTCTTTAACATTTTTGATGGATGGTGGATCTAAAATGACCGAGGTATGAAAAGAAACTTTACTAAGTTTATTAAAATACAACTTTGACATTTTTTTTTTTTTTTTAAAAAAAAAAAGTTGAAAGAAAGAATCATGCTGGAGTTAGAAAGAGATCCTCTGTTTAAAATGGATGATATTCATGATATTTCTAAAGCAGAGCTTCGAGAACGTACAATGGAAAAGGTACAAAAAAAAAAATAAAAAATAAATGAAAGATTAAATAAAAGAGGTTAATAGTCCTTTTCTCTTTTTGTAAGTTTCGTAGTCTGTTATATCATCTTCAAAACGAATCTGTTGAAACATTTAAAAAGAGAATGGAAATTGTTAGTTTAATTGATCCTGGTTTTTGGACTCGATTTGGTGTTCATTGTAAGTCCTTGTTATATCAAATTGTTATTATTATTATTGATTTTTTTAGTAAATACATGTACATGAAAAAAAAAAAAAGATGGATTATTTATTGGCGCTTTGCAGAGTAACGCTTCATCGGGACAGTTAGGTTATTGGTTTCAGAAAGGTGCTCTCTCTCTCACAAACTTTGTTGGTTGCTTTGCTATGACAGAATTAGGACATGGTTCTAATGTTCCAGGACTTGAAACAACAGCTATATTTGATGAAGCTTCAGATCAATTTATTATTCATACACCTACAATCACGGCTACAAAGGTATTTATATAATATATTTATATTATTATAATAAAACTTAAACGTATTTATCATATTCGTCTAGTGGTGGATTGGTGGTGCTGCACATTCAGCTACTCACGCTGCAGTCTTTGCACAATTAATAGTTAAAGGAAAAAGATATGGTACAAAGTGTTTTATTGTCCCATTAAGAGACCCTAAAACGTATGATTTATTACCTGGAGTCAATATTGGTGACATTGGTAAAAAGATGGTAATATATATTTGTATATTTATATAAAGTAGTGAATAGGACCAGCAAATCTAAAAGTTTTGATAGGGTAGAGATGGTATTGACAATGGTTGGATTCAATTCACAAATGTTAGAATTCCTCGAGGATATATGCTTCAAAAGCATACAAAAGTCTCAAGAATAGGTCAAGTAAAAGAGCCGAAACTCCAACAATTGGTAATTTAAAGAAGAAGAAAAATGTTTCTTTCCCTTTTTCTCCTTTCCCCCCCCCTCGCCCCTCCCCACCTTTTTTTTTTTCATTCAAGTAAATTAAAAATTATAATAGACATATGGCGCACTTTTGCAAGGTCGTGTTACGATGGTTGCAGATAGTGGTCATTTCTCTAAAAAGGCCCTTACGATTGCAATTCGGTATGCTGCTGTACGTCGTCAATTTGCTAGCTCAAATGCAAATGGCATTGAAACTAAACTTTTAGATTATCCCATTCATCAACGTCGCTTGATGCCCCTATTGGCTCAAACTTTTGCCATGCTTTTCACAGGCACAGAAATGACAGAGATGTATAATCAGATGATGGTCAGATTAGAGAGTGCAAAGGAAAATGATCCAGATATGGATGAAGTCATGGAGATCCTTAAAGAAACTCATTCAACAAGTGCTGGTTTAAAGGCGTTCTGTACCTGGAATTGTTTGAATACAATTGAGGCTTGCCGACAAGCCTGTGGTGGTCACGGATATTCAGCTTATACAGGATTGGCCCAAATGTATCAGGATTTTGCTGTTCAATGTACATGGGAGGGTGATAATACAATCTTGACTCTTCAGCTGGGCCGCTATCTTATCAGTAGTTATCGAGAAGCTCTTAAAGGTAAAAAACTTTCTCCTGGTGTTGGTTATTTGAATAAATTGGATCAATTGATTGGCAAGAAATGTCAAGCCAAGGCACCTCAAGATATCTTAACTCCTGATATCATTATTGAAGGTTGGCAAGTTGTATGTGCCAATGTAGTTAAAAATGCTGGACTTGAGTTTGAAGAATGTCTAAAGAAAGGGATGGATGTTGATGATGCTTATGAACAATGCTGTAAATATTGTATATATATATATATACATGTGTATATGTATACTTACTTATTTTTCTTCGGAATATTATATTGTATAGCTCAATCTCGTCTTTATGCAGCTAAATTACATTCGTTTAGTTATCTTTTCAATCGTTTTGCCGATGGTGTTTCCAAAGTTACAGGGAATATTTATGATGTTCTTACTAAAGTTTGTCTTTTATACGGTCTTTATTCTATTGAGGAGAATGCTGCAGCTTTCTTGGAATATGAATACTTCACACCTAAACAAATCGAGTTCATTCGTAGTAAGGTTAATACCTTCTGTAAGGATGTTCGTGATCAAGCAATTCCTTTAGTGGATTCATTTAATTTGACCGATTATATCATTAACAGCCCCTTAGGTCGTAAAGATGGTAATGTTTATGTTCATTACTTTGATCAGGTTAAGCGTTCAAACCCTCAGGGTAAACATCCCTATTTTGATCGTCTTATCAAACCATTAATTGGACGTGTTATGTCTGAAGAGGATATTGAAGATGAGGAGGCTGGCTTAGAATCAGAAGATGAAGATGAATAAATAAATAAATAAATAAATACTATAAATAAATGATAGTTTTATTAATTTAACATGTAAATTGAAGATTAACATCAATAGGATGAGAAGAACTCAGTTGAGGTCTTTGAGAATATTTATCACGTAAGATGTCACGAACACTATTCAACAATTCTTGATAAGATTGATTAGGATTATTTCGAAGTGATTCTATTAAAAAAAAAAAAAAAAAAAAAAAAAAAAAAAAAAAAAAGAACGGAGAGAAAATTAGATACTATTATATAAAGAGAAGGTTAATATTTACTTGTAAAAGCATAACTCATGGCTCCTGTAGCTCTTCCAGCTTCATTAGCATCTGCAGAAGTTTGATCATCTTTACATCCCGAAAACATAACCACATCAGCAGGAGAAAAGTTTTTACGCTTTGATTCATTAGAGATATTATGAATTTCAAATAGTTGTTTACCAAGGGACATGATAGATGATAAAGCACCATCTCTGTCACCTTGTGCATACGCAATACCAGCCGAGAGGAGACCTTTACCTGCATGTTTAAATAAATTACTGTCCTTGATTTCTCCTTTAGTAGAATAAACAAAAGGTAAATCTAAAACAGTGCCTGAATGGCAACTATCGAATATACAAGTTAATCTACACTTGGCAGGTAAAGGCTTAACAAGTAAATTATGCATTTCCTAGACAAAAAAAAAAAAAAAAAAAAAAAAAAAAAAAAAAAAAAAAAAAAGAGGGGGAAGTTATAATTTGTACATAGATTTATACATGTATACATTTACATCATCAGTAATCTGTCCTGAATCTCCTTCATACTTTTCAAAATCCACTGGATAAATTGTTTCATCAAAGCCATCGTCTTCATCACTATGTACATCGGCTACTCTACCTCCATGGCCACTATAATGGAAAAAGAAACTACATATAATAATTAGATTAGATATAAATATATGCATAATTTTTTAAAAAAAAAAAAAAAAAAAAAAGTTTTTTGCTCAGTATCTTACGAGTCATCTGCTTCAGCATCATGAACTAGCCATTGCATAGCAGCAATGATATTGCTACGAGTAGGTCTAAATCTCTCCTCTTCTTGATTATCTGTCAAGATAACCATATCCTCCTATTTAATCATTCATTTTAAGCAAATTGCTAAGGAATCTAACTATCTAGCTCAAAAGTTAATTATTACCTCACGAAAACCATATAAAGATATAATAAAGTTTTTGATATTTTCAACATCATTAATACAACCTTTATAAATGCAAAAAAAAAAAAAAAAAAAAAAAAAAAAAAAAGGATGAAAAATTGAGCTCTCCCTCCTTTATAATTATTATTATTAGATTTCTTACCATTCAATTCATTGTTTGTTCCAGTATAATTTATACCAACAAGTAAAGCTCTTTTTTTACCACGACCTAAAGTACACAAATGTTTGTGTAAAATTTCCGATAATATTTTTTTTTCTATTTTTTTTCAAAGAAAAGAAAAAGACTTACAGTTGGAAAGTTCAAAATCAGGCATATTGTCTTTATCAACATTAGGATCAACGTGCAAATAGAACTGATTTCCAGGCTCATTTTCAGTATGGTGTATTACCATACCACCATAGGGAACTAATACAATGTAATATATATGTTAGTAGTTTGTAAACAAAATAAAGTTTAGGGCAGGGCTTTTTTTTTTTATAGTACTTGGATTAGGGCCAGGATTATATTTTGATTCTGGTGGTTGTGGATAATTTGGGTTAGGAGAATTATAATCTTCTTGAGAAAACACTGGGTCATAATTATCGCCTGCACCGTTTGAAAAACGTGGATATCCGTAATTATTGCTGTTATCAAAAGTGGACTATTAATTAAAGCAAAGATAAATAAAATACATAATTAAGCAGATGAAAATAACTTTTTACATTCTCTCTGGTATAATAATATGAATTATTTTGATTACTGTTATATTCATCATCTTCCTGATATCCTTCAGGAGGATTTGGGTATCCGTATTCAGCCATTTTTTTTTTTTTTTGTTGTGTAATAGAGAGGAAAAAAAAAAGAAAGAAAGAAAGAAAATAAGTTTTTTTTTTTTAAAAAAAAAAAAGGGATAATATACAATTAAATATTTTTGTTTCATTGAATACAATTTTTAAAACCCATTTGAGTATTTAATAGTAAGTATACTTTTTGAACTTGATTACCTTCACCATAGTAAAATCCCGCATTCTACTGGTACTGACTTGATCAACTGGTTATGCAGTAATTGATCTAGTACTTGAAGATACTCTTTTTTTCTTCATTTTCCCTTCTTTACACTTTTTCCCCTTTGATCACCAAAAGGTTTTTTAGTTTATTTTTTTTTCCCTTTTTTGATCTGACTCAGGCAATACTATTCTATTTTAAAAATTTTATTCAATAAAATAAAGATATTTAATCGTAATGAAGCTTCTTATTGCTCCCTTGTTCTATATTTAGTGGCCACTGTCATATGCCAAAGTATATTCTTAGTAGAAAAAAAAGAAAAAGAAAGAAAGATCAGATTATATCTATCACATAGTAATACAAATAGAATTAAACTATTTGTACTATAGGATAAAAATATTACATAAAGGTATTAGTTTGTTTCGTTGTATTATCATCAAAAAGGAATGGAAGCACGTCTAAAGAATTATATATTAGAATATAATTAAACTTAGATAGAATATTAACTTTACTTTGCCAATCAGAGTCATTATGAAAAAAGGGTGTTGCAGCGGAAGAAAATAATGTTTGCCATACAGTTGAAGTAGGAGCTGGCATATTATTACTTTGTTCCATTATAGGAAAGCGACCTTCTTCTACTTGTTGGCTATTACTGCTTTGTTGCTGCTGTGTAGTATCATCACAAATGATAGCATGAACACTCATAGGTGATGTATAGTGTTGAGTATAATTGTCAGGTAGTAAATTAGTAGTAGAAGATGGAGACTTTGTACTAGTCATTGTATAATTAGGTATGTTATTATTCATTACGGGATTATCATTTATAGTGTCATTAGCTCCAATAAGTTGCATTAATACTTGTATTAAGGGTACAAAATATTGAGGTGCATTAGCTACTCCAGCAGTCATTGGCTCTAAACATTCTTTTATACAAATTTTCACATATTCTCTTGATAAATTTACAACCTCAGAGGAATTACTAGTACAATTATAAATATGAATAAGACATGCCTGAGTTATAGAATAGACTATATATACAATACGGTTATTATAACATCAATCATATAGATTTATATTTATATTGATATTTACGTGAAAGATTCCAACCAAAACGAATAATATCATCAGATGAAAGAAGCCTTGCAATATCAATAATCATCTTTGCAGATTCAATACAACGTTTATTAGCCTCATCAAGAAGTACGGGTAATACATCTTTCTTATCAACTACTAAAAATACACGATAAAGTAAGATAGTTACAGCATAATAAGTTATCATTAAAGGACCAGCCTCTCGTATTTTGTTTGACATGATCTTGTTATTATAAAGTGTTTCTACTTCTTTTGAAGTAAAACGATGATGATCAGGTATCTCTTGTTGTAGCCAATTATTTAGCATCGATTGAATATTTTGTACAGTATAATAAAAAGATGTGCTTTTATAACCTTGAGACTTGGCTTTAGGTGAATAAATTCTTCGTAATATTTCACCAAGAATACTGGAAAGTTTAATAAAATGTATAAAAATAGAATAATCCTTATTGCCATGTGAGCCACCTTTTATATGAGGTAATTCAATATCACAATCCGCATCTGCTATAGCTAATGGTCTACCTAATACAGCACATGTCCATCTATCAGTTACATAAACACAATACCATAGTCGTTTACGAGCTTCTAACATGTCTTCTGTAAATGGTAATTTTTCAACTGTTCTATGAAATCCAAGTCCTTGAGCCTAATCCATGTTAAAATAGGATAGCTAAATTATAGAATATAAATACTAACCATTCTAACAGCCATCCCTGATCTTATCCAATGTTTACATAATAGTTTGTCACAAGCTGGTATAGTACATAACAAGATAAGAGCTTGAATAGTTGTACGTCTTGGTATAAAATATTCTTTCTTTACTAAACTTGTAATATGATCTACTAGAGTTTGAAATAATTCATTTCTATCTACATTAAAAAATTTAAATATAGGATCATCTATAGACAATGAAATACAAGTATGAATGCAGATAGCATATATAAGAATAGAAGGAGGAGGAGGTTGTATTCTGCCTTCAAAGGCATTCATAAAAGGTTCTTCGTCGACAATAGGTAAAATAGCATGATCCATTTGAAAATATTTCATAATCAATTCTTTTACTAAAGGTTGAGGTGCTATATTTGGGTCCAAATTTAACTTATCTGACTCTAATTGATTTACACGTTCATCAAGAGTTTTATCGCGAACAAACATGATATCATCATCTACAACGTTAATTTTACGGAATTTTACAGGGCCTATAACTCCATCATCTATTACATATGTAGAATCCCTTCTATTTAATGGTAACGGTTCCTCATTTTCATTTGTAGAAGAAAGAATATTTTTAACCAGATAATAACCCGATGAACTGCCAAGATAAGTTGCTACTTTACTATTGTATTCATCCGATTTGGGCGGCATTGTTAATATCTTTTGTTTCAAAGGTAACTTTATAACTTTATCCTGAATAACTTGTTTTGTTGCTGGGTTAGTTTCAGGTTGAATTTTTTCTATTAATTCTTCCATTTTTCTAAGACGATTTTCGAGACTTTCAATATAACTATTGCGTACATGTATAAATAATGAGAACCTCTAAGCAGAGAGAGAGAGAGAGAGAAAGAGAAAAAAAAAAGAACATTGTATTACTTTACCCTTTTGGAGGACCTCTTTTTTTGGTCACCTTTTTTAAATAAATAAATAAATAAAATCAGTATTATTGTTATAAGCTTACATCATTAAAGGTACATTCCCAGCCATACTGTTTACAAGTATTACATTGATGTGTATTATCTATATTACATCTGAAATAAACAATAGGTTTAATTATTATTATTATTAGTATTATTATTTATTTATTTATTTATTTATTTATTTATTTATTTATTTATTTATTTATTTATTTTTTTTTTTTTTTTTTTTTTTTTTTTTACTACTCGTAAATACTTGCTTTATTTTCTTTTTTCTGCATAGATCACCTAATTAAACTAATCAATATATTTATATGAATATGTACCTACATATTTAAATAAAAATTAAAACATACATGCTCTTGTAATTCTGGATCGTTTTGTTTTTGCTGATAAAGAATAGTTATCCTGATGTAAAGCTAGATTTACTTGCTCATCATTTGCATTCATTATTTTTAAAATGTCAAGTGTTATATTGCTTAAAAGAAAAAAAAAGAAAATGCTGCAAATTAAATTTTAAAATAGATTACACCGCTTAAATGGATCAGCCGTGAATTTTAATGAAAATCGAATTACTGGTTTTTCCCTTAAACTTTAAGGGCTTTACCCTATTTAATCTGCGACTTTTGAAATAAAATTATCCGTTCTCTTTTAACTCTCAGATTTGCAGCCATCATCGTTGACAAATAATTCATAGTATTTGATAAGCGCAAGCAACTATTTCTTATTAAAAGAGAGGAAGAGAAAGAAAAAAAAAACTGTATGAAGAACAAAGACAGAATGCATTTGTTTTTTTTTAAAAAATGATTGTGTATTTTTTTTTTTCAAGGCGCACAGTACACTTTGATAGTAACATAACTAACCACAAAAGGGTGAAAGTATATTTTATTCTCCCAAAAAAAAAAAAAAAAAAAAAAAAAAAAAAATAAAGTAAAATAAAATAAAATAACGATCATCAACTCTGAAATCAGATACCACTTTTATGATGAGATATCAAGTCAACCAATGTTACTCAGCCCGAGATCTATTTAATTCATGTACCTAAACCATGTCTTAGGCTTTGTACGTAAAGTTTAGTTCTGTAGTCACCACGGATATCCAGTGGTAAGGACTGCAACATGTTATAATAAGGTTAATAACTAATTACACAAAGCTACAAAGACCGCCACAACAATACCCTCCCTTACAACTATAGCCCAACAATTCAAACATGGAAATCAGTTTATAGTAGTATCACAAATGACCTTTGCGTTAATATATATCTCTTATCTTCACCAGATAGCTTTGTGCCAGTATACAGAAGAAAAAAAAAGATTTGCGCTCTGGACTATATATATATTATTTAGTATATAAACTTAAGGTTATCGTTACTTTCGTTTATATTATTTAAAAAATGTCGTGTAGGACTAAGGAATATAAACATCTATTGCTTAATATATATCTGCAATGTCAAATATTGCAATAAAAAAAAATTAAACTAATACAAATCAAATCCTGTGATCTGTAGTGCATCTTTACTTCTACGATTACTAATTAATTCTTGAAAATACTGACTATGGAAATGTTGGATGATATAAGGAAGTAAGAGTGATTGTCGATTCTACGTGTTGACATTCATGAAGATGGGAAATGGAAGCCATACGATGCAAACACAATAGAATTATTGGCAGTTCATCTATTATTGAGGGTAGTTGTAAAGTCTGCAATTTGAATGATTATATACAACGTTTCGTATTTAAGTTGCATAGTATAAAAATGAATTTTTTGTGCCTATACAAATACCAATGAATATAAAGAATTAATGATGATAATTTCAGATTTTGAATTTACGAACAGCCTGGAAACATATTACACTATTTGTATTATCTTTATTAATAGCATCTCTTGCAAACAAATAAAGTCTATAAAAGTGTAATACGATATCTTTTTTATTCTTGATACGCTTTTTCTTTTGTCGACTACTTGAATTTTGGAACTGTAATAAAAGGGACAAAAACGTTAGTGATACGATTTATTCATGTGCTATAGATGAAAATCATTTGTATCTTCCACTTATTAATCACTATGTAAGCACTTATTTCCAAAAAGCCTTCGGATGAATAAAACTAGTAGATAGATATGGTTCAAATATATCACTTTTTATTCAGATCTGTCATCTCGATCAGCAAGAAAGTAATAGCGCGAATTTCTTTAGCTTCATATGACGTTACTAATTTGCATAACCCTAATAAAGGTATGATAGGTTTATCTTTATCCTATTGTTCCAAATGGTTCTATTTAACGATAGAATGAGAAAAGGAATAGATTATAACTTATATATTTGCTCTCTTTTACCTCAAGAATATCTTTGATCTTAAAATATATATCTCTTGCTGCGTAATAAACTGCTCTGTCAAGACTGTTGTAAATATAACCCTTAATACCTTCTGATGATCATAATCCCTTTGTATATATATATATATATATATATATCAGATAGTCCTCTATTATAATGTTACAAAAGATTAAAAAGGAAGTGTTATCTTGAATTTAGTTGTATTTTTATTTTATTTTATTTTTCATATTACAATATCTCATTTAAGCAAGTTTCAATACTATGTACTTTAGTATTTTTCATGAAATTATCTGTGATAGCGAGTCAATATAAAGAGAATATGTTACTACTGTTTTGGTTGTTCATCATCCATTCATCTTTATCTTCGCTAGAAATTAGTATTTTCCACTCTTTGTCCTCTTTTTGATACCGTTCTAGAAGAAATTTGTATTTTTTTTCCTTGTTCTTCTTCATGATACTGATTATCTTTTTGTTGTTGCGACAATGGCATTATTTTCGGTCCTATTATTATAGAAAATGATGCTGTTTGTACGTTATCAATAATAATGCCATTATTACTTATATGGTTGTTAGTATTTGATGTTGCCTTCTTCAATTCTTCAAAAGCCGCCTTAAGATTCACATTATTTACATTTTATTACAAAAGAAAGAATATAAATGGTTAAATAAGTTAAAAGTAGGGTAGTTTTTTTTTCGTATAGCTTATATTTTAGACACTACATGTGTGTCAACTGCTTTAGATCTTTGCCTATCATTGAGCTGTTTTGTTGCTTTTGCCCTCAGAAGATCCCTTTTCTGCGAATAAACATGTTTTATACTATGGATTATTTGTCAACGATGATGGCTGCAAATCTGAGAGTGAAAAGGGGACGGAAAATTTTATTTCAAAAGTTGCAGCAGATTAAATAGGGTAAAGCCCTTAAAGTTAAAAGAAAATTTCAGTATTATTAATTATTATATTACATAATAATAAACATCATTCTCTCTTCTTCTTTTTTGTTACAAATGTAAATTCAAAACAATATTTATGCTGCTATTGGTGCAACTACCATAAAAATATATACACAAACCCTATAAAACTATTTATTATATTGTATTACTAACTCATTTTGACATGGATTATCATTTTATCTGTCGTAAAAGAAGAATCTTTTTTTTTTTCTTTATAAATTAAACAATAAAAGAAGAAAATATAAAGTTGAAGATATATCTTAATAATAGGTAAACAATATACTTCAAAGCAAGATAGTTATATTATACGCCACCATGTTATCATGTTTAAACTATAATTTTTTTTTTAGTGCATTATTTCTTATTCTTATCTGAGATTTAATATCTACTAATATTGATGACTACCCATAATTATTACTTTTAGCAAAGAATGGACTGCTCCATTCTTTTTTTTTTTTGTTTTTGATTTATCAGCATGACTTCGGAATATTTTTTCCCCAAAAACCAAAAAAGAGGGTATATAAACACGTCTTTTTGATCTTCATAAACAAGTTATTATATCCTCTCTCTCTCTCTTTTTTTTTCTTTTTTTTTTAATTCACATACAACAATATGGTTTCTAACACAAAGATCATTTTTGAAAAGATTCCTAGTTCTTATCCTGAGACTGGTGAACATATGGTTGTTAAGAAGGATGAAATCAACCTCGAAGCAGATATCCCTGATGGTGCCATTCTTCTCAAGACATTATGTTTATCTGTTGATCCTTACATGCGTGGTCGTATGAGAGATGCAAATATCAAGTCTTATTCACCTGCCTTTATTCTTGGTGAACCCATGAATGGTCATGCTATGAGTGAAGTAATCAAGTCCAATAATGAAAGCTTTAAAGTAGGAGATATCGTTTATGGTATGACTCCCTTCTCTGAATATAATCTTATTCCCAAAGATTGGACAAAACTTTTTGAAGTTCGTAATGAAGCAAAGACTGCTGGTATTCCTATTACAAATTACATCGGTATTCTTGGCATGCCTGGTATGACTGCCTATGTTGGGTGAGTTAATTATTATGCAAATGATATATGGTATGTATAATATTAAATCTAAACTTAAATAGTCTCTTAAAGTTTGGTCGTCCCAAGAAAGGTGAATCACTCTATGTCTCTGCTGCATCTGGTGCAGTAGGACAATTAGTGGGTCAAATTGGTAAGATCCTTGGTTTGCATGTAGTCGGTTCAGCTGGCTCTGATGAAAAGGTGGCCTATTTAAAGGAGCTTGGCTTCGATGGTGCCTTTAATTATAAGACACAAGATACCCGTGAAGCCTTTAAGGAACTTTTACCTAATGGTATTGATATCTATTTCGAAAATGTGGGTGGTAAAATGCTCGAAGATGTGATCGATCATGCTAATAAATTTGCTCGTATCGTCTGTTGTGGTATGATTTCACAATACAACACTAAAAATCCTACTGGTATTCATAATCTTATGCAAGTTGTTGCCAAATCTCTTGAAATACGCGGCTTCATCGTAGGCGATAGTCCCGAAATGATGGAACCCTTTAGACAAGAGGTTACTAAATGGATCCAAGATGGTCAATTGAAATACAAAGAAACAGTGACTGAAGGCATTGAAAAGACCCCAGAAGCTTTAATTGATGTCTTGCATGGTAGAAACTTTGGTAAACAAGTTGTTAAGGTTGCTGATTTGTAATAATTATGATGCACATCAAGGAAAAACAAAAATTAATAACTTTAATAAAAAAAAAAAAACCGTAAAATGTATCACTGAATGTATGTATGCATGTATAATCGAAATAAATTTGTTTAGTTGGATGCTATGTTGTCTGTGCTAATATCATGTCCTAAACACAATTTTTAATATTGACTATTGACTATCACTCCTTCAATATCCTATTATCATATCATGTAGAATTTGATTTTCAATTGTTTCTTTAAAATTCTTCTTTTTTTTGGTACATGATCGAGATTCAATATCAAATATGAATATGATTTATTATCTATAATATTCAGTTCCATCTGAATACTAGATAGTCGATCTCAGGGCTTTAAATTATTATTCTTCCGTATTACATATGAAGATAATTCGTGCTCATTCACAGAGTATATTTATCATGTTATTAATGATAAATTTAAGAGAAAAAAAAAACTAATAAATCTAGTATTAGTTATTGTAAATAACGAATCTTCCATTACTATCTTTAATGACTGTAAAAGAAAAAAAAGAAAAAAAAAGGTAGGGTTAGGTATTACTGACTAGAATTACGTAATTTTAGAAGAATAAAGCTACAATTATGCTAAAAATAAAATTGAGATTAATTCACTTTAACCTATAATATGTAAAGTAAACTTTTGATTTAATTCTATTTTATTTCAAGATAAAAAAACATTGTGTCGTTAAAATAGAATACTTGTGTCTTTATATATAATATATAAAAATATAGAAAAGACTAATCAAAACACTTTTCTTTATATGACAATTATTAAAGTAACATGCAAAGTCTTTTTATTTTCTTCTAGTATATATAGTGAGTTCTTGAGATATTATGCAGCATTCCTTTTAAATTAGTAACAGCAATAAATACAAAATAAAGATACTTTTATCGAGGAAAAAGATAGTTAGAAATAGTACTTAGAGCCATATTTAAGTGTATACTTTAAGCGGTTTAAGTTTATGCATTTAGTATAAATAGATATTTGTCTTTTTTAAAAATCAAATGCATATGCTATGACTTTAGACTCTATTCTTTCGAGTATTTCATGAATACAAATAGAAGAGACAAGAATATTTTAATCGTTTTTCTAATTATATACACAGTACATTACAGCAATAATTTCAAAATACTTGCTATGTTAGTGATGTATCCTTTGTTTTTATCGGCACTATTCCATTATGTACCTTATTCTATTTTCTTTTAATTAATTTGTATAACAAAAGAAACTCTTTCTTTTATTTTATTTTTTTAATATAGTATTTATAGAGTTCCAAGTACTCTAATACATTCTATTTCATAGTATGTCATGTTTGTATTTTTTTTTTTTTTTTTTTTTTTGAGAATATCTTCAGATTTATAGAAATCAGATTTCTTCGGGTAGATTATTTTGAAACGTCAATATTGATCATGTTTGCTTGTATATTGATTAAAAAAAATATACAAAAAAAAAGGGAAAATATCATCAAATACATTATGTATTTTTCTATGACCAGTATATAACTGGTCTTTTATATTTATTTATTTATATATCTATTTTTATGTTTTATTTTGATGAATAGTAAGTAATAAGGAAAACTAGGTTTTCTCTATTATTATATATTAAGGAAAATCTAGTTTTGGACAAACCGTAGATGTATTCATGTCCATAAAATATACGTAATAGAGATGTAACAGTTATGTACATCATGACTAAGGAAAAAATTACTGCTCAATTATTAAGATTTATATAAATACATATATAACTGAAAATAGAAGCATAACATAAAATTATATTAAGATTACTTGAGATTGCTTGACAAATATTCCTTTGTTTGGTAATGTTGAAAAATAACGTTTCCCATTTAGTGAACCATCATTTGATCCAACTAGATTAGATAAATTGTGTTAATAGTAGCTCCTTTTTTTTTTCTTTTTTTTTTTTTTTTTTTTTTTTTTTACCACTCCTGTCTAACTCTATTCCCACATATTCTTCATTTTTTTGCTCTCAAGTTTTCCCACATATAAAATTGTACCAGTTGTTATAACAGGTCTGTTTAATAACTGAACTCTTTGACCCACATTTAAATGGAAAGAAGCTTTACCAAATACAATCGTACATAAACGTGATCGTAGAATATGATCCCAAGTAATACTCCAATAACGGCTATTAGTCGTCGTCGTCGTCGTCGTTCTTTCTTCTTTTTTTGCTTATCGTTCTTTAGTTTTTTATTATCTTCATCTTCTAATAAACTAGTCAACGGTATCCCTAAATCTATATATCATCGTGTTTATATACGTGTTTTTTTTTCTTTTTTATCATTTACCTTGAGCAAGTTGTTCTACTACAGTTTTGTCAATTGTATTTAATTGTTTTATGGTACTTAAATGTGAGCCGATATATCTTATCACTTTAGTTTTTGCAGACTGTAAAATATGTTTGACATCAGATGTATGTTGAACGCTATCTCGACACATTAAACTTCGAACGATGCCCTTATATAAGGAGGAAGCATTAAAGTCATTCATTTCTTTAAGAACGTTGGACAATAATAAAAATTCTAAAAATTGATACGAGTAAGTAATACCATCTACACATGATAACAACTTTGGATATTGAGTACAATAAAAATCGAAATGATCTGCAAGTAATTTAGACGCTGTCCTTTGTATTTGCCTTTGTGTAGTTGCTAAAATTTTTTTTTCTTCCTGATGGCTATTAGCTGCTAAAAAGCAACCATACAAAACTTCAATCGCATTATTCTTATTCACATGCTCAAATAATTTTGACTCTAGATAGGTGTGTAATGATTTAGTTTCTATAAAAAGTTGAGCTAGTGAATCACTTGTCCAATAAGTAGGTAGTGTCTTTTCTGGATCCTGTATGAGTAATTTTAAAATAGCATATGTCATCTCACTCAATTGAGGATCATTTTGTTGATTTTGTCCCGTGAAAGCCAATAGTTTTGGAATAAGGAATGTGCAGCTACAGCAATAGCACACAAGACCATGTGTAAGTTGTATGATTTCCTCTTGTATTAAATGACAAAGTGTATCCATTCCTAAATAGTCGGCTGCTAAATAAATGGATTCAAGTCGTTCAAGTTTGTTTGCCCTTTCGTAATTGTTTTGATCATCCGATTTTTCTTCTTCAATTATACAAATAGAGTTTGTATACATGTAATAAAGAATATCATCTAATACAAAGGAGCTAAAAATACCGTAAGGTAAGAAGATGACGGATGCTTCAGTTTCTTGAAAATCATTATTAAATAAAGCATTGAAATAGGTTGACTTTGACTTTAATATATCTTTATGACACTTCCAATGTGTACTTGAATTATTAACTGCATTATTCGTAGTTGATTTTTGTCTTAAACTTTGCTCTGGTGCTAACGAAAGCAGAACATTATGAGGCTCTTTGAATGTATTCAAATAGTCTTCTTGCATTTTTTTTTAATAAAATAAGGAAAACGAAAAAAGAAAAGAAAAGAAAAGAAAAGAGAAAAGCAAAATAAATGCACAACAATGCTTGTTCCTTGAGAAAAATCAAAATTCTCTTTTTTTTTTTTTGATTTAGCGCAATGTATGTCAAACGATGTGTTCAAATTTTAAAAAGATAAATATGAATACATAAGATACCTTAAATACTCTATGTAGGTCAATAATTTCAAAACAAAATACCTTATTTTAGTAGAAAAGATTCTACCTTGTCAAGTCTGCGTTTTTTCTTAAAAAGAGAAGAAAAGGGGTTGAAACAAGTCCAAGAAACAACTATTATGCTGACTAGCTTTAGGAAAGTATGGATAAAAAGGCAAGTTCCAAGGAATTTTATTAAATTATTAATAAGAAAAGAAAAGAATGGCAAGTATATTTTGTATTTCTATATAAAGTATATTTAAATTTTAAGGCCTACCTTTGTTCATTGAACTTGATTAAAGGAATCTTGATACGCAAAAAAAAAAAGTATTGTTGTTTGACTATAGCTGTTTAATACAAGAGTTACTCTTATTTCTCAAAATGTAAAGCAGTCTAATTTCTAATGTAGCTTTTAATAACTGCTAGTAATAAAGATGGAACGGGTGTGTTTTATGAGCCTTTTCTTTTCTTTTTTTTTTTTTTTTTTTTCTTAATTTATTTAAAAGTTACAAAATTAAATACTTTTGTTTTTGTCAAAAGGGCTACACTATGCCAAATAAGTAAAAGAGATTCCCCCAGTTTAAGTAATAAATAATAGAATGAACGACTATTTCTTTTTCCCTTTTGTATAAAAGTACAAAAAAGTTCCAGTCACAGCAATAATAGTACCTAACAGCACAATAGCACCGGTTATATCATTATTATTTGCAGTCTTCACTTTTCTTTTTCTCCTTTTCTTTCTTTCGCTTTCCTTATTATTCTTAGTTTTATTTTCTTTTGTTGCATCCCATTCAATGACAGTTACTCCTTCAGGAACAACCAAATTACGTGCTGAATCTAACTTGATAGCTCTACCAAACCATTTACCAGCGAGCCAAAGATCTTGTTCAACTCCCATCCCATTTGCATATAAAATACCGATATTAAAACATGCTTGCGCATGTCCCAGCGCTGCTGCTTCTTTCCAATAACGAATAGCTAAATTTGGATCCGCTTCAACGAACGTGGATGAATGCACACTTTCACCTTCTGGTTGAGATCCGTATAGATAGATAAGACCGGTTTGAAAGGCTGAACTGCAAAAATAACGTTCATCTCGCGTATGAGGTGCATGATTACGAAGTTTGTTCTTTGGAATATGTTCCATATTTAATAATGAGAAATCAAAATCTATGCGAGGTGCGGTAATGGTCATACAGCGATTATAATAGTAAAGCGCGCTTTGGTAATCCTTATGGATTTCTGCTTCAGACATACCACTGCCATAAATGGTACCTACAACATAACATGCTACTGGATCTGGCCCATTACTTACATCTGTACCTGGTTCTTGTTGTTCACAATCAGCAGCATGCTTATACCATTCAAATGATTTTTTCATATCCTTTTCAGGACATGTCTTGGCCACAACACTTTCTTTTGTAGTCTCATATAATGTGGCCACTTTAAGCATTGATTGTGTATGACCTCTTTCAGCAGCAGAAAGGAAATATTCAAGTGCTTTCTATTAAATTATATATATATATATATATATATATCATTGATCAAAGCAGCAACATACATAAAATAGTTACTTACAATAAGATCTCCCATACGAACTTCAAACCATTGACCTAATAAATAAGATGATGTTATATCTAAAGTATTCGATTTAGGATGAGGTCCAGCAATAGGGACAGCCCATTCCAACAAAGGATCCTCCTTTTCCAAATGAATTGTCAAGATTCTATATTTAGGCTTCTTCAAGTGAGGTGGGGTTGCAATGGTAGGCGGGGTATGTAATAAAGTAGGTGAGTTAGGCTGAGAGATACTATCAGGATCCGACATGATGGGTGAATTAGCAGTTTGAGCAAGCAAATCGGACATTTCTGACATTCCTGCATCTGCTGTTGCTGGTGGTGGTAAAATCATGGAAGAGTTAGGTGAATGATTAGGCGATGACATGAAAGCATAAGAAGAAGCAATAGAAAGACTAGGTGAAGCTGTAATTGAAGAAATAGGAGACATACTATTCTTTTCTAATTGCCAAAGTGATTCATAATGGTTAATAGGTTGAAAAAGTTTAGCCTAATATAAACAAAAACAAAAATAGACTTGAGTATATATTTATATAATATACAATGAATATTTCTTTTTTTGTAAATTGATTTACTTGGAATACTGGTTCTTGACCCTTAAGACCAGCTTTGAGGTATTGCCGTTCAATAGTAATATCCAAGTCCTTTGCTTTTGTTGATTCAGGGACTAAAAAGGAAATGGTAATTTGATCATTACTTTGACTCCATACGTAAGTATTTGTTTGAAGTTTCTCATCGTTTTCTGTCATTATGTGCATCTGCGTGTGTGTGTGTGTGTGTGTGTTTTTTTATTCACCCCGGCTTTCTTTAAATTATTCAAAAAAAAAGAAGCGATAAATAAAAAATATCCAGTGAGCGGAAATTATTAAAAAAAGATAAATTTTCCATTTTCATCATCATGGTATTGCATATGTCTACTGCACTGCTAAGAGAAAAAAAAAAAGGTTATTATGGGGCCTTAACTATAAAAAGCAAAATTGATAGAAGATATAAATGATAAATGACACCAAGCCTCACTATTGATTTTACAATATATAAATCAAGATATAGTCTATTTATCTATTAAAGTCAATCTATACAAAGAGGATGAGTCTCAAAATAATCCTAAAGAAAAGAATCAAAATTTACTTATTTAAAGTAGTAGAATAAATTTTGATAAGGAGAGGAGGTTTTCGTAGGCATTTTGAATATTATAGGTGAAATATAAAAAAAAAAAGAGGTAATTAACTCAACCTTTTACATAAACCAAAGGCTGTTAAGGAGAAGACTACTAGTTTTAAGAAGAAAAAGAGGGGAGATGGTAAAGCAGAAGATGTCAAGATAAACGCTAGAGTTGATATACTTAGTGAGCATTTCCTTGAATTTTCGAGCAATGTTAAGGATACATTGCATCAACATAGAACGAAGTATTCTTAACTGGTTATGGATAATGCTGTCGTTCATAAAGTAAATGAAGTCCAAAATTTGATTGAAAATCGTAGCTGTAAAGCTACATGTCTAACTTCCCTCCCCCCCTTTATTCACTTTTTTATTGAGTTGTTCCGGTTAAAAGTCAAAGGAAGAAAAGGAGAAATTGTTTGAAAATTGACGATAATTTAACCACAAGAATTAACAAGTCGACTAAGAAGATTTTAGTTAATGACTATGCCAATTAAATAAAGTATTCTTATCCATTCTTTGATAGATGCTTGGTTCTTGAGCCAATGCTTTAATTATATAACGTTGAAAAAAAAATTACTAGCCAAAAAATAAAATCATTATTCGCAAAAATTAAGCTTTCAAACTTCAAGTAAAAAACCATTACGCTTTTAAAGCAAAATATGCGCAGGGTTTCATAATTGAGCTTGAATTTTTTTTTTTTTTTTTTTTTTTTTTTGAATAAATTTTCGAGCAATTTCCTAGAATATACATAATCTTTATTTCTTTTACCAAGCAACATGTTAAAAGTACAGCCAATTCAGTGGTTACGATATCGCACACGATTTCAGTTACCTCATTCCTATCAACCATTTATTCGATCAACAGCCAAATTAATTTTCCCTTTGACGAACCCTTTAAGTCGCAGCATTGGCACACAAACTGAGAATATAGAAACTGATTCCCATTTGCAACAAAGTCCCACAATAAAAACAATACCAGAACCTTCTATTAAAGCTGCTTTTCAAGACTTACTCGGAGTTACATCTCCAGAAGCTAATACTCATGATGATTTAAAGAATACTTTTTATCAAAGAGAATTACCAAAGACATTAGTACGATTTGCTTCCCCTGAGGGAAAGAAACTGTTTAGAGAAGCTATGGATATTGGTCATGCAGAAGGATTTTTTCCATTAACTGGTAATTTTACAACTCAATCGGAGCCTGCATTTTGTGGACCTAGTTCTTGTAAGTATAAACCTGATTACTTTTGTGGTTGAAATCATTAATTCATTTTTTTTTTTCGATATAGTGGCTATGGTATTGAATGCATTGGAAGTAGATCCTAAAAGAAGATGGAAAGGCAATTGGAGATGGTATTCAGGTAAAAGAATAAAAAAAAAATGTTTTCTCTTCATCTTGAATTTTGTTCTTACCCCCTGAAAAAATAATTAAATAAATTTCTAGATGAGTTTTTGCATTGCTGCTCTTCAAAAGAAGAAGTGAAAGTAAAAGGTATTACCTTTGATAACTTTGCCTGTTTAGCCAAATGTCATTGTGATGTTCAAGTGAATCGGGCATTTGATTTTACCTTTGAAAAATTTGTGAAGGATGTTGAAATGGTAACATCAACCTCAGATAAATTTATGGTAGTTTCATTTTCAAGAAAGGTTCTAGGACAAACAGGTGATGGTCATTTTTCACCAATAGGTGCCTATAATGCTCAAGAGCGTAAAGTATTAATTTTGGATACAGCACGTTACAAATATCCTAGTTATTGGTGCCCAATTGAAATGCTATTTGAGTCAATGAACCCAATTGATAAGGAAACAGGTCGACCTAGAGGGTATTTTGTGTTAAGTTATGATGTTGAGAATCCACCTGTAAGTCTTTGTAAGGTAAAGCCTGAGGCATGTACAGTAAAGAAAGAAGAAGAACAACAACCAGTCAAGTCGAATAAGCAATTGAGAGAAGAAGCAAAATTAAATTGGTCAACGATTGCAAAATCATTCTGTCAACGTATACCAGAAAATTTATGGTTAGAGAAACCTAGAACTTTAGAACATGTAGTTAGATTAGTACTTCGAAATGTCCCAAAGGAATATACGACTATCCTTGCCAATCAATCGCTTGCTTCTTTTAATGCAACTAATCCAGACAAAAAAGCAGAGAAGTACATTAATGAGCTATTATATGATACAACCAAGTCACCTTTATATCCAGTCGTGATTGATGCCCTTTATCCTGAAAGGGAGAATCATTCTTATACCCCTATTGATTATAATGCCGCATTTGCTACCTTGTTCGTGTTAGGATCACCGCGCATGTTGTACACATCATTACCTAAAGATTTACAGGATCGTTTGGATAAATATAGAAGGGATGAAAGTATGTCTACTATTATGAAGCATGAAGTACAACGTATATCAAATGAAGTTGTTGATTTAACTACTGCTTTTTGTACCTGTGGACCAAACTGGACGTTACCAGATCCTTCAAGTAATGATAAAAAAAGCTGCTGTAGCAACACTAGAAGCTTACTAGATTAATATTCTTTACATGCTTTATTTTGTAGAATTGTATATCTCTTATAGAAAACGTATTATATTTATATTTAATAATAAAACAAAAAAAAAAATCTTATTTGCGCAGATTAACTCTATATAAATAAATAAAATTTCTTTACCAAAATAGAGTGTCGTTTAAGATATACCATATTCATTAGATAACAAACTTATATAATAATGATTTTATATAATACATGATATAATATTCAGTAACTTAATTTTGTGAGTGTTCTCGTCTTTCTTGTAAATCTTTACGAAAAGCCATACCCGTCATAACTAACTTTCTAAAATTTTCGTTTAAGCGTCCACGAGCACTATTACTATTTCCTTCTATAGGTGAAGAAACGGTAGGTGAAGTATTTGATCTGAAGGAAGCACTGGTATCTTTAAAATTGGATGCCGCCGTTGAAGCCATAGTTGATAATGACGTAGTAATTGAGCTAGGTAGAACACTAGATGTTGTGGTTGCACTTGCTGACACTATTTCAGGTGGTAGTATGTTTGAGTTCTCCACAAGATGATCATGATAAGCAATACGCTTATCAAACATATTTAAAAGTTGTGCCTGATCTGGTTTTCTAATTCCTTTGAGTTCAAGCAAACGTGTGAAGTTACCGACATGTTTATCACCTACAAGCAGTAAATAATTTTCTACATAACCTTCAGAGGGTTCAGTGGGTGACATTACAGTTTTGAGAATAGCTTCTACCTTAGATATGCCTTTGTTTACAATTCGAGTATAGCTAAAAAAAAATATATATGTATATATTTATACATAAATATTAAATGAACAAATTATTCAAAAAAAAAAAAAAAAAATCTTTGATGTAAACTTACGAGCTTGGAATTATCGTTGAGCCATCAGTAGATATCCCCATTGTTGGAATATCTAAAAGTAATGTTTTAATGGAATGCGTATCTAACAAGAGCTGTTCTGCACCGATTTCTGAAATAGGCTTGCATTTAAAAATTTGAATCAAAAACTTTGAAATAAATATTCTATTAAAAAAAAAAAGAAGCTTTTAGTATGTGGACTTTTTTTTAAAAAAAAATATGTATTTGTATTCATCTATTTTACTCTGCAAAACGATCATGGAAGGTTCTGAAATAACGTTTATTTGCTATTATTCTTCCTACAACTGTAACATTTCTTTTAACAATATCTATCATTTGGCTGACATAATCTGACTGATCACCTACTGTATCCATTACACCCCATGAAAGTCTTGACATTTGTACCATTTGTGTCTCAATACATTGTTCTAAGTTCTTTACAATAGAGTCAATACAAGTAGATAGAGTCCTAAATGAAACCATATATAAGTTGATCGTAAACTATTAATAAATATTGATGTACCTCATAAAGTTTTCTTTAACGCCTTCTAAATTTAATTTGCTCAAGTACTCAGAGTCAATATTTTCTTTCAATTTTTCTTCCAATTGAGTAGTCGTCATAGAACAATAATCAGCAGTATTTAATGCCAAACTAGCAAATCTAAAGTGCTCAACGGTCACTGTCTTTTTTTCATTTCTTGCTAACCCTCCCAACAAAATTTGGTTACAATAAGCGTTTAGATGCTTAGCAAATACTTGACAAAGGTCAAATAATGCTTTTCCAGTCGAAAATTTCGAACACTGTGCAAGTGTCTCTCTATAAAAATAAAATAAATCTGTACTCGACGGTAAGACGGTCATAGTACCATCATCCTCAGAATCTGCTTGCATATCAGTTTGCGCATAAGAATCAATCATAGATGCAATTGTTCTGTTTTAAATAGTAAGATTAACAATACTTAATAATTATATTATATAAACTTACGCATCCTCTGCATCTATATAGATATACAAATAAGGCTGAAATGCTGAAGAAATAGACTTATCAAAATTAAATAAAGGTTTCTGCTTATGTTTGTCCTTGAACTATAGTTAGTAAAGATAAAAAGAATAATGTGTTAATATTTTAATTTACAATAGCTTTTTTTTTTCTTTTACATGTCGTTCATATCTCTTGGATAATTGGCCTTCAAATTCAATTGTTAGTTGAAGAGCTTTCAATAATTCCTTCACATCAGCACCATTGTTTTTCATGACAAGATCCAAATCAAATCTATAATAAACACATTTCTTAGACTAAATCATTTGATATTAAGAAATTTACTTTGTATATTCACAAAATTTTTCACAAATTCTGCCACTTATAGCCCAATCATTAGGGAAAATTTCAGCATGTTCGTCATCACATACTTTAAGAATACGTTTCAAAAAAGCATAACGTCGAGATATATTGTCTAATTGAGATACCTCTTCCATAGGTCTGAATATTTGTCGATAGTTCACCAACTCCAGGTCAACATATTTTTTAATAATCTTTTCTCTAATATTTATACATACAAGCAATTTATAAGTTTACATAAAATATCTTTTTTATATTGGCCATTTTACCTTGTCATTTCACCTAGCACATCAGCTACTAAGCAAGCATCATGAAGAAGCCAAGGTTGTCCAATTAATTGGCCTTCTTGATTAAATCTGTTTTTAATAAATGATTAGTATTAAAATTGTGTTTTATTGATCCTTAATCGTACCCATTTTCTAATTCACGAATCACACAGTTTTCCAGGTCTTTTTTCAGAGTATTGATATGATTTGATAGTTGAGATATTTGTGGTACACTTTTAAAGGACTTAAAATGTTGCATTAGTTGAATAACTGCCTTTAATAAACATTAGTTTTCCTTTATATCTATCTATCAATCTATATACATGGTATGACTTTTGAATGTACCTGAAGTAATTGCGCACTTTCTTTATACTGTTTATTTTTGGACATTGTTTCTAATTGATCTACAGCAGTTACCAACATTTGAAGTCGTTTTAATACAGTTACTGAATATGTCAAATGCCTTTTTGCATAATCGAGTGATTTCACATCATGTGTAATTTCTTGAACCATAGATTCAGACTGTGTTGCCTTTAATTTTATGTCTTGGATTTTTTTAAATAATTCCTAAAAATTATAAATATTATGCATGAGTATTACTGTTAACATCTTTAAATATTTTTTTTTTCTTTTCAAACCTGAATAGATTGCTTTGCTTTATTTAATTCTTTATTTCCATCTTGGGTATCTTTTTTGAATTGATTATTTGTAAGACGCTCAGCTTCAAGGGACATTTCCTTCATCTTAGCTTGAAGTTTGTCAAGCACATTATCTACCGAGGCTAAGGATTGTTCTGAAATAGAAATATAAAATGTGAAGAATTAAAACAAGTACATATACATGTATATAACCATTTTGACATTTAAGTAAATTACCAGTAGGAAATAACTTGTTCAAATAGCTTATTGCATTGAATTCTGGTGAATCTAAAGGATTTTTAACATTTAGAATAGAAAGTGCCTTTGTTTCTAAATGAGAAGATATTTTGGCACTACTATTTTCTTCACTCATTTCTTTTTTTTTTTTTTTTTATCAAAACAAGAAAATGAAAGGAAAATGAAAAATGCGGACTCATAAAAAAAAAAAAAAAAAAAAAAAAAAAGTTAAATTTTCTGAATTTATTTATTTATCCTGCATGTTCAATAGTGGTAGTAACAAGCTTTCCGTCCACTACAGTTGTCTTAAATTGTTCAGGAACAGGCAACTCTTTAAATTCATCATCATTGTCAGGAATAAGTACACCTAATGAGTTGGACTTGGCTGACAAAATTTCAACGTCCAAACATTCTTTGGATAAATAAATTTCACCACTATCACATTTATCCACAGCAATGGTTGGGACAGCCTTCAAAACTTGAAGTGCAAATGATTTACAGTTGACAATATCAACAGTTGCAATAGTTGAATCAAGGGCAACACCACATTTGGTACATGAATCCATAGTGACTGCATTTACCTTGCCTTTAATAACGATGGTTGAATTTTTACAATTATAAATATAGACAGCTTGGTTGATGGCCGTCTCTGAGATGATAATCTCGTGGTTATTTTCATGATTTTCAACTACCCATTTGTTGGCTTCCAGAGAGGTCTTGGCTGGCTTCTTAAGACTATATTTATCAGGCTTAGTAGGTGTTGGTGGACCTTGACGTTTACTACTGCCGCTAACTGTTGATCCTGCACGTAAACTAGGGTTTTTGTGTGTCATTTCACTTTTGTCAACCTTACGTAAGCCTGCAGTAACACTTTCACCTCGATTGATTTCAGCAAAAACAGCTGCTGCTCCGGTGGGTTGTTGAGGCTTTGTATCTTCTTCAATTACCATAGGAGGAGGAGGTGGTGGTGGTGGTGGTGGTGGCCCGCCAGCACTAGGTGCAGGAGCTGAGGGTGCAGCATCATTAGATGTGTCAGAAGAAAAGGATTTACCAATAAAGTTATCAGGCTTTTCACCCTTTGCATTCCAAGTTAATCCAGTAGGAAATGTTTCCTTAACATAAACAGCTAAATTTTCAATAAAAGCTAAAAAGGCTTTAGACCATTCAACATGCTTAGGATCCCTATAAACACATGTAAGATCAAAAAGAAAGAAAGAAAAAAAAAGGGGGGCATTTTTACTTTTAAGAAAAAAAATACTCACTTTTCCTTGTATTCTTTCATAATTCGATTTGAATAAAATTGTGCAGCATCTTTCATATCACGAATAAATGGAACAGGCGTAGGTTCCTACAAAATAGTTAAATTAGAATATATCTTTATGCATTTATATATAAATATATATAGTGACACAACTTACACAAGTAAACCATCCTAAGGCAGGAATACCTTCGGCTACTGCACTTAAACTATTGAATAAAGGATTAGGTCTATTCGAGTCTTTAATTTCAATAATAGCAGCCAACGCTTTCTGAATAGGTTCAAGTAGTTTCATAAATGTAGGTGAAGTCATATCTGGTTTTTGAGCTAAGGTTGAAATATAAATAATATCCTTTTCAGCTGCAATTGCTTCTTTAACAAGATGCGCCTATTATTTTTTTTTTATTGTTAGAAAACACGCACAATTGAATATTATATATACGTTATACTTTTTTTTTTCATTTACCTGATCAGCAACTGGTCCACCAATTTCTTGTGATAAATTGAAATATTTTTCGAGATGAGGGTTAATAGCATTGTCATGCTTTTGAATGGCAGCAGGCACTTCATTAGCAGTAACAGCAGAAGAAGAAGGTGCATTGGGCAATGAAGGAGAATTAGTAGCTACTGCAGAGGCAGAGGAAGCAGACATAGCTAAATCCTCTAAACGTGTAGTAGCTACCTCGAGCCGCTTGATGAGGTTAGCAAGTGAATGGAATTCAGACATTTTAACGTCTCGAGATGAAATAAAAAAAAAATAAAATAAAATAAAATAAAATAAATAAATAAATAAATATTTATTAATATAAAGAGCAGAGTGTGCAAACACGCAATAATAATAATGATCGGAAAATGAAAATATACATAACTAAATATATTCTCTGGGCAGCCAAACAATAAAAAAAAAAATAAAACCCAATAAAAGTTTAAAAACCCTATTGGTGGGTAAAAGACATCGATTACATTAAATGTGCCCAAGTTAGCTTAGAAAAGCTGAAAATCACCCTTTTAAATCAGAGATAAAAGAAAAATATATATGTATCTATCAAATAATCGGTAAGAAGGAAAAGGAGTCATTTGTCTGTGTTGCGATAATGGTAAAAAAAATAGCCCTTTATGATAAAATAAGTAGTCATGTTCATAAAGGATGGCATAAATGGCTAACTAACTAAGGGAGAAGTTAAGGATCTCACATTGTTTCTGACCATTTAGAGTCGATGGTTTATCCTAAGACATTGTATAGTATTTATTTTATTTTATTTTATTTGAAAATAAAGTGGATGTACAAATGTAATTTTACAACAAGCTATAAAATCAAGCTGAAGAGAGAGAGTATAAAATCATAGTGAAAATACAGAAAGGCTATTGAAGTAAACTGGTCACTTTTTTTTTTTAAGGAGATTAGTCATTTTCTATGGCAATAGTTTATTTGGCTTATTTACTGCAAACAATCGTTGTTGTCTCTAAAAGCAAATTAATCTTATATAGCCTTTCTATATATACTTTGAAATAGTCATTCCCCTTTCATCAAGTATTTTATATTATCTTTATTCTAACTTATATTGTAACCATTACAGATGAGAATATGGTATGCTTTAGAATGGTCTCTATTGTTTTTGAATTTTAACGAAATACTATTATTATGAAAGAAGCTCTCCTTTACCAGCATTAATAAAGCCTAGTCTTTAATATGACTTGTATTTTACTAAAATGTGGAAAGGCTTAAATACCTTATATTCATTTGAAAAGGTTATATAACACTGAAGTGGTTTTATGCAGATTTTGCTTTCAATAAATACGCCAATAGAGATATAAATGAGTAAGCGATGACTTCTACTTATTTCTTTTTATTATTATTATTAAAATAACCACTATAAATAAGGGCAACTATACATAGAATTAACACTATTAAATACAATCATGTCATTTACAAACAATGTAGGTATAGGTAAAGAAATGTGACAATAATTAAATAACTTTGCTTGTTTTAATTTATTCATTATGTAATACACCAACCATTAAAAGGGATTTTTTAATAATAATTTATTTATTTTAAATAAAACCCACATAATAAATTTAGCTTTTATTTAACGCTTGTTGTGATTACAGTTAGCACTTTTTTTTGTTAATAAATGTAATATATATTTATATAAATGATTTTTTTAAAACTCTTATCAATGAAATACTTAACGATTAGGACTAGTTGGGCTATAACTTGGTGAAGTGGGACTATAACTTGGTGAAGTAGGACTATAGCTAGGCGAAGTGGGACTATAGCTTGGTGAAGTTGGGCTATAGCTTGGGCTCGTTGGCGAATAGCTAGGAGATGTAGGGCTATAGCTTGGTGAAGTTGGGCTATAGCTGGGACTAGTAGGACTATAGCTAGGTGAAGTAGGTGAATAGCTAGGACTTGTAGGGCTATAGCTGGGACTAGTAGGTGAGTAACTAGGACTCGTAGGACTATAGCTTGGTGAAGTAGGGCTATAGCTTGGACTAGTAGGTGAATAACTAGGCGAAGTTGGGCTATAACTTGGACTAGTAGGACTGTAACTAGGTGATGTAGGGCTATAACTAGGCGATGTGGGACTATAGCTTGGTGACGTAGGGCTATAACTAGGACTGGTAGGTGAATAACTAGGACTAGTAGGTGAGTAACTAGGACTCGTTGGTGAGTAACTAGGACTAGTAGGTGAATAGCTTGGACTAGTTGGTGAATAGCTTGGGCTAGTGGGTGAATATGAAGGGCTCGTGGGTGAATAAGTAGGAGAAGCTGGTGAATAACCAGGGGAAGCTGCATATGATGGACTCGAAGGTGAATATCCTGGTGATGTAGGAGAATATGTAGGGCTCTGTGCATATGGGCTAAGATCTCCACGCCAAGGACTAGTAATTGAACCAACAGCACCTGAATTACCAATAGGAGAGAACATCGGCTCTGAAGGTGATGAAGGCTGTGAGAAATCAACCCAATCAGGTGAACGTGTGTCGTATGGAGTCGCCATATTAGGAGTCATATAACCTGGACCAGGTGTAGCAAATCCGGTCATATCACCAGCCAAGCCCATTGGCATATTCTGTCTGTGATCTTGAGGAACAGTTTGCAACATTTCTTCATCTAACATCACATCAAATTCACCAGTACCAAGAGGTGCAGTTTGACCTAACATAATATTTTCTGTAACACCCTTACAATCATCAAGCTCACCAACTGCTGCGGCTTCCATAAGAATTTCAACAGTTTCTTCAAAAGAGCATCTCATTAAAGCACCAGTCTCTGCTCTATTAATACCATGACGAGTAATGGCCATTAAGTGACCACGATTAGTCATAACATCACAAAGCAAAGCCAAGTGACGATAGTTAACATAAGAACCATCGAATTCAATAACGTTACGTAATTCCTTAAGAAGTGCCTTACGAGTAGCCTCAATACCAAGTACCTCCATAATTTCAACAGTATTATTGGAGTAAGTACGAGTTTCATCTACACCTATTTGACACATAACTTGTTGAAGATTGATACCATCCGTATCAAGACCCCATTCTGTAGTAGTCTCGAATATGCCCTTCTCACTAAGAGCAGTATTTTTACGTTCAACGATATAGACTTTTTTAATACCGGGTATACCACGAAGATCAATTGAGCTTAACATACTAGCTTCCAATTTACGAAGGAAAGTGTCCTCTTCAGGTCTACCTTCTTCATCATCCATCTCCTTCTCTTCATTCTCATCTAACATAACTCTACAACGAATAATCAATTTCTCGGAGTTTTCGTCACTACCAATGACATGAAGATCATTACGGAATTCTTCAGTGATTTTCTGAACAACTTCAGTAATATTAAGACGCTTATCAATCATCATACCACGATTCAATTCAATACGGAGTAACCATGGTGAAACACGAGTAACAAATGGTGAATTATCATCTTCAAGTTGATAGTAGGTATCTACAAAATCAGCATCTTCTTCAATTACTGTATTTCTTGGGTCAGGATCGTAATAAATTTCAGTTACTGATGTGATCTTTTGTAATGTAGTATGTTCAAGATAAACCTGCACTTCTTTAGCTAATTCAATATTACGAGATCTTTCAGCGTCAAGCCAGACTTCAAGACGAGGGGTCTTAATATTCTTAGCAACATTGATAATTTCCTTCAAACGAGGTACACCAAGAGTGACATTCTTACTAGAGACACCAGCATAGTGGAAAGTATTCAATGTCATTTGAGTAGCAGGTTCACCAATAGATTGAGCAGCAATTGTACCAACCATTTCACCAGGTGCTACAACTGAAGTTAAGAAGCGAGATTCAATTTCTCCGAGAATCCTGTTTTTTTAAAATATATATACATATACATATATATACATACATATTAAATTTAAAAAAAAATACTTTTTAAAAATAAATTGATCATCTTTTACCATTCAAAAGCTTGAGAAGTTAAGTGGAATTCTTCAACTACACGCTTAACAGCAAAAGTTGAACGAAGCAAAATTTGGAAAAGTAGTGTAGCATTTTTTTGGGTTTCATTTGAAATCTTATCCTTGCCACGGACAACAAGCAAACGTGTAACAAGAGAATTAATACCATCAATGACTTGAAGAGGATGTATATCAGAAGGCTTACGAGGGTCTAAGTGGAAGATTTGCTGAGAGTTGGTAATTAAACGAAGAAGATTAACTGGCAAAGGCCATCTGTCATCACCTTGCTTGAAGATTTGGGTTCTTAACAATTGACGATCAATACTCAATTGGTTGAATTCTTGATCCAAGTATTCCTGAGCAGACTCACTACCTTCAATTGTCTTTAATACATTATAATTAAGGCTACCCTTTTTAAAGCCTTGATTCATAATGTCTACTTTGTAACGTTTTATAAAATCTTCTTCACCACATCTGAGTGAGACAAACTTCTGATTTTCAACTGTCATAGCATCCATACCATCTTCACCATAACAAAATTCAATAATATCGCCTAGTGAATTACGAACAGTACCATCATATTTAACCATAACATCTTCCAATGCTTTTACAAGACGACGTTGAATGTAACCAGTTTCAGCAGTCTTAACAGCAGTATCGATTAGACCTTCACGACCACCCATAGCGTGAAAGAAAAATTCAGTAGGTGTTAAACCACGTAAATAAGAATTTTCTACAAAACCACGACTTTCGGGACTATGGTCATCCTTTGAAAAGTGGGGGAGTGTACGGAATTTGAAACCATAAGGAATACGTTTACCTTCCACGTTTTGTTGACCAACACAAGCAGACATTTGAGAGATATTAATAAATGAACCCTTTGAACCAGCAATTACCATCTGCTTAACATTGTTATCTTCCTTTAAACTGTTTTGAGCCATTTTACCAGCATCATCACGAGCTTTATTCAATGTTTGGTTGACTTTAGCTTCAAAAGATTCACGCAATGTCATACCAGGTTGAACTTCAAGCTTATCTTGTTGAGCAGTAATAATAACCTCTTGTACACGTTGTTTGGCTTGAGAAATAATATTGGTGATTGTAGCCATAGAAGTTTTATCAGCAATTGTATCACCAATACCAATACTGAAACCGTTTTGTAAGAGCCAATAGTTCACAACTTGTTGAGTACCTCCCAAGAAGTTCTTTGCTGCTTCGGGTCCTAATTCGTTCATGATCGTGTGGACAAGGCCACCGCTAGAAGTACCAACTGTCTTTTTACAAACAATACCACAAATAAGCTCACCATTTTCGATGATAACACGAGTATCACCAGGGGAAATCAAAGTTGTTTCACCATCAGGATGAGTAGAGTGGAAAGTCAAGCAGTTGATACCCTTAGGGATAACCATTGAAAGGATTTGCTTACCTGTCCACATAGGTTTAGGTTTAAGAATGGCAGGAGTAGGAATATAGCCATCCCAAGAGGGAACCCACATGACAATATTCATTACCAAATCCTTTGTCAAAAAACAATCTCGTAACGTAAATTTACGAATACCGCAGAGTGTATCCTGCACAATACCCATAACAGGCTTATTAGATTGAGGAGATACAATTTGTTTAGGAACCATACAGATTTCAGTAATTTCAGCTCTTGTTTCTAATGATTGTGGAACATGAAGATTCATTTCATCACCATCAAAATCTGCGTTATAAGGAGAAGTAACTGACAAATTTAAACGGAAAGTAGAATAAGGCATAACCTTAACACGATGCCCCATCATAGACATTTTATGAAGAGAAGGCTGACGGTTAAAGATAACTACATCATCATCGTTGATATGTCTTTCTACTTTATAACCATATTGAAGAGGGATTTCACCAGCACGTTTACGATAACGCAAATCAATACGTTCACCATTATCACGAATGACATATTTAGCACCAGGGTGCTCCAATGGGCCATTACGAACTAATGCTTGAAGCTTATCGATATTGTATGGGGTAACAATTTCAGGATAAGTCAAGTTTCGAGCAATACTACGTGGGACACCAACTTGATCTACAGCAAGATTAGGGTCACCAGTAATGACGGTACGTGCAGAGAAATCTACACGTTTACCCATAAGATTACCACGAAGACGGCCTTCTTTACCCTTAAGACGAGCACGAATAGACTTAAGAGGTCTACCGGACTTCTGTAGAGCTTGAGGTTGGCCAGCAATATCATTATCCATATAAGTAGCAATATGGAACTATATATGGCAATTATAAGTTCTCAAGTAATTATAAATTATAAATTAATTTGACAAACCTGTAGAAGTTGTTCAAATTCTTGAACTACGTGTACTGGTGCACCTTCAGATTCGCAACGCTTTACATTTGAATTAGCCTTCAAAATATCAGATAACTTGTGAGTTAAATCATCTTCACCACGACTAGTACCGTCCATTTGAATGGATGGACGAACTTGTGGAGGAGGAACAGGTAAGACGGTGATAATCATCCATTCAGGTCTAGCAAATTCTTCTGATAAGCCCATATCACGAATATCTTTATCCGAAATATTTTTGAGAATCTGTAATACTTTAGCTGCAGTCAATTGCTGTCTTCCTTCATTACCAGAATCCTATATAATTTAATAAGTTTGTAATATAATTAGCAATCCATTATAAATATATATACAAATGTATATATATTATAAACAAGCTTACATCGCCAGGACTTGGACGGAATTGAGCATATAGTTTTAAGCCATCTTTACGGATGAGAGGCTGCTTATAACCACAGCCACCATGATTGCTTTTACGTTTTCCGCTATCAAACTCTTCCTTCATATCCAAATCATCATCAACATCATCACTGCCTTCACAAGTCATCTTGGCTTTTGCAAGATCCCAGACAGCTCTAAGTCTTGCTTTAGAATCAGCAATTCTTCTTGCTCTTTCAAAACGAGGATTTGACTGAAGTTTTTTTTTTTTTTTAAGAAAAAAAATAACAACGAAACTATCAATAAAAATTATTCAAAAGAACTATGTAAAACTTACCTCATCTACTTTAAGTTTTGAACAATGAAAGCAAACACATTCAAGAATCTTCTTCACTTTTGACAAGAAACCTATAATTCTTGACAGTTAATACTTCAAACTTAAACATGGCAGTTAATAAAATATACCAATATGATAAATAGGCTTGGCAAGTTCAATATGACCAAAGTGGCCTGGACACTCTGCCATTCCTTCACCACAAGTTTGACATTTGTAGTTACGGTCAATTGTACCCATACGAGGATCTAATAAACCGGCAGGTTTAGGCTTCTGAGTGCCTTCTTCATATAATTCGGGGTATTCGATCTTGGCTACGGACATTGCTTTCTATAAAAAAAATGAAAAAAATGAATAGACAAATTCGTTGATTTCTGTCAATGAGGTACTTTACAATTTCTTCAGGAGAAAGAATGCCAAATTGAATAGCATCAACACGTCGAAGAGGTGCAGATGAAAAGGCAAATGGATGTCCACTCATTTTAAATAAATATGTATTTTTTTTTTAAAATTTGATTATTTTTTGTTGTTTTTTTGCGAGTAAAATGAAAATTTTTTTATCGATTAAAAATAACGATTTACGAAATGAAACTGGGAAAATAAATGTTTGTTGATTATTGATTTAGAAACTAATTTCACGACGTATATTTTCCTCTTGTATTTGCTGTGTTGTCGTCTTTTCTTTTCTTTTCTTTATAGATAGATTAGAAAAAAAAATAGAGAATAATCGTTAACAAGTACAAAAAAATAAAATAATTAAATCTTTGTTTTGTGAGATTATAAACAAATCAAGAATAATTAAAAGATAAGAAATGTACTATAAAAGATAAGATGTAGATTTCTATTGATGAAGTTGTGGATTCTTGTTTGTTCGATACGCAAATTTAAATGAAAAAATTTGGTTTCGAACAAAAAGGCTAGTACGCAGCAACTATAAAAAAAAACGAAAACTTGAAGTTATGACAAAATAAATTTAATTTTCCGCTGCCTTCCCCCAAAAAAAAATTTTGGAAAAACAAAAATACATATTTCTAAATACACCACAAAACAGTTTTATTCGTAGATTTTTTATTGCATAATTTCTACTTGCTCCTCACTAAGAATGGTATCCATTGCACCGTTATCAATTTCTATACTACATGATTAAATATATTAAGATTTGACGATCGTATTTTATCAACTCGCCCGATTCTCTATAGTTGTCTCTGCTTTAGGTTTTTGTGAGTGCTAGGATAATGCATTATTTATTTTGTCGAAAATAGTTTGTACATTGTCCTTTTGGGTTTGAATATATTGCTTTATAGGAAGGTGTAATTTTCATTTCTCGAAATAAACACCAAATTATAGGAAATACAATTGTTTCTCCAACATACAGTGAATGTATAAATTAAAATTCGAACTTGTGATTGAACAACGTTTATATAATTTATATTTGAAGAAACAATATGCAAAATTTTATAAACGCATAGTCATTAAATACTAATAAAGTGTTTTCTTAAAAGTTAGATGTTTAGTTTTGCTGGTCAATTGTGCTTTGACACCTGTTGCTTGCAAACAAGGAAAGACTTCTTTAATAGCAAAAAAAAGAAAAAAAAAAATAGGAATATTCTATTGAATTAAAAAAAAATTAATAGAAGCTGGTAGTCTTTTTTGTAGCGAATGGTCAATATATAAAGACGAAATATGTCGTTATATATAAGGTTATATTTAGCCAATTATGTTTTGCTCCTTATGTAGCTCTTCAGATGATAAATAGACTTTTGGTAAAATTCACTGAAAAGATAGAAATACAAAATTATTCATAAACTTTTCTTTTTCAAAAGGATATGAACAATTATATCCATTATTTTAAACACTTCATAATTAATAAAGTAATAAAATATTTCCATTAGTTTTTTCTGGTTAAAGAAGTTGCTATTCTTACCTGAATTGGCTTTATGTTCTTATTGCTATTTAAGATTTAGAGTTCGATATTATCTGGTTGTAATTGCAGAATTAAAAAATATTGGCATAGCATTTTCTCCTTACTGCACACTTGTTTTCGAATAAGTGACTGTTATTTTAAAATTTTGTTTAAATAAAAAAAAAAAAAAAAAGAAAAAGAAAAAGAAAAAGTTCGTACAATATTATTTTGATTCTTCAACCCCACGTTCATCAAAATCTTTTTCAATGCGTAGTTTAGAACTTCTGGGTCAAAGAACTGCAAAAGTAACAAGTTCAACTATTGATGGACGTTCTTTCATTGCTTTCGATCCCGAATCCTCCACAGTTTATGCTGCATTTGTTGATCTAAATGATCAAATCCGTGTAGCTGCCAATAATTTAGCACCCAATGATCCTAACGCTTTTGTAGAAATTGATCGTTGCCCTGGTTCAAATATTGTTAATTTCACTTTCATTGCCGATCAACAAGTAGCTTGTCTTTGTACTTGGAGTGGCGATATTATTCATTTTAGTAAAGAACGTTTTGAAAAAGGAGAAGAAGCTGTGAGTAATTTGTTTTTTTTTTTGAGGAAAAAAAAAGAAAAAGAAAAATTGGCAATTTTTAATTATTTTGTTTGATAGATGGAAATAATAGGTTCTGTTGATGCAGGTATTCATGCCATGTGCTGGAGTCCTGATCAAGATTTACTTGTTTTGGTTACAGGTAAAATATTTGAAAGTTAAGATTAATAAGCAATAATTTATTTTTTAAAAAAAAATCTCTTGATAGGCGATAAAAAGATTGTAGAAATGACACAAGATTTTGATACAATTACTGAATTTTATTTCCATGTTGAGGATCAAGGTGAGGGCGTACAACATAGTGTTGGATGGGGTAGAAAAGAAACACAATTCCATGGTTCAGAAGGAAAACAAGCAGCACAACAAAAAATTGATACTAGTAAATTTGTCACATCAAATGATGATGATTCAAAGCCTCGTGTTGCATGGAGAGGCGATGGTAGCTTCTTTGTTGTTTCGGATGTTGATCCTAACCGATCTGCTCGTGTTATTCGTATTTATAATCGTGAAGGTGTTTTACAAAATACAAGTGAGCCTGTTGATAAATTAGAACATGTATTGGATTGGCGACCTTCAGGAAATTTGATTGTCTCTAGTCAACGTTTACCTCATCGTCATGATATTGTCTTCTTCGAGAGAAATGGCTTAAGACATGGCGAATTTAGCTTGAGAGAGACTCAGGATATGAAACAAAAAGTATTGGAGGTTATGTGGAATGCGGATTCAACAGTGCTTGCTATTTGGATTGAATCTGTGATTAACGGAAAATTACAAAAGACAGTTCAACTTTGGACCTCAAAGAACTATCATTGGTATATGAAGCAGCATATTGTACTTTCTGAAGAGAGAGATATTATCGGATTTGCTTGGGATGTTGAGAATGCTTTAATAGCACATCTGTTTACAAGTGATGGAGAATATCATCGTCTTTTATACACTTTGGATGTTTATACAAGCACATCGATTGATGAAGCCAATTCTGGTTATGTTGCTGTAATTGATGGATCCCAATTACTTTTGACACCTTTTGCTTATATGAATGTGCCTCCTCCCATGAGTTCACTTGCTGTAAACGCTCATGATAATATTCAGTATGTTGCTTTTAGTCCTCATTTGAACGGATTAAAAGTTGCTGTTCTTACAAATCAAAAAATTCAATTGTTTGATCTTCCTGAAAAGGGAGTTGGTAATGCTTCTCTCACAGATGAATACATTTTACCTGAAATTACTGCTGAAAATGAATCTTATGCGAGAAATCACATTCGTCAGTTATGCTGGGTTAATGAAACTCAATTGGTTTATTGTCAGTATGACGATAGTTTGCAAGCGGATATGATTTGTATTGCCAAATTCAACAATAAAAATATGACAATAACAGCACACCCTTTTGATGGATCTGTGGGACGTATCTACTTTAATGTAAATACAAAGGATTTGATTGCTGAAAGACTTGATGGTTTCGTTTTCAACATAGCATTAGATGATGAACAAGCCACAATCAGTCAAATTGAACAGTTCCCTGATTTCTGTCCTTGGATTGCTACTGCTCGTATTGGTATTAGCTCTAAGGAGTATGCTGTGATTGGTTTAACTGACCGTAGTAAATTATACATAAATGACAACTTGATTTCTTCAGAAGCTACATCCTTCTATTTACGCGGTGCTTGGTTAGTATTTTCTACTACGCGACATACCGCTCGATTCTTGTCATTAGACAGTTCCTCTATAAATGATCTTAGTTTACCCGATGATACTAATGATGCATACGATGAAACGTCTAGACGACTTGAACGTGGCTCCAAGATTGTAATAGCTACTCAACATAAGCCTAACCTTGTGTTACAGATGCCCCGTGGTAACCTTGAAACGATCAGCCCTCGTGCTTTTGTTCTTGCTGCTATTCGTGAAGATCTCAAAAACCTCAACTTCCGTTCTGCATTTATTGCCTGTCGAAGAAACAGAATTGACTTGAATATTCTTTATGATGATAATCCGGAACGTTTTATTGAGCATATTCGTACATTTATTGAACAAGTATCTGAGGTAGATTACCTTAACTTATTCCTATCGAATCTTCGAAATGAAGATACACTTGTAACTATGTATCGTCGTGGTGGACGAACAGCAGATCAATTGACAGCAGCTCCAGGCGTTGAAAACAAAGTCAATACGGTATGTGAAGCAGTTCGAAAAATTTTAATAGAGCTAGGACAAGAACGTTATATGCAGTCAATTCTTTCTACCTATGTCCGAAGCTCACCTCCTGATCTTGAATCTGCTATGACTCTCTTATCTGAACTTCGCGAAACAAACCATACAGCAGCTGAAGATGCTTTGAAATATACTATCTTTTTATGTAAGGCTGATCTATTGTATAATGTCGCCTTGGGTATGTATAATTTCCCTCTTACCCTCATGGTCGCTCAACAAGCACAAATGGACCCTAAAGAATATCTTCCCTTCTTACAAGAGCTCAAGAATTTTGAAAAATATTATCAGCGTTACAAGATTGATGATCATCTTAAACGTTATGAAAGAGCAATTAAGAATTTAAGTTTGGCTGGTGACGAACATTTTGATGAGCTTCTAGACTATATGCAAAAGCATTCTCTTTACCATATTGCAATTGAAGAATATGCCAACAAACGACAACAAAGGATAGCTATCTTGGAGGTCTATGGTGCTCACCTTGATTTTACCACTCAATATGAAGAAGCTGGTATTGTTTTTGTTATGGCGGGTAATTTGGTTAAGGCACTTGAATCGTATCGTATGGCAGGTTGCTGGAGAGAAGCATTTTCGATATCTAACCAACTTAATTACACTCAAGAAGAGACACATGCCTTGGCTTATAGCATGATTGAATATCTGAAGGATAAGCGTCGTTATCAGGAAGCAGCTGCTGTAGCTAAGGATTATGCAAATGATGTTGAAGAGGCTGTTGATTGTCTCTTGAAGGGTTCTCTCTGGAAAGAAGCCGAACGTGTCTCCTACAGCTCTGGTCGTTCAGATCTGATTGAAACACATGTTAAACCTGGACTTGTGGAAGGATATACTCAAATGGATGATGATATTGATGAAATGATGACCCAATTCCATAAACAATCGACACGACTTGTTGAACTCCGCACACATAAACCCGAACCAACTCAAGTGAATCCAATGGCTAATGATGAAACATTGGATAACATTGATATGTTCTCTGATACAACATCCATGTATAGTCAGTTTACACGATACACAAGTGCTTCCTCTCGAGTCTCAACCATGTCATCCTCTACACAAGGTTCTGCACGATCTCGAAAGACATCTAAGCTTAGAAAAAGAGAAGAGCGTAAGAGAGCTCGTGGTAAAAGAGGTACTGTCTTTGAAGAAGAATACATTGTTAATTCCATCAAGAAACTTATTGAAAAGGCTTGCAGTATGCAAAGTAAGTGTTAAAAAAGAAAAAAAAATTATTTATTTATACATTTTTGTTTAACTCTTTCATTTTATTTAGATGAACTTGGTAGTTTGATTCGCGCTTTAGTTCCCTTTGAATATGTTGAAGAAGCTAGAGCAATACAAGAAAAGTTTGATAAATTTTTCAAGGAACTTGAGGGATGTATGAATACAGTTTTTGTCCCTTTGAAATTAGCTGTTAGTTTGGTAAGTTATTATGCAAAAAAAAAAAAAAAAAAAAAAAAAAAAAAAAAATCATTACACCTAACCCTTATTCTATATATAGTATGCAACACTTGAAGAATTTGAAGAAGCAAAGAATAATCCCAAAGTCATTGAAAAGCCTGTCATTAACAAGGTGGATTGGAAATTAAAATTATTGTAAAAAAAAAAAAAAAAAAAAAAAAAAAAAAAAAAAAAAAAAAAAAAAAAAAAAAACTACTACATATACACACATCTATTTTTTTGTATAATAAAACATTTTATTTTAAAAATCTTATTCATAATTACTGCTTGTGATATATTGGCCATTCTACATATAATATACAGATTATATCTAGAGTGAACTCAACTTATAAAAGAGTGAATAAATAATTTAATTTGTTATATAATCATCAGCAGCTTGTCAAATGACTTCTTCCAGAAAAAAAAATTTTGGTATTCTGTATGTCGACTTGTAAATGAGAACATGATAATTGATGATTTTAAACAACGATACTCCTCGGGCATTCCTCGTCTTGGAGAAACATGGAATGAACTCAACGATCTTGAAGGCGTTAGTATGATAGTGGACAAAGAAGGTCTGACCCACTATGGCCAAGTTTTGTCTGCAACATGTTACAATAATCTCTACGTTGAAAAAATTTCGAATCTCATCCAACGTTCTGTCTCAATTTAATTTCTCCTTTGTCCCCTTTTTTTGCATCTGTATCTGAATTTCCCTTTTTTATTCATCCAAAAAAGGTAAACAAACTATCTGAAAATTAATTTTAATTCGTCCAAAAAAATACTAACATCGACTGAATTTGAAGTAGACATACTATATGTTTCGAGTGACCGTTACCTTACAGCAAGAAAAAAAAAAACACGCACACACACTTTTTTTTTTACCACAATCTAAATAAATATTCATATACAAATATTATATTAGTTTTAATATGCCTGTTGCTAAGATTTCACCTTCTATGCTTTCTTGTGACTTTGCCAATTTGGCTTGTGAAGCTAAGCGTATGAGTAAGAATGGTGCTGATTGGCTTCATCTTGGTAAATATAATCGCTTCTATAATGAAATGGTTAAATAGAATATTTACTTTTTTATTTTCTCCCCGTCTCTCTCTCTCTCTCTTTCTTTCTTTCTTTTAGATGTCATGGATGGGTATGAAAAAAGATAAAAAAAAAAATGACAGCACTCAACTTAAAATGTTAATAATCTATTTGAATCGTTTGTTTCATACAGTCATTTTGTTCCTAATCTTACTATGGGTGCACCCATCATTTCTGCCATTCGTCCTCATACAGAGGCGTATTTCGGTAAAGGAAAAAAAATATACGAACATAACATATACATGCATATATATTAAAACAGTTTTTATTTAGATTGTCATATGATGGTCTCTAACCCTTCACAATGGGTGAATGATATTGCTAAAGCAGGTGGCCAAATGTATACTTTTCATATTGAAGCCACTCAAGACCCTATTGGACTTATTAAGCAAATCCATGAAGCAGGTATGCAAGCAGGTGTTGCGATTAAACCTGGTACTCCAATTGAAGCTGTTGTTGGTGAAGTTGCTGAACTCTGTGATATGATTTTGGTCATGACTGTTGAACCTGGTTTTGGTGGTCAACGTTTCATGGCTCAATGCATGCCCAAGGTGGAAGCATTACGCCGTATGTATCCTAAACTGGATATTGAAGTGGATGGAGGTCTTTCGCTCGAGACCATTGATGCCTCAGCTGATGCTGGTGCCAATGTGATCGTTGCAGGTACTGGTATATTTAAGGCCGAAAAACCTGATGAAGTAATTGCTGTTTTTAAAGAAAAGGTCAATAAGGCACAACAAACAAAATTTGCTGCATAAACAATTTTTTTTTGAAGTCCTTATACATGTATCAAAATATTATCTTTTTTTTTGAGAGAGAGAGAGAAAGAAAGAAAGAAAGAAAGAGATAACAATTATTTATGTTTATTCTTTTTCTATTTTATTTGCATTTGCATGTTTATATTTAGTCTTTTGGGAATACAGGACGATAATACATAGTTGTAACGTACTATTAAAAAGTATATAAGAAATGAGTATATATGCTATATATATATCTCTCTCTCTTTTCTCCCTTACCTTCTTTCTGTATCTGGAAGTAGTAGCTAAGGCCATCACGTTATCCTTAATTGAACATGCATATAAATGATTCAATGTGACATGATTAGGTTCATATAAAACTGAATTATCTTCTTCACTCACTGTATGAGAATTTAATAAAACTTTATCAAGATGAGGTGGCAAGGTAGGTGGTTGAGGTTGTTTTTTCTCCCATTCTATAGCAGTCCTTCTTTGCTCATCATCGTCACTCGTTAATAATGATGCCAACTGCAATAACTCAGTTGGAATGACATTTGAATAATATTGTTTATCATCCGCTGGTAACATTGAACTAGAGGATGAGACAGTTGACAGATCACCTAATTCATCGTTATTTTCTTCATCGTCTTCATCCATCACTTGTAAATAATTGACAAGATTGCCGTCAGGATCTGTTGCAGTTTCCATATCGTTTGAACATTTCCATTCATCATCAACAATAAATTTTAAACGATGTGTTCCAGGTGGTAATTCAAGTACTGCACTAAAATCATGTGTACTATATATAAAGAACTGTATGAATAATCGATACAAATAGATCGATCATCTCCAAAAATTTACCTTTTCACTAGTTTAATTTTATGTTTCCATCCATTGAACGTACCTGTAACATAAACATTATTTCCTCCCTGAGTCCAAGTAATGATTGTCGGTATGCCTACTTGGATTAAATTAAATAAAAAAAAAAAAGTCTATATCACAGTTGTATAATTTCAATTTTTAGCTTTTTTTTTTTACCATGGCTTGTGTTGTTGTTATTATGATGACTTGGATGTTGTTGGTGTTGATTTGTATTCAGGGCCGTATTTGTATGTGTAGGACTGTGAGTAGAGATGATATGCGATAGATCTTCATCATTTTCATTATCACGTGTGACACTCATGCCACGTGTACGATAATAAGGACCGCTAATAGATGCACGATGATGTGAAGAGCCATACCATGGACTTGCTCCACCCGTACTAGACACCCATCCAGATTTTTGAGTAGCGTTCGTATTGGTTTCCGTCTTTTGTTCGATCATGGAAGGGTCCTTTAGTGATTGATTTGACATTGTACTTGTGATAATAGGTGATATAATATGTTCTTCTTCTTCGTGTGTATTTAAGAGAGGTTCTGTAATAGTTAAATGAACAGTGGGTAATGCTTGTTGTTGTTTTGTCGATGAACTAGAATTAGTTGAACTAGTCGAGGTAGATATAGATGACGGAGGTACTGCGATCGTAGCTGGCTTTGGTTGAGGAGATAAGGATACGCTATTCTTTCTACTACTATTATTACTATTATTTCGGCTTCTACTTTTTTTGGTTGTTGAATTGAATTAATGGAATGGCTACTTCCTTCTGTTGAATTTGTATTTCCCATTGAATTTTGTAGTAAAAGAAAGACAAAAAAAAATAAAAATAAAAAAAAAGCAAGCAAGTAAGTAAGCAAGTAAGCATAATCATTAATTCACTAAAAACACCCCTGTTATACACTACAAAAAAAAGATAGTAGGATGATAATAGTTTATTATTATTATGTTTTATTATTTGTATTTTGTTGACCATCTAATATAGCATTTGTTCGACCATCATCGTTTGATTTTCCTCTTGCTCCAAATTCTTCACGAGCTTGGTCTTGCCATCTATGTTGTTTTGCAATTTCATGAATCTTGAAACCAAAGATACGAGGCACATATCTTTCTGTGGTTTTATTAGGTAGATAGTTTGGATGAACTTGGAATAACATATGAGGAAACGAAGTACCAAAATAAGCACCATCAATTGCAGCATGACGTGATGATTTAGGATTATAAATGTCTTCACAACGAGGGCAATATAATTTTACGGTTTTTGTCATGGGAATGTCCGATAATCCAACTGGAAGCAAAGACTGCATGTTGCAAAGGACACGAGGACAACGACCGAATTCTGCTCTTTTATATTTATCTAACTTTTTTTTTTTTGTTAGTATAATTTGACGAAAAATGAAGGTATATTATATATAAATATACCATTTTCATTAATCCTCGGCTTGTAAGAATAAAACGAGCATGAATTAAACCATATAAATGACGAGCTGCTTTTTCAATTTGTTCTCTTATATTATCTTCCACCCCTTCTTCATCTAAAGAAGATAAATAAATAAATAAAAAAGGGGAAACTCCAGATGAGACGTTGATTTAATGACTGGTGTTTATTTAATAATCACCTAAATTGTCTGTAATCAAATCTAAAGCTTCTGAATAATAATGAGGTACTTCTGTATTTAGACCGGTCAAGTTAAATCTATCCAAAATATACTCTTCGTCAATTTCACAGAAATACTCATTTCCTTTTGTATCTAAAAACCAATCAATCCAGTATTTTGCATATTCGCTATCTGATCCACTACTCATGGCTTGATGACACAAATAAAAATAAAAATAAAATAAAATAAAAAATGAGCTCTTTTTTTTTTTTTTTTTTTTTTTTTGTATGTGTATATGTATATATGATACGATGAATAGCCAATCGAATTCGAGTATTTATAGTTACATTTAAGATAAACTTCTTCAAGTTGTTTTAGCTCAAAAATAATGCTAATATAAAGTTCTATTCTATTTGTCTTGTTCAATACTATAAGCTGAGAGAGATATATGAAGTTAAAAAAAAAAAAAACGTATAAGGTTCAAGTTGTTTCCAGCTTAAAAATCACAAAGAACTTGTATTTGCTAATAACCATAACTACTTTGGATACACAGTAAAAGTTGTTTAAATACAACATGTAATTATAACAGTCATAATAAAATAAGTGTGATTCTTAGAGTCTTTATAAGTCACATAGTAGTACCTTTTTTTTTCTTTTTTTTTTAAAAAAATAAAAAATATTTCCTCCACACACACGCACATAAACTAAATTTTTATTTAAACGATGGGGTTACATTAAAATTTGACTGTGATAGGAGGATTTTAACTCTTTTTGAGGTAAAACAATGCAATTACGAATAATAGTTTCATCCAATACAGATACTTCTTTACCAAGAATAGTAATACTTTGTACTTTGACTCCATTTTTCATCATTTCTTCATTATCATCTGACATGGCATTACTACCTTCTACACGAGCCCATGCACCAATTTTACTATTCCAGCCAATAACAGAATGAAGGATACAACTAGCGTGCTTTTGTAATATTTGATTAGTGACGATATACACACACACACACATACATATATATTACCCCTATTGTAACATGATCAAGAATAATTGAATCTTTAATACGAACTCCCTTACCGATAACGGCTTTAGGTCCAATGGATACGTTAGGACCCATCTAAAATGGTATAAATAAACATGCGTTTATTGTATATATATATATATTTTTCATTTATTTAAATCACCTTGGATGTTGGATCTACTTGAGCTAAAGGATGAATATAAACAGCGCCTATAATTTCAGGTCCATTCTCTGTATGACGAGTTAATCTACTATTATTTTCATGATATTGTAATTCTAAATAAGCAGCATTAGCAGAGATAGCAGATCTATAAAAGCAATATTGGACTTTATGATTCTATATGCATACATGTCGTATATAAACTTACCCTGCAGTTTTGATTTGTTTCCAAAATCCTTCAGTTACATAACAATAGAGCTTTCTTGATTCTGATAATGGACGTAATAGATCACGTTCAAGACTTAATTTATGAGTAGATACAATAGAGTCATCATAGTCCAGTCTATCTTGTTCCTTTTTTGTTTCAATCGCTCTTTTAATTTCAGTAAAGACAGAGACATCAAAAAGATAAACGCCGCATGAAATTAAATCAGAAATGAATGTCTCTGGCTTTTCAACATAATGAAGGACTTCATGTGTCTCTGAATTCTGAACTAAACAGCCATATTTATGAGCTTTTTCACGAGTAATCTATAGGAAGATAAGATGTTGAAGGGTAAAATGATAAAAGAATGAATGAATAGATTTTAGGATTCACCTTTGTGCTTAACATGGTGCATAATCCTCTATGCTTCATATGAGCAGAGATTAATTCATTTAAAGGAAAAGTACAAGCTATATCCACATGCATAACAAAGAACTGTTTAGGATTACCACGTACTATTTCATCACGGAAATGATAGATGCCACCTGCAGTACCTAATGCTTGATATTCACGTAAATATCTAAAATAGTAAAAAGTGTTTAGCTTTCAATAATAATAAATAAAGAGAGAGAGAGAATGAAGGTAAAGAGATTACTAATTATATTTTTTTTTGTTCTTTTTACTTTATATTCAGGTTGGGAAACTCATTAGTGGCATCTTCAATAAACTGAGAAAATATGGCATTTTCAAAAAAGCCAATAATCAATACTTCTTGTAATCCACTAATTTTAGAAAGTGCAGCCAAGTGATGAGCAATAAGAGGAGCACCTGCAACTGGAAATAAAGGTTTTGGCACATCTAAAGATAAAGGTCTAAAGCGTGTTCCTCTTGAAGGGCCGCCTACCAGAATAACGGCTTTAAATTGTTGTGACATTAAAAAGAGATGTTCATTTAAAGAAAAAAAAAAAAAAAAAAAAAAAAAAAAAAAAAAAAAAAAAGACGGTGTTTAAAAAATATTTATTCTTCCATGAATTTAATCAATTTTTTTTTTCTCCCCCTTTTTTTATATTCATATAAAAATGTATATCGTTTGATTTTTTTTTTATTAGAATTATTCCCTTTTTTTTTTTTTTCTTCCTCATTTCTTTTTCTTTTATCTTATTTCCAAAAAAAAATCATGACTACAGAAAGAATTTCCCAAATATTGCCAACAGTAAAATGCTCGGACTGTGGTAAAGATGTTCAAATCCGACGTTTAGGTGATCATCTCTGTTCAAGTCAACCTCCTATGCCTTTATCTATTATTCCTAATAAAGCTAAAAATTACAAAACGATGAAGCCAATATCACCTGTACAAAGCCCTAATGACTATTATAATCATCAAAAGCAACCATTATATCATAATACACCTATAGGTTCAATTACACCACCTTATATAATGAAAGATCTACGGCAGCAGCAGCAACAGCAACAACAACAGCAACAACAACGTATTAAGAGTCATCCTTATGATGACGATCCATATACAGATGACTTTTATAAAAATGTTGATTCTCCATTTACATCACCGAGAAAAAATAGTACTTCACCTGCTCCTATAAGTCCGCATTCTTATCGGTAAATAATAATAATAGAATTAGAATTAGAATTTTAAAAAAAAAAAAAAAAGAAAAAGAAAAAAAAAACGTGTGTATGCGTGTGTGTATACATATACATTTGCATGTTCAAAAGAAGGGTTTAATAATATATTTTGTAGTCATTATAATAGTTCAAATCCTGAGTTTAATACAAGTGCAAGATATGGTAATTAGACTCATGTTCTTATTATTACTTTATTCACCACACTAATTTTATAATCATAATAGAAACTGCAACAAAAAGAAATCACTCATTAGAAAATATATATCAACACTCCTCCCCTTATAATAATAACAACAGTAGCAGTAGTGGAGCATTAGATAATTTAATGGCTGATTTAATGAATTCAATGAATGATGATATATATTTAACTTCTAACAATACGAATACTTCAATATGCGATGTCTGTCATGAAGAATTCGATTATAGAGACGATGTAAAGACAGTCAATCATAAGGTGAAAAAAAAAAGAAATAACTCTAACTGAATTAAATACATATAACTTGGGTTTTAGTTTTATTAATCAATGTAATATATCATAGTGTTACCATAAAGCATGTTTCATGTGTTGTCTGTGTAGTGCACCATTTGAACAACGTAGCACATATCATGAACACGAAGGCAAACTGTATTGTGAAAGGGATTTTCATGTAGTAAAGAATCGTTCAGTATGTGCATCGTGGTAAAGTGAATAATAGATGTATAAAAAAAAAAAAAAAAAAAAAAAAAAAAAAAAAAAAAAAAAAAAAACTCAATTATGACTCTACTCTTAGTGACCGAATGATTCCTCCTTCTGTTACACCTATTAAAGCCTTGGGTAAATTGTATCATCCCGGGCATATTAAATGTTATCATTGTTACGATACCATCAATGATAAAACAGGTTGGAAAGAATATAAAGGTCGAGTTTATTGTAGACACGATTTTAAAGCACTCTTTTTACCAAAATGTCGTGCATGTTATCAACCTGTTGAAAAGAATGCAGTCTCTGCTATGGATGGAAAATTAAAAGGAAAATGGCATTTAGAATGTTTTGGCTGCCACGTAAGATAATAATAATTTAACTGTGATAGGATACATATTAATTAATTAATTATAGACATGTCATTGTCCTTTTCCAGATAATACATTTTATGTATTTGAAGATTCACCTTATTGTAAAAGACATTATCATGAACTTAATAATTCATTATGTAGAAAATGTTCAGAACCCATTGAAGGTTATTGTGCTTATACCAGTCCAGAAAATTGGCGATTTCATCCAAACTGCTTTACATGCGAGGTAACAGTGTTCCCTTTATTAAAAAAAGAAAAGAAAGGCTTATCATTGTTATTATTTATAGACTTGTCATGTAAGATTAGATGATGCTTATTATGTGGCTAATAGAAGAATTTATTGTGAAAATGATATTAAACGTCAATATCAAAATCAAAATAATTATAAACTAACAAAACGTAAAACACAAATGTATAATATTTAATTTATTTTATTTTATTTTATTATTTTATTTTATTTTTTTATTTTATTTTATTTTTTTATTTTATTTTTTTATTTTATTTTTTTATTTATTTATACATTAAATGTCACACAATATATTATGAATTAATTTATCCCTGCATGATCAAATCCAAACCACCAAATCAAAATACCTATAACAATTAAAATGATAATAAAAATAACAAAGCAAATCCATTTTTTCTATTATGACGAGTATTATGTAAGATAGAACTGAGTTGAAATTATTGTAAAAAAAAAAAAAAAGGCACTTACGGCTCTTGTCTTCTTTGCACTAAGAATGGCTTTGTCAATATCTTTTGCACCTTGTTCTAAATCAATCACTGTCGATTCTGCATGCTGTTCAATCTGTTGAATTGTCTCTGATTGCTGCTCAACCATCATTTGCATATCTATAAATAATTGATGTAATTCTAGAATTGTCTTTTCTATTCTCTTTATATCATCATGTCGAGATTGAACTTCGGATAAGACTGCCTTCGCTTGACCAGATCGATTGGATTGTACAAGGGATTGTGCAAATATAGGCTGTGGTTCATCTGATTGAAGGACTCTATCAATATCATCTTGTGTAGCATTAGGTTGAACGATCTTTATTTGTCTCTCTACCCTTTGTCGGTACTTTTGTTGATAGGTTCTCTCAATATCTTGATATCTTTGAATCGTTTCTATAAATTTCTTTTTCAAGGCTGCATGTTGTGTCTTACGCATAGCTAAATCGCCTGTATTTATCGGCATACGGGCATTGCTAGCTTCAATCGCTTTAATCTTATCTTTACATTCTTTATTCAGTCTTGCTGTCTGCTTTACTACCTTTTCTAAGCGATAATTGTTTTCTTTGGTTTGCTCATCATTGATATTTGATAATGCAATACAATGAAATTCCTCTATAAGTGTAATATTGTCGATAATTTCTTTATTAAGTTCTTTCACTTCCTCGACCTATAATGGAATTGATTGCTTGGTTGGTTCGTTATTTATTTATTTATTGTTCTATTTTACCTCTTGAAAGAATTTATCTGTAGAAATAACGCCATGTGTTTTTACGCGTTCACTCATTTCATACGTTTCCTTTGATTTGCTTTCAATAGTAGCATGTCGATCACCACGTGAATTAACTTGATATGTAGATGTGGGTGGTACAGGTGGACGATAGTGGGGGGTGTTTGTATCATATCGATTTGTAGGCATAGGTGGTACTGATTCATCCTCATCGCTAATAATGAAATTTTAGTACCCATCTATAAATGTATACTTTGCTATACTATTTTTCTACCTAAGACGACTAATATATATGTGTGTATATATTTATGTATATATTTATATATACTACGATGTCAGTAATAGATCAAATAATAATAATAAAAAAAAAAAAAAAAAAAAAAAAAAAAAAAAAAAAAACTCACTCATATCGTTTTTCATTACTATTACCGCCCTATATTCATAATTTTTTTTTTTGAAAAAAAAAAAATAAATAAGTCAATACTGCACAACTTAAATATCTATCTATCTACAGTACACGAAGTTCGGCAAGTCTGTCTCTACTCATTGTAAATCTTGAGGACATTATATATATAAATGTATTTATAAAATGAAAGTAATGGGGGAAATTGGATGATGAAAAATGAAAGGAATGCTTAACAATAAAGAAGAAGAAAAAAAAGGGGAGGAATAATAAAAACGAGCCATTATAAAATATATTTAGTAAAAACAAAGTAACATAATCCAAATTAAAAAAAAAAAAAAAAAAAAAAAAAAAAAAAAAAAAAAAATATGAATATGTACATGTATCATATAATAAATATAAATCTTGTTTTTATTATATTCTAAATTGATATTGTATTTAACTATCGCTACCTTTTTTCTTTTTCTTTTCTTCAACTCTATCAATATTCTCTTCAGGAACCTAAATTTAAAAAAAAAAAAAAAAAAAAAGTCAATAAATGAGATAAATGCTATTGTAAAATTTTACTTACATTGGGCCAGTTTGTCAAAATTATCTTGTATAATTCATCACTAAAATCGCCTTGAACGACAATTTCATCTTGTCCCTGATTATTCTTTGCAACAGAGGAACCACAAGCAAATCTATTAGCAAACATTTTAGCAGCCTTCTTCAAATCAACACCAAAAACTTCCAAGCCAAAAATAGTTGTGACACTCTTTCTTTTAGTTCTTTCAATACGTTTAATAACTACACGAGATGCCTGAATTATATAAATATTTTTTTTTTAATATAAGAGATTTTTAGTGCTGGAAAAAGAAAAAAGAAAAGAAATAAAATTACCATTTTCTTTTTAATCTCACGTTCTAATTTAGCTTCCAATTTGGCTGATTTATCCTTAACAATAGTTCTGTCTTTCTTTTCTGGATTCTCATCATCAAGACTTGATTTTTCCATACCTGCAGTGACAGCTTAAGAGGGAAAAAAAATGAATATAAAAAGATATCATATATTGCATTATATTTTTTTTTTTGTTGTCATTTCTCTATTACCATTGACGCCATAGATTTCATCGTATAACTTTTCGTCTTTTTCTTTTAACCACAATTTACATTTCTCTTGAGTTCCACTAAATTCACAATACTATAAAGGAATATGAAAGAAAGAAAGAAAAAAAAAACAATGCAAAATTAATGTTTCTTTGAATGGATGAGTGTAATTATTTAAAGAAATAACATAGTGCTAATATTTACTTCTAAGGGCATAGTACAGACTAGAAATAACACAGATTAGATATTAATCAATAAGTTACATGTGTATATACTTACTGCCACAATACTGAACTATCTTTGGCGCAATAGACATTTTATATTATGGATATGACTAATACAGTGTTATATTCAAGGAAAAAAAAAAAAAAGAAAAAAAAAGAAAATGAAAAAATAAGAGCAGCCCTAAATGTGTCTTTTTTTTTGAATTTATTTTATCATAAAATAGCAGTCCTTATTTTAAAAAAAATAAAAAAGTGTCATCGTGAGTGATCTAGTATACATTGAAGAAAGACCTCAGTTAATAGATTATAAGTGAATAAAGCCATGATAAAAGACTAGTCGAATTTAATGAATAAAGATAGATAAATAAACATATTTATTTCATATCATAAATGACTTGATGACTTTCACTATTCGACATAGGTAAAAGACTTTGAACATAAAAATTTTTTATTATTAGCTTTCAATCATTTCTATTAAAGAAAATAGTAACTTTTTTTTTTCCTTTACACCTATATAAAAGAAAAAATATAAAAACATAGATACACATATATATTTGTATACGAGGGAAAAAAAAAGGAGGGGTATAAATATGTATAATAGTCATTAGATAGAGATGGTGTCTATTGTATTGATAGTAGTTGTGCTATTATTACATAGATTGGTATGCCAATGATGGCGACTTTTTGATGCAAACCCTACTTTACAATCATCACAATAATACCATTGTTTCTGACTATTTATATTCGAAAATACTTCTTCTTCGAGTGACATAGAACATTGACTACGAGTAGTGGAAGGCCTTTTTTTTGATGAAAAGAAAGAAAGAAAACGAAATGTTGATTTTTGAGGGAACATAATGATATTAAAACGAAAGGAATGTAAATGAGGTGTTAAATAATCATGTAATAAAGAAGAAGAAGAAGAATAGGTTAAAAGAAAGGAAATAATATATATACTTCTTATCTTTGTTTGTTTGAGTAATGAAATAACATTAAAAATAAATTTCATTATGCTACTCCTTATTAATTAAAAATGGACACTCTGAACAGTAACAACGACTCCATCATATTAATATCGATACTTTCATAATAGTATTTAATCTATTTATATTGATTTTTAGATTAATCTTTATTATATTTTCATTGTCTTATTTAAATTAATTTTGCAACGTGTTATTTACGACTAGAGTGCTCATGTATGTATACACATATGTATATATACACATCTGTATACATACACACTCAATAATTAAGCCATGTTACCTGTTTAAATAAATAGAATATCTATCATGAAATGGCACTTTAAATTCTACTGATATTCTTTCTCTTTTTTTTTTTTTTTTTTTTTTTTTTTTTTTTTTTTTTTTTTTTTTTTTTTTTTTTTTACTTTCTATATATTCCATCGTTCAATGCTAATAATAAACTAGGATACACACACATGTATTGATTTGATTTGTAATTGTTTTGTCTCCTGAAATGCACATCGTTTTTCTCTTTTTTTTTTTTTACAGTGTGACGAACTGCTAGCTTAAAATAAAACAACATAATGGTTGTCATTTCTTAAGAAAAACACCCTATTCTAGAAAATATAATATCAATATTGTTTTGTTGCTTTATCACATCCAATATTGCATTCTTACCTAGTCTTCTTCCTCATTTAAGACATTGTTTATGGTCTTCATTCATGAATACATCACTAATCCAGGCTTTTTTTTTTTTTGATATCATACGTATATGGAATAGAAATTTCTAAGAGGAAAGAGAGGTGTACCTTTTTGCCAAAAAAAAAAGGAATACCCCACCTTTTTTTTTTGAATATTCAAATCCAGTCATCTTTCATTCCATTCATATAATTACAAGATTAACAAAAAGTGTTGGAAAAAAAAAAAAAAAAAAAAAAGGACCAAATATATCAAATGAATCTTTAGTACATGTCCTATTATTAAACCGATGTTAACTAATAATATAGTTAAGATGTTAACTAAAACTATACAGAATATGTGTTGATGTTCATGTTGATAGTATAAAGTTATCTTTAAGCTCGGATGCTCTGTATGCTAATCTATTGGAGAAATAAAAGTTTCACTGCATTGACTATGCACATTCAATTGTTTCCAAAAGCATAGACAAATCTCGAAACCTAACCCAGTCATTATATAAAGTGAAGTGCCTTAAGTACAGCTTTAATAGAACGTCTGCAACAACTGTAAATAAGTTATTGAAAAAAAAAATATACGCTGAATATTCTAGGCAGAGAGCTAAAGGTTTTGTAAAAATTTAATAATAATAAAAAAAAAAAACTAGCTACAATTTCACATACAAGTGCTTAAACCGAAATTGTTTAAAAATCCTGTGATCCAGTATTAGTCTTCAAAGTCTTTGAAGCCGATGTTGTTCTCAATACTAAGTAGGATTATTCTGTCGTAACTAATATTTTTCTAATGCCTCCCTGATCTTAGATATCCTAATATGAATACCTAACTGTTAAAATCATAAATAAAACTGTGGTATTTCTTTTAAAATATCAAATAAAAAATATTAGAAAATAGAAAAATAATATTAAGACAAAAAGAGTCAACGAGACCGAACAATGGTTCTAAAGTCAATCACTTTATTTATGAATTTAAATTGATGGGATATTTATAAGAATTGTTAAAGAGGTTTGAGGATAAGATGCGAATCAAAAAAGTGTTAGTTACGACCGAATAAGGTATGTTGTTAATAATAAAGTGTTAGTAATTTTAATATTATTAGATGGAGCGGATCAAGAGAGTTTCAGGGGAATCTAAATAAAATTCCTTAAATAATTTTCTGATCCTCATGTTTAATCAAGAAACATGACACTATAAATCAGTTCATGATAGTATCTTTGATGTTTAGTACTTAATAGTATCACCTTTTGCTTTTATTACTGATTCAACACGTTTTGGTATGCTTTCTATGTGTGTTAAGCATAGTTCTACTGTAACTTTATTGTACCAAACATCAGCAGCTCGCTTCCATAGCTTATTCATGTTTTTTTTTGGTGGCCTATCATAGGCAGCAAGTTTGCACTTCAAATAAACCAAAGGTTTTTAATTGGATTTAAATTAGGTGACTATGATGGTCATTCAAGGACATTTACTTTATTTTTCTTGAACCACTTTTTTTGTATATTTGGATGTATGCTTTGGATCATTGTCTTGTTGAAGAATTGCATCTTTCTTACAAAGTCCATAGCTCTTAAAAATATCATACCCTTGACCAGTATTAAAAGATTGTGCAATCAATCTTTCAAGTAATGGGATAATCTTCTTTGGTCTACGTTGTTTTGCGCTAATCACAATTTGAGTTTCGTTGACAATTTTGCAAATTGTCCTAGTTGACTCGCTCATCGCCTTAGAAACATCTCTATAAGAATCCTTAGCTTTAAGTTTTGCTAAAATATCCATCTTTTTATTGTAAACAGTTGGTTCATTTTATTATATGTGATGATCTATATGTTAATGAGAATGATGCGCAAATGTTGTCCAAATTAGCTATGAATGTGAGGAAAAATGATATTAAATAGGAAGTAAACCTTTTTGTTAATTCAATAATAATATTATTAAATTTTTTTTTAAAAAAAAAATAGATAAAGAAAAAAAAATATTATGCAGCGAAATGACTATTTCGTATGAAATGACATGATCGCTGTCGAAATAAACATTCATGCATGCAAATGAGACTGAGAAGTTATAAAAATAATGTAAATTTTGTTAGAAATACTTTCATTAATGTATCTTTATTCATTTATGTTGTGCATTAAGGAAAGCCAAAAAATATAAAACATTGCCACACTTTTGTGAGTCACTGTAATTAGGCTTATAGTTTATCCTGCATTATGTAATTCATCTTTTATAATATTTCTTATGCTTATATCCAAAGCTTGTTCTATAATACCTTTTTATATTTTCGAAATATTTTTTTTTGTATCAAAGCTAACTTGTCATGAGTAAGGATTTGACAATAGAAAATAATTGAAAAGAAATAATTATGCAAGATAATAATAGAAATAAAAATGAAGGATGAAATGAAATAAGCAGAAATAAAATAAAATAATAAAAACTAACAAGACATGAATAAAAATACAGTACAGATAATAAATATCAATAACAAATATTAAATAACACTAATAACATTATCAATGTAAGTAACTAGTAAAATTATAACTTAAATGGCCGAGAAGACTAATACAATTTTTCTTTTATCATCTTTAGTTTACAGAAAAAGTACCACATTAAATTACTTGGCCAATCAAGTAAATCGTATCACTAATTAATGACGTCATCATTTTGCTTAAAAATTCCAATTTCGGTCAATAATTTAACTGTGAATTTTGTGTCGTACAAGCCTAGCTAGCTCAATCGGTAGAGCGTGAGACTCTTAATCTCAAGGTTGGGGGTTCGACCCCCCCGTTGGGCTCATCTCTTTTTTTCTTTTATTTATTTTTCATTTTATCGAACTACATCCACTACATAACTTACTTTATACCATTTTGTCAAAGTGTGACAGATTAAATAAAGATCTTCCTTTTCAAAGTCGTTACATAGGACTATACTAAATGCTATCATATATAAAAATAAAATTACTTATAAATCTTCCTTCAAATTATAATTGATATTACTAATCTTTTTATTTTACTATTTAATAAAAACTATATTCGTATATTTACTAATATTTATATCAAAGACAAATAATTAAGTCTTACATTTTATTTTATTTTATTATTTTTAACTTTGCTTCTATGTAATTTGTATTACAATAGTCTAATATTCAAAATAAACCAATATAAATAGAATAGTAGTAAAAGATATCTTTGTTTTACTGCTAATGAAGAATTTTGCTACATTTATATCCTTTTGAACCATCGTTGTGATGACGATAGCTGCTGTTATTTCTAAAGGTTTAATAGTTTTATTATTTTCTTTATTTATCTAATGAAGCCCTTGTTGTTCTTTTTATAATTTGGTAATAAAACTGATTGATGCTCTTATTATTACTTTGACTTTATACAGTGATAACAGTTTTTTTTTTTTTTTTTATAATATATGAAAGAATATTATAATCTAATACATACATGTATATAAATATTTACACAAAAGATTCTTCTTTTTTATTAATGTATCTAATGCTCATTAAGCTGCTGTTGCTCCTTTTCCTTTTTTGACTCAACCGCTAACCTTAAAAATCCATGGATCTTCTCAACAGCTTCAAATGCAAGATCATGACACGAGAAATACTAACAATAATAATACAATTTAGATAAATAGAACAATTCTCTATCTTATCATACCTCTTCTTCACTAAAGACACCGTCTGAATCTGATAATAATACAAAAGGCTTTTCATGTACATTATCAAAAGCAAATGTATGTGTTGATTTTGCGTTCTAGTAATAATATACACAAAACGGGTAAGTTAATTTTTTTTTTCTTTTTCCTCTAATCTCTTCATATGCTTCTAACCTCTAATTCAGCTAATGTAGGATCTAGCACTAAATCATTTGTCTTTTCATCGATCATAACTGTAATTGCACCAGCCATTTGTTTCATGGGTATACCAGCATCCAGCAATGCCAAAGTAATTGCGTTTACTGAAGCAGCTAACAAACACCCATCGTCTTTTAAAATTTGAACTACAACTTGAATAAGTGTACGTGGCATCATACCCGCCAAAATGATGGGTTCAAAAGCTGTACGTAATATAGTTTCCATTAGTTTTTCTTTTGTAGCAGGTACTCCTTTAGCAGGTCGAATAACAATATCCACTGTTGCTTCATCTAATTTTTCATCACGAATTTGAATGTCCATGGGACCTGAGACTGAACAAATGACAGATGTTGATCCTAAATAAGTGTTTTTATAATAAATTAATTCTTTTCTTTTTTTCATTTATTTATTTATTTATTTATTTATTTATTTATTTATTTATTTATTTCAATCCTACCAAATTCAAATTTAGAAGAGCCATCGGCTCTATTAAGAATATTTTGTGATGCAGAAAAGGCTCTTATTTGAGTATTGTCAGTTCGCTGATCAGGTCTATTTACCATGTTAGGTAGTTAATAAATATAAAAAAAAAAAGAAAAAATTTAAAGCAAATTTGACTGATTTGGATTTATTATAGAGCTTATCCCAGTCACAACAATGATGCATGTTTATGTCCGAAAAAAAAAAAACTGCTATAGACACCATAATATTTATATTACATGTTTTCATTTGTTATGCATTATATTGTATAGTTTAATTATAATATATGATATAAAATAAAATAAAACACCTATTTTTTTTTTTTTTTTTTTTAAAAAAAAAACTAGCATTTCTTTTCATCTTCAACAGGCTCTTTTACTTCTTTAATATGTACACCAAATTGTTTCTCTCTCTTAACAACGTTCCAATAGTATTGCCAACCAAAGGAAATTAATGTTAACACAATGATAAATGCAAGCATTATATAGACTGGTGTCCGTATCATGTATACATTCAAGTGATATCGATTCCCATCAAATATACTAAGGAAACTATTGATTAAGCCAGTATGAATAAATAAGTCTAGACCGAGAATGAAGAGGAAAGCGCCAATGAAGGCAGTACAAAAAATGACAGAATAACTCTCTGCTAAAATAATTAAGATAACAAAGATGATGCCCATACCAATTATAAAACAGATACGTGCAATTTGCTATACAAACATAAATTAGACATCTTCCTCCTCCTCTTTTTTTTTTTTTTGTTTGTTATTATCATGAACTTACAAGTTGAATAACCAAGTTTTCTTTCCAAGAGAGAATGAAGACGGCCAAGAAAAGACCAGCTAATCCACCAATGAAATAGATAGAAATACCATAAAGAAAAATAAATAAGAAAGCACCTACAAGTCCAAGTCCAACGCTAACGCATGTATAGACAATTTCATTATGGGGATAACCATACATTGGCTCATTATTAACAAGACCAATCCATGTCATAAGGGCTATATATGCATTCAAAATTGATTAATACTATTCTAAACATATATGCATATATGTATATGTATATATTTATGTGTATCTTTCTTTTCTTTTTACCAAAAAATACAAAGCCAACAGCTGCTAAAGTGCCTCTAAAAGAACTGAAGCCAAATATTAAAAAGTAAATGCCAATAAGCATCATAACGATACCAGTAAAGCCCTGAGCAACAGAAATACCATAACCATATGTATCTATATATGTATCTATATGAGTTAGTATGAATAATAATGAAGGCAATCGAATTTTATATACTTTACGCCATAAATATGTACTCCAGCATTTAGCATCACAAGATGGTTTAGAACCATGGTTACTACTACTTCCACTACCACCCCCTTTTTTGGTGACAGTAGCAGTTGCCCTGGCAGTAACCGTCTTCGTCACCGTCCTAAGTTGACCATTACCACAATAGACAGTACTTGTTACTGTTTGCCAAAGATTATTTACACCCGATACAGCTACATGAGCATAGTTATCATCATGATTACAAGCATTTGCCCAAAATTCATATAAACTAAGCGTATCTTCGACATCACGTTTAACAATTGGATGATAAGGAGGAGTCGTCGGTGTCGCTTCACTTCTCTTTGTTGGCATCATCATCTGATTATCTATTGTACGTGTTGGTGGTGGCCAGATAACGATAGCATGAATAGAATGAATAAGGACGAGTAATAATAAATAAAATTTCATTATAGTAGTTTTTTTTTATTATTATTAGGCCTGATTATATTAATAATAATAATAATAAAAAAAAAAGATAAAGATAAATGTTTTTCTCTTTTATTTCTGAATGATCCTTGGCTTTTGTATGTGTAACTAACTATGATGGAGAATGTACATCTTTTATTTTATTCCCTTTTTAAGCGCATTGTTTTTCTTTTATAATCGATTAATAGTATAGTGATTTGTACAACTGTTGTTCACACTGATAATCCAATTTTTATATCAGGAAAGTGACTTGTCTTTATCAATCTGAGCATAGCCTTAACAATTACATGCATGTAAAGCAAAAGAACAAAACAGAGGGAGAACAAATAGATATGACTGCATTTAAAGAATTTATTTCGATAAAATAACCTTAATACAAAGTAATATTTATAAAATATACCTTACGAGACTATTAGAACAAAAAAAAAAAAGAGATCTATGAAAGAGTCTCCCCTTTGAAAAGATAAAAAGAGAGGATGGAATGATTGTTAATACTTCTACTGCTATTATAATCAAGACTTGTGTGTCAATATTTCTTCTAACTCGTTATAACGTCTCTTCTTGATTTTATATCTTGCCAGTATATAAATGCTTTACATGATCTTTGATTTGTATTTAAAATAAAAATGTATAAAAAATTAATAATATATCAAACTTCAATTTACAGTTAAAAACTTTACTATAAATTATCCAAACTGTTCTTTTCATTCGAGAGAGTTAATTTTTTTTTAATATCATCATCTATCTTCTTCTAAATAAAATAAATACAAAGATGGAAGAGGAGGGAGGACGAAGGATGTATTTGCTTATATGTCATGAAGGAATTTTTCTAATTCTGATATTGAGTAATTAGTAGAAGATTGCTTTTGTACAACTGTCCTTGCAGCAGAAAGAGGCGGTAAGGCAAGATTGGAAGGAAAAGCTGGCGACGGCTTTGGTACAACAGATGGAGGAGCATGTTGAGTAATATCTGAAAACTGATCTAAAAGCTGTGTAATAACCGGATCAAATTGTGTTGTTGAATTTATATTATTTGCTGTAGTTGATTTAGGTGAATGATAACCGATATCTTTTTTGTTACTTGATATTGTATTTTTATTTTCTTCTGTAGTACCTACTGTATCAATAAAATGGATATCTTTAGTGATATCAAACGGTGTCTCTACAGAAATAGGTGAAGCTAAAAAGTCTAAAATATTAGGGATATTATCTAGATCAAGCTGTGCTGAATTTATTTGTTGTTCTTCAGGGTTAGGAGGAGTAGGAGTGGGCATCGCTTGGACTGCACTGGTTATTTTAGGAGGTTTAATCATTTTTTTATTGCTCTTCGTTGTCGCCTTTGATGGTTGAGAAGGATCAACTAAGGCTGATTTGGCCTTCTTTGGAGATTTAGCGCATTCAGTGTTTGCTGTTGTAAACGATTCAGAATGTTTAGGTGTTGTAAAACTAGATAATTGTGGACTATTGACATTAATAAACCATTTATGTTTATCGAATGGTACATTATAAATAAAGGAAGTTGCTGGTAGATTAAATGGTAGAAAACACTATTAAAAAATAAAAGATCAATAACGCGTAAGGCCCTTTTTTTTTTTCGTAAAAAAGAAAAAAAAAAAAAAAAAAAAGAGAGAGAGAGATCTACCTGTAAATTTGAACACATTTCTATTTCACAATCTAAATTAATTTGAAAAGTTTCAATTCTGGAACTACAGACAGAGCAAATGTCACCTAACTTACGTTTTAAGCTAGTCATAATAGTTAATACAAGTTAGATTTATGGTATGAAGTAGGGAATATATAGACTATTATAGAATATAGTCTTACCAATTTCTTCCCCCTCAATAAATAAAGAATAAGCCACCCACCTTTTAACGAAGAAAACAGTCATGCAGTTAGTTAGTTCGTTGTTGCTACTGCTGTGTTTAAACTAAATCAATCAAACACAAACTTTACCTAGTAGGAGAAATATTTTTTTTTCCAATAACTTGTGAAAGTACACAACTTTTTTTTTTTTTTTTTTTTTTTTTTTTTTTTTTTTTTTTGCACCCAAGTATGTTGACGCCATATATACCTTTTTAAGCTATATGAAAACTTTGTACTTCTTTAGTAACTGGATCACAATGTCCTTTCCTTTATAAAAAAAAAAGAAAAAGAAAAAAAAACTATTGCTTCCATATAAGTATTATCATTGAAGTATATCTTAAACATACATAATTCTATGCTCATATAGTCCCGATATATATAAAACCCCAAGACTATGACTATAATTCATCTTATTTAGTCTTAATAATATTGTTCTAATGAAGAAAAAAAAATATAACATGTTTTCCTAAAAATAAATAAATAAACAAAAGCCACACGTTTCTTTTTCAATCATAATTTACTAAGATAACAAAAGTTATTAGGAGCTACTTATAATGTCTATTGCCGCTTATATTCGTTCATTGTCCTCCGTCAAAATTCGTGTTTTTGTTCTTTTTAGGACGATCTTTCATTGAACTTTAAATTAAGGAAGAGACAAGGCGGTATGAAGATTCTTTGTTTAATTGGTTAAAATGGAGACCGAAATAGTGTAGAAAGAAAAGGGCTATGCATAATGATTAAACTTTGATTGATAAATACAGCTTTTTTTTCGGGAACACATGTCACGCAATAAAATGTTAGCAATGATTTCAACTACTGTGTATTAACTATAAACTCGGCTTTTTCTTCTTTTGTAATCTTTTTCCTCTTCTTCTTCTTCTTCTTCTTCTTCTTTGTTACTTTTTTTTTTCTGTTATATAATAGAATGCCATGCAATCAATTTGCAAGTATCTTTCATGCTATTTTATGTTGGATACTAATATTTATCACTTACTAGGACGATCAACATCTTGTTACTACTTGGCTAGATAATAATAACTTATGGAACGAAAAAGAATTAGTAGAGAATCCAAGCCACCAACAACAAGGAAATAAAGAAGTTGCATCACCACTCTTATCTAATTTATCGAGTTCCTTTATAAATACAGCTGTTTACTTTAATTTGACAAAACAAGATGCTTTAGTAAGCCAAGAGATCTCTACTTTTTTGACTTGATAACATTTACATTTATTTTTAGGATATTATTGAATATATTTTATATGAATATGATGATTTAATACACAATCAATTATTAGATTGCTTTATTTATCATCATTTTTTAATTCATGTAAATCATAATACTTCTTACTTGACTTTTAATCCTCAAAAACGAACTATTTCAGGTGTATTCTTACCACTTACGCATTGTTACTCTTCATCTTGTCAACCAAATAATGTCACTTGTTATTCACCATTGTGCCCAAACAAGCGCATATCAAGTTTATTACGTATAGTAAATCATGATTACGAAGGCAATATGGATACCGAAAATATAAATAGATGTCTTCATCAAAAAGTATCAAAGGGTCAACAGGTATTTTTTTTTTTATAAAATTACAAAAAAAAAAAAAAAAAAAAAAAGAAAGAGAAAAAATAATAATAATTTATAGACTTTATATACTATGGTTACACACTAATAAGTATTATTTCATCATCATCTCTTTTTTTCTTCTTTTTTTTTCTTCTTCTAGGAACCTAAAGAATGGATTGAATGTATACCACGACACATTCGGGACTCAACTAACAGAAAAGAACTAAAACGACAAGCAGGTATTGCAGAGTTAATAATAACTGAACAAAACTATTGTAAAGATTTGGATATTCTACATCATATATATGCTATACCTCTTCTCGAATCAAAGGATATAATCACTAATCCATCACGAAGACAACGATTTTATAATAACGTTTTTGGTAATTATCTTGATATCACTCATCTTCATACTCTCTTTTACAATAAACTTAAATCACACAATCGTCAATCGAGTTTTTTCGTGGGTCGAGTTGGGACAATTGTTATGCAACATGTAACTCATTTAGTAGAGCCTTATATTCAATACGCATCAACTCATATTAAGGCTATCTTTTGTATGACGATAGAGTATAAAAATAATCCAAAATTTGCACAATTCCTTGCTACTCAAGACGCAAAGAAATCGACACGTAGACTTGGACTTCGACATTATTTAACTTCACCTACCTTATGGATCGGTAAATTCAAGTTAATGATTGAAGCTATTTTAAAAAATACAGTCGATGATGCGGATCAACTTTCTTTAAGGGCCTCTATCGCCATACTTCATGATACATTATGTCGTATGAATAGCTCTGCAATAGCCAATAGTTCTCCAGAAGATTTTCGATTTGAAGAGCTTTCAACATCTATTTATTATCATCCATCAGGACCTTCAGAGCTTCAATTACTGACACTTCCTGATAAAAGTACTTTGATTCGAGAAGAGGCCATTTGGCTTGCTCGCTCAAGTCATCCCTTACAACCCTCTCTTTGCCATCTCTTTTTGTTTTCACATGCTTTAGTTCTTACTCATCCAAAGGTAATCAATGGGAAAACAGAATACATTATCATCCCTGGATCTCCTATCCCTATTCAGTTTTTAACCATCAACACTTCAAAGTCTTCGTCTTCAGTCATACGAAGGCTTTCCTTTGCATCTACTTCTATCGTATCTACTCCGTTACATTTAATAAACAACCTTCGACGCCAAAAGAGTATTAATTCAGAGCCCTCTACTGTGACAACTGAAAGTGGTAGTAAAAAGATAATGAAATCATCTCGTATTAACAACAACCATAGTACCATCACCACCACCACCACTACTACTACTACCACTACTACTACTATTACTACACCATCTACTTTGATCATGTTGAATTTACCCCAACTTTCATTGTCATCAGATATTAAGGATACACAACAAATGGATCATAAGGCCCGACTTATGCTCCCACAACAGATTAGAACCAAATTATCCAAATTGAAAAGTAATTTCAAAATGAATACTACTACTACTCTCTCTGGCTTATCGCAACAACAACAACAGCCATCGTTCTCCATGACAAGACGTGATTCTGCACCTGCCTTGCTTTTGTCTAATTTAAAACAAAGATCAAGGGTTTATTATACTGCTCCTACTGTTGTGCCTCGAATCAGTAACGCAACAACAAGTAGTAGATCGACAACAACAACATCATCATCTACTTCTTCTTCTTCTTCTTCCAGACATATTATTAAAACAGCAACCTCTACTCAATCACAACGAAGAACATTCAAGGTCAGTCATATGGCTTACCCTGAACATACCTTTAAACTTGAATTTCTATCGAGTTCAGATAGACTCGTTTGGGAGAATATTCTACATGATATCATTATGAAAGAAGTAAACTTGGGAAATCAGGTTTTTAAGAAGAAATTGGTTACTAAATCTTTAATACCATTCTCTTCTTCTCTAAGTGATGATATCATATCCTCTTCTAACGTAAGTACCGCTCTTTATAAAAATCTCTGTATAGATAGCAACTCGCTCAGAATTAAATGTGCTTATGATTTTGGTAAAAAAAAAAAAAAATGAAGAAGAAAATATTACTCTTTTTTTTTTTTTTTTTTTTTTTTTTTTTTTTTCCCTCCTCCCCCCCCCAAAAAAAAAAAAAAAGAAAAGAGTGAACAAGTATTACAGTATACTAATTTGTATAAATATTAGTTTATTCAGAGCAAAAACCGGGTGGATATCATGAACAGTTAGTAATGTTTGGTACTTCAGTTGGGATTTGGATGGGTTCTCGAGAAGATTGTAAAGGGTTTCGACTCATTTTGGCTAATCAAGATGTACATAAATTAGCGGTATTAGATAACAAAGTGATTGCCATGATTTATAAGGATAAGCAATACATGTTAATAGCCTATGGCTTAAAGTCTATGGTGGAGGCCTTTCACTATCCTGATCTTCCATCTCAAATGCTCGACTGGTGTATGATCAAACGTGCCTCGGTTATTACCTTTACTGTACATAAAATGCGAGATCAATTCTTGATTGTCTATCTTACAAGACGACTACAAACTACTTGGCTTGTTATCATTGCCTCTAACTATGACGAAAAATCAAAAACACCATCCATGTCAAATAAAAGCCATTGGTTTAAAAAATATAGAACGGTAAAAAAAAAAAAAAAAAAGAGAGAGAGAGAGAGACCGATATATACATAGAGCAATAAATATACATATACATATACGTATTAAAACAATATCAATATCTTTTCCAATTATTGTTTGTAGGAGTATAAAGTGTCAGTAAAGGATCCAACAGAGATATATGTAATTAAAGATTCAATCTTTGTTCGGTCTAAAAGATATGGTATTGAACGTATTGATATCTTTACAAAGCCTTCCACTTTTCTTTATTCTTCTTCTGTTACCAATTGGATTTTTAAAGAACCTAATACAAGCCTTATTTCAAGTTGTCCTCAAACAGGTGGTATTGTATGTGACTCACAATACGCTTATTCCGTTTCTTTATTTGATAAACATCATCAAGCCCAGATCGATAGTAGAACTGCCATACTAAAGATTAAATTTGAGTCTCAAATTCAAAATGCCACGTTAGTTTATCCTTACTTGATTGGCTTTTCGTCCTCCATTATAGAGATTAGAAATATAGAAACGGTAACTAACAAAACCGTACACACACACAAAACATTATCATTCTAAACTTTTTTCATCTAGACGGAATTAGTTCAAGTAATAAGGGGTAACAATATCAAGTTCTTTTCTGTAAATAATAATCAAACACAATCTATTTATTTTACAATGACTAATAACAATGGAGGAGGAGATTCAAGATTTATTTCTATTTATCAACTACAGCAATTACCATTGTACAATAAAATACAATAATAGCAGCCTTTTTTTTTTTGTCTATCTTGTTTAATTATGGATTAAATAGAAAAAGTATTTTATTTTAAAGTATCATTGAACATACTTTTATTTATAATTTTTTACTTTTTTTTAAAAAGAAAAAAAAACAATTATCCAAATAAAATATGATTAAGCTAGTTATTTCAACATCTCAAAAGAAGTATGGAATTTCATATCAGAAGAATACTATGACAAGAGAAATAAAATAGCATTTCTTTAAATAGCAGCAATTAGAAGGCATCCTGCTACTACTACTACTACTACTTCTTCCCCATATATATGTATATGTGTATATAGGACATGTTAAATTTCAATCTCTACACTAGAAAATTTCAATAAAAGTGAAAGGTAAAAATATCTATTTCTATCTTATTCTGATAATATGAATTAATGTAAGGGGTCATATATATTTATATGAATATTAAAAAGGGGAGGAGGATATTAGATAGGTGTACATGATGCATATATGCCTTGCTTGCTTGCTTTTTTTCTTTTAAATGGAATAGACTTCTTCTATATTATTGTTGACATGATGATTGCTTTTATTACTATTGTTTAGTGACAGTAACGGTGACTCATCAAATGAATTTTCCATAGTATCATATTGAGATAAACTCATCCAATCATCGGATTCTTCAATTGATAGATTATGAGCGCGACATAATGGTTTCCAAAGCAAATAGACAAGAAATAAAAGATAAATTGTTCCTGAAATACCAATGACAATCGCTGTTCCTTGACTTGTTGCATGTTTAATAAATAAAAAAATATCGAAGGCAATCACAATGACTGTTAAACTCCAACATGTTATTTGTAAAATAGTTGAGGGTCTAAATTCTTTCGATAAAATATTTGATGACGTTGATAATTTAATAATTGGTATAAGTACAGTTGGTAAACAAACACTACATAATTTAACAGATTTTTGAGTAAAAAAAAAAAAAAAAAATTACGCCCGCAATTTATAAACTCCTTTTACCTTTGTAACACATTTAATAATTCACCCATTGTATCAAAGTGATCTACAGCAAATATAGCTACCAACATACCGGGAATTAAAGAAATACATCGTGTTACTGCCACTCGATGCCAATCTTTCTTGAAAATATTACCAAAAAAGCCCTCAGTAACATACTGACCTGCTAATGTACCTGTCATCGTTGAACTTTGGCCAGCTATATATATATACATACATATATATGCATATATATCGAAAATATTGGTTTTATAAATGTACTTCATGGTCATAAAAAAAAAAAAACTTACCTGCAAGTAAACCAGCTGCCCATAAATATTTTGCAGCAGAACCCAAAGTGCCACTTAAAACAGCATCAGCATCATCCAATCCAGGAATTATAATAGGCTCTGTTTGATTTGGCTTGAAGAATACTAAACATATTGATTTAGTAATTTTACAATTATATATATCTCAGTATAAACTTACCTTGCGCAAATACAACTACAATGGCTAAATTCACAAAGAAAGAGACCCATAGTGCCAATATCGATTCAATTGCAAAATAAAAATTCGCTTCTTTTAATTTTCTAACTGAAGGTTGTTTACCTAAATCACGGGACATAACTAAAGCACTATGTAAAAACATATTATGAGGCATAACAATTGCACCCAACATAGCAACCGCTTGAAATTCAGCGTTTTTAGGTATCATCGGTATCATTACACCTTCTACTATCTTTCGAACATCAGGCTTTGATTGTATCATTTCAACCCAAAAACAAACTGCCATTATAGAAATTAAAACCATAAAAAACGCTTCTAAACGACGAATTCCATAACGCTGAATCATCATAAAAGTAAATGTGTCTGTAGCTGTCATAAGCACACCGGCCCATAAAGGAAGTCGAAGTAAAATGTGTAATGCAACAGCTGTACCTACAATCTCTAAAATATCTGCACCAATAATTGCAAATTGAGCAAATATCCATAAAACAAATGCTAATCTTTTTGGATAGTTTTGTCGAATTAATTGAGCAAGATGCTTTCCAGTAATTGTTCCTAACCGAGCTGATAACAATTGAAAAAAAAGACCTAAATTAAGACATATATATAAATGTAAATACAAATATGAATATATCTATATTTTAAATAATATCGTCGTCATCTTTTAATATAAATCTAACCTATAACATGTGCCCAGAATAGAAGCCATAATAAACTGTATCCAGCTACAGCTCCTGTTTGAAGATCAGATTCAAGATTTCCTGGATCAAGATAAGCAATAGACCTTAAATAAAAAAAAAAAAAAAAGTTAGGTTTTCACGCCTTTTTTTTTCCTTTAAAAAAACAAAAAGCTACATTAACCAGCCTATATAATATGAATTCAATAAAGAAAGAAAGAATATGTTACGTCATATTTTGTGCTTTGTTCTCAATCCTTCATACCTGGTCCCATATATTTCCATAATTTTTTAAAAGAAAAGCATGATTCAGATACTCTGCCTGTATCTACTTCCGGTTTTATTTCTAAATCGTCTCCAAATAATCCATTGTTATTTATTCTATTGGAGCTCTGTGAAGCATGATTGATATCACTATCAAATTGTTCGCCCTTTAAAATGAGAGGGTCTTCAGAATCTTCTAAATTATGAACATCTACATCATCTGATAATCGTCTGGCATCATGCGGTACCATAGTAAGCGATTATATAATAGAGTTTAAAGTATACGTTTATAAAAAAAAAGCTGTTTTATTTAAATATGCCGTCTATTATTATAAGTTATATTGTGTCTAGTTAATTGCTGTATAAAGAAAAAAAAAAAAAAGAATAAAAAAAGAAAAAGATTTGATTTTTTTTTTAAGAATGATACAAAGCTTTAGACTACTGCTCTGATCATCTGAGTCTAAATTTATTGTTACTGCAGCAGTATCATTTGTTACTTCTTTAGTATTTCGTAAATCGTACTTTATACCTACTATAAATAAGTATTGGTTAATATATTTACCCGTCATTCACATCTCATCAATAAAGATATTGATTACTGCTACTCCTCTTGAAGAAAGACAGTCAAGTTTAACTAGAAGATTTATTTTTTTCTTTATTAATGCATGTAAAATATTGACGAGTTGGTGTTATTATTTTATTTTATTTTATTTTTTTTTGTTATGAAACGATGTATTAAATAACAAGTGGATTTTATGATGCAATAGAGTGTAATAAATGCCCCTTTTCTGAGATATAAAAAAAAGATATTTCTTTTGGTCTATACAAAGTAAGATATGATTGTATATGTATCAAATAGAATCCCATGCATTCTTTCAAGTACCCTTGAAGTTACACCTTTTGATCTCTTTTGAAATAATGACATTTACTCGCTACTATTTATTAACCCTTGTTGATTCTTTATTTTATAAGAGAGAGAAAAAGTCTTTTAATTCTTCGTCTACTTCTTCTTCTTTTATATATATAGGAAGCATCCTAACAATTGCTTTTATTTCTTTCGAGTATAATGAAAGGGCTCCTATTCTTTACTTGTATTTGGTTTATGGTAGTTTGTTTGTCTATACAAACATTCCCAAATGATATGTTCTATCATCATCATCCAGATCTGATTGGATCAAGTCTTGAGCATTTTAGCAATAAATATTTACAATCTAATAGTAAGCATATATATATATATATATATATGTATATACTGAGTCAAATAATTGATGTTTATTCTATATATTAAATAGAAGATTCACAGCAAGAGGATTATCGTCCACGTTATCGTCCATCCTATCCTCCTTCTTCACTATTTGATTACAGTCCTTATCGTAATGGTAGATACTCCTCAAATAATGAAAGAAGACCTCATCGTGGAAACAGTCGTTATCGAGCCCGATCTATTGATTCAGAATCGCGTCATATATATAATAGCGATGGAAGTATAAATTGGTCTAATAAAGCTTCAGATAGAGCAAATCAACAAGATCAACGATGGCCTAATAATCAAGATTCAACTGACTATGATTATTATCGTGACTATGATTATAATAGTGAATATCATCAACAAGGTCGCCCTCCTTCCTATTATGATGATGATCGTCAAAGATATTCACCTTATGATAGAGACTATTATAATGATAGGCAAAATCAAGACCAGCCCATATTACCATCATCTAATTCATACTATTATGATCAAAATGATAATTATGATCGAAGTGACTACGATGATAGATATGATTATGATTATGATAATGCTAATGCTAATGTTAATGCTAATGCTAACAATAGAAATAATGGGCCACCAAAAGACAAAAAGTATTCAAGTAACTCTGAAAAAAATACTGCCACTCTTGCTGGAGGAATTCGACTTGCTGGAACTTTACCAGATGATGGTTATCATCGTGGTATAGGGACCTTTTATGATATTGAAACACATGTTAGCTCTTGTGGCAAACAGAATAAAAACACTGACTTTGTTGCTGCTTTGAATTCAGAACAAATGGGTACTGGTGGACGTAGAAATCCTAATTGTGGAAAGGAAGTGGAAATAACTGGGCCTAGTGGTAAGACGATTCAAGTGACTATTGTAGATGAATGCAAGACTTGTAAATCTGGTAGTCTTGACCTTAGTCCTGCAGGTAAATAAAAATAGATTTCAATAAGTTATAATAATAACTTATATAAAAATATATATATATATTAGCCTTCGAAGAAATTGGTGAATTTAGCCATGGCTCTATTCCTATTAAATGGAAATTTGTACAATAATTTTTATGTGCAGAATCTTACATGAAAATATGAATTTCAATAAATATATATAATAATAATAAAAAAAATATATAGTAGTGTAATATGGTTTCATTCTATATAAATACTTGCAGGTCTCCTTTACAGCTTTTTATATTTTCTCTTAACCCAAAAGAATATGCCATGTAGTTTTTGCTTTTTAAAAAAAAAGTATAGGATCTGTTTCATTAAAAAAAAACATTTATCATTGAAGGAGCAAAACTTAATGATACTTATTTTATTAGAATTAATAGCATAATAAATGTAAATATTATTATATATAATGATGCTATTATTTTGTGTGATTCATTATTAAATAAAAAAAAAAAGCTTCCAAATACATCCTATTCACAAAGATATCAAACTAATGCTAATATGTATTTATATTCATTTTCGTGTATCTTCTTGTAGTATTACGAAGTTTTGTATGTCCGTTTCTTTTTTTTTTTTTTTTTTTTTTTTTTTTTTTTTTTGGAAATAAATACTGCTTAAAGTAAAAATTTCGCATACATTTTTTCTTTTTTTTTTTCTACATCTTTTTCTTTTTTTCTTTATCAAAGATGAGATATTCCAAAATATCTCTGTTATTGTTATTAAGTTTATTTCAGATTACAATAGCTATTTATTCACCTGGTTTTAACATAAGAAAGTAAGTCTTTATTATATAAATTATTACATAAAACTTGCTTCAACACTATTTTCTTCTTTCTTTCTATAAAAAAGCAAACTCTTGTCAAAAAAGGGATATTTTTTTTCTCAACAACAGGCTCTATTTTCAAAAGTTGTTCCTGAAAAGTATGGCCCATTTTATTTTGATCAGCCTATTGATCATTTTTCATTAAATAAAACTACATTTAAACATCGTTATTGGGCCAATACGGATGCATATAAGCCTGGAGGTCCTGTCATTTGTAAGTCTGAAATTAAATAAGAATAATAAAAAGCTGTTTACTTATAGCCCCCCCTTTTTTTTTACAAGTATATAATGCTGGGGAAGTTGCTGCTGATGAGCGCTCGTTGTATGTCTTAAATTCCACTATGCTTGAGTTAGCCAGAAATTTAAATGGTATCCTTATTGTTATGGAGCATAGATTTTATGGTTTATCTATGCCTGCCTTAGTAAGCAGCAGCAAGGATATATATTTATATGAATTTTAGTCTTATATGAATGTGTATTTTTCATGTAGGACTTTTCTACTGAAGCATTAGCCACTTTGAATACAGAGCAGGCTCTTGAGGATATGGCTTCATTTATTAGAGACTTGAAGGTAACAAGTAATTTTTTTTTTCTTAAATAAAAGGGGAGGAAAAAAAAAAAAACTTACTTGCTTTATTCCTGATTCAAGTTACCTAACCTTAACGCTGAACTTCCACCTGCGCCTACAACAAAATACATAGTGTATGGAGGTAGCTATAGTGGCAACTTGGCTGCATGGATGCGTCTAAAATACCCTGATCTTGTGTTTGCAGCTATACCTTCTTCTGCACCAGTACAAATGAGTTATAATTTTTACCAATATTTTGAACCTATTCTTCAATATGGTCCTGAACATTGTATACATGCTATTCGTTCTGTCATATTATATGTAGATCATATCTTATTTAGTCCACTTTCAGATAAATCCTCCTTGAAAAAGAAGTTTGGAGCTGAAGATTTGAAGCATGATGATGACTTTGCTGAATGTAATATGATGACAACCCTTATTACTTTTTTTTTTCTTTTTCTTTTTCCCTCCTGTATATCATTCATATATTAATTTCAATTTTTTTTTTTATATCATAGTATTATCATATCCTCTTGGATTATGGCAAGCAATGACACCTGCTGATAATCCATTTGAGGATCAATTTTGTTCTATTTTTAATGGCTTATCTTCTCTTCATGATTATGTAGAAGCCTATGGCAATTTTACAAAACAATTAATCAGTGCTGCTTGTGATGAAGATGAATCAGTTAATGAATGCTTAGATACACATGATCCTCGATCAAAACTCTATACAGATCTCACCCGTCCTTCACGCGCTTGGTTTTGGCAAATATGTACCGAGTATGCCTATTGGCAAACAGGGAGTGCACCTATCTGGAAACCTCGTATTGTATCTCGCAAATTAAACACAGCTTGGTATCAGCATCAGTGCCCTTTGATGTTTGGTGAACATGCAGTCCCTAAACGACCTTTATGGCACAAGATTAATAAAGAGTACAACGGTTGGCATATTAGTCTAGATCGCGTATTTTGGATTGATGGTGAATGGGATCCCTGGAGAACACTTAGTGTACAAAGTAATAATGCGCCTGACCGTTCTAATTGGAAAGAAAACGCAAAGTATGCTATTTTACCAAAGTCTGTTCATCATTGGGTAAGTTGGAAAAAAAAATATTACATATTAGTGGGTTTTATATTTACCAGTTTTCTGTATAATACTATAATAATAGGACTTTTTTGTTAGTAACACTGTCTCAGACTTTATTAAAAATATTCAAGAAAAGGTTTTAGAAACCATCAAGGATTGGATCGAAGAAGCTAATTCATTAAATAACGATGCTAACTTTTACTATCAATCAACTTAATAAAATTTGGTTATTTACCAATTCACATTTTTTTTTATTATAAGAGAAAAAAAAAGTAACATGTTTAAACATATAAACACCCAACAAAAAATGTTCGTTTATTTAAGAGGAACAAACTTGGAAGAGTGAGTGGCACCAATACCGGGACGACCGTGCTTGACAGGCTTGTAGGTGATGGAGAATTCACCGAGGTAGTGACCAACCATTTCAGGCTTGATTTCAACTTGGTTGAAGGTCTTACCGTTGTAAATACCAACGATGGAACCAATCATCTCGGGAACGATGATCATGTTACGGAGATGAGTCTTGACAACCTCAGGCTTTTCACCAGCAGGGGCGTTCTTCTTGGCAGCACGGAGCTTCTTGATGAGACCCATAGGCTTACGCTTGAGACCACGTTGGAATCTTCTACGAGCACGACAATGAACGAGCTCCATGAACTATAAAACAAAACATTGATCAATTTCTAGGTATTTCACAGTTATATTACGTATCATTTAATATTTACTTGTTCAGAAGACAAATCCAAGAGTTGTTCAAGGTCAATACCACGGTAGGTAAACTTACGGAAAGTTCTCTTTCTTTGAGTAGTTTGCTCGTCAGCCTATAATTATATACAAGTATATAAATGTATATAAATATATAAAGCAATTATTGATGAGTATTAAAGCCATTTTTAGTGCATATTATAATCTTGCTTGATCAAAAATAAGGGAGATGAAAGAAATGATTATATGTATATGTGTATACACTATTTTAGCTGTTGAAATAGAAAAGAAGACTGTAGTATCATCAAATGGTTGCTTCATTTTATAGTCTACATAATAATGAACATTGCATCTTATATTCTTCCTCTGCATTCAAAATGTAACATCTCTTCTCCTCTTTTTTATACACATTGCAACTACTATAAATTTTGATATACGTATATATATTTTTTTTCTTTGTGTAATAAAAAAAAAAGAAATCCATCCATTGCTTCTTTCTCTTTAAACTAAAATAGTCATTCATGATCCAAATTGACAATCATCTTACTTGAGGTTTTCATCTCTCTTCTTACTTTTGATCTCGCTTATTTACTCTACATACCATCTTAAAGCACAAAAGGAAGGATTGCTATAGTCCCAGCTTCTGTGGATATCAATGTGCGTAAAGATGATGTCCGGTAATTCACTTTTGTGCCGACTTCTTTTTTTTATTCCGGACCGGAACTTTAACAAGCCTACTATAAAATAATTAGTGTATATTATATAAGACACTGAAATAATAATATACTTGCATACTATTATTTCTACTATTGGTTTTAAAAACTAACCTACACCTCTATTATATGTCATTCATTCACTCCTAGCCATGTCTATAATCTTTGTCCATATTTGACTATTCTTCCTTAGATGTTTGTCTTGAAAGTTATACATCTATGTTTCCTTTTTTTTAGCACTATTTCCATCCTTGTCTTGGAGTTACTCTTTCTTTTTGTCCTTGAAAATCATTTATATTATCACAAAGTCAATAATAACCCTGACGTTACGTTTGTTACTTGAAATAATGATAACTTCCTTAATCTTTGTCCAAGTTATTTAGCCATAAATTTGTGAATACATATGCTAAAAATGAATGAAAAATAAATAAAATAAAAAAAATATCTGAATCTTAAGTTAGCATTCAAAGCTAGGGGGGGGCCATTAATTAAGCTTATCAATTTTCTCTTTATTTTATTTTTTCTCCCCTCTTATAAATATACTTCATGTCTACTAAAAAGGTGTTCACTAAAGTTACAGCAGGTGGTCTCAAATATAAACCTCTTCATACTCCTCCTCCTAAGTCAAAGGTTAAGTTAGCTCCAATTCTTTTAGGAGGTTCTCTACTTTATGTGACAGCTACTTATGTAAGTATGCTAGTCTTTAAAAGTAAAAATGATACCCAGGAGATATTGACAGAAGAATATAAAAAAGACTCTACTGTTACGCCTAATAACTTTGATACATCACCCATCTGGGAATCAGTTGCAAAGAAGTATGATCAAGAAATTGGATGGGATGAGATTGTTATGGGTGTTGTTTTGTTAAGACGTTGGTTAGTTAGTAAAGCTAAGGTACTGTAAAGAAACTCTTCTTCCCCCCCCCTCCTCACCCAAAAAAAAAGAGTGCATGTAATGAAAAAGACTCAAAGTTAGAATAGGGTAACGTATTAGAGGTATCAACAGGAACAGGTCGTAATTTTGACTACTATAAATCGGATCAAATCGATTCCATCACATTCACAGATCGTCACGGATCTATGTTGAATGAAGCCAAACAGAAATATCTCGATTATTATAAAGATAAATTTCATCAAGCATTTTTTGAGACGTCTAATGTAGAAGAAGTCAAAGATAAAAAATACGATACAATAATAGATACTTTTGGGCTTTGTTCGTGTAGTGACCCAGTAGAGGCATTAGTTCAACTAGCTGATTCCTGTAAATCAGATGACTCTCAGATCCTTTTATTGGAACATGGTCGTTCTTATTATGACTGGCTAAATAGATTATTAGATAGTAATGTGGATAAACATGTTACAAAGTGGGGTTGCTGGTGGAATAGAGATATCATGAATTTATTCAATGATGAAAGAGTCAAGCAAAGAGTGGAAGTCGTTAAAATGTCACGATGGCATTTAGGAACAACTTATTACATTATAGCTAAACCAATTACTTATAAAAATGCTGAAACCGAAAAAAAGGCTTAAAAATTGTGACGTACAATTTAAAGCTTAAACCCCCTTGGTCTTATTTTTTTTTTCTGAAAAAAAATTTTTTTTTCTTCTTTCTTTTTATTCAACGTTAATATTACAACATGAGGTAATAAATTAGGAAGTGTTTTAATTTGGACTTGGATTATAATTAAGTCTTAATCTTCTTTTTTTTTAAAAAAAAGAAAAGAAAACATAGTAACATAGCTAACTTTAAAACTTTTTTTAATAAAATATAGTAGCGAACCTTTGCAAGAAATCCAAGACAACGAGATCGAGGTTAGCCGAAAAATACAAAAAAAATTTTAGAAAAGGGATTAATCTATTTTTTTTTTTACATGAATATTATAGTCCAACTGGGATGAAGTTATTGATAACTTTGATAACATGAACCTTAAGCCTGAACTTCTTCGTGGTGTTTATGCATATGGGTAAGTTGAAAAAAAAAAGCTGGACTGTTTGTATCAAAAATAAAAGAGTATTTGTTCGAAAAAAAATAAATAAATAAATGCAAGAGTGAACATGATAAAATGGGGGGGAGGGGAGAATAACTAGGAAAATTGAAATAAATGACTAATTTATTTAATTTTTACTGTATACAGTTTCGAAAGACCCTCTGCTATTCAACAACGTGCTATTATGCCTGTTATTAAGGGTCATGATGTTATTGCTCAAGCTCAATCAGGTACCGGTAAGACAGCTACTTTCTCTATTTCCGTCCTTCAATCCATTGATACGGAACTTAAGGAGCCTCAAGCTTTGATTCTTGCTCCTACCAGAGAATTGGCTCTCCAAATTCAAAAGGTAGTAATGGCTCTTGGTGACTTCATGGGTATTAAGAGTCATGCCTGTATTGGTGGTACAGCTATCCGTGAAGATATCGCTACTCTTCAATCTGGTGTCCAAGTTGTTGTTGGTACTCCTGGTCGTGTCCTTGATATGATTCAAAACAGACGTGCCTTCAATACTAAGCACATGAAGTTATTCGTTTTGGATGAAGCTGATGAAATGTTATCTCGTGGTTTCAAGGATCAAATCTACGATATCTTCCAATTGTTACCTGAGACTACACAAGTTGTTCTCTTGTCTGCCACCATGCCTGCTGACGTTTTAGAAGTCACCAAGAAATTCATGAGAGATCCTATTCGTATTTTGGTCAAGCGTGATGAATTAACTTTGGAAGGTATTAAGCAATTCTATATTGCTGTTGACAAGGAAGATTGGAAGTTGGATACTTTGTGTGATTTATATGAAACCGTGACTATCACTCAAGCTGTTATCTTCTGTAATACCCGTAGAAAGGTTGATTGGTTGACTGATAAGCTTCAAGCTCGTGAATTTACTGTTTCTGCCATGCATGGTGATATGGATCAAGCTCAACGTGATGTCATTATGAAGGAATTCCGTTCTGGTTCTTCTCGTGTTTTGATCACCACTGATTTATTGGCTCGTGGTATTGATGTTCAACAAGTTTCTTTAGTTATCAACTACGATTTACCCTCTAATCGTGAAAACTATATTCACAGAATTGGTCGTGGTGGTCGTTTCGGTCGTAAGGGTGTTGCTATCAACTTTGTCACTAATGAAGATGTTCGTACCATGAGAGATATTGAACAATTCTATAACACTCAAATTGATGAAATGCCCATGAACGTTGCTGATCTTATCTAATCCTTATACTATATAATTTCTACATGATAAAAAAAAGATATAAATATGTATTTATATATGTATATATAACAGATATATATGTGTATATGTATATATTTATATATTAAAAAAAAAACGAATAAAATCATGATTTTTTTTTTATTAGAAATAAAATAAAAAATAAAAAAATAAAAAAGAAGAAGACCCACATTATAATTATTACATAATCAAATTATAAAGTAAAATAAAATAAAATAAAAGAATTTTATTATTATTGCTAATCAGCTTTGTTAGAAGGATTATTGTTATTTTGAGATGCAGTATCAGCAGCATGTGAATAAGTATGTGGTTGTTGTTGTTGTTGTTGTTGTTGTTGATGAGGTGGTTGCTGAGCCTGTTGTTGAGGTTGTTGTTGCTGCTGCTGCTGCTGTTGCTGCTGCTGCTGTTGAGCTGCTAATTGTTGAAGTTGAAGCTGATATTGTTGCATTTGTTCAGCTGTCAATTGAGGATAAGATGCATATGCAGTTGCAGCATCCATTGTCTATAATATCCATAAAAATAAAAATAAAATTAAAATACACATTTCCTTTTAATATCCTTCTTTTACTTACTTGTTGTGGAGCGTATTGATGTACTGCACTTTGAGGAGGAGGATAATAACTACTGTATTCTGGCTGATGATGATGATGTTGTTGTTGTTGTTGGTGGTGGTGTTCATAAGGTGTGCTATGGCTTTTGATTGCTTCTTCTCTCGGTACAATATCAATTAAGAAATCGCACATATCTGTTTTAGAAATAGCTGTTGCAATATCAGATCTTTGTAAAGTACGTCTTTTATTTTCTTCTGCATGAACCCTGCAGAAAAAAAAAAACTGTTATCATACAAGTTCAAATTTTGAAACATGATATATTTACCAAGCACGTTTTGTTAACTCTGTAATAAATATTTCACATCCTTTTGCAAATAAAACAGGTGCCTATAGTTTGTACGTATAAATAAAATATAATTATATTTTACAACTCTTTTATATTCTTACTTCTGCACTAATCATCTATATGTATATAGAAATAGATATTTATATACATTTATATATATATAAAAGAACGCGAACTTATTATTTATTTACAAAATACAAGTCTAATTAAAAATTACCTTCACTTCTTGATCGGTTTTCATAACTTTTTTAATTCTTGCTAATGGTAAAGGATGATTCTTAAAATCAGAATCAAAGAGGTTGGCTAGTTGCATCTGCTCTGCCCAAAATTTTCCTAAATCAAAAGCAGGATAATTACCAACAGGAGGAGCAACAGAAGCTAATGCATTAGTGACATGTTGATGCTGAGTAGGGTTCATCATATCAGTGGGAACTTGTACATATTGGTGTTGATCTCCTGTTTGTTGAGTTGACATTTTATTTTTTTTTTTTTTTTTTTTTTTTTTTTGAAAGTGGAAAATAGAAAAAAATATATTGGTTAATAATTTAATCTAAACAAATAATACGCGCTTGCTTACCTTATGTATTAATATTTTTTTAATAAACAAAGTCACAATATTCAGCAGCTCTTCTTGAATCTAATTAACGGCTTAGCTTTCTTAATAAATCAATATTCTATATTATGTGTTGATAGTGGCGTATGATGTATATGTATGAAAGAAGTAAAACGTATGTATAAATGAGCAGGTATATATAAGTATTATAGATGTATATAAATAGAGTTGGTATTGTTGTATAATATGTATGTGTATGTATGTATGTAAGCATATATATTGGGTATATATTATAAGTAATTTTCTTTGGTTTTTTTTTTTATAATAACTTGTTGCAATTATTGATTTAATGTCTATTGTTTGTACCCACTCTTTTTGGTAACTTGTATACATCCATAATGGTAGCAACAATTTCTAAAATAAATAAATAGATAAACATATATCTCAAGTCATATCATCATCTTATACACTTACCTCCTATGATGCTTCCATTTTCTATAAGGAATTGTCCCCATAATGTTTCTGGATCTAAAGGAAATTCAAGGTCTTGTCCCTGAAATGCCATTATTAGTGCTGCTGCTGCAATAGCCCTTGGAACATACCATAAGCACATTGGTAATCGATAACTGTATTTGTATAATATTAAATCGATGAATAAATTTCATGTTTATTTATTTATTTATTTTTACCTGTCATTAATATAAGCTAGGGCTGCATTTATAATATCGTCTGACGCTATATATACATAAACTATTAACACGCACATATCAATAAACAAATAAAATGAATTCTAACCAAAAGTTTCATCAGCAAAATGGAATAAATCACAATATGGATGATCGATCTGTAAATCAAAACAGGTTATTTCTAAAACAATATATTCATAATATAATAGATCGACCACAAAAGCTTCCTATACATAAACAGTTAGCTACTCATATATAAAACACACAAACTGGGATTACTACAATTTTTTCATCTTCCACTATTTCATCAGGTGTATATAACCAGGATCGCGCGATATCTTGTGGTCTACGTGCAGATTCTTCACTTTTACATGCTACAAATATACAAGCTTGTGCAATTTTCTATTTTAACAAAAAAAAAAAAAAATCAATGCATTAGAATAAAAATGACATTCTTATATTACGTACAGCGCCATTATAATCAAAAAACGATCTTCTCGTATAAAAGCGATGAAAAAGAGTACATGCTGAAGCAATTGCATAGGGTGGCCTAAATTTAGACTATATAAATATCTTTCTGTCGTGTAAAAAAAAAAAAAAGGATAGGTTAAAGAACTTACAATTCTAAACGATTTCCAACACATTCAATCATGCAAATAGCACGTAGTCGAGTTGCTAACTCCTCTTCGTATTTCATTCCATGTAAAACAGAAGGAAACTGTTGGCTTTCTTCTCTTTCTAATATCCACTATAAACAGATATATATATATATATATATAACGTAGATCACGTCAATAATGTAGTATTAATAACATATAGATAATGACTAGTGTACCTGATTCTCTTCCATCTTGACTTATTTATTCTGGGATAAAAGAAAATTTTATAAGGAATTTTTTTTTCCCCTCTTTGGTAAATGGCGTTTTTTTTTTTTTTTTTTTTTTTTTTTTTTAACAAGCCTATAGAAATTTATTTTCACCAAGATTATCTAATATGATGACAGTGGAAGTTCTGTCTTAGATTCTTGTGATAGGACTACTCTATTTTACCGGACATCGGTGATTAAACATAGTCACTTCAAGTTCAGTGATAGTGCATAATATTATATGAATGAGAAACAGTAGTATTATGTCTTCATAATAGAAGAATAACGTTATTTATCTTATGTACTGGATCAGCCTTTTTTTTTTTTTTTTTTTTTTTTTTTTTTTTTTTTTTCAAACTGATATTGAAGAGCGATAATAATAAGGATATGATTGTTAGTTGTACGCTACTAGCCATTGAGAACAGACTCCTTCTTGTGGAGTATTTTGATTATATCAATTTTCTTTTATCATTCACAAAAGCAATTATTTCTTTTCAGTAATAATTGTACACTGTGATAAATAGATTGTTTTATTTTATTTTATTTTATTTTTTTTTTAAATAACCAGTAGTTGGCCATAGTAAGTACATTACAAAATTCTAAAGTCATATAGTATTTTTTTTTTTTATAACGCTGAGATCAATTCAGAACCCCACACTGTCTCCAACTATAAATATAAAAGAACTATTAAGTATCTGTGTAGTTGAAAATAAAAAATAAAATAAAATACTTACGTCTTCTGTTTTGGATGCAACCTTTTTATGAAGTCTAATAAGGAAAGCTACAAATCTATGGTAGTTTTTCATACTCTTATGATCTAAACCCTTTTTATCTTCTTGGGAATATAACTCAATAGTTGCCTTAACAGCTATAGCAATCTTGGGAACAAGTTGGATGTATTTTTGATTATATAATTCGGATTGCTAATACCACAGAAAAAAAAAAGTTAATATTTAACCTGTATACATATTATACACACACGCACACACACATATATATATTACCTTTCCAACTGTATGTTGAAGGATCATAGTTATCCATTTAGATACCATGGAAAGTCTATAGACATTGGCACATTGGTTACGATCCAAATAGGTCACAAAGGTATCCAACAAATCCCATGAACTAAAAGAATAACGTTGAATCATGTGTTGAATGATATTAGGATGAATGGATGTATTCTTTTTAGTGAGATATAATTTAGCAGATTCACTGTAGATGGCAAGCAATTTATCAACTGCCTTCTTTGTATTTGCAGGTGTCTTATCATTTATCTCAAAGTCAGATCCTCCTAAAATACATTTACGCAAATAAAGAGAAAGAGAAACACACATCTCAGAAAGCTCTTTAGATGTGGAATGTTTAGCAAAGTCATGAACTGATTGCATAATATCAAAGACATATTCATCTTGCTCCTTGGGATATTTAGTAGCTTTGGAAAGTCGGTTTTTCAAGAAAGCAACTACTTTTTCAACAAACTGATTAGTAACAGACTTGGCAGGTGTAGCACGAATAATATTCAAAAGAGGTACAATCAAGGTTAATACTAAAGGATTTGTAGGATTCTTGCGTGCATAAATAATAATAAGTCCCATCACATTATTCTTGAAATGAACAATATTTTGTTGTGTTGTAGCCTTTTCAGTCTTGAGTATTTTCTTTTGTTTAAATATTTCAGCTAATTTTTCATCAAATGCAGTCATGGCATCATCATCCAAAAGCTCTTCATCAGATTCACCATCGACAGCATTAACTCCCTGTGCTCTCATCGCTTCTTCTACTTTTTGACGTAATTCTTCATCAACTTCACCCTCATCCTCTTCATCAATTTCTTCTACATCATCCATATCAATCATTTCAACGTCATCATCATCATCTTCTTCTTCTTCCTCGCCAAAGAGATCATCATCTTGCTTATCTTCACCAGAGGCTAAAATAGAAAGAAGCATTTCCAATGATTGTTTAGTTAATTTATGAGAGAAAATTTCAAACACTTGCTCAGCAAGGTTCTTAAGCACAGGGGATTCATTCGTCAAGAAAGAAACAAGAATATCTACAATAACATCAATAGCTTCGGGTTGATTCTCCTCCTCCTCTTCCTCTTCTTCTTCCTTTTTAGCCTTTTTATTCTTCTTTTGTGTCTTGGGTGCATTAAAGGTCTTTTCATAACAATCAATTAATTCGCTTAAAATCGATACACCGTCTGTTTCATTAATTAATGTATGAAGAATAATATTCAAAAAGAGAATTTCAAATCCACGTTCAACACTATCATAGCCTATAGCTTTATCCATCTTGGCAATCTTGGTTCTAAGCTTTTCGATCATCTTGAGAGCCTTTTCAGTAACCTCACGCGTTTCAGGGGTAAGTGTGACACGTGATGATAATTTCTTATTCTTGGTTAAAGTTTGATAGATTTCCATGACTTGATAAGCCCACAATTCACCATTGTTGGTTGTACCATTCAATTTGCGAGTCTTGAGAGGAGCAGTTTGTGTAGGGACAAGCTTGCTGAGAGCAACTAAAATGGATTGGAAGCGCTCCTGACATAATTTAAGGGTTGCTTCAGACAAAGCAGGCAAGGGGCTATGAAGACCTGATAAATAGGACTTATTCTTATCATTGGATTTAATATCAAAGAAAGTAAACATCATCAAAAATCGGACGAGTTCAATAACCCAGTCTTCTTCCTTGGGGATCTTTGGATTTGTAATCAACAAAGACATTTGATTTAATGCCCATTCACGACTAGATTCACTGGAAGCTTCTTCTGTCTTTACAAAGGTTTGAGCAAGATATTCAAGATAAGATTTAATGCCCTCTGCATCCATAGTTGTTAACAAATTTTCTACAGTCTTTGTACGAGTAATACGATCAAAGTTTTGATGACCATTTTTACCCAAAAGTTGTGTAATCAAAGCAAAACCTACTTGCTTATTCTCTTCAGCAACATTTTGAATAACTTGAGCCTAAATAAAAAAAAATACAAGTTAATTCATATATTTAGTCTCTTTCTCTCTCTCTCTCCCCCCCTTTTTTTTTGTCACTTACTGTGTGCTTAGCAGCTTTGTTTAAAAAGCGGTCTTCAGATGAAAGATTGTTAATAAATGTTCTCATAAAATTTGCGGTAAAGATAAGTGGCATTTGATCGGGAGAAAGACGACGCAATACTTTTTCAACAAGCTGGAAACCCCAAAATTTACGTCCATGAGAAGCATTCTTATCAAACATAGTGTCTATAACAAAAGTTTAATATTCGTTACTTCTTTTCTTTTTTATAAAAACAACAACAACAACATATAATTACTTACTATCAACAGCAACATTCCAAAACTCTTGGAAAGAAGCAATACCCTTGGGTTGAGATTCTTGGAAATAAATTGCAAGAATGGGATCCCAAACAGAATGAAGTTGAGGCTTCCAATCGGCTAAAGCTTCTTGGGTATCAGCAGGAATTTCTTTCAAAATGTTAGATAAAATAGTCAAGTTGGCAGGATCCAAAATAGTTGAGCTTTTGAAGTTTGTTAATTGATTGGACAAGTCAACATTATCGAGTTTTTGTTGAATGCCAAGAACAAGATTAAGCTGATCGACATTAGTAATTGGGCCATTCATAAATAATTCTTTAATCTTTTCAACTACTTCAGATTCATGTTTTGTATCCTTCAACTATATATATATATATACGACAGGTTAATATACTCCCATATACATCATTTTACCTCTAGCCAATATCAAACTTACATAAGGAAGGAGATTAATTACAACATGATGACAAACTTCAGCAAGATATGATTTACATTTGGCCATTTCATGTAAACTCTCCACAATACGTAAAATATCTTCGGTACTAGTTGAAGATCTAGAAATCATACCTGCAGCAACAATCGACATTAAACCAAAAAGACGTCCAAATAACATGTCACGAGTCTCATCGCCACTCATAGATTTAGTACGTTCTGTGTATTGGAATAAAAGATCGAGAACAAGTTTAGTAGCAATCAAATCGACCATGGCAAGAAGCTAATAATAATAATACAAACAACAACAAAAAAAATATTAATACAAAAGAAATAAAAATAAAAAGTTTACATTCATAAACAGCATGTCATACTTCAGTCAAAGCCAAAGAAAAACCTTGACGAGCTCCCTGTCTGGAAGAAGAAAGACCACGAAGTAAACGACGAACAGCATATGAAACATCAGAGGCACAAAGAAGATCAAGTTTTTCTTCTGTGTCGGCAATATCCTCCTCCTTGTTTTCTAAACTTTCTTCATGTGCCTTTTGAAAGTTGGCAAGCGATTTAATTAGAGAATTAGCTGCTGTTTGTCGAGCATTAGGATCAAATGAAGCAAGATCCCAATAAAGTTGAAGTGTAGTGGTTGCCATTATTTCTTAAAAAAAAAAAAAAAAAAAAAGAACAGGTAATCAAACTTCAATGTGTCAAAAGAGAAAAAAAAAAAAATAACAAAATTATTAATTTGTAGGCAAATAGTGGCTGAGCCAGGTGACTTGTTTACTACTAACAATTCAATAATATGGCCATTTATCTGTATTTCGATTTTTTTTTATGCATATAAACTGTCTTTATTTCTCTCATAAATTAACGTATTATAAAATAGAGTAGTAATAGTTTTACTTGAAATGCCTACTGTTAAAATTCTCTATAATTAAATTAAGAAGGTTAGATTCTTTTTACTTGTTTCGTAATGCGGAATAAGCAAGATTTGAAATTGATACTTTATACAAAATATAAGAATTTTACATGACAATAAATAACTTGGGCACAATGATCTTTGAGATGCTTATAACAACCGTTATTGTAATATAATATAATAGGTTTGCAAGGATTATATTGTTATCATAAACTAAATCTAATTGAAAAAAAATAAAATAAATAATTACATAGTGGCTATCTAATAAAATGTTAAGCTTTTTTAAGCTTTTTGAAGACTTTTGAATTATTTGTCTTCTTGAGTAATAAGCTTGAATATCAAAAGTAATTAATAAAGTTAAATAAAAGCAAAAAAAAAAAAAAAAAAGAATAAAAAGTCATTATCTTTATACATCAAAGCAACACAGTGAAAAATGCAGTCTGTTTTGTTAATATATCGCCATGATTTGGTAGTGTGTATTGATTATACAGTAGCATTTTACCTTGGAAAAAATTGAAAGCTCTGTATTTATTAAAGTGTTAAATTTTAAATTCGAATACTTCATAATGCAAGTCATAATTATTATGGACGGCATTATTAACAACCATACGTGTAAAAGATGTATCCCATACTCTTTGATGAGAAGGATATAATTCTTTGATGTGGCTGATTTCAGACCGAATATATGGTCTTCTACCCTATATGAGCTTAAAATGGTTAAGCTTGTTCATATTTTGATGATGGCCTGTTGTCGTTCTTGTAACGTAAATATTTACAATTAATTGAATAGGCAAAATGGCTGTTTCTAGTTCGTTTTGACCAATGGATAAATAGGGAAATGAAAGGATTTATTTCATCTATTATAAAAGTAGTTTGTATTAGATATGTGGCCATTATTTTAACTATGATACATTTTATTTTCACCTGTATATCGAATATGCCCATATTAAATGGATATGATTCGTGGCTACTGTACGGATTCCCTTTTGCTCTTCTTTCAGTTACCTATTGAATTATTGATATAGCTGGTGTTACTCCAATACCTGTTGCGAATAAAGCAATAACAGGGTAGTCTTGGTATGACAGTTCAGGACCATAAATACAAATTAATATAAATCTTTAATTAATTAGATGTTATCTTATTTCCTACAGCACGTAAAAAAAAAAAAAAAAAAAAAAATAATTAAAGTACATTTTAACCAATTAACACGCATCTCTGTAAAACTAGTATATTATTTTCGGCTCAATTATCTGATAATCTGATAATTATACAAGGCTATTCTCTCATTTTATATATATATATCAATAACCAAGTTAGGCTTTTATGTACATGTATATTTTCATTCAAGTTACAATTAACTTTTTTTTAAAAAAAATAGTTTCTACAAAGATATAGGATGAAAGGATCATTCCTACTAATATTCCTTTATTATATACGTTTTACATTAATGATGGTATTTCTAAGATTCACCGCTATTGGGGCTTAATGCAGTGATACGTTGAATAAGATCAGTCATTCTTTCATCAATAATTTTGACATTATTCATGACTGATTCATCATTCTCTTTCAAACTTATATTTAGCTGATATATAAAGAAAGGAGGAGTATAAGATACATAAAAAAAAAAAACTAAATATTCGTAACTTACTAATTCACATGTTTTGCTCAAACTTTTAAGTTCATCAGTCATCCTGGTTTGTTCTTCAGATATTATTTTGATTGATTGACTAAAAGAAGCTGCCTCTGTGTGTAATGATTGCAATGCTTTGAGTCTAGTCAATAAGGCAGGCGTCAAGTTTAAGAGCGGATCAACTTTCTCAAGAGTAGCGAATAATTTATTAACCTTGTATTTAAAGAAGTTAATTTATTTCTCTGTTTATTATTATCTTCTTTTACCTTGCTTTCATTATCATTTCCATCTTTATTAGCATTTTCAACATTTGCAGCAGGGGTATTTTGTGAGTTCATCATACTGGATAGTCCAAAATTAAGTGTATTCGTAGTATCTTTACGACCTGTTTTTAATTCATTTAAGCGTTCTAAATCATTATTCAAGACTTTAACTCTTCTTGCTACGATTTCAAGCTGTCTTGGTTGTGCAAGAATATGAATTTGTTGTTCCAATTTAGATAATGAACTGATTAAAGATGTAGAAGCTAAACTAGAAGGCTATTCATTTAAAATAAATAAAATAAAAGAGAAATAGAATAGAAAAGAGATATCTTTTACCAATTCATCCAAATTCTGATTTGTATTTGTTCCTACTAACTTTTCTAGTTTTGCAATACGTTCATCAATATCAGATAGTTTAGTCTCTTTTTGCATTTTAACTGTTTCAGGGGTATAATAAAGCTCGTAGGTAATCAACTAATACAGCAATGTTTAATACTCGTTTTATACATATAAAAAAAAAACAAATAGAATTCCCAAAATCTTACATTATCTTTAGTCTCTTTTTCAGTTTCATTTGATGACTTATTTTCCTCCGTATCTGATTTAATAGCCATATTTTTAAAAGCCTCAAGCTGTTTTATCAAAGATTTTGCTTCATCAATAGATTTTCCATAATTGGATGTTTGTTCCATTTCGTCCCCTATTTGTTGATTCATTCTAATTAAATCAGACTGAAGATATCCAATCTGAGCAAGAATATCAGACTGCGAAATGATTTCTTTTGTATCTAAAGGCTCCTAAATTACATGTAAGTTTTTTTTTTTCTTTTTGAAAAGCAAGAAACATTCGCCTTTTTTTTTTTTTAACTCACTTTTGTCTTTTCTAATTCATCATTAAGCTCTTGAACTTCATACATAAGACGACGTAATTTTTGTAAAGGAGTTTCATCCAAAGATATATTCTTTGGCAAAATTTCATATTCATTAGTTTCTATAGCAGGTGGGCGTTTTACAAAGGTACGATACATGGCCTTTTTTCTTCGAGTTAAACGATCAGAGAAATCTATTTTTTCAAAGATTATTAGACTAATTTGTAAAACGAATTAATCTCGAAGAAGCAGTATTATTGTAAAAAAAAAAAAAAAAAAAAAACCTATATCCGTAGAATCAACAATACTATTCTTGAATATATTTGAAGCTTCTTTAATAGAAACATGAGCTTTAATCAAGTCATCATTGTCATCATCATCGCTTGACTAAGATTAGTATGCAATTATTAATGTTGAGCTGCAATTATTTAAAGAAGATGTAAACTATACGTGAATGTACCTGATTTTCATATGAGACATTTGTGGTGTTGTTAACAGTGTCAGGAGTTTCATAGACATCGGGCTGATCATCCTATATTATTATATTAATATTTTAAGCTCTATATATGTATATCTAACGTTTAATTCATTTACAATATCCGGTAAAGTTGAATACTTTGAAGTCATCTTTATATAAGCTTAAGCTTATTTTTATTTTATTTTTTTAAAGAAAAAAAAAAATAAATACTAATTTTAATTTTACTTACATATTAGGAACATTCAATATCAGAGTAAAAAAATGATTGGATAGCATTATATTATACACTTGCTCTCTAAATTGAATGCTATTTTGTTAAATAGCTAGTTAGAAAAGCATGATTTGAATATACGTTGAATAAATATGTATATATATATAAAAAAAAAAAAGATTAAAAAATTAACATAAAAAGCTATGAAATGTTAAACTTATCAAAGTGTACCTTGATACATATTTATAGATTTCTAGAACAGATACAAAGGAGGATAAGATTATTTATTCACAAAAGTGAGCTAATGATGGTAGAAAATATTTATATAGACAATTCGATTTCTGTCAGGTAATCTCAATCCATACAAATGAAAAGGAAGGATAAATAAATATATAAATGAATAAATATTCAAATAAATGTAAATGATTTATTTTATATTGTCATTAATCTATGCTATTATTCTTTTGGATTTGTTGTATTTTTAAATATTCATTTTCTGGCCGTAATTCATATATTTGTTTTCATATCTTTAAACGTAAATTTTGAATTGTTTTTTTTATAAGAGCAAACGTTCAAAATTGAATATAATCAAATAAAGCTCTTGTGGAAGTTAAGGATCCTGTATTTGCTTGCTTAATTTATTAATAATAGTCATAATAATAAAAAAAGAAGTATTTGCTTGTTTATATACTCTTTCTTCACCTTTTCATCATCACCTATTTACATTACTTTTTACAAATGGGACATGTTTAATCGTATTTATTGAAACAAATGGCTGTGTTCACAATTTGTTAAACTACTACACACTTAACACAAATTATTATGCAAAATTATAGTTTTAATATGAATTACAAAAAAAAAAAATATCTATTACAACAAAAAGAAGGTATATAATCAAAAGAAAAGTCTAATTGTTAACAGAGTATTTATAACTAAAAGAAAAAAAAAAAAAAAGAGGATTAATATTTTAACAATAACTGACTAATAATACTAAAAAATCACTTACCCGCATTTTTTACAGTTGTAAAAGACAGTTTGACCTTCATCAGCAGAACGTAATTGCATAGTATGATATTCCATTTCGGGATTACCACAGTTGGGACATTTTTCTTTAATCTATTATAAAAATAAAAATGAAATAAATAAAAAATGGTATATACACTTGTTTGTACACATTATATTATTTACAATCGCTCTTTCTTGCTTATTTTGTTTGCTTTGTTGAACTAAATGACGTTTGGATTTTAAAGGTGATTGAAAAGCACGATCGGACGAAGTGGTGACAACTTCTGTAGCCTCAACGCCTTTACAAAAGGAAAAGAAAAGGTCAAATTAGAATATAAGCATTTCATTTTATTTTATTTTTGTCTTTACCTGCAGTTCTAAAGGCACAGCTACATTGGTTACATAATAAAATATCATCATCTGCACCAGCCATGTCTAAAAGATTGCCACATTCTGGACAAAAAGTAAGTGAACCGATAATATTCGAACTTTCAACTGACATTATCTATCTATTTAAAAATAAAAAAAAAAAAAAATAATAAAGTTATTGTAATAGTTGTATGTAAGAAAGCCATTGAAAAAATAAAGTAAAATAGTGGCTTAGCAAATATTAGCAGAGAGGCTTAGTTGCTTATTATTATTATTATTTTTTTTCTTAAAAAAAAAAGCGGTCATAAACTGGAAATTTCATGCATCATTTACACATTAGGAAAATATTATATTTATTCATTAAATATCATATCCCTCCTCTTTTAATCTGAATCTTCATCTGATTCTTCTTCTGCTTCATCTAACCATTCAATAAACTTGCTTGCCTTTTCTCTCAACTTCATTTCAGCAGGATTAGCCTTTGATTTATCAGATTCATACCAAGTTCTAATTGCGTCTTCTTCCACAATATCTGCATTGTAAAACATTTGTAAGGCACCTAAGAATAGTTTACTCAAGTATTCTTGGGATGCACAATGCTTTTGCAATACTTGTAGAACATGCACTTGATCTTCAGGTAAATGTGTCATTTTTCCAATAAGAGGTGCCCATTTATTTAATACAGATTTTAAGCTTTGAACAGAATTTTTAGGATCAATATGATTCATGATGATTGGAATAATAACTTCTCGAATATCAGTATAAGATCCATTACTAGACATACGTAAACCTGTAACTTCTAAGGCTGCTGTATATACGCTATGGTCCTCACTTATAGAACGTTCAATAGTTTGTGCAATTTCTTTTTTGAATTCTTCTGTCTTTTTTGCTATACTACTTTCGAGAGCCCAGGATCCTCCACTGAGCGATCCAATGTCAGATTCATCATCTGATTCACCTACTTCACTAGCACTATCTGTAATATCCCCATCCTCTAGAACAAGATCAGCCATATCATAAGCTAATGAACCAAGTTTCAGATTACGAATATCAACATCGTCATCATCTGTTTGAATTGTCCAGAAATAGACAGGTCCATTTTTGCCCTGAATGACAGGTTGTCGCTCTTCTTCATCCTCTTCCTCATCACTGCTTTCAAATGCACTCATCTTTGGCTGAGGTAAAAGACTGAGTCTTGAATATTTAGGAATTTGTGCTTCAGGACCAAGCGACACCTATACAAAGATAAATAAAATAAAACGCGTTTTTTGTTGTTGTTGTTGTTGAATAAATAGAAACATGTATAAATATATATAAAGTGAATTAATCTACTTACACCAATGGATACAAGTGAACCTTGAGCAATAGTTGAATTTTCTAAAATTTGAACATGATTGGCAATAATACTCTTTTCTATAATACAGTTATCTCCAATAGTCACGTTATCCCATATAAAAACACCCTTTAATACAACATTATCTCCAATAATACAGTTTTTTCCAATAATCGAATTTCCAATACGTGTGTTCTCTCCAATACGCGTACCAAATCCAATTTGTACATTCTCGTCAATTATACATGATCTTGACAAAACGACACTCGTTGATTTATAAATATTTCCTCTCGTGAACTCATAATCATCACCCTCTTTTAAATTAGTCTCAGGCGTAATAGGAAATACCCAACGATTTAAGATATGATGACTGATCGTATTATAAAGTTGCTCATTCTGGACACGTGCTACATAAGGCTCTACTACAATATTGGTATAAATCGTCTTACCCAAAATGTCCGAAGTCAAGATGCCATGTACAAAATCACTACGAAGATGTTGCCAATCAAAATTTTCTGTGAAAAGAGCGGGAACTTCAACTGAGCAAATATCTAAATAAGGGTCAACAAGATCGTTACGGAATTCAATTTGAAGGCGATTTTCAAAAATCTCTGGTGAAATCTCCAAGTGATGTTTGCGGGGAAGTGAAACGACAGGTTCATAATAAACACATTGGCTAGTATTAGGATCCAATACAAAAATGCTATTTGCATCTTTAGCTCTGTATAAAAACAATTCTTCATTTAGTATTTCCTTAAAACATAAAACATTTTTTTTTTTACCTAGCTGTATGTGTGCGAGAAGCTTCTTTAAGAATCATGGTCATAATTGAATTTTTGTCTGTTTTTTTACGAGCACGATGTTCTTCAAGTGCTTTATCTAATTTAATGTTAGAGATGAGCTCACCCGATGTTAAGATGAAATCTGTAGTGATTAATTGACGTGCATCAAGTTCACGAAGTGCATCACCCACAGACATGCATTCTGGCGTTTGAATAATCTTTACTGAAAGTTGAGAGTCAGGCTTCATCCATGATGATTGCCTATTTTTTTTTTTTATAAGAAAAAAGAAATAAGTAGATCTGTAGTATTAAAAACTTTTTTTTTTCAATATATTTACTCAAAATAGGTCTTAATGGCATCGATATGAGTAGAACAAACAATAAGCACTTCAAATACATCTATAGTAGCTAGTAATTCCATTGTATATTCAATTAAAGGAACATTACAAAGTGGCATGAGACACTAAGAAAGGAACGAATTAGTCTAGCATACTTTTCAGTTTAAATTACTGCTTTAAATTTTACTCTAGGCATTTCATGAGAAATAGGGAAGAATTGATGTTCAAAAAGGTCGGTCAAGATTACAGCTTGAAAGGATTCTTCTCCTTCTTCATTGTTTTCGTGATTGCTGGGCTTTTTTTGTTTAGGTGGCATTGATTTTTATTTTTATTCTTAGTTTTTTCTTAAAAAAAAAAAAATGGCCTCGCGTTGACAAATTATAGAGTGGATAGTGCCTCACTCTTTTTTTTTTTTTTGTCTCGTGACTGCTTTCAACGTTTAATTTTGTACCACTGTGAACCCCATATACGAGTTAAAACAAAAAGATATCATCACCTTTTTTGGCGCTAATATTTTATTTAATTTATAGCATAAAATAAAATGACAGATTCAATATTTGAAGCATTGGCTAATATACCTGGACATATTTCGTCATTTTCAGCATCGGCGCAAGATGGAAAAGTAATTCATGTATGAAGGATTTAAAATACATATTATAAATATAAACATGAATATTAATTAATTCATTAATTATTATTCAGTCATCTGTAGACTCATTAGAAGAAACTAATAAAATTGCTTCGACTGCATATCAACTATTAACAGATGCTAGCTTATTAGGTAAATCGACATTACAAAACAAATTAAAACAAATTACAGGTAATTTAATAATATATGTAAGGCTAAGCATATAATTTACGTTTTTCTTTTTTATTGTTATTATTATTATTATTTTCATTCCTAAAGTTACATACCCAAATCATTATCATGCATTTACAATATCGAATGATATCATTTATGGTATTGAAAGAACGAATCAAAATACACCTTCTCAGTAGTAATAAATATAGATTTTTTGTACGGAGGTTGATCCAGAGTATTTGCGAAATTTCCGCATTAATAATAAAAACTTTTATTTTTTATTTTATCTTTTTTTTTTTTTTTTTTTTTTTTTTTTTTTTTTTTTCCTTGTTATTAAAAAACATATGTATACCCACAACACTCTACTATCTTTTATTGTAGTAAGATGTCAAGATTAGAAAGGTTATCAGATCGATTTTTAAGGGTAGGACGACATCCTTTTAAAATATGTATGAAAAAATCAAGGAAATCAGATTTGATAATGACAGAGGAGGATGATACTAAAGAAGTGTGTTGCTGCTGCTACACAGATTCACCCATCTATTCAAAATGCTGGCCTATCATTTTCTTATTTTCTGCATTAACTGATTTTCCTATGCCTTTACCAAAAGATAAGAAACCAGGGCAACATAGAGATTGGGGATGGATACCGTTTATTATCATTGTTGGACTCGTCGTCTTTATCTATTATGGATACCTAGACAGAATTATTTGTAAGTTTCTTCTTTTTTTTTTCTTTTAAAAAAAAAAAAAAAAAAAAAAAAAAAGGGAAAAAGAAAAGAAAAGTAATATTAAAAAAGGAATACAATAAATCATCATGGTAACTGGTAGTGGTGTTATTAAAGAAGAATATGAATCAAAGAGGATTGGCCATCGCCTATTTTGTACCTTTCAATGTTTTTTTCTTCTTTTTTATAATTTCCTATTGTAGGATTGTAACACAAAAGCCAGGATATCCTCCTTCTACTGTCCTTAATAAAGAAGACAGAGATGTATCATCTTCTTTAGGAGAAAAAGATTTACAAAAGAAACCAGATACTATCTTAGGTGATCCGAAATGGTGTAACACCTGTCAAATATGGAAGCCTGATAGAGCGCATCATTGTAGCGTATGTGATGCTTGTGTTTTAAGAATGGATCAGTAAGTTACAAATATGTAGTATTGAATTTTATTATGAAAAACTCATTCTTACATAAATGAATAAAATAAAAAAAAATTACTAGTCATTGTCCATGGTACGTTGAATGCACCTAGATACAAAATACATTACATACTAAAAAGAAAAGGGGAGAATATAATATTATAGGGTGAATGGCTGTGTAGGTTTTGCTAATTATCGATATTATATTCAGTTCCTATGTTATGTGACCATATTAGCTACATGGACATTTTGTACCTCATTAGCTGCATTCATTCATTTTCATGGTTTGGTAATATCATATACATGTATATGAATATATGCAGATATATAAAACTCATTTTATTATGATTATATAGTCTACATTTGATAAATTAGCATTAGCTGTAATGATCATGTAAATATCTTACAAAGTATATTACATATGACACATGGAATTATAATGCTTATAACACTACTTTTTTTTTCTTATTATATATAGTGCCGGAATCTTTACAGTAATGATCGGAACATTTACTATGTCTCATATTTGGCTTGTTTTACTCAACAGAACTACAATTGAAAACTCTCAGTTTCAAAGTTGGAATAAAGCAAAAAAAGCAGGGACATTAGATAATAGACTTATTGATGTATTTACTGAAAATGGCAAAAACGTTTTTAACCAAGGTTGCTGGAATAACTGGATTGAAATTATGGGTAGCAACAAGTTTCTATGGTTTCGTACGTTGTTATATCATCGTTTTTATATGCGTGTATTCATGGCTTTCTTGTTTTTTTTTCTTTTTCTTTTAGTTCCTTTAAGTTTCAAGAAGGAGTCCCAAGGAGATGGAATCCATTTTAGATATAATGAAGATACATTAAAAGAATATAAAAATGAAGACCAATCAAGAAGAACAAAAAAGTAGATAAAAAAAAAAGCCATTGTATATATGTATTTTATCAGTTTCCTGTACTCAATAATAATTTATGTTTATTACATAAGCAAATATGGCATTAAACATAGACAATAGATTTTTCTTTTATTTTTATTTTTTTCCTTTATTTTTATTTTTCCTTTATTTTTGTTTTCTATTAAAATGTCATCACCGTCATCGCCTATACCATGTTCAAAAGATGAATTACCTTCTATTCCTGGCTGTGACACTATTATTGACTTATTGTACGTTTGTACTGTTTATTTATTTATTTAATTTTTTTTTTTTTTTAAAAAAAAAAGCTAAATATTCTGTATAGAACATTAAAGGGAGATGATCTGAAAAACAAGATTCTTAAATTAGTTCAAGTCCTTTTTCCTGATTGGGCTGAAGAAGTACACGATATTCAATTAGATCGTGTTAGTGGTGCAATGACAAAGTATTTTATTTTAAATTCATTCTAGTAACTTTATCACCATTTGCCTAACTTTTATACATTGTCTATATATATATATATACATTTTAACAACATTAGTGCTGTCTTTTTTGTTAACGCCAATAACAAACCTCGTTTATTAGTAAGGATATATGGTAACGGTGTAGACCAAATTATAGATCGGGGCAATGAATTAGCATGGCTTGCACGACTCTCACATTTAAATATTGGTCCTAGTTTGTTAGGTATATTTGGTAATGGACGATTTGAAGAATATTTGCCATCAACAACATTGACACATCGTGACTTGCGCGATCCCAAGACTTCAAAACAAATCGCTTCCTGTCTCCGTGAGCTTCACGACATTGTCACAGTTTATCCTTATGACAACAGTAAATTAGAAATTTGGAATAATATTGATAAATGGCATCGTCTTGTAATGAATTTATTACCAGCTTTATTAAAAAAAAGCGATGGTTGGGCTAAAGTGCTCGAGGAGTATAATTTAGAACGTTTAGCATCAGAAATTGAAGAATGCAAGAAAATATTAGAATCAACTCATTCCCCCATTGTATTTGCTCATAATGATGTAACTACTTTTGATTTATATTTATATATATATACATATTTTTTTAAAGAAAAAAAAATAGGGTTATAAAGTTTAATTCCTTTTGTTTACTCATGCTATAGACGCAATACGGCAATATACTTCGATTAGAAAAGTCAAATGAACTCGTTATTGTCGATTTTGAATATGCAGGATACAATCCTCGTGGTTTTGATATAGCCAATCATTTTTGTGAATGGACTTATGATTATCATTCGGATAATCCAGCCGAAATGAAAATGGATCAATTTCCTACTTATGAAGAACAAATTCGCTTTTTAAAAGCTTACTTAGATACACAATCTAAACATAACAATTCTAACATAATTGATAATTCACTCACACCTGAACGTTTACAAAAGGAGACATCCATGTGGTTAATGGCCACGCATTTATCTTGGGGTCTATGGGGCTTAATTCAAGCTAATCAAAGTGAAATAGATTTTGATTACTTTTTATATTCAATGCAACGTTTAAATGCTTTTAGAGAAGAATTAGCAAAATGGAGAAAATAATATACATAGAATGTAATTAAGACAAAACACACACACATACGCACATATACTATATGTATACATATATATATATATAGAATGCTGTAACAATAATAAACGATAATTATATTTAGCATGTATAAATTTTATATCTATTTCAAGTCCATTATAAGGAGTGACATTATCAAGAGGAAGAGGCTTATGAAGCACGTTTGTTAATGATGCTTGTATTCCTGTTGTCCCAGTTAGGATTATTACTTTTATGTAAAGAATGATAAAGACCTGTTAAGAATCTAATAGGAATATGACCAAACCATTTTAATACTTGTGGATACTACACAATGTAAAAGAGCATATTATTATTTTTTTTCTTAATAAACTATACAGAGTTTTTACAGACTCGTCTTTTCTTTTTTCTCTTTCCTTATCTTTTGCATTTAAAACACTGTCTTTATTTTTGAAATGTTAGCCAATGAGCCAACTATAACAGTTGAAGCTGTCATAGATCAACTTTGCCAAAAAAAGAAAAGAAAAGAAAAGAAAAAAAAAAGAAAAAGAAATAAACAAAAAGGAGAAGTTATTAAATTTTAATGAGCGTTTTTTTTTTTTTTTTTTTTTTTTTTTTTTTTTTTTTAAAATTTACTTTGCGTTAAATCTTCTCTCTTGTCTTTATCCTTGTCTTTTTTCTTCCCTTTTCTTTTTAATACTTTAGAAATAAGTTTTTCTTTTTATTTGAATGTAGTAAAACATTACTGTCTTCTTTGAAAGTAAGAAAAAAAAGAAATTTGTTATTTATATTCATGTGAATATGCTGATCGATCTTGTAAAATAATTAAGCCAAAACTTGTTAAATGCAGTTACACAACAGATCATGGTATTCATACATTCTCCAAAAGAATAAGAGTAGATAAGCTATCAATAATATAAAAAATGTTATTTTATACAGCAGTTTTATTTTTATTTTTTAGATACACACACAATCTAGACACTTTCAATTTTACAAGATGTTCCTTTTTAGCTTTGTTGTGGAATGCTTTTTTTTCAATTGTACAAGATATTCTTGGCAGTTTATGCATTTTAAATAGTTAGGATGTAAACTTTCTTATTACTGTATTATGGCACTTGAGCTCTTTTTTATGATGATCATGATAATAAGTCTCTTTAGATTTTGATCAATTTGAAAGGAATAATGGCTTTGAAGAGAAGAAAGAGATAGAGTTTCAAAGAGTGTACAAAAGATAATACAATGAAAGAAGAAACAAAAGATATGATATCTTTTATTTCATATTCAGGCTTATAGTTTGTCCTGTATTATGTAATTCATCTTTTATAATACGACTTATACATATATCCAGAGCTTGTTTCATAACAAAATTATCAAATGTCTATATAAAGAACTTCTCTAAAGAAAATTTAATAAAATCACAAAAAAAACCTTTGCGACAATACGCTTTTCCTAAAACGATAAATTGAAATTTCTTTTGCAACAATTATTTCTCAACTGCCGACAAATATTTATTTGTTAATTGGCGACAATATTCATCGTACCGGCTGTACAATAATTTACAAGTAAAATTGTACGACCGTTCGAACCCGAGTAGAGTAGAATAGAATAACTTGCAAGTAAAATTGTACGACCGTTCGAACCCGAGTAGAATAGGTCAGAATAACTTGCAAGTAAAATTGTACGACCGTTCGAACCCGAGTAGAATAGGTCAGAATAACTTGCAAGTAAAATTGTACGACCGTTCGAATCCTAGTAGAGTAGAATAGAATAACTTGCAAGTAAAGTTGTCTTTACTAAAAGCAAACTAACCTTTACTAGAATAGAGAGTAGAAAGCGTGACCCTCTATACGAAATAAAAGAAAAATCAATAGTAATCTTCTTTTATATACATCGATATACATGTATGTATGTTTCATTTAAATGATCAGTTGGCTCATTTAATTGTTCTGTATAAATTCTATAATTTGTTTTCATCATTTTTTTGTAATTCTCAAATAATAATATCTACTGTTTCTTCTTCTTTTCTAGTAATATATACAGGATGTTTCGAAATTATTCACGCACTTTTTAAATAAAATTTCAAGCACTTGAAAAAATAAAATTCACGCATCAACAAAATAAAAATTCAAGCACAAACTGAATAAAAAATCAAGCATTGTAAGATTTATTAGATGGGCTTTCTGTCTATTTTGTTAATGCTTGAATTTTTTTCATTTAAAAAGTGCGTGAATAATTTCGAAACACCCTGTAACACCAGGTTGTTATATCAAACGCAAAAAAAAAAAGCATATTACATCAGGTTGTTATATCAAACAAAAAACGTTGTGTAACCAACCATACTTTGTTACCCAGATGGCCTGGGCAACTATGGCGCAGTCACAAGCCGCATGTTTTGAATAATATCCATTTGTTATATCACTGGCACCTCTCATGGCAAGCCACTCCGACACTGAAAATCTTTCTTTCCAGTTGCCACCAAAATACGCACCAGGAACAGACTTAATGAGTAAATGGATATTGAATTATGAACTGGTCATCAATCTTATTATAAAAAGTGTTATTGGTATGCATAACAATATTTTATCAAGAATCCTACTAATTTTCTGAATTATGTAGGCGAACACGCTGAAAATGAATACAGCACAAAACCCACAGAATGGACGAACTACACCAGATCCAATGTATTTTACTGTCCAAATAACCGTGCAAAAACCAAGAGATTACCGCCTGTGCTTATAGAAGTCCAATACGCTGCTAATGGTGCTTTTTTCCGTCGACTCATCGAGTATTGTCTGATGATAAGAAAACAACACCCAATATTGCCAGTGGCAGTAGTCTTTTGTATTCACAATACAAGTCAGGAATTCAAGAACTTAACCTACGATTGCGAGGAATTGCCTTTCTCCAAGCGCATTTATTGTCATGGTTGAGCACGTGATTGTTATTTCATTAGTGCATCAACTATTTCTGCATATCTAGATCAACAGCCACTTCATCCCTTAGCAGCACTTGGCCATTTTTTCACTGAACAGAAACTGTCCATCTTGGGCACAGTGAAAAAGGAGGACGCAACAATTAAATTATTATACGAGATCGCCAAACGTATATTTGAAAATGAAGCAGCCGACGAAGATGCACGTCAAGATTCCCTTAATCTTATCTGCAATAAGGCATCGGCGCAATTCAAACTGGCAATGTCACGTCTGGAGGAGAATGTTCCTGAGTCTTGTACTCAAAAGCGAACATGGGACTGTCTTAATGATAGGCTAGAGTTAATGGAAGAGTTACGTACGAAATATGCTATTGTATCATCATCTGCAAGCGATTCGACAGTCAAAGAACGTCCATCCAACCTCAATGATTGGTAATTTGTTGATGACTATAGAAAACAACATGGAGTCAAAATGGATTGGGTTGCTTGCTATGAAGCTGGGAAAAATGTTGGTCATTTCAGCAAATACTCATCAATGAAGAGTGTCCAAGCTGCCTACTATCGTGCATCTAATAAAAAGAAATAATCGAGCTTTTGATACCATAAAAATTGGGCAGATGGTTGTTCTTTATGATATGATGATTGATTGTCGCTAACAACACAGTTACACAACGTTTTTTGTTTGATATAACAACCTGATGTTATATGCTTTTTTTTTGCGCTTGATATAACACCCTGTATATATATATATATGTATATATAATGTAGTGCGCTCATTTTTAATTGATATCGAATTATATAAAGACTCTTCTTTAATGTTAACTAGTATATCCTCTCTTCATTATTATAATTCATAAAAGCAGTAGGATGGTTATTATGCTTAAAAATTCTTTATCTACAGTAGACTGATATTTTAAAATAGATACAAGTTCACTAATATTTCTCCAGCTTCCTTCGAAAGTCTAGTCTAATATTTTTAAATGTTTTTTATTTCATAGTCTATAGCGATAATAAGGATATAAAGAATACTATTTGAAACATCTTTCTGTATAAAAAGTCATAAGAGAGAAGGAGGCAGAAACGAAATGTATATACAACTGTGATATATATTATTACTATTTGTATTTTACGTTATACTCCATCATTTGCCTTGCTTTTAAAACAAATATTTGTAAAGTTTTTAATTTCATCATGTCTCACTAAATTAATACTGCCATTATTAACAGCTATCTTGATCAATGTGTTCACTATTATTTTCTTCTGATAAACTATGTAATTTAATTCTCTGAAGTACTGAATTATTCAAATCTCGTTTTAGGATATTCAAAATACGTTTAAAGCTTGTAAAATCTTTAGGTTTATAAACACAAATCATAAATAGACAAGTATATCCTTAATATCCATACAATAAAAATACTTTATTTAGTAAAAAAAAGGATAACATTTCTGATCGGCTGGTATCTAATTGCGAAGAATTTTCCTTTTTTTGTTGTGCAAAGACTTTTTGGTAACCGTTTTCACCTCTGGTATTTCACACTTATAATGGTCGGTCTTTGCTAAGCTTACTAAATCAATCAATGATGACTCTTTTTCTTCTTTTTTCACTTTTTTATACGCATCAGGTTTATATAAAGTAGCAGCAGAGGAAAATCCTCCAAACATGCTCAAATCAGCAGCAGGATTTGTACGCTTTTTACCGATATCTTCAGGCATATGAAAAGTATAGCTAAAACCAGACTGAGTTGTCTTTATCTTTTTCTTGGAACTTGATTTCTTTTTTAGATTTGAAATAACTAAATCATCATCATCAGGTGGTGGCAACTTTCCAATGGTTTTAGCTAAACTATGTCTGATTTCATTATTCCACTCTGAAGTACCTGCTGTATACAGGCTTTTATCCATATTCTCTAATAATGATGATGGTTCTTCCTTTTGATAACTTCCCCAATTATTACGATTTTCAGGTGAAACACAATATAATAAGACTATATACGATTTGTTTTCAGGTTATTAATATGATTTAAAATTTATTTATTTTTAAACTTACATTGAGATCTTGTCATTCCAACATATAATAGACGACTATATATATATATATATATATATATATGTATTACATGTATCAGCGATATATATACATGTAAAAAATCAATTTTCTCTTACCCTTCCTCAAGTATACTTTCAGCTCTATAAAATGGAATAACACCATCATTACATGTGGCAATAAATACGCAAGGCCATTCTAAACCTATATATATATATATATATATATATATATGCATACATCAAATCAGTATAACAATGTATAAATCTTATTTCTTCTCTTTCATATACCTTTTGAAGAATGTAATGTGGCAATAGTTACTTTCTAATAAAATAAATAAGCTATCAGCAAAAATGTATATTTCGTTATTTTGTTTCTATATTACTCCTCCTTCAGCCTCTTCTAATTCCTTTTGATTTGAGCATAATGAACAATATTCCAAGAATTCTGCTATAGGATCAGTACTAACGATATCATCTCTTAAAACTTCAAAAGAATCTACATCTTCTATTTCCTTCTGTTCACTAAATAATATTGCAAGTTTTTTTTTAGCTTATATTTCTAAAGCATTTTATCTTTTTATTTTTATTTTTTTATTTTTTTTTTTACTTACATTTTCACTTCAGATAATTCATTTGTCAAGTTAACTTCTTCGACATCATAGAGTTCTTCGTTAGAATTAGGTGCTGATTGTGAGCTACTATTTTGGCTCGTTGAAGTAATATTTTCATCATCTATATGTGCTTGCTTCTTTGCAACATTGATTAATTCACCAATATTGTTCCAACGAGCAACATAATCCTGGAAGTAATGTTCTTTTAAATAATCTTCGTATTTCAAAGTATCTACTAAATAATGAATGATATCTGAAACTTCTATCTATAAATGTATACAGTAGAAAAAAAAAGTAATGTAAATTTCTTGCTCTTATTCTAAAAAAAAAAGGGTTATATATACTTTACTTTTTCATTCATCATTTGCTTAGCTTCACTACAAATCTGACTAAAGGCTTTTAACTTGCTTCTTATAGTAGAATTTATATTAAGAAGTGCTTTTCCACTACCTATTTTGATAGTTGCCTCCAACAAATTAATTCCTTCAGTTGTGCTGTATTGGACTATTTTCTCCAGATTAACTTTACCAATACCTCTTCTAGGCACATTAATAATTCTTGTAAAACTTATATAGTCTCTAGGGTTATATGCAAAACGTAAATAACTCGTAATGTCTTTAATTTCAACACGATCAAAAAATCTATCACCACCTACCTAAGAAGAAAAAAAAATCACTATTATACATCAATCTTTTATATATATATATATATAAATACTTACGATAGTAAATGGAATTTTATGGTTTCTAAATGCCCTTTCAAATTGTTGAGAAATAAAATTCATACGCATAAGTACAGCAATATCTTTATATTGAATAAGACCCTTTGAGTAAGTAACTACTTTTTTTATTTCCTTTGCAACCAATTCTGCCTGTGAATCTTCGTCTCGCGTTTTAATTAAACAAATAGGAACTCCTTCTGGATTATTTGTATATAATGATTTATCAATACGCGTTTTATCTATGTAATAGAGAGAGAAAGAAAGAAAAAGAAGTTGGTGTTAATGACTCTACCTTAATGTGTTATAAATTACCTTGTGTAATAACATGAAGTGCAGCTTTTAGAATAATATTTGTACTTCTATAATTTTGCTCCATACTAATAGAAGTCGTATTTTTATAATCTGCTTGCATTTTATTAAAATTTTTAGGTTCTGCACTTCTCCAGCCAAAAATAGATTGATCAGGGTCTATCCATTAACGTTAGAAGAAGCTGAATAATAAAATCATTTCGTTTTACTATTTGCCTACCTCCTACAATAGTAATAGATTTCTCATTTACTTGCTGCATCATAAGCTTAATAAGGTCATATTGAACCACATTTGTATCTTGATACTAATGATTTTGTTAGAATTTAATCTACTTTGATTACATATCATTTTTTTCTTTTACCTCATCTACTAAAATAGCTTTAACAGCAGATAAAACATCATTTTTCTTTCTAAATAGTTCACATGCTTTTATTATTAAATTATCAAAGTCCTAAATTTAAATGATTAGTTAGATAAGGAGACGGGAGGTGGTAGTAAGAGTCTTTTTTTTTTTTTTTTTTTTTTACCACTAAATTTAATCTTTTCAATTCTTTTTCATAGGCTGTAAAAATAATGGAAACGTTTCTGGTTGCAAATTCTTGTCCATATAAATCCGCATATTGCTTTTCTGTTAATCCTTTACTTTTGGCTTTACTAATCATACCAAGTATAGCACCTGAGATAAAGAATAATTTAATAAAATTTTACATCTTACGTTCTTTTCTTTTTATACCTGGAGTCATTTTTGTTCTTGTAAACTCATCAATTGGCAGTTCAGGATCTGACTTTAATTTTTTGATTACATCTTGACTAAAAATATATATTTTTATATATACATGTATATCCATATATATTAATTAGATTAGAGATTCATTAATTAAATGATCATCACAATTTCACACCTAACATCAGTATCAGCAATTGTAAAGTTATGATCTAAATCAACTACACTTGCATAACGACGTAAAATACGAGCACAAATAGCATGGAAAGTACCGATTAATAATTGACTTGTTTTCTTTTCACCGATCAAATAATTCAATCGTTCCTTCATTTCATTCGCAGCCTTATTTGTAAATGTTACAACGATAATATGACCTGGATAGATTCCTCTTTCTACAACAAAATAAGCTACACGAGAAGTCAAAACTAAATAATAAAAATAAAAATTAATCAATCAATCGATTTACATTGTAAAGATTAGATCTAAAAAAAGAAAGTCTGAACCTCTTGTTTTCCCGGAGCCTGGACCAGCCAAGATCTGTAATGTCTTTGCATCAGACAGTACAGATTTACGTTGGGTTTCATTTAGTGTATCTAAGAATTTTTGAAATCGATCTTTTTCTGTATCAACCATAATTTAAAAAATAAAAAAAATAAAAAAGTGGAACAAAATGTTTAAATTAAAAATAAAAAAGGTCGGCATAGAATCATCGTAAAAAAAAAAAAAAAAAAAAAAAAAAAAAAAAAAAAAAAAAAAAAAAAAAAAAAAAAAAAAAAAAAAAAAAAAAAAAAGATAACTTATTCCTGACATCATGTCCTTACTAAAAATAATATGTTAAAGCTGTTCGCACTATTGTAATAACCATTATGTTTGTTCTTGTTATTAGTTGATTGTGTAATCTATCCCTTAACTTAACATTCTAAGCAGCGTCAATATCAACCATAATTATATGTTTATAATAATAACAGTAAACACATTACTACTAGTGCTCTAAGTGAAGCATATGCACATAGTTACCGCGTCTTAAATATTGTGTTTAGCTACAATATTTTGAGGGTTTATATCTAATATTTTTAAAACATTATTAAAAATGCAACAGACATTGATATTCTTTGCTTATTATCCAACCCTGGCCTCTTATTCTAATAATTAGACTACTATAGTGTTTTACCAACTTGTCTGTTACAAAAATTCAATGAGGTAAATATTCTAATCTTTTTTTTTTATACCGCTCAATATCTTTCTATATAATTATATTTATATGCATATTATCTTCTTTCTCTCTGAAGTGGCCTCAAGTTATAGCTTGTTATATTTGAGGGACATGCTTCATTTTTAATGATGACTTATAGGCCTCATTGTTCCCTTAACTGTTATCATGAATAATATTGCAGTTTATAAAATGCTTATAAAAGGAAAAGGTATGTTTATATTTGTATATATATATATATATATATACAATATATAGACTTTATTTTGTTATATATATATATATATAAGCGTGGTTACTTAGTTACGCTCAAAGCTGTTGACAATCTTCTCAAGAGAGCAAGCCTTAGTTTCAGGGACTTTAAAGTAAGTAAAGATGAAAGCGAGTATAGCAATACCAGCGAAGATAGCAAAGGAGTAACCTTTGATAGCCTCAAATACCAGAGGAAAACATTGACCAATGGTGAAACTCATGGCCCAGTTAACAGCGGTAGCAATGGCACCAACAGCAGAGGAAGCATAAATAGGCGTGATCTCTGAGGTAATCATCCAGGGGATAGGACCAATTCCAATTGCAAATGATGTAACATAGCCAAAGACAGAGAAAACCAAAAGTGGACCCGAGTTATAAAGATAGCCAATAATTAATAAAATAGAACACAGTCCAGCACCCATCTCAGCGATCAATAAAAGAGGACGGCGACCCATTCGGTCAATCAAGATTAAGGAAAAGAGGGTAGAAATAAAATTAACTCCGGTAGTCAAGATAGCCATATACTGGGACGTTGCTGAAGAGAAGGACATGTTGAAGATCGTGGTAGAGTAGTACATGACAGCATTCATACCAATGAGTTGTTGAATTACATGAAGAGTAATAACGATAGTAGCAATACGACGTATAAGAGGATCAGTAAAGACTTGGATCATATTTATTGGCTCACGATTAATATCAGAATGATGAGCCACAGTACCATCATCTGTTTGATCCCCTTTGTCAAAGCTATTATCATTATCCTTATCATTATTCTCGTTTTCATGTAAGTGATCATTGGTAGAGCCAAAAATCGCTTTGGCGGCCGTGATACCTAGCTGTCCTTCAATCATATTATAGAATTCATTCTCGATACTGGACTCGGGCCGAAGTCTTTGAAGAGACTCACGAGCTTCTTCGATATGGTTAATAGAAATAAGATAACGAGGAGTCTCAAGACAAGTGAACATCAAGAAGAATTGGGCAATGGCAGGAATACTGACGAGAGCATAATTGATACGCCAGAGAGGAACTTTAGCTAAGGGTAGGCCGATAACGGAGGCAAGCAGGATACCAATGACGATTGCAAATTGGTTACAGGCACCCATAGTACCGCGTGCCTTAATCGTAGAGATCTCTCCAACATAAGTAGGAGTAGCCAATGAGCCTAGACCACAAGAGAGTCCGCAGAAAATACGGCCAACAATAAACATAATCGGGTTAATAGCAACACCTTGCAGGATACCGCCAATGATCCAGCCCAAGTTATTAAAGATAATTGTCTTCTTACGACCATATTTGGTCTGAATCTTACCACCAAAGAAACTGCCAACAAGACCACCAAGGCAGAATACAGAGACTGCAAAACCCCAAAGAGTGGTACTCATGGGAAGACAGTCAGGGAAGGCATTATTAAAGATATAACCATCACCATTTTCACAAGCATGCGTAGCTTCTCCAGGTATATTGACAGAGCCAATAACCCATCCATTACTGAATGAGCCAATACATGAAATGACTACACAATATAACATATAGCCTGGTGTCTTAAGGTCTGTGGAATCTTTCATATTTAGTAATTATACTTAGTTATTATTGTATTGACTTATAGATAAAATATATATTATACGGTATATACGGTATATTTAAAATAAAATACAAGATAGCAAAAGAAGAAATTATATATATCTTTTATATTGAGATATCATAAGTATAGAAAGAAAGAAAGAAAAAGAGAGGAGAGAGGGATCATTAAAATAGGGTCGGTACATATTATACTAAAAACTAATTTGCATATTTTTTTTTTCGTTTAATGCGAATGTAAATGGGAAAAGCTGTGACATATTTTACATGAGTATACTTTATTCAGGAGATCAAACTTAAGCTATGCTAAAAATTATTAGACAAAAATAATTCTATTTATCTCATTGTCCCACTTTTTTTTTTTTTGAACCATGATAGCTACTATTCTTTCTCTTCTGTTATTCTTTAGAGTCATTCAATGGTCGTGCTATTGTTTCTTCTATTTTTTTATAGCAATAAGATAATATTTATATACATGCGGATAGTAAATGGATCATAGGAGAATTAATATGATAAGAAGGAAGGTTGCATAAATATGTCTCCTATTATAGCAGAAATAGATATATACATATATGTATGTATCTATGTATTGCAATATGTATATCCATATACTATTTTCTCAAACATGTATTTATATATATATATAAATTAACACATAGTTAATAAACATTTTTGTTATATCTTGTAAAACGAAATACATTGCTTAATGTCCATAAAGTTTTACATTAATTTAGAAGATGTATCTCTATGATTGTGTATTATTATATAGAATATATTTTTATCGATTTTTCTTTATTCTTTTTGTTCTGCAGTTATATATACGTGTATATTACTTTGAGATTGCGTTAGACTATTATTAGATTTATTGTGCAATATGATACATTCCTCTCTAATTCAAAAAGAAAAATAGGGATTTTCTCTCTCTCTCAATGAATCTTATTACTTTTAGGTATTCTGTTATAATAATACATATAATGTATATGTATGCAATACTGATGGCTATAGATCATTGTAAATCATGAATAAAATATATTAACAATAGTTTGTTTCTAATTTCTTTTCCTGGACTGATATCATTACTTTATTCAATAAAATAAAACTATTATATTTGTTTGACTAATAATAATTGATGTAATTTCATTAAAACACACACACACATATATACATACATACATCTATTTTTAACTAAAATACATATATGCAAACCTTGAACAGTATATTCACATGTTATACTGTATGAAATAAAAAATAAAAATATGAAATTATGAGACTTACATATAAATATTCATACATGTATAATGTTAGCTATATGGAAAGTAAAGAAATATATTCATACATGATTATTATTTGAAATTTCCGATAGTTATTACATTTATGAATATTGATGTAAATTTAATTCCTTGGTCAGTTTATTCTTTATTTTTAAGCATAACTAGTAACTTACTTTACTGAATGTTTAGGTTCTTGTATCATTCAATGAAGTATCTTGACTGCGAGTCAATTTACTTAATCCTTAGAGATACTTTTGTACAGCTAGCCCTTACATCTGGATCGTGCTTGCAACAATGAAATGAATGATCAGTCATAGTTAGTCATTTATAACTTGGTGGTAATTGCTATTTCCTGGTATGTAGTTCTCTGAACTAGTGGGTTTTTTTTTTTTCAACTTTTATTATAATATCTTGCAAATATATATATTGTTATTTATATATACAAAAGGAATAAGCTAGTTCATGTTATTTGTATTTACTTTTTTTTTTCCTACTTTATATCTGCTATTGAAGTCATTTTAAGCTGCTATGTATAGGAGTGGATCAGGTACTGATGTGTAAATTATATTGAGTATAAGAGGCTATAAATCTACACGTACTTTAGGAAAGTATACAGCTTTATTGTTTACTTTTAATTATGATTTTTGACAATCACTATTAATTTATGCAATGAAAGATATTGTCTTGTGCATTTTCAATTACCTCTTTTTATATAAATACAAAAAAAAAAAAAAAAAAAAAAAAAAAATATGTATATTTTATAATGTCTATAATACACCACCAGTAAGCAATACAATTATCAGTAAATTGTTAAATTCATTAACATGTTATAAATATATGCTATCATTAAAATTCATATAAAGCATAATTAAAAGTAATAATGCATATAATTAAAGTATTCATCGTATAATATTATGGTAGATGTGTACTCTGCCTGCAGGGTACCATATTACAGTAAAAAAAAAGAAAAGAAAAAAAAAAGGAATTATCATCGTATATTTGCTGGCTTTTTTCCTTTTTTTTTTTTAGGATCTTGTTTTACTTGATGCAAAGTAATTAGTCTTTAATTTACTTCATGTAAATCGAGTTGATATTATCACACGGAAACGTAGTTTCTAATGAAGCTATATAATAATAATGAAAAAAAAAAGAATATGTAAATATTATAGGATAAAAAAATAATGAGAGTTGTGTGTATTTCTCTCTTTTTTTTTTTTTTTTTTTTACCATTATTCATTTGCTTTTTAAATTCTGCAACTTCATTAGTTGTATTAACTTTAAAATATATATCATTTTCTCTTATATAATAATGATCATCAGATACTTCTTGCATATATATTTTGATAGTATCCTCTGTAATATTTTCATTTCTATCATAATGACCTGTCCAGAAAATATAATCAAAGTTCTCAATAAGCATGTTGAAGACACTAGAAGGGATAGCCAATGTTGCAGAAAATACAATACTAATGTTTCGAAGCGTCATTTTGTTCTTATCTGAATGCTCAACAATACGAATTAAATGTGCACAAAGCGCTTTTAAAAGAGTATAATTGGCAATAGGTAACAGTGAAACTAAACGCCCAATTTCATATACAATATCCTGTTGATTATTTTCAAGACCTATAAAAAAAATAGATTAGTGAAGGGGAAGCAAAAGAAAAAAAAATACAATATAAACGTACGAACGATTTGTAAGAAATCACCGAGAAGTGACTCTGTAAGAATATTTTCAGGTAATTCACGTAACCACATTTTGAGCAATCCAGTAATAGTATGAACATCATGTTCTTCTTTATCTGCAAGTAATTTAACATCTCCAACTATTATATAACTATTAGTACTATAATTCTTAAAAAAAAAAAAAAAAAAAAAAAAAAAAAAAAAAAAAAAAAGAGGAAGAGGAAGAGGAAGAGGAAGAGGAGGAGAAGGAGAAGAGTGGGGTAATATGTAGAAATATTTACATTCATTAAATTTCTTCTTTAAAGCCTTCACCGTTGCAGTACTTCCACTTAATCTATAAATGCCTTCTTCTACTAATGCTCCATTCGTCTCTAAATATTCAATACAGCGGTGGACAATGGCAGGCAAACCACATAGTTCAGGAGATTTAGAGATAGATACAACATTTTCTAGAGGTACACCAAATACTTGATTTTCACCACGTGTTTCCTCATAGTCAGACATAAATTGTGTATACAAATAATTTTGCTGAGGAGCTGAAGAAGAAGAAGAAGAAGAAGAAGTATCATTAGGAACACCACCTTGAGGTGAAGTAGGAGTGGCTGATAATGATTCATGGCTTGTTGTACTGCTGGTGCTACCAAACATTCTTTTAGGCCAAAATGTTTTACGACTCATTCGATGCTTTACTTTTTTATTGTCCTCTGTCGTTGTTATGTTTTCTTCTGTCATATCATGAATACTATCGACAGGGGAGATCATTGCTTTAGGGCTTGTTAATGGTGTATTAGAAGAAGATTGACGACGACTATTGCTATTGGTATTCTGAAAATAGTTTAGTATATGATCTATGCTAGGTCTCTTTCGAAGAACATGACTCGATGTAGAAGTGCTTTTAAAGCTTTCAGTAGATAAAGAAGGTTCGATAGCCAAATGGTGAATATCATCCATTAGCGTATCTTCAATCATATCCAACTGTTTTGTATAGTGACGAAGGGCATCAATCCATGTATCACGGTCATCATCTGAGTCTGCGCAAAATGTATGTTTACTAATTGTGCCATTCGACTTTGGCTCCAAGATCACAAATGCATGTCGAAAGTTATTATTGACATCATGACTAGAAGAATCATGTTGGGAATAATAGGACATAACATATGAATTAGGAAGACTGATTGCACCAAGAAATACACCATTTTTCTAAATATATAGAATTCCTTAAAAAGTGTTAATAATGCGAGTATATATGTATATATTTAAATTTATATTTATCATCTTAACTTACACTGTCGTAGTATTTCAATATACCAGTGTTATCCAAGACAAAATATCTTGATTTCCAACCACCAAAATTCTTTCCTTTCTTTGTGAGATAACCGCTTTTAATTCTAATATCCTAAATAGAATTATACGAAAAAAAAAAAAAAAAAAAAAAAAAAGATTAATAATACTAACTTTCCATACACAAGGACTAAAAGAGAAAATTACATTTGCAAGTGTAATTGGTAAATGATAAATTTTATCCGAGCTCAAGAATTCACATAAAAGATGTGTGTCAGTACAATTCAATGCAATAGCATGTTGTAAATACGCATCGACCATATTCTAAAAGAAAAGAAGAGATGAGTAGGTAAGGATATGATCGATAAGAGAAGTAAGATTATACAAGTAGACTTGTGATATATTTAAGCATTACCTTTCTTTCTTGAACTTTTACAGGAGCATGCGATAAAAATAAAGATTTGTCCGGTAGATTCTTTAGATTAGAAACTGTATTTGGATTTTGTTCTTTAAGCTAATAAAGATATGAATCGTTTAGCATGACCTTTTATCTCTTGAAGAAAAAAAAAAAAAAAAAAAAAAAAAAAAAAAAAAAAAAAAAAAAAACTTACATTTTTATCTAAACGAACTAAATCAGCAAGTGTTTTTTCAATTTTCCAAATCTCAGTTCCATCATCCTTTTGTAATATGCCAATTAAAAAACTAAAGGCCTCCAATCCTTTCTTGTCAGTATCAACATTGGAACTGATGATCTTAATATAAACGTTGGATAGATTTGTTAGAATGTTTGAGTTATCTACCATCAGTTTTTCATTGGTTTCTTGATGCTGAAAACCAGAATGAATAGACGTTGAAGGTTCAGTTGAATTCTTTAAAAGAGACGCATCAAAATTCTTTGGCAATGAGTCTTTTCGAGTAGTTATTTTAGATAATGTATGAGGACATGATAAAGTACCAGCCAAATCATGTTGTGGTAGAGTAGTTGAAGTATTATTATTATTATTGTTATTGTTATTAATATCAGCATTATTATTATTATTATTAATAGTAGTAGTATTATTATTAGTATTATTGTTATTATTAAGGCTATTTAAATATTCATTAGGTGGTAACGAAGAACGTCTCACGTTTCGATTTGTGCTTGGATCGATTTCAAGACCCGCTTTGTCACTATTTAATACACAACTACCACCAGAGGAAGCTTGGCTATTAGGAGAGGATGGAATAGATGAGGTCTGATGAGGATATACTCCGGGAGATGTTGTATTTTCTGATGCATCTTTATTCGAATTTGATATACGATAGTGATTAGACATGACAAGTTTCAATACTGGGGGACGCTTCTGTGAGTCATTTACAGGATAGTGGCTATTACGGTAAGGTGATCTTGGAGGAAGTGCAGGTGTCTCTGATGCTTGCGAAATTTCAGTTAGTGGATGTACTACATTTGTGGTACAATTAAAACTTGTAGAAGCTGGAATAAGGTTTTTTAGTTCTTTATTTCTTTTTGTCAACATTTCATTTTCATTTGTTAATTGAGCAAGTGATCCTTGTAATGTCTTTATAATCATTCGTTGCTGTTCAATAATTTTCCAGTACTGATCATTTTGCTGTTTATATTCATCAGTAGTTGTACTGTTATTGGAGGTATAATTCGTCGTCATTTGCAACGAATATTAGCTTGATATATGAGATTAAAAGAAAAATGATGTAAAGTTCTTTTTTTTTTTTTATGTAACTACGTTTTAAAAATATAATAACTCCGAAACTTAACATATTTTGCTGATCCTTATTTTTGAGTGGAGAGGAAGTAGAACATAATAAAGGAAGGGGTTTTTCTTTTTTTTTTATCATGCAATTTACTAAAAAAAAAAAAGAAAATTATACTAAACCTTAAAAAAGAAAAAGAAAACTATAATAAACTTAAAAAAAAAAAAAAACTCTACTTGACACTTATTACGTAAAAGCTTGTGATATTTCTTACTACCTTTTGCATGACTCTAACAAAAATATGCTTATTTTTTATTTTATTTTTATAGAAAGTATGACAAAAGTTACTGACATTAACATGTATATTTTTTTTTTCTTGTGCTGTGTTTGAATGTTGAGAATTTCTACAGATTTAATAGATTAAATTAATTAAACGAAGAATTGTTGAGAATTGAAGTCTAAACTAAGTTATTGTATTATCTTCATCAGAAGACCAGAAAAGCCTATTTAGAAGAATAGCAATAATAAAAAAAAAAAAAAACTACATAGCTTAAGTGATAAGTTGACTAACTGGGTGGGTAGTAAATTATGAACAGGGTTTTATCATTAAGTAATGAATAATATACAGATAACTAATAACCCTTAAAACAATCATGGGCACTGTTAAGAGAGTATAGAAAAAAGGTGTAACGTATTGGATAGAAAAGATAAAATTCTATCAATACAGACAGTGAATGGGTTACTTTCTTTGGTTAGGGATAGAAAGTAAATAATACGAACACAGTTGTCGTTTCCTACTATATCTATTGTATTCCAGTAATGAAAGGACAAAATTCATGTTAAAAATAGATAAGGAAACTTTCGAGATTGCAAATGTGTACTATGTATCAAAATTATTTTTAAAATAAAGGATCCTTAGAAAGTTGTATAAAATGCCTTTTGATCAATAACTACTCCTTCTTGAAAATAGCAATAGTACTGCCAACGAAAGCAGTTGAAGTAGTTGATATTATTGAGATCGACCCATGATATGTTGAGATAGGGTAGTAACGATAAGTATTAAGATATACAGAACAAAAGATATATTAATTTTTTTTTTAAAGTTAGATATATGATTAGTAAGTCTATTAGATAAAATATACTTTTGCTTTATAAATAAGAATTATCATAGAAAAAAAATTTTTTTTTAATATATATTTGTTTTGAAAACCTGCAAGCCCATCTATAAATATAGCGCAGAGTAAAATAAATTGCAAAATGATACTTGAAGATCTGATAATATCACCATATAATTTCCAATTTTATGGCGTAAAAACGTAAACTATTTAGTCTATGATCGACATAATAGGCTTACTCTTCATATAATTAATGTACATCCACTTTTTTTTTAAAAAAAAAAAAAAAAAAAAAAGAAAAAAAAGAAAGAAAGAAGAAGAACAATAAGAACAATAGCATGATTAGATTATAATTAAACTCCAGCAAAGGGTGTAGTGTTAATATATATGCATATATCAGTAGAATAAAGAATAGAGATAACGTTAATTTTTGAGGTGGCTCTAGTCAGTTGTACAAAGTCGCAATTGATATGAACACTGTTGAAACAAACAATCAAAATGATGGTACTTTGACACAGTGGTAGAAGATGTTTATTAAGTTATATTATATAAACAGTGAATAGAGTTATAGATTAGTATGAGAGAAATAAAATAATATTATATTTAAAGAACATTACAGATTTCTATTTATTATAAAGCTTGGCATCGGATCTACCCAACTATATGAGAAGCTATTCTGAGTCGAGCTTAACGTAGGGTTGAATAGCAACTAGCTAAGGGCAGACAGATGACTCTAATGATATGTCAAATATAACACATACATACATATATACATGCATACATGCATACATACACACACACACACACACATATATATATATATATATATATATATATAAATATATGTTTGTACATTTGTGTTATTTACACTGTTTGCAAATGATAGATAGAATCTTATTGATTAATACTAACTTAAACTTTGATAAGAATAAATAAGCATATGAAATTATGTTTGAGGAAAAAGAATTCTAAAAAAAAAGAAAAAATGCTGACATAATATTTCAATAAAGAAAATATTACTGTCCGATGTAAACGATTTGATCCTATAACTCAAGAAGTCTATTCATATTAGACCAACTAACTTTTTTTTTTTTTTTTTTTTTTTTTTTTGTTTTCTTTCGCTTAAGAAGTATTATTTTTTTTTTTTTTTTTTTTTGTAAAGTACATATTCCAATACTCTATTTTTCTTGACCAGGTTTGTTTAACTGTTACATTGGTGCTATAATTATTTTGTTTCAAAATCAGTTTATATATTTATATAACATTCTTCAAACATAATAAATTTTACTTAATATAACTGTACATACTTTATAAATGAGTTAATCTCCTCTGATAAAAATAAAAGGGCAAATTATATTCTCTATTATGTTATATCAAACATTTGTAAAACTATTATGTCTTGGAAAAGCAAGGAAGCCTCTATGTTTCACCCAAGAACTAATTTGTTGTGTTCATTCGGCCAAAAAAGTGTATACGTTTATGTGCTTTTATAAATAAATTAACCTTATGTAATCGTATTGAATTCCACCCCCACCCCCTTTTTTTTTTCTTCTTAGTTTAGTTTGTTTGTTAGTGGCAAAAATAGGGTTTGTGTCATTAATAATAATATATATGATAATACGAATATGTTTCATTAATAACGTAAAAGCTATTCGTTTCTATATCATATAACAATTTAGGCCTCGGGAAAAATAAACTCATTAAACATGCATAATACTTTGAAATATGCATACTTAATATAATACTGTTACAGGATTGATGTTTAAAAAAAAATTACATATTATTTCGTAATTCATTTCTTTATAAATCTTAAAGTAAGAGACTTATATTGAATAAACAGTATGAATAAACAATATTGTAACTGTAGTGTCATTTGGCGGATTTTTAAACAAAAAAAAAATTGTATGGAATTTATTTATTTATTTTTTTCAACATGGTATAATATACTAACATATCTAAACAAGTATTCCTTAAGAGTGAATAATAAGAGGAATAAGACTGTAGAATTCTTCATTGTGAATAATTATTGTTTTCTATTAATAAACATGCATAAAAAAAAATACAATGACACCATTCAATATTATTTTTTAATTCCTGCCGAGGTATATCTTGCTTTGTACAGCTTTTCTTTATAATGTATCATCATCTTTTGGCGCAAGAAAAAAAAAAAAAACGTCATGCTTCTAATAAAAAAAAAAAAATATTAGATATGCAGTAACAAATTTACAAATGTCATAATCAATCTCACAATATGACAAGTCGCTGTATTATGATTTTTATTATTATTATTTCAGATGGACATATTATTTAGAAATTTATAACGTAAATTCTCTTCCGTCTTTCTATCAATGAATTTTATGAAGGTATATATGGCTTTTAATTCCATGTTGCCTATTCATATATCTTTATATAACTCGTAGGCTGTATTTCTAGAGATACCTACAATTTCTGTAGCTTTCTTCTAAGAGATATTCAGCAAAGAATATGCAAGCCTCACGTATGTCTTCTATTCAGCTTATTGAGAATAAATTTAAACCAGATTGAATAATGAGTTTTAAATATCAACGACTGTCAATTAAACAGCTAATAAAGCGATAGAATAACAGTCATTTAGAGATGATAAAACGAGTCTTCATAATTTAATATCTGAACTAACTTGTCTCCTTTAGTATCATCCAAAAAGGATAAGGGCATATTTAAGCAATAGATATATATATATGTATATATTTATACAGGTACATTCTAATTTTATTATTTTATACAAGACATACCTCATATAATATATATGATATGTTTTTTTTTTCTTTTCTTTTCTTTTCTTTTTTTTTTCACTCACTCTCCCTTCTCATTAGTTTTTATTATACATAGAATAAGAAAGACTTTGCGTACGTTATTATTATCCAGATGGCTTTTGCTGTGTTGTATCATACATTCGAATAATTCTTGATTGATCATTTTCATTCTGTGCAAAAGCGTACCCTCTTGATTGTTTAAGTCTTTGAATTTTTCGTACTTTATTAACTGCACGACGAAATCGTTCCATACGTGGTCGGTAATCAGGGAAATTGTATTTTTGAATTTCTTGGATATAATGATAGCTCTGTGGTCGATACATACGTTTGATACTAAAAAAAAATTATATGAGTATATGTATATATCTGTATATATGTATATCACTTACTATTTCCATATATAATCACGTAAAATACAACCCAAAGGTACAACGATAATGAATAACCAAAAATTAATATTCCCAAATAATTGAGGAACAATACCATTATATTCTAAAAAGATTTCCCATGGAAGTAAAGGTCCTACATAAGCTACAAAGGGTAAAAAGATAAACCAAATAACAATAGATCCAGGTATAGCAATAAAGGTATATTTTGTCCAAATACTAATAAAAAAAAAAGAGTTTCGTTTGTTAATTCAACTTGTATCAAAAAAAAAAAAAAAAATAAAATAAAATAAAATGAAAGTTTACTCTGTAATTAATGCCGCTTTCCATAAAATAGTGGCCAAGGTAGCAGTAAAGATGGTTGTCCCTACCCACCATTGGCCTCCAGATAGTCCATTAGCAAATACTGAATCATCTACAAATGCAGCTACACCCAAGAAAAAGAGTGCAGCTGAATGGTAGACTGCATTTATGATCCATCCCCAAAATCGTTTTTGATTAAAGAACTCATTTCTTTGTCCAAGGATATACATTTGTGGGTATTTATCTAGTAAACGTGCTGATGCAAATTGATCAAAGATACCAATGGCCATAGGTGGTAAAAACGTGAAAAAGACGTTAAAGCAAGACATAGTCCATGATTCATATAATGTTTGCCCTGAAAAGCCATTAAAAATAGCATACTATATAAATTATATTTAGCTGTCTCTCTCTCTCTCTCTCTCTCTCTCTTTTTTTTTTTTTTTTTTTTTGGTTATGCTTCGTTACCCAAAATTGTGTTAAATACATAGCTACATTCTTGTAAAAATAAAAGAAAATCATTTTACTAAGACGTTGATAAGCCCAAGCACCATGCACAAGTAATAATTTCTTAAGGAATCTAAATTGTGATATAGCAAAATCGGCACTGCGAGCTGCTTGAAGGCCTTCTACGCCACTAATACCTACACCTACATGTGCTGCTTGAATCATGGATACATCATTGGCACCATCTCCAATGGCTAATAAAATAGATTTAGAGAATTTCTTGACAACCTTAACTACTAAGGCCTTTTGTAATGGTGATACACGACAACAGATAACTGCTTTACATCGCGTTGCCAGTTCATAGAATGTCCTTTCAAGATCCTTTTCTAAAGCATAAGTAAGCGCTTTTCCTTCAATGATAAGAGCAAATGGCTACAGAATAAAATAAATAAATCCAATATTCCAAAGAAAAAATTCATCTAGTTTGAAACTTACATCTTGCTGCATATGTTGAGACATGGCCATAACATGGGCTAACTTTTCTTCAAGGAATGCCTTCGTCAGCATGTGGTTTTCTTCATCACAAACAATAAGTTCCATTTCATCTGTCAATAATTTACAACTATAGCCAATATTAATGGCTGTTTCCTGTCGATCTCCTGTCAATACCCATATTTTAATGTTGGCCTCATGTAAAGTATGAATTGTTTCAGGTACTCCATCTTGAAGTTTATCCTCAATAGCCGTTGCACCTATTAAAAACATTTCTTTTTCAATTAATTCAGCTGCATCATCTAATTCTTGTGCACGATTGACAAGTGTTGTAGATGCTTTTTCATAAATCGTATTCCATTTGATATATTCTTCCTCTGGAATAACACGCATGGCAAAGCATAATGTACGAAGACCTTCACAAGCGAAATTCTAAATGATGATGATAGGGGAGTGTGAGGGGAAAGAGAGAGAGAGAAGGGAGAGGTATAAAAAACTATTAAATATATATATATATAGATAGATAGATAGATAGGTAGATAAATATGTAATATGTGTTTGAAATAATACCTCTAAATGTTCAAGCGTTGGTGTGATAAATGGATTATCATTCGAGAGTCGTTCCAAAATGACTGTATCTGCACCTTTACAATATAATTTAATTTTACCATCAGGTCCACGTAAAATAACTGACATACGTTTTCTTGTTGAATTAAATTCACATACATTTAAGATATGGAATTCTTCTTGAACTCCCTTACGCAAACATATAATAGAATGGGGCTTACGAGCAATAAACTTATATTGAAAGACCTCACTTGCCCCCTTTACGAGAGCCCCCTCATCAGGTGATGAAGCTTGATAGACAATTTGACCCGTTTCTTCATTTGTTTCCGGAATTACAGTATGACATGTCATCAATGCTGTCAAAAATTCGTTAATCATGTATTGATCCTCAGATGTTTCAAGATGTTGTTCGAGTTGTTGAAAAGAGTACTGTCCATGAGGATCTTTATTAGATAGAGGGCATTTATCTGGGTCAGGCCTTGCCGAATAAGATAATCCACTTATAGAACATTGACGAAATTCCATTTCATTACAAGTTAAAGTACCCGTCTTATCGGAAAAAACGTACTCAATTTGTCCTAATTCCTCGATTAAACTACTACTACGAGCTACTGCAGGTGTATCCGTCTTTTCATAATAAATATCGAGATCACTATCGATCATGATAGCTTGAATATACTTTACAATTTCCATTGTGACCATTAAACTGTTATATACATGTATATATATAAATATTTTTTTTAAAAAAAAATAGTGTATGCAGATTAATATATATCTGTATATGACTATATATCTATATATATTATATGTATATAATTACCTGATTGGAATAAAACTATTAAACAAAATCATAAAAGTCAAAATATTAAGACCAAATTCTGTACCAAGTGAAGAAGACGGAATCATGAGATAACTTCGTGTATTTTCTTCTCTTTTCTATAGTATTATATGTCAATTATATATATATATATATAACAGTTAGCGATCTATAATACTTACTGAAATGGCAAAATTTCCAACAGAACATAAAATACTCATCGCTACTAAAATGCAAAACAGATATAGAATATTTCTGTTTGTTTTACGAGTCACATTTGATGCCTTTGTTGGTTTTTTACTTGAATTTAGCATCAATTTTGTTTCATGACCTGTAAAGATAACTAAACCATAGATCCAGTCTGTATTCCTTAGTTGAGCTCCTCGAAGTAATATCATACTAGGATCTAAAGGATAATCTGTATTTTTACCACCACCTAACTCATGATTAGGAATAGACAAGGTACCATCATAGTTATAAAGTCGATTATTTGGTTGTTCCGATTTAATTATCCCTGACATAGATGCAATCTGTACTGGTGAAATATGTACAGCTGTTTCTGGTAATGCTTGTTTAATTTTAAGATTTACTTCACTATAAAAAAAAAATGAGTTTCTCTGTTTTCAAATTTTATGGTCATTGTCTATGTTACCCATCCAAATTACTTGTTTCGATATAACAAAGACCTTCTGGTTCAGAACTACTGAGTAATAATAAATCGGCAGGAAAGAATTGTGAATTATCGATACGACAAATATCACCGACTTTTAAATCTCTCCAACGTTTTTCAATAAACCGTGTACCTTCTAATATTTTACATTTTCTTGAATTCAGTTCTCGATCCGATTTATGTACACCCTATGAAGTGATCATGATTAGTAAATTCAAGAAAAAAAAAACAAAAGTGTACACAAGTGTACTACTATAACAATCATTACAAAATCTTCTATGATTTCTTTTATGGCCGTGATTAACAAGACAATAACTAATGGCAAAAGTGTCGTGTATCTTGAAGTAGGCGAAATATTTGGAATTTGCTATGAAATGAAATATATAAAAAAAAAAAGTTCTATTCAATATACATAATCCACATTAGACCCTAATATTCTTATCTCTTCATATTACCTGAATACATGAAATAAATAAGAAAAAGATATTGGCTGATTTACTAAACTCTTCATACAAAAACTTTGGTAAAAAAGTAAAAATGTTATACTTGGCAGTTGAAACAGAATTTGACAAAAACTTTTGTTGATAATTCATTTCCTTATTATTCACATAAATAATACGAGGTGATCCATCTGATATACCTCTTCTTCTATGAATAAAATCTGATAACAATCTAATAAAACGCCTTGGTTTTTTTATTCTTTTTTCCTTCAAGTGAGAACGATGTAAATAGTGTTTACTATTATTTTCATTTTTATGTTGATATATACTATCTTGTTGACTAATAATATTCTGTCGTGGCTGCTGCTGTCGCTGCTGCTGCTGCTGCTGCTGTTGTTGTTGTTGTTGTTGTTGTTGTTGTTGTTGTTGTTCTTGTAACATCTCGGTTGATTCGCTTGCTATTGTCGTTATAAAGTCAGGTACAAATTTACTTTGTTTTTGTCTATTTTTATTTAATAATCCAATGCCTTCTTCTTCAAAATCTTCTGGCATGGTCCGGCCATCATCCGAAGAACAAACTAGATGAATAGAAATTATTAAGAATATATATAAATATATACATATATCATTATATATTACCTGTATCAAAAGAATCCATTGTTTTTAATTGTATATTATTTCTCATCCCTTGTTGTTGTTGATAATTAGGAAAGTCCATGGAAGAAGATCCATTTTCTTGTTCTGAATTCATAATTTTTTTTATTTTTTTTAATAAAAAAAAAATAAAATAAATAAAAAATAAAAGTCAAAAAAGGAGGAAGAGTGCTTAAATTTAGATCAAATGTGTCGTTAAAAAAATAAATAAAAAATAAATAGATTTAAATTTAATAAAATATCACTAATGAAAGGAAAAAAAAAAAAAAAAAAAAAAAAAAAAAAAAAAAAAAAAAAAAAAAAAAAAAAAAAAAAACTTGACCCCCTTTTTTTTTTTTTTAAAAAAGAAAAAAGGTTCATTTATAAAATGTATTTATTTCAAATAACTGTCATTCAAATAACATTGGTTTCAACCTAATCTATTCATAAAAATAATACTAAATTTGAGACCAATAAAATATTCAAAGTTAGACTGCACAATACAGTAAATTGGACAAAATAAGGATTCAATTTAGGAAAAAATGAGGGCTAAATCTAAACAAAGTATAGATGCATTTTTTTTTTTTTGATAATTATTTTATAATCTGAATCATATAACAGTGTATTTACTCCTTTAAAGGCATGATATCTGAATCAGAGAACAACCCATTTCACTCCTTTGTGTGGTAGAGTATGATGTCTGATATTTAAATAAAAATAATATAAAAATGCACATTTAAAATCAAATTACATAATAATATCATTATAGTATTTAAGAGTAATAACCTGTATCACTATTAATGTAAGATGCAACTTTAATACATATACTATGTAGTTACTTAACTTTAACAGGTCATATACCAATTTAAAGGGTAATAGTAGTAACAAGCAGATATACATAACAATAATGATAAAATAGTTACAGTTGTATATTGTTGCAATAATAACAAACTGCAAAAGCATTATCTTAATTAGGACACAAATCCTCAGTTTAAAGAATAATTTGTTCATTTATCTCTTTGTCCTTTAATCTATCATCCCTTTATAGTAAATCTCTTTTCTCTCTCTCTTTCCCTACTCTTTTTTTTTTATCTTTTTAGGCCTTGTACAATAGATCTCAGAAGAATCGATGCGTTTGTTTCGTATCATGATAATAATCAAATGAAAAGACTGTCAACCGTTGGATACTATAGCAAGCCTGACGGTTCAGGGCGAAAAGGAAGAAAAAAAAAAGATAGACTTAAACAACAACTTGGAATTAAAGACATTAAAACAAATACTCTATCTCTAAAAAAAAACAATAGCAACATTTGAAGAACATTTTTGTCAGTATACTTCATACTTGTGCAATGTTTGTTAAGCAAAAAGACTTAAGGAACTATGTTGATCAAGATGGGACCGCTATCCATCACATATTTAATTTGTAACAGTGTCAATAAATATATATTTTTTTTCCTGGAATAAAGACATCTTGGCAGTAAAGAATATGTTCGTTTATATCAGAGTACTACATTTGACTAGGAGAGGATCGACTTGCTATCTTTTCAGGAGATCAGCAACACTAGCCACAACAACAAATCGCTATAATGAATGTGATTGGTCTTTACTCCAGTGAATAACCTTAAAGATGTTTACAGATAATAAAAAAAAAAGGGAAAATCTATATGAAAATACACCTGTACTTTGTTTAGATTTAGCCCTCATTTTTTCCTAAATTGAATCCTTATTTTGTCCAATTTACTGTATTGTGCAGTCTAACTTTGAATATTTTATTGGTCTCAAATTTAGTATTTAATTAAAAATTGTCGGAAATTAAAGTAATTCTCTTCTATTTCTCCACTCTCTCTCTCTCTCTCTTTCTCTTTCTCTTTTTTTTTTAATCTTGTGCCTCGCTTACAAAGAGTTCTTTGTATTATTTTATTGAACTGATCTTGGCAATTCAGTAGTAATCATTTAGATACACTATGTGCTCATAAAGATAAAAATAAATAAATAAATAAATATGTAATAAAAAATTTATTTAATCGTAATTATCTTCTATTTTTAACTGTTTGCATTGATTGGACATTAAATTAGCTTTTTTTTTTTTTTTTTTTTTTTTTTTTTTTTTTTTTAACTGCATGTCAAGTGCTTCTAATTCATCAATAAGTGACATTAATTTTGTTGTAGTCATTTTCTCCTTTTTTATCTGTTTAAAGTATTTTTTTTAAAAAAAATTACAAAATAAAATAATAAAGGCTTTTCTGGATTACAGAATTGTTGTGATTTTATTTCTTTGACATAATTTCATGCTGTTGCTTAGGTATGAGTTCGAGATTTAAGCAAGAAAAAAAAAAAGGTTTATATATCCTTTAAAACGTGATAATGATAGAGACAGAAAGTAAATTAAAAAGGAGAAAATAATTTGTCTAATCGTTTTTCATCTACAGAAGGTGAACAGCATGTGGAGTTAAAGTGAACCGTATATTTGATAAGTGATTGAGTTCTATCAGTTAAAATGGTTTTAAATGCATTGGTGATATCATTGATTTCAAGCTTTATTTTTTTTTTTTTTTTTTTTTTTTTTTTACTCTATGATATTCACTATTTCGGCCTATTGAATTTGTTATTTATGATTCTTCGTATCAAGATAGGTCAAATTATTTAGAGTGTGTAATAGCGGCATAGTTTATAAAAAGTGGTGTCAGGATTTGTAGACCGAAAACTTGAACGAAATAAAAAAAAAAAAAAAAAAAAAAAAAAAAAAAAAAAAAACGTAAATGATGAATCCATCTTTAGCAACCATCATTGTGTCTTGGTCTACACTATCAATTCATAACAGTTGGCCATATTTTAGATAAACATGAAAACCTTCTTCCTCAGTTTTTAGATGACTACTTGAGTAATGAATGTAGTATTTACTGTATAAATAAAGTTACACATAGATAATATCTTTATCTTTCTTTGATGTTTCTTTAGAAGTACCAAGTTCTAGATAATACCTTTTAGCTTTAACCAGCTAATTGGCTTCTTTATTTCATTAGTTACAGCAGCGCTTTGTAAGCATATTGCTCACACATACACACACACACTCTCTCTCTCTCTAAATATAAATATATAAATATAAATATATATATATGGTAATCCTTTTGAGTAAGGTGAACAGCTACATTCCTTGTTAATTAATATAGATAGAGAGAGTACGCACTGTTTATGTCAAGCTTACATAGCATAGTATTCAGCTTGTCGAGAAATATGCAAACCTTGATTGGGACTTGGATGTAGGAAGATTCTTAATCAATAAAGGATAATTGTAAAATAAAATTAAGATAGTAACCAAGTGTTGCTGTATATGGCGTTACCATTAATTCATGATAAATATATACTAAATGAAATAGTGAAAACTATAGTTCAGTTAAAAACAAAAAAAAAAAAAAAAAAAAAAATAGAGGGCGTTATCCCTAAAAGTGTGTACAGACCAAAGCACTAGTCATAACAAGAGATGAATTACGGGTAGAATAATGTTCAACAAGATAAGTTTGCAGACATTGTAATATTTTAAGACGAGTTTTATCAAGTTGTTACTGAAATTAATATGTATAAAAATAAATATGTATATTTTTTTAAGAATCAGTTATAAGGGAAGAAAATTCTATTGTTTACCTAATAAGAGTTGAATAGGGCTCTTATGCTTTCAATGATATACTATAGGTAAGTGTATATAAACTCAAGTCAAGTATAGTCTTTATGTTGGTGAAACAGCTTTGTTATCTGCAAGTAGGTAGTCCATATAAAAAAAAAATGTATATCTATTTATACATGTATATATTTTAAATAAGGCTGATAATTCAATCAACGAGTCAAGTAAGAAACTTTTGTATAAACATCTCTCAGTTAATGGCTTGAATACTTTGATTACTAGAAAAGAAAAAGAAAAGGATAAAGAAGAAGTAATAAGAAAGAATGCTAGAAAATAAATTAACAATGGTGGATATTCGATATTAAAAAAACAACTTGTAAAAGCAACAATTATTTAATGCCTAACAAGTTTTTCTTACAGGGCATTCTAAAAAAAATTTTTTTTTTCTATACTCAATAACTCGTTAAAGAAAAAAATATATATATTATTGTATTTCTTTTCTTTGTTTCTTTTTTTTTATTATATTTGGGTCATTTTATTCCAAATGACCAAATTGTATTCAAATTCATTTCAATAAAGATTAAACACACAACGCCTTTTCAAGTTTATTTTTGACATTAAATAATGCCCCAGCAAGCAGGTTCAGCATTGAACGATTCAACTGTAAAACGACGTAGAAAGAAAGCATCTAGAGCTTGTTCACATTGTCAAAAGGTATTTTTTTCTTAAAAAAAAAAGACGGTATTTTATATTGATTTCTTTTGAAATACATAAGGCTCATTTGACATGTGATGATTGTAAGTTTATTAAATCAATCTTTGTACAACATTTTGACTCATGTTTTTTTTTATAATAGCACGGCCATGTCAAAGATGTATTAAACGTGGTTTAGAGGATACTTGCGCTGATGGTGTGAGGAAAAAAGCTAAATATCTTCAAGAGGATGATAATGGTACTTGTTTAATATAAACAATAATAATAAAAAACTCAAAATTTTTATTTATTTGTATTTAAGAACGCTTACAACAACAGCAAATATCTGTTATGGCACCTACCCCACCTCTTCCACAACAACAACAACAACAACAGCCTATAATGAATTTTATTGAAGGAAATCATACTACTGGGTTTGGATCAAATACAACAAGCTTAGAATATGGTATGCTATCCAGTATGATACCCATCCTAGACACTAGCAATAATACTAATAACCCTTATCAGCCAGTAAATATACCTAATACAACTAATTCTAACAGCACAACAACAATAACAACACCTAATTGGCTTATTCAACCAGCACCTATAGATACAAATACAATTGTTCTTAACAACGTGAATTCTACAAATACGTCCCCTAGTATTTCATCATTAACACCTCAGCCTTCTTCTGCTATGGACTATAATAATTCTACTCCAACAGTTGGAGACCGTCAACGTATTATTCGAAGAAGAAAAGGTATAGGTAATACACCTTATGAGATCTATACACGTGTACAACGTCCCTATAATTATGCAGAAAGTTATCATCACCTTATTGAATACGTTCGATGTCGTATGGGACGAAATGAGCTACTACGTATTAGTCGAGCTCTAGTCCTCTTTAGACCCTCTTACATGTCTCTTGTAGCTGCTTTAACAGAAGAAGATTTAATTTATATGGAAAAATGTGTCCAAAGAACGCTATTAGAATTTGAGAAACTTATTAGTTTTTCTGGGACACCCACAGTTGTTTGGAGAAGAACAGGTGAAATTGTTTTAGTTGGAAAAGAGTTTTTATTATTAACTCAGTGGAGTAAAGAGACATTATTAGGGAAAAAGACATATATTTATGAGGTATGTTTAATTCTTCTAATACAAGTAAAATGTAATGTAATATGTATACACATATGTGTATATGGGTTTTATATTCGTAGTTAATGGATAATGGATCTGCTATTGAATATTGGGAAAAGTTTTCTCAGCATGCCTTTGATAATACTGAATCAGCTTTATACATGTCAGTTATCTTGATGAGTCCATCTTTTCGTCCTGTGCCTTGTAGTTTTTGCTTTACTTTGAAAAGAGATATTTTTGATTTACCTTGTGTTGTAGTTGGAAATGTAAGTCACTATAAAAAGAAGAAAAGGAGTCATTTTACTTATTATTATTTGAGCAGTTCTTACCAATATTAGGTGCTAATACAGGTCGATCATAGTAGTTTTTTTTTTTTTTTTTTTTTGATAACCAAGTTTACGCACATTTATATTTATATTGTCCTATTTACATATATACAATTCGAGGGATTTAGAGCAAAATTATAATACATTATTAAAGATATATTTATTTGAACAAGTTTTTAAATCTACAGAGTTTGAAATAGTTAGCTTGATTCAGTTCTTAAAATAAAAAATGAATAGGTTTATTAAAAGAGAGAGAGAGAGAGAGAGAGAGTTAAAGAAGTATTTTATATCTAAAAGCTGTTCATGTTCTCAATGAATCCATTTTAAGATTGACTATTTAACCTGACTCATTTGTACATGATTATCCAATTCCAGTTTATATTTTTGCGAGCAACTCAATTATTCCTCTTATCAACAGGATGATGATCTGCCTTGCAGTGTATTGCAGCTTTAGTTTAAACTTACTACTCAGCAATTATCTGTGTTAATTATAATAATAAAGCATTCAACAGTAGAATATGTTTCAGGAATTTTCCCATTTTCATTAAACAAAGACAACCACGTGAATTGGCTGTGGCTGTACAGAAGAAGACTTAAAAACACACACACACACACACACATAAGGCTAGTTAAAACTGGTAATTGCTTGAAATAGTTTATCAAAGTTGTATGCATAACAATTCTTATAAATACGAATGTAATTTTTTCAACAGATCATAAAAGTTTGCTGTTTAATTATTAAAAATCCGCTGATTGGATACTTTTTGCTATGCTTCATAAAAGTTCACAGTTGTCTGAACTTCAAGTTGAAAATTACAAAGAGGATCTGCACGCATAATATTCACACATAAAAAAACTGGTATTATTTTATTTTTCTCTTTTCTCTCTCTCTTTTTTTTTTTTAATATTCAAGTTACTTTACAAAGGTATATATTTACACTTATTTATGTACAAAAAAAAAACAGACGATTATATAGATGAATTTCATCTATAACAGGATCGCCTTTTCTTTATTCGTGATTTCACTTTATTAACTTCATCTTTTTTTTTTTTTTTTTTTTTTTTTTTTTTAAAAAAAAAGTAGTCAGTCTATTGAGTTAATAATTAAAGAAGAACACTCTACTTATATACGCTTATTTATTGTATATTCAAGCTTTCTAAATAACAACTTTTTCATTTTGGAAGGGCCCATCTACTTCAATTACAATAAAAGAAAGAAAAAAAAAAAAAGAGAAAGACCTCAACAAACCTTTTATTTTATTTTATTCATTTGTTATTTACCCCTGGCTGGCCCAGCTTAAGTTTGGAACATCAAAAAATATATAAATTTATGCCATGACTACCAATATATCAAACACAGCATATGCATTTTCAAATGATGTAAAAGTAAAGTAAAAATAAAAAAATGATATACAAATATGTATATTAATTATTATATAATAGAAACAAATCAGTATTCAAGAGTTACGTGTTATAGCTGAAGAAGAAAGAAAAGAAAGACAAAGGTATCTTACACATATACATATACATATTAAAATACTTTCTATGTATTCATTTTATTTTTATTTTTTAATAGACTTGTTGAAATCCATAGAAATTATTTATTAAAAGAACTCTTTTTGTTAACAAAAAATAAAGAAGATGTAATGGACTTTTTGAATGGAAATGAAAAATTATGTACAAGCAAGTAAGATATGATATGATAATAAAAGTGTATCTATTTTGACCCTTTTCATATAATTATACTTAAAGAAATGATAGATTTCCTTTAGACAAGACCGAAAATGTCACTTCACTTGAAATCAATAATGTATCAATATTAACCCAAAAAGATGAAAAATTAGTATTGTCTGACTCAAATGTATGTAACTCTAAATGATTTTTTTTTTTTGTTAAAAAAAAACTGTATTAACTTTTTATGTATATGTCTTTATTTATATAAAAAAGTTGTTGCCATTTAAACGAAATATGCCAATCAAATATTTGACAACTACATTACCTAGGCAACCTGAATCAAAGCTTTATCCTGTTCAAATCTATAATGGCTATAAATTTGTTGATCGACGTAATAATAAACCATCGGATTTTGATCTCTATGCCTGGAAACTGAAGGCTCAATCACAACCCTTATATAAGCAACTTCAGCAAGCAAGGAAAGTCTTGACTACACAGGATTGGATGGTATAATAAAAATTGATTCTTGGTTCTTTTTCTTTTCTTTATATGTATATGTATACATATTGTTAATGATATTTAGAAACTTATTTTCATAGTTAGCAAGAGATCAATTAAAATCAATGAAAATAATTTCAAATATAGAAGACTTAAAGAAAAAGAATTTGTGGAGTCAAAGACAATTAAAACGTCAAAAGACTATACCAAGAACAAAAACACATTGGGATTTACTGATAGATGAAATGGTAAAAATCGTTGAACAAAATCATATATTTGATATTAACATTAGAACCTTTTTAGAAATGGATGAGGACTGATTTCAAAGAAGAAAGAAAATGGAAATTAGCAAATGCTTATGTAATATCACAAGCAGTACTTGAATGGCATAAAATGGAAGATAAGTCTATTGTATGTATTAAGGTAAGGTATACACTTAAAAGTGAAGTGTAGAAAGAGTGAGTAAAAAAAAAAAAGATTTAATTTGAAACTGTCTTTTTTATATATTTGTATTTAGACGAGAAAACCTACCTTTTTAAATGAGAAATCCGAAAGAAGTAAAGAACTAATTGAGGAGTATATAATGAAAGGAGAGGATATGGATAATAATGATAATACAACAATAATTAAAACTGACATAGGAATGACTGATGTTGATATGACTTCAAATCAAGCAATAAGATTTGCTTGCTTATCAATGAATGATGTTGATGATGAAGAGGACGATGAAGATGAATTATCAAATACAATTTCATCAGAAGTAATGAAGGACTATTATCAACTTATTCAAGATTTATCTCAATATCAACCTACTATAACTTTACTTGATGAAAGTCATGATATACTTTCTATATTCCCCGAATTATTGCTCTATACTGCACCAGATGCTAGTTGTATTGGGAATGATCCATACATCGATGAAACTGAATACACTCGAATTGTACCATTTAAATTATCTTCTCAACGATATATAATTCAGGATACTAATAAGCGGAGAAGAATATCGAGACATGGAAACTTAAGGATGGCCGACAGATTAGAAATTGAGGAGGAAATCAGACTATTGCCTGATCTTCAACGTTATAACAATTCATTACAAATAGCTCGTAAAGTATATCTTAAAAGAAAACAAAAGTGCTTTAAAATTAATCTTTTGATTTTTTTTTTAATTACTTTTATTTAGCATTATTTTCACTAGAAGATATAACAGATATACCATTAGTCCAGCCATCTAGTATACCAACTCATTTTACTCCTGGTATTAAAACTATAAGCACATGGTCTGAAGAAGATGATTTATGTTTAATGCAATTAAGTACACAATACTCGCTTAATTGGGATTTAATTTGTGATGCACTTAATGCAACCAGAGTGCCTCTTGGTGGAGAAAAGCGTACACCATGGGATTGTCAAGAGCGATGGAAGCAGCATCGTTTATTAGCAGAGCAAGAAAATTCAGGTATACTTTTACTATAATAAAACACACACACATACATATAAATAAATTTTATAATTCAATACTATTATTAGATTATGCTTCAGAGCTAAAGAGTAATTTATCAAGAAGACTCCTATTAACAAAGTTAGACTCTGTAAAGAAAAGACAAAGACAATATAATATTTTTGAAGCTATCAAGAAAATTCAAAAGAAAAGAGAAGATAATTTCAAATCAAAAGGTAGACTAATGTCAAATTATCTATTTTTTTTTGTTTAATTGTTATTTATCTATTTTTAGTAAGTCCAACATCTATTCCACGAAATATTATAGAGACGCATGGTATGAGCTCGCAAGGACAAAGATTGCCTTCTGCCATGGAACTTAGTTTGCATAAAGCTCAAAGAGAAAGACAAATGGCTCAAGCACTTATTGAGCAGCGTCAACTATCTACTAGCTTTATTAATTCACATCCAATGATGAACGTAAGTTTATATGTAGTGCACATGTGTAATTTTTATTTACGCATCTTTTTTTTTTTTTTTCATTTAAAGGGCGTACCTGGTACACAGCCTGCATCTCAAATGAGAGCCCCTGCAGTAGTCAATTCGAACACAACATCTACTGCAATTGCTGTAGCTGCTGCTGCTGCTACTGCTGCTGCTGCTGCTGCTACTTCGGGAAGAAGTAGTCTATTTAGACCTCCATTACAACAGCAACCTTTCCAACAACAAATTTTGATCCAGCAACAACAACAACAAACTGCTGTATTAGCACAAACACAAACACAAACGCAAACGCAAACGCAAGCACAACCACAAGTAGCTGTAGCTACTACTGTTCAACAAAAGCAACAACAACCACTTCAACCAGTAGTAGCACTTTCATCTCAGTCTCAAGTCCAACCTACCACACCACCAATTCCAGCATTACAGACATCTGTAATGATACCTCCACAACCAACAAACGATAACGGAGGAATGACTAATCATTTACAAGCTAATAGATACCCTGCTGCACAATTTCAATTATTTCGTCAACAACAAATGGCATTAATGGCAGCAGCTGTAGCTCAACAACAAGGGCAAATTCGACCCAATACTCAACAAAGATTTTCGAGTGCTTTAGCTGCTCAAACTACAATTCAAGGTAAATAAAAGTTACTCAAAATTATAGAAAAAAACAAAACAAAACAAATCTTCTTATTTATGATCATAGGATCATCATCACCTCCTGCTGCAGAAAATGGTCAACAACAGCAAACAACCATTGCTTTGGCAGCGCAACTAGCCCAACTTGGATACCCACAACAAGTCAATCTACAAAGATATCTTGCACAATTACAGATGCGTCAGAATACCAATACAACTCAACCGCCCCACATTTTAAATACTTTAACTCCTCAACAACAGCAACAGCTATTACTTCAACAACAACAACGATTACAGGCTATTCAATTACAACAACAGTTACAATTGCAACAGCAGTTGCAGTTACAACAACAATTACAACAAACATCACCTCAACAATCAGCCAATAGTACTTTAAGCCCTGTACATCAGCCATCCAATAACAGTAATAATAATGGAATTTTATAATAACAATAATAATAAATGACTTTATTATATTAAATGTGAGGGAAATCAGGGGTAAACAAAAAAAAAGTCAGGGAAATACTATTATATATGCCCACCTTCTCTTGATGTAATTGTATTTGGAGTAGGCTGATGATAATGTAAAGTCATATTCTCCTTTTCTTCTTTTATTTTGTTCAAATTATTATTATTATTATTATTCAAAGCAGCCGTCTTTTCAACAATAGCTAATTTATATTATAAGCTTATTTAATTCCTCTATTTATATAAATATATATATATGTATTTGTTACCTTCCCGAATACCTTGCTCTCCTGTAGCCAAGATACCAATAGGCAATTTACCATTTGTTGATAGAGTCTTTAACTGTTGAACAAGTTCAGCATGTTCCTTCAAGACGTTGTATGACTTTGATAGTTTACCAATAGCAATTACTTTTCTTTTAATAACGTGTTTACGTTGACTATCAATTGACGTTGCGGTGGTGGTGGTGGTGGTGGTGGTGGTGGTGCTTAAACTAAATTTTTTAGTGCACTTGGTATTTTTGTTATTAGGAATCACTGCAATTGACATATCTCTTGTAGACCAGAAATAATAATAATAAAAAATAAAAATAAAAAAAATAAAAATAAAAAAAAAAAATCAAGTCTTTTATACAAATAGTTCAAAAAAAAAAAAAAAAAAAAAAAAGAGGGAGGTAGAAACAAAAGATGAGATACATATTACTAGTTTTTTTTTCCTATACCCTGATTTTTTTTTTCTTCTACTCCTTGATTTTGTTTACTATAAAAAAAAAATCATATTTATTGTAGTACTATATGTCGAAAACTCTTTTTTTTTTATGAAGCATTGAATTTATTTATATAAAACGGGGTTGTGATGCATAAAAATAAGAGTACATAGATGGTGGGTATACATAGCAAAGCAGCAGCAGCAGCAAAAAAAAAAAGACCTTTTTCTTCAACCAAGTATTGATAGCATAACTGTCTTTTACTACTCTGAAGGAAAAAAAAAATAGTTTAAGGAGTTAGTTAGTCAGCCATTGTTATCTACAATCTTATCATCTCCCTCCAAGCTTGACCTTCTTTGGTTAAGATTTTTATAACAAGAGGAGTATACATAATGGTTGTTTTCTTTTCGATAAGACAGTTTTATTTCTTTATACAACCCAGATAAAGTAATAAAATTCCTAATAGAGTTTTACAAAAAAATATATATAAAAATATATACATAATACTTTTCATAGTATTCTGTCAAGCTACTGAGACTACTGACTCTTTGTAATGCTCCTTTTCTTTTTTCTTTCTAACGTTAATGATGAACGACAATGCTATTTTTTTTTTTTAGCAAAACAGCATGATGATTAATTGCATGATACTTATTTATAATCGACCTTTAGCAGAATGTATAACGTTCTTAATTCAATTAAAGTCAAGGTAAACAAAGACTTCGTCGACAGAGACACACACACACACACACCTCCCTCAATTGAGCTCACAAACAAACTCCTTACCTAATAAATATATATATATATATTAACAGACTCAATAGAGGAAGCTTGTCATAGAAGCATTCATATAAAGATGAGTTAAAACTAATAAAGTAGATAGTTATACAGAAAATAATAATAATATCTTGTATTTCAAGTGCAAAACAGTAGCATATTGTATCTCTAACACTCAAACATTCAGGGTGCAATTACACAAATAATGTTCAAATGATTTTGAGAACTGTGTATTTATTTATTTGTTCATTCGTTTTAAATTAATTGAATACAGCTGTTACTTACTTGAACCTACCTACCTTTTAAATATTTAAATAAGCTCATGTTAGAGTGTGTGAACATGTATATTTATTCTTATTAGAATTGCTTTTTTTAAAAAAAAAATAAAATAAAATAAAAATAGACAGTGCTAAGCAAGCATAAAAGGCATGTTAAAATAAACTTTTTAGACTAGGCTAACGCTTTTTTTTTCATTTGTTACATAAAAGCCTCTACACAGACATACATATTGATTCCAAAAAGAAGGATTTAGAAAAACGAATTTTTAGTTGGACGCATTATGTTTGCAAACAGCTAAATTCAATACAAACAAATAAAGAGCTATAATTAAATACGCTATTCCAATGTATATACACACATCCATATTTACACACTTTGCTTCATATATTTTCATAATATTAAAAATGAATCTGATTTTTCAGAGTAAAAAAGAAAGAAATTAGAGCAAATTAACTACAAGCCTTAAGAGTTAAAACCTATACATGATTACTTTTTTTTTTTTGAATTAGAAGTTTGAGAATATTCTTGTTCCATATACATAAAAACTTAAATATTCCCTTCTTGTTGAGAACCATTTATTGTCTTTATTTGTCTTTTTTTTTTTTCGTTTCTCGCTCTCTCGCTCTCTGTCTCCCTGTCTCTCTTTTTTAATCACCACTTGCACAACCTCTGCAGCCACATAAGACGCATTCTACTATCTTTCCTTCTTCTAACTTTTCTTTTGGTACTCTACAAATACATGTTGTGCCAAAATTTGTATCTTTAGGTTGAATACAACGAAGGCAACATAGTTTTTCAAATCCAGGCTAATATAAAAATATAAAACTGAATACACAAATATATGATACAAAAAAAAAAAAAAAAAAAAATGGCACTTGAATAATATCTTACCTTTTTCCATTTAGCTATAAGATTAGCATCAGCATATTTATTCTTGATCAAATAATCATAAAGTTCTCTAGAAATAATCTTTCTTTTATAATAAAGATCGTAAATATAACGTGAACGTTGATGGTGAATACGAAACACTGGCCACGTACTTTCTACAATACGTTTTCCTTCATGAGATTCATTTTCAACTATGTATATGATTTAAAAAAAAAAAAAAACTTTTTTTTGAATAATTCATCGAAATGTCACTTTTATAATTTGAAAATGAATGTATATTTTTATTTTACCTTCTTTCATTTTTCTTGCAAATTCTTCTAGTGTAGGTTCTATTTCATCGAATCCTGGTGGAGGTCTTTTGGTTCGAGTTGTTCTGATTTTTGGCATTATTTAAACAATTTATGATACACAGAAAAAAAAAAAAGGACAGGACAACTTGGAATAGCCAAAAAAAAAAAAAAAAAAAAAAAAAAGTACAAATGTGATGGAAATGATGACGTTTATGTGCGGGCCGAGAAAACAATGACTACAAAGATTCAGGAGAAACATCTTTTTTTCTCTTTTTGACAGTTTTTCATCTTTATGTTATATAAATGTCGGATAACAATGGAGTTGATGGTTATTATATATTTGCATCAAGTATAGCAGCACTCGTTACAAGAACCATTACACATCCAAGTATATATTTATATAAATACATATATATATATATATTTTTTTTTGCAAAAAAAAAAAAGAAAAAAACATGACTGCTCCAATGTTTATCCATATATATTCGTAGTAATTACTCTATATTATTATTATTATTAGTGGATACAATCAAAATTCGTTTACAAGCATCAACTCTAAATCATAATAACACTAATAAAACAACACTATTTGAAAACTTGAAAACAATTATATTTCCAATTCAAGTTGGAAACAATGACAAGTTGAATCAATTACGGACCTTCACCTCACTCTATCGAGGATTACCCGTTGCTCTCCTATTCTCTGTACCTGCCCTATCAGTCTATCTTTCTTGTTACGAAACGACAAAGCAAACATTATACAATAAATATCAGATCAAAAAAGATGCTGCAGTCAATCATCTAGTTTCGGGTTGCATTGCTGAAATATCAGCTGGTTTATTTTTCACACCAATGGAGGTAATGAAAAATCGCCTTCAGACAACAAACAAAGCAAAGCAAACCTCATTCCTTTCACTCGCTACTCATATGTTGAAATACGAAGGCATAAGAGGATTCTTTAGGGGATATTGGATGAGTTTAGTTGTTTTTATACCTCATTCAGCAACTTATTTCATTACATATGAAAAAATGAAACAATGGATGATTCGTGATGAATCATCAAGAGTCAGTCCAACACTATATATGCTATGCTCTAGTGTAGCAGGTATTACAAGTTGTTTCATATCTACTCCATTAGATATTATTAAGACGAGATGGCAGATATCGGCGGCAGAACATGGAAAAGACTTTAGAGAGGGTCCAATCTCGATTGCAAAACATTTAATTCGATATGAAGGTCGAAATGTATTGATAAGATCGTTATATGCCAATATTGCTTGGGGATTGCCTACAACAGCAATTAGTATGACGATATTTGAAGTTTTAAAAAGAAATAGATATAAATTTGAATGATGAAGATGTATAGAGAATGCATACATATTAGTGTATACCCAAATGCATATATTTATAACATGAAGAATGTAGAAATAAACGTTATTTTATTATTAATTTAAAAAAAAAGGAGGGGGAGGGGGAAGGGGAGAGTGGGAGAACAAAAAAAAAAAAGAAGACACTAAACTAATATATAATTGTTTAGTTTTGTAATTCTAATAAAGAAAAAGGTAGAAGAAGAAGAAGAAAAGGAAAAAAGTCTATTCATTTTTTTTTTGGGGGGAGGGGAGGGGAGGCGAAGGGCAAAAGATAGAAAGATAGTTAAAAAAGAACATAGGCAACTAATGCAGCGACACTAAATGTAGCACCGATACTAACATGAACCAAGTTACCACTATTCTTAGCATTTTGAGCCTTAGCAGAGGGCTTGAGAGAAGAAGTAGCGATAACGATAGGGTTACGATGAAGGTCAGAGGCACCATAAGCCATAGAAAGACTTGCAGCAGAAGCCGAAGCAGAGAGGCTTTGAGAGGCAAGATTAGATTGACTAAAATCAGCAGCTTCAATACTCTCCATTTCTTCTTTGTTGGCGTTTTCTTCAGCCTTTTCCTCTAATTCAGCTTGTGCAAGTTCTTCTGCAGTCTCATCTGTATTCGTATTCTTTTTCAAGTCCTCTTCATTCTCCTTCTCTTTCTTTCCTTTCTTGTTCTTCTTCTTTTTATCCTTCTTTTCTTCTTCTTTGCCTTCTTCGTTCTCTTGAATGTCAACTTCATTTTCCTTAGCATCAGTATCATTTTCCTGAACATCAGCATCAATCTCTTGAGCGTCAGCATCAACATCAGCATCAGCGTCAGCGTCAGCGTCAGCGTCAGCATCAACATCATTTTCTTGTTCTTCCAACTCATTTTCTTGCAAATCTACGTCATTTTCTTCATCTTTTCCAACATCATTCTCAGCATCCACTTTTGTAACTTTGACACCCATCTTTTCAAGCATGGAAAGAGGAGCAACATGTGTACCTCTGTTAGCATCAGAAGAAATATCATTAACAGTAGAATCAACAGAAGCTACGGCATGAACTATAAAAATAGATGATTAATTTATAACCTTTCCTATATCTCTATCGATATGCTTTACCTTGAACCATAAGGGTTGCAATAGCAAGAGTAAGAATGGTTTTAGTGTGCATTTTTATTAAATTAAAAAGAGAGAGTGAGAGAAATAGAAAAAAGAAAAGTAAAAAGTAAAAAGATATACAGAAAAAAGAAAGAGAAAAAGAGAGATATTAAATGCTGCTTCTCTCTTTCTCTTTCTCGTTCTCTCTCTCTCTCTTTTTTTTTTTTTTTTAATGGGTGAAATCGATAGATATTTATTTGTGTATACTGTGGCATGTTGTTGTCTAATTCATTTAGATAAGTTTAGATTTAAACAGATGAAATTTGTACGTTATAAATCGATAAGATATAATTGGATAGAATATACATATTTTTGTCTTAATAATATAGAAAGTCTATCTTGAATTGATCTATTATGCATATCATTTAAAACCTAAGGGGGCTCAAATAAAAGGATTCATACTAGAGACAATGACGCGAACTTGCTTCTCTATTATGAATTAGTTGAAATTCATATAAATAGTATTTTATTTTTTTATTTCAATATAGGATAAGGGAAGATAGATTCTCTTCAACACAATGAAAGGTTCTAGAATTGCCTTTATTTTGGATTTTCAAGCCGTTTTATGGGTAGTATCATTGGCTGATATTGTTTATAATAATAATAAGTTAGTGTGAATAAACAATTCAAATAACATTTTTGTTGAAATGTAAGTGGGTTATAAAATAAATATAAGTTTGATAAAAAAAGGGTAAACTTTTATATTGTTTACCAAGACAATTTCAATTATCTTTTGGTACTATTATTTCAAAGATATTGATTGACGTATCAATATTATAGTCTCTCTTGTTGAAAGATATGAATTCAATGGGTGGTGGTGGTGATGAATATAGATACTTTATATGTATATACATATAATATTTTTTTTTTTTTACGCTTAACTTGAAATGATAATACATAAATATCTGTTTTATCAGGTAAACCGGTCCAAATGAGTTGAGAATAGGCTTGTAAATATTTACAAAAAATTAAATTAAAGCCGGTCAGTAGAGTAAAGAATGTATCAAGCGTATAGAGTAAAGAATAAATAAATAGCTTGAAAAAAAAAATTTGATAAAACTCCTATTAAAACATTTCCACTACGATCAGGAACTTTTCAATAGATAAGAGTAGTATGATATAAAGAAAGAAGGAATCTATCTATATGTTTGAAATCATCATTATTCTCACTACATTTGTCTATACTTATTACCCTTGATGGATGATAAAACGTTTCAGACTTTACTGCTGAATCCAACAAACGTAATTTGAGGTGATATAGGCGTTATAATACCCAAGATTATTAATCATGTCTATCTTCTTCAGATAAAGATGAAGGCACTATAAGCTAATTTAAAAAAAATAAAATAAAATTTATTAGGTTTCATAAACAATTTCCTACAACGGACATATATACAGCTTAGAAGCAATCGTTCTGTTCTTCTTTATCGGATAAAGATGACCTGATGAAGTGTTAATTTTTGTCATTATTTACTTTTCGTACGATAGCCTTTATTTATATATATATATATATATATTTTTAAAGAAGTAGCTTGGATAGACTAAATTGAAAAAAAAAAAGAACGCGAATACTATCACTTTTATACATATTATTATTGTTTGAGGATTTAAGCGCTATACATAAAAAAAAAAAAAAAAAAAAAAAAAAAAAAAAAAAAGGGGGAAGGAGAAAAGTTTTATATGTTCATCAAAGCCTTTCAAATTTATGTATGGATAACAAACAGTATAAAATTCATCGCATTTTTCTTAAAAGATTTTTATCTTATTCAATAGATAATCTATATCATAGATCAGATAAACGTATACATACACGTTGTTAATAATACCATTCTTTTTAATATATGGAATAAAAAAGTAACAACATTAACACAAATTGTTTTCATCAATAATAATTGATAGTTCGCGTTTACCAAGTACTACTACTACTACTATTATTATTATTATTATAGAATCACATTACTACCACTACTAATAATAATAATTACGATTCTTATTCTCTTCTATAATTAGTTCACCTAACACTATTTTTTTTTTTTTGTTTTACCAATCAGCAAATAAAATTCATTTTTACGAAGTATTCATATAATTGGTTAATGCACATAAACATGCCACTTTTTAGACTGTTCAGTTTTCTGAATTTTAATAATAATCATTATTATGTAATAGAATGAGTATAAAAGAAGAAAATTCGTTTCTATTAACTTTGATCTTTTCAAATTGAATGATAAAACAGATTATTAAAAGAAGAATGACTACTCAAGTGAGAGAATACGACAACTTTTCAATTCATGGTAATTCTATTAAAGAGGTAAATATATATATATATGTATAATATAGATATTCGGACAACATACAAATTAAGTAAAACTGTTATGTATGAAAAGGTATATGATGTTCCAATGTCTGTTATCAATCGACCTATTCCTTCTCTATTAGATAGAGAGAAAGTAGAGTTAATGAAAGAAGTATTAAAGAACCCAGAAACAGAAAAGGAATTGACACCTATTGTAAGTGAATAGAATACACATTCAGATATATAAAAAAGGAAGAAGGGGAAAAGCTTTATTTATTTATTTATCATATTGTATAGGATGTTCATCATGTCACTTATAAAGGTCAAGATTATTATTTTGCCTTTGGCGGATGTCATCGTTGGGCAGCGAATAAAGAATTAGGAAGAGAAACGATTAGAGCAAAATTAATTGATACACCACCTAGTATTATTACAACTTATTTGGGTTCATCTTCACCCTTCAAAAACTAATAATAATCTTTGTATATATGCGTATATTAATTATTACTTGAAAAAAACAAAAACAAAAAACAAATTGTAAATAAATAAATAAATAAATATATTTATTATATAAACTTCTTTGGATTTGTTTTTAATCTGTCATTTTCAGTGGGACAATACAAGGGTAGAGCTGCATTGAAAGTTATTTTGTCTTGTATTTTTTCATTTTTAGACAAGAACATTTGATTCCATAGTAATCTTGAAAAATAACTGTATCCAATCATATTAGGATGATATCCGTCAATGTTACTGAAAAACAGAAAAAAAAAAAATAGAAAAACAGAAAAAAAAATCAGATAAGATCTTGAATGTTTTCAAATAATAATAACAATAATAATAGAAACCTTAATGCAGTATAGGGTATAGTTGATATAATTGTATTCATGGGTTGATAAACAATAGCTATATTTTTTGTCGACCGTCTTCCATTATTTAATATAGGCTCAAGTAAATCTTGAAGATATGAGTTACTACTAAAGTCTTCTGCTATCTCGATTAAAGCTTTATTATATAATTCGATTTGATCTTTGACAAAAGTAATTCCATAATCAGGCTGAGTACAACAATAGCATTCATAACTTTGTATGTTAACATCTTCATCTTTGAAATTCTTTTTATATTTAGGTGCTTGTCTTTGAACTAAATTCATCAATTCACTATTCTGTGATAAGCCAACTATCATTATATATATATATATATCAATCAAATTGATTTATAAACGTCATATATAATGGAAGTCTTACCAAGATTAATAAACGTATAATCTATATTATCTATTAATTTTTCTATCGTTGATTTCATATTTTTTTTAAATGTATCTATATTTTTTCCAGGTAGGCACGAGACAGAGACATCGTTACTACCAATAAAGATATTGATCAATTTCCATTTATTTGCTAAGGATGTCCCTTCTCCGAGATATTCTGTCAAATAGTCGACTTGTTCCGATAATTCTTGACTTGTTGCTCCTGATTGAGCTGCATTTAAAACATCTATTTCAGGACTATATAAAAATAGATATAAAAAAGAAAAATGGTTATTATTGGCAGTGTATATTTATATACAAATATGTATATATATACAAATATAAATATATATATATTACTCATGATGCGCATTCAAACAAAAGAAGGTCTCTATAAAGTTATATGTAATTAAACACATATTCACAAAAAAAAAGAAACCATATATTTAAATTTACCTTGACATAATCTTGCTGGTTTCTGACCTATTGAAGCACCATATACATCTGCATTAAAGTGTTTAACATATTTCGCCACAGAAGGTGCATCCGGATCCTACACAAGAAAATAGTGAGTGATTAGACCCAGATTTAACAAATAAGTATATGTGTATACATATTAAATTACATACCCCACCCATAAACCAACTCACACCTCGATATTCTATAATTTGATCTCGAGCAACATATGTTGTATTAATATTCTTAGCTAGCATACCAGCTGTAATACTATAGATAGAATAAGAGTCAGATTATAGATGGTCTTTTTTTTTTATTATTATATAGTTGCCTTTACCTATCGCCTAAGGCTGCTATCACTTCTATATCATCAATTCTTAAATCATCCACACTAACTGATCTCTGAAATCTAGGAGTCAATTTGGGACAATCATCAATAGATATGACTTCAATTGGTTTTACGCCACTAAAAAATAATAGCAGAGAAAAAAAATAAACAAATTTCATAATTTCTCCTTCAAAAATACATATATGAATATGTATATAAATATATATATATATAAAAAAGAAAGATAAAATGAAATGGAAATAGCCTTATTTTTTTTCTTCTTCTATGTCCTCCTCCTTTTTTTTTTTTTTCTGTTTATTATTTTCTTTCCCTTACATGTTTCTCCTTAAGCTTTATCATATATAATAAAAAAAAAAGTTGTATCTAATTTTAGGGAGAATATTAGATTATTTGACGTTTATTATATCAAATAGTATAGATCCTATATATATGACGTGTCATGTAAACAATTTATATGAAAATAGTATACTCAACTATTCATATTGTATATTCATCATGCTGCTAAAGATAAGAATATAATTGCTTAATGGTAGTTGTCATAAAACTTTAAAGATTTACAACCTGCATGATAACTGAAACTTTGATCATTTCAATTCTACTAAATAGTATTATCAAAGTTGTATAATAAGCAAAAGAATGGGAAAAAAAAAAGAACACTCTTTATTGACAAGTAATTCCTTGTATAAATAAACTCAATATATGATTATTCGTTTATCATTAGGCTTCTTCTCCTTTTATTATATATACATTCATACAAATATGTATATTTTCTTCCAATAATGAACTGCTAGTCATATCCAATAATATACTCTACATAATGTTACATAAATAGCTTTTAAAGTCAAATGACCGATATACAAAAGAAGATAGCCTCTTCTTATTTCTTCACATGTTTACGTAGCATATAATATGGATTCGTATAATAATGGGTGGGAAATTAATAATACATCTGTATATACTTAACCTGTCAGCCTAAACTGGCCTTATTAGTATACTTATTCTCTAGACAGTGTGTAACATTAAGACTATAAAACCATTCTTTATAATTATTATTATTTTCTCTTTTTTATTCTAATAGTAATTCCTTTCTTCCTCCTCCTCCTCCCCCCAAACCCACACGTTATTTTATAAAGAAAACATCATTATGACAGGGATTCCATTATGCGAATCCAAAGATCCACAAGCAAAGGCTGCACTTGCTCGACTTGATCAAATAAAACGTCAATTAAATTTATCTCCTTCACCCATCTCACGTCAGGCACCGATAGATATGATGGAGGAAAGAGCAGCTGCTGAATTTAATATTGATGCCTTGGCCATCTTTTGGGCTGGTGGCTCTAAACGTTATAAACTTGTTAAAGAGGCTTATGAATTTATTAAAAATGATCCAGAGTTGGTCGTTCAGCCTCCTCGAAATTTTTTAGAACTTTCAAGAGATGAACTGCGTGAATTGTAAGTCAACGGAAGAAAAAACAAAAAAAAGAAGAAGGAGAAAAGAAGGAGTGATTATATAGATATATATTTTTATATTTATATAAATATAGTACAATGGGCCAAATTTTCAGAGTCGTTCAAGTTATACAAGAAATAGAAGATAAGGAATTAGCTCAAGAAATTGCAATAGCTACTAATATTTATTCAGAAAGTTTTTCAATGCGTTTCTACGTACATGAATATCTTTTCCGTAATGTAATCCAAATGCTTGGAAATAAAGAACAACAAGACCGATATCATGATGATATTTCAAACTATAGAATCCTTGGTTGTTTTGCAATGGTATTCCTTTCTCTCTCTCTCTTTTTTTTTTTTTTTTTTTTTTTTTTTTTTTTTAACCACCATTTTAATTTATTATTATTATATAAACAAGACTGAATTAGGTCATAGTTCTGCTTTACGTGATATTGAAACAACAGCAACTTATGATATATCGACAGATGAATTTATCATCAATTCACCTAATTTGACTTCAACTAAATGGTGGATTGGTATGGCTGGACAAACAGCTACACATACAGTAGTGATAGCACAAACCATCATTCACGGTAAAAATGTAGGTCTCAATTGGTTTGTTGTTCAACTTCGAAGCAAATATACAGGTGAATTAGAGCCTGGTATTCAAGCTGGAGATATAGGACATAAAGTAGGACGTCATGGACTTGATAATGGATGGATTCAATTTCGTGAAAAACGTATACCACGACAGGATATGCTCTCTAGATGGACAAGTGTAGATCGTCATGGAGATTATAGACCTGCACCTAACCCTGCCATTATGTATGCTACCCTTATCCCAGAACGTCTCTCACTTGTTACTGGTACAACTCAATCGATCACACAGGCCTTAACGATTGCTACACGATATAGTATCGTGCGACGACAGGGGCATAAGAATCAACAAATCATGGATTATCAGTCTCATTATGTAAAATTAATACCAGCGATTGCCTTTATGTACATGGTTAGATCAACAGCAGACGTATTGAATGAACAATTTGAAATCTTGACAGCAGGTGGGGAGATGGAACCGATGGTTTATTTAAATTATATGGGTGAGATGCATGCGATATCAGCTAGTCTTAAGGGTTTTGCAGGTTGGTATGCTACCGATATCTTGGAAACCTGTCGACGCAGCTGTGGGGGGCATGCCTACTCTGCTTATAATAATATTGGAAACATCATTAGTGATTGGGGGGTAATGACAACAGGGGGCGGAGATAATGTCGTACTTTTACAGCAAACAACACGATACCTCTTACATCGACTTGAACAAAGTATGGACTATGATGAATATCCTGATTTACAATTTAAAGGCTCTTCCATCTACATAAAACATGCCAAACGTTATCTTGAAAATAAAGTATGGACATCCAATGATGCTTCAGATTGTTTAAAAGATTTTGCTCTTATTCAAGAGACAATGAATACTATTTTAGTTAAACGAGTAAGTTTATATATATATATATATATCTTTTCTAAACATCATGACACTATAATATACATATACATATCCTAGTTGTACAGTATTCAACAAGCCCTTAAGAATCATCATTCTACTTCAAATGATATATTGCTTGAATCTGTCCGTATTGCTGAATTGCATTGTGCAGCATTTTTATTTTCTGTATGTGCAGAAAAATATGGTCAGGCTATAGGTACAGCTGGTATTGAACCTACTGTATTAGCTATAATGAAAAAATTAACTGCTTTATGGGGTATTCATACACTCTTTACTTATGCTGATCAAGGATTCAAAGAAGGTTATTTTCAACCTGATCAAATTAATAGCATTGAAAAGACTTATCTTGAATTATGTAAATCATTGCGTAAACAAGTGATTGGACTTACAGATGGTTTTGGATTTCCTGATTTTATACTTAAAGCACCCATTGCTAAATATGATGGTGATATCTATCAAAGTAATTTTTTTTTTTTCAAAAGAAATAAGTATTGAAGTTTTAAAAACACTTATATACTATTATATAATTAGCTTATATTGATACACTTCTTACTGCTCCTAAAAGTACAGGTATTCCTTCCTATCATGCCAAGTATATCAAGCCATTGACAGAACGTGAAAATTCAAGTATTTTAAAATAGTAATGAATTTATGCTTTAAATTCAATATGGAAATTATTTAAATAAAATAAAATAATTGATCTTTTCTATAACCGTCACAACGGTAATAAGTTTTTTTTTTTTTTTTTTTTTTTTTTTTTTTTTTTTTTTTTTTTTTTTTTTTTTTTTTAAAAAATCTTATCTTTTTTTTTTTTTTTTTTTTTTTTTTTCATATATAAAATGGAGGCTTTCATATTAGAAGAAAAGAAACCTTTGATACCGAAACTTGCTCAGGATCTGATTGCTGGTACAGTTGGTGGCTGGGCTCAAGTTGTAGTTGGTAGTTTAATTTTATTTTATTTTTGACATCTTACAACATTTCTTAGAGATCTAACTTAATTCAACAAAAAAATAGGTCATCCTGCTGACACTATTAAAGTTCGTTTACAAACACAGCCTTCTCCACCTATTTATAATGGTGCTATGGACTGTATTCGTAAACTTGTAAAAGAAGAAGGTGTAAGTATATTGAAAAAAAAATATTTGTAGATATGTACTTTAAATCAAATCAAATCAAATAAAATAAAATAAAATAGGTACAAGGTCTTTATAGAGGTGTAACTTCTCCCCTTGCTGGCATTGGTTTCTGGTAAGATTTAAACAAGTTTGAATTAGCCATTTATTTATATATCTATTTTCTTGATTTAGTAATGCAATTATGTTTATGGCAAATGGTTGGTCAAGGCGTATTTTACAAAATGGAGACGATAAAAAGACTTTATCTATTTGTAAGTTCTATAAAAAGGTCCATTTCCCCCTCCTTCTTCTTCGTCTTTTCTTACTCATATTTCTTTTCTATATGTATCTATTTTAGTTGAAATTGGTGTTGCAGGGTCTTTTGCAGGAACGGTGATGGCCTTTCTTAATTGTCCTATTGAGTTATTGAAAGTTAAATTACAAACTCAGGATCCAAAAGGATTTATAAATGCTCAAGGAAGACATGAACCTGCTGTAAGTTCTATTTATAAGCTATACAAATATAAATATGTATATGTGTATCTATCTATATATATATATATCTATATTAATTCCTGTATTAGTATAGAGGTGTTCTTGATTGTGGTATTCGTACTGTTCGTGCCCAAGGATTTATGGGTATTTATCGTGGTATGGGAGTTACATTATTAAGAGATACGCCTAGTTACTTTTCTTATTTTGGTAAGTATAGACATATATATATATATTTATGTATATTATACTTATTTGATATGTCAAGTTGCCTATGAGGGTTTAAAACGTTTATTTCAAAATATGAAGAAGGATGGAGAATTAGGTAATTTTGAATTATTAATGGCAGGTGGTTTATCTGGATTTGCTGCATGGATTCCTGCTTATCCACAAGATGTTATCAAAAGCAATTATCAAAACGATATTCGGTAAGAATAAACAAATAAATAAGTATTTATATTTCTTATTTATTCATTCAATCAAATAAGTTATAAATCACTCGGTCAAGTTGTCAAGACATTATATAGATCTGCTGGACCCAAGGCGTTTGTAAATGGTTTAGGGCCTACACTTGTAAGAGCATTCCCTGCTAATGCAGCTACTTTCTATGCTTATGAAATGGCTATGGATGTAATGAAACGATTCTAAGTTATTATATTATGTAAAAAAAAAAAAAAAAAAAAAAAAAAAATACCTTTATTATTAGAGAGATGATGTAATTTACTATTTGTTCACGTCATACTATTTAGTATAGTAGTAACAAACGTATATCGTCATCCTATAATTTATTAAAAATAATACAAGTCTATTTATGTAATTATATAACCTACCTGTCATTGTTTATATTTAGAATATAAGGTTTTTTTAGACATGTGTTACATATCAAGCAACCACTACTGTACTGTTGTTATCATTTTAACAGTAAAAGAGAGAGAGAGAGTGTGTGTGTGTGTGTATGTTTATTAATCATAATTGTTATTATTGTTTATGATAGTCTTATTTCATGATGAAAACCCTCACTCTACACACACCCTATACACACACATACCTCCCTTTTTTTTTATTATTTAGACTATTCTCAAAACTACTTGAATAGTTCTTGTTATATGTCATGATCAGTTTACGATAAAAAAACAAAAAGTTTGAGATCAAGAATGAATATAGTAATAATAATCAATAAATTACACCGTAAAGTGTATGAAAAAAGTAATAGACTTTATTCACAAAATGATACTGAATTTTTTTTTTGTTCTTAACAAAAGGATTTCAACAAGCTACTTATTAAAAAAAGGGGAGGGGAAAGGCTTTATTTATCTTTGCAAAAGCTTTATAAAAGAATAAACTGAAAAAAGTAGCACATGTGTTTAGAGATCTAAGAGATTTACTATTTTCTCTCCTCACTCACTCACTTACTAGTACTATGTATTGATCTTCAATCACGACTGTTTGTTTGAGTGTGACTATCTTTAACAATAGTTGTAATAAACTATTACTTTTTATAATGGTTTATATATCATTCCAATGACAAAAAAAAAACTTGACATGATTCGTTATTTTCGGGAGCAACAAGAGTTGAAATATTATTATTTCTCAAACTATATTAGTGTAATAATAATTGCATATTCCATGTGAAGTTAAATAAGATAAAAGCTAGTGTTACTTGACAAGCTTATAATACAACATGTATTTTATTTTATTTTTTTTTTATTTTTTAACTTCACGTCATTTTTTTCAATTAAAGCAGCAAATGCATAATTTTAGAGATCGCTTGTAAATTAGGATGTACAAAAAAGGAAAGGAAAATATCAAAATTGGGGGGGGGAGAGGAGAAGAGACATATAAAACATCATCTATTATGGAAAAGTTGTGTGTGTAAAAGGACACTTTACCAAAAGAAAGAAAGAAAGAAAAAAAAAAAGGTTATCTAACATATAAAAAAAAAGTTGGCCTTTTTAATTAAATTTTTCTTTCTTTTTTTTTCTTTCTTTTTTTCTTTCGTTCTTTCGCAATGTTTAAGGGTAAAAAAAACTAAATAAAACAAAATAAACATCTGCTCTTCATAAACTAAATATTATGTAATATAGACGTACAACAACAACAACAACAACAGCATTATTATCAAACTACATTGACGCCTACTAAATTATTAATGGAAACAAATAATTGGAACTTGAATCCTTTTGAAAATACTACAACTACATTAGAGCAAAAAGTATTTATTAATTCTTCTTCACCAACAAAACAGAGAAAGAAATTACTGGAAAAGAATCGTGAAGCTGCTTACCGTTGTAGACAAAAAAAGAAAAAATGGATAAATAGTCTTGAAGAGCAATCATACATTGCAGAAACTAAAAATAGAGAACTTCAAGAAATTGTAGCTCATCTTAGAGAAGAAAGCATCTATTTAAGAAACTTGCTTTTAACGCATGGAAATTGTGATTGTGAAGTAGTTGTAAAGTATAACTTGCTGGAAAAAAAAAAAAAAAAAAAAAACTTGTACTAACTTCTCTTCTCCAATAATAAAGCAAGCCTATTTACGTCGTACTTCAGAACAGTTATCAAGTCGTTTACCTAATACTAACTCTTCATTCTCGGATTCATCCGAGTCTTCATCTTCCTTAAGCTCTCAACAAAGGCAAACATCCTTTTTCATTTAAATTCAATACTATTTAGTATGTATTCTGTTTCATATCATTATTTATTTTTTAACTTGACAAAAAAAAAAAAAAAAAAAAAAAAAGCACAAGTTATGTAATGTATATATTTCTTTATTTTCTCCTGGCTTATATTATTTATATATTGTCTACCTTGTAATAAATAAACAATTTCTCTTTTAGTTGTTGTGGGAAAAGAGGTGCTCGGGAACAAGATATGTTAAACCTGGTTGTGTGACTTTGATAATGTATGTCTTCTTCTTCACATAACATACTTGTTGCTTTTTTTCTTTTTCTTTTTTTTTTTTTTTTTTTTTTTTTTTTTTTTTTTTTTTATCTTTCTTTCTTTCTTATGACACAAACTAAAATACAAGTTTTTTATTCTGACGATGAACTCTTACATAATCCTACAATGGAATTAACAAGCGGTGAATGGAAGCCTTATGTTGGTATGCATTCTTATGTAAGCAAGCATGAATAGAAGAATACTATCTAATATATATATATGTATATTTATATTGTATATAGAGTCTCCTGAAAGGCTGAAATCAATTAAAGCATTTATTGACAGTCATCCTTCAGATTTTGAGATAGTGAGCCCCTTTGATTATTCAATAAACCCCATCTTGGATATCCACCGTCATGATTATATTCAATTTTTAAAAACTATTTATAAGGATTGGATAGAGATGGGTTTACCTAAGGATGCTTGTATGGGTGATACATTTGCAAAGTCATCCTTTACAAGTCATCTAGACGATTCAATCATTCGAGAAAATGCAAACAAGAGCTGTGAAGGTAAAATGGGTTATTATCTTGGTGATATGTCGGTCTCTTTTGTTAAAGGTAAAATAGGTCTATGTCTGTGTATATACACATATATAATACATACATACATGTATATATTTAAATTTACATTTACATTTATATTCATATTCATAGATACTTGGAGTGCTGTTTATGCTTCTGCTCAAATTATTCTGTCTGCTGCCCATAGACTTGTAGAAACAAATAAACCCGTGTATGCATTATGTAGACCACCTGGACATCATGCTTCACATTATACAGCTGCTGGCTATTGCTTTATTAATAATGTCGCTGTTGCTACTCGATTTTTACAAAATTATAGCCCGGAAGATATGAAGAAGATGAAAAGACCTTATCATAAAGTGGCAGTAAATCATCCAGATATGATCCTGACACGAATGAATAACGACAAGAAAAGAATTTTAATTATAGATATCGATTTTCATCAGTAAAGTTAGTTAGTTAGTCATAAGAACTTTGTTGTTATACATGCTTTACTAATTTGATATACATTATCTTAGTGGTAATGGTACACAGAGTATCTTTTATCATGACCCCTCTGTATTCTATATCTCACTTCATGGATATCCCAACTATCCTTACTTTACTGGATCAACTCAAGAGATAGGTAAAGGCCCTGGAGAAGGTTATAACATCAATGTTCCTCTTGATCCAAACACAACTACAGATGCTATTTATTTATCTCATTTAGATATCGTTTTAAATGACACCAAAGTGATTAATTTTGATGCCCAAATCGTGATTGTCTCCATGGGTTTAGATACATGGCATGAAGATCCTATTGCCGGCTTAAAGGGACTTCAAAATAAGGATACTTATAATAAAATTGGCTCTAAAATAAAGACTTCAAAAAGCACTAAAAATCGATCTGTTCTATTTGTGCAAGAAGGAGGATATACGATGAGTGTATTGGGTGAATTAGCTGGTAGAGTTTTGCAGGGATATCTTCAAGCATAAAATAGTAATAATAATAATAATAATAATAAAAAAAAAAAAAAAGAAAAGAAAAAATAAAAATAAAAATAAAATAAAGTGAAAATAAAAATCTATTTTTATCTACATGTTAAATAAAATAATGTCTTATTATTATTATTGTATTCTTTAACTCACTCACACTCTTCATGTACTTGCTAGCTTCTTTTCTAGTTTGTTTCATTTTATTAAAGCCAATTTTAACTGCTCCTCTCAATCGCACTATTCGACATTATTATATTGCAGCTGAAAAAGAATTATGGGATTATACGCCAATGCAATGGGATAATTTTAGGGATCAACCATTAACAAATCCACCCTCCTCACTTTACACCGTTTATCGTAAAGATAAACGTATCGGATCCGTTTACCAAAAGGCTTTTTATCGTCAATATAGAGATGATGCTTTTAGAACCCCTATTGCCCATGATCCCATCTTGGGTCAATTAGGACCCATCATACGAGCTGAAGCAGGTGATCAAGTTCGCATTACCTTTTACAACAAAGCTGATCATCCTCATAGTTTGCACCCTTATACAACCAATACAACCAAAGTTTTGCCAGGACAGTTTGTTCAACCTGGAGAGTCCTACCGTTATATTTGGGATATCCCCTCCGATTATGAATTTCCCGAAAATCAATCCTCAGTGATATGGGCCTATGGATCCAAGTCATCACCAGGAGATATCCCTGCTGGTCTCTTGGGCCTTGTTGTTATCTATCAACCAGGCACCTTACAGTATAATTCTCCTGGTGCCATGTTTCAACATCCTAAGGGAATCGATCAAGAAGTATTTACAATCATGACCAATACGGACGAAGCCTTCTCCACTTACTTTAATGAATCCGGTGCTCGTCTAGGCTTCTCTGCTGATCGTCTTGTTGAATTACAACAAACCGATCCTTTATTTAATGAATCCAACCGTATGTATCATATTAATGGCTATGTATATAATAATAATCCACCATTTAATGTCATTTATGGGTCACGAGTGCGTTGGTATATTGTCTCCTTTGGTGTCTCTGATGATGATGTCCATACTGCCCATTGGCATGGTGCCACCGTTCTCCATTACGGCCATCGTGTTGACGTAGTCGACCTAACCCCCATCAGTTTTGAAGTAGTCGATATGGTGCCCGATAATGTTGGTCAATGGCTATTTCATTGTCATGTAGCATCTCATTTTGAGTCTGGTATGAGTGCTTTTTATCAAGTAGAAGAGATCATCATTACTGGTGATGAAGGTTGGGGGAAATAATAATAAATAGATGTTTTTTTTTTCTTTTTCTTTTCCTTTTCCTTTTCCTCCTATTTTTTTTTTTCTTTTTTTTATCGTTTTTATTATGAAACGACAAACAACTATTAGTTCGTTTTTTACACAAAAAAATGATAATAAACGATTCAAATCAAATACAGTGGAGACATCATCTGCTGCTGCTGCTGCTGCTGATAGTCTTAATACTGATCTAATAACACATGAGGAAAAGAAATCAACTCCCATTGTCCAAGAAGATTTAAACCAATTGAAAGAACGATTTGCAGCCAAATTAAGTTTTCTAGATAAAAAGCGAACAGAGGCACGTCAACGTGTAGAAGGCTTTGAACCGACTAATGAAGTCAAGATGACACCTTTAGAGAAACAAGTTGTAGAATTAAAAGCAAAATACCCTGATTGTCTCTTACTGATTGAAGTGGGTTATAAATTTCGATTCTTTGGTGAAGATGCAAAAGTAATAAGAATATTTACAATAGTTAGAGATGATTATTCAATCTAAAAAAATATTATAGATTGCTTCTCGTATTTTACACATTGCAAATTTTATCGATAGAAACTTTTATGTTGCAAGTATACCAGTTCATCGATTAAACTACCATGTCCAAAAGTAAAGGGAAAAAAATAAATAAATAAATAAATGAAAAAAAGTAAATTAACCTCTTTCCTCTCTTACTCACTCACTCACATTCTTTTTTTTTTCCATTTAAAACAAGACTTGTGGATGCAGGTTATAAAGTTGGTATTGTTCGACAAACAGAAACAGCTTCTTTAAAAGCGATTGGATCTAATCGTAATCAACCCTTTCAAAGAGAACTTCAACAAATGATTACAAAGGGAACGATTATTGATGATATTTTAATTAATTCATCTACAACAGGCCATCTTTTATGTTTAATTGAACAGAAGCGTGGAGGACATGGATCAGATGAGCGTGTCTATATTGGACTTATTTCGATTCATCCAGCGACAGGTGATATTATTTATGATGCATTTGAAGACACCTTTATGCGTACTGAACTAGAGACACGTCTATTGCATATCGAACCCAGTGAAATCATATGTCCTCCAGTTATGAGTAAAGCTACCGAGAAAATGTTAATGCTTAGGTCTTCATACCATGTCCGAATGGAGCGTATGAAGAACACATTTTGTAATGATTATAATGCAGCTCTCACTTATGTGACTGATTTTTATGTTGAGCAACGACAACAACAACAGCAGCAGCAGCAGTCAATAAAGATGTCTAAGGTGATGTCATTACCTGATATTATAGTTCAAACATTGGCTTGTTTAATTCAATATTTAGATGAATTCAAACTTACCAATATCTTGAAGGAAATCAAGTACTTTCATCATTTCGTAACAAAGAATCATATGCTATTAAATGGCACAACACTAGTCAATCTTGAAATCTATCGTAACAATACTGATTTCACAACCAAAGGATCTCTATTTTCAATCTTGGACCATACAAAAACCAAATTTGGTCAGCGATTATTAAGAAAATGGATTGGTAAACCATTGATTGATATCAAGTAAAATTGAAAGGACATAACATATGCAATATAAATATTTATTATTATTATTATTATTTTGGTGGGTAGTAAAATCAATGAACGAGTTTATGCGATTGAAGAACTGAAAACAACAAGTAACCCAAAAAAGGGACTTTTATTATCTTTGTTGAAGCAAATACCAGATATTGAAAAAGGTATCTGTAGAATTCATTACGGAAAGGTAAAAAAAAAGAAAAGAAAAGAGAAAAGAGAAAAGAAAGAAAGATTCATGTAGGACTCATCCTAATATAAATAGACAAGCCCCAAGGAATTACTACAGATACTGGAGGCTTTCAACAAGATATCATCTACCTTTGTTCCATTATATGAATCCAGGTTTGAATCTGATTTGCTAAACACATTATTTGATACCTTACCTATAATACATGACGATATCGTTTCGTTTAAATCAGCTATTTATACTACTACGACTAAAGTGACAGAATTTTTCAAATCTGATGAGAAATGGCCTGAAATTCAACGAGAAAAAAAGAATATCAACTATGTTCAATGTCTTTTAGAGGAGCATTTAGAAAAAGTTCAAAAGGAAACACAACTTGGACATCTAGGAGTAAAATATGTGACAGTAGCAGGACAGGATTATTTACTAGAAGTAGCTAATACAAAATTACGATACGTTCCTCAAGATTGGATTAAGATAAGTGGCACAAAGGCTGTAAGCCGATTTCAAGACAAGTATATTATTGAGCAGTTGAGAGAAAAAGAACGACATGAAGATTTATTAATTATGTATGCAGAAAAGGCTTATAAAGAATTTTTAATGCAAGTGATCTATAAACCAGTCCATATATATATATATATATGTATATCCGATATGAATAGTTATTAAACTGTTATCCTATATATAGGGAAATTTCAGAAAAATATGAAAAACTTCGAGATATTGTTTCTTGTTTAGCTCAGCTCGATTGTCTATTATCTTTAACAGTGACAGCCAGTCAGCCCAACTATGTAAAACCTATCTTTGACGAAAGAGTTAGAATAGATGTAGTAGAAGGACGACATCCGATGGCTGAGAAACAAAATCAAACAAGTTCTTATATTGCGAATGATATTCATTTTAATGAACCACAAACGACTATGGTTCTGACAGGTCCTAATATGGGAGGTAAAAGTTCTTATATTCGACAAATTGCCTTGATCGTGCTTATGGCACAATTAGGGTCGTATGTACCTGCTCAATCGGCTAGGATGGGTCTCTTTGATGCCATCTATACGCGTATGGGGGCAACTGACCAAATGATGCGAGGGCAAAGTACCTTTATGGTTGAGATGCAAGAAACTTCTGAAATTATGAAATTGGCGACATCTCGATCCTTGGTTATCTTGGATGAATTAGGAAGAGGTACAAGCACACATGATGGTCAAGCGATTGCTCATGCTGTCCTCGATCATTTTGTGAAAGAAATAAGATGTGTCACGTTATTTGTGACACATTATCCCTCCCTGGGGAAACTCTTTGGTGATGAATTTCCTAACCAAGTAAGAAACTGTTATATGGATTATATTGAAGAACAAAATCAGGAAGCAGGTAAGAAAAAAAAAAAAGAAAGATATATATATATATACATATATATAATTCCTCTTCTGCTCATATATGTGTTGTATTAATATATGTATATATGTTTGTTAAGGTATATCAAATATTGTATTTTTGTATAAGCTAGCAAATGGTATTGCTATGAGTAGTTATGGGTAAATATAATAAGAAAAAGAAAAAGGAAGATACGATTATGTATTTAACTAGTTTTTATATAGTATGAATGTAGCAAGATTAGCAGGTATACCTTTACCTATTATCAAACGAGCTAAAGAAATAGCAGAAAAAAAGAAAAGACAAATGGAAGGATAAAGATATATGTAAAGTCACTGTTTGTTTTTGTCTAAATATCTGTATAAAAGAGAGAGAGAGAGAGAGAAACAACCTATGTCTATTTTACGCATTTGATTTAATATATACATAAATTTTCTGATTTTCGAAAAAAAAAAAAAAAAAAAAAAAAAATAGTAGCTTATCTACAAATTACATCTCATAGATGATTCCCTCAACAACAACTAATACCTAATTATTTCATCAAACAAGCTCTAGAACTATACAAGAGTTAATAAAAAAAGATATGGACAAACCGACTGAAAAATACATGGGGGTTAAGATCTTATAGCTTAGTTCAATAGTTGTTTCTGTTATTTACTTTCTTTTTTTTTTCCCCCTTCCCGTTCAATAATGGAGGGGGAGGTGGTTTTCATTTCTTAAATTTCACCTTTTCATTATTAGCTGATCTGATCTGGACAATTAGTATGATATCTTGCACTCATTGGATTGTTAAATGTTTGTATGTATGTATCGACTTCATTCGCATGATGTAAGGATATCAAATATTTGTATTCCTTAACATAATGTACTTTTTTTTTTTTTTTTTTTTTTTTTTTTTTTTTTTTTTACATACTGTATACATATATACTTGGGAAAAGAAAACAAGTAGATAACATAGTTAATTATTGATATACAAAGAAATTACTACTATATCTATTCCCGATAATTCTTCTATCGACTTGAACTGGCTACAGCTGTAGAACAATATCTTGTTGAACCTTTTTTATATATGCGTATGCGTGTATGTGTATATATGAATATTTATATGTATAAATATGTAGAACTTTTTGTTATAATATAAAAAAAAAACTCTGTCGATGCATTACTGTCAAGTATCTTGAAAGAAGAAAGTGTCAATAAGGATATGAAAATGCGATATGCAAATTTATTATGAAATGCCAGTAATAAATGCATACATTTACATTTATAAAAAAAAAAAAAAAAAAATAATCGAAAAGGGTATAAAGAAAGAAAGAAAGAAAGAAAGAATTAAATCTTCAACATGGATCTCAAACCCTTTTGTATTTCTGTTAAATCAAATTCATGTGTAGAATGACGTTTTTTATGCTTTAAAAGGTCCAATAAATCTCTTGATTGTTGTTTATTTGTGTTACTGAAAGGTATTGGTAAAGCACTTGGAGCAGGCGCATTATTAGTAAATGTAGGTCCAGCATAAATATCACTTGTTTTTCTCATATCAATAATACTTGTTGACTTGCGACGACTTCTTTGTCGATGAATAGTAGTAGATTCTCGTAAAAGTAAATGCTCATGTCTATTTTTTTTTTTATTTTTTAAATAGTACGGATTATCTGAGTTGTTAGTTTACAATACGTAATACTTTCCCCCCTTTTTTGGTATACCTTTTCATTCTAATAAGATTATTTGTTGGGAAATGCTTATTATTAGTAAATAAAGCAGATGTAGTAGCAGTAATGGTAATATCCAATGCACTTGTCTTTTTTGACTTTTGGTTACTATTGCTTTGAATTCTTTTCTTTGTTTTCTTGTTTGTATTCTTAGATGTCACATTCGATTCATCTGATTCAGTACAAGATGAAGACTCTGAATTGGTTATTTCCTTTACTGATTTCTTCTTTCTCCTTTTTTGTGGTGTATTGGGTGCAGAAGAAGTCGTCTTTTTAGATTGTTGTTGTTCCCTTTTAATAAACGGCTTTCTTTGAGATTTTTTATTGTCCGTTATTATTAATAATGGTAAAGATGATGTTGATGCTGAAGACGGCGTATTTATAGTTCTAATGGGCTTCACAATAGTAGTTGTACTAACAGTAGCACTTGCCATAATATATGTTTATAATAATAATTATAGTAATAGAAATAAAAATAATAATAAGAAGGAAAAAAATAAAAATAAAAAGTAGTACAATTTATTTAATTCTTAATCTAACTGAATAATGCTATCGTCCGCGGCAGTAATAATAGTAGATTCTGGTGTGGTATGGCTTTTTCACAATAAATGAAAATAAAATAAATAAATAAATAAAATAAAAAAAATAAATAAATAAAAAATAAAAAATAAAACTTGTCTTCATCGTAATATATATAATATTACAAAGGTGTAGTATACACTTTTATTATTGAAAAAAGATAAACAAAAGAAAGAATGATATGTTCTGGTTACTTTTATTCTTAATATAAAAAGCAGGAAAATAGAATGACACTCAAAAAGAGTATAGTTATTATAAGCTCTTTAAATGTATACTCATGGAACAGTCAAATAGTTTCCTATGATAAAGGAAGGAATAAGCTTATTTATAATCACAAATCAATTTGATAGTTTTACTTTGAAATGCTTCATCATCATTAGCTTAAAATACGATGAAAACTCTTAAAGTCGTTTATGAAATTAAACCCAATATATTCATGAATTCTAGGAGATTTACTTCATCTGAGCTAAAAAATCGATTGAACAATTCTAGTTTACTAAAAGCACAATGAATTCTATTCCGATAATAAAGTTTTCAAGACAAAAGTGATATTTCGACTAATTTAGTCTCAAATAAGAAACCTTGACTCTTGTCCCTATCACTAAAAAAAAAAAGCCTTTCTTTAAATAACACATAAATTATCATTAGTAGAAAACTGCAATCAAGCTAGAAAGCTTTCCTTTAGTGTGTAAATGAGAATATTACTGCAACACCTAGAATCAAAAAGCAGTAACATTACACATGCTATACTTGATGAATTAGCCTTTTTTTCTTAATATCAATATGTATATATTCTCTCTCCTTATATATTTCATTTTTATTATGAAGTGCCTTTGCTCCTTTTTTTTTTATTTTGCTTTTTCTTTTTTATTTTTTTTTTTCTATACACTTCTTGTCTTTTTTTTTTTCTTTTTTTTTTTAACTGTACGATATGCCATTAATGAAATGCAATGATAATATTTTTTGTGAGCAAGAAATGATATCAAATCAACTTCACATAGGCGATAAAGTACAAATCAATTTTACTTTACATGGAATTGTACGATTTATTGGCACAACTCAGTTCAAGGCTGGTACCTGGGCTGGTATAGAATTAGATAAAATTGGATCAGGGAAAAATGATGGATCTGTCAATGGGTAAATGTGTATGTATAACACATGAAATACAGTAACAATGTTAATTTATATATTTGGTATGCATATTATTTTTTATTATTATTATTATTATTCTGTTTCGTTTTGTTTCGTTTTGTTTCGTTTCGTTTCCTTTTGTTTGTTCCTCTTTCGTATATATGTTGTAATAGTGAGCGTTACTTTCACTGTCCTCCTAAAACGGGATTATTTATATTGGCTATTAAGCTTATCAAAATTCAACAACATTTAAATTTAATGAATAGACCCTCAACACCCTATCAAAAGAAAAGCCCATCCATGGTCACGATCATTCCACCTTTACCTAGTCATGAATTGCAAGATAAAATGAAACTACTTGAAGCAGAGAATAGACAATTAAAGAGCACCTTAGTACAATTAGAAGAAAACCAGAAAATAAAGGATAATCATATACAATCACTTGAATCCTCTTTAAAAGAACTTCAAGATACAAGTATGGAGAGTATAGATATGTTGGAAGATCTAGTTCAATCATACGAAAGACAAGTTCAGCAACTTTCAAATAACCTCCACATCTCGAATCAAAAGATAACAACATTAATAAATGAGCAAAATGATTTAAGGAAAGCAGGACTAGAGGCGATTGAATCCTACGAGTTAACCTTAGAGAAAACAAGTAAACAACACCACAAGGATATCAAAGTATTGTTAAAGGATATAAACTGTTTAGAGATCATATTACAGAGCAAGTTGAATAAAGAAATTGATTTAACCGAATCATTGATGAGGGAAAGACACTATAGTAGTCGTTTGATTCATGAATTGAAAAAGAAATTTACTACTTTTACTTTTAAACCCATTATGTACAACACTCGATTACTAGATACTCCCATTGAAGAAGAAGAAGAAGAAGAAGAAGATATGACACCTTGTGCATTATGTGACAATAAAGGACATCATTTAATTCATTGTCCTATGCTATTTAAAGAAAAGCCTTTACAACAGCAAGCATGTATATGTTCTTCATTTTAAATGATAATATATGTCTAGTGTAGCAGTAAATACCCCTAAATAAAAATTTATATACAAATATACACATGTATATAAATATATATTTTTATATAAATCACATGAGACTTGTTATTATTTGTTATTTAATAAAAGTACCATCTATTTGATCAAGTCTTTTTTCTTTTTCTTCTTATATCTTTATATAGAATGAAGAGTAAATATACTATTGAAGAAGTAGCTAAACATGTCGTTGATGATGATTGGTAAAGTTTATATAGAACGCGTTTACTTGTCTTAAAAGTTTTTGATTTATTTTTATGCGTATATAGTTGGATCGTTATTCACGATAAAGTGTATGATGTAACAAGCTTTTTAGAAGACCATCCAGGTAAGTTTCCTATAGAATCCATATATATATATAAATGATTAAACTTAGGAATATGATAGGAGGGAAAAAGGTTTTATTAAAAGCAGCTGGAATGGATGCTTCTAAACAATTTGACGCATTCCATAATCCAAATATTCTGAAAGGACTTGCAGTAAAATATGAAATTGGACAACTTGTTACTGCAGATACTCAAGAAGAAACTTTAAACGATGAATTAAATGAACAACAACAACAAGAGGAAAACGAAGAGCCTAATGCAAACCCTTTAATTGTGAATGAAACTTTTGGTGATATGGTACCCTTTGGTGATCCTATGTGGTATCAGGATTGGTACAGGTAATATTTATATATATATTTATATTTATATACGTTTAAACTCTCTCATCTATATATAAAAATATTTATATATATATTCTAGCCCTTTCTATAATGATACACATAGAAAACTTCGTAAATTTGTACGTGATTTTGTTGAAATAGAGATTATGCCTAACTGTCATGAATGGGATGAAGCAAAACAAATCCCAAAGGATATGTTTATCAAAGCTGCAAAGGCGGGTATATTAGCAGCTGTTGTAACGCATGATGTAGGTCATACAAAACTCCCCTTTGGTCTTCCTGCTGGTATTGAACCTAATCAATGGGACAGTTTTCATTCGCTTATTGTTATTGATGAACTTGCTCGTTGTGGTTCTGGAGGTGTAAAGTAGATTACATTTATATATATATATGAAAAAAACAAAGTGATTAATCCATCTTCCTTTATTTATTTATTTTTGCTTCTTCTTTTTCTTGATAGGTTCTTTGGGCATTATGCGGTGGTTTAGGAATAGGTCTTCCTCCTATTTTACACTTTGGTTCTCAATACCTCAAAGATAAGGTAGTAGATGATTGCTTATCGGGAAAAAAGTTCATCTGTTTAGCTATTACAGAACCTGTAGGGGGGTCTGATGTTGCTGGTCTTCAAACGGAGGCTAAAGATATGGGGGATTACTACCTCCTAAATGGTGAAAAGAAATGGATTACAAATGGTGTCTTTGCTGATTACTTTTGTGTTGCATGCCGTACAGGTGGTCTAGGTTATGGTGGTATCTCCTTTTTGTTGGTCGAACGTGATAGCAAGGGGCTTTTGACACGACACATGAAATGCACAGGTGTTTGGCCATCAGGAACGGCTTATGTTACCTTTGAAGATGTCAAAGTTCCTAAACAAAATTTGATTGGCAAAGAAAATAAGGGGTTCAAGTATATCATGTGGAATTTTAATAGTGAGAGAATGGGAATTATTATTCAGGCAAATCGATTTGCTCGAGTTTGTATTGAGGAATCAATCAAGGTACATATTTTCTAGTTCTATATCAATACAAAAAAAAAGAACTAGTAATAATACATACATTCTATTCGTAGTATGCAAATAAAAGAAAAACGTTTGGAAAGAAATTGATTGATCATCCAGTGATTCGAAATAAAATTGCTCACATGATTAGACAAGTAGAGGCAACTCATGCATGGATGGAAATATTAACATATCAAGCCACTAAAATGCCCTTTCAATTGTTGCCCCTAAGATTAGGTGGACCTATTGCACTTTGTAAAGCTCAAAGTACACAAACATTTGAATACTGTGCTCGTGAAGCTTCACAAATCTTTGGTGGTTTAGCTTATACTCGTGGTGGACAAGGTGAAAAGATTGAAAGATTATATCGTGAAGTACGTGCATATGCTATTCCTGGTGGTTCTGAAGGTTTGTTTACAAAAAAAAAAAAAAAAAAAAAAAAAAAAAAAAAAAAAAAAACTTCGTGTGCTACCTAAGATAAATCTATACAAATATTTATATATTTATTTTTATATAGAAATTATGCTTGACTTGGGTGTAAGACAATCTATGAAAATAGGCTCCTTTATGGGTGCTAAAATGTGAATACACCATTATATATTATTATTTATAAAGAATGGTCGCTTAATGTGACTTTGGTCTATTATTATAATAAAATGAAACTATGACTATAACAAATTTAATTATTGATATTTAACTTTTTTTTTTTTTTTTTCTCCCATTAAAAATGAGAAAGATATTTTCGCTGTCTTCTTATTTTTATATAGTTTTACTAATCCTTACTTTTATCAGAGCTATTCATCTTTATTTTATTTCAACAAAGGATTTAAGAATAGCTGATGAGAATGATCATTGGTTCCTTAAAGAACATAGGCAGCAGAAATTATCTACCGCCACTATGAATGTTCAACATTCAACAACTCGAATGAGTAATGAAACCAATAAATTATTTTATTTTATTCAGTTGTCTGATTTACACATTTCAAAATTTCAGCCAAAAGGCCATACAATTCATTTTTTGCATTTTCTTCAATCTGCTTTACCCGTCATCAAGTAGTAAAAAATAATAATAAAAAGCATACAAAATGTCAAGACGAAATACACACTAATTTTTTATTATTATTATTATTATTAAATCCCGCTTTCTTTTATCTACAGGCCAGAATTTGTTGTTGTTACAGGTGATTTAATTGATGCTAAAGATAAGACTCGAACTACTTCAACTCAATATGTTGAAGAATGGCAAGTATATCGATCAGCAGTTGAACAAGGTGCTAATAATACTCGATGGTATGACATGAGAGGGAACCACGATTGCTTTGATTTGGTGTCCTGGCAAGCAGAAAATAATTTCTATCGTACATTCGGTAAAAGTGCTCAAGATTTGGATGCGGGGAAAGGAATTTATAGCTGGAAGGTATCTAAAGATTATGGTGACTATAATTTTATTGCTGTTGATGCTTGGTAAGTATCTACAATCATATTTATTATATATAAATAAATATTTGTTGTACATCTGTTTTAATATTGAATCAAGTCCTAAAAAGGGACCTTCTCGCCCATTTAACTTTTTTGGTTATTTTACTACAAATACAATGAATCGCTTAGCGTCCAAAATAATGTCAACAACATACAATCATACTTTTATAGTAAGTAGGATAATAAAAGCATGATAAATAATATATATGCAAATATATATATTTATGTGTTATATAGTTTGCGCATTATCCTACAACAACTATGATACCTGGTGTATCGTCTGAAGGCTATACTCTGAATGATCTAGCTAGTCGTTTCAGTATTTATTTTTGTGGACATTTACATAGATTATCAGCTGGTATATCTAATATGTATACACACACACACATATATATATATATATATATACTGGATTATATATACTTAAATATTTACATATAGGCCTTGGTAACATTCTCAAGTCATATCATAAAGAAACAGACTCATTAGAACTCGAAGTTGCTGATATGAAAGATCATGGTTCATATCGAATTGTAGCTGTAGATCATGACTTGGTCTCATTTGTTGATATTGACTTACCTATTTCAGAGATATCACCTGTTAATGAAGACTCAATAATACCTTTAACAGTTGATAATCAAATTATTTGGCCCAAGCAAAAGTTGCATCCATCACCTATTGTTCTGATTACAAATCCAAAGGATGCTCGTTTTACAATGCCAACAAAGGAACCTCTTCAGGCTATGGGTCAAAGTTCATATATTCGATTTTTGATATTTTCAGAGTATGATGATTTAAAAGTACATGTATTTGTGGATGATAAGCAGCATCCTTTCCCTTCAACATATATAGGCAGAAAAGCTCTTGATGATAAACAAAAAGTAATACCACTTTGGACAACACCTTGGGATCCTAGTGAATTTAATGACGGTAAAACCCACTATTTACGTGTTGAGGCAACTGCCCCCAATGGAAAGACTGGTGTTAGTGAAATTCCTTTTCGTTTAGATAATGAAAGAGTTAATATCAACGGCGGTACTGGTGAATGGATTATTGCATCCAGTATTTCAGAATTGGTAAAAGAAAAAGAGAAAAGAAAAATGTTATTCTACTTGACCATAAAACTTACATTAATTTATAGATCCGATTTTTATGTATTTTTGCTATTACTTCTATGTTATTGACTTTAATCATACCAAAATTGTTGAATGATTACGAAAGGCATCGAAATAATTTTATAGAAAAAAACAATCTAAGAAATAGACTTCTTCTTCAAATTCATAAGATCGATAGTAGTAACTATTGCAGTATTCGAAAGTTTATTTTAATTTGGATGCATCGATTTTTGAACTTTCCAGAAGATCAACCCTATGTTTGGACACTCTGCTTTATGTTTTTGACTAGTCTTTTAATATTACCCTGGTTTAAAGCAGAATTTATCCCATCTGGTCAAACTGAGGCTGAAAGCATGGGATATTTTTATCTCTGGGGCTTACTTTTTGAAGGGCAGCAGTGGGTGCCACTTGACACTTGGCTCTTTGCTATTTTTCAGATTACATTTAGTGTCGCTGTCTTTATCCTTTTGTTTATCTGGAAGTCGACCAATGCCTCTCTTTTGCAATGCAAAGGAAATACTATGACGACGCTTCTTTGTGATCGTGTTTGGTTTCAGATTCTTGTTTTATTATATTGGTTTTGGCGATTTGAAGGATTGACGGATTTAGCCAAATTTTATGGTGGTATTTGGCCCACACTTATTTTAAATCAGCTTGTATGGTGGCTTTTTATTGTTGCTTTCCTTATTATTTTTGATAAAACAGACCTTATATCGAAAAGGAAAGATAGGGATGAGTCTATAACATTGGATATTTGTACATCATGTGACAATGCTAGTGCAAATAATCAACATGAATTCTTTGTGGACAACAGTTTAGACAATAAGAACAATGAAGAACAACAGGATGAAGTAGAAGAGTCAAGACAGCCACTTTTACATGAGGAAAGTAGCAGTAATAGTTGTTCTCCGACGAAGAATTCTTTCAGGAGAAACATATCAAAGATAGATTAAAAGGAGAATAAGTTTTGTGTACACATGCAAAAAAGAAAAAAAAAATAGATTTCTCTTAAGCATCATTATTGTTTATTAAAAAAAAAATAATCTCCCTGTTTTTTTATACATTTATTAGGAGAAAAAGATCTAAAGTAAACCAAAATTGACTTTTGCTTTTATTTTTATTTTTTATTTTAATATCCTTCCATTCTTTTCATATTTTGATTTTCTTAATAATGAAGAAAGTAATCTTTCACGATGAACCTATTCCAAATTCTACAAATAAAACTATTCAATGGTTTGGTCTTGATAAATTTGAACCAGAACGCGCAGTAACATCTCATTTTATGTCATCCAAAGCTTTGTTCTTTATTCGATTACCATTTGTTATGTATAGTTTTATTGTAATGTGGGTTGATATTATTTATACAGCAATTATGGGTGAATTCAAGCATTTTTTTGCTTATTTTACCAATCTTACTTTTATTGGATTACACGCTTATTTAATTGTAAGACAAGTTACTTTAATTTATTCTATAGGTTAATTTATTCTACATGTATTTTATTTAGACTACGTTGTATCATCATATAAAATATTTATGGACACATCAAACTATTAAAAGACCATCCTCATTTCTGGATCAACCTTCTGTTCTTAATTATCTTTATGTTTATTTATATCATACTATCATTGTTTACAATCTTCAAACACCTGTTGTTTTCTGGGCCCTCTTATCTAAAGAAAAGCTCTTTGATGGTATATTTATGTAGTTATACATATAGAATACGATATGCTAATATGTATCCGCGTTACCCCTAGCTCATTTAACGCCTATTGATTTTTGGATAAGTATATCATTACATACAGTCACCTTATTTATTTTAGTCGTCGAAGTTTGTTTAAATAGAATGATGATATCAATCAAAATGATATTTTTAGTATTTGGTACTGTACTCATCTATCTCTTTCTTGTATTTATTATTTATTCAGTGTACAGTTATATTTAAAGCATATATATCTTTATGAAACTCATATATATCTATTTATATTTATATATTCAGTGAAAAATGGTGGGTATACTCTTTTCTGGATTGGAGCTTTGGACCTAGTATAGCAGTCTGGTATATTGCTATATCTGTTTTTATTATTATTTGCTTTTTCTTTCAATTAGCTTTACATAAGTTACGAGATTTGATTGCGCAACGCTTCGTGTATTGTGTAGAAGTCAAGAACATGGCATCAACAGATATAGAAAAAGAGAACCCTATTTCAATCAATCAGACATCTAACTTTGGACTATTAGCAAGCACTATTGGTGGAGGATCACGCTTTACATTTGGTACTGAATCAAATATAGAGCTTCATTCATAATGATTTCAAGTGAATATTATATACATATTCATATTTATATATAAAGGCTCCAATTTTTATTTTCAGATATTATAATCCAAGTAAAAAGATTAAGTCAAAGATATATACTTATACGAGATACTATTTTAAAGTGTTTTTGTGAGTTCTTATTAAATGTAATACATTTTTTTTAGGGAACACTATTTACTCTATAATGTAAAATACATATCAATATAAGAAGAACTATTCTTTATAGGTCAGTAAAATCCTAGTATCACTAAGTGTATGATGGTTTTAACCCATAATTTCGACTTTTAATATTCATATTACATTTACTTTTAGAGTCTGCGTAAAGCGTTTTGGCTTTATTTAAATATATCTTTGACAGTTTATACATATGAGCTTGAAAACGTAACCTCAACATTATACAACTTCCTCTTTTTAATCATAATCTTTTTTTGTTGTTGTTGCATCTGTAGTTTTCTTTATATGAACAAAAAAATTAACTTAATAATAACCTATCTATCTTTAATTATCTTCAGTTTACATTAGTATATGACTTTATAACTTTTAGAGTAAGGGTATCTCTTATATCAAAAGGTCATTTTTCTTAGTACTTAATTTTAGCTTTGATTAAATATCTTAAATGGGATTTGGAGAAGGCAAGTGTCAGGATAAGAGTAAAGAAACCCATTTTTTTTACCCTCCTTTCGTATTATATATATGATTTGCTTCAAATAAGTAAATTGGAGTATTATTTATAATATAGGGCCCTTCCAGATTATCTTAATATAAAAATCCATTATATTATTAAAGTAAGGAAACCAATGTTAAATTTTAGTATCTACTCTTTCGGTAGTCTCTAACATTTCCCTGTCATTTGCTTCCTGTTCCTTAATATTAGATATAGCTATTTGTTTCCTTCGAAAAATAACAATAACTCCCTTATTAAAAATAGTCATTATTATGGATATATTTGTGCTTTTTATCATAGGCTTTTATGATTTTTGTAAGGTTCACTTTTTTTTATATCTGCTATGGTTATGAATATAATAGAGGTTTAAATCTAGTTTTGATAGGAGGAAAAACATTCTTTTTTCTTTCTTAACTCTATTTTTACCAGGTAAGAATCAACACATGTCTTTTTTCTTAATATGTTTTTCTAAGATTTGTATTCTATAAAGAAGCCTCTCATATGTACTTGTTGACTGAGAGATCTGTAAATGGCTTGAGAAACAATTAATGCGTCCCTTCAATCAAAGTCTCTATATTTCCATCCATATACCGCATTAAAAAAATGGAGTGTGCTTCTTTGTCAGTCTTTAAACGAGTTTTTTACTAGTCTTCTCTTTTCATATGTAGTTACACTATGAAATTTATTCCTTTGCTTTTAGTGATAATATATTTGTTTGATACTTATATTTGCTGCAGTTTTTTTTTTTTTTTTTATTATTTCGACATGAACACATTTATCTTTAACTCTATTATAGGAGAAAAGAAGATGTCAATTCTTATGGTAATTTAAAATTGTACTCCTTTTTTTTAATCAAGTAATGGAAGCTAAAAAAGTAGTTTTCAGACAAACTCCTGTCATGAAAGAAGCATATCAACAAAAATATAATACAACTTTGCATTAAACAGTAACGATATTTCAACCCTGATTAGGAATCTGCATTTTTTGTTGAGTTTTTTTTTTTTTTTTTTTTTTTTTTTGTTTTTTTGTTTTTTACCTTCTGTGTAAAAATGTTTCATATCTCTGAGCGAGCTCTATTATTTACTTTTGACAAGGCTAAAATACACACGCTTTGAATAAAAGAATTTTATATAATTAGGGATATTTTGAAGTAGCAATTCATAATATATTTAGCATATCAATGGGTTGTAATATCATTAGAAAATTGACTATTACATCTTTCTATAGTTAAGAGAATTATTTACAAGATCAATGCTAATTTTGAACAAATATATATGTATTTTTTTTAGGAATTTCTAGATCACCTTTGCTCTTCTATGAGAAAAAAAAATAGACTGCACTTAATAAATACTATAAATTTTGAAGGTATTGTATTTTAAATACCGCGTATGGTATGATGCGAAGTAGGTATATGTCAAAAAAAAAATTCCCATAATGGGTATTTCTGATTGTGTAACTAAGGTACAAAATTATGTCAAAATGTACTATCATCTTATAGTACTACTCTATACGTGCATTATGTATATGTCAATTTATAATTGAGGTTAATAACAATATTTTACAACTGATTTGATTTAACCTTATAAACTAGTTTATGTGAGAATTAGTAATATTAAATAGAAGTATTTATTTATGGTTTTATCAGACACAAAATATATTGATTTAAATTGTATAAATTGGAAACAGAAGCGCATGCATTCTAAATAATAAACTCATTGCCATAAATAACAGGAGAAAAGAAAGAATACGGCGCAGCATTTTTTTTTAAACTCAAGGAATACAGTGTTTGATCTGAGAGCTAATTACTTTTTTTATTATTATTATTATTATTATTATTATTTTTTTTTTTTTTTTTTTTTTTTTTTTTGTTCTACAATAACTATGCGTAGATCATTGCATCACTTTAAAATTTACTATAAAAGAATGGTTATGAAAAAATACAAATATATATTTAGCATACATACTATTAACTTCGAACCAAAACAACAGTTGAATAATAATGAAAATAAAACAAGGATTACAAATTCTTGGCTCAAAATTTTAAGGTATATATATAAAAAGAACAGGTCTGCCAATAAGATATAATTTTGACAACGGCACTTCTATATCTCCTGTTAGAATATGAAACAGCATTATCGGAGGTTTTTATTCACATTTTTATTTTATTTTATTTTCTATCTTAGTTTCGGCACCTTTTCCTTTTGACAATTAAATCTGCAAGTGTCGCCTCCAATATAAAATAATAAATTTAGGACAATGATTGTTTTAAATACTTAATTTTTTATTCCTGATTTGTATTCAATAAAAAAAAAATGACAAATAATAATAAAGATAAGATGCCAATAGATGACACAAAGAAGAAGAAGAAGAAGGAAAAGGAGCCTAGTGTGCCTATTCATAAGTTATTTCGTTTTGCTACACCATTAGAACGTTTAATGATTGTTATAGCCATTATATTTTCTGCTGGTTCAGGAGCATTACAACCTATTTCAATTATTATTTTTGGATCTTTTATTAACAACCTTTCTGGCTCATTAGATGATACAAGTCAATTACTACCAAAAACATTGCCTGTTATTCATATTATGGCTTATATGGGTACAGCAGTTGCAATTGCTGCTTATATCTCAAATTGTTTTTGGATTTTAACTGGTGAAAATCAAACTCGTCGTATTCGTACCATGTATGTTCATTCAGTTCTTCGTCAAGACATGGGCTGGTTTGATAAATCAGCTGAAGGTTCTCTTACTACTCGCTTAGCTACTGATACTCAGATTATTCAAGATGGTATTTCTGAAAAGTTCGGAAGATTTGTTATGCTTTTAGCTCAATTTTTAGCAGGTTTTATTGTTGCCTTTATTAAGGGTATGTAATAATATAATGCTATAGCTTAAATAATAATACTTATATTCTGTATACATTTATAGGATGGAGACTTGCCGTAATTATGCTTGCTGTTACACCTCTTCTTTTGTTAACGGGTGGTGCTATGGGCATCTTTATGACAAAATATACTTTGGCTTCACAGAATGCCTATGCAGCTGCTGGTTCAATTGCAGAACAAGTTTTTAATTCAATTCGTACTGTATATTCATTCTCTCTTCAAAAACGATTCTTACAACGTTATGAAAAGGAATTAGATAATGCGTGCAAAACCGGTATTAAGCGTGGTGCCTCTCTAGGTATTGGAATTGCCTTTTTTATGTTCTTTTTATTTGGTATATATTCTTTAGCTTTATGGTATGGTGCTAAACTTGTTAGTCAAGAAAAGCTTACAGGCTCTGTTGTACTTGTTGTCTTTTTGTCCATGATTATGGGTTCTATGAGTCTTTTACAATTACCTAATAACCTTTCTGCTGTATCTAGTGCTTGTGGTGCAGCTTATAAAATTTTTGCCACCATTGATCGTGTACCTGAAATCGATCCTGACTCAGATAAAGGTTTAATTCCTGACTCAATTAAAGGTGCTATTGAGTTTAAAAATGTCATGTTCAAATACCCTACACGTCCTGATCTCACTATCTTGAAGGATCTATCTCTTAAAATTGAACCTGGTATGACGGTAGCCTTTGTTGGCCCCTCTGGTTCTGGAAAGTCTACTTCAGTGCAACTTGTTCAACGATTTTATGACCCTTTATCTGGCTCAGTTACGTTAGATGGTCATGACTTGAAGGATATTAGTGTCAAATGGCTTCGTCAAAATATTGGTGTAGTTGGTCAAGAGCCCGTCTTGTTCAACATGACTATTCGTCAAAATCTGATTATGGGTAGTAACAAAGAAGTTACTGAAGAAGAAATAGTTAGAGCTTGTAAGGAAGCCAATTGCCATTCATTTATATCTCAATTACCTCAAGGTTATGATACACTCGTGGGTGAGCATGGCGGTATGCTTTCTGGTGGTCAAAAACAACGTATTGCTATTGCTCGTGCTATTTTAAAGAATCCCACTATTTTATTATTAGACGAAGTAAATATCATATTTTAATATAGAAGTCTAGATTTTTTTTTAAAAAAATATGTATATGTATATATTTATTCATTTATTATTATTTTTTTTTCTTTAGGCTACTTCTGCTTTGGATACACAATCTGAACGTCTTGTTCAATCTGCCTTAGATAAAGCTTCCGCTAGTCGTACTACAATTGTTGTTGCTCATCGTTTATCCACAATTGTAAATGCAGATCTTATTGTCGTTATGGATCATGGAGATATTATTGAACGTGGTACACATAACGAATTAATCAAGTTAGATGGTGTCTATGCAGACCTTGTGAAGAAACAAGCTATTGATACAAGTAAAGATGATGTTTCAGACAATGATAATCCTGAACTTCTTCTTCAACAAGAACAATTCGAAATCAATATCCAAAAACATGCTACTGAAAAAGAAAAAATATTAAACCTTGATGATACTGAAAGCACATTTATCGATATCTCTAATGAAAAGCAAGAATTCTATCAAAATAGATTTAACTTTAATAATTCAAGTTCTGAAACGATTAACGCTTATGACTTAAAATTGAAAAGACAAAAAGAAGAAAAGAAATTGATGAAGAAACAGAAGGCACCCATGCTTAAGGTCATAAAACAAATGAGACCTGAATGGCCTCTTATTGGTATTGGAATCATTGGTGCAGCTATCGCAGGTGCTGTCTTCCCCCTTTATTCATATTTCTTTTCTAAAGTTATCGTTCTTATCACAGTCCCAGGTCAAGACATTAATCCAGGACCTATGAAAGGCGGTAATCTTTATGCTTTTGTCTTTTTCATTCTTGGTATTTTCGCATTTATCGGTTTTGGCAGTCAAGTGTTATCCTTTGAAACCTCTGGTGAACGATATACGAAGCGTTTACGTGCTATGATCTTTGCTGCTTATATGCGTCAGGAAATTGGATTCTTTGATCGAGATGAAAATAATGCTGGTGCCCTTACTTCCAAATTGGCTGTAGATGCGCGCAATGTCAATGAAATGATTACTAAAGTTTGGGGTGATGTCACTCAACTCATTACAACTGCCATAGTTGGTCTGATCATTGCCTTTGTTCATAGCTGGTCACTTACTCTAATTATTTTGATCATGAGTCCCTTTATTATAATTGCTACATCCTATGAGTCAAGGATCCATCGTGGCTTTGAAGATAAAACAAAGAAGGCTAACTCTGAAAGTGGTGAAATAGCTGGTGAAGCAATTCGTGAAATTCGAACAGTTGCTGCTTTAAACAAACAGAAACATTTTGAAGACCGATATTATCAAGCAACAGAGCATCCTCATAGGCTTGCTTTACGAAAGGCTTACTTATCCTCTATTGGTTATGCCCTGAACCGAGGTATCACGCTTTATACAAACGCATTGGCCTTTTATGCTGGTGTTAGACTGATTATAAATGGTGATATTAGCTTCCAACAGATGTTTACTACTATGTCTGTCATTATGACTACAGCCGAATCTGTAGGACGAACCTCTGTCTTTGCTAGTACGTTAGCCAAAGCTAAATATGCTGCTATTGCCTCATTTGAAGTGATGGAACGTCAGCCTGAAATTGATCCTGACCTTGAAGGTCTAGAACCTGAAACAGGTTCCTTAAATGGTGAAATTGACTTTAAGGATATTACTTTTGCATATCCTGCTCGTCCAGATAATACTATCTTCCATGGTGAATTCAATCTTCATGGTAAAGCTGGTCAAACTATTGCTCTTGTAGGTCCCTCTGGTTGTGGTAAATCAACAACAATTGGTATGCTTCAACGTTGGTATGATCCTTTAGGTGGTGCTGTTTCCTTAGATAATCAAAATGTTAAATCCTATACACTTGGCAACCTACGTAGCCATATGGCTCTTGTTGGACAAGAACCTATTTTATTTGACATGACAATTGGTGAAAATATTTGCTTTGGTGTCGAAGAAAATAAGCAAGTGAGTCAACAAGAGATTGAAGATGCATGTAAGGCAGCTAATATTCATAAATTTATTGTTGGCCTCCCTCAAGGTTATGATACCCGCGTTGGTGATAAAGGTTCTCAACTATCTGGTGGTCAAAAGCAACGTATTGCTATTGCCCGTGCCCTTATTCGTAAGCCTCGTATACTCTTATTAGATGAAGCCACATCTGCTCTTGATAGTGATAGTGAGCGTCTTGTGCAAGAAGCTTTAGATAACATTTTGGAAGAAGGAGGTCGAACAACAATTACAATTGCCCATCGACTTTCAACTATTCAAAATGCAGATCTTATTTGTGTAGTTAAGGATGGTCGTGTAATTGAGCAAGGTACACATTGGGAACTTTTGGCTCTTAATGGTACTTATTCCCAACTTGTTCGTGAGCAATCTTTAACTGTTCTATAAAAAAAAATTCCTCCCGTATACATATACAAACATGTAGATATATATTCTTGTAGCTTTGTACATTTTGTATATAACTTCTTTTTATTTTGTTTTATACTAACGCCATTTATCAATTATACACTATACATTTTAATATACACTTACACAATAAATATTACTAATACTACTTACAAATAATGAAGCCATTAAACACTTTGAATTTTTATCATATTTTGTATTGAATATATATTTTCTAGTCTTTATTTTTTTTTTATTTCAAATAAATAAAAATCGCTATACAAAAGGATAATAAAAAAAAAAACTATTATCTAAAAATATGTTTATAAAGTAACTGATATAGCTATAGTTATTAATGGAAAAAAATTTACATTTTTATAATAGATTTAATAGCCTTATTTTAAGTACAATTTTCTCTGTAGCCTTCACATCAAGTAATTTTTATTTAATGTTTATTAAATAAATATTCATTAATAATAAAATGCAACTAACGCAAGTATTTAAAAGAAGTTCATTTTGCAAAGTAAAAATTCAGGTAACATTTTGAGAATTTATGATTAATACAAAAGGACCAAACCATAATAAAAAGATACTTAATGTATAAGCAAAAGAAAAAATAAATAAATAAATAAAGTAAAACTTCCAACTTATCTCACACATGGATGTATTGAATCAGCTACGAGAATTTAGCTCTCTTCTTTGGAATAAATTCAAGTTACTAAACTTCTATTTTTGGAAAATCGCAATTCGGTACCTTATTAAAAAAAAAAAAAAAAAAAAAAAAAAAAAGGAGAGCAAGGCTCTATGTATTTTTCTTTTTCCTATTAATCTAATAATGACTTCAAAAATGGAAGCAGTTATGGAAGATGCTTTTGTAGAATGGGTAAATTACTATTATTCCTACTTGTTTTCTTTTATTCTTCTTTAATTTTCGACATTTATAACAGATTAATACGTTTGACTGTAAATCCTATGCTATTGATACAGTCGTGGAGTTAACAGATGGAGTTATACTTTCTGAAATATTATCTGATATGTAACTTTTTCAGTTTATTCATAAATACTCAAGGCCTGACTCCTCTTTTTTTTTTTAATTATCATTATTATTTCATGATTAGTGATCCTAAGTGGTTCAAACAAATTAAACCTACAGAAACTGCTAGTAATTGGGTTGTCCGATTTAACAATCAAAAGAAGCTTCACAAAAGCATCACTCGCTATTTCGAAGATATTATTGGGCAGGACCCAGAATGTTTACCGACTATTAACCTTACTGCTATAGCTAAAGATGCTGATCTTCACGAATTACTGATCATGTGTCAATTAGTCATTGCTATAGCTGTACAATCTGACAACAACAAACTTTACATTGAGATGATTCAGGGATTATCACAAAAGAGTCAACATGCTTTAATGGTCTCTATTGAAAAAGTGATGAGTTATTTCGAAACAGATGCACTTAGTAGTCAACATAACAGGTCATCATTTTTATCTGCCAATTCAAATTCGACAAAAAGTTTGTTAGAGGATATGCCTTATCGTTATCAAATTGAATTTGAAAAAATCTTGATGGAGAAAAGGCAATATGAGACATTACATTCCCAGTTATTAACTGAATATGATGAATTACGAGAAAGATTTGTAAAATATGATAATTTTATGTAAGGAAAAGTTTTTGTTTTTATTTTGTTAACTTTTTTTTTTTTTTTTTTTTTTTTTTTTTTTTTTTGTAGGATGATTTGTTAGGCGAAAAGGAAGAATTAAAAAGTCGATTACAAGATATGGATGAGGCAATTACAAAAGTAAATAATACTGGTAAAGCAGATTTTGTGATGAGAACTGAAATTGATCACCTTAAACAAGATTTGTAAGAATTTAATCCATATATCGAGTTTTTTTTTAAGGATACACTTATGTAAATTGTTGTATATGATAGGGAAAGAAGTGAAGATCGACGTCAAGAGACAGAAATGCTGATGGAAACACATCTAGCATCTATTAATGAACTAAAAAAGCGAGTAGAAGAGTTGAGTGCTGAAGTAGAAGAGACAACCTTGTTAAAAGATCAACTTGAAGAATATAAACATGCCACTGAAAAGATGCATAAGATGGAATCTACTCTTGAAAAATATAAAAGAAAGATGGAAGAATCTTCTGATTTAAAAAGACAGATAAAGGTATATATCTAATGCTAGAGAATTTTTTTTTCTTTTAAAGTGAATGGTGTTTAAATAATGTTGGTTTAAGGCATTGGAAGATCAGAATGCTAGTCTGCTAGAACGTAGTCATCAGGTAGAAGACGAATATCGCAAGGTACTAGCTTTTAAAACATTAATGGATTCTTATAAAGAACAAGTACAGCATTTGGAAGAAGGAAATCGAGAAATTTTGAGAGAAAAGATACGATTAGAAGAAGATTTGAGAAATATGGCGGAAACTTGCAGATATTTAGAGAATGATCGTGATAGAAATATGGAACAGGTACAATTACTGGAAGAGCATATCAAAGAACTCGAACTAGGAGGAGGCCAAACACTTGATAAGGCTCTAGTAAGTCATAGAGCAAGTGTTATTATTGAAGATGAAGAATTAGAAGATCAAACAACGATGGAGGAAAACATGAAAAAAGCAAATATAACTGAATTGTAAAAAAAAAAAAAAAAAAATGAATCTATACATTATTGATGTTTTATGTATAATAGACGTTTGACAGTCAGTAGATTAGAAAGGCAAATTAAAGAAATGGAAATAAAGGTCCCTAATGAGAATGAATTCACCGAAGAGTTTGAAGCATTAAAAACACATAAAAATCAATTACAAAAGGTAACTTCATATAAAATAAAACTAAATACACGTATATTTATTAGTAATATAAATATATATTTTAGGATTATGAATCCGTATTATTAGAAAGAAATAAATTAAGAGAGGAATTATCACAAATTAGAAATGGTATTCCTGACTCATTGCTTAATCAGACACAAACCATTATGGCATTTCGTTCCCGTATTCTAGATTTAGAAAAGGAGTCTAGTAATCTAAAAGAGAGCACAATTCGACTAGAAGCAATTGTATCAGAAGGTACAAGAAGCATTGCAAAAGATCAACAAAGTTTACAAAAGTTTGAACAAGAACATGCTAAAATTCAAGATAGAATTAACCGACTGGAAGATATTACAAAGATGCAACTACATGATATTAATCGAATGTTAGTAGAGGCCAATTATTTAAATGGTATTAATAATTATCGAGAAAATGATGAGTCATTTACTGATAGACCCGGTTTAAGCGAGTAATATGTAACATATTATTGAATATTTTTTTCATTGCTAATCTATTTTTATAGTGGTGACCTTGAAATTATTAAGGAACAAAATGCAAGTTTGCAGATTCATGTGCTTCATCTTCAAGAAGAAATTAATGATACTCAGGGGAAAATAAGAAAAATTCGAGATGTAAAGTATATATTTATATGCATATATATGTTATAATATAATATGGATATAGTTTAGCTTAAAATATCTATATTAGATGATTAAGTTATACAATCAATTATTACAAGAAATGACAGCAAGATTTTCAAATATTCGAAAATCAGAGGAACCGACTGGATTATTTGGACGGATACCTCGAACCAAAGAAGAAGAACAGGACCTGTTAAAGGTAAATAAGCAAATAATATATATATATGTATATAGCAAAGAAAACATCTTACATTACTATATAGAAGCAAATTCACGATGTTCGAGAACAATCTAAAATTGAACAACAGCTTATTATTTCAGCATGGTATGATCTCATAAGACGTAGTGATAGAGATGCATCTAATCTTACCATACGATCAACACCATCTTCTTGGCTGGGAAGACAAAGAAAAGCTCTAGATGTTTATTTAAGACAAAGGCTTTGTTAATACCCTATATTATGTAAAACCTTCTGACGTAATATAATACAAAATTTAATGAATAAACTTTTTTTTTTTTTTTTTTTTTTTTTTTTGCATAATGGTTATGTAATTTAACAATTTTATGAAAACAAAAAAATAGCCTAAAAGCCCCTGTTACCAAAAGAGTGTGATCGTCCATTACTATCATCCGTATTTTGATCTATTTTTTTTTTTTTTTTTTTTTTTTTTTTTTTTTTTTTTTTTTTTTTTTTTTTTTTTTTTTACTTTAGGGTAACAATATAAAAAAGTACGCACAAATTATACACTAGTCATGAGATACATCATATTATTTGAGGCTTCATATTTATTATTAAGATATACGGCAATTTAAAAGTAATTAGTAATAAAAATAAGGTTGGCATTTACTATTATTATTACTATTACTACTATTATTATTACTACCATTACTTGGATTTCCTCTTATCTTTTCATTGTTATATCTGTTTATATACGATTCACTTGAATTACGCAAAATATCCGCTCTTCTTCTTAAGTCAGTACTTGTAAGTTTTGTTGAATGATGTTTATTAGGTTTCTTCTTTGTTGTATGATGTGATGAATTCAATTGTGGTGGTGATGGCGGCACTGGTGATGATGATGGTGAAAGCGGTAGTTGTTGCATCATTATTGGAGAAAATAACTGTGATGGGTCGGTCATAAGAGGAGAGGAAGGAGAAGGATAAGGCGATAGGAAAAAGATAGGTGTTTGAGACATTAAATAAAGTTGTTGTTGGTATTGTAGTTGCAGTTGCTGTAAATGAAGTCTTTGATAATATAAGGGGTCCGGCATTTCTCTACTAGTGTATTGCTGTGTTCGATAATAATGTTCCTTAGTGGATGACGAATATGGATATTTTGGTGGTAGACATTGATCTTCTTCTTCAGTCAGGGGTGCAGTATTGCTTGAAGTAGAACCTCGTGATGGACTACTTGTTCCATCCTCTTTTGATCCAATACTTTCCGTATTATGTTTGTGTAAAGAGATTGAAGCTGTTATACTATTTTTTCTTGGTCGAGGCGCTTCTATATATGTATATATATTGATTGGTTCTTTTTAGAAAAGGAAAACTACTTTAAATTAGACAAGTGATTATTATATATTTTACCTTCTCTAATATTGTCAGGCTCTTCTTCGGGATTACTTGGTAGACAAACGCGTTGTGAGTGTCTTCTATGAATAAATTCAGAAGATTTTCTTTCTATTTATAATATGTTTAAAAGATGAGGCCTTGAAGAGACCACAACAACAAAAAAAAAAGAAAAACTTACCTGACGGAATAGATGAAGCTGTCCTAGATAATTTATGACTAGTCCTACTCTGATGATAGCGGCCTCTTGTATCAGCTACAGCTTGTTGACATTCACTTTTGTAATGATATAATTCTTGTCTTCCTTTATGCAGCTCCTTAACATTTGCTTGTTTAGAAGATATACTTTTATTCTGTGGATCAAACTTTGAGTTTTTGAACGTTTGAGTAGGTTTATTTAATGATAATTTTGCTAGGTTATGTTGGAGGTCGTTCATATTTTTTACTTGTAAAGTAGAAATGCAAAAAAAAAAAAAAAAAAAAAAAAAAAAAAAAAAAAAATGTTGGGATTAGTTTTATGCCCGGAATTTTACACATTTTAGTAACCGAATATTAGATTTACGCACGGACTGCAATTTATGTAATTTTTTTTAGGTTAATATTTAAAGCATGCAAAACTTTTTTTTTTTAACAACATTAGAGATAGAAAATCAACGAATACACGTATACATACAAACATATGTATGATAATTTTAACTCGTAAACATATATATTAAGTGTATATTATTTTATATTTTAAATTATTTTTGATTTATTTTTCTTCTTTGACCGAAAATCGTTGCTCGTTATGCTTTGCTCTTTAATTCCTAAATTTTGTATGTAGTTGTTACATATATTCAATAAAACACTGGAGAGTCTTTTTATATACATATTTATATATAAAAGTAACAGTTGTTAATGCATAAAAATTGTAAATAGGTCTCTTTTTTTTGAATCTTTGATGTTTAATATTAATAAGATATATTAAAATGGCCTCAGTATGACCTTTTTTCTACTTTATATGGATATATATAGTGGGATATGATAACAGCAAATGCAATTTTTATGTTTTTAGACTTTCGAAATACAAGTTTTTTCCAACTAATATGCGTTTCCGATATTTTACTGTGTTCCAATTTTTTTTTTCCTTTTACGTTATTATATGCAATAAGAATTTCTTGTTGTAATAAAATTAAACTTTTAAATTAATGGCCTGTAAAGAATACATTCTCTTTTTCTTTTGAAATAAGAAATAAAGAAGAAAAGAGAATGATATCAAATATAGATGTATGTTAAGAATCAGTATATACATGAAATAAACAAATTATCTAAAGCTAAATATTAACTAACCACTTCAATATAAAAACTCTTCTATGTAAAATAAGAAATTTTGGAATGTCATGCTGATCTGAAAACTGTTATTATGGTAAAAAAAAAAAAAAAAAAAAAAAAAAAAAAAAAAAAAAACTCTAATACTTTGTCGAGACGAACAGTGAAGTGACAAGCTCAAAACGATTTACCTAAGTTTTTTTTTTTGTCCTTTTAAAATGTTTATAAACAAAAATTCAGATGCGGCTTTTTGGAAGACTAAAGAAGTGTTTCTAATTAAATTACCTTCAGAATATCTATAAGCATTTTACTTTACACACATAAAGTTATTCTAGTTATAGACAAGCTATATTTAATTTATTAAAAGGAAATACTCTGAAATGAAAAGAAATCAAAGAAATAGGTTATTTTAATGGAAAGCCTCTAATCGATAAATTTGTATTATTATAATTTGAAAAGATCATAAGTCTGATGATAGGCCTATAATTAAACTGGCTAACATAATCATCATTTTATGAATCATATACACTAAAGATGTAACAAAGTTTGATGAAGTAAAGGTTCACTATTAAATTACAAATAATATATGACTACTTACATTCACAGCAGTTTGTATGCTCTACTATAAAATCAGGCACGTTAAGTATTTACTTATATCAACCATTTAGCTACACTTAATCTTATCGAACAGTTTCAATTTATTGTTAAGAACACCAACCGTTAAAGAGGAATTGTACTGAAAAAGAAAACAAATATCATTCTTCAACATCAACGAATTTTACAACAATGTGTGTGTGTGTGTATGTATGTTTTATAAGCTAATTTGAAAGATTTTCTTGCTATTTCTATAAAATACTTTAAAGGTTATCTTGAAAGGTATTTTATTTAAGCAAATATATCATCTTAATATCATGGCTTTACATATCATGTATTTTTTTTTATAAGAAAAAAGATATGGTAAGGTAAAGAAGAAAAATCAAACATGCCTTTTGTAAATGTAAGGCTAAAGACAAACTTTGTTCAACGCATAAGAGACGTCAGTTTTTAATTTAAGGTTTATCAATGTTTTAGGTAGTAGTTAGATGAGATAAAAATTATGTATGATAGTGTTCTTTTTTTTTTTTTTTTCTTCCTACTGTTGTTTTATTGTTTTACTCTTCTGGCACCAAAAATAGCAGTACCAACTCTAACGTTATCTGATCCATCCAATAAAGCTTCTGTATAATCTGCTGACATACCAAAACTCGCTTCAAAATGCTCAAGTTCTAAGGATGATTTAATACCTTTTCTTAGTTGAACAATTTTCTAAAATAAATAGCATGATATTAGTATGTTTGTATGTCTCATTTTGTCAGTGTTACCTCAAAGTCAGGATTATTCTTTGCATCACGATCTTTCATACCAATCGTCATTAAACCGTATAATTCTAAAGCAGGACAATTTTCCTTAATGTGCTTACAAACCTCAAGAGCATTAGAAGGTTCAACACCACTTTTAGCTATTAATTTGTCTTAATAAGTAAAATTTATAGGACGCAATACAAAATATACCTTCTTCACCACTTGTATTCACCTGAACATAAACTTTAAGTTTATTTTCACGTCCAACATTAACACAAGCTTTATTTAATGCATCTGCTTTTTTAGAGCTATCAATTGTTTCTACAACAAACAAGTTTGGAATTGCTAGCTTATTTTATTAGAAAATGTGATCCATCTTTCTTTCTTTTTTACTTACATGCCACTGCTTTGCATTTATTTGTTTGAAGATGACCAATAAAGTGCCAATCAATGGAAGAAGGAAGCTAAAAAAAAAAGAAAAAAAAAATCAATGAAATGTATAATTACACTTTGAACATGTAGTATACCTTTTTACTCTTTTCTACTAATTCTTGTACCTAAAAGAAAACTTACTAGTTAAGATCATATACTGATGAACGAAAGAAGAGGAGAAAAAAGAGAAAGAGAGAACTTACATAGTTTTCACCGAAATGGGTTTGTCCAGTTTTTGTAGCATATTCAATGTCCTCAGAGGGCATATATTTACTGACAGCAACTAATCGAGCCTACAAAACATATTTGCCATTTAGGAATTGTTAGATTTCTAAATATTTATATATATTACATGGGGAGATTTTCGAAGCTCTTGTACAGTTTGTCTGACTCGATTTAAATTCTCAATAATTTCTTTTTCCCGATCAGTAGTTGACATGAAACGTAATGGCTTAAAATAAAACTTTTGAAAAGGAAATGAATTATAAATAAATCTCTGACTTGAGCGAGATATTAAAGTCATGAAATAATTAAAAAAAAAAAAAAAAAAAAAAATGAAACTTCTAATCATAATTTTCCATTACATAGTCAGCCAAAGAAAAAATAGCTTAATCACATATATTTTATACAATAATAATATATAACAAAATAATTCTTGGTAAACTGTAGTAAACTGAAGATGACTATTGTGATTCATAAATCTTATATTATGTAATATATAATAAGTGAAAGGTGAATAGTTTTATATTTTATTAATTTTTTTTAGACTTTTAAATCCATAAAAGGAGCTATTACTTCCTGCTTGTAAATTTTTGATGCCATGCTCGATCGGTAGACCTGATGTGGTTAAATCCTCAGTGCCGGCCTTTTTCGCATATCGCTTAATATCTGTTTTTGATAAATGAATTCGAAATGCTGTACTTAGTAGTATATCGGCTTCAAGATATTTATGTGGTATATGCAAAAGAAAAGACAATAGTTCTGAATTACTAGGACAAGAATTAAGCAAGTGCTCTTTACAGATATCCAATATCGCAAGGCTAATACGATAAAATACTTTGATACCTTCAAAATAAAACGCATCCCATACACGTAATACTGATTCCCATGGCAAGGTCATGGTAAAGGCAGTCAAGAACCATTGTGTAATATACATGATTGGCATCACATCATTCTTTTCTAAATGATGAGCTAGTTTAGGATTATGATCTTTAAGCAATTGTTCGATAATATAGGCATCGATACGAAGTTGAGAGAGAGAAGGCGTGAAATAGCCATTCATGTATTTATCGATTGTGGCCACTAATAGCCAAAAAGATTCTTCAGCCGTCATTTGCATTAGCATTAAACCAGCTAAGCGACCCATACCTTGACAATACTCTAACTGCGGATTATACTGCGCATAAGCTCTCAAAACACAACACAGATCCCTTTGTCCTTGACTGTCGGGTTCCATAAACTGAATATGATCTGGATAACAGCGAGCAATATCTCGCTCGATAACATCATAGATAGGAATGAACGGTTTTTGTAGAACGGTATTGAAGAAATTAGGTTTTTGGTAGCTTTTAGATCCTGCAAGGAATTGCCAAACGTGAGCTCGTACAGAAGCCGGTATGCCATGGCGTACTAATTTTTTGAATTTGGTATCTCTTTTCACTTGGCCAACGTCCATTTTGTTGATAATGGAGAGCCATTTAAGCTCATTTTCCCGATATTCTTTTAAGGATATAGTTGTTAATTTATTTGATTTACTGGGTGGTTTATCTGATTTTATAAGAAATCCATATTCATCTACGTTCTTTATTTGTTTCAAAGGGCTCGCTTTTGATACTGTCTTTTTTTCAGGCTTTGCAATTATTTTATCGAGATTATTCACTGAAGAATATTTTTGAGATTCCGTGTTGTCTTCTTCTTCTTCCGAATAATTAATATTAAAAGCGGAGGTATCGTAGGGATCATGATAATTAACACCTATATTTTCTTCAGAAAAAGAGGAAGACGATACGTTAGATTGTTGCTGTTGTAAATGTAGCATTGAAAAAGAGGAATGTGTAGCAATACTTTCAAAGCTTGGCTTTCCTTTAGCCCAATGACTCTGTTGTTGATGTTCTGAATTAGAAGTGGCGTAACTAGTGACCGAATTCCTGAAACATGAACTCGTTGCTGTCATATCCAATGATTTTAAGACTCGAGGATCAAGCTCGACAAAATAAACATTTTCTGCATTAAAATTACCAACCACTCCTTCACAATATCCCATATAAATATCATCTTGTATATGTTTTAAAATAACAATACGTTCTCCTATAGAAAAATAAAAATGAAAGAAAAAAAGGGTCATGCTATTTTTATTTTTTTTTTTTAAAAAAAAACAAATGATTTAGAGCTTTTGAATGTGCTTTACCTTGCAAATACATGAGATCCTCAGGCGTTTTTGCTAAAACATCTGCTCTTGAAACACATGATCCAAGTCCACCTAAATAATAAACCATCAACTAAAACCGTATATTTAATTTTAAATGCAAACCTTTTTCTGCAAATTCATTTAATTGAGGTAGACTCATGGAGTCAACATCAATAGACATTTGCTCCAAAACATTTGATGGATCTTTTAATATTCTTGCAATCTTTTCATTCAAATCTTCTAAATTAGTTGATGTATGTTTTGTTGCTTTAGTTTCCATTAGTCATAAGGAAGAATAATAATAATAATAAAGAAAAAAAAAAGAAGGGGCAAAGAATGAATTAATTTTAACTTTTTGGTACAAAATAGGTAATTAAATTTCATGTCATTTCGGAGCCTTTTTTTTTGTAACATGAAGGAACATTCAAATGTTTCGTTTTTTATGTATGTCAATCAGGTATAATATAACTTTTTTTTTTTTTTTTTTTTTTTTTCTGTAGCAAGATAGAATTTTGTAAATAGTGTTGCAAGTGATAATAATTGATTGACTTCCTATCATATCTGAAGTAGAAACTTCTAAAGTAGAAGGTATTGCTTCAAGGCCAAAACGTGGTGAAAAAATTCGATTGCAGAACGCAATCTATGTAAATATCCATATAAAAATATAACATTGTTTAATAAATTATTTTATAAATACTCTCTTGAATTATGCAATCCTCTCTTTTGTAACAATATAAACTTCAGTTTATTTTTACTTGTCATGCAATTGTTCTATAACGACTTGTGGTTCTATTCACAGATTATACTTTATTTAATAATTTGATTTTGAAGATGTCATTTTCTTTATTCATAAAATTAAACTATTGATTAGTTTGAAAGTTTTAGTTAGATAAATAAAGGCTATTAAAAGATAAATGAAAAGAGAGATAAGAAATAAAAGCATGGAGTAGTTTAATTTAAGTTTCTCTGATTTAAGTGCTATTATATATTTTCATAAGATTTGTACATGTGAATTAAAAACGAATAATTTGAAATTTGTACATTAGATACAAGTACAGGAAATGTGGGATTAGCTAAAATAGGTACACTTCATGTTCTTCATTGAATGGTTTAAATTTTTCTAAAGCTTTATCAACATTTATTTTATTGAACTTTAGTTAACAATAAATGCAACATGCATGATACGATTGATAAAATCTATCTTTATACATATGTATACAATGAGAATGAGAGAGTAAATAACCACTTGCACGCTATTTTGTTAAACGTTTTGATGATTGCTTTCTTAAAGGCCATTCTACTTGATATAAAAGTATGAGTATATACAGCAAAAGATGCATAGGAAGTAAAGTTAATAAAATAAGTAGTCTAACTTTCTTTTTGTAAGTATAACGAAATTCTAATCAAGTATACAAAACAGAGTGAAATTAAATAATCTAAAAGTGTAAACAGCATAGGACTTTCTATATCACTTTAATGATAATATTTTCCTCATTTTACATATTTTTCGCTTCACTTCAATAAGAAAAAAAAAAGACTGTTTATAAAAGGCTTTTTTATTCTTATTTATTATAATTTCATTATGTAAATTTAATAAATGATAAAGTACTAAAAATTCATTATGTTATTTAGCTCTATATACACTACAGCTTTATTACTTTTAAAGGAAGTCAGCATTACAAGTTTAAATTCAAATGATACTCTTCCTGTCTTCATAGATAGTCTAGGACTAATATTGAGAATAGCTCTTTCCTATATATCTACATACAACGCAGGCTATTTGAACAAAGTTGTGGTAATATAGAGACAGAATTATTTACCTATAATTTATGATATTACTTGTATAAAGGGTATTCTGTGTATATATATTAATACAATCCTTTTTATTCTAGGCTTAATTATTAACACATAATATGTACATGGTTGCTTTTGAACGTAGCTTGATTTAGGATGATAAGTATGTTTCTATATACTGCATACAAAAAAAAAAAAAAAAAAAAAAAAAAAAAAAAAAAAGGAAAATAAGAGGATATATTGTATTTAACGCAGATTGGTGACATATTTATCATCAAAACCCTGTACAGAATTAAGGGTGCATTATGTAACACATTTGGTTCTAACGTTAATTTTTACTCTCCTGTTTTAGACACATTTATAATCTTAGATAATGTACGTAATAAATAGAAAAATTTTGTAGTGTATGCTATAGTAAATTCAATAATTTATGCTAAATCAGCTTAATTGTTGCCTTTTACATAGAATATATTTATTGGGGAAATATATATATATACATACATATATATATATATATGCATACATGTATATATACAATATAATAATCAAGCACTTTTTACTGATATTGCCTTCCTAAACCATCTTCTTCTTCTCGTTAATTCCTTCGTTGTTTCATTTCTATTATCTTTTTCTTTGAGCCAACGGTGATCTGTATAAACCCAACCATTTTCATCACACTCTACAAAATCCTATATGTATATAAATTTGTGCTCAATGTGTCTGTTCTTATTTTTATTTTCACATATAATTTACCACTATGTATTTTATAGAAAAAAATAAAATAAAAATGTAGGTTAAAATAGTGAGTAAATAATTAGCTATTTTTTATTACCTATTCCTAAAGCATCATCTGTCCATGGTCCTGTTATATCAAGCTGCCACCCATTTTCCTCCCATGTATAATTCTTTGGTGGAAGCATCTCATCTTTTGGCAGCAACGGCTCTGAACCACAAATATTAGACCAAGCTGATCTTTCTGATCTCAGCAGCTATATATATAAGTTATTATAAATAGACATGCAAACAATATATATACATGTATATACATATATATATATATATATATATTTATACATATTCAAACTTCTTGTTACCTGAGATGTATAACCTGTACCTGCCCACCATCTCTGATTTTCATACACGGATACCTCTATCCATTTTCTTTCTGACATCACTGACTTGGTTCCTCGTGAGACTTGATATAGGTAACATACTTTCTGAACTAGTTCTATTAAATTACAAAGTATAATCTCTATAGCTGTACCAATCCACGTCTTATTAAGTAGAATTACTAAACCAACGGTTATAACTAAAAAACGGCCAGCAAAGGCAAGCATAACAGAAATCAATAGGCTTATTAGCAGCATAAGTTTATAAGATGTACTCGTTAATTGAATATGTTGCATATGGTATGATAGATTATCATAGAGCCTTATCAAGAAGACGAAGGTATAATGCATATTTTGTAAGTTGGTATAATATTCAGATGAATGCTCTTCATAACGTGGAAATAATATTTGTGATACATTTTGCTGCTCTTCCAAACCAATACTCCAATAAAGTCGCCAAACGAGTAAAGGAGGTATTAGTAATATCGTATAGGGATATAGGCCTTTATTTCTAAAAACTGTTAATATAAATCGTATACACACACACACATAAAATAGTCGTTGAGTATTACATACATGAACAAACCCAGATAATACAAACTATAAATGAATGCCATTTATTCTTCCAATTATATATGTCATACCACCATTGACCTATCCAAAAGAACGCTCTTGATCGTGCAACAAATCTCGTAAATACCTTGGCAGTTGAATGTGGACTTATCTCTATCATATCGCTATTATTATTTTTCTGCAGCCTTTGTTTCAAAGATTTACGATAGGATTCTATCTTTAATGTTCTGCTCAACTCTTTAGTTGTATTTGAAAATATAGGTGATTTAACTGGCTCTTCTATACTTTTCTTTCTACTTCGACTATCTTCAATACTACTTGTACTATTAAATCTCTCTAATGAGTTGCGTTGAGAATATTTAGAAACAACAGATTCTGCTTCTGAATCAGTAACTGAAAGTGAGTCTGGACTCAAACGTCTAGGAATTCGACATTGGATAACCATGTCACTACAATGAACATGACAACTATATCCACATTCTTATTTTAAAATGAGCATCTTTTTTTTGTTGTTGTCTTTCTTTGTTTATTATATAAATAGACTATATATTTAATTCTATATTTACCTGTGCACTGAACACCTTGCCGTGTTAATCCCCATAATAACTTTCCACAATAATCACAATAGACAAGTCCCTGAAAGTTTTTTTCTTCAAATATATGATATTTAACGGTATTGGAAGACATTTTATGTGGAGAAAAAAAATTATATAGGAGAAGGAAAAAAAAAACATCTATATATTATGTATTTCACACGTGAAAAAAAAAAAAAAAAAAAAAAAACTAATAAAAATTTCCTATTATTTCTATGTTTATTATGTAAGAAAGGGTATATAAGAATGTATGAGGAAAAAAAAATTAAATAACAGAATGAAAAATAGTATAGAGCATTACAGCAATTCCAAATAAAACAAGAATAACTGCAATAATATCTAGCCACCAAACAGATTTTGTTTTACTAATTATCAAACTAGAATCTTGCTGTTTAAATACCCAGGTAGGATGAAATACAGCAATGTAGGCAAATCCAGGTATAATATAAGCTAAAAATGAAGATGCCACACCTCCTACAACTGAATAGACTTTTCCAAGAGAGTTAATTTGAATTCCTAAAATTAAAAAGACAGCAAAAAGTATCACCGTTACACTATAGTGTTGCATTGGCGTAGGTTGATGACCTATTGTTTCAAATCCAATCGTCTTTTGTATAGCATCTCTAGCAGGAAAGAATGCCATTCTATTTATAACAGTAGAGAATAATTATTAATTATATATTCTATATTCTATATCTGTATTATTACTTACGGAACAGTCAAGACCATTGATAATCCTAAGGCAAATCTGCCTACATTAATAACATGATCATCGGCTGGAAAACTACTAAAGATATTAGAAGTAGCATCTTTGCCAAAGGAGAGGTATCCAATAGCTGCAAATGCGATTGACACAAACCAACTAATAAATGTCGAAAGATATGATGTGATCTTCCATGAGCCTAATGACTGATTCTTTTGTGACAAATAGTTGGAGAAGACAACTTGAGAGCACACAAAGGCAAATGACATAATGCCCATAGTAGCAATCGGGTCGGATCCAATTGTCAGAAGAGGTGCCTCGTGGTCTTTGGCATAATATGGCGCACGAATTAAAACACTAATAATCATAACAGGTAATAAAAAGACGGAAAAGGCGGACCAACTCGCGAGAGCTCCGATTGATCTGAATAGATTAAGTGGAAAAATCTAATTAAAATAAAATAAAATAAAATGAAATAAAAAAAAAGGTTAGGTTTTAATATATGCCTACTATTTTTAGCTGTGTTTCTTTACTCACAATGATGACAGATACTAAAATAGTTACTAATTGTCTATTAGCTAAATAGGAATATTGAGGAAAATAACGTCCTAATATGACAGGAATAGTATCACCAACCACTACATTTATATGAATATAAGGGTTCAAATAGCTTAGCTAATACATGTAATATCTCTAAAACATATTACTTACAAATAAAGTAACTAATCACACTTCCAGCACTTTGAATAAATAACATTAAATTTAACAAATGGAAACCAATTTGGCCCATAGCCACTTGTGCTAATGATGCGAAATTGAAAATTCCAACTTTTTGGCCTGTAAATACAAGCAAATAAACAGCAAAACATGACAAGACACAAACCCATACTGAAATGGCAATGCCCATAGTAAAGCCAGATAGCACCAGAGCGAAAGGTAAACCAATGACTCCAGAACCTACAGTTGCATTGACAATGTTGAGGGAGACTTTGAAGACTGAAAGTGTACCATAACCTGGCTGACCGCTTGCTTGTAAGAAATCAATGTCAGTTGTTGTTGTTGTTGTTGTATGACTATCAGCAATTGAACCATAATTGCAAATGGCTCGTTCTGAATCGTCTTTGAGTAGTTCTTGATTCATAAAACTTAAAAAACTATATAATATACTGAACGATGATAAATTAAAAAAAAAAAAGAAAAAGAAAGATGATATACTTTTTATTTATATATAGAAATTCGGAGTAAACTTCATTGCGTGATCCACCTATTGAATTGGCTTATTTGGTTTCGATTGTGCGTCATGAGTTTACACACACACAGACAATCTTTTGGTTGCTATGTAATGTCAAACACAAATTTTCCCCCTTATTTCTGTCCCTATATTATGTCAGAAAGAACCAGTTAGAGATTTATATTTAAAATTTTCCTTTTTTGTCTCAATGAATTTTTCTCTTCCCCCAAATTATGTAACATTTTCTTGTAGAAAAAATTTTAACTGGGATAATATTATCCTCTTATATTTTTTTCCGACAAAGTTTAATACAAGACAAAAAGAAATATACACATGGAAAAAAAAAAGAGTGACTGGAATGGACAGCATAACATGGAAATAACATACATACATACATACATGCATGCATACATATATATACATATACATATACATATATATATAGAGAGAGAGAGAGCGAGAGAGAAAATTATTACATAAAGCTTATGATGACTGTTAATAACCTTCAGGTGAAAACAAGGATGAATTTATATTCAATATCATATTTTTATTGATTTTCTTGTTCCTCTTGTTTTCTTCTTTTTGCAGCTGCATGATAATTAGCAGCAGAAGCAATAAGAGGTAAAAGTTCTGCTGGAAAACTTTCTAAATGAATTCCAACAGACTCTAATATAGCATTGACTGCAATATTAGTTGCTGTAACAACAGATTGATTCGTAGCAGTAGTAGTAGTAGCTGCACCAAACTGCGTTTCTGGACTCAAGTTATTCATCATCGGCGATAGATAAGTAGTGGTATTATTGATTGAAGATATAAAGGGAGATGCCTCTTTCAATAGTGGTGACCTATCTAATACATTACAATATTGTTGCTTTTTATTATTAATTTGTAGATGACTAGGCCCTGCTGTCGGCATGGATCTAATACTGTTTTTTGTCGTTTGCTGAGGTTGAAGATGAAGTTGGGGTGTAATATGAACTGTATTTCTTCTTGCTAATAATGGCTTTTTATCTCTTGTTGGATCTACTGTCATTTGCTTTTTGCTGTATATCTTTGAGTGTAATCTGCTATTATTCAATTGATTATTATTATTATTCACTATATTATGTGTGCTATTTCTGTTTCGTTTTTTGATAACATCCGTTTTGAGGCTTAATGGTCGAACTGAGCCATGTAGTTTAAGAAAGAGACCACATGCATTACAAAGACTATTTCCTTGTGGGTCTCGACGCCATAATGGTGTAGTGGTTGTTTGGCAATTCGAACATTGTGTCAGTAGACTAGTGTTAGGTCTTGGTGTACTTGTAGATGGATGGATCAAAGTTTTGCTTCTTTTGTATTTACCAGTTCGTACTGGTTTTGATAGTGGGTTCTCTTCTTCATAGTCTGAGCTAGAAATGGAATGTGGCGATAAAGAAAGTGAAGTACGTGATGATTTTAGTCCTGTATCTTCAACTAATAAGCTATTGTTGGAATTATTATAATATGCATTTAAGATATTTTCAAAGCTCAAAGCACCAGGATGTTGAGATGCAGTAGTATCCTGCTCTATTTTAGTGGTAGTAGTAGCTGCTGTAGGTATAGGTATTTCAACAGAAGAGCTAATATAGGAAGGATTTACACCATAATAAAGCGAAGAAGGTGGTATAGAAGGTGGTGGAGAAGGTTGATTCTGAAATAATAAAGTGCTATTATTTGTTTCTAGTTGGTAAGTAGACGCAGGAAAGTTTGTATTTCCTATCATATTCATATTTTGCATCAAACTAGAATCTGATAGAACTGTCTGACTAAATGTAGGTTTATGAAAACTTTCTTCGTTTAACAAGTTGTGAGATAATCCTTGCTCATCATCTTCATCTAGAGGTATTGTAATACTATTGGTATCTGTTACATGTTGATTTGATAACAAACCATATTCAATATATTTTTTATGGGCTATAATTGAATATATACATATATACATATAAATATAAGCTTATCAAATGTATATAAAATTAGACTAGAAAACTTTACCGTAAATCGTGGCACATCATTATCGGATATTGTAATAGCTCTTGTACTTCCAGATATCATAACATTATTATGTTGTTGATCTTTAAAGTAACCAACGTTTATATAGGGTGGCGCAGAAGAAGATAATAAACCTGTTATGTCATCTGCTAAAGGTGGAGTTATAACAAATTCATTATTATCTATGTCCATAGTATCTACTCTTTCACTTGTTTCTTCTTCCTTTAATTTTTTCTTAGTTAAAATCATAGCCATCATTCTCCAAGTTAAGTTTTCTATACGAGACCCATTTGGTAAACTATCTTTTGCATTAGTATACATTCTCCAAACACAACTTGCTAATGGGTCCTTTTCAGAAGAAATATTGCTTTCATTGGAAGAAGTAGAAGAGAACAATGAATTTGATAACACTTGATCTATAACAGAAGACTTTTTGCTTTTACTATTATTACTCAACGACATAATTATAAGCAACACTATTCATATATTAAATTAACTTTCTGTTATATATATGTATAGTAGTTGAAAATGGTAATAATGTAAAGGAAGAACAATTATATATATATAAAAATAAAATAAAGTAAAATAAAATAAAATAAAAAGCAAATGATGTACACATTTAAACGCGAGATCGTGTTACAACCATAAATTACCTTTTATATATATTCTCATACCAGTTATCACATGTGACTGGTCAACTTCATATCTATAATTGGCTTTTATAGCTCATAGAATATAATAATATAGCCGATCTATTTTATATATACATCTGTATATATTTATTTATCTATGCATCCACTTTAAGTTACTTTTTTCTTTATTCAAAAAAAACTAGTATATCGCAGCATGTGAAACATCACATTTTTATGTTTAAAAATATGAATATTAACTTGATAAATCCAGGATTTAGGAAAGTAAAGAGTAACCCGGTCACTTCCGATAAGTATAATATGCAAGCAATTCTAATCAATTTTTATAAAGAAAAATTTGCAGCCTTTTCTGAATAAATAACATATATGCATCATAAGCTATACAAAAATCAATTATCTTCTATTCTATTAACTATTTTGATAATTGATTAAACAAAAGAAAACGAAGATAGAGAGAGAGAGAAGGTCTTATTTTATTTTTAATATAATTTCTGACTTGAATATAGACAGTTTCGAATATTTAGATATGCTTTAAATTTTTGCTAAAATTGGCAAAATCAGGCAAAACTAGCGAATAATTCTCAAGTGTCTAGTAATTTTAAAAAAGCAAAATAGATAATTTATACCTTACAACCATTCAAATTTTTCCCTAGAACGAATTTTGTAATTTTTAGCAACAAATATATCTTCTGTGTCAGAAGGCTAACTCTTTGCCCTTGAACCTTACTTTTGACTTTAACAATCTTCTCTTGCCTACGATGTCACGCTCCTTTTTGAAAACACTGTATTCCCTGTCAAATACCCCATCATAATAATTTAAACAAATATATAAATATAAAGACATAACTATTTATATATTCTCTAGTTTTTAAAAATTGAAAAATTATTTTTTATCTTTCAATGTTATTATCATGTTTATTACAGAAGCTTTCTATGGAAGCTCTTATAATAATTTATTTTGAAATTCTACAAGCTATTCCAAGTTTTCTATATTTGGATATTGTTTTAAATTTTAAACTTATCAAGCTGGAAAAATAGGAAAGATCATTTAAAATGAATCAAAATAGTTAAAAATATACTTGAAGCGAATCCCTCCTTTATTATATATGTAGCAGGCCAAAAGAAGGATATGAGATATAACTTTTATAAAAAAAAAATAGTAGTAGTATTGCTCTAACATATATTATTATTATATAAAAAGATTTGATTTAATTTATTTACAATTTATATATTATTTAACATAGTAAATTTATGAAATACGTAAAGTAGTATTATCGTTATGTGATGAAGCTATTCGGTGAAGCTCCTATTAAGACAGACACATATACTATATAAGAATTATAACTTTTATATATAAATATATTCAACCTACATTTTGAAGATCATCCATATTTGATATTTGTTTTTTATTCTCGTACGATAGTTTTAAAGAAGAAGATCTTGTTGGTAATCGTCTTGTTTCCACTATAAATTTTTAAATTAGTTTATCATAAATGTTTCATCAATAATTTATACATAATTTTAATATTACAGTGTTGAATGGGTCGACTCATTTTCGATAAACTATTCGATCTTTTGGGCGGCTTAAGAAATATGTGTTTATTATTTTCGAACTGTCTTTTATCATTTTCGAGCGATTGAATTGCTTCATCTAGTCTTCGAATAACATTACTTGTATTTAATGGCTCTATGACTTTATCATTGGTCTCTATTTTCGGCTGCTGCTGTTGCTGCTGTTGTTGTTGTAGTTGCTGCTTTAAGAGTCCCATAAAACGTCGACTATTATTTCGTTCTAGACCTTCTTTCCTTTTAGTACAAAGTACAAATAGTTTCTCTACTGTTGTTCCTGGAGGATTTAGTTCAGGGTTCTTGAGTATATCTGCAATAGTTTGACTTGAATCCAAAAGAGTTTCTAGAATATATAAGTTAAATAACTTAAATAGATACACATTTATTTTTCTAACCTTTTCCATTGACTGATAGACGGACACAATACATTGATTTATCCTCATGTGTCAAATGAAATTTTTCCAGCATAATGGTCATTAAATCCGTAACTGTATTTGACATGTTGACAGCAACTAATTTATCCATTCTATCAGCGTTCAACAGACTACTTTTTCTAGTGAGCCCTCCTCCCTTTTCAGAATACTGTTGCTGTCGTATATAATGAGTAATTTTTATATAAATTTGTTCACCTTCAAAAGACGTTCTTTTAATACGTTTATGTAAGGAAAATCGTATAAAGGAATCTTCTCCAAAATGGGCTTCTGCACGCTGCCTTGCTTTGGAAATTCCTATACGAGTTACTTTAATCGTTGGTTGTTCAACTGATAATCGTTTAATGTGAGTTAAGGAAGGCATAGGCGTTGTGAGATGATCGCTAAGAGATTCGAATATTGCTAAAGGTTTATCTTGAGGCGTTAATGTAATTTCATCTAATACATATTTAAGTATTAAATCAATATTTAATCTATATTTATATATATAAAAAAAAAAGTTTATTTTTACCACTATGTATAGATTTTACTGTGACATAATATTCAACTCCAGGTTGATTATCTACAATATGAAACTTTTGTAATGCAAGTTGAATGACCTGCTCAGTATTCATATCGGGTGTCACTGCTACTGAACTAAACATAGCACCATTAATGTCTTCAGAAAAAATACGTAAAACATGATATTGCATATTATTTCCGTTATCAACTAATATCTCATCATTGGACTTTTTAGTTTTGTTACCAATGGATAATAGTTGCTTTAAACCCTTTACTACACCAACATCTTGCTGCTCTTCGATATTTTTGGATACTTTATTGTTAATAAGCATATGTTGTTGGTCGTTTGTAATTTCTGGAACTATATGATTTTCTGTTAACGATGTTGGAGGAAAAGGCTCATCAGGAGGAAAAGGTTGCTGGATATCAACAGTGTTACTGAATGATAACTCTTCCAATTCTTCAATGATAGGCATACAAAAATCAGGATTTGTTACAGGAGAATACCTAGTAGTTGTTTCTAGTGGTTCCTTATTTAAATCTTCTTCCCATTCTTCATACGTCTCTTCATAACTTTCACTATGTTCATCCTCATTGTCTGTTATTATAATTTGTGCTTGATATGTACATACGTTTGACATTTGAACCTTCTTCTTTTTGGTTGACGATGATTTTTGTTCTACATAATACGGTAGCGATGCAATTTCTACGTTACGATGTTTATTAAGGCGTGCTAATCTTTCAAATGGTGTCTCGATATTTTCTGCAGGTATATAGCCTACCTCAGATGTCTTTAGGGCCTTTATAAGCCACCAATAAGAGTTGGAATCATCTAATAAAACCATAGAGTCACCCTTTACTACAGATGTTTGCCCATCAATAGTAGCAACAAATGTATGTAAAGCGTATACTAAGTTGAAATCAATATTTTCGTCGGGGATACTGGATGCCTCTGAACAAATAGAATCTTTTGTATCATCATCAAACAAATCCTCAAAATCTTCTGATATAGACTGTGAAAGTGGATTCTCATCCATAGTCGTTTTGAAAGAAAAAATATAAGAAAAAAAGTAAGAATAAAAGGTATATTAATCAATTATATTTATGGTTTATGTGTAATTAATAGCACGTTTTTTTTTTCTTTCTTATACTAAATGAAAAAGTGACACAGAAACAAAACTCATTTTAAAAAGACTTTTCAAGAACTTTAAACCCCGAATTTTTTTTAATGCTACGACGTTGATGACATGAAATTTTCTTTTCCTCTTATTTTTTTTTCTTTCGTTTGTTTGTTTCCTTTAAATTTAAATCCATTAGACCAATGTTTGGAGCAGTCAAAGATTTCATGGGAAAACCAGCACCACCCAACTATGTTGCGGGTTTGGGTCGTGGTGCAACAGGCTTTACAACACGATCTGATATTGGTCCAGCTAGAGAATCTGTTATTGAAGCGTAACGATTTCTAAAATAACAATATTAATGAATTCAATCAATTTAACTGCTTTTTTTTTTTTATCTATAGTGATCCTTTGAAAGACATGTCAACTGGTGATGATGATGATGACGAGCGTTTCCAAGATCCTGATAATGAAGTCGGTCTTTTTTCTACTGCTCCTTATGAACAAGACGATGAAGAGGCTGATAGAGTTTGGGACATGATCGATGCTAAAATGGATGAACGTCGTAGAGCTCGTCGTGAACAACGAGAACGTGAAGAGTTGGCCAAATATCGTAAGGAACGACCCAAGATCTCTCAACAATTTGCTGATCTTAAACGCCAATTATCAACTATTGATGAATCTGAATGGGCAGCTATTCCTGAAGTTGGAGATCTAGTGGGTAAAAATCGAAAGCGTAGTAAGGTACCTGAACGTTTTACACCTATGTCAGATACGATGATTGCTGCAGCGAGAGATAAATTGGGATATAGTCAGACATTAGATGCAACAGAGCAACAGTTAGGTGGTATTGCAACACCCGATGTTTTGAATTTTAGAGAAATTGGACAGGCTCGTGATAAGGTATTAGGTCTTAAGCTGGATCAAGTATCATCCGATTCAGTCTCGGGTAAAACAACGGTAGACCCTAAAGGTTATTTGACAGATCTTAACAGTGTAGTTATTAAAAGTGATGCGGAAATTGGCGATATTAAGAAAGCTCGTCTTCTGTTGAATTCAGTTATTACAACAAATCCCAAGCATGCACCTGGTTGGATTGCAGCAGCTCGTTTAGAAGAAGTCGCTGGTCGACCCGTTCATGCTCGCAACATTATTGCTAAGGGATGTGAACAATGCCCTAAAAATGAAGATGTCTGGCTTGAAGCAGCTCGTCTCAATACTTCTGACAATGCTAAAATTATATTAGCTGATGCTGTTCGCCATTTACCTCAATCCGTTAAGATTTGGCTAAAGGCTGTATCATTAGAAACTGAAACAAAAGCCAAAAAGAAAGTATTGCGTCGAGCTCTTGAGTTTATTCCTAATTCAGTCAAGTTGTGGCGCGCTGCCGTTAATATGGAAGAAAACCCTGATGATGCAAAAGTATTATTGTCAAGAGCAGTTGAACTTGTACCACTTAGTGTTGATCTTTGGTTAGCTTTAGCTCGTCTTGAAAGTTATGAAAATGCGCAGAAGGTTCTGAATAAGGCACGTGCAGCAATACCCACAAGCCACGAGATTTGGATTGCAGCTGCTCGTTTACAAGAAGAACATGGTAAGCTTGAAATGGTTGATCGTATTATTGCCCTTGGTGCCAAAGCTTTGGCCCAATCAGGTGTTGTTTTGGATCGTGAACAATGGATTGAAGAAGCAGAACGATGTGAAAAGAATGGATCCGTAGTAACATGTCAAGCTATTATTAAGGCAACAATCGGAATGGGTGTTGAAGAAGAAGATCGCAAATCAACTTGGATGGAGGATGCTGAGAGTTGTATCTCTCATGGGGCTATTCAAACTGCACGAGCCATATATGCTCATGCTCTTAAGGAATTTCCTGGGAAGGCATCTATCTGGCAACAAGCAGCCTATCTCGAAAAAAGCCATGGTACACCACAAAGCCTTGAAGAATTATTGCAGCGTGCAGTTAAATATTGTCCTCAGGCTGAAGTGCTTTGGTTAATGGGTGCCAAAGAGAAATGGATGGCAGGTGATGTTGAAAGTGCACGTACAATTTTAGAAGAGGCCTTTAGAGCAAATCCCAATAGTGAACAAATCTGGTTAGCTGCTGTTAAAGTTGAAAGTGAGAATGATGAATACGATCGTGCAAGAAAACTTTTGGAATTGGCACGTAAGGAATCAGGTACCGAACGCGTTTGGATGAAGTCTGTTATGCTAGAGCGACAAATGGAAAATTATGAGCAATGTAACATTCTACTAAACGAAGCTCTCGAAAAATTCCCTACATTTGATAAATTATGGATGATAAGAGGACAATTGGAGGAGTCACAAGATAATTTACCAAAGGCACGTGAGGTTTACAATCAGGCCGTTAAGAACTGTCCTAAGAGCACAACACTTTGGATTCTTTTGGCTTTGTTGGAAGAAAAACTGGGCATGCTAACCAAGGCCCGTGCTTCCCTTGAAAAGGCACGTTTCATTAATCCTAAGAATCCTGATCTTTGGGTTCAAGCAATTCGTATTGAAAAGCGTAATAATAATGTGAGTGTTGCAAAATCAATGGCAGCTAAGGCTTTACAGGAATGCCCTACATCAGGGCTTATTTGGACAGAAGTAATATTTATGGAAGCAAGACCACAACGTAAGGCACGTAGCGTGGATGCCCTTAAGAAATGTGAGCATGACCCTATCGTAGTGACAGCTGTTGCACGCTTATTTTGGACAGATCGTAAAATTGAAAAGGCTCGAAACTGGTTCCAAAAGGCAATACAAATTGATCCAGATCAAGGTGATTCTTTTGCTTGGTGGTATAAGTTTGAATTACAACATGGTACTAAGGAACAGCAGGAGATTTGTGTAAAGAGATGTATAACAGCAGAACCTCGTCATGGTGAATTTTGGCAAGCTGTAGCTAAAGATGTAAAGAATATTGGAAAAAAGACAGAGGACATACTAAAGCTTTGTGCTGATAAGTTGGAATTAGTGAAATAAAAAAAAATTCATTTGTAAATGATTTTCATAATAACATTTTCTATTTATTTTTTTAAAAAATAAAATAAATTATAACCATTAATTGAAAAAAGGAAATCCTCCCCCTTAACTAATTACCTCATAAAACAGTAACTATCATTAATTGCCCAGCCTAAATACAATGATTCACTGTATATTATTATCAGAAATATAAAAGACACATTTTAATGCTTATTTATATAATCATATGTAGACGCAGTATATATAAATGGCTCATATTACTTAACGAATATGTTAAGTTCAAGTACCTGTTTATAAGTAGATATGACTATTAATTTATACACATGTTATAGGCAACTATACTTTTATGTATTTATTTCATTTCATTTCAAAAAAAAAAAAAAAAAAAAAAAAAAAAAAAAAAAAAAAAAAAAACTTCTCTTAAATAACACAGTCTTAAAAATGATTTTATTGGACATCAAGTAAATATACCCTTTTTTTTTTCCTTCTACAAGATATTACTTTGATCAAGATATGCCTCGTGAAAAAAAGGAGATCTTTATGCTTAGCAAAAAATCGAATATCATTTATGAAAATTGGAAAGTTTATTCAAAGCATCATAAACTCATGTTTCGTTGTAACGAGTAAACATTCTTACTTTTTTATAAGCTTAATTTTGATTATTATTGTTATTACTATTATTTAGAAAGAAAGCACAATGGTATTTAAAACGTGAATTGGCTACTTTATTAAAAGATGAGCCAAAAGCAATTAAATTAAACTTTGAAGCAAAAGGTGATGGACACAAAGAAGGCGATTACATGATTGAAGATCGATCCAATATATGTGTTGCATGTGGTGACACTGAGCAATTAACAATGCATCATGTTGGTAATATCTTATTATATAGAATGAAACAGTTATAGTTCATTTAACATAGTTATTAGTTCCAGAAATGTATAGACAATGGATGCCACTGGTGATAAAATCAAAATCTGTAAATTCAATCAAAGAATGCTAAAGCAATGTAAATATATTTATAACTTATTTTTAGAGTAGAGATTTGCTTTTATTATGCAAACATTGTCACGACGAATATGAACAAAAGGCAATAAAACTGAAAAAGGAATGTGTAAAAAGATTTAATATTCCTTTGGAAGGGAAAGGATGGATTTATTTACCAGAGCATAAAAAGGTGAAAAAAGCAGCCTCGGCATTAATTAGATCATCAGATAAGATACCAAAAGAAAGACAAGAGGTTCTGAAGAATATTATAACCGAATTTTGGAACGCTCAACATAATAATAATAAAGAGGAAGAATGGAATACGATATTAAAAAAATGCAGCACGCTAATAGATCATTATAAGGGACCTGATTATATTGAGCATGGCCAAAGTGCTGTACAACAACTTACCGTTAACCTCGTCATTAATGAAAAAGGAAAAGAAACATGGCCAGATTTAGAAGCATTTATAAGAGAATGGAGACAGCATTTTTTAGACCATTTAAAACCTAGATATCTTAGTTCTTCATGGACTGTGAATGGTGATATTTATACGCACTAATAAATGAAGATAGCGGGGTGTAACAGTAAAATTAATAATAATAAAGATAGACTCCCGAATTAACCCCACAGATGTTTTTTTTTTTTTTTTTTTTTTTTTATTCATTATCGTTGATCAATGAACACATTACCAGTTTTCAATACAAAATATAAAGAAAAAACATCACAAAGCTTATTAAGAAAAGCAATTGCATGCATCATATTGTTTTTTATTATTTTATATTTTTATGCTACACCATCTACTAATCTATCTTCAACTACAGAATTCGATAACTATAATGTGAATCCTTTGTTTTGGGCACCTAGTCTGTCCGATAGAGTTGGAATAAGTGCATTTCCTAAAAGTTACTTTACACCAGAAGCATTACGCAAAAACGAATTTAATCCTGTGTCAGCCATTATATTAAGGGTAACAGATGATGAAGAGAGTATTATTTACACAGTAAAGCACATGTTAAAATATCCATTTATCAGTGATATCTACATTTATAATCTGGTTAAAAAAAGACCATTAACATGGGAGGTAATATATATATATATTTATATACATTGGCATAGGAGCTTAAAAGTCACATTACTAACTTTTTGTTGTTCAGAGCTTAAGATTAGATTCAAAAATAAAAGAAACAACAGCAATTGAGATAATAGAATCAAAAAATGAAGAACTTCATAGTTTAGCTCGTTATACTCTTTGCTCAACAGCCACTAGACTTTATTGTTATTTTCAAGATGATACATTCCAAAACCCTTATATGGACTCATTATATACCAACTTTCTACGCTTTCCTACTCTTATTCATGCTAATGCAAAACCTTCACATTACGAAAACGAAATGAAGTGGAGATTTTATAACAAGGACATCAACTTACACACAGGATATGCTGATTTCAGATACGGTGCCTTTGTACCAAGATGGAAAGTTCAAAATTTTTTAACCCAGTTAGGTAAATCTGGCTTAACTAAGGAGAATCTTCGACAAGCAGAACATTATTTTGCTATTTGGATGAATCAATATCCTTGGTTACTGAGTAATCCACCTCTTTTAGCAAATGGAGATAAAGCAACAAATCTTGATATTGCATACCCTGCTACATTAGACCAAAATACCGTAATGTATATATAAAATTATGATATATTATTTACTTACAATAGATTATAATATAGTATGACGCTGTTCAACATTTACAAAGGAAACTAGTTGCTGATCAGTCAAAAACACCTCATGACTATTTTGAGAGAATGGAAGAGCCCCCATATATTGAATATAGAGATGTGCGTTCTTCCTGTTCAAATGATAAATGCTTATTTATGACTAACATGGACCCTTTTGTTGCACCAAGCCAAGTTACTTTTGACTACCAAAATATAACCTCTATTCTTACATTAGAAACTAAGTATGATGAATTATCAACTATACCATCCACGGCTGAATGGGATGAGCATTCTTATCATAGAGTCGTTGATAATGATCCTAACACATGCTGGAATACAATTCAAAGTATGTATATATTTTATTGAGTGTACTATGTGTAAATATTTAATATGTGTATGTATATACGTAGGGCCTAAGAAAGGGGATTATTTTGGATTAATTCTAGTGGGAACTACAAAGACAAATCGAATTTTTATTCATACCACTATGTTACGGCATATACCTGAGCTGTCTGTCTCTGTTTTAGAAAGTGATAATAAGTGGATAAATTGTAAAACAACTATAACTGCAGAAAGATCAAGTTCCTATATTCAGCTCAGTATTATTTGCCCCGATATAAAATATTTCAGGGCTATCAAAGTTAGTTTTATAAAGGACCAGTCTGAACCATTCGAGATTTGTGGTTTATCACTGGATAATTTATCTGTTTAAAATTGTATTATGTAAAGCATTTATGAATCGCAGCACATTCAAGCCTTTAAAATTTATAAATTTCTTTTATTTTATTTCTTTTATTTTATTTTATTTTTTTTAAATACAATTATACTTTTTGTTTTTTTATTTTTTTTTTTTATTTTTTCGTCAATGAGTACAAATGGAAAAAGAGATGTCTTACGTTCACTAGATTACCTACTTTATTGTTACATTACGTATACCTATTTTCTTGATACAAGTCTATTAGTCTTATTTTTTCGAATTTTATTACAACTTGTAATGTCATAAACTATCAAATAGAATTGAAATTAACTTTTTTTTTATTCTTTTTAGCAACTATTATCACCTCGAGCACTCACTCGCTCTTCACGAACTGCTTTAATTATTATTACAATTGGATGGCTTATTTGTATTCTTATGCATCTTACAACTGAACCAGGCCAACCGGGTATCATCATTGATTTCATTGGCAATCGTAAGGCGATAAATATATATCCAGTTACAAGTATACAATATTAATAAAAATTCATTATTAGAACAAAAACCAAGTATATTTCGCTTAATTACATTGGATTGTATTATTTACCTTTTTCAGATTATTCGTGTCCTGATTACTTCCAGCTTATCTTCACAACTATTATTAAATAGTACGATAATTACTACATTAACAGTGCCACCAACGTTAGCGGCAGCATTAGGAACAGACAGTGTGACTTTAATGTTACCTCCTCAGGATGGCAATAACGATGATAATGGATCAAACGATTTGTTTTATCATAATGATTTAGTTGTAGACATTGGATTAAAAGCATCAATTAGAAATATTATGTATGCCGATATGGAAGAAGATTCGAATTCAGCTAGAGATGGTTCCGAACGTCTACCTGTTTAAAAATATGTATATGTAAAAGTCTTATTTAGAAAAATCCTCATCATTTTTTTTTTTTTTTTTTTTTTAAAAAAAAACAAGTCTCTTTTTTTTTAATATAGTAAATTATGTACAATTTTATTATAATAAAAATATTTACAATACAAGTTTTTCTTGTTCATATGAATTGGTATGTTTTAATTAGTAGTAATTAATTCACCCACTGAGGCTGTTACTTTTTCAGGAAATTCACGTTGTATCATTTGTTCAAAAATTTGCTTGGCTTCTGTGATCATATTGTTATCAACATAGGCACGAACCATGACTTCGTAAGTACTTGGTTCACGAATGACAGTTGTTTCATCATTCATCTTATCGTCACTCATAGCATCAAATAAAGCCCTAGCCTTATGCAACAAGCCTCTTTGTCCATATCCACGAATAAAGACGTTTTCGATATAGGGCGATGAGCTCTTCTGGATACTAGCTTGCATTTGTTTATAGAGTTGTTCAGCACATTCTAACTGATTGTTGCTAACAAGGGCATCGAGCATAGCTTGATAAACAACTTCATCTTTAGTAGCTTCCATTTCTTCAAAAATTTTTTGAGCACTATTAACATCATGTTGTAAGCCATAGGCATGAATGAGAGTTGCATAATGAGTAGCTTGTGGACGGATATAATCAAAACTTTCCATATCATTCAAAAGACGATGGGCCATTACCATATCATAAGGAGTAATCAAAGCATAAGCTTCCATTAATAACTTGTAAGTATGAGCTGAAGGCTTGATATGAAGGCGACGCATCTCTGTAAAATATTTTAAGGCACGTTTACGATTAGGCTGTTGACGAACATAAAATTGAATCATATTGTTGAAAGGCCCAACTCGAGGTTGAAAAGTAGGAGAACTTAACATTTCATTAAATAAACGGCAAGCTAAAAGTTCAGAGCCAGCTCTAACACAGGCAGAGATAATAGCACCATATGTGATTGAATTGGGAACGATTTTAAATGCTTGCATTTCTTCAAATAGCTTAAGAGCAGCATCCAATTTACGAGCCTTAGCCAGCTTGGAGATAACAACATTATAAAAGAAAGTAGTAGGTTTAACGTCACGACGTTTAGCCTCCTCATAAATGATAAGTGCATCTGTAGCTTCATCTGTAGCGCATTTAGCAGACCCCAAAAGGAGACTAGCATAACCATTACCATCAGGGTATCGGCCCATTAGCTTGATCTGTTCATAATATTTTTTAGCCTGGATCATATCACCTTGTTGAGCGTAACCAATAAGGATACTATTAGTCATAAGATAAATTGCACGTTCAACACGAGCAGCTTCAAGCTCTGATTTCTTGAAGCATTGAACAACAAGACGGTACATAGTAACAGCTGCATCAAGGTGTCCCTGCTTACCAACAAAGGCAATTGCATCACGAAGAGGCTCAACAGTAGGTATGAGTTTAGGTTCTACGATACGTGTTTGTAAAATTTCAAGAGCTTTATCAAGGTCACCATGAACGACGGCTTTCATGACAGCATTAGAGGCTTCTTCAGATTCACTGACAACATGAGTTTGTTCTACCTTGTTGAAAAGAGCATTCCATTTTTTAGCAGCCCTCTTGTTATTTTGTACTAAATACGAAGCAACACGAGCTTTAAGAACATGAGAGACTTTAAATCCCCTGGCAATCATCTCATCATATAAGCAAAAGACCAACATGTCTGGAGAAGATAAATTGCTATGATCATTGGCAATCATCAGGGAAGCATCAAACAAGATAGAATAATCAGATTGAACAAGACTTGTATGATCAGATTCAAATTCATATTCCTCGATTAATAATTTAGATAGAGCAATTGATAAGCCATGCGGGTTCATCAGACGAGCCACCTCAAGGGTTTGATCCATATGCCCTTTTGCAGCAATAGCAATCTGAGTAGCAGCATTTTTGATTTGCTGTAGTCCCTTAGCAAGTGTACGGGGCTTCATACAATTAAGAATGCTATTTAAACTGGAAATAGCTTGAGAGACTTCGCCACGATTTACAAAATGCTTAATGATACGTTCAGCAAGATTTGCATCTAGTTCAAGATTAGCATCCTTCATATCTTGGATAACATCAAAGATTTTACTATTATGAGTAGGGTCCTTGAGACACAATAAGACATAGTTAGCCAAGTTACCATAAGATTTGGAGATATCAGTTTGAATGAGTGCATTATACATTTCTGTGGCTTCTTTAAATAGGTCTAATTGACAATAAGTAGATAGGATAGGACCATAGCTACTGGCATCCGGTTGAGGAGACGATTGTTTCATAGACTCGATCAGCTTCTTGGCCTCATCCAGTTGATTTTTGAGACAATAGTAACGGATTACAGAATTATAGGGGATAGTAGAAATTTTGATATTTGCAGATACCATATCATCTTGAATGACCTTGAGAGCACCTTCAAGTTGGTGACACTTCAAATGAGCATCAACTAAGGCGTTATATATATAAGAAGCATCATGACGACCAACTGTATCCTTAATCTTTAAATATTTATTAAAGTAAGTTAAAGCAGAAGGTAAATCACCAACACGACCAAATAAATTGATAAGAGCGGCAAAAGTAGCGGAAGTAGGTGTTGAATGTTGTTCTAATTGACGGTATATATGTAATGACTGTTCTGTGTTACCATAATGTGATAGGACTCGTAAAATCTGATTATAAAGCTCAGCATCAAAAAATTGCACCAAATTTTCAGATACAGCAATGTTAAAAATCATCAGAGCCTTCTCAATGTTTTGTTCAGCTTCAAGTTCAGCCATATTGTTTGTATTCGTATTTATACCAGATGAACGAGCAGCTTGACGTTTCAGCATGGCAATTACTTTTTGTACTTCAACATCACGTTTACATAAAGTACGAATAAGGATTGTATAGGTAGAGCTGCTAGGTTGAATTCTAGAGCGGAGCATTTCATCATAAACTAAAAAAATAAAAATAAAATAAAAATAAAAATAAATTAATATCTGATAAGCTAAAAAAAAAAAATCTAGTATAATGCTTACTTTTTAACATTGGGGTTAAAGGAGTACCATCACGGCGAAGACTAGCGTAGGTTTCAAAAATAAGATTATAAGTATGATCAGTAAAGAGAAGGCCTTCCTTTTTGAGTGCGGCATATTCAGCCATTAGGAGTTTAATTTGGCCATGACGTTTAACAGTTAAGATACGATCATTAGCTTCAAAAGATTGTGAAGCTAGAGGAAGTTTAGGAGAAGATTTTGGAGAAGGAGGAGGTGTGATAATATCAGTTGGTGCACTGTAGACAATATTAAAAATAGGCTCATCTTTCTCTTCTTCTGGTGTACAACATCTATCAATCTTTTTTTTGTTATTTTGTTGAGGTGTATATTTTTTAGATGTAAAAACATTGGTAGTGGCAACGGTCGAATTAATTTCTTTCATTATATAAGTAGTTTAAGAAAAAATAATAAGAAGTAATGTTTTTTTTTAGAAAAAAAAGAGGAAATTTTGGTTCCCTATTTATAATCAAAATAGATGAAAAACATAAACTCATGGTCATATAATTCCAGCCAATTAAATCAAATTTACATATCTGATCATAACAGGTGACCTGCAAAAAAAAAAAAAAAAAAAAAAAAAAAAAAAAAAATAGGCGTTATTTGATTATCTGATTCTAGAGTCCTACCCCCTGTTTAACGTTAGTGATCATATTTAGCAAAATTTATATCTACTTTTTTAAAGAAAGTCGTAAAGATAGGATATTATTTATTTGTTTATCTTTCTTTTATTTATTAGACAAAAAAATAAATAATATCTTATCAATTTATACAAAAGACTAAATAAAAAACTTGAGAGTAGAGTGTTCTTTTTTTTTTCTACTCCTGCGATAAAATTAGAATAGAATATTAGTGAATACAGTAATTTTTTATCAGATCTTTCTTAGAATCAAAAGAATATGAGAATATCTAATATCTGAATCACTATACGTGTAACCAAAACTTAGTATTAAACGAATATAACCGTTTATTAAAAAAAAAAGAAACGGAGCAAAGCTGAGAACTAACTAAATAGACATATTCTCTCTAAATCTGATAAATGAAATAGAAAGGAGTGTTAACAGTAAAAAAAAAAAATCTATAATTTACATTTAAAATCATTTTTTAAAATTTCATTGTTTAGCAGTATTTGAAGAAAAAAAACTATTTATTTTGTAACAGATAACGATTTCACACACTAATAATTATCTGATAAGTAAGGAGGCTATGTTTTATTTTAACATGTATATCAAAAATAAAATAAAATAAAATATTGAATTTTTTTTTTGGGGGGAGAGCGACAAAAGGTTTCAAATATGTATCACCGAATAACCACGAAAAGATCTGATAAATTTATTTCCCCGAAGCGTAATGCTTTATTACAATTAATGAGCTAATTTAATACAAATCCTTAGTTCAAAGGTAAATAAAGGGTTCATTCCTTTTAATACTATAATCTACTTATTTATTTAAATGATTTAGACTGAAGAAAGCTAAAATAAATATGTTTGTATTTTTTCTATAAAGTATAGATAGTGAAGCATGAGAAAAAAATACATACTCATAAGCCTGAAGCTAAAAAAAAAATATTATTCTTAGAATTCTGTTTACAAATAGTTTATCAGATCTTTTGATTCAATTTAGTGTTTGTGTAAAACCTCATCATAATCCCCAGAAGTTGTTTTGTATTTGCGATTTAAATTTCTTCCTATTGAATACTGGATTTTGTTATCAGATTTTCATTCTACATAAAGATTCATGCACCTCGTACATGATCACAAAAAAAAAAAAATCTGATAATTATTTTAGACTTTCAAATGATAATATCTTTAGATAATCTTAGATTTTTTTTTTTACCAAATCAAAGAAAATCAACAAAGGAAATTATCAAATCTTTGTTTTCTATGCTGCATAAAATACACTTACATATACTAAATTGAATATTTGTATAATGAGTATAAGTATTATGCGAGATTAATCGTTATTATATGAAGTTCCTTCTCGATAGTCGTTTCGAGTATAAATTACAATATATATAGTCTATTATAGTTACCATATCAAGAACTTCTATAACAATGCAATTTTTATTTCTTTTCATTTATAAGGAAAATATACCAAAAAAAAATCGTTATATTCTATCATATATACTTATCTTTTTAATTTTTTTTTTAAATAAATATTGATGTATAGAGTACATGAGATTATATTTACTCATAGAAGTGGTTTTAAATTATCTACTATACTTTTATTTGATTATTTGCTTGTTACATGAATGCCTATTTTAGTTATAAGTTGGTCATAAATACAATACATTAATATAAATTACAACTCAAGATTAAGATCTTATCAGATTCTTTTTATTATGAACAAAATTATATTAAAAACCAAAAGTATAATAACCCCCGCTTTTGTAGCCACTTTTGTTTTTATTTCCCGTTCTTTATCAGATTTTTGTCAATTTTTTTTTTCATGTTGTTTTAATTTTATATCTTGTTTTTATGACGTTTTTTATGTTAGCTTTATACTTCTATGGGGAATATTATTTATCAAAATTATTATATATAAAGAAGAAATATACAGAGTATTATATATAAAAATGTAGTAATGATATTGAATTCCCAAAATGCTACATGTATATACTATAAGCAATATACAGATATAATAAAAAGAAACAAATAAATTAACGCAGAAGTAATACAGCATTTCCCCCCGAGAATATTATCTATTAAAACGTATACCAAACTTTGAAGTTGGATAGTAACTGGGTCCTTTTAAATCGCTTAAAAAAATAATTGCAAGTTTTTGAAATTCTAGTAACAAGTATTTCGATATCCAAAAGCTTTTCTCTTCAAATTTGTTTTTGATAACAGACCAAAAACAGTTTTATTAAATTAAACTCAAGTAAACAGAGTGTAAGATAGGCGTGGCTTAGAATATACATTTCATTATTGTCTATTGTACGAATTGGAGTATTATCTTTTTTTACAATATAATGGTTTTTGAATTCTTCAAGCCTTTCTAAAATGTCTAAGATACTAGTAATCAAGTTTAAATAATGAATAGTACCTGTGCTTATTATGTTTAACCTTAGTTCTATTTGTTTTTCTTTTCTTTAAAAATTATGTTAGCCTTCGTATTTTAATATTAACAATACAATATGAAAACATGGTATCTTGAGTTGTTTTCTTGGCTCTTGTTGTGGATTGAACAATTCATTATTATTATTATTTTTAAATTTATATGAAAGAAGAGCCTCTCACGCCGTCTCGACAGTAGATGAAGAATGCTCATCAGAATATGAATCAAAAAAAAAAGTATGCTCAGGGAATATCTTCTTTGCTGTTCCTCGATTTGCTTTCTTCTTTAAAGAGCCCTCAAGTAAAACGGTACTATTACCAGCGTTGAATTTGTTGAACAATTTATAAGCAGTACTGCGCAGAATCATACATCTTTTGGCGGCTACAGGAACTAACATCACTTCTTCCTATAAAATTTTAATAAAGCAGCAAATTTGCTCACGACCATACTTATTCTTCTTTTTTTTTTAATATTCTGAAATAGTAATCCCACTTAATTCAGTCGTAATCTCTTCTAGATTTTCCTCTATGTTCTCTTTCATCTGAATGTCGTGAACAGGACCATCAAAGTCAGTCAGTGTGGTGAGTTCGTCATATTCATAAGCTACTCTCATACCTTCAGTTTCAGTTTCAGGATAATATTCCGTTAATGGCCGATAGTTAGTGCAGTCCATTTTCTACTTTACGGTATATATAATAAATTTTTGTAACTGTCTATTGAAAAATGACTAGTAATAATTTTGAGAAGGTTCACAAAAAAAAAAAATATTCCGTCTTATTTGAAAGTTTGCAATGGTCTCTAATAAAAATGAATTCGCCCATTAAAATTTTGTAATTATCTCGTTTTGGGGTTAAAATACTGTATTAAACTAGTTCCTATTCTTACGATACCAATGACAAGAAGAGAACGGTTTCGTTGCGTGCGATGGCGACTTGGTTGGTTACCTCTTGGTAAACCCCAAGCCTGCCCCTTCCATCCAAACAAACTCTTCACACGCTCACATAGTTTTTCTTGTTTACATATGCACAACCGCCTTCAGATGCCCAAATCTATTGAAGATCCACTCTCTTATCTCTTGAATCTATTACCATCAACATTCCATACGAAGAAAGTGAAAAAATAAATTGATGCCTGGCTCATACGCTGGCCTTCTATATGTGCAATTCTATTTGAGATGGACTATCTAGCTCACTCCCAAATCCCTGAACCCTCTGACCATCTTGGTGAACCCTTTGTCAATCATCTTCTTTCAATACAAAAACGAATTTCTGATAATTAATTATCATCACTTATACATATAATTTAACATTTTCCCTTTTATCCCAAAAGGGTTTTTCTTTCCTTTTTTTTCCATAGCGATCTGACCAGGGCAAAACAGCATATATAAATGCTATCTGCTCATTGGTCATTTTTTAATTTTTTAAATAAAATTCTTTTCTTAATCGTATTAAACTAGTTTACAAGGTAGCTTTTTATACATTAGATTTTATTTTATTTTATTTTTTTTTATTCTGCAAAAGTACAGAGACAAAAGTTTGGATTGGTATGTCAAGCCAAGGTTATAAGAATATCTGTTTGTAAAGTAGACATAAAAGTTAAAAATCAGCTTGTTTTTGGATTGGCATAATTTTCCAAATTTTTAAAGTCATTATTCTAATTCTGAGTCATCTAGCATCATCCCGGTATATTCAATAATTCGGTGTTAATATTCTTTTTTTTATTTTATTTTATTTTATTTTATTTTATTTTCTCTTTTTATTTTCTCTTTTTATTTTTCATTTATTTAAATGTTTAATATAGTACTTTCTCATGATTCTCGTATTATCTCCCCGGGTGAAAGTTCTCCATTTTCCAAGTTCTCATTTAGTTCATGTTACTCATGCCATTGTAAAACTTTTATTGTTCAGCAATACAAATGCGTAAGTTTTTGCTCCCCCCCTTTTTTTTAAAAAAAAAAAAAGTTTATTTATTAATATAAATTTAATAGAAGTGACTACTTTTTTTCTTTTACTGAAAACGCATATGGCATTTCTGTAGTTGCAGATCAGTATGTAATTGAAAATGATTTTTTACCAGCACTAAGGGAGGCACAATGTCCCAACATGGATGTTCCTGAAAGTGTGCATCGTATTTTACAAGTTGATGATGAAGGAGGACAAGGTAACAGTTATTCATATCTATCTATCTATATATATGTATGAGTACAATTAACATACAAAAACATAGAATTAAGTGGAAAACGAATTAGTGAGATTTCTGAACCTTTAGCTGAAGGTCGCTTTTCAATCTTGTATATATCCACATATCAAACAGATTTTGTATTAGTTCGTGAATCAAAATTAAATAAAGTAGTAAATACACTAAGGCAGAATGGATTTGAGGTGGAAGAGGAGGAAAACCAGATTAACGAATTGGATCAACAAGCATCGTTGGATGAAGTAGAGGCTAACATCAATGATTCGTTATTACCTGTAGATCCAACACAATTCTTATTAGAAATAAATGTACTAGACAACGAATTGCAATGTGTAGGATTGAATCGACATTATCGTTCTAGTTGGATTCATACTATTATAAAAATATTATGTTATCCAGATTTAATTCAGGGCGATCATAATTCAAGGTAATGTATCTATAGATGCTATACTATTTAATAGATATGTATTAATATTATATATAGCTTGAATCATAAAAGGTTTTGCTCATTTGTTGCTACAAGTGAATATATATCATTGATTGCAGATACAAGAATTATTGGTACAATCGAAGAAGAAGACGCGATTATGAGAGAACAAGATGGATCTACGTTAAGAATTATTCAAGTTTGTTTCTCAGGGTCTAACATCGAAAGATGTGGTATTGTTCGCTACATTTCAAAACCCTTAGCTATTGATTCTCATGTCAACATGTTATATTTGAGTACATTTATGACTGCAAATATTATTGTGTCTGCAGATGATTTAGAAAGGGCAGTTAATATTCTATCAATTCCTCAACAACCAGATTCACCTGTTATAAATATTTCGAGGACATTATCTTGATAGTTGACTATATGTATCTTATATTCTATAAGTCTTACTACAATTGCTACTATTTTATTGTTTATGAAAATATATCAAGCATACATATACTTTACTAGAAATAAAAATTTTTTTTTATTCATGATATTGAGTTTACCTATTTTAGATATAAATAAAAGCAGTATAATGTTTACTATTACTCTTTATGTTTTGCATTTAAAATAACCCCTTTTTTTTTATTTCAATTGAGTGAAATATAAATCAAATAATATACTATAACGTGTACATATACATATACTAAAATACTATGAAATCTATAATTATCTGAATGTATATACACTTATAAAAGTATAGTTGCCTATAACATGTGTATAAATTGATAGTCATATCTACTTATAAACAGGTACTTGAACTTAACATATTCGTTCAAGTAATATGAGCCATTCATATATACTGCGTCTACATATGATTATATAAATAAGCATTAAAATGTGTCTTTTATATTTCTGATAATAATATACAGTGAATCATTTTATTTTAATAGCCTACGAAACCATTTTTTTTTTTTTTTTTGAAGTTTAGTGCAATAAACTTTTTTTTTTTTTTTTTTTTTTTTTTTTTTTTTTGTTTTTTGTTTTTTGTTTTTTTTTTAGAAGTAATTTTTATAATGTCATTTTGGAAGCCTGGAACGGTTGCTCCTGGTAAATAGACAATTCTTTAATAGCACTTTAAACAATAATGTTAAACTCCCTTATATAATAGAATATAAGGACATTAACGGGGAGTTTTTTTTTTTTCTAAACAGGTAGCTCATTAGATCGAGACACAGAGATTGAAACAGAAGATGTAATTATTGCACAAAATCAATATCGACATTTAACACTAAAACAACAAAGAGAACGATTACCTGTCTTCAAGTTACGACGAGAGCTTTTATATCTTGTTGAGACCTATCAAACCGTTATTGTTGTTGGACAAACAGGCAGTGGCAAAACAACACGTACGTTTTTTTTTTTAAAGAAAATATTGTCCAAACCTGCTCATTTTAATGTTATTATTATTAGAAATCCCTCAATATCTTTTAGAGGCAGGATGGGCAACTAATGGAAAGAAAATAGCTTGTACACAGGTACTGTATTTGCAAATAAAAATAGAGTACGCTAACCCAGACTCATTCCTTTTTTTTTTACATGAAGCCTCGACGAATTGCAGCAACATCAGTAGCACTGCGTGTATCCGAAGAAATGAATTGTAGTTTGGGTGCAGAAGTAGGCTATCTAATTCGATTTGACGATCAAACAAGTGATAGGACAAAGATCAAATACATGACTGATGGCATGTTGTTTCGTGAAACAATGATTGATCCTCTTCTCAGCGACTATAATATCATTATGATTGATGAAGCACATGAACGAAGCCTCTACACAGACATATTACTTGGAGTGATTAAAAAGTAATAATTCATACATCATGTGTAATGTAAACTAATCGATAAAATAATAATAGGATTCAAAAGAAAAGAAAAGATCTGAAAGTGATTATTTCTTCAGCCACTTTGGACGCTCAACAATTTTATAACTTTTTTAATACAAAAGATAGCCCTGCAACCATTATGTCATTAGAAGGAAGAATGTTCCCTGTTGATATTTTGTATTTAGACAAACCAGTTTCAAATTATATTGAAAAATGTATACAAACTGTATTTGATATCCATATGAAAGAGCCTTTAGGAGATATTTTAGTGTTTATGACAGGACGAGAAGAGATAGATACAGTAGTTGGAGAGATATATGAACGAGGAAAGACGTAAATATTTCATATTTGCTACATGTGTATGTATTGAAGCTAATAACATCTATATTCTTAAAATTGTAGATTACCTAAAGATAGTCTGTCTATTATGCCTTTACCTATGTATGCTGGATTAACCATAGAAGAGCAATCCCAGGTATTTGAGCCAACACCTAAATATACTCGAAAAGTAATTGTGTCAACAAATATTGCTGAAGCATCAGTCACATTAGAGGGTGTAGTCTATGTGATCGATACAGGATTTGTTAAAATAAAGGCGTACAATCCTAAAACAGGTATGGAAGCCCTTGTAGTAACACCTGTTTCAAAAGCATCTGCATTACAAAGAGCAGGACGTGCGGGTCGTGTAAGACCAGGAAAAGCATTTAGATTATATACAGAAGAAACTTATGAATCATTAAGAGATACTAGCATACCTGAAATTCAAAGGTAAAAAAAAAATGTTTATATATAAATATGTATTTATATAATATTTTGTTTACTTAAAAAAATGGTCTTTAGGAGTAATTTAGCTCCAGTTATTTTGCAATTAAAGGCTTTAGGAATCGATAATGTCCTTCGTTTTGAATTTATTACACCTCCACCTGCAGAATTGATGACGAGAGCTCTTGAACTTCTTTACTCACTGCAGGCCCTAGATGATGTTGGTAGACTAACCATTCCAGTTGGCCTTCAATTAGCAGAAATACCACTTGACCCTATGCTAGGAAAAATGTTATTAGCCTCAAAAGAATTTGGATGCAGCCATGAAATTGTTACAATTGCTGCTATGGTCTCTGTCCAAAATATTTTTTTACAACCTGCCAAGGTTCCAAAAGATGTTTTAAATGAAGTGCGACGTAAGTTTTGGGTTGAAGAAGGAGATACTCTATCACTCATTAATGTTTATAATGCCTTTGTCAATAAGGGCAATAAATCAGCAAAATGGTGTCATGAACGCTTTTTAAACTTTAAAGCTCTTTCTCGTGCCCTCACTATTCGTTTACAACTTATCAAGTATTTGAAAAGATTTGATGTGCCGTTAGTTAGTGCCATGACTAAATATCCTCGTACAGAGGAAGGCAGACTAGCGGCTAGCCGTGACGTTCGCAAATGTATAACAAGTGGCTATTTCTCTCAAGCTGCTATTGCACAGCCTGATGGTCGCTTTAGGACCATTCGTGATGGTACATTTTTAAGTATTCATCCAAACTCGGTCTTATTTAATCGTAATCCTCAATGTGTTGTGTTCCATCAAGTAGTGGAAACAACACAGGCTTTTATGAGAGATATAACAGTGATTGAGCCAGAATGGCTAGCTGAATTAGCACCTCATTTTTATGAATATAAAAAAACATAATTTTTTTTATTTTTATTTTTTATTATTTTTATTTTTTTCTAATATTTGGTCTTTGTTGCTGATAATGTCTGCTTATAGGGGGAGGAGGTCTATAATTCCTTTGTTGATATTGTTGTTGTTGTTGTAGTGGTTGCTGCTGGTGATACCTTTGTTTATTATGCATAAAATTTCCTCTATTGTTTATTAATGGATTAGGAGGAGGAGGTCTAAAACCTCCATCATAATGATATCGCTGCTGCTGCTGTTGTTGTTGTTGTTGTTGTTGAAATTGTAGCTGTTGTGGTAATAAAGGTTGATTTTGTCTTATAGATTGTGGCGGTAGTGGTCTAAAGGGTGGTAATGGCATATTAGCAGGTCTAAAAGGGGGTGGTTGATTGTTATCAGGAAGCGGCATATTAGCAGGTCTAAATGGGGGTGGTTCTGTAACTTTAATTGGTTGATTATGAGGTCTGAATGGAGGGGGCTCAATCAATTCATTTGACATTTGACTACTGCTACTTTCTTCTTCATGATGCTGACTTGAATCGAATTTATCTGCTGTTAATTCACCAGGTCTTGGCCGAGTCCAAAAACGAGTTGTATGATCATTAGATCCACTGACAAGAATGTGACCAACAGGATGCCAGTCTAAAGACCAAATATTAGATTCATGAGCTGTCTCTTGTTCTCCTATAGGGTCATCTTGACCTGTCATCCAGAACATAAGTGCACCATCTGAACCACCAGTGGCTAATAATCTTTCATGCTGAGGATGCCATTTGGCAGCTAATGAAAATAAATGTTAGAAAAAAAAAATACAAATTGATTTATAAAATATATTGAATCATCGCTTAATTTACAGCAAATTTCTTTTTTATGTCCTCGAAATACTTGTAATTCTTTCATTGTTCGAATATCATACACTTTAACAAGTTGATCTCTACCTGCCGTCACTAACCAGTTACCATTTTGATTCCATTGTAATGCTAATACTGTGTTCTTATGTCCATGCCTATTCATGTAAATAATTAGACTTATTATATATATTTGAATTGATTTAAATGTATATATAACAACTTTACAGTGTTGTAATATTTTTGGCTGTTTTAGGATCCCATAACTTGATCAAATTATCTTTACTTCCCGAAGCTAATAATGCTTTATAAGGGTGCCAATCGATACACTTTACATCCCAACCATGTCCTGTTAACTGTTTTTCCTCTGTGCCCGTGTTAAAATCCCAAATTTTGATAAGTGAGTCATCTGAGCAAGTGGCAAATCTTGTATCAGATGGCGCAAATGTCAGGTCTCGAATTGCTTCCTTATGTCCTTGAAACATCTTGAGATTGCTCATATTGGATTGCCAGTATTTAATAATACCACTATGATCACCAGTCACCATCCAGTTATCGTTGTGAGACCAGTTCATAGCACGTACAGCTGAGTCATGAGCTTGTAGAATAGTTTCAAAATTGAAGGTAAGACCGTTCCATAGGGTAAATTCACCACTGGAGGAGCCAGTGATCAATCGACGACCCTCTGGTGTCCACTATAACAATAAATAAATAAACAAGGATGTTATAGTTGATATAATTTAGACACTTACTCGAACAACATTGACAGGAAATCTTATCTTATTAGTTGATGTATGAATGAATTTTGTTGTAACCGCATTGACAGGATTATCAAGATATGCTGCAGGAGGTAATAACTTCAAAAAAAAAGACAGAAAAAGATTAATTATTTCATTCATTTATTCATTTAAAAAAAAACTTACATCAATAATGAAGTTTGAATCAGGTCTTAAAAATCGAGTGTCTCTTCTATCACGGATCCATACACGTTCCTAAATCAATTTTTGGTTTTGGTTTTTGTTTTGGTTTTTTTTTTTGGTTTTTTTTGTTTTGTTTTATTTTGTTTTTAAATGAATAAAGCAAATTGAGCAAGAAAATGTAAATGTAACAAGAAAAAAAATAAAATAAAAGAGGGTATTAAAAAAAGAATAAAAAAAAATCAAGTTTATTATACATATAGTTTCTTTTAATAAGTAATGTTTTAGGGAAGTAAATTGTATTTTGATTCTAACCTGCATCCATTTTGCAAGACTATGATTATAATCAACAGTTCTTCGTTGAATTGCTTTTCTCATTCGTTTACCGTCAAATACCATTTTTGAAAATGGTATATTTCCGCCCATAGGTCGACGCATAGGTCCACCACCTGGATTATTTCCTCCTGAATGATCGTCTTCCCATCTATTATGTGTTGACGCAATTTCCATTTTATATAATAAACTAAACAGAAAAAAAAAATAAAATAAATAGAAAAAAAAAAATCTGAATTGTAAAAAAAAAAGGAAATTGAATATAAACTACATACACTACTTCAATATTAAATTTTTATAATTTTATTTTACTCCATTGGAGTCGTAGGTCTATTATTAGTGGAAGATATTATATTTTTTAATTGTTTAACACCACCTTGAAGTGATAGATTTTCAGAACCAATTAAAGATTGATGAACATGTTCAATTGATTTGAAATATTTAACAGTCTATCATGATATGAATTAAAAAAGAATACAACAAAAAAAAAATTATTAAATTTACCTTGACATGTAATTCAAGAGTAGCATCTTCATCGCATACAATTAAGCCCTTAGGATGCATTTGAATAGCAGACACAGTCCACATATGATTTACTCCTTCTTCAATACATTTAGCCAATGCAATAGCCTATGATAAAGTTAGAAATACAATAAATTACAATTTTTTTTTTTTTTTTTTTTTTTTTACCTTGTGTGCTCCTGTAATTATCACAAGTACCTCACGAGCATCCATCACTGTCGCCACACCTACTGTTAATGCTAACTTGGGTACTTTAGCTACATCTCCATCAAAAAATCTTGAGTTTGCAATAATTGTTTCATAAGCTAACGTCTTGACTCTCGTCCTACTCGTCAAACTTGAACCGGGTTCATTAAAGGCAATGTGACCGTCTGGACCGATACCACTCAAAAATAATTCAATGCCACCCACACGTGCAATCTCGGTCTCAAACTTTTTACATTCTTCGTCCAAGTCAGGTGCGTTACCGTCCAAGATATGAACATTTTCGGGCTTTATATCAACATGCATAAAGAGATGTTCCCACATGAAGGAATGATAGGATTCAGGATGATCCCTCGGAAGGCCAACGTACTCGTCCATATTGAACGTAACTACGTTTTGAAAAGAGAGTTTACCAGACTTACAGAGGGAGACAAGACGTTTATAGACGCCAATCGGTGATGATCCTGTTGGAAGACCGAGAACGAAAGGTCGTTCTGAAGTAGGTTCAAACTGTCTTATACGTTCTTTGATATAGTTAGCTATATTTATATATTTATTTAGTCGAATAGGATAAGATAAATTTATTGAAGAATCTTCATTCTACCAACAAATTCAGATACTTCATCATAGTCTTCACGAATAATTAATCTCATTTCTGTAGTTTAAAGTAAAAGAGAAAGAAAAAGAAAAAGAGAAACATTTAAACAAAAATAAATAACAATGATAAAAAAAATAAAAGGAGAAACTTTTTTTTTTTATTATTAAAATTTATCCATGAAATAAATAAATAAATAAATCACATCCTTCTTCCAAAGCAAATTATTGTTTCGTATACATGTTATCCAGAAGAAGAAATCGAAAATAATTATAGCGTTTCAAACTTGATGTATGCATGTGTCATATAATATGACATAATGACCTTTCTTACATAATTATTAGTTTTTTTTTTTTTATATACAGTCATCAAGTCACAAACTGTAGTTTATCCATTGTTTCAAATTCTCAAAAAAAAAAAAAAATTAATGTCTTCATCATCAGAAAATAACATCCCAATTGATATTCAACAATATGAAAAACTTCAAGAAACATCTACAAGATTATCAAAACAGTTTACAGATCATTTGAATCAAGTTGAAAAAACAATGAAAAAGGTAGCTTGTTTTATATATTAAATTATTTATAAAAATTAAAATGTGTTTCTCTCTCTTTCTCTTTTCTTTTTCGTAGATGTCTAAATCTACATCAGAATCAGGGAAAGTTTATAAAACGTCATTGATTAATTTGACAAAAGCATTGAATGAAAGCATGCAATTGAATTTATCTTTGATTACAGATTGTGATGAATTAGACAAAGAATTAGCACATTTATCTATACTAAGTAATCAAATGTAAGTACATTTAAACAATTTATTCATAATTTAACTCCTTTTAAATAGTAAATTAGTAAACAAAGCATTAGATGAATTACAAAAAGCATTACAAATTTGATTTATACCAATTTTTTTTTATTATTATTAATAAAATATACATGTATGTTTGCGTACGAAATTACTTACGTTTCATTGGAGACATGGCTGGATTATATCCAGCAGCAGATGGATTATAGGGTTTAGACGTACTACATTTAAGACATTGATGTCTTGTAGCAAAATTATGTGAATTACAAGAAGGACTAATAAAAAAAAAAAAATAAGGATTAAATTTCTAATTGATAAATGCTAGACAAATGCATGTTACTTACCACATCCAATCTCCTGCTCTGAAGGGTGGTCCACTATTATTAGATGGTGGTACTTGATGTGATGTTGCACTATAAGAATACCCTCCTCCACTATACGAGTACCCTCCTACACCTACACCCGCATATCCTCCACTAGTATATTGTCCGTATCCACCACTATTATACCCATAACCATTATTACCACTACTATTATTAGATTGTCCACCATTATACCCATAACCACCACTGCCACTTCCACTTCCGCCATAGCCGCCGCCGCCGCCGCCGCCACTACTATTACTACTACTATTATTGCCATTATTAGTACTAGTATTACTTCCTGAATATCCAGACACATTATGATAATTCGTCGTTACTCCTTGCGGTGGTGTATTTTGCTCAGAGGAAGAAGAATAATTGTTATATTGTGGTTGTTGATTGGGATTAGGTGTATGACATTTAAAACAAGTACTACGAGAAGCAAAGTTTTGAAATCCACATGCTGTATTAGGGCAATACCAATCACCAGGTCTAAAGGTAATAGGATGATGGGGTCGTCCATAATAAGGGCCTCCACTACCATGATAGTGATGTCCTGAGGAAGGGGGTGGTGTATTCACAAGCTTTTTATTCCCTTTAAATATCTTGGATGGTTTAGGCGCTCCACATTTTTTACATTGTATACGTGATGAATAATTATGAAAGTTACAGCTAGGACACATCCAATCACCAATGACAAACGTTTGAGCAGGTGGTCCCATACCTGCCTGTGGTCCCGGGTTAGGGTTTTCTATATTACATTTGAAACAATAAAGACGAGAGGCAAAGTTATGAAAGCCACAATTGGAACAATTCCAGTCTCCAGGACGTAATTGTCGACTCTTTGCTTGTAAGGGGAAAGGAACCAACATGTTACCTGCTGCATCAATGACACGAGAGGAACTGGGACAGACTTCGATTGGACGATCGCCCAAACAACGTCCATTCAAGGTGAGTGCACGCATAGCATCATCATGCTGTTGAAAGACAACAAATCCAGAAATGCTAGGTTTAGCATTATCTGTAGGCTGAATCATCCACATGGTCGTGGGTCGAAGTCCATTCGAAGAAAACCAAGCTTCTAATTCACCTTGTGTTACTTCAAATGGTAAACCTGCCAAATGAATTACCCGTGATTCTTCCTTTTTAAATTGCTTCAAATCAGCCTCAGTATCAATTGGATGAACAAAGACATCATTGTGGTGAAAACTTAAAAAGTAACGTAAAATGTTAACAGTCGTTAAGGCATTGTTAAGGCCAACTGTGTAATCTGTAACACGGGATAAGTCAAAGATTTCACAAAGATCACGTACTGAGGTCGATCTGAGAGAAACCTCAGGATGATGTACTTGCCAACGTTGAATTTCCTGTTTAAGATCAAACATACGACAATAGGCAAGATAGTTGGGCAAAGTGATATTTTTATCACGAGATTCTCGAGGTAATTGAATACGAAGTGCCCAACCTCCATGAGTTACAAAACAAAAAGATTTTTTGGGCGTCTCAATTTCTTGTTGAATATATTCATCAAACTTAGTAATAGCATCTTTAAGAGTGCCAGCCGTTTCTAAAACACTTGACTTGATACCTGTTATTTCACTGCAAAAGGGTGTGAGAGGAGTACGTTCAGGTTTGACATAAATTTGTTGTTTATGAAGGATTTCCATATTGGACGCATCAACTACTACAAATGAAATTTCTATAAATGATCAAGATGGAAGAATTAGTATATATGGTTATTGAAAATGGCTATTTTTTTTTTTACCAATAATCTCTGAATTTTCTTTTGTTACTTGTACTGCAGCAGGATTAGTAAGATTTTCATCACAAGTAGCTTCTATATGAAGAATAATTAAGCGATCAAAGGGAACAACAGTTGTTAATGCATTTTCAGATTTTTTAACAGTTTGCTCAGTGCTTTCTACTTTTAATTCTTGTTGCTCTTCCTTTTTTATTTCATCTGCTACATCTTTATTTTCGTTTTGATCATTTGGTGTTGCAGTCGCTGTTGTTGTCGTTGTTATCGTTGTTGTTTCTAATAGAGGTTTCTTTAAAGGAGTTTCTTCCTGCTTTATTTCTGTTGAATCTTCAGCTTTACGTTTACGGTCACCTTCTAACTGAGAATCCATGTTTTCATTAATACGTCGAATATTAGCTAAGGGAAAAAAAAAAGAAAAAAAAAAAAAAACTAGAATGAAGAGAAATTAAATAAGCCACTTACAATCTACGTAATCGGAAAGCTCGTCCAATTAGAAAGAAGTGCTACTTTTCTTTAATAATTTTGGTAAATGACTTCTATTGCTGTTGGGAAAAGTATACTATCAACAATCAAAAAAATGATTAAGGACCCACTTGTATGGATTGACTGTGAGGTATTGTCTATCTACTCAAAGCGAAACAATACAAAAAGTTTATCTTTCTTTCTTATATAAATATATGTAAAATAGATGACAGGTCTCGATATTCAAAAAGATCATTTAATTGAAATTGCAGTGTTAATCACTGATGGTGATCTTAATATTGTCGCTAAAGTAAGTGAATACTTTGTTTTCTTTTTCTTTTACCTTTTTTTTTTTTATTAACGTAAAAAAAAAAAGGGACCAGAGTTGGTTATTCATCAGCCACGTGAAGTAATGGATAACATGAATGGTAAAATAACAAAAGACATACCAAGAAATAAAATTAATTATTTGTCTTTAAATAGCCTGGTGTATTGAGCATCATGGTGCTGTAAAGTATAAAAATAAATAATAACTGTATTTATTTATTTATTTACTTTATTTTATATATAGTCTGGCTTAACTCAACAAGTCTTGGACTCGAAAATAACAGTTGAAGAGGCAGAAAGCCAAGTTTGCGACTTTTTAAAACAACATATTCCAGCTGGAGTTGCACCTTTAGCAGGTAATTCAGTTCATGCTGATAAGAGATTTTTATCCAAGGAAATGCCTCGCCTTGTCGATTATTTACATTACCGTATTGTTGGTAAGTATGTGATTTGTGTATGTATGTGTAAGATTACTTACATATATGTATATATTTGAGGTAGACGTTAGTACTGTTAAGGAATTAGCAAAGAGATGGTATCCCAAGACAGCAGCTGGAGTTGTAAAGAAAGCAGGACATAGAGCTATGGATGATATTATTGAAAGCATCGAAGAGCTCAAGTATTATAAAGAGCATATCTTTATTGAAAAAGAATAAAAATATGATTATACTTTTTTTTTTCCTCCTAACAAGGTGTGAAGTTTATTGTTAATGTCAGCATAGTCTACTAAATCACAATAAATAAATATGAGTTCAGTTTATAATAAACAAACTAATACTGTACTTGCCCCGAATATATTAAAGAAAGTATAATAGTTTATATGTGCATCTACATCTTGGTTGCTGTAAAGTAAACATGACCAGCCAGCGAAAGAGAAGAGAAGAAGAAGAGAAAAATTGTTTTTCATTTAGGTCTAAAGTTATGGTTCTTCCTTATGTGAAATGAATAATGATTCACTATATTTCGTCTACTAGTATTTTATTTTTCTCTTTTTGAAACAAAAGCCATATAAATCAACTGAGACAAACAAAAGTAATTAGATTGGCACAACTTAGTATTGAGTGGGAAAAACCAATAGTTATTGTAAATTATATTAAAATAGAAAAAAGCAGGGGAGGAAGGAAAGCTATAAAGTTTATGTTTCTTCTGTTTTAACAAATGTTAATGTTTTACCATTTATTATTAATTTTAGTATTTTGGAATGGGGCAGCAACTAAGGTTGTAGTAGTCGTAGTAGTAGTTGCGCAATATAAAATATTACATGCTAATGGAAATAAGTTCATTTTTGTATAATAAGAACTATTTTATTTTGGTGAACCACCTATAAATTTACTAAAATATAAGGTTAAAGCCTTTTTTTTTTCCTTCCTATTTATTTGTCTCTGTAATATATTATATCTCCTATATTATACTGTACATAAATTCATTACTCTGTTTTTTTCTATCTTCTTGTTTAAATGTAATATCCAGTGTTTTATATCTACATCAATATAGAAATAGGCTTATTGTTATACTTACTATAAGAAGTATAAATTAAGATTAAGTTCTAAAATGTATCATGGTTTGTAACCTTAACGACCCTTGAAAACATTTGTAGTACACACTAATATGTGGATATATACACATATTTATATATTTGTATATTATTGTTATACAATAAAGCAACTCTATTGAGGTGAAACAATGTACGACATGTCATGTAAGTAGGTAGGTAGGTAAATTCTGATTTTATTACAAATCAAAATAAACAAATAAAATAAAATAAATAATAATAATAATAATAAAACATGATATAATAAGAGGCACTGCCTCTAAAGTGTAAAAGGAAAAGAAAAAAAAATATTATATAAAGGGTAAAAGTTAAAATTGTATATATATATATATATATATATATAACTACTAGTCATGTATACTAAACCAAACGGAATTGTAAAGCGGAAAAATAGACATATACATACATATATGTTTTACATATAATTAGGACCTTTCTCATCTTCTTTAATATAATCATGTTTGATTTCAGCTGCGGCTGTATTTGTAGCAGGTTTATCATGAACAGGCATAATACCACTCAAACGGCCAGAGAAGTTACTAGGGAATCGACGAGAAGTTGGACGTTGATGTGAACCATATTCAAGCTGAGATGGAGTACCTTGTTGTTTCTCGTCATACATGGAAGTGGAACCAATATGGGAAGCAATCGATTTCGCATCCTCTTGAACTTCTTCTGTAGCAAATAAAACTTCAATCTCTTCTAAAGATTTACCCTTTGTCTCAGGATACCAAAGATAGATTGGAATTAAAAAGATGACATTCAGGATACCAAACATTAAGAAGGTCCAATATTTTGCATATTCAAATAGAACGGGAGCAATTTCTGCCACAACAAAGTTGCCAAGCCAGTTGGCAGCTGTGGACATTGAATTGCCTTTCGCACGAAGACCTGTTGAGAAAATTTCAGATGGATAAAGCCAAGCAAGACCTAACCATGCAGCACCAAAGACAAAGTTATAGAGCATTACAAATGCAATGACAGCACTCGAGGCCTGTGGGTTCCCATTTGATTCTACCAGATATTGACAACCACCTACAATCAAAAGAGTAATCGCTTGGCCAATTAAACCAGCATACATCAACCAACGACGACCGAGTCGTTCGACTGTAAAGACAGCAGTGACAGCACCAATAAAGTAAACAATAGAATCGACACCTGCCATCAACATGGCACGTTCTGTTGTCATACCAGCTTGTTTAAAGACATCCGTCAAATAGTAACTGATCACATTAATACCACCAAATTGCTGAATCAATTGACCACCCATGCCCAGAAAGACTCTGTAACGGTTATTCATCTTACCCTTCTTAAAGAGTTCTTTATAACTAGAGACGCCCTCACGACGTTCTAATTCGATACCATCACGAATCTCTTCCCATTCAGCGATACAACGAGGATGACTGGTATCACAATCAGACCAAAGACGAGCCAAGATCACTTTACATTCTTCTTCATGACCATGAGCCTGTAACCAACGAGGAGATTCAGGTAAAATAAATGAAGCAGTACCCAAGACAATAGCAAATACCATTTGAAAGGCTAAAGGGAAACGCCAAGCGAAGTCACCTTTTACAAAATAAAGACCGTATTCAAGCCAGTAGGCAATACCAACACCCACAGTTAATAAAGAGGCTTCAAACGCAACATGCGCACCACGAGATTTAGGAGGAGAGAGTTCAGCCTGATAGACAGGAATTGTTGCCGTATTCATACCATTACCAATACCTGTAATGATACGAGCCACGATCATCATACCAGAATTTACTGCTGCTGTTTGAAGGATTGCACCTATGCAAAGAATAACGCAACCAACACGAATTGTTTTACGACGACCTAACCAATCACCCACACGACCTGTTGATAAAGCACCTGCCATACAACCAATTTCATAAAGGGCAACAATTGCACCCATTAGACCTGAATTAGGATTACCCATTGTATTTACAAATAATTCATTTGCTACAACACCGGACATGACACCCTATTTTATATATTCAGTTTATATATGAGATTCAACTTTATACATATCTATTTTTTTTTTCGTTTCTTTCTTACCTGATCATAACCGAACAGTAAGAAACCAACAGCAGCTAATAATGTAGATGCTCGAAATAAAGCTGCTCCTTTTAATGTTAACAAACCCATAATAATTTTTTTTCCTTTTCTTTTTTTTAATAAAAATATATGTGTATAAAGGAAGAAAAATAAGGGATCAATAATAAAATTTAGATGAATCTTCTATATAGAATAAAAAACAATAAGAAACAAATTTCCCCACAATTTAAATCATAATCTGCATTTATATATTTGTTTAAGATTTGTAAATCGGAGTTGTCCTTATTTTAGTGTCCATGTATACTTTTTTTTTTAAAAAAAAAAAAAAAAATAAGTTCAATTTAACGTGTGACGTGCATCACATATACATACTAAACTACTGAGTTTTATGTCTATTTTATTCCACTAGCGTATTCCGTTGAAATGAAAAAAAAAAAATACAGCCATCTTTATTAAAAGTATAATAAGGCTGGGATTATCTGGGAAATGACGTGATTGGATAATTTAAACGTCATAGAATTAAAATTCCGTTAACAAGTTCTACGTTTCTTTTAAAGGAAAAAGCTATAAACTAAATAGTCATACAGATATACATTAATAATCCTATTTACTTTTTTTTTTTTGTTAATATTATGTAAACTATTGGTTAGCACATATTACTATCATTTAATTTTAAAAGGAAAATTGTGGAGATGATAAGGAAAAAGGGCAAGTAAGTGTGGGGGGAATACAGGGTCTAAAAGAAAAAAAAAATGATGTTATTTCAAGAAATTAGTTTGATCCACAAAGTACTAGTCTAAACCTTTTTTTTTTATAAAACAAGAAGCATTATTATTATTAGATATGATATGTCAGATTCTATAATAGCAAATTAAGCTTTTTATATATTATAGTCTTAATCAGAATAATAATTTCGTCTATTTTGACTAATCAATAGTACAGGTGAATCTTTAAATCTTGGTCTTTCTTCACTATTATTTAAATAATACATTCAATTAAGTGAATTTTCTTTCAGATTGGCAAAGAAATAACTAGTGATCTTAATAAAATTGTTCGATCAAGATGCCTCCTTTTTTTTTTTTTTTTTTGTTGGGTTGACGCTGCTGAGATAAGGGCTGCTTCTAGTCAGAGTAGGTTGCAAGATTCAAGATTCAGAATGGATGTCGAGGATTTATTCCTTCAAAGAAAATAAAATCAAAGCTCTAGTAAAAACAATGTATAATATTTTAAATTCTTAGAGTGGCTATGGGAAATTATAACAAGCAGTAGTCATTCTAGACAAAAAGTTTCCTTCAGTTATCAAAAGATAATATTTCTTTCTTTCTTTTTATCTTTTACTATTGACTAAAATTGTTCAATAGAATTCAGCTTAGGTGAAAAAACGAGACAAACACATTACTTTATAACCTCTGCTCTTGATGATGATTGCGTTCACTTTATGAATTAGATCATTTTTTTTATTATCAAGTAGCTTCCCCTTGACATTTTATACCTATCCATCATAGAAGGATACTCTATTGATAAACCGAACAGTTGTTGTATTATTTACTGACTGTTACTGGGCTTAAGTAATATCAACTAGATTATTACTCACTACAGCCAATTACTCGTCATTATTAATCTCAGTTATTATTATTATTATTATTATTATTCACCTTGACCTTTCTCTTTTTCTTTAGCAGCTTTAGGATATATTTTCAAAATTGCATAAGAGAGACCAAAAAAGTGAATTACAGGTGAGAGACTGAATGAATTTTTTTCATACTTATTTTGTTGTTATCATTAATAATAGCAAATATGTCTGCCAATATGATTGTTCTATCATATATATACATATATAAAATCATTCTATCCTCTGAGGAACTTTTAACATTAGTCTCTTCAATGGATTGTATCTGGAATATAGCTGATATAATTCTTCTGTAAATTATTCGAATATGTACTAATAATTAAAAAAAAAAAAAAAAAGATCATCGTAACCGCCGACACTCATCTTTACGATTTGTTAACTTAATGGAGAGCATGTTGTATGGTTTAAGATGATTAAGAAGGCAAAGTAAATTGTGAGACACAGGCACAAGTTAGAATGATTTTTATTATCTACTCCTTTTGTACAAACTATCTGGCTATTTATACTTTTTCTTATGGCTATAGAGGATATAATGTATAAATACTTTATTTCCTTGGACATTGACCTCTTTATGATATTATCAACAGTCATGATCTAGTATTATATTTAATTTCATTTGGGATATTTTACATTCAATAATTACATAATTTATGTATAGCATGATGATATTCTTTATACGAACATTATTATGTAATGAATATTTAATATGTTATGTACAAATACAACAGAATATGTATAGGGTTTTAGTATGCTTTGGATGATGAAAAAGACTAAGATGACAAACAAAGCATTTGAAGAATATGCAAACTTGTGTATTGTTGACTCTCTGTAAGTTGAATAGCCAAGAAGATTTAATATTTATTTATTTTTTTTAAAAAACAAAAAACAAAATATATATACATATATGTTGTAGAGTTAAAGGATTTAGAGTATACTATAACAAAGATACAGTATTAGAAACCTCTCATCTTGGAATGTTTGAGAGATTACTGGATGACCCTGTTGATATACGAATCCATCAGCAAAGTAAAAATCTTCGTATTAATGTCTGTATTAGCAATGAAACTAATCTCCTTTTGGGCAACACAAATACTCGCACCAACTATTTCAATTTTGTCGAAAGATATCACAGCTATTTTTGTTTTGATATAAAGTTGGTTCATTAGCTATACTGAAAAAAAAAACACAATTTGATACGATTAGATCAATTTCGTTTTTCGTTGATTCATATTTTACAATTGGAAGAAAAAAAAGTGCTCTATTGATAACAACAACAATGTACTTCTCGTACTGTCAAAAGAAGAAAAAAAAAATAGGGACTTGTGGAAGTAAGTTATGATATCGTTTATCACCATCTAACAGATATTGTGGAGCATGTACAGGTACACTTTTCCCCCCTCCTCCCCTCCCTTTCCTTAATCCAAAGACTCCAAAAGAAAATTGGGCTGTATTCACGAATCAAAAATAAATAAATTGTACCCTTCCCATTGTCAAAAAATTTATTTATATTCACCTTTTATTCATCTTTGACTGGAAACGACCATTGCTGTTAAACAAAATCTTTTTTAATAACCGATCACTATATTGACTGTGTATAAAAAGCCTTACTTTGTACAACTGAATATTTACTCCTATAACAACAACATTATTTTATTTTATTTATTTACTTATTTCTTCTACTTTCCTATTGTTTACAATGAATAAAGAACCTCAACATTTCGTAATAAGAATATTAAGTCTAACTGTAAGAAAAAAAAAAGAAAAAGAAAATTGATGACTAAGATGACGATAATATAGTATAGATAACATTTTCTTCTCTCTCTCTCTCTTTCCCTTTATGTATAGAAAAGAAGATGTTTAGAATCAAAATATACAAAGATTTTTACACTTCTTGTTATATTATCAACATTACTATGCATCATACTAGAAGCTGTCATTGTATTTTCACATATCCAAGTTTATCAACAATTACTTGTTAATAAAGCAATACAAGATATACCGAGTAATGCAGTTGATCCAGATAAAAAGATAGCTTCAAATGATCCCTCTGCCAAATTATTATTGATTTCTTTAGGCTTAAGAAGACTCAAAAATGAAAATATCTTTTTTATTTTATTTTCTTTATTTCAACTTGTATTAGGATTTGATGCAGTAAGATGAAGAAATATATAATAAAAAAAAAAATGATAATAATAATAATGGGGCTGATGCTAAAAAAAAAAAAAAAAAAAAAAAAAAAAAAAAAAATCAAGATTCTTAGACAAAATGTAATTCAATTGATAGCACATACAGTAGATCAAGTTTTATTAGTCGTATTTGCAGCAATTCAAGTAGGAGGAACGATTCGCAAGTAAAGACATATTATTTTTTTTTATATATTTAAAAGTTTACAAGTTTAATATTCATATTTTATTTTAGACAATTGAATGTAAAAGAAGATATTCCACCACCTGAAAATCCTCAAATAACTTGGAATTTTAACTTTACTTTAAGTCATGAAATTGGGCTCGTTTCAGTCATGTTTATATTCTCTTTTCTATTCATTTATATATGTTACAAGTTATATAAACAATTTGACTGGAATATTTATAAAAGAATTGGTGCAGATATTAAACTACAAGGTATTTAGCTTTTTTTATTATTTCATGCTTATAATGACTTTTTTTTTTTTAATTATAGCTCGATTTAGACGAGCAGAGCTTTATTTTTTAAATTTAAAATTGGATGCCTTTTTCCATTTTGTCCTTTGTGTATTTTATACAGTAGTCATGACTCAAGAAAAATATTATACACTCTGGGGAGTCGCGGATCGTAAATTTATCGGTTATATCATTCATATCATTTTAACTATCATCTTGATCCCTGGATTATTACTAGCTCGTCATGGAATTCTCACTGAAAATAAGAAAATTATTCATGTATTTCTTGTAACACAATTTATTATGGGCTTGGATTTTATTTTAATCTTAATTGACAGTGCTGGCTCTTGGGTCTTTTGGATATTAGCAGGTAAAAAGAAGAAAAAAAAAAGAAAAGGAAAAGGAGTCAATGACTAATGACAGGATATTTTTAGTTTGTTTAGCTATTAGTTTATGTATTGTAAATAGATGCATGCTTTTCATTTTAAACATGAAATAATAATTTTTTTTTTTTTACAAGTCTACACTAGTTTTATCCATTCAAGTATCAAAGAATTTTGGAAAAGGCTTAAAACCATACAGTAAGAGATCAAGATATGATATAACTCAAACTAAAACTCATATTAAATATAGTGTATCGATTATTTATTGAAGAAAATGATAATAACTCGACTTCTTCTAATAACAAGGAATCATTATTAAAAGAGGATGACTGGTTAATCGATGAAGAATAATTATATTACTACTAATAAATTTGATCTATTAAGCTTAAAGACCATTATTCCATTTTTGAATTATTGTTGTGATTATAACAATACATGTATTTAAAAAAAATAGAAATGACCATGGAATACGCATCAATTTTATTATGCTGTATTACTCTAATCAGGTACAAAGAAAAAAAAAAGAAAAGGCAATAAAACCCTTTTTTAGGAGTCAAGAAAAAAAAAAGGGCAGAAGAAAAGAAGAAATCAGGAATACCACCAAGAAACCAATGAAGGACTCGACTATGCTCATTGTGGTTCTTTGGTAACCATAGTATTGGATCCTGCTCCAAAGAAGGATGGGCAAGCTGGGATTCATTTGGAACTGATATTATTGCAAAGGCAATCAAAACTATCTTGTAAGAATTGTTGACGAAACTGCTTAAAAAGTACGATAACTTTGGATATTTAATACTGGAATACAAAAACCCCAGAGGGGGGGAGGCGCTTTGTGAATTTATACCTGTGTGAATGATTGGAAAAGTTCTGAAAATGTGGCAATAGATGTTATAATAAAGCGTCCTTCAGGTAGCACCACCAGTGAGCGAGCGAAGGAGAAATTTTACTTGTAGAATTGAAACTCGATTTGTTTGTCATTGATGGCTGCTGAACAAGATGAAGCATCACGCTGGATGAGGTCCGGGATATGCCACCGAATATACAGCAAACACAATTACTTTGACAGGATTCCATTTTTTCTTGATATGACTGTTATTCAAAAATACTACTAATAGCAAGCCCCTATTCCAATTGAGATTGTACCATTTAAATGTAGAAGCGCATAGAAAGTAAGCGATTAAACCCTTTGAAAATTGACACCAATAGTAGCGATTTGGTTCATAGCTTTTGTTGCCCTGTTATAGATTCTGTTGAATTGGTATTAAAGTATGAAGAAAACCACTCGGTTTGATTAAAGTACCAATGTATGAAAAGAAATCTACTTGGAGTAAAGATGCACCATATAATTTGTAAATTTGATCATCAATTAAAGGAGTTACAAAAAACACACTTAAGAAGGCTCCATCAATAGCTTAAACATTGACTATGGTCTTGATTAAGTTGTAGGAGAGGCAACATTGTTTATTTCTGAAGCATTAATAGGTTATGGTCGTAGTAAGACTGGTAGTTCATCTATATATATAGAGTAAAGAAACAGCGAGAGGATTGATCCTTGAAGGGCTCCCATAACAGATAAAAAATTAGTAGGGAGTGGTGTTATTTAATGATACCTTAATGTGTGCATTATTGAAAAGATTTTAGAGTATTCTAAGAAAAGAAGATAATAAGGTTGATTGCAATTATGGCTTGGCTGTCAACATATTTAACTCCAAAACGATCGAATTCCTTGAAGACTGTTAAAATAGCTACCTCTGCCGTATATATCTTCCACAAAGGTTATGTTGTACTTCACTTGGCTGCTTTATATGCATGAACGTGTTAATATACTACAAGCCCAATTCATTTTTTTTTCAATCCTGCGCTTTTCCTGATGATAAACTATTTACCAAATTGCTAATCTTATCTTCAGCAATCAGAAAATCGCTCACAATGATTACTCTCTTTATAAAACACCGCTTTTGAAAACGATGTATCTCTTCTACTAAACGCCTTGACTTATGACTATTTAAAAATATTCGGTCCACTTATCTTTTAGACAACTTGAATAAAAGACGTTTTGCTTGTTATTCTAAGTATCTGTCTACCTAGAGTACGATCTGATCAAAATTAATGTCTCCGTTGACATCTCTGATGGTTACCCCACAGTCGTCCTTTGTATTTTTTTTCCCCTTTTTCAACTTAATCAGCAGAATTCATTCACTTTATTGTCTCTATATGCACTACAGATTGCAACTACCACAAACAATCAACAACCCTCTTTCCTTCCTCCTCAACAAGCTTTCTTTCAAAAAAGCCCTTTTGGTTTAATGTCTGCCTCTCCATGATTTGTCCGTTGGCCGTTAAACAGCTCCATATTGTATGAGATGGATTGTCTAGCTCACGACACTATTCCTCTATCTCTTTCCAATCCAGGATCACTCCTGATAGACTGATTCTCTAAGTCCCCTTTCCTAACATTATATTTATTTATTTTATTTTCATAATGTGGATTGATCTTTTAGTTTTGCCTTTACTTTTTTTTTTTATCTTCTGTCCTAAAAAGGGTTTTTAGTTACTTTTTATCATTATTTTTGAACTGATTATAGCAAATTCAATCATCTATAAACTACGTGCCCATTGGTCCTTTTTTTTTTACATAAACATATATACATATATTATTGTATTATTATTTTTTTTTCCCCATTATGCGCCTATATGAACCCCACCCCGGGCTTTTTATATAATTAACCTTTTTATTATTATTCTTATTATTATTATAACATGGCTAATGAAATAAAAGTACTTGTATATATGACAGGTATCATAGCTGCTGGTTATGGTCTTATGAAGTATACTGTACCAGATGAAGAAGCAATGAAAAAGGTAAATTACTTTATTTATTTTTGTTAAATGTCAGCAACTCATCATCTTAAAACAATAGAGACTTGATCCAACATTAAGAAGAGAATATGATGAACGAAAAGCAGAAAATCGTGAAAAAGGTGAACAAATGATGAATCTTATGCGTGAAGTAGCAGCATCAGATAAGCCAGTATGGGAAATGCAGAAAGAAAAAAGAAACCAATAATTATTTTATGTATAATAAAGAAAAAAAAAAGAAATATGATTTTTTTTTTGTTTTGTTTTGTTTTAAATTCTTCTCTTCTTTTGTTGCTTCTTCAAGTTACGAAGTCTTTCTTTTTCTTCCCATTTACGTTGTTCAGCAGGACTTAATTTCTTAATACGTTCTTCCTCTGCACGTTTTGCTTCTGCCTTTTTCTTGGCTAATTCTTCTGCACGATCAGCAGCAATTTTCTTGGAAAATTCCTTTACAATTTCTTCACGGTTCTTGTTGATTTTAGATTTAATATCTGATGTTAATCTTAATTGACTAACAAAATCAGGAATGAAACAGGCAAGTTTAACATAAGGATCAAGAACATTAGATGTGTCTGGCATCAAAAAATCGAGATGAAGAGAAATGTAACCATCTGATTCAAATCTTGATAATGAAAATAATAATAATTACACAATGTTACATGACATAATTTCAATAAATAATTACCTTTCAGGCTCTTCAGAAGGTAAACTAGAAATAATGAATGATTGAAGTCGATCTAAATTTTGATTAATAATTTCACCCACTTTGGAATTCAAAATTAAATCAGCCAACTTTTGTGTTTCAGAGTAAATGATAAATTGATTTTCAGGAATGATTTTACTTGATGCGATTTTAGCAACACGTTTCTAAGGAATTAATAAGTACGTAATGTTTTTTTTTTCTTTTCTTTATATTTATTCATTACCAAATCAAATCTATTCTTGTATAATTCATCCGATAAGTCCTTCTTGATGACAGCAAATACAAATTTATCTGATAAAGCTTTATCCAAATGTAATTTCAAACTCTAATCAATAAAGTTAATATTATTATTATTATATAAGCATAATATTTTTCCTTAAAAACTTACAACTCGATCGGATACAGGTTTAGCATAACCAATCATAGAAAGAAGGGTTGTAGTAAAGAAAGTCAAAGGGTCATTTCTAGGCTTCAACTAAATATATATATATATATATATAACGAGATATGAGTATACAATAAGCAGCACAGCACAGCATTCCTCCTGTTTATAGTACCTTAAGCCACCAATGACCAAATTGAACATGGCGTCTACCTGAAGTGTATAAAAGGTAATCAGCAGGACCATCCATCATCAAGATAGATTTATCATTTGTCTTTTTATCCCCAACAAGTGCAAATTGACTTTGAAGGAATTCAATTTGACCATTTAACCTTTTTTATGACAGCAATAAGTGGGCATATACTCTTTTTTTTTTTTTTTTTTTTTTTGAAAGTAAAACTCTTACCAGTTTTTGGCTTTACTCATATTTAAAGCCTTTCCTTTATACCAAGCAAAAACATAAGCAATAAAAGTAGAAACCAAGACAATTTCCATTTTGAAATCCATAAGTTTAAAAGCTAATAAGAAAGTAAAACATCAGAGACTCAAGTCATCATTCAATTGTTAAAAAGAAAGATTATTTATAATTTTACGTCTAACCATCATATTATCGGCCGAGACTATATAAAAGATATAAATATTTATAAAACGCGGGATGAATTTAGACATGTCAAAATTTAAATCATATTCTTCACGTATCTTCTCTTACTTTCTATAGGAGTCTTTACAGTTGACTCATCTGCATTGACACATGAATTCAAGACGAAAAGTCCCAAAAGAGTTAGCAGTTTTAACATTGTACTTTTGACAAAAAAAAAAAAAAAAAAAAAAAAAAAAAAAGAAAAAAAAAAAGTCTGTTTTAACTTGTTTTCAATTTTTACTTGATGTTTTCTTTTTATTTACACACGCACAAAAAAAAAAAAGACGGTGATTTAAAATCTAAAAATTACAAATACATATTTTATTTTAATTTAATTTTTTTTTTTTCCTTTTCATAGAAAATAAAAAAGGACAGGCCATATTATCCAATAATTATATAAATTAAAAGAAACAACAACAACAACAATGATAATAATAATGATAGTAAAAGAAATCTCTCTTTAAGCAAACTTGACATTAACATCTGCATCTCTAGCTAAAGTAACAATTTGAGAGAACTTAACAGCCTTTTGAGCAGCGGTATCCAAATCTTCAACAGCAAAGATACGAAGACCTGAATCTTTAATAAGTTTTCTAGCTTCCTCAACCTTGGTACCACGAAGACGAACTACAAGAGGAATTTTGAGGTTTAAATCCTTAGCAGCAGAGATGATACCTTCAGCAATCACGTCACAACGCATGATACCACCAAAGATATTGACAAAGGCAGAAGAGACGTGAGGATCAGCTGTAATGATTTCAAAAGCGGCTTTAACAGCCTCAGGTGTAGCAGCACCACCCACATCCAAGAAATTAGCGGGTTTACCACCATGAAGTTGAATAATATCCATAGTAGCCATAGCAAGACCAGCACCGTTGACTAATATATAAAACAAACCGAAAACAAAAAAAAAAAAAGAGGAGAAAGGGGAATTTAATATCTAATGATTATCTTCTTCACTCTTTTATATAACTTACCTAAACAGCCAATGTTACCGTCTAAACCAATATAATTCAAGTTATATTTTGCAGCAGCAATTTCACGTTTATCTTCTTGACTGAAATCACGTAAACTGAAAACCTCTTTTTGTTTGAAGCTAGCATTATCATCAAAGTTTAACTTTGCATCCATACAGAGAACTATAATATCCTCCCCCCAAAGAAAAATAAATAAATAAATGAATAAAATAAAATATAGTTGATTTCTCCTTCACACCCTCATCTTACCTTGATTGTCACTGGATTCAGATAAAGGATTAATTTCAACTTGAGTAGCATCCTTTTCGTTAAAGAGTTTATAGAGATTCATAAAAGTGTCAGCAGCTTGTTCTTGACCCTTGGGAGTAAAACCTAACTTTTGAGCTAATTCCAAGGCCTTTTCCTTTGGCAAACCCACTTTTACATCAATAGGCATTGTCACAATAGCATCAGGGTTTTGAGCAGCCACAGTTTCAATATCTACACCACCTTGTGAGGAAGCGACAATGACAGGTCCTGCAGACTTACGATCCAATAAAATCGCAAAATAGTATTCGTTACGAGCATATTTACGTTCACAGACATAAACTGCATTACAAGGTTTACCTTCAGCTCCTGTTTGCTTTGTAACCAAATTGTGACCGAGCATCTTTTCTGCGAGTTCTTTGGCTTGTTCGGGTCTACAAAAAAAAAAAAAAATTAATTTTCAAATTTTTTTTTCCCCACACACAAAAAAATAATAATAATAATAATAATTATATTTATGTACAAAAATTTGTATACACATGTATAATACTTTACGTGTTAAATGTCTTTACTCCACCTTTAAAACCATTATCAAAGGTGCCTTTTCCACGACCACCAGCAAGTACTTGAGCTTTAATGACAAGATCATCACTTCCTAAATATACATAAATATATATAAATTAGATAAATTGGGGGGAGGGGAAAGATGTATATACACCATATATATTTATATATAAAGCAAAGCACATTTCACATACCGAGGCTCTTTGCAATATCATAAGCTTCTTGAGGTGTAGTAGCAACTTCACCCTTAGGTGCATTAATACCATATTCTCTTAAAAGTTTAACGGAAAGATATTCATGAATATTAAGAAAACGTTTTTGTTGATGTTGAATAGGTTTACGAGCAACCTAATAAACAAATGTATATTGTTAGTAAGTGAGTTTTTTTTTTCTCTCTTTCTTTCTTTCTTTCTCTTTCTCTCTCTCTCCCTCTTTTATTTCAGTACTTATTTTACCAAAGAGACACGTTGTGCAATAGAAGAAGCGGTACGAATAGACTTGAACATGTTGTGTAAGTAATAAATAATATGTATATAACAAAGAAAAAGAAAAGTAAAAAAAAAATAGGTATAGAATAAAAGCTTATAAAAAAACAAGAAGGGAGTAGTTGGAGGGGTGAATAATAATGAGGGGTTAACTTATTCGGGGTTATTTTCTCCAAAAAAAAAAAAAAAAAAAAAAAAAAAAAAAAAAAGACGGGTAAGTACGGAATAAATCATAGTAAAATCAGTTACTATTTGAAGCTTATTGATAGCATATAAATGCCCACAATTCTTTTTTAACAAATCTATAATTATTCTTAATAATACATGACAATTAAATAATAAAAGATATTAAATAACTTGGAATTTTTTTCCCCTACATTACATTCATCTTATTGTCTGAAAAAAAGAAAAGAAAAGAATGAGCTGTAGTAATAAAGCTACATGTTAAAAGTCACAAGCCCGAATTATCCCGCAAATTACTTTTTGTTACTTTGTGTATTACGTAAATCAATTTCTTCTTTCATCAACTATATAAAAGTAGATGATGTCTATAAAACGAATTATAAATTAGTGTTGTTTAATCTTTTTTTTTTCTATCATTTGATAAATATATTGTAGACTCGTTGCTATTACCTTTCCAGACTTAGTTTTTTAAATGAATTGTTTAGAAGTCAAATATTTTCGGTCTTTTCTTTTTTTTTTTTTTTTTTTTAGTAAAATAATTCAAGTCTAGTATGGATCCTTTTTTTTTATAATCTAATAAAGTAGGTAAGAAGAAATTCTAACTTTAAATACATGTTTCTTTGGATAGATCAAATATGAAAATGAGGTTTTTTTTTTCATGATTTAAAAAATAAAATAAATGACTAAATAAACAAACAAACAAACAAACAAAATGTGGGGGAGAGAAAGCTCCGCTTTTATGATGTCAAAAGACTCATTTGTTTCAGAAGAAAAAGTAGCATAACCAGTTGTATGATGTGAAAGTCAAATATATTTTATTTGTATATACTGAAAATTACAGCTCTGTTATGTTTATTTTAATAGTTCTTCTTCATTAAATAAAGGGCTGTTTTTTATTTTTTCTGAAGATATTGTAACACGCTGTACCTATTTTCACACACACACACATACACACACGTATTTTTATATACACATGTATTCATATATACTCAAACTTCTTGACAATATTTTATAATCGTTATTAATTTGTCTGTAATAAATGAAGCAGAAAGCTTGCATTCATACATAAACGGAGGGTATTTTTTTTTATTTTGAAAGAGATGACCTATCATGCTTTTTTTTTTTCCTTTGTTAGCATATGATGAGAATTAGTTTAGGTTTACTCAGAGACTAGCAATAGCGTAATTTACCTTTTCATCATACAATAGTTGTGCTCATAGAGTATAAATACAATCTACAAAGAATGATAATAATAATAATAGTAGTAGTAAAGGTATATTACGTGTAATAAACGTTCATTAAATAGGATGGCTTGCAAGACAGTCAATAGAATAGCATACAATACCTGCTTAAATAGAATAATTGGTGCCTGCAATTGTTTGAAGAATTATATCTATTTGAACGGGTATTGCATGCTATAGCAATGATTAAATTCATTTATAACTTTCAATATATACTAGTTAGAATATCTATGTGATACTATTCCCAAGCCTTGCATGTGAAAAATATAATAAAATAAGATCTATTTTGTTAGTTGTACAATATATTCACTATTATACCTTTTTTTTTTCTTTCCTTTTTATATATATGTATATAATTCTCATAAGCCAGTAATAAAAGAATGTCCCTACTACCTTTCCTTTTCTTCTTCTAACTATATGAAACCACATAAACATAAAGTTTTATTCATATAAATATAATAAATGTAAATGTGTTTCTTTTCAAGATTATTATATATTTAGTAGATTTCATATCAAATAACGTTGATCAATAATAAAAAATTGTGTGTGATTTTTTAATAATTCTATCTCTACTAATATACAGTCATCTTTTCATGCTCTTCATTCATTGTCTTTTGATATGAACATGTCCCTATTAGAAAGTCATTCTACTTTAACTTTCTCGAAAAGTCTGTGAGACTACTTTTGATACACTATCTATGATTGCAAAGAGACTTTGATTATTAAAATACTTTATATATAATCACATCCATCATCTCTGGTCAATTTGCAGTGATAGCAGTTGGAATCCTTTATTTTCGAATCAAATTCATAGAAACCAAAAGATAAATATTTGAAATAGGGAACAATTTTCCTAGACCAAAGTCAATCGAGTCAATGGATATGCTTGGTATTTTATTTAATATATGTAAGTAATATGACACCACTATTATTATTATTTTGTATACTAAAAACATATATATATATATATATATATATATGACACTAATATAAGTGTTTAGTCCTTCAATAGCTGCTAAATTAAGTTGCCTTTTCCTTTGACTCTTTTTACTTTAGATGACTATAGACTATAGTAATAAGAATTCAATTTAGGGCCACTCAATAAATAAACTTTTATATTATAGTACTAATTCCAATTACAATATGAAATGTTTCCATGTATGCTTATGGTTATTATTAAAAAGAGATACACATACTATATTTGTTTATATATTTATCTATGTATAAAAATATATATTAAGAATATCGGTTGTATGTGTTGTATTACATTCATGCATAAACAACCAAAAAAAAAAAAAATATAGATATTTATATATGTATATGTATATATTTGACAGGTGTTACAAGATAGAGAGATATGTAATGTGTGTATATCATAATTACTAAAATTCTATAAAGGAATCCGTTTCCTCAATGTATTGCCATTTCTTTAATTCTGTACCATATGGCTTAGGTCGAAGTTCATAAACACTATATATATATAAAAGGATGAAATTATGTAAGTTATAGAATGATAAAAGTCAATGAATTTCAAGTCATATATATATATATATTACGTATGAATTGGAACCATCATATGTGGCATCTCTTCTCTCGTCCAATCTAACAGATAACCTAAAAGAATACGCATAACGACTCTATGTGTAATAATCAAACATGATTGAGTCATTCTTTCCATTTCAACAATCATGGGTTGAAGACGATGAATCACATCAATGTAGGATTCACCACTTATACCAGGATATCTGTAGAATAACTTATTAGCTTGTCTCGACTTGTATTCGGATGGATATTTTTCTTGAATTTCTTGATATGTCATGCCTTCACAAATCTAAATTAATACGCATTAATGATAATCACTTCTCTCTAAATAAATAAATAAATAAATAGAAAACTACTTTACACCAGAGTTAATTTCATTTAAGAATCGAATATGTTTAATATCATAATCATCTGGATCAAAAAACTCAGCAGTTCCCATAGAACGTTTAAGCATACTTGTCCAAACTGTAAAAGGTGAATTACAATATTGAACTGTCTTTTCTAATGCACTTGCAGCTGTTCGATTCTCTGGTGGCTCTAATTCAGTTGCCTTTGAAGCCATTTCACAAGCAAATTTCATTCGTTGTTGTTGAATAAATCGAGCAAGTGCTTTTGAAAATTTACGTCCTGTCTCTGATAAGGGAGCATCTCCACCAATTCTACCTGTAATATTATCTTCACTTTCACCATGTCGAGTAACAAAAATTTGACGTTCTATTTAACAAAAAAAGTTTAAAATTGTTCATGTAACATATACATATCTATATTGCTTTTCATTTTTACCCACAAGATTAAAATTCATAAGATAAAAGATACATTGACCTGATAGATATCCTGATATGTTGTATGCAATTACTTTTTTACCAACATTAATAAGTTTACAAAATTGAATATCATTTTCTTCTTCCCATTCACCAATAGGTTGATAAGCTTTTTCATAATTAGCGACACGTGCCCTAAAATCTGCTAATGATTGAACGGGATCCTTATTTTTATAATCTGGACCTGATAATTTTAATCGAAAGTTACGTTCTAACATCTACTTGAAAGTTATTTATATACTGTTTATCTTCTAGGATAATACTAAAAAATCATATCTAGCTTATATACCTCTTGATCTGTACACACTGACTCGATTAATAAAATTCTTACTTCCGGTTCTTTTGAAAGTCGATTAATCAATAACTGTCTATATACATATAAAACAGAAATAATAATAAGATATACTTTCTTTTCTCTTTCTCTTCTAAGAGTTTAGTACAAATATACATATAGAGTCTACATTACCTTCTAGCAAGAGTTGAATTTGTTGCATCATGTATCGCTACTCTTCCACCTTCCTTTAGCCAATCAATTAATTGTTCTAATACACTTAAAGCAATTTCGTCACGAATACGAGTTGTATCTTGATTATTTGGGTCAAAAAAATTGGCTGATTGATCATGAGTAGAAGAAGCTTCACAAACACGTCTCATATTGCCTACATTAAATACTTTTGTCTCGTATTGTAACCAATTTAAATATCGTCTTAATTTTTTTACTAAATAACTTTTTCCTCGGGCAGGTAATCCAACTTGTAAAAAAAAAAAAAAAAAAAAAAAAAAAAAAAAAAAAAAAAAAAAAAAATAGGGTCAATGCGCATGATTTTTTTTTCTTTTTCTTTTTCTTTTTTTTTTTTTTTACATAAAATATATAATTGATTATACCCATGATAACGACTAATTTACTATCCAATTGACGTACAGTCTTAAGTTCTAATAAATAAAAAATAAATAAATAAATAAAGTAAGTAAACTTCTTCTTCTCTAAACTAAAGTGAAATCCAATTATTATTATTACTATTTACTTGGTGTTGTAATCGTATGAACTGCACCGGGCACATCTAAGCCTATTGAATAACGAGCTCTTATATTTTCTCTAACAGAGTCTTCTGCGTTTAATTTTAACCAATTCTGTATCGCTGTTGGATGAGGGTCGTTGGGCGTAGTCGATATGAGACTTTCCTCTTGTTGTAGTTGTATTGAAGGTGGTGGACTTTGATGTGGTGCTGATAAGATAGGTAACACATGCTTTGGTAAATTTTCTTCGACAAGATCGTGTTCAACTTTAACAACAGGTAATGTTTTTCTTCGATTATTAATTGATGGTTCCATTTTAAAAATGTAAATTAGAAGGAAAAAAAAATAAAATAAAATAAAACAAAATAAAATAAGATAATGAAAAAAAAAAAAAAAAAAAAAAAAAAAAAAAAAAAAAATTTTCTTGTTATAAAAAAAGGGGGGAGAGGAATCTTGGTATTTATAGCAGCTGCGTAGTCTATAACCCTTTTTTTTTTTTATTTGCTGGTGTGCATTTTAAAAAAAAAAAAAAATTCTAAAACGAAAAAAAAATAAAATAAAATATAGTGCCCGCAGTGGGTCTAGAAAGAGAGTTTTTATTGATACTGTAAAAAATAATAATATGAAATAAATCATTGTATTCTACCGAGTTGATCAATTCTTGTCGCTATAAACAAAAGCAATTGGTACTCTAAGTTTCTTAAAATAAATATTTCTTGATTAGCTTTTAATATTTGTCTTTTATTTTTTTATTTTTCGTCTTCATTACTTTGACTACAGACTGGTTCTCTTTGTTAGAATATATAAATATATATTTTACCTCCATAAGATTGGCCTTTATTTATCTTAATACTACTACAACTGTTTTTTGTTTTTCAGCAAGTATAATGTTTGGATTGAATCAACTAAAAAGAATGTAAATTCTATTGTACTATTTATTTACTGGTTGCAGATTAGTTGAGTGATTGATAAGGTGATGAACTATTTTAATAGGGAATGTAATATACTATTTGCAAGATTTAGAAGGATTTAAAGCTGAGAGCCATGTAACAATTTCTAAAAGAGAGAAAGAGTGTCAATAAACACGAGAAAGCTTATTTTTATCAACAGCATTTATCGTATTTAGCCTTGTATCAAATAAGATTACGTTTTACTTTAATGTACACATAATTTTAAAAAGGATGATAGCAGAAGGTATTTATTGAGAGTAGTCATAGTCGTTGCTGATATGTTATCCAATAGACAACATGGCTTGGACTGGTTTATATCATACATGTTAGCTATACATTTATTCTAGTTTATTCAATTTTTTTCTTTTCTTGTTATAAATAATGAAATCGTTTTTTGACATTAATAAAGGATCCATTTCTTAATCTCGATTCATACCATACCATACCATACCATGTCAAATAAAACTACAGAGAATATACTTTATAAGTTTGGAATGAACCATTTTTTTTTATCATTCTTCCCATTAATGACTTTTTCTGATAACAACTATTATATTTTTTTTTTTTTTTTTACTTATCAATATTATACTATACTTGAAGAATAGTGTTATTGGAAGAATAAGTGGGAACAACACTAATTTTCGATACCAAACCCCTATACTAATTATTATTACAATTATTGAAAGGCAAACTCTACTATGCGCTTATCTTTATCCTGGAATACCCAAAGCAAACTTTAAAAAGAGTTATCAATGTTTCTCCTTATCAATTTTGTGTGCCGGGTTATCTTGAAACAGAATGAAAGTAAAAATAGAATCAAAGATTTGGCACTTGTGCAAAAAAATAGTAACTTGTATGTTGAATCAGTTCATTTTTTTCTTTCATTCCCTCCCCCTCCTCTTTATACATGTTGTGTATACAGACAGTTGAAGTGTTTTCACAAATGAGTATCACACTTCCCTGCGAAAAAAAAAAGAATTTGACTATTTAGGTATAAAATGGCTTTATCTTCTTTTTTTTCCTGGTTAGCCCCTCAATTTATAGAAGGGAGGATTAACTTTTAACATTAAAACAAACAAACAAACAAACCAAATAAAACCAAATGTCAAATATGTCGCCTAAAAGGATTTGCATCAATGCAACTATAAACATAAAAAGTTGTGTCAACATAATGTGTAACAGTAGGAGACTTTGCATTCAAATAGTATGTAGGAGATGGAACATTATTTTAGTCTATTGGAGACCAATCGAACTCCTACTTGTTGATACACTCAATTTATCTGTTCTAATACGCGTTGCCTCTCTTCTTATACCAAGATGAGGATTTGGAAATATCTGCTAGAATCCTATTCTCCTATCAAGCCTTCTAATTTTATATACCTTTTTATCGTCAAAGGTCAGCATAAGAAAGAGTGCAGTTATTTGAAAAAGAAAAAAAAATATCTTTCATCAGTAATTTCTTTTTTTTTGTCCGTTAAGACATTCTGGTACATAATCTTAGCCCAATATACCTAGCAGTAATGATAAATATAAAACGTTATTTACATATTCTAGATGATATCTATCCACTCGTACTCAATGTTGATGATAGTCGTAAAATTCTTGTTCCCCCTCCCCTTTTTTCTTTCTTTCTTTCCAAATAGGCCCGTCCTTTGATTAGGGCAATAAACAAGTCAATAGCACTGACAAAAAAAAACACAATTAAGGTGGATACAATTACAACAACCTAGTCCGTAAAAAAAAAAAAAAAAATCAACAGTAAATTCTTCTTATAACAAATATAGAGTGGTCGCCTCAGTCAGTTCTATTTAGAATGAACATCCTCGCATTATCATTCGAGAAATAAAAAGCTCCATGCTTCAAACTTTAAGAAGTTACACGAATAATCAAATGCAACAGTTGACTCACTTTTCTATTGATCTATTCGATGTGTATTCTACATATCCACCATGACTCTTATAGGTATCTTTTTTTTTTTCACTAGTCTATTTGGCCGTCTTTCTCTCGTTCCCTGGTAGTTATTCACAAAGACTACCAAACCAATTCTCAAATCGGCGTAGACACATACAAAAAAAAAAAAGAATAAGCGTCTATCCCGATAACCAAATCATCATTTTGCACATTCCTATCAACCATTTGACTACTTCTACCATGTTAGTTAAATTATGGACTCTAGATTGACTTGATATTTTCTATTATGACGATATGTCTTTACCAGCAGTTACATGCTTTATAGATATTTGTATTTTTTATTAAAAAAATAAAAAGTTAAACAGTTTGTCTAGAGGAGAAATGGGACACTCCATTCGTGAAAATAGTGTGTATAACATGCACTATTTTCTTATATGTAGTCGAATTTTTTTTTTTTAAAAGTGCGACACTTTTTTTATTTTTTATTTTTTTTTCCTTTTGCAATATCATTTTGATAAAAAGATGCAAGCATATTACATTTTATCAGTAGAGCAGAATTGTACAACCTTGCCATTATAATTCGCCATACAACAAAAGTCACCCAGTTGTGGTGAATTAAATAGACAAATTAAGCTTATTTAAAGTTATCATTAAAAACAAGTCTCGAACCTATGTTTCGGAATTAAAGACCCATTTTAATAAATTCATGAGGATGATTGGTACCAAAAAAAAAAAAAATGATGTAAAAAAAAAAAAAAAAAAAATAGAATAAAAAATAAAATAAAATAAAAAAAAATGAAGTTTATATAATATTCAGAATTGTAGTACTACATAGTAAAGACAAAAAAACGTATGATTTTATTAAAATTAAATGTAACTAAATCTACTGATACCTTTTATCTAATGATGAACAATGTTTATCTTTAATATAGAAAAAGGAAAAAATAAAAAATAAAAAAAAAAAATAAAAAAAAAGTTGTTCTCGACTTTTTTTTTACAAAAAAGGAAATGGCTAGAACTAGAATAAAAAAAAAAGATGCGGGGAAGAGTGATTGATACATTATCTGTTATAAAGAAGAACATTTATTTTTTTGTTGTTGTTGTTGAATCCTGTATACAAATCAACACAATGTTATAATAAAATATTTCAAATGCTTGTGTAACGTTCAAGATGAAATTGATTTGTTTAGAAGAAAAAGTTCTCTTCTGCTATCCGACCGTCACACACGAATAATCACTTATTCGATGGTTTTTTTTTTTTTTTTTTTTTTTTTTTTTTTTTTTTTACTTTTTTTTTTTTCTTAATATATCATTTAAATCGCATAAAGAAAAGCATAGAGTAATAAAACATATATAATTTGTAATTATAATAACAATAATAATAAAAAGAAAGAATAATATAAAATTATATCTTTAGCCCTCCCTCTTCTCTTTCCTTTTTTTTTTTTACTTTGCCCTTATTTTTTTTTCTTTTTATCTTTTTCGTTTTTTTATAACATATATAAATTCATGGCTCGGTAATGAAACGATCAAATACTGGAGATTATAAAAAAAGTAAAAAATTGTGTATTTCATCTTCACCGCCTCACATTGCATTTAATAATAAAGAACAACAATCAACAATAATGTCCCATCATATATTACAACAAATAAAAGAAAGTGTGGTGCATCTAAATAAAGGTGACCTTGATTATTGTATTTCACAACAGTTTTTTTCAATACCTTCTCCTCCTTTACCAACAATAAACGACGAAGAAGAGATTCTAATCACAATACAAAAGACATTGAAAAGTATTGCTGAACGACAACTTACGCTTGAAACCGAAAATAAACGTTATCGAATAGCTATTAAGCAACAACATCATTTATTAACAGCACAAAAACAGCAGCAGCAGCAGCAGCAGCAGCAACAACAACAGCAGCAACAACAACAGCAACAACAACAACAACAACAACAACAACAACAACAACAACAACAACAACAACAACAACAACAACAAGAAGAAGAAGAAAATGACGAATCTGTTGTAAATAGTACTGGAACCTCTGAAGATTGTCTTTCCTCTTTTCAACAGTCTCCAATGTTGGATAAGTTACATTTATCCCCTATATCAGGTATCCTTTCTTTTTTGTTTTTAAATACAATAAAAAAAAATCAAATTTTATTTACCCATTTACCCTTTTTTTTCTCTTGAAAAAAAAAAAAAAGATAATGATGACGACAACAACAAGAATAAGGATAATAGTTTAGATAAAGATATATGTCAGTCTTGCGCAAATCAAGCAATCCAGGTGGCCTTAGCAGTGCATAATGGTGATCTGGAACGACGTATTATTTGTAACAAACACTCAACTAGTTTATTGAAAAATGCTGTAAATTCAATGGCTGACAAATTACAACGTATTACTAAAAATGTTCTCAAGGTCGCTCAAGAGACAGCGATTGAAGGTAAATTAGGTGTTCAGGCTGATTGTGATGATACGATGGAAGGTGTTTGGCGGGATTTTATTTTAAACTTGAACAGCATGACCAAAAATCATTTGGAACAAGTTAGAGATATTACGGATGTCTCAACTGCTATTGCAAGAGGTGATCTTAGTAAAACAATGACTGTTCCTGTAACCGGTGAAACACTTTCTTTAAAGAATACATTTAATACTATGGGTAAATATATACATACATACATACATACATACATACATACATACATACATACATACATATGTAATTGAAGGGAGAAAGGAAAAAAAAAAGAAAAAATAGGCAACCCGTTTTTTTTTATACATATATAGATATTTATGACTTTTCGTTTTTTTATATTTATATACATATTTTATATATATTTATATATACATACATCTATGATCAGTCAATCATTTGAATTTATTTGCTTCAGAAGTGACTCGTGTCGCTCATGAAGTTGGGACTGAAGGTAAATTAGGTGCTCAAGCAAAGGTAGCTGGTATTGGTGGTATATGGAAAGAATTGACAGATAATGTAAATACAATGGCAGCCAATTTAACGAATCAAGTTAGAGATATTGCTCATGTTTCAAAGGCTGTAGCTTGTGGTGATTTAACAAAGAAAGTAAAAGTGGAAGTGAAGGGTGAAATGTTGGATTTAAAAAATACAATCAATACCATGGTAGATCAACTATCTACCTTTGCTATCGAGGTCACTCGTGTATCATTAGAAGTAGGCACTGAAGGTAAATTGGGCGGTCAGGCTGTGGTAAAGGAAATTGATGGTACTTGGAAAGACTTGACAGATAATGTCAATCTAATGGCTCAAAAAATTACAAGTCAAGTACGTGATATCGCTGTCGTCGCTAAAGCTGTTGCTGAAGGTGATTTATCTAAAAAAGTAACTGCAAATGCGCAAGGTGAAGTTTTAGAATTAAAAAACACAATGAATCGAATGGTAAAAAGAAGAAGAAGAAAACAAAAAAAAAAAAAGAAAAAAAAATATTTATGAATAAATATGAATTATTTTCTCTATAGGTAGATCAATTGACTAATTTTTCAGCTGAAGTCAGAAGAGTGTCCTTAGAAGTAGGCGTTGAAGGTAAATTAGGTGGACAGGCTATGGTGAAGGATGTAGGTGGAGCCTGGAAAGATCTTACAGATAATGTAAATACAATGGCTGCTAATCTAACAACTCAAGTGAGATCGATTGCGGAAGTAACCACGGCTGTAGCTAATGGTGATTTATCTAAAAAAATTGATGTTGAAACAAGTGGTGAAATCCTGGATCTAAAAAACACCGTCAACAACATGGTGGATCAATTAAGAGTGTTCTCTACTGAAGTAACCCGTGTTGCTAAAGAAGTAGGAACCGAGGGTAAATTGGGTGGTCAAGCTCAAGTACCTAGTGTTGATGGTACATGGCGTGTTTTGACAGATAATGTGAATACAATGGCCTCAAATCTTACAACTCAAGTAAGATCTATCGCTGAAGTGACTACTGCTGTGGCTAAAGGAGATTTATCCAAAAAGATCGATGTTGAGACCAGCGGTGAAATTTTAGACTTAAAGGTTACAGTCAATAACATGGTGGATCAACTCCGTGTCTTTTCTACTGAAGTAACTCGTGTTGCTAAAGAGGTCGGTACAGAAGGAAAATTGGGAGGACAAGCTCAGGTGCCTAGTGTTGATGGTACATGGCGGGTGCTCACTGACAATGTAAATACGATGGCTTCTAATCTAACAACACAAGTAAGATCAATTGCTGAAGTAACAACGGCTGTGGCTAATGGTGATTTATCTAAAAAGATTGAAGTTGAGTCTGGAGGTGAGATTGCCGAGTTAAAGAACATTGTAAATGACATGGTGGATCAATTGAGAGTTTTTGCTTCAGAAGTCACACGTGTTGCTAAAGAAGTGGGTACTGAAGGTAAATTAGGTGGTCAAGCTCAGGTGCCTAGTGTCGATGGTACATGGAGGGTGCTCACTGACAATGTAAACACAATGGCCTCAAATCTGACAACACAAGTAAGATCAATTGCTGAAGTAACAACGGCTGTAGCTAAAGGAGATTTATCTAAAAAAATTGACGTCGAAACCAGCGGTGAAATTTTAGACTTAAAGGTTACAGTTAATAACATGGTGGATCAGTTAAGAGTGTTCTCTACTGAAGTAACCCGTGTCGCTAAAGAGGTTGGTACAGAAGGAAAATTAGGCGGACAAGCTCAAGTACCTAGTGTTGATGGTACATGGCGTGTTTTGACAGATAATGTGAATACAATGGCCTCAAATCTTACAACTCAAGTAAGATCTATCGCTGAAGTGACTACTGCTGTGGCTAAAGGAGATTTATCCAAAAAGATCGATGTTGAGACCAGTGGTGAAATTTTAGATTTGAAGGTTACAGTTAATAACATGGTGGATCAGTTAAGAGTGTTCTCTACTGAAGTAACTCGTGTTGCTAAAGAAGTGGGTACTGAAGGTAAATTAGGTGGCCAAGCTCAGGTGCCTAGTGTCGATGGTACATGGAGGGTGCTCACTGACAATGTAAATACTATGGCTTCTAATCTAACAACACAAGTAAGATCGATTGCAGAAGTGACTACTGCTGTGGCTAAAGGGGATTTATCTAAAAAAATTGACGTCGAAACCAGCGGTGAAATTTTAGACTTAAAGGTTACAGTTAATAACATGGTGGATCAACTTCGTGTCTTTTCTACTGAAGTAACTCGTGTCGCTAAAGAGGTAGGAACTGAGGGCAAATTAGGCGGACAAGCTCAGGTACCTAGTGTAGACGGCACATGGCGTGTTTTAACAGATAATGTAAACACGATGGCTTCAAATCTTACAACTCAAGTAAGATCCATTGCTGTTGTTACTAAAGCCGTAGCTAATGGTGATTTATCTAAAAAGATTGAAGTTGAGTCTGGAGGTGAAATTGCCGAATTAAAGAACATTGTAAATGACATGGTGGATCAATTGAGAGTTTTTGCTTCAGAAGTGACTCGTGTTGCTAAAGAAGTAGGAACCGAAGGTAAATTAGGTGGTCAAGCTGTTGTTTTGAACGTAGGAGGAACCTGGATGGATCTAACAGATAATGTCAACCAAATGGCTGCCAATTTGACATCGCAGGTTCGTTCAATCGCCGAGGTTACTAAAGCCGTTGCTCATGGCGATTTGTCTAAGAAAATTGAAGTCAAATCTGGAGGCGAAATTCTTGAATTGAAAAATACGGTAAATGACATGGTGGATCAATTGAATGTGTTTGCTTCTGAAGTATCACGTGTTGCTCGTGAAGTCGGTACAGAAGGTAAATTAGGCGGCCAAGCAGTTGTGCCTAATGTGGGTGGTACATGGATGGACCTGACAGACAACGTCAACCAAATGGCTGCCAATTTGACTTCTCAAGTTCGCTCAATTGCAGAAGTTACGAAGGCAGTTGCTCTTGGTGATCTGTCTAAGAAGATTGAAGTTGAGTCAGGCGGAGAAATCTCTGAATTGAAGAATACAGTGAATGACATGGTGGATCAGTTGAGAGTCTTTGCCTCTGAAGTGACACGTGTATCAAAAGAAGTCGGTACAGAGGGTAAACTAGGCGGTCAAGCTGTTGTTCAAGGCGTTGCAGGCACATGGCATGAACTCACAGACAACGTTAACATTATGGCAGCTAATCTTACAAATCAAGTCCGTTCCATCGCAGAAGTTACGAAGGCTGTAGCTTTAGGTGACCTTTCAAAAAAGATTGCAGTTGAGTCAGGCGGTGAAATTCTAGAACTCAAAAATACAGTCAATGACATGGTAGATCAGTTACGAGTATTTGCCTCTGAAGTCACTCGTGTGGCACGCGAGGTAGGTACAGAAGGTTCATTAGGTGGTCAAGCAGTTGTGCCAAACGTAGGTGGTACATGGAAAGACTTAACCGATAATGTCAATCATATGGCTGCTAATTTGACTAATCAAGTTCGCTCAATTGCAGAAGTAACAAAAGCGGTTGCTCTTGGTGATCTATCAAAGAAGATCGAAGTTGAGTCAGGTGGAGAAATATTGGAACTGAAAAACACAGTCAATGACATGGTAGATCAATTGCGAGTTTTCGCCTCAGAGGTGACTCGTGTCGCTAAAGAAGTAGGTACTGAGGGAAAGCTAGGCGGTCAAGCTGTTGTTCAAGGTGTAGCGGGTACATGGAAAGATTTAACTGATAATGTCAATATGATGGCAGCTAACCTTACCACCCAAGTACGATCGATTGCTGAAGTAACAGAAGCTGTAGCTTTAGGAGACCTTTCTAAGAAAATTGATGTTGAGACACGTGGGGAAATTCTAGACCTAAAAAATATTGTAAACGATATGGTGGATCAACTAAGAGTTTTCGCCTCAGAAGTGACTCGCGTTGCTAAAGAAGTAGGAACTGAAGGTAAATTAGGTGGTCAAGCTGTCGTTTTGAACGTGGGCGGTACATGGATGCATTTAACTGATAACGTAAACCAGATGGCAGCAAACTTAACAGATCAGGTACGATCAATTGCTGAGGTTACTAAAGCTGTTGCTCATGGTGATTTATCTAAGAAGATTGAAGTAGAATCGGGTGGTGAGATCTTAGAATTAAAAAATACTGTAAATGACATGGTGGATCAATTGAATGTATTTGCTTCTGAAGTATCACGTGTTGCTCGTGAAGTCGGTACAGAAGGTAAATTAGGCGGCCAAGCAGTTGTGCCTAATGTGGGTGGTACATGGATGGACTTGACAGACAACGTCAACCAAATGGCTGCCAATTTGACTTCTCAAGTTCGCTCAATTGCAGAAGTAACAAAAGCAGTTGCTCTTGGTGATCTGTCTAAGAAGATTGAAGTTGAGTCAGGCGGAGAAATCTCTGAATTGAAGAATACAGTGAATGACATGGTGGATCAGTTGAGAGTCTTTGCCTCTGAAGTGACACGTGTATCAAAAGAAGTTGGTACAGAGGGTAAACTAGGCGGTCAAGCTATTGTTAAAGATGTTGCTGGTACTTGGAAAGATTTGACAGATAATGTAAACATCATGGCAGCTAACCTTACTACCCAGGTACGATCTATTGCTGAGGTCACTAAAGCAGTTGCTAGTGGTGATATGAGCAAGAAAATTCATGTGGAAACCCGTGGTGAAATTCTTGAATTGAAGATTACAGTAAATAGTATGGTTGATCAGTTACGTGTATTTGCCTCTGAGGTAACTCGTGTAGCGCGTGAGGTAGGTACTGAAGGCAAGTTGGGTGGTCAAGCAACTATCATTGGTGTAGATGGCACATGGAAAGATTTAACGGATAACGTCAATTTGATGGCAAGTAATCTTACTGACCAATTACGATCTATTGCTGCTGTTTGTAAAGCTGTAGCTCAAGGTGATCTTTCCAAGAAAATCGAAGTTGAAGTTCACGGTGAAATTGCTGAACTAAAAAATACAATTAATACAATGGTAGATCAATTGAGTTCGTTTGCTGCAGAAGTAACGCGTGTTGCTAAAGAAGTCGGTACTGAAGGTAAATTAGGTGTTCAAGCCCAAGTAGAAGATATTGAGGGTTTATGGAGAGATATTACGAGTAATGTCAATACAATGGCATCTAATTTAACCACACAAGTCCGAGCCTTTGCACAAATTTCAGCGGCTGCAACTGAAAATGATTTTTCAAGGCTTATTACTGTTGAAGCCTCTGGTGAAATGGATTCGCTTAAGACTAAAATTAATCAAATGGTAAACTCCTTACGTGATGCTATTCAAAAGAATCGACAAGCACGAGAGGCAGCCGAACTAGCAAATCGATCCAAGAGTGAATTTCTGGCCAATATGAGTCATGAAATTCGTACACCCATGAATGGTATCATCGGTATGACCTCTTTGACATTAGAAACTGAACTGACACGACAACAGCGAGAAAATCTCATGATCGTTTCTAGCTTGGCCAATAGTTTATTGACTATTATTGATGATATCTTGGATATTTCAAAAATTGAAGCTGGTCGTATGACGATTGAGTCTATTCCATTTTCTTTACGGTCAGCTATTTTTAGTGTTCTAAAGACATTAGCTGTAAAAGCAAATCAAAAGAAATTGGATTTAATCTATAATGTAGATAGTGCAATTCCTGACCAGTTAATTGGCGATCCTTTGAGACTACGACAGGTAATTACAAACTTGATTGGCAATGCAGTCAAGTTTACTACAAAGGGTGAAGTTGTATTGGAGACAAAGATAGTTAATATTCAAGGAGAAGATGTTATTTTGGAGCTTTGTGTGCGTGATACTGGTATTGGTATTCAGGAAGATAAACTTAGTGTCATTTTTGATACATTCTGTCAAGCTGATGGGTCAACAACGTAAGAATGAATACATATTATTTTATTAGTTGTTTTATTTTTTTTTTAAAATATATATTTATATATACATTTATATACATATATAGTCGTGAATATGGTGGTACTGGTTTAGGCTTATCTATTTCAAAGCATCTAGTTCAACTTATGGGCGGTGATTTATGGGTAACATCTATGTATGGCCGCGGCTCACAATTCTTTTTTACACTCAACTTTAAACGATATCCCAAAGAGCAACATGATGCTTTTGAAAAGATGAAGCGATTTAAGGGTCGTAATATTCTATTTTTAGATGGTACAAATGATCAAATGCAAATTGAGTGTAAACTCAAGGAGTTAGGCTTAAATCCTTTCCGCGTTACTGGTATCTCTGAATCTGTTAACATGACAGATCTAGCCCTATTTAAGGGTACCAATAATAAGCAGCCACCTATTTTTGATACTGTCCTCGTCGGTAACGTTGCGTATGCAGAAAAAATACGTGAAGCTGTTCATTTACGATACACGCCTATCATTTTGATTGCACCTGAAATACATCGTCTTAACATGAAATTGTGTATTGATTTAGGAATTACAGGTTATATTAATGCCCCTGTGAGTTCATCTGATTTAGCATATACACTATTACCTGCTCTCGAAAGTCATTCAACATTACCTAATGATTCAGCGATACCCGTGCCTCTTGATATCCTATTAGCAGAAGACAACATTGTGAATCAAAAGCTAGCAGTTCGAATTCTTGAAAAGTTTGGACATAAAGTAGAGATTGTATCAAACGGTAAACTTGCAGTAGAAGCATTTGAAAATAATAAATATGACTTGATATTGATGGATGTTCAAATGCCAATTATGGGTGGATTTGAAGCTACTCAAAAGATTCGCGAGATTGAACAAAGATCCAGAAGTCGATCCCATGTACCTATTATTGCTCTAACTGCACATGCTATGATTGGTGATCGTGAAAAGTGCTTACAATCCGGCATGGTAAATATACACACATAAACATATATAAAATAAATAAATTATTTTCTAACATTTTTTTTTTTTTTTGCAAACACAAAATAGGATGAATACGTTACCAAGCCTTTAAGATTCCCTGAATTAATAGCAGCTATCAAAAAGTTTGCTCCTCACCATGATGTTAGAACTGTAAGATTAAGGAATGACATGAAATCAAGTAGTGTTAGTAGTAGTAGTAGTACTAGAAAGCGTTAAACAAACAAGGCTCTTCTTCTATAATATACTCTATTTATTTATTAACATATAATGTACTAATATGCTATAATAATTTACATATTTAACAAGCGCAGAAAAAAAAAGGGGCTTTTTGTATAATTCTTTATGTTGTTGTTTGCAATAAAATGAAATTTGACAATGCAAATTATCGGAAATTTGAATTTTAATTGGTCATGTAAATTTTGGACAGTAAAATAAAATATTGTTCTCTTCAACAAAAAATTGCCTAGATATTGTAAAAGCAATTTTTTTTTTTATTTTTTGTTTTTTATTTTTACTTATAAAATGAGTAATTTCCCTTCGGGCTGGTTTTACATTCAATCAAAATGTTCACATAAAATGGTTCTTGATGTTACAGCAGATTCACTAAAAGTAAGATAATTATACGATTTAAAGAAGTTATGCAGTTAACAAATGTATATAAACAGGCAGTTGCTAGAATTATAGTATGGCCTAAAAAGACAAAAAATTGTGATAATCAATTATGGACGTATGATAATGGATATCTGATCAACAAGAACTCTGGAATGGGTAAACAATGATATGCATTTATTATCAAACGTTTTTTACTGTCATATTAACTTTATATAAATATTTATAGTTTTGGATGTTCAAGGAGGTAAATTACCTTTGATATACACATATATAAAAAAAAAAAAAATAATAATATCATCCATGTGTAGGTATCTTAGAAAGTGATAAACCTATCATTCAATATAAGCGTAAAATGACTGAAGAGGCGGATAATCAACGTTGGTTTTATCGTGAAGATGGATTCATTTATCCTCAATCAACACCCAATCTTGTTCTTGACATTAGAGTAAAGTCTTTTTATTTTGAAATGGAAAGTTACATACAATATATTTAACATATACATGTATATATATAATGCTTATTAGGGAAATTGGACAAAGCCTGGAACTGTTGTTTTATTATATGAGCGTAAATATGAAGACAATTTAAATCAGTTATGGGATTTAGTGCCATGTGAAACTACAGATGCAGCATTAGAAACTTCGATTATAGACAATTCTGATGACGAAGAAGATGGTTATGTGTTTAGCTCAGCAAGTTACGCTTTGTAATAATAGAATACAACATTAATTTCAATAAAGACATATGTATTTGTATCTATATGTATATGAGTATATATAGATGTATATATTTATTTTATGGAACTTGGCAAATATATAAAAAAGTAGAGTCAATAATAGAGTTATGTATTATCAAACAGAAGCAAACTGAGCAAAATCCTTTAAAAAAATTGTTTGTTAAGAAAAAAGCTCCAAGAAGTTAGATTCAGTCCTGCTAATAAATCCTTGAGATGAAGTAAAATGCTTAATAAATCTATACATCCGAGCCCCTTTTATACATTGTTTATATCTTTATTTATTTGATTTTATTGAGATATTTTTTGCTCAGACCATGTTATTATGTTTCTTTTTGTTTTTCTTTGTTACCACCTTAAACTCTTCAGATACTGCAGGCATAATAGCAATTGGTATGTTTAGCTTTTTACCTGCCATATCTGCCTTCCTACGTGTCATAAAATCGTTTGCAAATCGACATCCATTCATTGACTCTGAATTGGCATATATAATATCTTGAATGATTTCCAAACTACTATTCTGGTCAATTGGAAATGAAAGAAGCATCTGTAAAATTTCGTCTACGTTGACACCAGCATTTAATCCTCTGAGAGATAATTTACACCAATTCAAGAACTCTTCACCAGGTGCTCGATTACACTTGGGCTTGGGCTGTTGTTGTTGTTGTTGTTGTTGTTGTTGTTGCTGTTGTTGCTGTTGTTGCTGTTGTAAATAAGGCTTCAATACGGTATCAGAAGCTTGTATAGTGCTGTTATTAGGCTTAATAACAGGTTGAACTGATGTTTTATTGGTTGTTGCCCCATCAGAATGTATTACTAATGGTTTTTTACCCCAAATATTCTGCTGCTTTGGCCCTAATTTTGATAATTTTTTTAATGATATATCATCATTAGAGGTTTTGTCTGCTTCTTTGGGTACAATACTGGCTATAGATGAGCACGATACTTTGCTAGATACACCTATGTTTTCCTTATCAGTAGCTGATGTTTGCGTTGTTGAACTTGAAGGATACTCTTTTAGCCTTATTTGCTCATTACTCACTGTTTAAAAAAAAATAGACATTAGTTTCAATATGTAGTCACTCCCCCCATTTATACATATAACTTTACAATGGTTTGTAGAATCTTGTAGAAGATCTGGACTGTCATAATCAAACTCTGTTGTTTTATCTTTTACTATTTGAATATTCAATATTTTTTTAACTAATAATTCGTCTTCATCATCTTCAATTGTTGGTTGTATTTGTTTGGTAAAAACACTTTCATCAGGATTCCATTCTCTATTTAAATTATCGAGAGTCTTTGTCTGTTGTGTCCTTCTTAAAACAGCTTGTTGAGTCATATGCAATTGTTGATCCTGTTGCTCTAAAATAAGTTTTTGTTGTAATAACTGCAAATGCTGTTGTTGATTTTGATGTAATATAGCAAGATAGTTTTGCTCAAATTGTTGGTTCATAAGATAATAATGCTGTTGCTGTTGCTGTTGTAGCTGTTGCTGCTGCTGTTGCTGTTGTTGTTGTTGTTGTTGTTGTTGTTGTTGCTGCTGTTGCTGCTGCTGCTGAAATGCAAGACTTTGAACATAGTTATTGCTATTTATATTGGTATTTTCATGCTGCATTAAAAATGGCAGTGGCGGTTGTAGCTTGTTAAATAAAAGTGACTCATTTTGTTGTTGATTAGTATTATTTAAATTGGGATACATGTAATTGCTATTATTCCATGAAGGAGAGAGTGAAGTTAAATGATGATTATTAAAATGGGTAGCAACACAATTCGCATCAAAATGCGGTATCAACGACTCATTTTGGATCCTTAGCTGGTTACCAAGTACATGAGTTCTATGATCAGAAAGTGGAGTCATTGTATTTTGTATCCTATTGATACGATTATCTTGTTGATAAAAATTATAGTGTTGCTCTGAGGTTACATCAGGAACGGTATTATTGTCTATTGTTGGAATTTTCCCAAAATATTTAGTAGCTAATGTGCTTAGAACTACTGAAGGGACTTGCGGTGTATTATTCCAAGTAGCTAAAAATGGTGTCTTTGAATCGTGTGTCTTTGTAATTAAATCTGATAAGGATTGAAAAATAACTTCATCTTCACGTTTTATTAACAGAGAGAGATCAAAGTAACCAGCAAAATACCATGCTTGCATTTCCTGCGCACTAAACGGACCTTGTTCTTTACCTGTTGAGTCACAATAAAGCCAACTATATGATTCCCCAGTTGTTGTTGTGCTTTGATTCGTGTTGGATTCTTTAAAGTCGCTATCTGTAATAGAAGGTGATGTGACAGGCAAGATATCTGGATCCGAATTATTACAATCTAAAACGAGGACTGTATCTTTTTTTGCCGTTAAAGGTGAAGTAAACGAACCATCGTTTGTACTAAATTCATCATTCATGACTTGATTATAAAAGTTTATACAAAATACTCCATTTTCATCAAAATCACCCACTTCGTCTTTACTGGGGATATCAGTATTCCAAAGAGGTATTTCATCTTGACTGTTATTGTCTAAACCTTTTATTTTATTTTGTTAGTGTATTATAAATTTAATATAATTATTTAATCTACTTACCTTCTAGTAGTAAAGGAGAAGAAAAGGCTACATTCTCAGATTCAATCTTATTATAATATATTATCAAAACTTAATTTTTTTTTATAACACATCTATTTTTTTTTCCTTTTTATATACCTCATATTTATTGTTTGAAGGTAAATTATATAATTTCAATATGTTTTCTTTGTTGCTATTATCTCCTTTAAACAGCAAATTATGCTTATCTCTTATATTTCCTGTACGCATCCTTTTATTTTTTTTTGTTAAAGTATTACTACATCATTATTTACAATATTAGTTAAAAAAAAAAAAAGATTATACCATTCAGGTCCAAAATTCATTTCAGTTGTCATCAACTTTCTTGTTAAAATAATTAATTAAAAATAAAAATAAAGGAAGAAAAAGAAAAAGAGAAGCCATATACTTGTTTGTGGAGTACAGAGTTTTTTTTAAAATAAATTAGCTTTTATTTGTTTTTGTTTTTGTTATGTATACAAAAAAAAAAAAAAAAAAAAAAAAAAAAAAAAAAAAAAAATTTTAAATAAGCGCCTAATGATTATTGAATTCGTGTGCCTGTGGTGTGTAAGTTTGTAGGATGTTAATCTAGAGCACAATTTGTGTACAAACCAACTACATTGTGTCTATGAATGATATTTTAAATATACTTGGTCATAACCTTGAATAGTCGTCTTTCCTGGCTGACTTTGGAATGTTTAAAATTTAATTGTTTAAATTATCTAAATGAATAAGTACTACTTTCATGAATTCATAGAATATATCCCAAATAAACAGTATGATACATGTTTATCGTTTCCTTCTTTTCAGTGCTTTTTATTGCTACAAAAATCCTCAGGAGATCTTGTAAATAAGTTAATATCAATATAATGCAGAGAATGTCAATAGAAAAGGAGATTAAAACTGTCTCTTAAAGTGCACTGGTTAGTCTCTGTTTATAAAACACATACTTATAAACTATTATGTAATATATACCACTAAATGGTATCATACTATCACTTATCAAACATTTAAATGATATTGCCTTTTATTTATTTATTGACTCTAACGTTATTAAATCATACCAAATCCTTCTGCATTACTTATACTTGTTAATAATCTTTCTCGTAATTTCTCTTTGCTACTATACTCGCAAAGAAGTAGTACATTATAGCATGTATGTGATGTAGGTAATCTAATAAATATATATATGTAAATGAATAAATAGAAAGTTGTATATAGTTCGTAATACGTACCTATCTGAATCACCCCCATTCTTTGCAATCACGAACTGAAGTTTACTTAGGCCACCAATAGGAGCCTGTAAAAATAAGAATAAAAGTTAATCAATTACTAAAAAGCCCTTTAATTAAATTCGCGATTACTCTATCTGATCCGGTAGTAAAGAATAACAGCTTCTTTTTTTCTTCATAACTAAATGAGTGTACGATTTCCCAGAAATATCTAAATAAATTACTCAGTTTTAACCTGTACATAGTAACTCTATATATGTTTATACTAACTTGATAATAAGAGAATCCTTTGTCCACCCACCATCATAAACTGTAGATGCTTCCAATGCATTGAAATCTAAATTTGAACTTCCACAAACAAGTTGTTCTACTTCTTCTGGTCTAAATATCTTGAATAAAAATACAAATGTTAGTCATAGAGAAAAAAGGACTTTTTTTTTTTTTTTTTTTTTTTTTTTACTTTAATAGCACTATCTTTGCAAACTAATTGAAAACCTTCTTTGAAGGCGTTAAACTGCTTTTCAATGGATGTATTCAAAATAAATTGTACATACAAATCAACAAATTCTTGGCGATTTTCATTTGTTAATTGTATCATAGATCCTCCAGGTTTCAAGTCGTAAGTCAATAATTGATCAAAGGACTTGACATCAACCTGAAAGCAATGATCATATTCTTTTTCAATATCGCCGTCAAAAATTAATAATTTTTCCAATCCTACTCCTAGACTCTACGGAAAAAAGAAATATACATATACATATACACATTTTAAATACAAAGTGGAACCATAAACGAATATACACTTACAGGATCTAATTGCTTTAAATCTAATAAATCAATGTCTGATACCCCCATAAGCTTCTTGTACAAAACCAAAGGGAAATGAAGATCTAAAATGACACTATTATAGACTGCAAGCCCTAGAAGTAAACCCACTAACTTATATTCTCGAATACTGGTTTCGTCTAAAACATTTGGATGATTAGGCATAAACCAGCATAATCTTGATTCTTCATTGAAATTGAAGAGACCATACTTGGGATCAAATATTTCTCTAACAATAAGTTGAAAGAATTCCTTCTGGACTCCTCCTTCATCAACACCTTCTTCACCTACAAATTGAACTCTTAATTGTTTTTTCAAATCATGGATTGTCTTTTCTTCCAGCTTTAAAAAAAGAAAAAAAAAGGGGAGGGGAGGGGAGGAAGAGAGTTAATCACTGTAACTGATAGTACGATATATATCTATATTTTACCTGTTGTAATGTATCTGATATAATATGATCACGTCTAATTTCTAGTACAAGGTAAGGACTATTTACACCTATATTCACATGCAAATTTAATATATACATATTTTACAATGATTCACGTGTGTATACCTTGAAATAGAGCTCTAAAGAATGCATCTTGAAGCTCATGCCTCATTTGAAATACACTTTCAACTTTAAGCACATCTGCTTTTACGGCTGGATTAAGCATAAATGGATAGTCACAGAAAGAGAATCTAAATAACAAAAAAAAAGTCGAATTTATTTATTCTCTTTGTCAGTATCAATTGCTCCCTTCTTGGGTTTGTACCCTTTTTTATCTTTAAAATTCGGAAAGTCTTCTTTAATTTCAAGTTGTTCATTGACTGTATCGTTATAAAATTCGGTGTAGGGTATATATTTATGTTTCTCATTCATACGGTCTATCAAAAATGACGTTGTGGCATGAATATCTACACTAGTTTTATATATGCATCTATTTGTATAATACACCCTTACATAATACTTCAATACATTTGGTAGCGTTGATAACAGCTGGATCCACGTTTGATCCAAATCCATTGGTTACAGTATTGTTATTCAGTGATACGAGTCGTTTGCTTACAAATTGTTGAAATAAATTTAATAGATTCTTAAAAGCTGTCTTTGATTCTGGCTCAATTAGAAATTCAAAGAGCTGAATTTGCATAAAAGGGTTTATGAGTGTTATTACTTGACATAATTCGGCCAATAGACTGGTTGAACCATCATCAACGAGAAGGGAGCACTATAGAGCAATATATATAGACATATATATAGACATGTATATAGACATATATATATATATATAGATATTAAAAATGAATGTATAGGCTGAATAGACTCTATTATTCATACTTACTTGGAATAAGATGACAATGGAATGAAAATGATCAATAGTAAAACTGTCTTTTCTATTCCTTATCATCGAGGCTAGTAATTGCTTTGATTGTTCCATAACTGTTGTCATCAACATGGGAGGACACTAATAAATCAAGACATGAATTATATATTGATACATATATAAAAGAAAAACTGTATAGTCTACCTCCTGTAATATATCAAATGCCTGTTTAACTTGTATTTTGTCTACAAGACAACGCTGATTTTGAGCAGGCGATATCTAGGGGCCAAATAAAATAAAAGAATATCAACAATTAGTTTTAAAACAGTCATGTATACTTCTTATTACCTGAATAAAGCTTGAGCTTAGACATTCTACATGACTAAATACATGTGATAACCTATTAACGAATTTAGTCCAATCTCCAAGTAATTCTGCTTCTAATTTTAAAGTCTTTATAATATTTAAATCGATATCATCTATATTTATGACTTAGTATATTTGCTCTACACAATTTCATATCAATAAAAAGGTTATTACCAGCTACAAGACTTGTATCCATCGTCAAAAAAAAAAAAAAAAGTATATAAATGAATATTTGTAAAAAAAAAAAAAAAAAAGTGTCACACCATAACAACTTTTAATAAAATTCGTTTGTTTAACTTTTTTTTTATTTTTTTATTATTTTTTTTTTCTTTTCTTTTTGTTCCTCTTTTCTTTTATTATAAATAACAATGTCGTCACTTCGATCATTTTTTAATTCTAGAAGAGCACAAAGGAATTTTAACAACAAAACTGAACGCATCACTTTGTCAGATAATACAAAACATGTTGCTGTACAAGCTCCACAACCTGTGTACGATTCTCTTCCTAAATCTGCCAACACCACAACAATTATCGTTAAAAAGAAATCGATGGAATCAAAACAAAACAGCATTTTGAATTATTTATCATTTAAAAAAAATACTAATGTTGTTGATAAAAATGAATCAGAGGATATCCAGATTTGTAAAATTAGAAAAAGCATTCCCATGACAAATATATGGAATATTATTATGGAAGAATTTGATTCTCAATCACAAACCAACCAATTACATGGAACACCCATACCGAGTGAAGATGAAGAAGACATCTTGGAGGATATAGAAGTAGGAACTACAGCACTATCAAATAAAAGAATTAGAAAACAAGAGAACATGTCTAGAGTAAGTTTTTTTTTTTTTTTTTTTTTTTTTTTTTTTTTTTTTTGTATGGAATATAAACCAAATCTATTCAATATGAGCCTAACATATATACATATTTATATATGAATACATATCATTAGAATGTAAGAACTCGTAACAATGCAGAATTGTCAATAAATACGTATGATCAAGATGATTATTTAATTGATGATGTAGAGGAAAATCTTTCAAGACCTTTACGATGTAAACGCAACTTGGAAGAAACTAATGCATTTTTATTACACATTGCTGATGAATTCTTGGCTTTATCAGATAATCGATGTTTTCAAATCAAAGCCTGTTAACATTTATATCCTCATTTACGTGCATTTAATAAAACCATTAAAATATATTTGTTGGAAAAAAAAAAGAAAAGCTATTATTATTATTATTATTATTATTATTATTATTATTATTTTATTTTATGATGCATATTCTAATGCTAATACGAATTCACTTCCCCAAGGAATATGAAAGTTCCCCACGGCTTTTTCAAAGCAAAGGAAAGGTAAGCCAGTATCTGCTAAAAATAATTCACCCGTAACATTACGTGAAGTACAGCCTATGTAAGGTGCGCCTAAACATAAAGTCCATTTAGGCTGAATAAAAGCACTTGAATCATCGGGCACACTACCATTATTAGGATTAACACCACTAGGGAACTCAATACTTAATACAGGAGCTTTGTTATTATTGGCCCAATCCATTTGCATTTTGATGGTAGGTGTGATTTTTAACATTTCAGGGCCTAACAAAGCATCGAGAATGATATCAACGGGCATAGTATAAGGATCAGGAAGATCTAACAAAAAAAAAAAAAATAAAAAAAATAAAATTAATATCATAATTCGACAGTTTTCCTTTAAAAATTACCATTGATTGAAGAAACAAAGCGTGCGCCAGAGAATTTAGCAAGTGCTTTATATTGCTCAAAGGTTGAATTACTATATGAATCTTCTAATAAACTGATAATCACCTGACAACCACGGTTCGCTAAATGACGCGCGGCAGCAATACCAAATTCACCAATAGCTGTGGGACCTACAAGGATCACAATCACTGGAGCTGCATTATGGTTTTCAGGTTGTATACGACGATGTCCTCCAATGGCTTTTAAAACCATTGCGCTTATACCAAATGCACCATTCTCAACAAACTGTGTTTGTGTTAATCCCATTTCTCGTGCGAACAATTTAGCAGTTTCCATCTGATTTGAGTTCACTGTAGGAATTTCAATACCACTAGCGACTGTCAAAATTCGTGAACGTGTTAATGTCGTTTTCTTAGTCTGTTGTTGTGTGTCATTCGAAGAACCGTTTCTTCTGACTCGAGGAGGAATAAGAACAGCAGGAATATTAGCTCCTACAGATGATGTGTCCTTTGACGGTTCCTTCTTGGGATTTGTTTGTTTTATTTCTGCTGACGATTCAGTTGACTTTTTAATAGACGCTTTCCCCTTTTCAAAATCAGAATAGTCTTCAAAGATGACAACTTCTTTAACAGGCTTATTCATTTTTTGTTTCCAAAAAGTGGCTTTTTAACTTCGGGAACAAATTTAGGGGAATTTGTGATACTAATGATGGCAGGATCTTGGAAAGGAGTAGACTTTTTTTCTTGTTGAAAAAGAACGGAAGGATCAAGTGATATGGGCTTTGATTGAGTAAATAAAATAGCAGGATCAAAATTACTATTTGTGCTTGACGACGCTTTATTCATAGATTCATAATTAGAAGATGATGGTTGAGTAGAGATGATTGCAGGATCCTTAGGCAAATTAGGGCTTTGTTGATGAAATAAAATAGCAGGGTCCATATGCATCATAGAATTTGTAGGCGCTTCAGAAGCAAATTTTAGTGTATTAAGCTGCTGTTGTTGCATTGGCTGTGGTGATGGCATTGGCCGTTGCATTGGCTGATGTGACATTGGCTGCTGTTGCATTGGCTGATGTGGCATTGGCTGCTGTTGCATTGGCTGTTGTTGCATTGGCTGTTGTTGCATTGGCTGTTGTTGCATTGGCCGTTGCATTGGCTGATGAGGCATCGGTTGTCGTTGTTGTGGATAATGCATGTGCTGCTGCTGCTGAAATATTTGCTGTTGTGATTGTTGCGATTCTGACTGTTGTTGTTGTTGTTGTTGTTGTTGTTGTTGTTGATTGACTTTATTCATTTGTAATACTTCTAAATCTTTAATGTTTTTTGTAATAATTGGCAGTAAAGTCTCTTCTGAATGAAAACCATTTCTATGCTCAATCATCGCTAAATAGTAATGTTAAATAAAAGTGAAATCTAACAAGGAAAACAAACAATATATATATTTTACCATCTTTTAACACTAGTCGGCCTTGTTCATCTTTTCCATTAATATATCCTTTGACAATAGAACCTGTATTAAGTACAAGCTTTACATAGACTCCAATATATTTGTCCATCTTTTTCTTTTTGTATACAACTGACGCGTACTGATAAAATAACAGAAATATTATGTTTGAATATGTATTTTATTTATAATGAATTTAAATTTCAAGAAACTTTATTAATTGCATCAAAATTGCCCGGGTCGGATCATCAATAATAATAATAAAAAAAAAAGACTCTTTTGGGATCAAAAAGAAGAGGTGTCTTTGCCTAAGCTGTGACTGTAGAGAAGAAGAAGTAGTAAATCAAGTTTGTGTAAGATTATACAAATAACTGATTAACTAACTAAAGAAGAATATCGAAATACTAACACGGTTTATATGCAAGCATCTTATTTTTTTTTAAAAAGAAAAGGGAACTAACTGCTTGAAATTGAAAGTATGGTATTAGATATAATTACTGCTTCAATTTTAAATTTTCAAAATTAGAATATCTTTTTTATTTGGAAACTTCTTATCATTCAAACATACTTCTTCTGAATATAGACCAAAACTGTTTCATCAAGTAAGATTCGTGTAAACAAGTAGGAAAATAATCATAACTGTTGTATTCATGTTGTTTGAAATATTTCCTAAATTCAACATATTTTTTTAATAAGGGCATTATAATAATAAGCCTTAAACTAATGATCTTGTTAATTCATAATAATAAGCATGCTGGCAATGATATTAAGATACTAATTTGTAGTAATTCCAGTTTTATTATTTATCAACACTCTAATTTTTTTTCGGCAAAAACAGATACTATTTTTATATATTTGCAAGCTCTTTTTTATTTTATTCAAGTCTTTTTCTTGATATATCATCTATGTGGTCCTTCAAAAATCGTTCATATCCTTTGTTTAAAACTGGTAGCTTTCCTGTAGCTCATTTACTGTTTATTTATCTGTCTGTCTATCTATCTGTCTGTCTGTCTTTTCTTTGGATTTCTTTTGTTCTTTCTCGGTCTAATTTTGAGCTGTATTTTTCGAGCATTTGAAGTAGCCATGCTGTTTCGCAAATATTTATATTTTTTTCAGAAAAAAAAAAGAGAAAAAACTGTCCTTTGTTCTCATAATTATAGCATCTTTCATTCTATTACAGCTATTTTAAGTAAATCTTCTTTCTATTTTTACTTTTCTTTTTTTTATCTTTTCATGTAGCTTCAGGCCAAAGCATTGATTGAGGTGTTGCATTATGTTCTTTTAAAAGTTAGTATTTGTCATCTGTTCTTATATTTATTATGGAGGCATTATATCCTTGTTCATAAATTACATTCTATCTTTTATTTTTTTTTATTTTTATTTTTATTTATTTATTTATTTATTTATTTTTTTTTTTTTTTTTTTTTTTTTTTTTTTTTTTTTGAGTATAAAATCCCTTATTTTTAAATACAGAAAAGCAGCTGCTGTCCATAAAATGTGTATTCTTTTTTCTTTCTTTTTCACAGTAAATAAAAGTCAGACAGTATACATATTTTGTAAAATTTCAATATTTTGTACGGAATATTTGTTAACACTGCATAATGTCGCTCTTTGATGACTACTTGGAATCAGTTCAAGCTTCTAATAGCAATGATAATAATAATAATAAATCGAATGATATTTTAAATAAGAATGAAGAGTTGACTGTAATGTCAAAGAATATGAAGGTAGATTAGATAAAAAGCTAGCTGTTATGTTTTGCTTAATCTTCTAAATGTATATATTAGAAAGCAACTGGCTATATAGCAGTTGGTTCGTATGAACATGGAGACCCTATGTTTTCTCTTCAATATGTTCAATTTCAACTACCCGACACATTAGTTGATCTTGCTGTTCAAAACAATATATTGGCAGCTATTCTCGATAATTTTCGTATTATAAGAATCGATCTTGATAATCCCCTGGAAGTCGACAGTAGGATTCGAATAATATTACCTTCTGATTTTAATTTAACCAACCTTTTTTAGTGGTTGAGATTTCGAGAAAGTCAACTTCGAATAAAGCTATTAAATTGTTTTTGGATCCCACAGGTCGGCATATTATAGTGACATCAAGTAATGGTGAAAATTATTACTTGTTCCATAAATGGAGAAGAACAAAGGAATTATCAAAACTAAGAGTACTGCTAATTTGTAGTTTTTTTTTCTTCGTTTATATATTCACAAATCATTCAAATTCATTCTTAGGATATCACAATTACTTCGATTGCCTGGAACAAATATGTGAGCCCTTCTAGTCCAACAACTGGAGAAATCTTAGTAGGCACGAATACTGGTATTGTTTATGAGACATGTATAGAGCCGACTGATGAATTCTTTAAACGTGAAGAAAAATATATGACTAAAGTATTTTCATTAAATGAGCCATCAATGCCCATTACCGGTTTACAATTTGAACGATTTCCAACTGATCATCAAAAGTATTTTGTCATGTTGTCAACACCCTCACGACTTTATCATTTTACTGGTTTTATAAATACAGATGGTGATAAAACTCTGTTTGCTTGTCTATTTTCCAACTACGAGGATCATCCTGAGTTTCAAGAACTTCCTAGCGATCTTAACTATAGTCGTATGTTATTTTTTAACCGATTCCCTGAATTACAGATGGAGGGCGTACCACAAGTGTTTGCATGGTTAATTGGGGTAGGAATTTATTATGGCCATCTCAGCTTTAATGAGAAAGATGATCACCTTTTAAATGATGCTAATTTAATACCATTCCCACCCACAACTTATGATGAGAATACAGATACCTTGATTACAGATCAACCTATTTCATTTATCATTACCGAGTTTCATTTTGTGCTGCTCTATAAGCGTTACGTGCGAGCTATGTGTCGACTAAGTGATAAGATCGTATACGAAGAGATGATCCCGCTCAATCAAGATGAGGTTGTGAGAGGTATGACAGTTGATGATATAAAGCGCACTTATTGGATTTATACGTCGGACGCTATTTATGAGCTTGTGATTCATGATGAGGAACGAGATGTATGGAAGCTCTATTTGCAGAAGAAAGAATATGCAATGGCACTACAATATTGTAAGGAGCCATCGCAACGAACACAAGTTTATACAGCGCAGGCTCAAGAAGATTTTGAACAACACCGTTATATGGAAAGTGCCAAATATTTTGCCCAAAGTGCTGTGCCATTTGAAGAAGTTGCACTCAAGTTTACGAAAAAGAAGGAAAGAGATGCATTACGGTTTTTCCTGATAAGTCGATTGGAACAATTTGATTCAAATGTGAGCTATAAATTGGATAGTTGAATGTGTAACCCTTGAAAGCTATTAACACTTGAGAAATTATAGGATCGCACTCAAAAGACATTAATAGCAACATGGCTTGTAGAGCTTTACTTGCAAAAGATGAACCAATTAGAAGAAATAACGGCCTCCATCAATTTCACCAACAACAGTAATAAGAAAATGAATTCACATTATAAAGATGAATTACAAGATATTAAAGATGAATTCTATACGTTCTTGGAAACATTTGGCCATTGTTTGCATATACCAACAACCTATAAACTCATCTCTCGTCATGGCTTCAATTCAGAATTATTAAATTTTGCGTCTTATATTGGAGATCATGAAAAAATAATTGAACATTGGATTTCAGAAAAGAATTGGGAAAGAGTCATCAAAGCTTTGGATGGTCAAGTAATGTTTACAGCATTAGAGTATTAAAAAAAGAATTGCATTTTATTTAACTATAATCTCTTTGAATTTAAATAGAATAATCTCGAGTTATTTTATAAGTTTAGTACGCCACTAATGGAAAACATTCCTGAAAAAACAGTAGACGTATGGATTAATTATCCTAAATTGAACCCGAGATATCTTATTCCTGCACTGCTACGATATAATCATTCAAATAAAAATTCTGAGGTAATATATGAATATTGGTCATTGTTATTTTTCTAATTTTACAATATGAACAATAGAATCAAGCTATTCGATATCTTTTCTATGTGGTATCTGTACTAGGCAATAAAGATCCAGTTATTCATAATTTCCTTTTAACATTATATGCGACACAGCCAACAGACGATGAAACTGCACTTTTGACATTTTTGAAAAATGAGGTAGCACACATAATTTAATAATGTATGTGTCACTAACTTGTTTTTTTTTAAAAAAAAAAGGGGCGAGAAATGCATTATAAACTTGATTATGCTTTAAGGATTTGCAGTCAAAATGGACGAACACAAAGTTGTGTACATCTTTACAGTCAAATGGGTCTTTTCGAAGAAGCTGTAAACTTAGCCTTAGAGGTAAACAGGAAAAAAAAAAAGAACAATATAGTATAATAATAGCTTATATTGACTTTAATCTAGCATCATAACTTAAATTTAGCAAAATCCAGTGCTGATAGACTCGAGGATGATAATGCACTTCGAAAAAAACTATGGATTAATATTGCAAAATATGTTATTCAAAACAATAAAAACATAAAAGTGTAAGTTTATTTTTTTTTTAAAAAAAACACATTTATTAATAGTAATAACCCTTCTTTAGAGCTATGCAATTTTTAAAGAAATGCGACTTGCTAAAGATAGAAGATATTTTGCCATTCTTTCCTGATTATGTGCTAATCGATGACTTTAAAGATGAGATTTGCTCTGCATTAGAAGAATATAATATTAGTATAGAAGAGCTTAAGGTAGAAATGGATGAAGCCACTTCAAGTGCTGAGCATATTCGAATCGATGTTCGTAAACTACGTAAGAGGTACACATTATTAAAAGAAAAAAAAAACTATGCTTAGTATTAAATACTTTTGTTTTATGACTAGGTTTTCCATTATTGATAAGGAACAAACTTGCTATTTATGCAAATTTCCTTTGCTGACCCGGCAGTTTTATGTGTTTTCTTGTAATCACGAATATCATGTAGATTGCCTAAGAAATAGAGTAAGTAAATATATATATATGTATGTATATAGATTTACACTTGTTAATATTCGAGTTATATGTATGTATTAGGTTGCAAAAGATTTACCTACACGTCAAATTAAAAAACTAGCAGATATTCAAGAGCAACTTTCGCATGAATTTAAGCTAGTTAGAACTCTACAGACAATGGACGAAGAAAAGGAAATTGCTTTACGTATTGATGAGTTAAGGCATCAATTTGATCATATTATTGCGAATCAATGTGTAATGTGTGGTGATATTATGATTAATTCGATTGATGTACCCTTTATTGGAGAAGATGAAGCTGATGTAGCTGCTAGTTGGGTTATTTAAATTAGGGAATTTGTTGTGTAAATACCATTATATACATAAATATTTATATACATATATATCAACCTTTTTTTTTTCCTTGTATTTAAAATGGATGAAATTGCTTTCTACAGTTATAAGAAAAGTATTTTTATGTCATAATAAATTTTGTTCACATTAATCAACATACCTATAATTTATTATAAAAACGAAACAAGTACACCAATTTAACTCCCACTTTTGTTGTTGTTCTTGATAGGTATGGGTTCCTTTTTATAATTTTAACAAGGTACATTGATTGTATATAGGTCATATTACTATTCTTACTGTTGATACTTTCAATATCTTCTCCAGTAATGGTATAATTTAACGTATTATTAGAAAGAACTTATTATACAAAGACTGACTAATATAATAACTACTTACATTCCAAACTCATTCAAATAGATTATTAAAAGCCTCTATTTTTAATAACTTTCGAAGCAAGCAAAAGGAAAATTTGAATCTTTTAGATGTTATATGACTTAAAAGAAACCTGTTTAACAAGATGGATATGACATTGATAGTTTGGTCTCAACGCGATATTGCATATGTAATTATTACTGAATATAACAAAGTATATTAGGCTTCTTCTTTTTTTTAAAAATATATATATATATATATATGTGTATATAGTCATAAACAAAGTAACTATTATGTTTATAGTTTCCTTGGAAAAAAAAAAGTTGATAAAAATGGGAAGGGTATTTTCAAATTATTAACGGAACCAAGATAATCTTTTTTCTCGTTTCTCTGTCTCTTGACTACTATGTATAATGAATAAGTTTCATATATTTACTTATGTTTATCATTTACCTTTCACCGCCCCCTCTTAAGGGCTTGGCAATTCTATTAAAACTTAACATAGACACGCCTTGTGCTTTATGTGAACGTGCCTGTTCTAATCGGCCACGAACTGCTTGAAGCTGTGATTCAAATCTATCAAATAGTCCTTTTAATGATATTGCTTCATTTTTTTTTTTAAAAAAAAAAAGCTTACTTTTCGTTTTGAATCAATAATCTATTTTGCGCTTCCTTAACCAAATTATCCAAGTTTTGTATAATTTCATTCTTTGCAGTCAGTTTTCTATCTGATAATGCAGCTTCTTTTTTTAGTCGTGAGTTTTGCTCAACAAGCTATAATTCATTTGATTAGTTTTCTTTTTCTTTTTTTTTTCCTTGTATATTTATTTCTATAGTTTATACCTGCTTCTGTACATTCGTTAATTGATCTAAATTCCTTTCCAATAGGGCCATTTTCTTTTGTTGAGCTTTATTATTGGTTGCTTTCAACAAATTATTTTGTTGAATACGAGTTTCGTCCAACGTAATCTCAAGTTCAACAACCTTTTCACATCGACTTTGGAGATCACGCATCAATACCTTTTTCATATTTTCAAATTCTGCTAATTCTTGGGCCATTGATTTCTTCATCTTTTCAAGCTCTAGTTCCTTTTGTTTTATTGCTTCTTCAGATAAGACTGAAGATTCATTTGCAGCCATCTTTTGTTGTAGTTTTTGCTGCGTTTCTGTCATTTCAGCAAGGACTGTTTGTATTTTCATTTCTTCTTTAGTCTTATTTTCAATGTCTGCTTTAAGGGATTCGATCTCCTTTTGCTGTATTTGACTCTTTATAAGGAATTGATTTTCTAATTTAGTCTTGAGCTTAGCAATTGAATCTACAATACTCATTGACTGTCTCACATCCATTTCTTCCATAGCAATCGATTTATCCAACAATTCTTCGTATTCATTTTCCAAAGTATTGAACCGGATTTCAAGGTTCCTACGTTTTTGCTCAAGTGCGCCTTTTTCTTCTTGAAGAATATCAATTGTTTCTTTATGCTGTTTAATTAAACCCCTGGTCATTTCTAGTTCATGTCGTAACTGTGCAATAGATTTAGGTGTCATTTCTTTAATATCTAAAGCAGTTTCTAAATTGTCCTTTTTATCAGTTGCATTCTCCTAAAAAAAATTAAAAAATTAAAAAAAATAAATAAAATAAAATAAAATAAAATAAAATAAAATAAAATAAAATAAAATAAAATAAAATAAATAAATATAAAATCCCTATTGAATATGTATATACATATAAATATATAATATTTTACCATCTTCATGTCTGCAACTACCAGTTCTTGTTTATTTTTCTCTTCAGCAGCTTCCAATCTTGCCAAAGTCTCCTTCAATTCTTCAAGTTCTGCCTTGTATTCTAAATTTGCTTCTTTCAATGAATCAATATTGATCTCTCCTTCCTTCTTTTCATAAGAATCTTTTTCAAGCTGTAAATGTGTTTCATTTAATTCAAAAGAGAGTGCCTTATTAGCTTGACTTAAAGATCTTTCCTTTTCTTTTATCTCTTTCAGTATGAGTTGAATACTTTCAACTTGTTTCTCACGATTTGATAATTCAGTTCTTTTTTCTGATATTTGTTCTAATAATTCCTGCTCACGCTTTAAAAATTCTTCTTTTTCATCTGTATTAAGCGTTGTAGCCGGTGTTGATGGTCTACTATCCTCATCTATGGATAGTTTAAATGGTGTTGGCGGTGGTGTAAGAGGAGTATGGACGTTAGTACTATAAGGAGGAGCTTTATTACTTGAGGATTTATTGCCTATATCCTTTGAAGCCCAATTTGATTCTGGCACTTTTTGGCCCAATCTCCATAGACCAATTTCTTTTTCTAATGCATCAATATAAGCTTTGTAAGAGACAGCATCACTTTTAACTCTTTTGAGTAGGGCCCTAAGTTCTGCAGGAGACAAATCTGCATTCACCTTAGCCTTATTCTTAATCGTCTTTGCTCGTGCACCAAATCTTAAAGTGGAGATCGTTTCTGCTTCATTGTAAGAGGATGGGGAACAATTGATAATAAGAGTTGTACGAGAATTACCACCCAATGATTCCTGAAGAATACGAGTTAATTTTGAATCTCTATAAGGAATGTGGCTTGACTATATATATATATATATATATATATATACATATATACATATTTAAATTGAAAAGAAAAAAAAATAATAATTCAGTAACTCTAATAAACATATATAAAATAGGTATATATATATATTCTTTTATACCTTTCCATCTGTTAAGGAATTAATCACCATACCCAAAGCTGTAAGTGATTTATTAATCTTCTTTGCTTCTTCTAAAGTTTGGCCTGAGGCGCCTGTTTTTCCTACTTTTTCTGAACCAGCCAAATCTACTAAATAGAGCTTGCCACTTTTAGCAGCACCAGTATCCAAATTTTTCTGCGTTATAGTAACCAAGACAATAGAATGACTTCTTGAACTTTCTGCATTCATATCTATCAGATTAAAAAAAAATAATTTAGATGTCAAAATAAAATTATTATTATCCATGATGACCTACTTGTATATGCTACTACACGATTTTCACCACCAATTCTCATGACATCATACACCTCAGTTGTATCAGATACATATACTTCTTTAATTCCTTTTACATAGACACCTTTCATTTTATCCTCATGAATAGCCAAATTATCATTTGTTGCTATTTAAATATGTAAGGTATCTATCTATTGTTATTATTCATTTTTTAATAAACTTACGAACTAAAAGATCTTTTACTCTTTCCATGTAAATTTCCATATAGGCTACTTTGACAGTAAATTCCATGTTGGTAGGCGCCATTTGAATACTCTTGAATATCTGTTCAACAATACGTGGAATAATACCCTTGTTTTCAATGTCATCAATACTAGACCCCATCATTGTGAATGTTTTACCCGAGCCAGTTTGACCATAAGCGAATACGGTACCGTTATAGCCAGCCACCACATCTTTTTTTTTTTTTTTTTTTTTTTTTTTTTTTTTGAAAAAAGGAAAAAAAATTAGACTGTATATTGACTAATAAAAAAAAAAGAAAAACAAACTTGTGCTGTTTTCTTACCATCAACAATAGATTTAATGGAATATTCAAATATTTCTTGTTGCTTTGTGTTTGCGCCAAATACTTTATCAAATGAAAATGAATTGGTATCTTTTCCCTATTGTATTAATTCATATATGAGTTTCAAAAACTTTTTTTTCTTTTTTTCTGTACCTGATTTTTATTTTTATTATTACCTTGACTGAGATACCTGTTCCGTCTTCCGATATCTCAATAATAGGTACACCACCCTCTTTTATTTCTAATTTGTTTTGCGGTCGAAAACGACATACGACTTTGATATTATTTCCTGACATTTATGTTCTAAGTAATATTCGAATAAAGATTTTTTTTATATATTAAAGTATTGTTTATTAAGGATGATGAGTTCTCGACAATGAAATGGTATAGGATTGTAACTTTGTTTTGTAATTAATAATTAAAAAAGGAAAAAAAAAAAAGTTTGATGAATAAGATGAAAGAAATTACAGTAAATTGAATGAAATGAAATAAAGAAAAAAGAAACAGTAGAATTAAAAAAAAAAAAGGAAAAGGAAAAAAATAAAATAAAGAGACTTATTGCATCTCAAAAAGACTGATGATGGGAGTACAAAGAAATATATACTGATATCGTCGAATCAGGTTTGAGAAGCATTTTTTTTTTTTATGACTGTATAAAAATACTATGGATTTGCTTGAATTTGTTTAAACTTTGGATATCAATGCAGTGTACCGAATCTGTCGCTGTAATAGAATTAATATTAGGAATCTTTATAATACCAAGCTTTGTTTGTTGTTCTTCTTGCTGATCGGAAGACTGTAAAGATAAGTAAGTTTAGATGCATATAATGTACATTTAAAAATAAAATAAAATAAACAAACCTTTTGATTCTTTTTCTGGTTGGTTGAAACCTGAAGATCATTCACTATTCGATGTCTCAGCTGAACGCTACGTTGTTTAAGTGTATATAATACAGATTGCTGCGTTTGATATTGATAGTCAGGTGACTTTTTCATACTTTGCCATTTAGAATGACGTTGGAGTTGAACTATACGAGGTGAGGCACTTGTTATACGCATATCTTTAATTAATGCTCTTGTTTCTCGAGCTACTTCATTAAGCAATTCACGTCGGTTAGATTTTGTTTCAAGTACTCTATCTGGTTCGAGCAATTGAGCATAGGCATTGCTCTTTAATTGAGCATTTTCAGCTCGTAAATAACGAATTGAGGCCTTTAATATCTCAATCTGTCCTGATAATTCATGATAATGGCTTGCCATTTCTTGCATTTGAGTTGAATCCTCACCAACTTCAAAGTTGGTTTTTCTTAACAAAGACTGTCGAGTCTCTTCTCGTTTACTAACTTCCTTTTTAAGTTGCATGTTTTCCATTTCCAGTGCATCATATTCGTTTTGAAGATTCTCCATAGCTTCAACATACATTTGTTCTTGATTCATAGATTTCTCGAGATCTTCCTCTAAAGACTTCATATGTTCCACCTCCTTTTTGGCTATTTCCATTCTCTTTTCAAGTAAACTTATCTTGACTTCATATTCTTGAAGTGCTTGATCCTATACATAGGTAGATAGCAAATTAATTCAGTTTATACATATATATATATATATAGTAAGCATACAACTTGTTTACCTTGAATCGTACGTCCTTAATAAGCTTAACAATTTCTTCATTATGCTGTTGTAACTTGTGTTCCAACTCGTGATTAATAACGATTTCGGCCTTAATATCTGCAGCTCGTTGAATCCATGGCGCCACATTCGTAGTAACTAATTATATAAGTAATTACTTCCTTTGTCTATATGTATATAGTTATATAAATATTTATATACTTACTTTTATCCAACTTATTGTCATGCTCAATTTGTGTATAGGTTGTTTCAAGTTCAGTAATCAGAGTCTTCATGGTCCTTAAAGCATTTTCCCACATATAAGTTTCCCCCATTTCAAATATTTCATCACTTTTTTCATTAATGATCTTTTGAATAAAGGATAATTCTATTTCTTCTTGATTATCCCGTTTGGTATCAAGGTAAGTTGTACTTTCTTTACAAGCCTAAATACATACATATATATATATATATATAAAGCAAAATTAATTATTAATTATGTTTGTTAGTCTATCTATTTATGCATACATCTAAACAGAATTTAGATAACTTTGTACTAATAGCATAAAGCATCTTGAATCGATGTAAATAATCAGGTCTTAGTGTCATTGCTTCTTCAAACATATCTTCTAATTGTCGTGTTAATTTCCTATATAGATATAAAGAATGATATAAATGATGCTTATTATTTTTGTTGTACTTTAGCATGAAACTTTACTTGGCTATAATTTTATTATTCTTTGCTTGTGCAATCAGTCGACCTACTGGCTCCATATAATGTTGATCCATTTCATTTATTCCCTCTAAAATACTTGTACCCTCATCTCGAACAGTACGGTTTAAAGATTGTTTAGCAAAAGTCAATACAACAATTATACAATCAGCGTTTAGATCAAGTGCCCTCGTAAGTCCAAAGAATTGGTCCACATTGTTCTTTTCCTGTTGTGGATCTATATGATTTTCTATTAAATGCTCTACCTGTGAAATCACTCGTTGAAGTTCTGTCAAGCAATGAGTTTCATTTAATTGATCTAGTCTAAACAACTCAATAATGGCATTTACTCTTTAAAGAAATAAACAAAAAAAAAAGAAATAGTTAATATGTTATTGCAGTCTTATATTTCAAAGATAATTTATCCTAGTAAATATATGTATACCTCCTTTCAACACCAATTAAATCATGATAAACTCTACCCAATTTTGAGAAGACTACATTGTCAGAGTTTTTCATATATGTTTGGAAGCGTAAAGATAATGAACTTAACCATCCTGCTTTTTGTTTGATCTATTTAAGAGAATATAAGTATATAAAAAAATTATGCAAACAATTGTCAATTATGCTCTCTCTTTACCTCACAGATAGTAACCAAGTTCTCAGTCACATTATCCATAATCTTTTCACTGATGGGATAGCTTTGATCCAAATGTTTTACAATAAGGGTTGATTTGTATTCTAATCGTTTAAATAATAGTAAACACGAAATTGCATCATTTTCAGTTTTGAAAAACGATTCTGGTAAATAAGGCTGAATCATAGTAAGACGATCATTAGCCTGGGATGCTTCCAATTTGCGTAGTTCAATATCAATTTGCTTGGCCTGCGCCTTCATTACTGTATTCTGTAACTGTAAATTAAGAGACATGACAGCCTGAGACTGACTACTTAATGTTATCTTGTGTGAAGCATCTTCTTGTTCTTTACGTTTAAATACTTCAAGATCGTTTTGCAAGAGTGTCACGAGTTCCCTAAACTGTTGAATTGTAGCCTCGTAATCTCCCATTGTTTCTTCATTAGCTCGCAATCGTTCAAGTTGTTCTCGCAATAACATATCACGATGATCAATTTCAGCTTGTAATTGCTTTTCTGTTTCCATATGATTCTCTTCGAGTTCATCGGCTAGTTCTTTAAGCGCTTCAAGATCTTCAACAGTTGATGTAAGCTCGTCCACTTTTTCAGTAAGATTTAAATTTTTCTCAGTTAATTGCTCAACTAATTCTTCAGCACCAAGGGCATCATCAAGTTGCATCTTGATGTCCTCCACAAGAGATTCAGTCATGGCCAACCTTTCTACCATTTTTTCATACTGTCCTTTTATTTCTTTAAGAGCATCATTTTCCTGTTCTAAGGATTTGATCTTTTGATTGAGTTCATTCTCCTGCTCTGCTGTAGCATCACGTAATCTTTTTTTTTTTTTTTTAAATAATTAGTTTTAGCATTACCTAATATGTATATATTCTACATTTTAATGCCCTTAATTACCTTAGTAATGCTTCTTTTAATCTTTCGTTGTGCCTCTCAAGCTGAATAATTTCTAGTGGGGTTCTCTCTTCACCTAATTCAGGTGGTTTGTTCAAGATATCTGTCTCCTTTTTTAAAATATCAAGATCAACACTAATTTCTTCAATACGATCTTTCAACATATTAGCTTCTTGTTGCAAATTCTCTGCTCGTTCTTCTGCTACCTCCTTATCTAACGTTAACATTTCCATTGATTCTAGTAAATCATTGTACTTTATCTCGAATGATTCCTTTTCTGCCATTGCCTCTTTCAGTTCTCGTTTCGTGTCCCGTACATCTCTTTGAAGTTCAGAGATTTTATCTACCCACAAAAAAAAAAAAGTAAATATTTATGTATGATATGATAGATGGAGTATTTTGTACCTTGGAGTTTGTTACGAAGAGTCAAGAATTGTTCTGCTTCTTCTTTAATTTTTTCATGTTCTCTAAATTTTTCACGATCTTCATGTCGTTTTGTTTCTAAAATCTTTAATTTAAATCGAAGCTCTTCATAATCTTTTAGTGGAACCATCTTTCATAATGATAAAAAGAAATTAGTTACTTTTTTTTTTTTTTTGGTACATCATTATCTATTACCTGTTCTGATTTACTAATAGGCTTTGAAGAAGCTAGTGAACCATAAGGCTGTTGTTGCTGTTGTTGCTGTTGATCCTCTTCTTCAGAATCTTCCTTCTCCATAGAGATAGGACTTGATATAATGGTTGAATTGGCAACTGTATTCTCTTGACATTGTCTGTCAAAATCAATTTCAGAAATATGAACTTCAGTTTCACCTTGATCTGGCGTTGAAGGCGCTGTAATAGGCCTCTTTAATATAGAAGGAGGTATATTATCATTAGAAGATACTGGTAGAGTTTGTGTATTAGATCTGGCTCTTCTAGTTACTGTCGCTGACGATGGAATTGTAGATTTTCTAGTAGGGATAATTGTACTTCTGCTAGCAGGGTTAAGGGTAGATTGTAATAGTGATGTGGGACGAGATTTTAGCGTAGGAGGTGAGATGGGCGAGACAACTGATTTTCTTGTTTGTTGCGTTGGAACCATTGATTTTTTACTAGGTGAAGGTGGAGATGATGCAGGAGTACTGGTCTGTAGCGAGGTTGGTGATCCAACAGACTTTCTTGGTTGTGGACTTGTTGGAACAATCGATTTTCGTGGGGTTATTGTTGATCTTCGTTGCTGTGGAGATGCTGTTATAGACTTTCTTCTTGATAAGGACGACTATTATGTGATTTTTTAATTTATTAAGGTTTTTTTTTTTAATATATTTATATGTTTATTCATATAAATAGATTTATTATTTATATATTTATGTGTGTATACCTCATTTGTTAATAGTTGAACATTAGTAGGTCTAACAAAGACACCATGGTTCGTTTTACAGTCAAAATAGCGTTTACCTTGAACAACACCACTGTTTTTACCGCAGGGTTCATCGAGCTCAATACCAACCCATTGACCTGTTTGAAAACTGGTAGTTCCTAAATACTGAATGGTACCTGAAAGTTCATTATTAACTAAAACTCGAGATCCAATAGAGAGATCATTTCGAATGATTGAATTTCTTTTTAGACTCGACATTATATGCTCCGAGATGATGATTAAATATTAAATAATAATAATAATAAAAGAGTCTAAAATGATTTCAAATGTATGTTTAATTTCGTTTTTTTTTTTAAAAAAAAAAAATAGTTCAACTACCCAAAAATAAAGATGAGGGGAAATATAAATTTATATAAAATACAGAGTCAGGAATCAATTGATATAAATTGTCAAATAAGAACTGTAAAGGAATAATAAAAGTAATACAGTCCAGTTGGTGGATACTGTCGATTACAAAAAAAGTAAATGGCGGTCATATTGTCGGTTATGAAAAGATGCAATTAACGGTTACAAAAAAAATTGGCCATCGGCGAATAAAAATATAATTGTTATTAAATAAAAATCCAAATGAGCACAAGTATTTTACATACTAAAATTGCCTGGACTAGTTCAAAAATGTATATAAAGAAATCCCCCCCCTTCATGGGCGGAAGGAAAAAGGATAAAAAAGAGAAAGAGAGGGAAGTCTATGGATCCTGACTAAGCCAGAGAAGAAAAAGGGAGTTTAAAGATAGAGTAGGCAGAACTAAAGCATTGTAGGGAGCACCATGCTGTATCATGTCAACTTTATAGAGGAATCCTTCGATGGTAATCCAATGTATTCATCAGTAGGCCTGTGTATGAAGTGACTTGGGTGGTCAAGAGGGAAGCCGATTGAGAAGACACGAGATGGGGCCATCCATGTTTTGCGATACATGTAATTGAGGATGGATGCGCAGGCAATGGATGCTGTGTTTCTTTGTTAGATTGTGTAATCCGCATTGACAAGGTTTAGAAGCACTACCAGGTAGCCATCCCAGTCGCCATCTAATGAGTCAACTACGTTCGATTGAGAGCATAGGTAACCGCAGGATGGAAGCCAAGGCAAGATTTGATTTCGTTCGCTAATGTAAAAAAAAAACCCCTTTCGCGAGGCGTTTCGCAAAGCGTTTCTCAAAAAAGTTGTCACTCTTCTGTCTTTTCTTCTTTATTAACTTCCACATCTTTAAAGTCATGAGCTCTAAATTGATTGGCTGCGATGTGTGTAAAACAACATTTTCTAAATTGTCTAAACTAAGGCTGCACAACTACCGAATGCATTCAACAGAAGTGAACACTTTAGTAAATGGAAGTGAGTCAAGACAATAATGCATATTCTTTTTAAGCAAATGCTGATTATTCTATTTTCTAAAAGTTCCCACCAGAGTTTTACAAAATGATAATGGTATTTTTCCTTTGTCACTGTTGTTATTGTCAGAAATATGCTTATCCAGACTCATTGAAAAGACATTTAAAGAAGCAGTTTCAAGATCAGGAAGCAAAAGCAACTGCACAAACCGACGACAAAAGTGAAGGGAGTCAAAGCTGCACAGACAGTGATACAGAAGTAGATAACGACGATACTGTTGCGGTAATTTTAGATACTGAAATAATCTCACCACTGTCAACTGCTCAAGAAATAGTTAAAGAGATCCACAGTACACAGAATTACAAAACCGCTATTTTATCAGCTTTTGATGCATTATCTCAGCCTAGTGAAGATCAAAGAGAAAAAGCGCTTAATAGCAGGATTGGGAGATCTCAAACCTGTAGCATACATTGATCACGAAGGAAAAGAACACAGCCTCCTAGCAGCTTCCAAAGTGATAGACAGCTTAACATCATCACAGAAAAAAAAGAGAGAAAAAGGAAAAACAGCCGTTATTCCTTGCCATCACACCAAAAAAAAGAAATCATTCTGGGGAGGAAATTGGAGGACTCTGATATTTGGTATTGCTACACAACTATAACATTTTTGACGGGAAATTACTGGTATATATGGATACGATGATATTATTCATAAATACTGTCAATAAAACATTTTTTGATGCCTTGTGAATTCCACTCGCTGTATACAGTGTAGTAAATAAATAAGTATACCACTCACATGAAACACATTCCAGTGCGAACATCTTAAAATCACATGAATTTTACTGAGAGTATCAGATTCTTCAACTGGATGTTTCATTAAAACAATGGTAAATATTACTGGCAATACCTTCGTTAGCTTTTGAGATTTCTGATGAGAGAATCGAAGCCAACTTTTTTAATTATTTATTTAAATCCCTGTTTGCTATAATTGATATTGCTGACGTACCCTTGTCATACAGCTTGTCAATCTCCTCATAAATTCGCTGTACATTATGCTTAGACTTGCATTGATCTCTCAAAGAGACGACGAATTGCCGTTCCAGGAGAGCTTCTTCACCCTTTTTTCCAAACTGAGGTGGCAATATATCTGAACAATCTGGATACTGACTTGTTAGTAGAATCCTCATCTTGATGTGAAGAACGGTCTGCCAATGTCCAAACTGTAAATGATCTAGTGCGATAATCATTTGTATATTTCGATGAGAATCTATAACAAAGAAATGTGGATACTTTATCAAACTTCGATCGAAGTTGACGTAGTTGAGCAAATTCATCAAAAGGATAAAGCAGAACTTGACAAGAACCAATTTCGTTAAACGCAGCTTTTTTCTGAATCATTCTTTGAATCTCTTCAACTTTTGCTTTTTCAATAAATATTGAGTTTCTCTACTTGGCAAAAACCCATTCGAGCTTGAAGGTCCAATAATTGATTTCTCATCGCAATCAATACGGATAGACGATGTAATTAAAACATTCATAGTCTTGGTACCCAGCACGAGTTTTTGACTTCTGTCAGCATTCATCAAACATAGCTCCACATTGAGATACCTAGTATCGATATAAGGCAAAGAGCACTGGGAAAAGTTGCCTTTTGTAGTAGAAGTTTTCTCGTAGTGTGCATCGAGTGAAGGAAGCCTACTATAGATCTCGCCACAGAGTGCAAGCAGTGCCTTATGTCCTTCCACAAAAATCATTTCTTCAAGTATTTTGGTGGCAATATGTGATGCAATTAGGTTTATGGACCAGCTATTATTTAACAAGAGTGAAACTTGGTGGTCCAGTTCAATATACTTCGCTTTCGATAGTAAGTTCTTGTAAGGACTATCTAAAACAACATTGCGTATCGAAGGAGATGGATTGGTTTCAATTTCCTCACCAAAATTATTTCTTTTTTTTTTTTGGTGCAATGGCAAGGAATAACGGCTGTTTTTCCTTTTTCTCTCTTTTTTTTTCTGTGATGATGTTAAGCTGTCTATCACTTTGGAAGCTGCTAGGAGGCTGTGTTCTTTTCCTTCGTGATCAATGTATGCTACAGGTTTGAGATCTCCCAATCCTGCTATTAAGCGCTTTTTCTCTTTGATCTTCACTAGGCTGAGATAATGCATCAAAAGCTGATAAAATAGCGGTTTTGTAATTCTGTGTACTGTGGATCTCTTTAACTATTTCTTGAGCAGTTGACAGTGGTGAGATTATTTCAGTATCTAAAATTACCGCAACAGTATCGTCGTTATCTACTTCTGTATCACTGTCTGTGCAGCTTTGACTCCCTTCACTTTTGTCGTCGGTTTGTGCAGTTGCTTTTGCTTCCTGATCTTGAAACTGCTTCTTTAAATGTCTTTTCAATGAGTCTGGATAAGCATATTTCTGACAATAACAACAGTGACAAAGGAAAAATACCATTATCATTTTGTAAAACTCTGGTGGGAACTTTTAGAAAATAGAATAATCAGCATTTGCTTAAAAAGAATATGCATTATTGTCTTGACTCACTTCCATTTACTAAAGTGTTCACTTCTGTTGAATGCATTCGGTAGTTGTGCAGCCTTAGTTTAGACAATTTAGAAAATGTTGTTTTACACACATCGCAGCCAATCAATTTAGAGCTCATGACTTTAAAGATGTGGAAGTTAATAAAGAAGAAAAGACAGAAGAGTGACAACTTTTTTTGAGAAACGCGTTTTTTTTTTGTTGTTGTTAAATTCTTCGGTCTTCGTCATTTATCAATTGCGGCCTTTAAAACACAATTCACATCCTTTGACAACAACGACCATTGATAAAATAAATAATTGTGTTTGACGAGATTATTATCAACACGTAATAACATGTGTACAATGAGAAGTACTTTATTCGAACTGATGGGGTTTAGCAGAAAATAAGTTGAGCTAGATAGATGAAGACATTTTGGTAAAAAATAAGTAAAGAAAAAAAAGAAGGGGGAGGGGAGAGCATATTAGATCATAATAATATTTTTACGTGAAATTCAGGCACCTACATAACCATTCACTTCAATGCCCTCGGATAGGTGAAACGCAAGCTTTTCTTCTGTCTCAAACACATGCAGTCATGTTTACTAGACAGCAACAAAGACGTAGATTTACGTATAAACTATTATACTTTCTTTAATATATTCTGGGCAAGCACAGTATTAGTTTGTTTATTATAAACTAAACTCATATTTATTTATTTATTTATTACAATTTAGTAGTTTATGCTGACGTTCTTGCATTGATAATCCTGATGTTTATTTAATATTAAGAATAAGCTTTATTTAACTACTCAATGAAGACAAATACATATTAAAACTCAACAAAATAAAAGTAAAAAAAAATACGATTATGAAGTTGTTGTTCGCCCTCTTATTTTAGATAAAATTTTTTCTCTGATTAGCTGATGAAAACACAGATCATTGCCTTTACAAATAAATCAGATCAAGGTAATTGCCTTTTGTTATTAAGAATAAAAAAAAAGGCTGAAATGCTAAAAGATGTGTCATGATTTCTTAGATGTCAATAATTTAACAGAACTTTATTTACCTTGTCCACGATCTAATAGACGATCTGTTTATTTCCAGAATAGTAAAGGTCAATTATATGAAATTCAAAAAGTGACATTGGGACGTAAAAGCTCCTGGTTATTAGATAATCATATCTATAAAGGTAAACTATCTATGATTCTATATATACTCCCTCTTCACCCTTTAATTAAACTAAATTAGAATAGATGGTGCAGTACGATTTATCACGCCCTTGGATCCTCTTTTCATGGCATTACCTATTCTTCAACAAGCTTTTGAAAAAGATAAAGAAAAATTTCAAACGTTAGATACTATTTTTAGTAGAGAAAATGTTCAATTGGAGACTATAGGTTTAGAGGATTCATCTTCAACCGCAGAAGAGACCATCGATGTACATAGATTGACTAGTCTCACTGGTTTTTCAGAACAACTATCTCATTTATGCGATACTCAAGGTAGGTAACTATATATACATATATATAAAGAATAAAAGAAATAAAGTATAACATACTCTTTTTCTGTTAGAAATTGCACCTGATCTATTCATATACAAATTTAATCAAGAACTTGCATTAAATTGGCTTACAAAAAAAGTTGAACAATTAATATTAAATACAACTTTTAAAAAGCAATTCAATACAACACAACAAGATCAAGATGTTATTAAATTAGAAGCAGTTTACACATTATCAAACTATTTAAATAGATTCTGGTTCGAAAAGTTATTAACTAAATTAAAGTAAGTGAGTATGTAAATTAAACGTTATATATTCGATATTGAATCATTGAATAGCTTGAAAGAGATAATAAAGGAAGAAGATGTAGTAGGAAATATAACCAATTATGTGATAGATGCATCTCCATCTGCTTATTTTAAACGTGTACATCCAGATGAGAAGTTTGTAGATGAACCCAAGGTATCTTACATTTATAATAGCTGTCATGTTAAATATATATGTATATAATTTTGTTCACATTTTATTTGTTTAGAAAAAGAAACCTACTATATCAAAAGTAAATACAAAAGGAATGAAGCCAATTACAAGCTTTTTTACAAAGAAATGAACCTATTGTAATATTGTATTTTATTTGATCTAAAAATGAAAAAAAAGGAGAAACTAATTATCCGACTTTTTTTTGCACAAATGAAATAAATCGTAGTAGTGCCTATTTTTAACTATTTTTTCTTTTTATGTAATATAATAACCATAAAGCATCGACTCCCTTTCGTTAGAATCAGTTTATTAAGTTGTTAACATGTTATAGTAGTAGTTACGTACTTTTTTTTATTGTTTGCTTTATTCAAACAAAATCATGATTCGGATAAAAGAAAAGAAAAGAAAAGAAAAAAAAAAATAGCAGCACTTACGTAGCAGTATTTCCATTTCTGGTATAAGCACAAATATAAAAAAAGATGCTTAATGTAGAATATCCTTCTCTCTCTCTTTTTTTTATTTTTATTTTCACTCTTCCTTTATGTCTCAACAAGTTCCTGAATTATCACCTGCACTTCTTAATTTACCAGCCGTCATTCCTCCTACAAATCGATTTAATTTTATAAAGAACTGGTGGCAAAGATCCGAAAAATCGTCTAGTATAGCCCAGGCTCGTATTATTCAACGGATCCCTACCGCTTTACCAGCTTCTCATCGTTCACTTATTCCTATCTGGGCTCGAGTGGGTCGAGTGTCTATCGATACTGAACATATTATATCAACAAAGCAAGCTAGAGAAATTAATACACTTTATATTTCACAACAACCAAATCAAACCTCGTCCTTTCGATTTGAATCTGAATCTAGCAAATTATTAGCAGAGATCCATCGAGAAAATGACACTAGGATGGAACAAGAGAAAAACTTGGTTATTTGTCATGGATATGGAGCTGGCTTAGGGTTCTTTTATAGAAATTTTCAAGACTTATCACAACAAAAGGGCTGGCGTCTTTTCGCTATTGACTGGTTAGGGATGGGTAATAGTTCAAGACCTAAATGGACTATCTCGAAAGCATCTAATCAAACTTGGGATGATATTGTTCAAGTGGTAAAAAAGAAAAAAAAACACCCATTAATATAATTATATATGTGTATACAAATTTGTATATAATTACTTACATAATATTTTATAAGGTTGAGGATCATTTTGTTGAATCATTAGAAAGTTGGAGAACAAAAGTTGGTATAGATAAAATGACTTTAATGGGACACTCATTAGGCGGTTACTTTGCTACCTGTTACGCTCTTAAATACCCTGAACGTGTGCAAAAACTAATTTTGGTTTCACCCGCTGGTATACCTGAAAATTCTCCACAAAAGCAACATCAAATTACAAATAATAATATAAATCCACAGGAGGAGTTACAGAAGGAAGCGACAGAAATTAGCGCTTCTTATCAAGCAGAAGCTGCTGTGGCTGAACAAAATGCAAAGTCATTACCTGGAAAAGGACGTCAGATACCTGCATGGTTAACCTATCTATGGGATAGAAATGTGACGCCCATGTCGATCATTCGTTGGATAGGTCCTTTCGGTCCAAGTTTAGTATATAGTTATGCAGCAAGACGATTTGCACATCTAGATGAATCTGAACAGCATGATCTTTATGACTATTTATATCACATTACTTCATCGAGTGGCTCTGGTGAGTTTGCATTGGCAGCTATATTAGCCCCTGGAGCATATGCACGAAAACCTTTATTTAATCGATTGTCAAAATTAAAGATGCCGACAGTCTTTATTTATGGTGATCATGATTGGATGGATTATAGGGCTGCTGAAAAAGCGAAACAGTATATGAATGTACCTGTTAAAGTTATACGTGTTTCAAATGGGGGTCATCATATGTATTTAGATAATCCTATAGAATTTAATTATATAATTAGACAAGAAATGCAAGAGATAAGCGAAAAATAAAATTTATCATATAATTCTGAAAAAAAAAAAAAAAAAAATGCTGTTTTAATCAAACAGAGAAAAATTCATATCGACAGCACAAGCATCTCATTAAAAAAAAAAAGTACATATCATAGAATGCAATCAGCCAACATTCTTATCTATATGTTTTTACGACCATTGCAGACCTCGTTTTATATTTCCTAACTGTGCTACTTTAGCGACTTTTTAAATCACTTTCTAGACTAGCATATTACAACAAACATTCCAACTCATTGATTTAATACAGTAGTAGTAGCAGCAATAATACGACTATTGAGCTACTATCATTGCTGTCTACATTATGTGTGGATCCCTATTTCATGTAATAATTAAAAACACATTAGATATAATATTTACTTCTTTTCGCTTTCCCCTCCCCCCTTTTTTTGTTCTTTTCCTTTCATATTCTCCTTGTGTCTAAAAGGACACTTTGCACATATTGAACTGGTTCAGTTAAGTTTATTGAACAAACTACCTGTGTTCGATTTAGATTTAATAAATATGTATAAATACACAAATGTATATGTGTATTCTCAAAATTGCAAAAAATATAGTATGTATTGTATGAATAATTCCTATTCTATATGGATAAATTTGATACATTGAATCTTTTATTAGTAGATATTGCATGAAAAAAATTAAATAAACCCCAAAGCCACTGTAACTTTTTATTTTTTATTTTTAATTATTTTTTATTTTAACTTACGGATAACTATGGTAGACAATTTATTTAATGGTATATACAAAAAAGAAAAAAGTGACAATCATGCTATATTAGTTAGTGTTAACATACATTGCTTTGATAGATAATGATCCGGATTATCGAGCTACTCGAGTCCGATCAGGCATTCCCCCACCTTCCATGCGCGACATTCGACATTCATCAACAGTTCGCAAAGACATGAATCTTTCCTCATATAATCCTGCTATGCAACGTTATCCACCTCGGTATTCGCCTTATGGACAACAGTATGAACAAAGACATCAAGAGTCTCAGTCTCAGTCACACCATTTGAATAATGTACATGAATCCCATAATTCTCAACATCATCAGTCTCTTGTTACGCCTCCTCCTCCTCCTCCTCCTCGTCGTCTACCACCCAAACCAAAACCTATTGATTTTCGCACAAGTACGGACTTTTTAAAATGTGAAAACCGAATATCCCTTGATGATCTTATTAACGCTCTGCGTGAACCCACTCATATAATCACTGATCATGAGTTTCTAAGCTCAACACCAGTTGTCGAACGAGTGAATGAATTAAGAGTAATATTCTTATAAATTCAAATAACTATCTTTTTGTTTTTCCTTATAGCTTACATATTATTATTGTTAGGAAAAGATGCGTAATATCCCGATATCACAGTTTTGCACTGCACGAACCAAGGCAAATCCCTTTGAACGTATTGGGACTGCCCATTTTATGAATCGAGCTGCGACCAAGTTAGCGGCCTTGGATGCTCTCTTCGCTTTAACGACTACAAAGAATAATAATAGTGTGTTTCGATTTGTGGATATCTGTGGAGGACCTGGAGGGTTCTCAGAGTATCTGTTATGGCGTGTGCAAAGCTGGGGTGGCCAAGGTGAAGGTTATGGTATCACGCTTCCTACCAGAGATGAAATGAATTGGCATACAGAAAAATTCTGCGTACCTCATGACTCACTCGTTACCGTCGATGGTGATATCTGTCAAGAAGAAGATCGCAATAAATTTGAAAGGATAGTAGGAGATAACTTGGTGGATTTAGCAGTAGCCGATGGTGGACTTGATTTTTCAGGCCGTGAGGATAAACAAGAAGAGTTAATGCAGCGACTTATTTTATGTGAACTTTTAGTGGCCTTAAGTTGTTTAAGGAAAGGAGGTCTATTTGTTTGCAAATGCTTTGATATGGTCTCGCAAGGAACAGGGGCCTTATGTGGTTATTGTATCAATTATTTGAAGAGATTTGCATTACAAAGCCATTAAGTAGTCGACCTGCAAATGCAGAACGATATGTTGTCTGTAAGGGCCTATTGTATGAACGACCTCGAGCACTTATAGACAAGTTGAATAAAATGGTTCATCAAAAGGACTTTAAGGGTGTGATACCACAAAATGTATTTGAAAACGATGAGAACTTTATAGATTATATCAAGATGCGAAATATGAAGTTTGCAATGAAGCAAACGGAAGCACTTGAACTTATAGAGCAATACATAGAGAATCCGTAAGTTTATTTTATTTTATCTCGAAAAAAAAAATGAATATGAATACGTATACGTATATGTATATGTATATGTATACACATATATCTATATATAAATGATAATATCTAATCATATTATTTATTAAGGGATATGCCGCCTTTATATGATCAAGAACAAGTGAAAAGACATTGCTTAAATGAATGGAGATTACCTTATCAATAATAAATTAAAATAAGAAGCCTTTTTTTCTTTTTCATAAATAAACAAAAAATACAAATATATTATTATTAATAATAAAATAAATTATTATCATCATCATTATCTTGCTTTTGTTGTTGCAATAATATCCAATCATGATTATACATCGAGGAAGAACGAAACAATAAATTATGTGTAGACGACTGTGAGTCATAGATACTTGAACTACTAAATATTGAAGAAGGAGGAGATAATGAACGAAGCATCATTGTCGTATTCAGTGATGAAGAAGTAGAAGAAGAAGATGGACTTGTTGACTCACTATTGATACTCTTCTTATTTGATCTCCCCCAAGATAATCTAATCCTTGAATGACCAATCAGGAAGCCATTCATTCGTTCGATTGCCTGTTCAGCCGATATTCGACTCACATACTGCACAAAGCCACATCCTTTACCTGGCGGTATCTTGACATAAACAATGTCACCAAAGGGGGCAAAATATTGAGCCAACTCTTGTTCTGTAATGGGTGATAAAAGGCCGCCAACGAAGACTGTCGTGTTGTTGGGATCAGTAGGCTGATTAACAAGAGCGGGTGCCTGCAATGCAAGCTGCATATATCTTGTATGGTGGTTAGGGATGAATATGGGTGATGTATGATAATTGGATTTGGGTGTAGCGAATGAAACACGAATAGGACGATTGTTGCAAATGACTCCATTCATCTCTATTACAGCTTGCTGTTGTTCCAGCTGGTTTAGAAATCGAACAAAGCCATAGCCCTTTGATAGCCCAGTGAGTGGATCTGTCATGATTTTAGCAGAATGACAAGAAGGGTATCTAACTCTAAAGAAAGACTGAATATGTAGTGAAGAGGAGGAGAAGAAGAAGAAGAGGATTAGTTTTTATGTATATAGCTATATGTATATGTATATATTTACTAATAGAAAAGTTTCATTCATTTCTTGACTTAAATCACCGATAAATAAACTATATTCTGGCGTTCGATCTTCTCTAATATGGATAATAAACTTTTAATATACATAAGAATCATATTTTATTTGTTCTATTACTTTCTATCACATATTCCACCACCAGAAGCCCAATTTAATTTAAATGTCTTGAGTGAATTTGGTATTCTTGTTCCATGAATTGTTGCTAATGCTTTTTGTGCAGCGTAAGTTGACGTAAATTCAATAAAAGCATAGCCGCCACTAATACTGTATGAAGAAGAAAAAAAAAAAGAAAAGTTAAAGAAAAAAAAATCTTTATTATATAATTATCTATATTTTACTCTGTTCGTTTGTCCCGAATTAATTTAACGGTTACTTCTTCTCCATAAGCAGCCCAAAGTTCTTTAAGAAAATGCTCATCCATCCAATGATCAAGGTCACCCATCCTATATATTTATATAATATTTATAGATAGATAGATAATATATATTAAAAAAAAAAAAAAGAGTAGGGCATATTTGCCTCGTAAATTTATTTATACCATAACGTAGCTTTAGCAGTAGGATTTATTGAAGATAAATTCATCATAAATGCATTATAATATTCTGCTGCTTGAAAGATATCATCATCATTGTTCATTTTATACATATTTATATAGAAAAAAAAAACAGAGGAAATATAAAAAGTGTGTCCATTTTCATCATTTATTATTGAATCTCAGGTGATCACACAATTGTCCGTGCAATGATCATATATATTCATGTGGATCAAAAAAAAAATGAATTATTTTGCCCTGAAATGCCTTCCAATCAAATTATGAAGGATTCTAGTGAAATGATGCATGTGTGCGACTTCTAAATATTTACCATAATAATATGCTGTCTTTTTTTTTTAATTATTATTATTAAATGGTGAAAAAACCAAAAAAAAAGAGGATATGTTATCATATTGAAATAAAAAGAACAGAGCAGCTTTTAAGGATGTATATTTAATTGCGTATTTTAAAGGATACTTGTTATTTAAAAAATAATAAAGCTCTTGAAGCTATAAAAAAAATTATTTCCAAGTTAATAATATTCTTCAAATAAAGTATTTTTTCCTGTAACGCTCAGTCTATCCTTGGATATTTTATAAAGTGTGAATAACCAAGTATGACTACATCATTCATAGCAGTTTTATCGGTTGGAAGTTTTATGGAAATTATAGGTATTTTTTTTTTTGGATTTAGAAGAAGTTAAAATGCTGAAAATATATGATAAAGAGTACCTATTACAAATAACTATCTCTATTAAAGTTTACTATCGTCTGTAGTTATACTTTTGATATAAAGTATTAGCTTCTTCTTGTTTCGTTTTGAAGTGCTATAAATTGAACTAATTTTACTTATTGCGGATTCGCTTATCTTCTAATCTTTTATATTTTTTTTTCCTATGTAATAATGCAACAGAATCCTATTTACAATGTTGACTTTCTTTCTATTTTTATATATATTCAATTATATAACTTCATATTCTTGTGATAGAAAGCAAAATAGTTCTAACTTTGACAAACAAAATCGTGTAATATCATACACACCCACACAAAAGAGAAAAAATGTGTATATTTTACACAAATTGAATCAGCTTGCTTTTTTTTATTATGCAATGTTAAAAGAGAATACTACTACCAAAGGATATAATGCATAAATTAAATTTAATCAGTTTATCAATTTAGCTTATAACATCTTGTTATTTACTTGGATATTAATATTAAAATCCTTTTGTACTAGACTTTAAAGTCTTTGAGCTAATAAGCTAGCTAACGAAAAAAAAATAACAACAACAGTCAATATATCGAATTTTGAAATTAGGTTAACTATTTTATACAGATATGGTGCAGTAGTGATTATGTAAACTATTGACTAATATCTTATCAGAGAAACTAAATCAGATGTGTCTTTTCCCTATCATGATTACTATTCCTCCTTTACAATCCGATTATTTTTACTCAAATGAGTATAATATATTAAAGATATTGTGTGCTTATTCATCGCCATTCTGCTTTTCTTTATTTATTCTTTCCTTTTCCAATGAAATTCATATTTCTTTTATGCATACATATTTCCTTGAAATCCTTTTCATATAAAGCTTTTAAATTATTTAATAATGAGCAGTTTCTTTGGTTTTTGTGAAACTACTTTAAAATGGGGGAGGGGTGGATATTTTGAAGCAAGCTATTTCTAATGTAGAAACAACTTTTGACTTTTTTTCTCAAGCAACCTATTACTCAACGACAGTCATCAGCAATTGAAGATAAATGATGTTCTAATGTCCCTTATTAATCTTCTTCTTTCTTTCTTTATTATGATAATGAACACTACTTTGCACTAAGTTTCTACTGAAAAGAAATACAAGTATATTAACATCATTAGGATTATAAAAAAAAAAGAATCTACATAGTAAATTGTTAAACGACTTTAATACCAGTACTGAAATACAGCGTACATAAAAGAAAGAAGGGAAGAGAACGCTACAGCAAGAGTACTTTAAAGAAGATGTATTTGATATACCTGATAATAACGTAACTTTGACGTGCCAAAGAATTTAAGTGAGTTTGATATTTCTGCTATACTCTCTAAGAAAAAGTAAGCAAACATAATAAGTAGCCCATTACATGTACATATATACACATATACTTTTCGGTAATGACTATACGAACCTTTCTTTTTTTATCTTCTTTTCTAACAAGCATATGAAGTATGTTTGATCCAAACAATATGACAGAAATCAATCTAAATATGATGTGCTATAATTAAGCTAATAAGATGACTCATCATTGTATGAAGTGGACGCATGCAGTTAACTTTTGTTATAACCAACTAGCAAATATCGTTCGTGGTAACCCTTTTGAGAGAATAGACACTTGCAACAGCGGTAATGTGCACTTTGTTTCTTTTTTAAAAAAAAATAATAATCTGCATTTATACATATTTTGACGTTAAAACAGTATATAAATTAAAATGCATTGTATAGTATTTAAAAGGGGGAGGAGAAAAGATTACTGTGAATGCAAGTCAAAGATACTTAATCTTTACAACCTCATTTTGGCAAACGATGTATGTGAGTAAAAGAATGATTTTAAGCACAACATAAGGGAGGCTAGACGTATCAAATACCCCTTGTTAGAAAATAGTAGTATTTTGTTCAAATGAGATGCATATTAGTTGCCTAAATAGGAAAAATAAAGTTGATGAGAATATAAACAAAAAAGTGAAAACAAAAGACATTTATTTTACTTACTTTTCTTTTCTTTTCTTGAGCATAAATACATTTCGTATAGTCATAAAGAAGACATAAAATTGACAACATTTTACTATTTTACACATTGTTACTTTTTATAAGAAAGAAAGAAAATTAAATAATGTAACTGTGTGTGTGTGTGTATTAAATGTGGGGTAACACATATTCTTATCGATTTCATATGATTGTGACTGTAATTTACAACAACGACCTCCTTATTCTTATAAAAAAGTAGATATTCAAAGTTATTTTTTCTTCTTTTTCTTCTTTATTATTACTATTTCTTCTATAGGTAAGTCATTAAATAATACTATTTTATTCTTCTTCCCTGCCCTAGGAGGAAATTCTTTTTCTCATGGTTACCACTTATGTACCGGGCTCTTGATGAGGAAGACACCCTATCTTGCCCTCCTTGAATTAGGAGGACATTGTAGGGTATCTTGTTGATTCAGAGGGCGTTACATATTGTGATCGCTATGGTTTTTCTAACCTCCTAGTAAAAATAAAAAATACAAGAACAAAGAAGGTGCAACGAATCCTAGCCTCCACGCGGCCACCTTTGGACTGCAGTAATTATTACTGTTGACGAATTGGGGATTCACTTTTTTATATATGAAATAAAAATGAAAATAAAAATAAATAAATATCTCTTTTTTTTACACGTCTTTTAATAATCTTGCGCCTTCTTTAACTATTGTTTGTATAATAAAATATATTTTTGCTCAAAATTGACGTTAAGAAGTATAAAAATCTATTCAGGATACGCGTCATTTAGTTTATTACTAATGCGCTTATAAGAATTAAATATACAGTTTGTTAATTCTAATCAAAATATATGACTTAACAAAAATTCATATTTAAATTATGCCCAATGGGATAAATGCATTTAATAGTCACAATGGGCTATTTTTTTTTTCTCATTTTTTACAACATTAATCAGTTTTTTTTTTTTTTTTTTTTTTTTTTTTTTTTTTTTTTTTTTTTTTTTTTTTTTTTTTTTTGTTATTATTATTTATTAGTTTAAATATGGCTATTAAACGATCTGATAAAAGCGACGAAGAATTAGAAGACGATTTACCTTTCCATGATGAAGATGAAGAGGAGGAGGAGGAAGAAGATGAAGAAGAGGATGTTGTAACTATTTTTTTTTTACCTTAATTACCTCTTTTTTATTCATTTCATCCTATAGAGACCCGCTAAGCGAAAGTACAACCCTTTCATTGATGAAATGGCCATTGTTGATGACGACGAAGACGACGAAGAAGAAGATGAGGAATATGGCCGAGAAGGTAAAATTTATAACTATTATATTATAACATGCCTAATTTTTTTTTGTCAATTAGATGGTTTTATTGAGGAGGAGGAAAGTGAAGAATTAGCTGCTGCGAAAACAACAGCACGTCGCCATCTTGATTTAGATCGTCGACGAAGAGAAATGGAAGGCATGGATGATGAACAAGTAGCCGCTTTTTATGCAGAAAAATATGGTGCACGTCATAGAGTGCAACCTTTTAGAGATACTGAAGAAGTACCACGACAGTTATTACTTCCAAGCGTGAATGATCCTAATTTATGGATGGTGAAATGCAAGGTAATATATACATATATATATATATATATATATATATATATATCATATAATGAATGTTATTTGGACTTATATGCGATATGTATAGCCTGGAAAAGAAAAAGATGTCATTTTTGGTGTGATGAAGCGATATTTTGATCGACAAAATGGCGCCCATTCATTAGAAACATTTTCTGCTTTTGCAAGAGAATCTCTCAAAGGTTATATTTATATTGAAGCACGCAAACAGGCCCATGTTCAAGAAGCTCTTATCAATATCCCTAATCTTTACATGTCTACATTAATGTTAGTTCCTATCAAAGATATGGTAGATGCTATCACGGTACAAAAGAAAGAAATAGAAATCCCTGTAGGTGGATGGGTACGTATCAAGAGAGGTACTTATCAAGGCGATCTTGCACAAGTATTAGAAGTACCCGAGTCTCAAGACGCCGCACGTGTTAAGGTTGTCCCTCGTCTTGATCTAGAAAGTGATGATAATACAGGTGGTAAACGTAAAAAGGCAAGTCGTCCAGCACCTCGACTATTTAACCCTGAACGACTCGCAAATCGATCCATCTCAAGCCTTCAAAAAAAGGGTCCTTATTGGGTTTATAATGGTGACTATTATCGCGATGGCTATTTAATTAAATATTTAAAGGCGGCTGCTATACAGATTGAAGATGTCAATCCAACATTAGATGAAATTGCTCGATTTACAGGTGATGGTGATCTTAATAGTGAAGATGTAGAACGCTCTATTGATTTAGCATCATTATCAAACTTGGCTATTACAAACGCACAAGCATCTAATTTATTTCAAAATGGTGATGTTATCAAGGTAGTTGAGGGTGATATGATTCATAGTTCAGGTGTAGTTGAAAACGTTAAAGACACTAGTGTCACTGTATTATTAGATGTAGATGGTACTAAGAAACGTGTAACTTTGCCTGCACGACAACTTCGTAAGAAATTCAGGGAGGGAGATCATGTTAAAGTTATAAATGGTCGATATAAAGATGAAAGTGGTATGGTCGTGAAGATTCAAGACAATATTGTGACTCTTTTATCAGATGCCTCTTTAAAGGAAGTACGTGTGTTTGCTAAGGACTTGCGAGAGGCAGCTGAGGTGAATTTCGGGAAGACAGTGATTGGCAACTATGAATTACATGATTTAGTACAACTTGATTTTTATACAGTAGGTGTCATTGTTAAGGTAAACCGAGATTCATTCCAAGTGTTAACACAAAACAGCGAATTACGTACCGTACAACCACATCAAATTACCAATAAACGAGATAGTAGGAGGGCAGTGGCGACTGATGCAAATGGTAATAGTGTTCGTTCTGGGGATACAGTCATTGAAGTAGGTGAAAACAAACGCAACTGCTCAGTGCTACATCTTTACCGTCATTTGGCATTTTTACATTCTCGTGAACATACAGAAAATTATGGAGTATGGGTGACGAATACACGTTCAATCATTAGTGCTTCAGCAAGAGGTCGTGATATGCCACCACCACCATTACCACAAAAGCTTCAGAGTACGATGTACAATAATAATAATAATAATCGAGGAGGCAGTCGTGATATGCGTGGACGTGGTGGACGCGGTGGACGTGGTGGACGTGGCGGAAGAGATAATTTGATGGCCAAGACCGTGCGTATCTCACAGGGACCACACAAAGGATATATTGGTATCGTGAAAGATACAACTGAAACGCATGCACGTGTTGAACTTCATACAAACTCCAAGGTGCTTACTGTTGATAAAGCACATTTAATGATTTTAGATGCACAAGGCAATTCATTAGGGCAAGCAGCACCAGATCGTTTCGATTCTCCTGCTCATGGTGGATATGCTCGATCCATGGCCACACCTAGTCGATATGGAGATGGTGCGATCACTCCCATGTATAATGCATCTGGTGCTCGTACACCTGCGTGGAATTCAGGATCCAAGACACCTGCATGGAATTCAGGAGCTAGAACACCTAACCCTTATGCTAATGATGGTGGTCGTACACCAGCATGGGATTCAGGTTCCAAAACACCCATGTGGCGAAATGAAACATCATCCTCTGCTTGGAGCACTACTAGCGGTAGTCATCAAGATCATAATAATAATCTTTCTTCGAGGACACCTTCCTATTTATCAAATACGAGTCGAATGAAAACGTCAGCCACAACAACAGAAAGCGAGACTGCACCAACACCTGCACCACCATCATGGACAACTGCTGCTCCTACACCTGCAGCCTCTAACTTTGATGCAAGAGCACCTACACCCGCTGTTAATTTTGCACAAACGCCTTATGAAAGTGCTCCTACACCTTATGATAGTGCACCTACACCTAGTGCAGGACTGATACCTGCTACACCAGCAGCTTCAACTATGCTATCAGCGCCTACTCCTGGAAATTATTTTCCTACAACGCCTGGTAATTTTATGCCTACTACTCCTGCAACTGGTTTGCCACAAACACCTTTTATGCCTAGTGGTGGTGATTATGGACAAGTTGAAGAGCAAGGTAAAATCATAATCATATCACTCTCTCACACACAAAAAAAAAAAAAAAAAAAAAAAAAAAAAAAAAAACTTATTTTATTTTTAAAAATAGAAGAAGAAAGTGAAGATAACTGGCCAATGGAAGACATTGAAGTGATATTTAAAAAGAGTCAAGAAGATATTGAAAAAAATCAACATGGTAAAATTATAACTGTCAATCGTACAACACGTAAATGCCTTGTTAGTCTTTTAGATAACAGCCAAATAAAAGCTGATGTATCGTTCGACGATATTGAACCTGTACGACCTAGTAAAAAAGAAGGTGTTAAAATTATTTTAGGAGAATTCCGAGGACAGCTTGGATCACTTATTGGTGTTGATAGTCATGATGGTATTGTACGATTGAAAGGTGGAGGAAGTGGATTCAAGATTTTGAGTATGAATTCAGTAGCCAAATATGCAGGAACAGAAACAGTTGATTAAAAATAAATAAATATACAAAGGGGAGAGGGGGCTTTTTTTTTTCTTTTCTTTTATTAAATAAACTTCTACTACATTTTCCATTTTGGATCACCTCTTCTCTTTTCACTTTCACGAATTTCAAACATGATTTGAACCGCAATGAATAAGCAAATACTCACAGAGATTAAAAAGAATAGACCATTAGTAGTACCAAATATTTTAACTAGCATTTCTTTTACACCGTCTAATCCAACAGCAAATCCAACCAAGTTTGCAATCATCATCATTAAAATATTTCCTACTGCTCCTAAACCGCATACAAATCTATAATAGGGTTTATCCCCAAACTATATAAAACATTAGGAAAAAATAAATAATGATACGCCTTTCTTCCTTTCTGTTACCTTTTTCTCACTAAATAGTCGAGTGGCGATGATTTCAGGTAATAAAAATATACAAATCAACCAACCCCATGCTAACAATTTCAATTCTATATCATGCCATAATGCTACAAACGTAAAGACGATCCACATACTGAATGCAAAATACTGAGATCCACCTAAAGGAATATAAATATAGCGAATTGTCCATCTATTAAAACTTCTATGCCAGCTCTTCCAAAATCTTTGAGCGGAAAAATTATTGCTCATGCAACGAATCATGTTTTCCTCGACCCAAATACCATCAGTCAGCGACCATAAACGAAAGAATCGCCAGGGTATAAGTAGCTTCATCCAAATAATAACTAAATTAAAATAGCCAATCATACTGAGTTCAATTGGAGATGCGCCTTCCCAGGCTTTGGCTTTACTGATAGCAACAACATATAGATAATGTAAAGTTAACTCCATAACAAGAATAATAAAGACGAGACGAATCGCATAAGTTATTATATATTTCCTAGTGAGATGATGAGAAGGGGATCGAAACTAAAGGAAAAGAAAAAAGACTTAGTATTTTACCAGCAGTTTTTTTTTTTTGCCATGTATTTTACCTGTGATATAAAGTCATTATATGTAATTATAGGTCCACATAATAAAAGTGGGGTATATAATACATAAGCTAAAAAATTTAAATAATTATAATCGCCAATTAGTAAAGATGTATTAATGCGCTCCTTGTCAGAATGTGGCATTTGATAAACTTTTTGATGAGAACGACAAGCCCAATAATAATCAAGATTAAAAGAGATGAGACGAAGTATTGCGAAATTAAATAAAATATGCCAACGTGCCTGAAAACCTTCCCAACGATCTAACCATGAATATTGACTGCCTAGAATGTGTTCAAATCGATAGCCATCATAATAGTCATTAATGAACAATATTAAAAGATTAAACGTCCAAGTTATAATAGGGTTCCATCGTGAGCCTTTTAGATAATAACCAATCATAAAACTAGCTGTGATGATGAATAGATATTTGAACGCACTGGCACCATGAAATAAAAACAAGACGATAATGGAAGTAAGTAATGAAAATCGAAGTTTTGAAGAGATCCAATGAAAATGGCTATTGGCTTTGTTAATGAGAAGATGTATAAGAACAAGTGGAACAAGCTTGGGTATATTATCACGGAATTGAGAGTATTGGGCGTCACTATTGTCCTATAAAAAAAAGTTATTAACTTTAATTTTTTTTTTTTGTTATTGTTACCAGTTGTCTACCGTGTATCCAGCCCTTTGATAAGTAGGATTCATATAGAGCGTAATTAGGATGTGTAGCTATTACTTAAAATTAGTAATTGATTCCTCTCATTAAGTTATATACATATGTATATAAATATATATCTTACGCTGGCTTAGATTATATGTTACTTTAAACATATAAGGCACAACAACGCAAAAACAAATATAGTAAAAGTAAAATTCTGAAAGGAAAAAAAAAAAAAAAAAAAAAAAAAAAAAAAAAAAAAAAAAAAAAAAAAAAAAAAAAAGTTAAAAAAGTCTACTAAACAACTTGTTGATTACCTTTAGTGAACCATCGAGAAGGCTTTAGTTTTAATGGCGATGTGTGAGAATGCATAATTGCTTTTTGAAGCATTACTCAGAAAAGAAAAAAAAAAAAAAAGAATAAATAAATAAATAAATAAAGATAAAAATAGCTAGAATTTATAGACAATCAAGCTCAGTAAACATGAATGGCTTCAAAGAAGTACCTTGTAAATAATACAAATAACCCTATCTTATTTTATTTTTTGATACAATATTTGTATTATTAATTCTTTAATAACCTACTATACAGACTTGTATTATGTCATTTCATATATTCTCTTTTCTTTATCTCTTTTTTTCCAATCAAAAAAAAATACGGCCATAACTAGCTTCTCTTTAATTTCAGATATTCTTACAAAAATAACCTACCATTTAAAATTATAAATAAAAATAATCGACTCATATTTTTCGGTCTTGTTGACTTTAGTAGTCTTTCTACCATTTTCTATAACTTTATCTTTAACGTTATTATGATATCTTAATGGAAATATCAAAGTATTTAATGTCATTATTACTGAGTAACTATTAATATTTACGTTAAAGAAATGAATATAATAAAAGCTTATATACTTGTTTAATTTATATTATAGGAACAGAAAAAAAAAAGTGGAATAAATATATATGCATAAAAGGAGAATCTTTTTTTTATTTTGAATACCACAACTCGGCAACTACACCTAAAAGTTTGGGTTTATAAACAAAAAAATTGAGGTAAATAAAATAACTTGATCGGAAAGGGCAGCGCCTTTCTGTTGGCCAAGCGGCGATCATGGAGAGATGAACTTTGTTAGCTGTAGATGGGAGTGATTTAATAATAAAATCGGGGTTAGTTCTGAGCTTTAATGATAACATGCTACCTTCCAGGATCCAATGTTCAACACCAGGCCTTCAAATGGAGGTCGATAAAAAGATGTTGTTAAATCGCGGGGTAATTTCCTACCATGCAAGAGAGGAAAGCCCGCAGCATTGAGAGAATTCCTGGGAGTAACACTGCTGTAGTAGAAGCAAACAAGAACAGAATCTAATCCACCTCTACACTATAAAGGACTTCCTCTTCAATAATTTTTTTTTCTCATATAAAATAAAAAAAAAAATGAAAAAGAAAGGAGGATGGGCTCTAAAGTTAATACGTATTGTGTAGTACAATTGCTATAAAAAGTTACACATTATTTATTTAGAACCACTGTCATACTTGTTGCAGTTACAGAATACTTATAAATTATAATATGTAACAGTAAGGAAATAGTATAAACTACTTGTGTGGTTATACACAAAGACTTGAACTAGAAGAAATATTATGTAAAGAATTGACAAACGAAGAAGATATTATTAAATTTAACAAATTAAAAAACAACGACGTACATGAAAAAACATGAAAGAATAAGTTATCATAAAAAAAAACCTGTATGGCAAAAATAAGCACACAACTTTTTATAGAACACAGTTTTGGGATAAAGAGAAAAAAATGTTAATTCAGAGGCGAGGCAATAGACTCATCAGTAATAGACGAAAATAATAATAATAACAACAACAATATAATATAATATAAATAGCAAATTTTTAATGATGAGGACACAACGAAGGACTGATAGCGCAAAAAATAGTATGAAACTGATGGCAGACTTGTTATAGCTGATAACATATCAAATAAGCTATCCAACATTAAAAATAATTACTTTAATAATAAGGAAGGATATTAAGGATATTGACTTAGTGGCCAAAGCTGATAAAAATGATAGAAGATCTATGAATCCTCTTAACATTGGTAGTTGGGTAAGAGATGTAGAGAGCTATAAAAACTTTAGAAGTTGTGACAATAATCAAACAGGTAAATTTGCTATTACCTTAGTGAATTCTACGATAAATATTTGGTACCAAAACTTGGTTATACAAGACAAAAAAACCTATGGATCTAGGCTATATATCGTTAAAATGAGAGCTATGGGCGTATTTCAAGTAAAAAAAAAAAAAAAAAAAAAAAAAAAAAAAAAAAAAAAAAAAATGCAATTTTGATTTTTGATGTTTTTAGAACAAATTCTAACGTTAAAGAAAATATTATTTATTTCTGATTAATATACACATAAGTCTCTAAAAATTAAAATTGGATATCTCTAATATGATGGATGCTGAAGCTTTTGATAAGTTCTTAATTGCTAGTCAGCAATCAAACGAAGCTAAAATCCGTAATTGATATGGATAATCTTTTACTTTATCGAGTGAAGTCATTAAAGCCGCTTATCACATATATGAGGATAATTGATAAAAGTTATAACAGTAATGTGAGTTCAAATAATGTGCATGGTAAATGTGATGGTATGACTTACAGAAGAAAAGAAAGAGAAAGAGAACAGAAGGAAGTATAGTTTGAGACTTATTTATTCAATGTAAAAAGAATGATATAAGAATTATTTTGTGTCTACAGAACTGCTTGTATTTATACTAATGAATCCTGAATCAAAGAAATAGAAATAAATATAAAGAAAAGGATAAGTACTCAGATATACATTGTGTTGATTCAAGAGACTGATCTATGTATTATCTACTAATAGGCGTTATAATGATCTGATTAAGGTTTTAAATAGAAAATTTTATTGTTTGATCTGAGCATAGGTCCCTGATGTCTTTTACATTTTTATTTTATTGACCTGAATTCTTTGTCAAGGTTATAAAATTAAATATTCAGAAATGATACGATATCTTATTTAGTTGACACATTTAGATGATTGGATGTCAATAAATTTTATATTATTTACAAGATGTTATATACAGTAAGATATGATATCTTTTATTATACGTTCAGGCTTATCTATAACAAATATCATAAAAAGGTTCATATATACTATAACCCCAAACGATATAACAAAGTATATCATTTGATGTTCCAATATAGCTTATTTATAATAATAATAGTAAATATTAATATTAAAAGAAATAATCCTTTTTTATTTTTTTTTTTTTTTTGCCTGACATATATAATATTAATTTTTTTCTTTTAATACTTCTTTTTTTTTCCTGTTCATACATATATATTATAGACTGTTCTATAACCCAATGATAAGGGTTACAAAAAAAACGAAAGCAAGTTAAAGTAGTAGTGGTACTGGTAGCAAATAATACTGGTATTGTGTAGTGATTATTAACATTAGTAAGGATGTGTCGGTAGTAGTATTGTAGTTGTACATATAAATGGCGATGGTGGTATAAGTAGGGTGTTTATAGTAAATATAGCCCTATGTGTATCCTCTATTTCTGATGAAAGTAACACGGGTGTTTGGAGAGTGACTAGAATTCGCAGCATATTTAGCCCAAGCCTAGGCTGTGGAATCGAATCACTTCAAGGGTTCCCCACCAAATCAAATGAACCCTTAATTTTTTAATTATTCTTGTTTTTTGTACTACACCAACGACTCCTTTTTTTTTTCTTTTTACAGCAGCAGTAGCAGCAGCAACATGAATAATGATGTGTTATGGTTATATTCTACCAAGCAACAGTAGTAGATACAGCAGGAGCAGTAGTAGTAATTATAACTTTGCTATTATTACCTGGTACTACTATAATCAGATTATATATCAGAAATAAATTCTTTAAACGCTCCCCTTCCTTTTATATATATTATATGAATGTATATTATGTACCTTGGTATTATTATGGCCCTCAAGCCATAGAAAGATAATAGAGTGTCTAAAAAATCTTATTTTTTAGCATATACAGATACAAATATGTAGTTGCTATATTTGATCATAATCAACATCTCAGAAAATAATCACAAGTAAACGTAATATACAGACTCTTTTAATTAATTAACAACAAGCTTCTCTAGCTAATAATACATTATGTTATGGCTTACTTAAGAATAAAGACTTAAAAAGCTCTACCAATAATATTGTAATAACAATCAATATCTCTCTATAAACTAGTGTAAAGAAGAATGTTCTCGATTACTTCAAAAAAGAAGATGTTGATAAATATAACAATTCTGTCACTGTAACAGTAATAAATGCAAGGATATTTCTTTTCTGAGAATATTCAACATTTTTTTTCCTTTATTATTTTACTGAAACGTTATCTAGATGTTGTATAAACAAAATGAATAATCTCAACTCTTCCTTTATCTAATTTTACATTCAAAGTTTATATTTTGCCTCATCAAAAAAAAAAAAAAAAAAAAAAAAAAAAAAAAGTTGAAATGAATTACCTAATAAATCCCTTGTTCCGTGTAGTATATTATCAAATACTTGTCAATGCCTACAAACCTGAAGGCTAAAAGAGGTTAAGGATAATATTTCAAAAGCTGTAAATTATACAGTGAAGACAGCAGTAATATGAACATTATTGCTATGGAGTATTATTTTTTTTCATTACAAAAAGAGATATTTATACTGTTTCTGAGCTAAAATGTAGCAGCAGTAGAGATTTAAAAGAAAAAAAAAAGAAATTTTTGTTTGTTATAAAAATACATTTCCTTCTTTATATTTGGTATATCATTCTTCTTATCTCCCTTTTAGTCTTTATAAGATTTCTTTACAGCCATTGTAATCATTGGGATAGAACCGATTCATTTGAATGTACATTAAAAATCTAATATTTATTTATAAAGAATAAAATAAGTCTATATTTAAAGTTTCTTGATCATGATATGATCTGTATCTTCTTGTGAACCTAATTTAAATGTATGGCTTCCCACTTTATGGAAACCTTGACGTGTATAAAAGTTAATAGCTGAAGGATTACGCTCCCAAACACCCAACCACCTTGTTTGTTTGCCTAATTGACGGACTGTTTCAAGACTTGAGTTCAAAAGTGCTTTATCAACTCCTTTACTAAGATATCGTTTATATACATAAATTCTTTGAAGCTCAATAGCATCGGGATCTTGAATACAGTCATACACATCCTTATTTTGACTTAATTGACAAATACCTACAGGTGAATCATTTTCTGTATCATATGCCATAAATGTAGACATGGAGGGATCAGCTAATTCCTTGGTTTGAATTTCTACTGTATAACTTTCATCAGGATAAGCTTGCATATCAAATGCTGTATTAGCATCAAAAAAGGTATGAGAAAATAATCTTCTGTCCAAGTTGAATAATGTTTGAGCATAGCTTGAGTCTGTTATTTCTCTAACTTGGATTTTCATATATATTTTTTTTCAATCATAACTAACACTTTTCTGATCCACATCTTATTTCAGACTTCTTTAACAATTTTAAAAAATAAACTCATTGACTTTAGAACTATTATTTGGTCTTGTTGACTTTCTTTCGTCTTTATATTATTTGATATTTTACAAGTAATATCACACACCATTTACTTTCAAAATAGATAAATAAATAAGACTTTAGTTTTTTATTTTATTTTATTTTTATAGTTTTCTTTCCTTACAATATCCCACCATTTCTTTCATCTCCCAATAATAATATGAATATAACTCGCGAACAGGCAGTTTATATGTTCTTTGGTGAAGAATTCAACGAAGTCAATAAATCAGTTCTTGTAAAAAGAATTGATGAAATGAAAGACATCGATGTTTGCTACATTGATGATCCAACTGTCCCTGTTTAGTTTTCCCTGCGAGTGATTCATGCCAAACCTCACAGATTTACTAGATACACTACGTCTTCAAAGATGTATCCTAAAAAGTCAAATTTTGAGAATAATAATTGAATTATAAATAGGTAAGTAATAATGAAATGTAACCAAGGTTAATTTCAATTTATAATTCAATCTTATAAATCTTTAGAGACACAAAAACGTTTTTCACCGAGGACCTTTTAACAAGTCGTTCAATCATAGTTTGTAGCAATCGAATTCTTGTATCTTCATCTTCACTTCCAATAGACTTCCTTGCATAGCCTATGACTTGATACCCTTTTTTTTTTTTTGCAAGTTTCCAATATATTCTTGGTAGCAAGGCAAATAGGTAGCAATGCTTTCAGCAACATTATCTAAGTGATTCATTTGAGTAAATATTTACATCAATCATTAAATTATTAGTTTATTACTGATAAATACATTTTTTATAACGTATAAAACACGAAATCCAATCTTTGCATTTTTGGTCATTGTCCTTTTTCTTGACACGGTAGCCTTCATAAAGTTAATCTTGCGTCTGATACACCATTGCACAAATGGATTGTGTGTAGTCATCTTTACAACTAAGTTAATAGAAATAAATCATTATTTATTTAATAATAAAGTGGTTATTCAAATAAATCTAGTGTGTTGTACTTTACAGCATAATATTCATTCTACATTTAGTTTTAATAATAGTCATTGTTAGAGTATTCGAGCATTAAAAATAATTATATACATTGCATTATGTAATAATAATAAGAATTCAATAGGTTTATGACTGTTATATTCAATTACATAATTATTTATACAAGTCATACATACTATATATATACATCTATAATGTTAAATATTGTTATGTAATAACATCTTAGAGGACGTTAATAATAGTAGCATATAATAATTGGTATTATTATAGCTGGAATATTCACTGTGAATTAATATGAACGCGTTGCTTACCCCAGAAATAATAATTTATAACAGCGACAGCTCAGGGACAATGAAAATAAAAATACAACTTATTACAATATTTACACGGACAACATTTACACTGACAACATTTACACTGACAACATTTACACATAATGCTTTATTATACTTATCCAAGTCATACTTCTATTGATATCACTTATATTTGTGGAAAATATATAAATAGCCCTTGTCACTTTTCCATATTATTTTTGAGTCATACAATTTTTATATTATATTTTTTTTTCCTCAAATAAACTATACAGACTTGTCTTTTATGTTTTCTCTTTCCTTATATTTTGCATTTAAAACAGAAGATTTCAATAAGTAGAAATGACTGGTTTTAAAATACTAAGGGTGCTTACTGCAGACAGCTGATGTTAGATTTAGATGAAGAATTTATTTGCATTTATCGTATTAAAGATAAGATTAAAAAGGCTAATAGTTGATATCAGGGGATGGCTTTATATAGAAATATTAACTTGATGATGCAACAAATCTATTGTTAGATAACAATGTATTCAAATCGTCGTCACGTGTTATTAAGAATGAAAGCTTCATTGTGTTTTATTAAAGCGTATAGAGGGGGAAATCAAGCTTTTATTATTATTTCTTCAATCAACAACATCTATTTGCTTCCTTTTTTTGATGCGGTCGATGATTGTATTCATATGTAACTGAAGGAGGATGTAAAGTGATTGTTGATCCTCTTAAAGCCAAGCCATTTACATCTGTTGTTGAATTTTTCTTTAATATCTTATTCTTTGCTAATTCTTTATACACGTGATCAAACATAACTTCAAAGGCTTTATTTACATTGACGGCAGTACGTGCACTTGTTTCAAAGAATAACATATTAGCCTCAGTAGCATACCTTTTCGCAACCTCTGTGCTTACTACTCGACTCGTATCAGCTAAATCTATTTTATTACCAATTAATACTAATGGAATAGTATCCTCTGTATGCTCACGTAATTCTTTTAACCATTGATGAACATGATCGAATGATGATTTTCTAGTAATATCTAATATATGTAAGTAATTCATGAGTCAAATTTTTATTTTAATTTTTGAGGCTCTCCTTTTTTCTCCCCCCCCCACAAGTAAGTAAGTAAGTATATACCGTAAACAAGTAAAGCACCAACTGCACCTCTATAAAAAGCACTTGTAATTGCTTTATATCTTTCTTGCCCACTTGTATCCCATATTTGAGCTTTTATGAGTGAATTTTCCTTATTAATAAACAAGCAAACAAACAAAAAATTGCACAAGTTAAATAATAGAAGAAATAACAATATCTTTTTTAGCCTACAATTTTAATATTTTTTGTTGCAAATTCTACACCTGTATGAAATTCATTTTAATAAAATTTTGCAAGCTTTTTTTTTTTCTTTTTTTTTTTTTACCTATAGTACTCCTTGAATCTTCCATAAATTCATTCGACTAAAATATACAGAATATATAAGATTGTCATTGTTCTCTCTGTCTCTCTGTCTCTCTCCCTTTCTCTCTCTTTTTTTTTTTTATTTTCTTTAAATAAAATACTGACTGTGTATTGTAAAAGTAAATTTGATTTGCCTACTCCAGAGTCACCAATAATTACAATTTTAAATAAATAATTGTATGCACTTTCTAGAAGCATAATAAGTGGAGAAAGATAGAAAAAGAAGAAGAAAAAGAGGAGGTTACATGTATGTAAAGGGAATATACATATATATATATTATGAAACAATCATGATTGATTTGTTAATAATAATAATAATAATAATAACAAGCCATAAAGTTTAATGAAGTGTGGCTTATAAAAGTGAATGATGAGTTTTATTTCATAGAGTGAATGAATCAAGAATGACCTTTTTTTTTATCCAGTTTTAATAGCTTTATTTTTTTTTTATAATAGACTCGAAGCTTAGTAGTTGTCACAATTAAAGCAGAGGAAGACTTGTAAAATTGTATCCTCTTTTACCTCTTTATAACATAATACACATTTGTATCCTATCGTTAGTTACACACGCACTTATCCTATATTAACTGAATAGGGGAAAAAAAAATTGCCTATGATACTAAAAAAGGGACAAAACTATAGTAATTTTTTTTTCAGATGTATGTCATACAAATCTAATGGTACTGTAAGCATTATTCTTCGGTAGAAGGAAGTCCTTTATCTATTCATCTCGATTCCTTTTTTTTTTATGACTTAATGACGCATATATGAATATATTTATCAAAGAGGCCTTCTTGTGCCTACTATCGAGTTTAGTATACAACAACATGAAAGATCACCATGAATTGAGTATATTTTACATGGAAACAATAAGCGTACTTTTATTTATTTATTTGTTTATTTATCTATTTAGTTGTTAGATGGTTATTATCGGTTATAATAACAGGAAAATTGAATTGTTTTCGATACTTATTTATTAATTTTAGGAGGAGGAGAAGGAGGAGCTTCTAAGGTATAATTTTGTGTTTGAACTATCATTGAACCTTTTTTTAATAATTTAGCATAATCTATTATATAAAAGAGATATTAAATCAATCCTTAATATAGATATAGATCAATAGATAGATATATACTCACGTAAACCACAAGCATTACATAAAGTCCTTGCTCCATCAGGGCCTCTTCTCCACTCAGGAGTATCTGTTGTATTACATGAATGGCATATATTACTAGACGTCATATTTGCCCTCTATGTTGTAAAGCTTAGTAATATAATCAATTAACACACACACACACACACACATGCTGTATTCTTTTTTATTTTTATTTTATTTTATTTTTATTTTTTTTTTTTTTTTTTTTTTTTACATTTCTTCGACGGTATTTCGGTCGAGCATTCTTTTGTAAATTTCGAGCTTGTCGAATTAATTCGTATTCAATATTAGCTGACGGATTTATAGACTATAAAGTATACAAATGAATAAAAGGAGGGAGAGAAAATCATGTTTGATGATATTTGAATTACTTTACAATAATTGGCTGCTGTATAGATTCTCTATGACTACTACGATTTATTAGATCTATCAGGGATTCATTACTTGATTCTTCTAATTCTCTTAAGGCTATCAGCATATTTTCCGTGATATTAAATACATCATCCATGATTTGGTTTCTTTCTGCTTCTCGAAGTGGATCTGCACGATATATTCCTATTTTCTGATAAACCATAGTGCATTGTTCAATTATCTAATAAGAATAAACGTGTGTATACATAGGATGATGATTAAAAATGTATCGAATGAATATAGATAGATATATATGTTCTTCAAGGAATATACCTTCTTTAGCTTATTAGCTTCTAATGATAAAAAGGTAACTTTGGGCGGTGACGACGATAAAGGTGAATCTATATTATCCACATGCTGATAGGATGAATGCTTATTATCTAATCGTGTTTGTCCTTCTTTTGGATTCGGTGTTAATGGTTCTAAAAATCGATATTCTAGTTGATATTGAAGACATTTAGTTGAAAGTTTATCTCTGTCTTGGTTTATATACAATGATAACTCATTGATAGAAGGTAACGGCGTTCGACTTTATATCAATTAACTTCAAGTTATACTATGTTTAATATTCATATGTACCTTTCAGAACCTAATGTTGAATTAATAGATGGTAATGAATTAGTGTCATCTATTGCAGTATCAATACATAATTTAGAAACATTCATTTTTAATTGGAATATAAATATATAAAAGGAAAAAAAAAAAAAAAAAGGACTCTCTTCTTTATCTTATTTATTGTGGGGTTTACTCTCTAAGTCACAATTGTAATTATTAGTTGGATTTGTCCAATTAGAATCAATAATAACACTATTGCTTTCCTATTACATAAGAAATGACTTCCATGTAAACATGTATACGCTTTTTTATTTTTATTTTTTTTTCTCAAGTGTATATTCTTTCCTGATATTTTACTTGAAGGACGTCTTATCATAGTTATCTTTACCAAATAAAATCCAGAAATAGGGTTTGCCTTTTATAGATATTTGTTTCAATTTAGAAAACCTTTTATAACAGAGTAATATAGGGATAGATGTACTACATAGTAGTCAAACAGCAGAATATAAATCTGTATATACACCTTTTCTTAAAGTAATATTCATTACAATAAAATTTAGAAAAAAAAAACAGTGCCGTGTTTTTCTTTTTCTACTTTTATTTATTGAAGAGGATGGCATGTAAAATGTTTAATGAAATAGCGTGCAAGCACCCCCCCCTCACAAGATGACTGAGAAACTTGGGTGCTAGTCTCTGCAATTGTTTAAGGAAGAGTAACTTTGTTCAAGGTATAAAGTTTCTATTACATCAAATACTGGATTTAGTATAAACATTCCCTCGTCTTGTCACAAAATAAAAGATCTTCCTTGCATTTTATATGTATATCAATCAGTTCATAGTAGTAATGAGTAAAGAAAAAACAAAGATCCTCTCCTCTCCTCTCTTTTTAATACTCATAACATATTAGCGAATGATTCGTTTGTAGTATCTTCACGATGAATGTCTAGTAGTCTTCTTCAATGTATATACGTAAATAAAGCTTGTATTGTTTTTTTTTCTTTTTCAACAACAATAATTACTTTTGCACCCTTCTCTGTTGTTTGTTGAAGGAGCGTTTCAAGATTGTATTGTTGAAAATAAATGGAATTCATTGCAAGATTGGCCAAAGCGGGCTTGGCCCTATACATATAATAAGAAGACTATTTACTTGATGTAACGAGTTGAATCAGATTAAAAGGTAAAGATTGAAGCTAAGGGGAAAGAGGATCTTGGTCAACTTCTTGTCTTTAATAATGTCATACTCAATTCCCTGATCTCCTTGATGTTAGTAACCCGATCTATTATTTGATTTCAAAATATCAAGGTTATGATACCTGTGTGTGTGGGAGGGGGTTCTGAACATGGCGGGGGGCATTGAAGACGAGATCAATTATAGAAATTGTTCTTTATGTTTTCTCATGTCAATTATCTAAAATTAGAAAAAAAAAGAACGTTTTAGTGAATCGAATTAATCGATGAGACGTAGGTTTGTTTATTACCTAACGAAAAGCTCTTAAAATTCATGCTATTTTCATTAAAGCAAAAAATGATATTACCGAATTGAACAAAAGAAACTTTATTTTTTCATGATGGCTGCTAACGACGTGCATCATATGCAACTTTTTTTTTTTTGTCTCCATTCTACATTAAAATAATTAAACAGCCGCTAATTTGGACGAAAAAAAAAAAATGTGACTTGATTTCTTTCCTTAGTCGGTGCAAAAAAGAAAAAAAAAAAAAGGTAAGGCTCTAATGAAATCATGATAAAAAACACTAAATTTATTTTTGTTTCTTTTTTTTTTTTCTTTTTTTTAAAAAAAAAACCAAAAAAACTTAATAGATTAATTAATAAGATTTAGAAATAAGAACTTGAAAAACAAATGAGTAAGTTATTTTGATACAAGTAGATTTTTTTTTCTATTATAATCGTAAGATAAAAAAAAGAGAGAGAAGAGAAAAAAAAAATTAAAAAAAAAAGCTTTAATTTACTTTTAGGTTTGAAAAGACAGAATACAGACGTCGACATGATGGATGTGAATGAACATTCAAATTTGAAGCGTTCTCGTGCCAATGGAACTTCTTACGCAAAGAAACTGAAACACTTTGGTGCCAATTTGATTGTAAAGCCACCTACCAAGGTGGGTAAAGTATTTGTTTTCGGCACTGGTGATACAGGCCAACTTGGTTTAGGTGATGATATGTTGGAACGTAAAAAGCCTATGCCTCTTAAAGCCCTTGAGAATGAAGATATTGTTGATGTTGTGTGCGGTGGTATGCATTCGATTGCTATCACAAAGGATGGAAAAGTAAAGTATTTATAAGGAAATGATAGAATGGAATGCAGAAAGAAGAAAGTGGAGGGAGAGAGAGAGAGAGAAAGAAAATGATGTATTCATCTAAATGGCTCTTATTTGTATTTATTTATTTACTTGTTTATTTTTTTATTTTAGTTATGGTCTTGGGGCTGTAATGATCAACGTGCTTTAGGTAGATCAGGTGATGAGTATGTGCCTGGAAGAGTGGAAAACCTGGACAATGTAAAGATTGTAAAGGTAGCATGTTGTGATTCTGTTACTATGGCACTCAGTGATGAAGGAAAACTTTATTGTTGGGGTACTTATCGTTGTGCAGAAGGACCTTTAGGTTTCTCTCGTAATAAAGCTGTTCAAGAAGTACCTGCTATTTTTGAGCCTTTTGCTAAATTTGTCATTGCTGACATTGCGGCTGGTACGGATCATTGTTTAGCTTTGACAAGAGATGGACGTGTATTTGTTTGGGGGAATGGTCAACAATTTCAATTGGGTCGTCGTATCATGGAACGTCATTTAATTAATGGTCTTCGTCCTGAAGCTTTAAACTTGAAACATATCAAGTTAATTGGGACAGGTTCCTATCATTCATTCGCTGTTGCTGAAGATAATACCCTTTATGTTTGGGGTCTTAATAATTTTCAACAATGTGGTCTTGCTGAAGAAGATAATAATGAACCCGCTGAGAATGTGATTACGAGACCCACCATCGTTAGAGGACTTGAAGGTAAAGGAAATATCAAGTCTGTACAAGGAGGTGAACATCATTCACTTGTCTTGATGGAAGATGGAAGTGTGTACGTCTTTGGTCGTGCTGATTCAGACCAGTTAGGCTTACCTAATGATATTATTGAGCGTTATCAAACACGTGAAGAAGGAGCAGATGTCTCTGCTTTTAAGAGAGCAGTGGGTGTTCCTACACGTGTTCCTAATTTAGAAAAAATAGTTGAAATTGCCACTGGTACAAATCATTCCGTTGCTCTTGGTGAATCTGGTAAAGCTTATACTTGGGGTTTTGGTGAATGTTATGCTTTAGGTAATGGCTCAAGTGATGATGAACCTGTCCCAACTGAATTGACAGGTCAGAAATTAGAGGGATTTAAAGTAATTCGTGTTTCTGCTGGTGCTCAACATTCTATGATTCTTGCTACTCAATAATGTATGTATATGTATGTATATAATAAATAGTAGCAAGTTCTTTCTTTTCTGCAGTATCACCACATTCGAACAAAAAAAAAAAAAAAAAAAAAAAATAAATACTTTTACAACGAATATATATACATATACATATATATTCTTACATTTATATATACCAAATACAATTCTATATAGTCATTATAAATATTATTCATATATGCTATATTTATTTTTATAGAACAAACTTAATAATAATACACTCCTCTTTTATTTTTTGATCATTGCTGGGTATTTCTTTTCCTTGAAAACTCAAAAACTTCAGTGACTGCTTCCTTGAAGCATTGGAAATTATAATCAATTAAACCATGTTTCTCAAAATTATCTTGACGTAAAAGACATATCAAAACCAAAAGTCTACAACAAAAAAAAAATGCGTTGAATAATGGTATTCGTCTTTTTTCTTTTTCTTTTTTTTTCTTTTACCTATTCACTTCTCTCATATAAAGAACATCCCCATTATCTAATTTGATTAAACTTGAGGCTTCACCATCCGTGTTTGAACTTGATCCGATTAATTCTTCAGTTTGTTGTTGACCATTTTCTAATAATCCGCATTCGAAGTTTTCAGGTTCTGATGAACTCTCCTTTTGATTATTGAAAGTAGTAGTAGTCGTAGTAGTCGTAGTAGCAGCAGCAGTAGCAGCAGTATCCAATAAAAGTGGTTGATTACGATCCGATGTATCCATTAAAGAAAGATTTTGAGGACTGTTCCCCTGAGCCCTAAAGAAAATGTGAGGATTCATAGTTGAACAAAGTAGAAGGTACATCTACTTTTGTTTGCGTGAAAGTTACCCATAAATACATTCAACGTCAATACAAACATCAATCATATCAGAGCATAACTCATATGATTGCATATCGACAGGTGAACTATCAGTAGCAATATAAATTTTCGTCAATGTATCAAATAAATAGGCCTTATCAATACCAGAATTCTATTATTATAAAACTGTAAGTAATACGTTTATCTATTTGAATATGTGTGTTCTCTTTTACTGAACATAAAACATTAAGCAGGTTTTCTAACGTTGGTAATTCTCTTATTAATTTTTGAATAATTTTGCTGAAGGCTTCATAAATTGAATTATCATAAATACTTGTAAGATAATATGTTAAATGAATATATTCCAATTGAGCATCAGCAAGCGCATCACTCATTCTTTGTTGTACATCACGCTGCGTATCTAAAAACAACCATTAGTTTATCTGAAGTTCTCTGCTAATGGGTATATGTTACCAATCTTATAATCATCAGATAATCCATCTACTTTATGAATCAAAACTTCAAATGTAATGTTTGGGTTAACACGAAACGCTGTTGTAACAGTTGTATACAATCGATGTAATGCCTCATTATAATCATCTTGTGCGTCAATAACAAAAATCAATGCTCCTGCTGTTCCAAAAATGTATTGAGGATCATAAGTCATATCGTCAAAGAAATCAACTTGACCAGGAAAATCCCATATTTGAAAATCAATAAAAGATCGTCTATAAATAAATATACATCTTAGTTTTTTTTTTTTTCTTTGTAAAAAAATAGAGCTAAACCATGAATGCCCATTCATTTACGTAATATCCTCTTTTAGAATTTTAGTTGTACTTTCTAAGTATAAAGTATCATTAGGTGGCATCTTTCCAAATACAACACGTTGAATACTAGACTTTCCACTTCTAATAATTATATATATATAGAAACTTAATAACAGAATCTATTATTATAAAAAAATAAAATAAAAACCTTTGAAGTCCCATTAATAAGATGCGAGGTTTGTCAGTCAAAGCATGTTCCTCTATTGTATCTCTATTAAATAGAAAATATAAGAATAAAAAAGAAAGGGCTGTTGTAATCATATTTACGTTATGAAATCAGATTCATTAGTAGGATTTTGGTAATCGAACTAAAAAAAATATATATAAAACTATTACTATCAAATAGAAATGTCAATTAATAAAACTTACGTCCATATTCAACTATTATAATAAAAATGAAAAAAAAAAAAAAAAAAAAAATAATAATAATAATAAATAATAAAATAATAATTATTTCCGGTTATGCATTGTTTTCATAAAAATAAAAAAATTCTCCAAGTAATTGGAAAAAAAAAAAAAAAAAAAAAAAAAAAAAAAAAAAAGATAAATAATAGGCTTTGCTGTTGTAAATTATTATCGCTCGTGTTGAAGTTTAGAGCGACTTATGAGCTACAATCTGTTTATAAACAGAAAAAAAAAAAAAGACCAAGATGATGACTCTAAAGCATTCAAAAAAGAAGAGGAATCATGCCCTTTTATTTTATTTTATACTACTTTTTTTATTTATTTTTTATCTATAAGTTGATTGATGAATGGACTTCTTTGTACAAGAAGATGATAGTCCTTTTTATATTATCACAAAGCTTATTAAAGGTAATACAATTTATTTAAGTTGAATTTCGAAATCACCAATAGAATTCGTTAATTCCTTGAGATGTTCAGTATCAGCAGCTAATATAGCTGTTATCATATCCATTAGTGTATCTCGTTCAAGGGCTTTACCATCCTTTGCAAGCTGAGCCAAATGTTGGAGTTCATGGTGATCAGATATAGTTATTTTAAGAGATTCTAACAAATGTATCATATCTTCTAAACTAATAGTAGTGCTTACATCTTTATTGATAATAATCAAGTAAGTAAGTAAGCATTCATTCATCATATCAATCATCTACTTAGATGTAGTACTTGTTAACTCCGAGTATTGTTACCTGTAGTAGTAGTAGTAGTAGTAGTAGAAGCAGTCATCTTGAAATGAGGAAATATATGTTTGTATATAAAGACAGAGAGAGAGAGAGAAAGGAAAAGAAAGAAAGAAAAAGGGAGAAAGAGAAAGAATACGTCTCTCATGTGCGGGGTTCCTAAAATCTATTTGTTACTAGTAGTAGTCATGTATAAGCCTGTTAAAACTCTTGTAAAACAAGAAATAAATCATAATGCATATGCATAATTTACTACATGCGTATTTGAATAAATAAAATATGTATGCATCTATTTTAAAAGCTATCACATGCTTTTATATATATATATATATGTATTATATTAAACGACTTGCAACGGACAAAATAGTGATTTATATATTGACATTGTTCAGATTTCAAAAGTGTAATGGATGAAAGCTGATCTAATAAGATGGTGGAGATAATTCAATAGCTTGAATAACAACGATAGTCACAAACAAACAAGTATATAAGCCACTATTAATTCTAATTTATTTATTTTATTTTTTTTACAAGAAAAAAAAAAAAAAAACTTCTTTAATAACATAATGTCTGAACAAGAAGCTAAACTTCCTAGAGTAAAATAGATACTATACAAGTCATTGACAATAAACTAACCATCATGAATTTATGAATTAGAAAAGATTTTATCGTCAACGTGCTCATGCCAATCCTTTTTCTGATCATCAATTAGAATAGTAAAGTTAGAAACAATATACACTTGATTATATATGAACATTTTATTGATAGATGCATTCATTTCTTTTTCTTTTCTTTTCTAAACAATATAAATATATCTACATAGTCCTGCAGAACCCAGTTTGATGGATTGGAGTCGTCATTATCCTCAATTTTATCCTGCAAAAGAAGGAGAAGAACAAAAGAAAGTTGAGTTTGCAGATATTGGTTGTGGTTATGGCGGTCTATTGATTGCTTTAGCACCTCTGTATCCAGATAAATTGATGCTTGGTATGGAGATTCGTACAAAAGTAGAAGATTACGTCTATGAACGTATTAAAGCATTACGTATTCAAAAACCCGGAGATTATCAAAATGTGTCCATTATGCGTATGAATGCTATGAAGTTTTTACCCAACTTTTTTGAAAAGGCTCAACTTTCAAAAATCTTTTTCTTATTTCCTGATCCTCATTTTAAACAAAGAAAACATAAAGCTAGAATTATTAGGTAAGTGAACCATTTAGAGAACAAAAGACTCTGTGTGTATGTAGTATTAAATTGTATTATCAGTCCTACACTTTTAGCTGAATATGCTTATGCACTTCGTGTAGGTGGTATTTTATACACGATTACTGATGTGAAAGACTTACATCTTTGGATGGTGAAACATTTGGATGATCATCCTTTGTTTGAAAGACTGACTGATGAAGAATGTGTAAGTGTCATCAGCTTTTCTAGTGAGGAAAAAAGAAAAAAAAATATATATATATAACACATACTTTTTTTTTTCTATAGGAAAATGATCCTGTTGTTCCCTATGTTCGTACTTCAACTGAGGAAGGTAAAAAGGTGGAAAGAAACAAGGGTGATAAATTCCTTGCATGTTATCGTCGTATTGAAGATCCCTTTTATTCTAAATAAAAGATGCTACTTTTGTATATAAATAAATTTCTCGAAAAAAGAATGTACTCCACTTATTGTTCTTTAACATTATATCTCCGACAATGACCTCTTTTATTCTATGACTACCCCTTTTTATAGAAAATAAGAAAGAAAAAAATTCGGTTCCTGTCTTTTATTCTTATTTTATTTTATATTTGAACCAACGATCACAAATATAGAAGAGTGAATGAACTAATGTCAAGATACATTTGACCAAGTCCAATGTAGCTAAAGCTGTTGTTAACCAACATCATTAGGAACTAACAATCAGGACAGAAGAAACTTTATATTTCTTTGAAGAAGAAAAGAATTCAAAAATGGAGGTAGATGCTCAATGATAAAGATCAAATTAGTATTACACTTTTACACTGGCAAACAAGTCTCTGCAAATCAATATTGTCCACATGTAGAGACAGATCTCTTTTACCATGGTAAAATACGCGAACATGTTTACCCCCTTCCAGAAATTGGACCCCATCTCGACATGTGGGATTCATTATTAAGAATTTGCCTTGAGAAAAAGAAAAAGAAAAAGAAAAGAAAAGAAAAAGAAAAAGAAAAAGAAAAAAAAAGAAAAAAAAAAAAAAAAAAAAAAAAAAAAAAAAAAAAAAGAGAGAGAGAGAGAAATTAGGATGATGATTGTTTTATTTTATTCAATTTAAGAAGCCGCTAATAAAAAAAAATGAAGCGATCATCCCTTTTTTTTTTATCGATCTTTCAACCAATAACAAATCAACAAAAAAGAAATGGCGATCATTCAAAGAAGCTCAAAAATCATCATGTTAAAATAGCGACTTATCGATCTACTACATTTTTGAAATATTAATGAAGGTTTATCAGATATGGAAAATAATAACAGTAAATTTAAATTTATGTATATGTATATGTATATATTTATATGATATGTACAGAATGAAATAAAAATGATGGAGAAATATACAAGGATTAAATAGAATAAATTAATAGAATAATATATATTATAGGGAATTATCGGTATTACGTCTTCCAGGTCTGATACGAAGAGGTTCTGGAGCACCAGAAACAGTAGGTAATCGAACCATAAGAGCTACTGGTAGATCACTTTGATTAGCTATATAAACTGTGGCTTGGACCTTAAATCCAAATTGTTCAAAGAATTTGACGCTATTCGGATTACAGGCTTCAACATAAACAGGATGCTTAGCTTCATCCGCCTTAGTAAGGACATAATTAACAAGAGCTGTACCATAACCTTTATGTTGTTCATGAGGTAAAATACCGATATAACCAATTGTAATAAATTGAGGATAATCTGACATAATCTTACGTTTCATTTTATCACAAGAAGGGCTTACTTTCATAATCGCACGTAAAGCAGAAGCCCAACCAATTAAACGTGCAAGTTTTGCAGTATTTAGAACTCGAGGCCAAGAGGGACTATTTGTATTATTAGTCCAAGTAAGAACACCTTTACAGCCTTCAACTTGAATAGCAAAATCACGACTTTGAATAGAGGCATCATTGATCATATTCTTAAATAATGTATATAAAAATTCCTCGTATTTCTTTTTTTCTAATCCACGTACACACCAACCCATAATTGCATTATTTGAATATGCTTCAGTTAATGTACCAGCAGCTTCTTTAATTGCACCTATTATACAATAAAAAGACATTAGTTCATGTTTATACTGATAGATATAAATCTATTCTACCTTTTATAATAGGGCGGACATTCACTGAATATTGATTTATGTTTACAGTTAATTTTCGACTAATTTGTCGATCGTTTAATATTTGAGTAGCTATTGACATTCTGTTTATATAAAATTGCTTTAAACAAGGAAAGATGAAAAAAAAAAAAAGTATAGAAATTAAAATAAAAATAGTTTGTATGTCTTTTCATTTGGATTTGTTCTTTATATAATCTTCTATTTAGCAACGGAGACAAAAAAAAAAGGGTCAAGATTTTCTTTTAAGGAAATTATTGGCTGGTTATGAAAGAAGAATATCGAATCAAGAATCGAGATAAGCATGAATAACACTTTGATTGGATTCTAGTTCATCATATAGAATGGCTCCGATTAAATTATTGCAGAAAAAAAATTTTTTTTTGTTTCTATTAAAAAAAAAATCCTACTGTCATTGCTTGTATTAATTATATTGTTTAATCTTATACATATAAAAAAAAAAAATAAAATAAAAAATAAAAAAAAAAATGAATATCAATAAATGTAAATAAAATACTTTATTGCAAATGCTATGTAATGTTAAACAAATAGTAAAATCATTTTTTTGATTGAATTTATTGTTCTTGGCGATATCTTCTAAACATATCTTTTTAAAAAAAAAAAATCTAGACAATTCGAAATTTTCCAAAAAAAAAAAATAAAATAAAATAAAAAATAAAAATAAAAATAAGGCAGCACATATTCATCAAAATAAAAATGTGCATCTTTTTTCTGTCATCATCTATTTTAATAAGCATAAATATCCACTTTTTTCTATTATTAGCTTAGTTTATTTTAGTTTAATGATCTACAAAAAAAAAAAAAAAAAAAAAAAAAAAAAAAAAATGCGTATGGAATGATGAATATTAAAAGTAAGCATAAAAATAAGACGGATCTAGATGGTATATGATAATGACATAATTATGGTATTTGTAATGATATAAATGATTTCCCCTTATTCTTCTTTTATTATTGTTTATAATAATAATAATAATAAAAATTAAACTTTTTTTTTATAACATGCACTATGTTCTTGTCTATTTTTAGCAGTAGCATCCAAATTGTCTATGCGTACATAGTATCACTCTATTTTAGTAATAGAAAATATAAAGACTGAGTTTTCTAGAATGTAAAACGTCAATTTTTTTTTTTTTTTTTTTTTTGTGAAATGGCATACAAAATAAAGGAAATAAGTTCTATCTTTTACAATAATCTAAAGAAAGAATACATTATAACTATGACTATTATTCTCTGAAATGAATAATAACGGTATTCTTTTCTAAATCAAAATAAGGAGCCTTTTGTTCCGAGTTGAAACTTCTTTATCTTGACGAGAGGCACTGCTAAATAGTTGAACTAATAACTGTTATTATTACGTATGTGATATTCTACTATAATTAGATTATTCTTTCTCCCCCACTTCTTGATCATGCTCCTTAAGCTTATAAAGTATCTTTAACGGTTATTTTTAAAACAGACGACCTTTAATTCCTCTCACTGGATTATATAATTAACAATCTTACATAGTATACATTTTTTTTTGAAGTAAAAATGTTAGAATAGATAACACGTTATTTTTTTTTTTTTTTTTTTTTTTGAAAATAAGATGTATAATATTATTTTGTAAAACATTTTTTACTGACTATTTACTAACAGTACTCACTAAAGTGACTACATAACTTTACCCAAGATCAGTGCAATCGTACTGAACTTTTTTCTTTTTAAATGAAACTTTTTCTCGGTATAAATCATATTTAGTGAACATATAAACCTTTAGAAGATAGTCATGTATCTAATTTTCATAAATAAATATGCCTTTTGTCAATAGAATAAGTAATATATTTGTCTTTAAGCTAATAATTAATAACTTGAAGTCTTGCTACCTTGGACTGCATTATAGCTATCCAAGTAGATTAATATTTTATTTTAGTTTATTTGGTTTTTCTATTTCTTTTATTAAGTTTTTTCTTGTTATAAATAATAAAAATCATTTTTGATATCTCAAGGAGACTCCGTTTTTTTTTTTTTTTTTTTTTTTTTTTTTTTTTTTTTTTTTTTTTTTTTTTTTTTTGCAGCTTATTCAATAAATAATCAGATTTATACAGTCAAATATCATACGAGAAAAAGTAGAGTCCTTATTCTCTCCAAGCTCCGAACTTTTACTTTCTCAAAGTACATACAGAATTTCCAAGAGATCAAGCAAATTTGTACGCTTTTATATACATGGAGTATTCAAAAGAAAATATTGAAAAGTACAAGAATTTGATTAGAAGAAATGTCTGGATTCGAAATATACCTTGTAGAGTCAATTCTTGGCACCTACATCGAGAATATTAGATGGCCCCTTTATCTATAAGATGAGTCCAAAAAAAAAAAAGAAGAAAAGAAAAGCCTGTTGCGTAAGGGGGGGTTTTTTTCTTTTCTTTTCTAAGATACGGATTGCTCAGCTGCTAATAAAACAGGCCCACCAAAAGTTGTGGCAGTGTTAATCCCTTTTGAACAAGGTTCTGTTAACACCTTTTTGTCAAGTGTCATAAATGGCTCTAGTGAATATCAGATGGTTGGATTCCTATTAGGTTGTTTTTCATTTTAAAAGGTTTTGCCTTGAGGGACCAATAAACTCTATATTGTCAATTAGGTTAACATACGGATATTTCTAGGGTACGTATACATACATGGGAGACGACGTGTGTACAGTTATATGAAAGTATAGATTTGACAGTCATATTTAAGATACAGCTATTGGTAAATATTGTGGTGAAATACACCAACAATTAATAAAGAATATACACAGATATGACATGTAATTCATATCGTGCACTTTCACTATATCATATATCAGCCAAACGAAAACAGAAAGAATCCTGAAATCCAGATTTCCCAAATAATATACATATAGGCATGATTATTTAGCCCCAGTTGAGTCCAGACTTATTGCGTAACTAACAACTCTATATTGATTCGCGTTCAAACTACATCCAACAGATGATAGTTGTGACAGACAGAACAATAGAAGATGTTACTCAAGATAGTGTTATGACGTCGCTAATAATGAACACTGTAAGAGAAATAATTTACATGCCATATCAAAAGGTTGCTCTTGTTTTTTTTTCTTAAGACCTTAGCCTTTTTAATAAGTGGAATATTTACCAAAAAAAAGGACTACACTCGATTTCTATTGGCTTTTTATTTAATTTTTTTTTAAGTGCAAAGCAACCTTAAATTTTCCACAAACATATCACATTTTCTTTACCTTCTTTACCGATCTTTGCTTATTTTATACAAAAACATGCATCGATTATTTATTTTTAACAAGAAAAAAGCTATTTATGACAGTCGTCTAGAGAAGAATGAGCTTTCAAGCAAGTATTATTATTAGTGCACATATCTAATCAAAATTAACAATAACATCATCGATGCCACAAGCTTTGATTGTGGTCAGAAGGGACACTTAACAAAAAACTATAAAAAATGCTCATTATATTTACCTAAGACTGGTGACGAAGGTATAGTTGTTCGTATGTAGAATAAGGTGTTAAACACCTACTTATTTGTTAATGAATAGTTGGCACTAGTACTAATAAAAAACGAAAACAGTCAGAAAACGTTAAAAGAGCTAAAAAGGATGCTAAAAGACAGAAAACACAAGCCAGTACCAAAGTTGTTTGTTCAAGATGTAAGCTTTCAGGTCATAGCTCTGCACGGCTCCCCTGAATGCTCTTTCTATATTTTATCAAAAGCGAAAACCTTGGCTCTCAACCTTGGATATAATTATACTGCGTACACGCGGAAGCTTCCTTTTGATATAATTGTATCAAAGAAGAATACAAAGGTGTCCTGAAAGAAAAAAAAATTATCACCTGCTGCAATTCTATAAGACAACTTATCTACAGAGCGAAGTTGTTTGTAAATTACTATATTTTACAAAATCTCAATGAGCCTGCCCCACGGTTCATTTTTAAGCAACAAGTTTGGTATACTATATGCCAATTGGTCAATAACAAAAGGCCTACCAGTAGCACTGTAGTCAGTCCAAATCTTTTACAGCAATGGGATAACTTCAAAAGAGAAAACCCTAAGGCATGCCATGCCGTAGCTTTAATAAGCGGTGCAAGTCAATGTCTGGCTGAGGCGTGTACAGAGGTAGCTACCTCATATCAGAATGCAATCGTCGAGACCTTTGAAAATAGATTGATTTATTATCTTCGGTACAAGATTCAAATCATGTTTGTGGTAAAAAAAAAAAAAAAAAAAAAAAAAAAAAAAAAAAAAAAAAAAAAAAAAAAAAAAAAAAAAGTGTATGTATATAAATAGTAATAAAGAACTAAACAAATTTTATAAAAATAAATATAGAGTATGAATCGAAACGACGTTCATAATATTGCTGTAAAATATTGTTATCAATATATCTGTCAAGGGAATCCAGTGTGGCCAACAAGTGAAACTGTAAATGATGATACAACAAGACAAAAAGTTGTTCAATTTTGCCAGCCTCTGAGGGACATTCTAAATACCAAAGTAACAATGAAAACTCTATCGGAATCCCCTGGTAGATTTACTCCTTTATTGATACACTTGCTCTCTATCATTGAATCTGAACACGACAACCATTATGAATACGATGTAAGAAGACTGTCTCTTCCGCGGCGATTTAGTCTGCTCCCAACACCTTCCTTACACTGGCGTTCTATAACTTTGTCAGTAAACGCATTATCTGCGTTTCTTCCTCGTGAAAAGTTGCCAAGAGGTTATAATGACCAACTTCGGCTCTTTTTTAAAGTATTAAAGTTCCAGTCATTGAGAATTAAAACGTAAGTTGAAAAAAAAAAGGTGATATCATAATAATTAAAGCAAACATACTTCCAGAATTGAAAGTATAATGCCAAATGGCAGAAATAGACAGTTGTTTGGAAACTTGATCAGATCAGACGGTTTCAGTGTTGATTTTTTGTTCTACAAAAGACGAAATGATCAAAATGATATGGCTGTCAAGGTTAACCAAATACACCTCAAAGTCGATGACTTTAAGAGTCAAGAAGTAGAAGAGTCATGTCTTCTAATAGCAATTGACCCTGGAAGAAAAACCGTTTTTACTGCAGTTACTGATTTAGACCGCGATGTTCGACGATGCACAACCAAGGAATACTATCATTTGACAGGTTCAACAAGATTCAGTTCTGAATTGAACAGACTAAAAAATGAGCATGGCATTAACATCATAGAAGGCTCTATATCAACCAACAAGACTTCTGACTCAGAAAAGTACTTGCAGCATGCCACTTATATTTTCAATAATTTAGATACTCTGTTCGAGTTTTATAACGCTGCTACGGCAAAGGACCGTTTCTTCTTGTACCAAGGAAACCAAAGGGCGCCAGAGTTAATGGTAAATATGTTGCTGAACGGAACTAAAAAGTACAACAGAAGTTTAAGAAGCAAAAAGAAAAAGAAAGCGAAAAACAAAAAGAAGAAGAAGAAAAAGGGGGTACCAAGAAGAAAAGAAAGGGAAAAGAAGTTAAAAAGAAATGTATTCCAAGGTATTTGTAGTTAAAAAAAAACCCCAGTAAATTAGTATTATTATTATTTTTACTGAAAAAGTGCATGTATACAAATGTATCTGATAGAGAGACTAAATATAAAAACTACAAATCAAAGTTACCCTTGGTCGTATTTGGGGCCGGAATGTTTGGCAAAGATTTGGTGCACTACAAGGGATTGAGAAGTGGAGTCACTGAACTCTTTTACAAGACTTTAAAGAGAAGAGAAAGTAATGGTGACTTGATAGTTGTTACCATCGATGAGTATCTTACCTCCCAAGTATGCTCTAAATGTATGACAAGAACTTTGGATTTTTTACTGGTGTTCGTGGCTGTGGTGTTCTTGTTTGCAAGACATGTCAAACACTGTAGCAGAGGGATATTAATGCATCTTTAAACATAATGAAGATTGCTCAGTTGATTCGGAGAGATGGAGAGCGCCCTCTTCCGTTTAAAAGAGGTTAAGTCTTACATAAATCGCCGTATTAAACACGGTTCTCCGAAAGGAGGTCAGATTATTACAGGTAAAGAAAAAGTCTGAACATTTACCATCAAAGTGTTTGAACTCATTTTTTTTTCGTCTGATTTCCATTTTTATTTTGTCTAAAAAAGGTAAGCAAATTGTCCCTCATCACAGCACCTGAAAAGTTGCGCTCTTTATTATCGTTATGTGAAGAAAACAGTAATTTATTAGGCTACCGCTGGAATCCTAGTAAATGTGTAATCCTTGATCCTTCTGATAATCAGCAACGGTACACTTTATATGGTGACCCCATTCCAACCTAAAAATGTTTTTCTTATCTAGGTATCCCCATCAAGATAGGAGGATTCTTAGATACAGCTCAACTAGTACAAAATAATACTAACAAAGCCCTACAAACAATGGACCAAATGGCATCTATTGGGTTTAACCCCAAGGGATTTGATCGTTTACTCGCTACTCGCTTCTACACGCAGATAGTCCAACCACAGCTCGAATATGGTCTAGCTATTAGTCTACTTAGTGCAAAGGATATCCAACAACTGGAATCTTGTCAAAACACATGCATAAGACGGATGTTTGGTGGCTCTAGTCGATCATCAGTAAAGGTGATGCTTCATATGGTAAACCAACCATCAATGAAGGTTAGGGTGTCCATTCTGCATGCCCAATTCGTTTTCCGTGCTATTGATTTACCGGATGATACTTTGCTCGCTAAATTACTTCCTGAGCTTCAAGCCTCTATCTTCAACACTCAATGGTATAAACTCATTCAAACACCATGCTGGAGACTCTGCGCCGCCAATTCCATTCCATTAGACCAACGCTCCTTTCGAAAACATCGTCAAGAATTTCTTGAAGAGAGTTTTCAACAACTGCGTGACGAGACACATTCTTTTTTGCTTTCCTCTTGCCGCCCTAATCTGATTATTGATCCGATACTCTGGTTACCCATGACACACAGTGAGCGTAGTCGAACTATTCGATGGCGTCTTGGTTGGTTACCTGGAGGAATACCTAAAGCCTGTCCATATCATCCTTATGTACGCTTTAGTCGGTCACATGCCACTGAATGCTTGCACATGCACACTCGTTCATTCTTGCCACGATCAATTGCAGATCTCCTTTCCTTTCTTTTAAATCATCTCCCTCAGCATAAGCACCAAAATTCTCAGGATGTTTCTGCTTGGTTCTATCGCTGGCCAGTTATGTGTACCATTCTACAGGAAATGGACTACTTAATGCACGATAAACTACCCCCTCCACTTCTTGATCCAGGCAGAAAATTACTCAACTGGTTGTCTCTTTAAACTTGTTAGTAATATTCCCCCTTTCTTTCTCACCTTCTCTTCTTCCTTTCCTTTACCTTTTTACCTCTTGTCCCATAAGAGGGTTTTTAGATACTTTTTTCGCATAATTTGAACTGACCTGGGCAATCCAATATAATAAAGATATTATGTGCCCATAGGTCGCTTTATAAATTTTAATTTATAAAAATAATAAAAAAAAAATGTTTAATCGTACTTGATGCACTAACATAAAGAATAAACTTTTTAAAGGCCGAAAATACTCTTATAAATAATATCCAATACAGAGAATTTCAAGTCATGGATAATGGTAAGTTTATATAAATTCTGAAATAACAGATGTATATATATATATATATGCAAATAACGAGCTTTATACTTTTGATGCAGAAAAGTTGATTGACGATGAGAAGCCTATTGCTAAATTTGATAATAGTAAAGAAAACAATTTTTTTTTTCTTTTAGGCTTACTGACCATTAAGCCATTCCTTATTATGTTCTAGTCTATACCTCTTATATAGCCACACATTTCTTTCTTTTTTTTTTATATAGTGTTAATTGTAATGAAATTTCTACCATTTTACCAGAGTATCCTTTTCTTTTCTTTTCTTTTGATACACTTCATTCATTTTCAGCGAAATATATGTTCAAGGACAATTGCATGTATTCAAGCTAAAGATATCATAAATTTCATTGTCGTAGCATGATACGCATGAGAGGTATAAAATACAATGTAGTTATTTTTTACAATTTCGAGTCCATATGCATAGTAAATATGTTCATTCAATAAGTTGTTACAAAGAAGTATCCAACTAATACTTTATATAAAGAAGAAACTAGTCATGAGAGATTATTGCTGATATTCAATGATAACTGAAGGTGATCATCGATTAGATTAAATAGGTTATTAGGATGTATTAGCGTCTTGTTAAATGTATAATGGCTTCTATTTGCTATCTAAAGTTAAATATAAAGGCCATCTAAATTAGATTGATTCTTTGTTAGTTATTAGAGAGATATAGGGTATAATCAATTTAATAAGGCCAAACATGGTGAATAACACGATTGCTCTATGTAGCTAGGAGTAGGAGTACAGAAGGTGATATATAGATTCAACTCTATTATTATATCTGTTTATATGAAATGACACAGCTAATAAAACAATAAAAAAAAAAAAAAAAAAAAAGAGAGAGAGAGAGAGAGAGAGATTGTACAAATAATAAATAGGGTCTAATCTCTTTACTACATGAACTGAATACCTATTATCTCCTTCATTCTTCACACTATTATATTATACTGCGTCTTATAATCAAGTAACCTATTTTCATAAGCCCAGCAAAGAAGATAAACATATGTCGGTTATGATAGGGCAGGAAAGTGTAGAATGTTGCAGTCATTTTTCTCAGGTTTATTATTCTATAGATTCGTAATAAAGAAAAAAAGATCAAGAAGAACAGCAAGATTTTCTTTAATATCTATTCTTTCTAATTTCCAACTATCACACATAACACGATTATTATTATTATATGTCACATATTGTATTATATAAATGTATGTATGTAATAATCAATTATGCATGTACTTCTTGATGAATTTAGTTTTTTATCTGATTGAGTAAACGTGACCGAAAATTCAACCAATCAGGGATACACGTGCTTATTCTTATGTTGTATGATTGGTAAACTTCTTTACATGAAATCATGTTCTATTGATTCGAATGAATTTTTCTTTAGTTGATTTTCTCCATATTCTATTTTTTTTTTTTAAAATTCTTTTTAGAAAAAGTGTTATCATATTTTCCAGTAAAATCTACTCCTCACTTCTTTTTATGATACCCTTTTTTTTTCTTTTCCTTTTAAATGTTGAATAATAGTCCAACTTCTTCAAAACCAAATACATCTTCAGATACAGCATCTTTATCTAAAAAGAGAAAGAGATCATCTGTTCAAGACACATCATTAGTAGTAGCAACAACACCAACCGCCGTTGCTCTTCCTCCTCCATTTGTACCTTTTACTCCACATTTTTATTATCCAGCAGTCTATCATCATCATCATCATCAGCAACAACAACAACATCCTTACTTTATACCTATTGGGCCTCAACCTCCAATTTCGCCTAGTTTAACACCTACACCTACTTCACCCATAAAGTCAACAAATGCAGCACCTCAACGCATACTTCCAAAATCACCTACCTTCAATCCAGTTACTCAACATATCATTTCGCCTACTGCATTAGCTCCTTCTTATAATCTTTATCCTTACCATCCTGGCATACAATTACATCCAGATACTGTAAACGCTACAAATCTATCCACCACTACCACTACCACTGCTACTGCTACTGCTACTACTAATGCCGCCGCCATGATACCCTCTCCTTCTTTTCAACCTACTCTACATCGCAATTCATCCTCTTCTATCATCACCACTCCTACTACAGCAGATCAGCGTGAGTTAGCAAGAAAAGAATCACACAGTGCAATTGAGCGTAGAAGAAGAGAAAAGATGAATGATAAAATTATTCAATTAAAGGAATTGATCCCTTCTTGCTCTAACAATAAAGAAACCCTTCATAAAATGAACATCTTACAGAATGCCATTGACTATATTATACACCTTCAAGAGACGATTAAAAAATTGGAGCGTAACACTACTCTGAATGAAGATACATGCTTATTAACTTGTAGAAATAATAAAATGAAAGCTCAAGAGGATCATAACTCTACTATTAAAGAAAACACACAGACCAATCATACAAAAAATCAACAATGTGTCATAAATCAATCAATACCTATAGAGGAAGATAAGAGACAAGAAGAAGAAGAAGACGAAGAAGAAGATGATGATACTTGGTCTGCTTCATCTTTATCTTCATTGAAATCAAACTCACTTGTCATGACTCCTCAAAAAGGCTTGAAACCTATGGATGTGATTCAAAATAATAATTCCCCTATATTACCACCAAAAATAGTCATTGCTAAAGGGTCACAAGAAAATTCTCCTAATCTTCAGTCTAAATTACCATCTGTCAATATGAATATCGAGAATATTTTATGTTAAATTATTTGGCTTGTATATTAAAAATATATCCTTATTTTCAAAAAGAAAGAATAGAAAAGAAAAAAAAAAAGTTGATTACATAATGAATGGAAACATCGGAGATTGAATTTGTGTGTGTGTGTGTGTGTGTGTTTTTTGTCCATTAAAATTCTCCACACTTCAGAAAAAAAAAAGGAAATAGTCAATTTTTTTTTGTTTTCTCCCTTTTTTATTTATTTATTTATTTTTTTTTTTTGTAATTCGATTGTACATGTCTAAAACAAATACAACACCTTCATTTACAGGATCCCCGCATACAGTAAAAAAAAAAGCCTTATATTTATATATATATATACATATACATAATGCTCGAATGAGTTAACTTATTTTTACCTGTGTGCTTTTTTTTTTTTTTTTACGATTTGTTGGAAATGACAGGATCAAGCATTAGCAGGTTTTGGTGCAGGCATGGTAACAACTGCTTTGTTACATCCTCTTGACCTTATTAAAATTCGATTTCAAGGTATTTTATGAGTAATAGAGAGAGTGTGTTATTGTAATTATTCTAAAATGAATATATATAAAGTTGACTCTGCTCGTCATTCAAACAAACGACCCTTTATTGGAGGAACAATTCGATCTTTTAAGTCTATTTTATTGGGAGAAGGTGTGTGGAAGGGTTTATATAGAGGTGTCACACCTAACATGGCGGGTGCCACATTTAGCTGGGGGTTTTATTTTGGATGGTAAAAAAAAAAAAAAAAAATGTATACAAATATCATGATTAACCAAATACCATCATTTATAGGTATAGTTTAATTAAAAAGTATATGGAAAAGGATCAAAGTGGAAAATTATCTGCTATACAACATTTGACAGCTTCTGCTGAAGCAGGTGTGTAAAATACATCTACATATAATTTTATTATACACCTTTTAATCTCTTCCTCCTCCTCCCCCCTTTTTTTTTGGAGGGATATAATAGGCGCGTTAACGGCTTTTATGGCCAATCCTTTATGGGTGGTAAAGACTAGAATGTGTACAACTACGCAACATACACCAGATGCATATACAGGCCTATTAAATGGATTAAAACGACTTTATGTAGAGGAAGGGATAAGAGGACTTTATAGAGGAATGGTGCCCGCGTTATTTGGAGTATCTCATGGAGCGATTCAGTTCATGGTATATGAAGAGATGAAAAAGAAACGAAATGAAGTTCGACATAAAAAGGGTTTAAATTCAATGAATGAATTAAATGCTCAATTAAGTCAAACTGAATACTTGACTATGGCTGCTATATCGAAAGTAACGGCTACAGTAATCACATATCCATATCAAGTGTTAAAAAGTCGATTACAGGTAAAATGAAAGAGAAAAAAGATGATCAAGATATTCCCTATACATATTCATATAAATATGTACATAGAATCGTGCTACAAGGGATACATATAAAGGTGTAATTGACTGTAGTAAAAAAATGATACAAACAGAAGGTTACATGGGGTTTTATAAAGGTTTAGCTCCAAATATAATTCGTGTTTTACCCGGTACTTGCGTGACATTCTTAGTTTACGAAAATTTAACTCAATACTTCAAGCAACATGCAAGCTAAAATCTATAAAGGCTTTATATATTAATAATTTTATTTCAAGAACTTTTAAAGTAATTCATGATAAGAACACCAATAAGACCTAATAGGATAGGTACAAATAGATTAGGTCGTTGTGCCTTTTCAAGGGCTTTAGAAGAAGGCTTATAATTAGCAGCAATCCATTGTTCAATCTAATTATAATACAGTTAATAAAAGAAATATGTATATATAATATCATGATACACATACTCTGCCAATAGACATGGAAATATCCATAAAATTAGGATTTACAGCTTCATTCTTTCTAGCAATCTCAAAGATATAATGTCTAAAGATAGAAATGACATTATCCATGTTTGTGCTTTGCAAAATCAATTTGACAGCTTCACCTTTACGAATCTTGATATTACGTTGATAAACTTCGAGATTATTAAAGACCAAGGCAAGAGTAGCGATAGCCATGACTTGGGGAATAGCACAAAAATTAAAAACGGATTGATTTTGAAGTCTTGAGAGGTAAGTGAGAACATCAGGGACTTGATTTAATACATTCAAAACCATGTCATTTAAGCAATATTTAGCCTAAAAAAATATATATATATATATGTATACATATTTGTTATTGCCTTTTCTTTTCGTTACACATATTCACATTTATATCAAACCTTCAACTTATTTTCAGGCTTTGTAAAGTCACTGAATTTATCCACATACTTTCCCCAAATTTCATGAGGCCAAAATTGACGTCCATCATCTAAATCCTCACGATAATCACGAATGATGTTTGTCTTTTGTAGGAATAAACCCATTGAATTAGAAATGTGTTTGTCTTTTGCAATTTCTTCAGATTCAAGACCAGAAGCGGCAAAGAGGTCCGAAAGACCATAACCAACAAGTCCGGCAACATAATGACAATAAAGATCAAAGTCAGCGACTGTAGCAACAGCTGTATTCTCACGATGTTTGCCTGAAGCATAATCGGCCATACCGTTACCCATTAATCTTGTAATGTTGGCAATAACTTGTTGAAATTCAGGCTTAAGACGAAGGAATTCGTTAATGACAACATCAAAATGAACTAATAATTCTCGGTCTTTTTCATCAGGACCATCTAATAATAAAGTAGTGTGAATAGGACGTTTATTTATTATGTTTATATATTCGAGGAAATAAGAAAAAAAAATAAATAAAAAATAAAACTTACTTTCATTAAAAGTCCAATCTTTTTGGTAAATAATTTGATCAAAAGATCTTAATAATTCAACTTTTCTATCTAAAGGTAAAGTCATATCATCCTCAATTGTATCTAAACCACGTAAAACTAAATAGAATAAACAGACCTACGATTGTGTACAGTTAATAATATACTTTTATTAAAAATATCTTGTAAATGTAATATTTACAGCATCTCTTAAATCATCATCAAGCTCTTGAATAACAGCAGCAAAACTTCTAGAGGTCTAGTATATAAATATGGTTAATAAATACATGTGCTAGATGCATTCCTTTCTTTTCATGCCTACCATGTTTAAGAAGTCATAACAACGCTTCTTTGACGCGTCCCTGTCTAATGACTGCTGATGACGAATAGCAGAAGGAGATTTATGTGCAAACTTGTACTGAAACAAAGCAGCAAGCTCAGAAGGCTTTGTAACGGAATCGAGAATTGCTTGCAACATGTTAGCAAGTAAACTTTTCCCCCTTTTTTTTTTTTTTTTTTTTTTTTTCAAGAAAAATAAAAAAGTTAAACAATAAAAAAAAGAGACTGGTGAAATTTTTTTTTATATTTTGTGTTTCAAATTAAGATTTTTTTTTTTTGTTATCAAATAAGAAGAAAAAAAAAATAAGCTTTAAAATTTTATGCATAATTTATTAAATAAAAAACAAGACACAGATTTATTCATCATCATCATCACCATCAATGTCGCTATCAGGTCCAGTCATATCAATCATAGGAATTTCCATGTCTAAATCCATGTCATCATCACTAATAGAAATAGTGACATTAGCATTAACATCTTTATTACTTGTAGTAATATTCGTTTCAAGTTCTGAATTATTTGAAGGAGTGACATCATTGTTTAGAGAAACTACTGTTGTTATTGTGGAAGATTTAGTTTCAAGTGATGTTTTTTCTAATAAATTCACAGGAGCTTGCTTCTCAAGATCAGAATCCTTAGTAGTAGTAGTAGTAGTAGTAGTAGTAGTAGTAGGTAACACAATAGGTTTGATGTTTACATTTTCTATAGGCTTTACTTTTTCATAGTTAATATCTTTCTTTATCTCTTTCACTTCTTTCACTTTCTCATTTTTGTCTTCTACAACAGGCTCTAATATTATCTTGTTTTCTTCTTCATTTTCTATCTTTTTCTCATCCTCTTCCTCTTCCTCTTCATCAATCTCTTTTTCTTCTTCGCTTATTCCTTGAGCAGTTGTAACAACTACAACGGGCGAACTATTTGGCATAGTGCGTTGAATAGGAGGTAATCTAGTATGCATAATAAGATCACAAATAGCAAGACCCTTTTTACAAATAAGCTGTAATTGATGTGATTGCTCATTTACACCAGCTGAGAAAAGACGGCATGCATGAGGAAGAATACTTGCTTGTGTTTCAATGGGATGCATCAAAGATGATAATAGGCATTGGTAAAGTTCAGCTTTAACAAGTATAATTTCTTCATTTGACATATCAGAGGGGTGAACTACTTGAATCAATCGACTTAAAATTGTGCCATCAACAGATGCTCTTTGACCATTTTCCATTGAAAAACCATATATATCAAGTAATGTAGCCAATGCTTGAAGACCTGCAACTTGAACATCTGTTGATGCAGCAGAAACAAGCTTACTTGTTAAGGAGTCAGAATTTGTGATTTCTGTCTTTCTCTTTTTATGTGATTTTTTTTGCTGCTGTGTTGAGGCTACAATATTAGCTGATTTATGTTCGATTATTTGAAGATCTTTCAAGACAGAGGATATCAATGGTTTATGAATAATTTCAGCAAACACATATCCACATTTCTCTAAACATAACGAGATTAAGTTGTATACAGATATCTTTAATGTTCTCTTGTTCTTATGCTCGTTTAAAAGACGGAGTAAAATTCTTGAAAGAAGTTTACTATAGCCCATCATTTCTTTTCCAGAACTATACATACACATATAAATATAAATATTCATAGTGAAAGAAAGGAGAAAGCAACGTACCAATACAATAAACTACTGAACATTTTACTTGTACTTAAATGTAAAGTGGGCAGACACATTACTAATGTAAAGAATTCGTCTTTGTCTTTAAATTCACGCATCTAGTAAAATATTAATCTTCCTGTTAAGTTGTTTTCTGTATATATACTTTACCAATGATCCTTCAAAAACATTATAGATACGGCAAATAAGATCGATTAAATGTACTATGGGCACACCTACGGCAATAGATGTAGAGGTTCTATAATATGTATCAACGTTAATGTCATTTGCCTTTCTTTTTTTTTCTATCTGTATTTTACTTACGTTAAAAAGGTAGATATACAATCTTGTAAAAGTTGAATTCTTTTAAGTAAAATAGGAAAGGCTTCTGCATAATCAGATGATACTGGGAGGAAAGGATAGGATTTTTGTAATTCAAATTCTTGGCTTTCTGTACAAAAATAAATAAATAAATAAATAGCTTGTATTTTTTTTTATTAATAACACACCTTCATCTACTGTATCAAATAGTCTATTTAAGCAATCATGAATTGAGCCAATTAATTTTAATAAGCTTTCTTTCCATTGATCTGCCATAACTGATTTGCCTCCAGCATGATATAACGAAACCAATAACTTATTAGCTTCTTTGATTGTCTTTAAATCTAAATCTCTAGAGCCATCTAAGCAGGATAGACAAAGCTGAAGGCATTGCTCTGAAATATGTCGTGCTGTTGAAGGAAAACATTTTACATTGGTAGTTAATGCTGATAATACAGTTGGCTAATTATGCAGATAAAATTTATTTATATATGCACAATTATATACATATTTATATCCATATAAACTAAAAGACTTACCAATAAATCCTGTTTGCGACCTAATTGAAGTAGTAATTGGTTATATCTTTGAAGATTGGGTGTAGCAACTTCTCTTTGTAATTCTGGCTTATCTACAGTATATGAAAATAAAAACGAAAGTGTTTCGATTGACTCTTGATAGATAGGTGTTGGTACTGATTTCTATTATTTGTTAGATAAAAGAAAAAGAGTTATTTTTATTTTGGTTTTTTCTTTTGGTTTTCTTTCTTTTTTTTTGCACTTTACACCCACAAAACCTAAAAGTTGTGCAATCCAACTTTTAGCATTAGCTAAAAGTAATTCATGTGAGTTTTGACATGTCACTTTAACAAGAGTAATGCCACACCATTGTGCAGTTACAATTTTTGATTGTAAGAGTGTATTTAAACGACTTGTCCATTTTCTATATATAACGCCTGATTCATCGGATTCAGTATATTCATCAAATAATCGATGATTTACAATAATGTCTAAAATGAATGATAAATTTTGATGAATTGTATTGTCATTTGACATGTATAAACTAAGCACATTGCTTATTAATTGAGTGGTTTTCACTGGCATCGTTTAACTGATGAAGAATGATATATATATATGAGGTGTTTATGTAATATTTGTATTTTTTTTTTTTCTTATTTTATTTTTTTTATTGCGAAGAAATTCAGCCAATAGACATTAAGCCACAAACATATGAAAAACAGTCATAATGGCTCTCTTCTTGTTTCCCCCGAGCTTAGAAGGTTGTTTTTTTTTTAATGGAGATTAAATTTCTAGTATTGAATCACAAAACTAATGTTACAGAAAAAGCACCATGAAGATAAAGTATTATTATAAGAAGCTATATAGTTAACACTTGGTATAAGCATAACTATTTGCTAAACTAAAGATACAGCATATAACATGCAGCTTCAAAATAACAGAATAAAAGAATGCGTTGAATTCACTAACTATTGCTTTAAACAGTAGGATGAAATATAAGCATTTATTTGCATTTAAATATTTTATTAAAGACTCTGAACATAAATAGTTCATATACGAGAGCAGAAACTACATTTTTATATACAAAAACATTCTAGATTGTATTATGCTTACTTTAAAATATCTTCATAAAAAACTACAGTACATTTAATAACTAAGTCAAAAATGCCTCAAATGTATCTTTTATGTAGATCAGTAAGCCTAATAAGTATATACGCAACAAAGTAAACTTTTTTTTTTTTGCTAATTATTATTATTTAATAAATAAAATAATTCATTTTACAACGACAAATGTCTTTATTAAGTAGATAATCATACTATTAAAAGTAGTTATAGTAAATCTTACTATTAAACATCACCGATGTATATCATGTGATCTATCTAGTAAATTTGAATATATAACAATGTATTACTGATTATTGATGCACATATAACGGACTATATGACTATGCATTTGTCCCATATGTTTCATATAGACAAATGCATAGTCATTATTATAAGGAAAAGAGACTAGGGTTAAGTATGTTCCACTCTAACAAAATTGTTCTTTAGATAATAAAAGATAGTCGTTTTCTTTTACCAAAATTCTATTCTTATTATATTTACTTATTCGTTTTCAGAGCGTCTAATTCGATCTATCATAAATATCTTGACTAAATTTTAGCAAGTATATGGCTCATTCATACTCGGACTTGCGTTTTTCTTATGTTCGACTAATAAGAAACAGGTCGTAAAATAGTATAAATTGAGACTAGCATCCTCTCCTATTTATTGCATCATCAATTATAAAGGTAGTATGATGGGATTTACATTCATTACGACAATATATATATATGTATATGCATATATATTTGTTAGCATGATGAATCAAAAGATACATATTTTGTTACATGTTACTATAGTTACAAATAATGAGATTACATAAAAATAATCAATATTAATACTCAATCGTAGTAGTAAAGTGAATTGCTTGTATTCAATAAACAAGTATTAAAACATCATAAAATTGGCTATTTATTCTAAATATGTATATATTGTCCTGAAAATAAGTTTTTTTTTTGCCATCTTGTTCACTTGCGCGCGCTGCTTCGGCAAAAGAAAAAACTATTTTTTAATCTCAGCAGAAGAATGACATAAAATGAACTTGGTTCCTGCAGCAGTATTATTAGATGATATTAATTGTTCTTTTCCTTCCTTCCTTCCTTTCTTACTTTTTTTTTTGTTTCTGATTCTATATAAAAGAAAAAAAAATAGAACATGGTATCTTACATGAAGAAATCCCTTAGTATACTTGCAGGATTCGGGAATAGTGATCTTTTACCGCCTGAGGAATATATATCCGCAACATGTAATAATGTAAGTGGTAACGATGATATAGATGATTGTACAGGTTGTTCAAATCCTTGTTCTGAGCATAAGTCATATCCATCTTATTTAAATATTGAGATGGATATGCCTATTTTGGGGTCTGTAAAGCCATACGGTCGACATGTTCTGATTGCTACAGGAGTTACTGATTGGCCTAAAAAAATCCAATATGAAAGAGATACCTTTGCCTACAGCTTATATCAAGCTGAATGCAATAATAAGTCAGTATATCCTTGGAAAAACTTAGTGACAAATGCATCGTTTGTTTCCACTTATTCAACTGTCCCCAATAGTTGTGATGTCCTGATTTTTCCAGATAATATACTTATTTCTAATGTTACATCAGAGAAAGCTAATGATTTCTACAACCTATTTCTTGCAACTCCTTTACCAAAACAAGCAGTCGATATTGAATTGCTGAAGAAAGATAGTCGTATAGGTGAAATGAATATTTATAAATGTCCATACAAGTCACTTTTGTTGCTATGTTCACATAAAAGAAGAGATAAACGATGTGGAGTGACTGCACCTATTTTAGCACAGGAATTCGACCATGTGTTACGGGAAAAAGACTTGAGTGAACAGGATGCTGCTGTTATCATGGTTAGTCATATAGGAGGTAGTATATAAAAGTAAGATAGTATTAAAATAATAATAAATATCATGAACTAATTTTTTATTTGTTTAATTTAGGTCATAAAATTGCAGGTAATGTCATTTGTTATATAAATGAAGGTGCTCGTGGTATTTGGTATGGTCGAGTCAAAACTTGCCATTGTCGTCTAATAGTTGAGGAAACCATTATAAAAGGAAAAGTAATCAAAGAGATTTATAGAGGAGCTATGGACAATAGTTTTGAAAATCAACAAAAGAGGTCAATCTTTAAATGGTAGATAATCATACTTACTAGAGAAAAAAAAATTAATATATTTTTATAATAAAATCACAAGTACAATAATGCAAGTAATAGTTAGAAACAATAAAATATATTCAATATTATCAGATTTTCCTATTTCAGACATTTTGATCAATTTTGTACTAATTTTTTAGTTTTACAAAACTATTCATACAAGTGATCATAACTTTTCTATATTTGCTAATATTGCCCACGTACTCGTGTTTACGTTTAAAAGTAATTAACTATAGAACAATAATGATCTTATTTTCTATAATAATATATATTTCATATTGTATTATACAGCATCGTATTAAATCAGATTCTTATTTATTATTAAAATCTGTGCAATAGATCGTATATTGTTTAGATTAAATATATAAAACAATAAGGATATGTCAAGGCGTGATAATTGATGCTTTCCTTATATATTAAAGCCAATACCTTCGTTGGCACCTTAATTCGCTATCTACCCATAGTCGTCCATCATATTATCATGTTTGCTCCTCCCCATAAACTGTTTATTAGAATTCATTTAGCATATTGACTCTATATGCACTATAGATTACAAATGCTATGGGCAATTGAAGACCCTCTTTCCTTCCTCTTCAATAAGTTCTCGTCCAAAAAATCTTCTAGCATAATACCATCCCCTCCATAGTATTTACATTAGCCTTTTATAGGCTCCACATTACATGAGATAAGTTGTTCAGCTCACTACTCTATTTCTTCTTTCCCCAATCTAGGCTTACCCAAATCCTTTTGCTAAAACCTTTCCTTTTTTTAACATTTGAGCTTTTACTTTTCCCTTTACTTTTTTTTTACCGTTCATTTTAAAAAAAAAATTGGGTTTTTTTTTCTGGCACTTTTTTAAATTAGGATAACTCAGTAATTCTACCACAAGCTACAAACCCAATAGTCAATTTTTTGTTTGATTCGATTATGATTTATTCACTGTGACTTTTTGAACATAAAAAAAAAACCCCATTTAAGGCGGAGTGTTAATACATTGGTCATCCACACTCTCAACCAGGTCCTCCTGTCATTTTACCACCCCTTCCTATTTATACATAGGCTCTATATACCTTTACATCTAATACAAAAAAATTTTTTTTCTTGTGTAATATAGTTATACATACCATGAACAGTACTATATTACAAGCACTTCGTCAAAATGGAGCTACAATGTGCAAATTCCAACTTTCATGGATTCGCCCAATGAGTATAATGCCTACTGCTTATACCACAACATCAGTACCTGAAGCAACAGAACCAACAGAACCAATTATGGAGAACACTACTTTAAAGCAACTTCCAGATTCAATTGTGCCCAATAATGAAGTTGTAAGTCAACTTGTAAATACACTCATGCGAGATGGTAAAAAAGCTAGAGCACAACGTTTAATCTCTGACAGTATGGAATACCTTTCCAAAAAGATTGAGCCAGAAACAGATCCTTATGAAGTTTTACTTGAATCTATTGCAGAAGCTTCACCTTTGTTTAAATTATCTTCAATGAAAAAGGGATCTAAAGTCGTTTATGTTCCTACACCATTAAGAGATCGTCAACGTCGTCGTCGTGCTATTGTCTGGATGTTAGAAGCTGCAAAGAAACGTGGAGAAAAAACATTTGCGGAAAGATTTGCAGCAGAAGTGTATGATGTTTCGCAAGGCACCAGTACTGTTTTGCAGAAGAAGCTGCAATTACATAAACAAGCATTAGCTAATCGTGCTAATACACAAGCCTCATATAATATTCAACGATAAAACTATCAAAATTTTTAATTATACACATAAATATATCTTTTTTTTTTCCTTAAATTATAATAATTCCATTCGATATAAACGCTTTTTTATTACCACCTTCTGTAGACGCATTTGTATAAAATTGGGATTTTTATAAAACATAAACATATTAAATTTAATCACGAACACATGATAGTAAGTGATTTATAGTCTTGGCAAATGATGTGTTAATATCAGCTGTTTTAAACAAATTCAAAGACTTATTGTCCTACAAATAACTTCCCCGATCCATGTAAAATGTATGCAACTCATGTGGTAGATACATTGTGTATATAAATCCGTCTTGTTTTATAATATTTGTATTTCTTTTCTTTTTTTTTTTTTCATAAATCATATACAAATATAAGATGCAAAACGGTGGTGGAAAATGCTGCGGGTAAAGTCACTTGTGTATATTTATTATTTTGTAGTAAATATAATTAAATATATGTTATACAGTAACTGTGGTTCGAACTGTACCTGTTCCTCTTGTGGCTGCAAGAAGTAAATAACTTCATACCTTTATTCTGAGGGCAATAATCTCTTGCTGAAAAAAATAAAAATAAATAACAACGACGAAAAAAAGGATACATATAAATATTCATAAAACTAAAGACTTTTGCAATTTTTTTATTCCCTTATAAATAATAAAGAAAAAAGATCATTGATTATTATCAGTAATTTTTTTTTTTTTGTTTATACTTTTGGTGGAGCAAATCCAGCTTTTCTTCTAAAATAAATACCCTTAAATTTGATATATACTAATAAACTCATACCTATGACATTAAGAGAAGTCAAGAGTATAGATACATAACCAATAGATAATGCAGAACCCATTATAGGTGATATCAAACTTAAAATAGCTGCCATCGTTGATCTTAAAAAGTTACAAGCAGCTGTAACTGATGCCCCTTTCCCAGGAATCGCATCTACTAAATACGCTGACCCTGCTGTATAGACTAGTATATAATACAAAGATATGCAATTCATTTAAAATTAAAACAAACTTATTATTTTTTTTTTAATTTTACAAACCTTGACTCATTCCAAAACATAAAATGCTAAAGCCTATGATTGCAGGCCAAACTGAAAATCCAGCCATAATGCTCCATCCAAATATTAACACACCTAAAGGTATCAAGAAAAAACCTCCTGGCCTTTATAGAATAGGACAACACCAATAATATAATAAAACACATAATTATATATGTATACATGTGTGTGTGTGTGTGTATACATGTGAATAAGTGAATTTGAATTCATTAATTTGCAAATATATAATACAAACCATGTATTTGGTGTAAGTCTATCTTCTGCTTTATATATTCCGCCTCGTTTTTCACTAGATTTTTTCAGAAAATAATCTGAGAGTTGTCCTGAGACTAATGAGCCTATCACGTTCCCGAGACCTGCACCTAAAAAACTTAGACCTAATATACACTGTAAATAATAGTAATTCAAAAAAAAATACTTATTAAAATACCTGTTTGCCATGAATTAAACTGATAGTGAGTATAATAAATATCGGGAATAAGTGTTTCTAAAGTAAACATTGTACCAAAGCAAAATCCTATCTCAATAGCTACAAAGCAGACAAATATATACTGCAGCATAGCAAAACTTTTGAATGGATTAAATATTCTGTTTGAAGTATCATACTTGTTCTTATTTTCTATAGTATTTGTACTAGTGGAAGGAACGATAACATGATAGGCTCCTTCTTCATTACTATTATTTTCTGATAAATTAAGTATTTTTCCTTCTTTTAATACTGCCTTATAGCTAGCAATGTTATCTTTATTTTGTTGTATAAAGCTTGATGATGAAGAATTGGGTACAGTTTGAGAAACTGAAGAAGAAGATGGAGGTAACGCAGTTAATACAATCCCTGGAGACGAACCATTGATTAAAGTCGCCTGACTCTGTAGCTCAGAAGGTTTCTGTTGCTCATTATCCCAATGATGGTTTAGACGATAAGTTTCAGGAAAATAAAAGAAAAAAAATAAAAACAAAAAAATGCCATATCCTGCACAAATCCAGAAAACACTTCTCCATCCTGTTTTAGATGTAATACCACCTCCAATAATAGGTCCTTTTTTTTTTTTTGTAAATAGAATATAGTTTAGTTATAATACATACCAATATACTATACATTTGTTGAACAAGTTTTTCTAATAGTTACCAACAAGTGGTCCTAAGAATTGACCAACAAATAAAACACTGAATGCCGATCCTCTCTCTGTAATTTGCCAGCAATCAGATACTGTTCCAGCACCTACAGACATGGTAACTAGTATGATATAGAAAATAATAATAATAATAATAATGCGTAATATGCATGAGCATATAATGTAATCTTTTGTGTATTTTTTTTTCTCTCTCTAATATACCTGATGTTCCAAAAGATTGAAAGCATCTTAATACAATTAATAGCCCTATTTTATTGGATACTGCACACCCAACAGAAGCTCCAATAAATACTAATAATGCTACAAGATACAAGAATCTATTACAATGAAAGAAGATAAAATTTAGATAACCCAAAGACAAGTTTTTTTTTTTTTTGATATTTGCCTTCGAATAAAATAATAATCTGACATTGAAGCCCAAAAAATGGGCTAATTGTAATGATAATAAAAGATAGGTATTAAACAACTTTTATGTAATACATTTTGCATATTATTACATACTCCTATTCCACTGAATAGAATAAATAAAGAAGATACCAATGTTATTTCAATTTCAGAAGCTTTCAACTCGGACTTGATGTCTGGTATACCTGGAAACTATATGAATGTCTATGAATACATTATGTAATATACCTTCTTCAAAGACTTACATAAACTGTTGAACAAAAGCCGTTTAAAGAGGCACCTAGCGCTAAAGCTATTAATATAATTCTTTTCTGCCCTCGAGAATATAAATGTGGGTCAACAGTAACACTGGATCTAAAAGCCATTTTTTGCTTAACATATGAACCCATCTTTTTTAGTTGGTGACGACAATTAAAACACTGTATACAATGCTGTTTGTAAGATAATGATTGATTTATCTTTTCATTATATGATAGTACATTCATATTATTTTTATTGACTGTTGGTTCTACTCTTGTATTTGAGCTTACTTCAACAGGTAAAGATTTGGATTCTTGGCTGCTAAATATATGTCTATCTAAGCCCCTCTTAATTTCTCCTTTTTCTTCACACATGTTATGATTTGAATCATTAACAGAGCTCATATATCTAATAATAATAATAACAAAAAAAAAAGTAATTGACAAAAAAGTACAAATTTAAATAAAATATTTGACAAGAAAATAAAAAGCACAAAAGATAGCGGGTTTTTAGTTGTTATAAGGTTATTTTATTATATATGACAAACCACTTTTTTTTTTTTTATTTGAGGAAAAATAACTTGATTTATAGAAGTTTTTTTATGAGTATTGAATGTCATTGTTTAAAACTAAACTAAAAATATCTCACTATGCATTAGAGTATAAATGTATTTATATAAAATTAGTATGTATGAAAATGCTTAAAATTCTTTAATTTTGAAGTTTTAGTTAAGAAAAAAAAATGGCACCTATTTCTACAAATGTATATGAATATACATATAAATATTCATATACAACAATAGAGCATGACACTATGTATATACATTCTTTATGAGAAATTATATAGTGATTAATTCATACCACTTTAACAAAATAAAAGTAATGTACAACTATTTATTTCTATAAAATATTATTTTTATGAACCAGTAGTAATATACATATAAAAACCATTATCTATACAGTTATATGTCTTATATGTAAATAATGCAAGCCAATATTTTAACATGAAATCAACATAATATTGTTTCATTTATATATTATTCTATTTAATATAAATATATTCATAAAGTAAAGCATGTTGATAGTATTCAAAATTAAAAAAAAAAAAAAAAAAAAAAAAGCTTGCAATAATTATATGATCGAAAAAAAAAAAGAGATCAGCATTACATGGCAATATATATACTTCCATAAAAAAATGAGGATATATATATATATATATATATGTATATGTATATATATATGTATGTATATGTATATACATATTCAAATTACTTCATGCTTAAGATATAAAAAATAAAGCAATCCAAAAATCTATATACTACTGTTATTACTGTTTACACTTGAACTATCTCCTATAGGTGAAATAGTTCCTGTTCTTATAATAACTGATTTACGATTATTATTGTTTCTTGCGGTTTGTTGCATTATGCTATTGGCATTCTCCAGGAGTTTCTCCAACGAAGCTTCATTTAAAAAGGTTCCTTCATTTGCTGCTTTTCTTAAAACGTTAGTCAAGCATCTCAACTGCATATTAGCAGTCGCAGTTTCATCTGTCCTCTTTTTTATTAATTGAGCTTGTGTATGATTCTCCTCTTCAAGTTTCTTTTTAGAGTCGAATGCAACAAGTACCCTTCTTTTGAGTTGTTGAATTTCCCTTTCATACTTGATAGCTGCCTCACGTCCTTTATCCACTTCTTGTTTGCGCTCTTTATTCAGCTTTTTTTTATCCAATTTAAGCACTTCAATATCAGCACGAAGTCGACTAATTAACTCTTCAGCTTTAGTACGAGCTATTTTAACAGCTTGTGTTGATTGTAAATTTTTTTTACGAAGTTCCTGGTTTTCTGCAACAAGAAGCTTCATTTTTACTTCATATTGTGAACGTACTTCTTGAGCTTCTCGATTCTCCCTTAATTGTAAAGCACTTTGAGGTCGAGTTATAGAGGGAGAACTTGTTATTGTGTTTGCTCTACGTAATGTAGCCCCCTTTTTTACAGTAGTTATTTTCTTTGGTATTGATGGAACAGTTATATCTTCTTGTTGTTGTTTCTGTATCTCTAAGAGGTGTTCATTAAGCTCACTTAATTTTTCTGCATAACTATTACACATTTGTGTATATCTTCCTTCAGTCTTTTCCAGTTCGCCGACCAATTCACGTTTAACAAGTACATCTGCCTGGATTTGATGTAGCATTTTTAGCATATTCCTATTTTGCAGACGTCGGATGTCTTTGGATCTGCTAGAACTGTTATTTAACGTGGTTTGTTTATATAGTTCATATCCATCCTCTATATTACTTTTATCTTCATTGAAAGATTCTATACGTGAAGTGGTGATAGAACTCTCGGTATCGTCCCACATAGAATCCAATGATATTGATTTACGCTTTGAAGAATCATGTATAGATTGAATCTTTGGTGCATCAGACCAAGATGGAACAGCCTAAATATATATATATATATATATATATATTAATAAAGTTAGATGAAGAAATAAAATACATCTATTTTTAATCTAAATTGTATATTTACCAAAGCCTCTAATTCATCATCTTCCAAGATATAGTTGTAAGGGTAAACAACAGAGTTTGAAGGCATTGTGGAAATATGCGTATTTTTTTTTATTTGATTATCGGGAAGGACCTCCAAATTAGCCTTAGATTCATCAACAATCGCTTTCTCTATTGTCAGGTCAGCATGTGACGCTAGTAATACTGTTTCATCTGTTGACTGTGACCAAATAAACCAACAAATATAATGGTTTACATATTCGCTAAGTAAAATTTAGAATCAAAAAAATTCCCCAGCAACTACACACCCTCTCACTCTATCTTTGTATCACCACAGTTAAAACTTTAATCGGGACTCTCCTTTTCTTCTCTTTTTAACACCACTTTTTTTTTTTTTTTTTTTTTTTTTTTTTTTTGTAAAAAAAAAATAAGCTTTATATTTTAATTTATCCTTACCTGTTCATTTATCATATCATATGTGTTCCCCCCTTCTTGATATTCTTTACGCAGTATTTCAAGTAGTTCATCCATTTTTTCATTACTTTTGCAGTTTTTTCTCTTTGATGATGGTAAAGATTGTGTCTTCATTCGCTGAAAAGTGGGCCTTCGTTTATTACTCTTAAGACGACTGTGTGATAATGAAGATTTTTGATGATGATATCTTTGACTACCACCAAATAGAGGCTTTTTATTTTTTTTATCAAAGTATCCCACACTGGATAAAGTCTTGGGAGGCAAAGAAAAATAGTGGTCTCGACCTATTAATTTTAAATGCAACTTATTTGCTGTAATACCACTCTTGGCTGCTGTTTTGTAAAGTGTATTAAGTTTAGCATGTGTTTCAGCAACTTGAGATCTCAAGTCCTCCACCTCTTGCGCATAATGCTGAAGCAATGAATGTGTTGTATTCTGCTGACTCATATTATGACTATGCTTCTTTTCTTCTTTATTTTGATAGGTTTGTTGTTGTTGTTGTTGTTGCAGAGTGCTTCCGACTGAATTATAATAAGTTTTCATGTGATTTATTTCTTCTCTCATACTTTTTAATTCGTCCATAAATGGATGGTGTTTGCTTCCATGTATATCTCGAAGTAATAGTACCTCGTTCTTAAGCCGAGACACTTGATTTCGCAGAAAGTGGGATTCCTCTTGAGATAAGTAGCCATCAGGTAACTGATGATCAAGGTTAATACGAACTTTATTATGAATATGACACGCACGACTTGCGTATTTCAGCGTATTTAATGTTTCCATATAATCCGAACTAGAAGAACTGATACATGCTAACATGAGTGTATGGCTATTGCCTCCTAAACTATCTTGTAACAAACGTGTTAGCTTACTATCACGATAAGGAACATGTTGAGATCCTCTTTTACTGTTTGATTCATCACTCAAAGCTGAAATCACATTTCCTAATGCAAGTAGTCCTCCATTAATAAAAATACCTTCTTTTTGTCGATCACCTATAGCATTGGTCCTTTTTAGCTTTTGTTTATAAAAGAATAATAGTAATTATTATTAGTATTAGTATTAGTATTAGTATTACTTGCTTATGGATATACATATATATATATATATGGCTTATTTACTCTTTCTGAACCTGCTAAATCAACAAAATGGAATTTTGATACTAAATGTTTACTATTAAATGATACGAGTCTTTCAGGAATTATTGAATTTTCATCGTTTAATAAATGATTGTTTGTTTGTATATCATTATTTTCCATTATCTGTTGTTTAAGCAAAATTGAAAATATAGCATGGGAACGTGAAGATGACATATTCATCTTGGTTGATCCTGTCGTTCTTCTTTGAGATCCTTTCTGTAATAATCTTGATAGATAGTTTATACATGTCAGTATATATTCCCAGAAAGGAATCACACATATGAATGAATTCTTTATATACCTTAATATATCATTCTTAGTATATACTCTTTTTTCATTAATGCCAGACCAAACAATATTTCCTTCTGTATCTTCTCTTATTGTTGGAGGATTATTGTCTTGGCCCGAGATATTTGATTCAGATGTAAGCAAAAGATCATTTATATCTTCATTATACAACTCAATATAGGATACATAAATTTGAAAATCATTTGATGGTGATTCGTCTTTAATCTGAGTCATTCTATTAAAAATTGTTTCTGTAAAACGAGGTATTATACCTTTAAAAGAAAGGGGAAAAAGAAAAGAAAAGAAAAGAAAGAAAGAGGAAGAGGAGGGATAAATCATTTCATTATATAATATTAAATAGGTTCAGCGTTATGAATTACCTTGTTTATCTGGGTTTGAACATATTGCTTCTAAACCTGTACCCATACTGTAAGTCTTCCCAGACCCAGTTTGTCTAATAAAAATTAAGTATATATTGAATAAAGACAATGAAGATAAATGAGTAAAAAAAGGAAAAAAAAAAGAAACATATACATATATATACTATATTTACCCATATGCAAGAATAGTAACGTTTTTACTAAACGTGTTGTTATGGAAATGAAAACGGAGTTATTATTTAGAAAATTCAGGTACGGAAAAAAAAATAGTAATATTATGTTTACCCCTCAATGAAACGATCTATAAGTGGAATGATGCTAGAATTATAAATTTCCTTTTGTGTTGACATTGGAGGATATACAAAATCAAAAGTAAATGATCTATTGTCGTTTCCAATATTGATGCGTGGTTCATTTTTAACAAATGAAATGCATTCCGTCATCTCATTTAGATTATTTTTTTCATTAGTGTAAAGAGGCTTGACCCTTAGCGCAACCCTAGAAAAAAAAATCAATGTTATATATTCAAGAGCTTATTATTCTCATTTGCTATTTATTTATACCTAACAGTTGTACTTGTCATGAAAGAAAAGTCACGAGTAAGATAAAAAAGATATATGTGTGTATAATAATAAAGAAACAAAGTAAAAGAAAAATAGTGGGGTGGAGTTAAAATAAAAAAGCTAAAAAGAAAAAAAAAAGTATCGGACACTAAAACCAAACAAGAGCTTTTGTATTTAATAAGGGTAGGCTAATGACCAATGTATGCAAAAGGTATTACGGATGTGTGTACATATAACAACAACAAAAAAAATCTAGACCACGTTTTGGGACTTTTGGATCGGGTCACTTTCCTCTCCTTTGTACTATCGCATCGATTATAACAAATCATGCCGACTTTTTTAACATTATATAAAAGATATAAAAAGGGTTGACTTTTTTTTTGTCTTCCCTTTTTTTTTGCGTATATTTTTTTTAATTTTATTTTATAGCTGAAAATAACAAAATGAATTCTACAACAACAACTTGTAATAATCGTCGAAACTCCTTTTCATCTTTTGTTAAAAATTTACTATTACTCGTATCGCCTTCAAATAATAACAATAATGAAGAGAAAATACCAAAAAGCTTAGATGAAGATGTTGATCATGATAGGACACCATCTTCTGAATATAGTTTATTTCAAGATTTATATTTCTCTTTTCCGGCATTTGAAGAGTTAGAAGAATCTACTTGTGGACAAAGTAGTAATCCAAATAGGTCATTTATAACTGAATCAAACCATATATTGTGTTAAAAAGAAACAAATCTCCTTTATACAGTACATCTTTATCATATAAACATCATCTCTATAATATCCCTTTTGCTTTTTTTTTTTTTTTAAAAAAAAAAGGGTGACAAAATTACATACATTCCTACAAATACACATTGTACATTATTTTATTATTATTATTTCATGTCTTTTTTTTTTCATTTTACAACGTAATAAATTTTAAGAAATAAATTTCATATACCAATGTCAATTTTATTATTTTATACGTAATAATGATATGCATAAGCCCTTTTACTTTAAAACTATCTTTTTTTTTTCAGTTACACTTGTTATACATGCATAATGCTTCCGATTGATTGAAAGATGAATGGATGACGCATTTTATAAGGAAGAATTGTCTTGGGCTTTAAAATAACCTATTCTAACTCCTTTTTTATTAATAATATGTGTGTAATCTCTTTTTTTCTCTCTCTCTCTCTCTTTTTTTTTAAAAAATGGGTATAAACGACATGTGTAAATTTTAAGTAGGATATACTAATTTGTAAAAGTTTCTCAGAATAAAGAATAGATATGCATTTGATTCTTTATTTAATTTTAAGAAGGATTATACCTTTATAAAATTAAACAGGCTAACTTTCCTATGCATATTTATGAAAGGTAAGTGGAAATAGTTTCTTAGTAAGCATACATAACTATCCTCGGACTATTAATCAATTTTAAAGAAGTCATAAAGTGATTATAAGCATCAAATTTAATAAAAGCATAACTCATTCACCCCGACTAAAAATAAAAATATCTAGATAATCATAATCAGCAGTAGCAACACGTTTTTTTTCTATTTTCTTCAAAGAATTTTACGTTTAAATATAGTTACATATTGTGTAATGTAAAATACTATCCTAGATACAGTTCAATTGAACAAATTAAGCTATAAACTTCTCACGATAAAGTAGGTAGCTTTTCCTATAAGACCTTTCAATAAAAAAAATAAATATTATAGTGGACTTATACCCCTGCTTCTTCTTTTTTTTATTATTATTTATTATATATCTGTTTGTTTGCTTAAAAATCTATGTCCAAAATAAGGCAATTTGATTTGTTTCTTGGATTCTAGACTGCGAAGCTTTTTTGTAAGACTTATCCAATTATAGTATTTTTTTGATATTTTTTACAATAAATTTTAATATCCGTTCCTGTCATTTTTTTGTTTTCTTTTTTTTTTTTTCTTTTGAAGATAGATTGAAAATTTTGACAGGTCTGCAAAATCAATTAGATAAAAAAAAAAAAATTTTTGTCTTAAATATCCTGGATATGATCGCCGCTTTTTTTTTTTCGGTTTTCATCGTTTAAAAAGAAGATTGTCTTTCCAATTTCTTTGCATTTTTTTTTTCTTTTCTTTTTTGTTAATTGTTGATTTTATATATATCAATTTATAGATTTAAACTACAATAAAATAAAAATAAAAATCTATTTATGGAGGAAAGTAAATTTCATGATCCAGAGACACCACCTCCAACTGATTCAGCAAGTATTCGACCTGTTTTCAGCTTGAATATATCTGACGAAACAATTCACCAGCCATATAATAAATCAGATAAAGAGTTAAATGGAAAAGCGGATATTTTCGATGGAACAACAAGTGCATCTGATTCTATGAGAGATGAGACCAAGGAAAAAGAAGGGTCTATTTCACGTAGGTCGAGTCATACAGATCAAGCCCTTCATCTTGTCGATGCCATGACTCGTCAAAAAATGAAACGAAGGCCAAGTAAAGCAGGTGTCCTTTCGAATTTATTAAAATTAAATCTTTTTGAAGAAAAGAATCGCCGACAACATGGGTCTTCTTCTTCTTATTATTCACGTCATCAACATCCGCCTCCGCGACCTACTTATCAATTAAGATCAATTGCATCTAGTCGTGCTCTTTTACAAACAATGGGTGCATCTCCTCAATCAGCGCGTAGTAGTTTATATTTTGAAGATCTTCATAAGGCTGAACTAGGTATTGTTGAAGATGCTGCTGTAGCTGCTCATCGAATAACTATTGCTGCTGAAATTGCTGATATTCTTAAAAGACAAGATCTTATCATAAAAATGGGAAAGAGTCTTGTTCGAACGGGTGCTCCCTCTCATAGAATTGTAAGCTGCTAAATTTAAAACAATGAAATCCCATATATCCCGGAATCATATATATATATATTTTTTAATGCATAATATATAGGAAGCTGCTATGGAAAAAGTCGGAAAAAGACTAGAGATCGACGGTAGCTATGCTGTTTTACCTGGTTTAATTATTGTTACTTTTGGTGACGTTGAGACTCATACATCAGAAACTCATTTAATTCGTTGCTCAAGATCACTTGATATTGGTAGATTAGAAAGAGCAAATGTCATTGCATATAAAATTGCAAAAGGTGAACTTGATTTAGATGAAGCCTCTGCTTTATTAGATGAGATTATTAATGGTCCCCCGACATGGGGTCCTTTAATTGTCATTTTGGGTTATATTATGACTTCTGCTTTTGTTGCTCCCTTATTTTATAATGGTTCATGGACTGATTGTTGGGTTAGTGCTATCTTTGGTTTATGTGGTATGATAAAAATCTTCAAGTAAATTAGTATTTTGTATGTGTGTTAACATGTTTTTTTTTGTAGTTGGCATATTAACTTATATTTCAGAAAAATTGCCAATGTTTGGTAATGTGTTTGAAATGGTTGTAACAATCCCTATTGCTGTTATTACGCTTGCATTTCACCCTCACGTCTGTTTTGCTGCTGTTGCTATGGCTGCTGTAAGTTTTATTATTATCATTATTATTAGTATAATGATTATTAATCGTATTTATTTATTTATTTCTATATATAGATTGTCATTGCTTTACCAGGTTATTCATTGACTTGCTCAGTAATGGAATTAGCTGCCAAAAATTTAATTAGTGGTGTTGTTCATTTGGTTTATGCCTTGATGTATGTTCTGTTTTTAGCATTTGGTATTGGTTATGGTTGTTCTATTTGGCGACTATCCCATCCTGGAGAATATATAAACGTCTTAGGAGCATGTCAAGAAAATATTAACCCATGGTGGACATTTTTAATTTTACCTCTTGCTACAATTGGTTTTGGAGTCGTTTATGGTGCGGCGCCATATCAATGGTGGCCCATGGTGGGTGATAGTGCAGTTGGTTATGTGGTTTATTATTTTGTAGGTAAAGTGGTAGGCTCAAGCTCGGTTATTACACCTAGCGCAGGCGCCTTTGCTTTAGGACTCGCTGGTAACATCTATGCTCGTGTAACAAAGCGATTAGCATTCGTACCCATTATGGGTGGTACAATCATTCTTGTGCCTGGAAGTATTGGTGTCAAAGGTGCAGTTCATTTGTTTGATGGCTCGAACAACAGTAGTGGTAGTGAATTTGTGTTTCAAGTTCTTGGTATTTCGTTATCTTTAACTTTGGGATTATTTTTGGCTAATTTAGTTGTTTATCCTACTGGTAAAAAAAGAACTGTCTTTTTGGGTTTCTAAAAGAAAAAAAAAAAAAAGGAAATCCCTCTTATCCACCCCCTCTCCTCCACTTTTTATTATACTATTAGACACCCTCCTTATCTAGATATACCCTTTAATCATGTTATATATCTCTATATGCATATACACACACATATATATATATATTATAGGTCTTTCAATAAGTTGTATAGAATACTTTATATTTAATAAATATTTGATACCATAGATAACAGCTATTAAATCTTATTAAGAATAGCCATATTGATATTTAGGATAGTTGATTATATACATATATGTTTTAGGAATTTAGAAATGTATATATAAATTATTTATATATATAATGGATAATAGTAAAAATAAAAATAGCTTTAACTATAAACAATACATTTTTGTATAAATTATTGCACACTTATATTTCAATAAATAAAATCCAAAATACTATCATTTATTATAAATAAATATAATGAAATAAAATAAAAATGCAAAAGATGATAAAAAGCAAATAAATACATATTGTTGATGAAGTTAAAAAGAAAGGGGGTTGAAAAAAAAAAAAGGTGAATAGAAAAAAAAAATGTTTAAGCAACATGCTGCTTATTTTTTTCAGGCACAGGCAACTCAAGTATAGCACGAAGCTTACTTTCAGACATATCTTTAAATAGTAGTTTATCATTCTTGTCAACATAGTAGGATAATCCAGCAGAGGCAAGTAAAACGAGTAAAGTTGCGAATTGAGCGTAAATACGAGCATGGAAGAATCTTTGTTTAAGAGAAGAAAGTTTAGTAAGGTATAAACTATAGCCATAAGCACCTGCCATAGTTGAAGCCCAAGTGGTACCTAAGATAGCCCAACGATGATTATTCAAGAAACGTAAAGATCTTTCACGAGGCTCAAAAGTTAAAGCTTTATAATTTTCATAAGCACGAGAATCCATTGTTCGATGATCTACATAGCCCAATGTTTTATTTTTAAAATTAAATGCAGCACGCTCAGATCCAAACATATAGCCTGTAAAGCCACCTGAAGCAAGCATAGAATATTGATAGGGTCTACTTAAGGCTCTGAAAGCAGGTGAGAAACGAAATGAGAGAAGAGTAGCGACTAGGCCAAGACCAGCACCCATTGCTGCACCTTTACATCCCTGAACAAAACTGACATGCGATTGTGTATGTCTTTCAGGAACAGTGAGTACTTTTCTTCCAGTCATTTTTATTTTTTTTATTTTCGTTTAATAAAAAAAAAAAAGGATTTGCCATTCATCATCACTTTTTATATACATTCGGTGTTTTTTTTTTTTCATCAAAACTCATTCAAACAATAGTTTCAAAATAAGGAAACGTGGTGTTTATAATATAGTAAAGCATCGGTTCGGGATCATAGAATTCTACCTTTTTTAAAGAAAAATTATATTCTTTTTTTTTTTTAATCTTAACTACTAAAGAATTGACCTATTAAATATACAGGACTTGTTATCTATTTAATAATATTTCAAATTTTATAAATTTATTGTATATACTATGCCATATTCTTGTATTTGTCTGATAGCTTTTTAATATGACCTAGTTTTGTATGAAACAATGGTCTCTCTTTTTTTTTTTTTTTTTTTTTTTTTTTTACCTAGTCTGTATTATATTCCGACTAAAAGGCACTATTTTGGTTTTCTTTTTCTTTTTTTGATGGCAATATATAGTTGATCAAGTATACGCATTTGACCGAGTAAATATATTACCAAAATTCTGTCTCTATAATACTAAATCAAAAGAGCAGAATACTTTATAGTTATATAAGAAGTTAAAGCAGTTTACCTATGTACAATACGTTATATACATGTATAATACCCTCAAAAGGAATAGTGTTATCAATGGTATGATTGTTTTTTTTATTGTTATCTAGTTAGATGACTCCGAAAATAAAAATAAACTTATATTTGTTTCAAAACAATTATAAAAAGTGGACTGATCTGACAGAAATATGACAATTATTACAGCAAATTATAACATAAAATACTTTATTTTATTGTATTTATTTATCTATTCTTAAAACTATGTCTTATTTTTAAAATTAAAGTTTTCGTGTGTTTAAAAAAAAATGATAACGCGATGATATTCTTTATTTTACTTTATTTATTTATATTTTTTTTAGAAAGTATATCTCTTTGCATTTCAAGTGTCAAAATAAAGTCTATTAGTAGAATTGTTTGAAAAAATTAAAATAAAATAAAATAAAATAAAAAGCACAGTTGTAAAAAGTCTATGATATATTAGATAAAGTTTATACTGTATGAAAGAGAAGGGTTACATAAAATATAGTGAAAAATAAAGCTTTATAATTTCAAAGGCTATTTGCTCAGATTTACATATCGATTTTTTTTAAAAAAAAAAAAATTGATGAAATAGTTCATAGGTATTCTTAGCTTTAAGATGCTTGATCTAATCATCTTTGGCTTTTGATATTTTTATTTTATGCAGTTAAGCAGCATACTCTTCTCTATTAGTATTGTTGGCGACTTGATTAAAATAAGCAATTATTTAAACTCAAAAATAAATAAAAAGGTACATTCTGCATTACTTTCTGCATTTTAATTCTACATGTAGCAATACCTAGCATATATTGATATAAGTCTGCATTCTTTAACGTCAAGAAATTTGTTAGTATTAAAATGAAAGTGTTCATGGATTCACAGATAAGTTGATGACACATACCCGCCTTCTTTCCTCTCATTCCCCCCTTACTTGAAATTAACTTTCATTTTAAAACATTAATTTAGAATATACGACAATTCAGATATTTTCTATAAAAGATACTGTGTCTATTTCTTGTGTAACTGACTGATAAGATAATAATAATAAATAGGATGTAACGGGTAACGGGTAACGGGTAATGAGCATAAAAAAAAGAGAAAGAAAGAAAGGGGTAATATAAACTCTTTTCCAAGTGTAATAACTTGGGAGTGTTAGACAAACGCGTTTGAGTATTATTTGAAAGTTAATTTTGTAGAGTTTTTTCTTTTACTCAGACTTGTAGACTCATATCTTCTTATATAGTATTATTACATAAATATGAAAAAAATGCCTCTCCCATATTACAGTGTGTATAGGGGACATTCAAACACATAAAGACTATGTTGAATAACCTGTACTAAAATGATTCAACTGTTGATTGTATTCTATGTCCCCGCTATTCTAATAGTCACTAGTTTAAATCATAAGGTGTGTGCAATTCTTATCAATTGACACAAAATTCAGTAAGTGATAACATTCTAATGACCTTTTTTCTATATCCGTTTATGAATATACTATGACGAATAACAAAGTAATTTCTATTTATAGCGTTAATTTAATCTGCTATAAACTCAAGATTACTTGCAATTTCAACTAATACTCTATCACAGCATGTTTGAGTACTTTTCTTCTTCTTTTTCTTTTCATCAAATTGAAAAAGTATATTTGTTTCATATCAATATATAGATAAGTCAGGATATCTATTTAGGGATAAGCGCATTGTTATTATAGATGCCATACTCTAATGGTAATTTTGTAAAATAATAAATTAAGCTATGCAGTCTGTTTAAACCAAGACATATTTCACTTATACTATTATACCCATACTAAATTATAAATGAAAAAAAAAAGGACAGACCTATCGCTAGTAATAAAATGTATTGATAATGTACGTTTAACTACAGGAAAGATTCAACGTTATAGTGTTTTTTTTTTCTGAAAGTTCGAAATGGTAAAAGTAATTTAGTAGGAAGCATTTACAAATGCTTTAGGTTTTGGAAGTCGATTTTCCATATAAATCATTATATCCTATCTGCTAATATATTGATCGTTATTTTAAGACAAGCAAATTACAAACAAAGATTGATATGTGATGGCAATAAACTTTTTTCTTCTTCTTCTTACAATACAATATGATTGAAGATTTCATATTGAAGCATCTACGTATAATAAATAAAGCATAAACTGAATTTAGAAAAGATTATGAATAAAGTTTCGATACCAGCATGTTAATATTGGGTGCAATACATATTAAATACTTAAAAATGTATACAAGTAAAATAGTAAGTCTATTAGTTATTAGTGTAAGTTGGTTTTAATATTTTCTATAAAAATAAACTTGGAGGGGAATATCAAATTGTATATAAAAGTAGATATTCCTTTTTTTTTTGTCTTTGAACTTGTAGTATTATCATATTGAAGTCATCAGTTTAATTGTATAGTATGTGCTTAATTATACAAGATCTTGTGTCTGCTTTATTAACGGTAGAGTAGAGTCTAAGTGAAACAGTAATAATAGAAAAAAAATGATAAACTATACTATATATTTAATAAGATAGACAAGAAATAACAATAATAATCAAATACTATCTTTATATTTTATTATAAAAGCAAAGAATACTTGTATTTTTTTTTTTTTCGTATATCATTAGTCAAGAAGGTAAATGTTGGCAAGTTCTTACTGTAAAAGTTGTCTGCAATACACATCAAAATATGATTTCTTTTAAATATATAATGGATCTATCTATAAAAAAAAATAAACAGACTATTTATCTTCAAGATGTTTAATATATAACAACTTGATCCAGCAGCATACTGTATTTGAAGTCAACATTTGAAGGATTAACGTTTGACTGCTTTTTTTTGTCTCTCTATTAGGCTGCTGCTGTTATAATGTGTGACTGAAGTTCATTATATACGCATTTTGTTTAAAAACCAAGCGTTTACGTGTATACTATTCATTTTCACGAATATACATTTATATAAATACATATTTTGATAGAGCAAGATGAGTGATCATAATGCATTAATTAATCAATTTGTAAACATGACGGATGTGCCAGAGGATCAGGCTCAATTCTATTTAGAGATGAGTAATTGGGATTTACAGGTAGAAATAAAAAATAACATTAAAACTTGATGAGAAATTTGCTTTATTAATTACCCCACTTGTCTATATTTATTTAGTTGGCTGTTAGCCAATTCTTCGACAATAATGGTTCAGAAGTACCAGCTCCTACTAATTCATCTGGTCCATACGTAGAAAGTTCTATTTCTTCTGGTGCTTCTACACCTACAAAGACAAAAACAACAAGCTCTAATTCGTAAAGCATCATTAACAGTTTTTTTTTTCCACTATTATTGTTATTGACCTGTATTATAAATTTAACTTTTTTTTTTTTTTTTTTTTTTTTTTTTTTTTTTTGTAGATCAAAGATTCGAACTTTAAGTGATCTTAACTCTTTAACTCAGAATGACGAGGCAGACGAAAATGAGCATGAAAATCTTTACGCAGGCGGTGAAAAATCGTATGTTTAAAGTTAGTTTTATAAATGTATAAATGCATTTTTTTTTTAAAAAAAAAGAAAAACATATATTCTAGTGGCATGGTTGTTCAAGGACCTAATAAGCGCAGTGGTAATAATAGTAATAATAATTTGGTTGATGAAATCTTAAAAAAGGCAGCAGAGTATGTTAAAACAAACTTAAAATAACATATATAATTAACTAATACAAGACAATATAGAGGTGGTGCTGCACCTGAAGAATCTATAAGAGCACCAAAGAAGCCTAGTTATTACACTGGAACTGGGTACAGACTGGGTAGTGAAGATGAACCTTCAACAGTAGTTGAACCCACTGTCCCTGCTGGATCTAATTTTGAAGAAGAACCTGAATCTGTAAGTTATATTACTAAAATAAAAAATAAAAAAATAGAGCTTTATAAGTAATTGATGTATTCAACAATAGGTTACACGTCATCTTACATTCTGGCGTAACGGTTTTAGTGTTGATGATGGACCTCTATATGAATACTCCAATCCTGCTAATCAAGAAATGTTAACAGCTATTAACAGCGGGTAATAATATACCTCTTTTCTTTTCTTTTTAATATGTAAATTGGGAAAATATGTTTTAAATATGAATTTTCTTTTAGTCGTGCTCCTCTTTCACTACTTAATGTGCGTCATGGTCAACCTGTTGAGGTTCGAGTTGTTAAACGTCAAGATGAAGATTATACACCTCCTCCTAAGGCGCCTCCAAAGCCTTTTCAAGGTGCTGGTAATAGATTAGGCAGTCCAGTTGCTTACTCTGCACCTAGCCCTGCACCTGGTGCTTTCCCTACTACTACTGCTACTACTACTACTAATTCAAATGCTGCAGCACCTACAGTGAATGAAAGTCAGCCTACAACAAGTATTCAAATCCGTCTAGGAGATGGATCCAAGTAAATTTTAAATATAAATGTGTATTCATTGGATAGGATTTATTTTTGTTAACTGTTATAATTTAGGTTAGTTGCTAAATTAAATCATACGCATACAATTGGTGATATTCGTCAATTTATCGAAGCGTAAGTTTCATATTTATGTAATGTTCATACAACTTCTTCCTGTTTGTTAATAATGATTATAATTATATAGAAACCATTCTGCTTCAAGACCTTATATTTTACAAACAACTTTCCCAGTCAAGATACTTTCTAATGATAATCAAACTGTAAAAGAAGCAGGCTTATTAAATAGTGTTATTGTTCAACGTTATCAATAAGCAGAAAAAAAAAAATAAAATAAAAAATAAAGCAAAAAAAAAAAAAAAAAAAAAAAAAAAAAAAAAAGAAATGATGTAATTGGATGTAATTTTTATTTTTTTTTATTAGTAGTATTATTAATCAAATTATTACTAATCGATATCAAAGGGCAAAATAAAAGATAAAGCAGTAACTACATTATTATTTTTTTTTTTGTAACAGTAGGATAGATAAGTGTGACAAAGTAATAAACAGTTGTCTTGTCAATTCGTATTATGCAAGGGAACAGCTACAAATCCCAAGCAGATATAAAAAATAGCGATGGCTTCCTAAGAAGAGGAAAAAAAAATAAAATAAAAAGAATAACTCTTGGTGGAGTGGGGAGGTGGGTTTCCTTTAAGGCATTGGAGATTATGAAAATATATCAAAAAAAAAATAACAATAAAAAGATAAAAGATACATGTATAAATATGTAAAGAAGAGAAAAGACAGACAGACAGAGAGACAGACAGAGAGAGAGAAAGAAACCGCATTATAGGTCTGTAATCAGTAAAATAAAATAAAAAAAAATGGAATTATAGACTAATAGTGTCACTCAACAAAGTCATTTTCATTATATTCATGTCTTTGAATTAAATGTCGATTCAAGGCATCTCTTCGACTAAAATGAGTGGTGCAATGTTTACAGGTAAAAGACCTTTCACCACGATGAACAGTTGCAAGGTGACGGTCTCTATCATGACGACGATCAAATCTTTTTTCACAAATAGTACAACCAAACTCCTTAATTCTAGACTTATCATGGGTCTTGATATGAGTCATTAAGTTATATCTTCGCTTAGAGACATGATTACAGATATGACAATAATATAATTTCACTTCCTTTGGCTTCTTAACCAAGTTACTTCTTTTCCTTGTTGAATTGTCCTCTTTCTTTTGTTTTTTTTCTGTAATAGGATATTTTCTCTTTCTACCTCGACGAGACTTTTTTACTTTTTCTTCTGCTTCTTCTTCTTCCTTTTTTATCATGGATGGTATCTCTTCCTCTTTTTGTTTATAACCAGATTCTTCTAGTTCTTGTTGCTCACTTAATTCTTCAATGGATTCACTTAAAGGAGAAGTATGATCAAAGCCCAAAATATCATCTAAAGTCACATTTTCTTTTTTAATTGCCTCATGCTCGATTGTGGTAGCTAATTCTTGTTGAGAAGAAGTAAGAGGAGGAAACAAAGAATCTGATTCTTCTTCAGCTACTGTTGTTTCTACTAAATCAACAGCAGGAGAAGGCTTATCTTGAGTAACAACAGCAACAGAAGGAAGAGGAAGAGGAGAAGAGGATGGTTGATAAGAAGTAGTAGATAAAGGATTCTTTGATTTGTCGATTAAAAGAACACTTGGGTCACCATTGAATGTTGCAATAGGATCATGTGCTAGTTGGGCGATATTGTTCTCATAATTATTAAGATAACCAGCAACACAGATATCTTGTTTATTGTGGACTCCATTAGAGAAAGTATTATTGTAAGGTGTTATGTTAAAAGAACCATATATTAAATAGGGTGAGATATCTGCAGCAATATCAAAGAAAGGAGGTGTATCTGCTGAATTGTTATCAAGAAAGGGAGTATCCATCGTTGATGATTCTAAAAAAGGTGTACCCATATTAGGTGATGCTTCAAGAAAAGTAGGCATTGGCTGTTGTTGTTGTATAAGCATATTTCCATTATTAGTGTTGTTCATTGGATCATCAGAAAACATTATAAATTAGAGTGATAGATAAAAAAAATAAATAAATAAATAAAAAATAGAATTAAAATTAAAATTAAAAAAAAAAAAAAAGTGAAAATAAAATCAGAGGGTTATTTATATATGCTTTAGGTGATCGAAAAACCCAGAATAAAAAAAAAAAAAAATTTAAGGGGCTAATATTTGTCATATATGGCTTATTGTGACTCGTCCTTGGTTTCCATAGCAACTGTCATGCTATATCATTGGTCGAATAACTTCATACTTGAAACCTCACTTTCCCCATAAGGAATACTTGACATTGCTGCCCTTCCGGAATTTTTTCATTTATACCCTTCTCCCTTATTATGATTCATTCATTGGATCATTTTATATATTATACTGATTAAGAAGATTTTCCTATTTTTTTTTTTTTTACTTATCAGTGTTAAAGATTATCAAAACTTGAATATTTCTAGATGATAATCATGGTAACGTATGATACAATAAATAAATACTTGCTGTTTTGATAGAATAGGGAAAAAAAAGTTAATATTGAATTATGATTAAATGAAATGTTTAGTTTACTTTATTTTAGTGTTATCTTTTCTTTTTTTTTTTCAAAAAAAAAATCCCGGAATAGAAATTTGCATTACGTCGACTTCCCTTTTCTTACTTTAAATTGACTCATAACAAAATGTTGTATAAAAAAAAAATGTGTTGAATGCTAAGAAAAAGTTGATTAATAATTTTCTGGTTATTTTAATCTCCGACCCATTGTATACTATTTCTTTTTTTTCTCGTTCATTCTAAATTATTTCATTTTAAAATAGATATAATGAAGTGGTTGGACAACTTGTTAGATTTTAACGCGGTTTCTTAGATTATTACCCCTGAATAAAGTATTTTTTTTTGTGTGTATAAAAAGAAAACAAAAAAAAATAAAATAAAAAAAACTAAAGTAGTACTGTTTTGTGTAATGAATAATAACAATTTATGCAGCAGTAAAGAAGATCTAATAATTCATAATAAGATTACTCCTTGTGGATAAGTTTCTTTTATATATTATGTAAAATAGAAATGAAACATTATTAGTCTTCTTCTCGTAATGATTCAATCATATCATGTAAGTATCGATCGAGATTTGAAGAAAAAAAAATATTAATGTTAAACACTCTTTTCTACGTATAACGTGTTATTTTTTTTTTTTTTTAGATTCTTATAAACAAATAAAATAAATAGACATTTTGCAGAAATCAAAGTTATATGATTGTATATTATTTAATCAGTATTTTTTAACAGAAATAATAAAACTAAAATTTCCTATTCATGATGTGTCATTTTAGAACAGAAAATGGTACTATTTCCTAAATATATAAAACTTCTTAAATGAGCATTTTAAGACAAAAACATATAAAAATGAATTGAATATTTTAGTTATTAGATTATATATCTTAACCACCTTGAGAGCAATAGAAACTACTACTACTACTACTTTGTAGTTGATCTTTTATTTATGAATTATTTTAAATATATATATTCATATATATATATGTATATGATATATGATATATGCGTATGATTTAAAAAGTAAAGATAAGTTTTGACAGCATAAACTGATCCAACACTAATAAATGATTATAATCTGCTTTAATGTTAATACAAGTAATAGTATCTTTATCATAAATATATATAATGTGAAGAGATAGGAAGAGAAGAAGACTATTTTTTTTTCTTTAAAAAAAAAAAGGAGAAATATATGTGATAATAAAATCAACACAATTATGAAAAAATAAAATAAAATACATGTTGTTTTTTTTATGTTATGCTATATATATATGGGACGAAATAAATAAGAAATCTTTTATTGTTTTTTTTTCTTCTTTTTTTTTTAAAATTCAAATGTTTCATTATGTGCTTCAAAGTCATGAAGGATAGCCTCATTGATAACAGTACGAGTGAAAGCAGGAGAGCCACATACATGAGCCCAAACTCTATGATTTGAATGCAATGCGGCAATTTTATCCATATCTGCACTGATTTGAGGTCTTTGACCATAGATAAGTTGGAACCCATGAAGATGATTGACAATGTTAGGGCCCTCTTTCATCCTTGTAACGTAAATAGATACGGATAAGGAAATAGGGTGAATAGCAGATGCACATTCCTTTGCCCAAAAGGTAAATATTTCCATGAATGGTTCAATCTCGTCTAAGAAATATATATATATATATATATGCATTAGTAGTTTTCTATTTATATAAGTAGGGGTCACTTACTGATATCAGGAATAGCCCATGTCAAATAAATAGATTCAGTTACTACAGTACGAATACCCCGGGATCGTCTATCGATCATGTCTTTGATAATGGCCAATGCTGGAGTGATACCAATACCAGTAGCATACAAAGTAAGTACTGGGAAATCTTGATATTCATGATGAGGACCAAAGGGGCCATCAATATAGACATCAATATTTTGGTTTTTAGAAGTAGCAGTTGTTAATAAATCACGTGTTTTTGTACCTAGGGTCTTAATATGAAAGGTGGCAAATGTCTTTATATTTTGATCATCATCATAACTAGAGTAAGTGGGGACGAGTTTAGTACGATGACGGAGTTCTTGCGTGTTAATTAAAGTGTGGTCTTTAAGTGAAGAAGAGTAAAGATTCTTGGAATAACTCATTTGATAATTTTTCTTCTTTTCGGTATCATCTTGTGATATTTTTTCTGATTTTTCAGTTGCTACACCCATTACGCGTTCTTCAATTTCATTATCGGGAGAGTCACTAACGCGAAAGACTTCAGAGATAGTGAAAGGATGCCAATTAGCATATTCCCAAATCTTGCGTCCGTTAAGGATCATAGAAGAAAAGACATATTGACCAGGTTTAAAGGATCGAAGATATTTGTTTTCAAACAAGATACGGACGATACCTTTCTCTTTCTTGTCTGATTCAAGCATAACTGAATCAATACTGACCACTCTTGACTTTCTTACCCATGATTTGTAAGTACGAATGACACGATCAGCAAACCAGAGCACGATGGCAGGAATAAAGAAAGCAAAGCAAGTGTGTTCATGTATACAACCAAAGACAACACCGACAATCATAAAGATAACATGGCAATAATAAAAGACTTCAAAATAATTTCGACGAATGTATTCTAATGAGATTACGACCATGATAATAAAGCCAAGCATAGAGATTGTGCCCGAAGTTTGTTCAAGATCATAAAACAAAGCATCTTTAGCGACATGTCTTATGCGATAACCTCCCATACTAGATAAAGTAGGGATCATAAATATAAATATGTAATAGTTTATTATTATTATTATTTTTATTTTTATTTTTATTTTCTTTTCTTTTTTACATGTATGTTCATGATTGATACTTACATACGATAGACAAAATGAGGTATAAATTCTATAAAGCCAATACGTGAAACGATACGATGAAAGGGTATAAGTTCTTCAAAGGTTAAACCAGATAACTTTGGTAAAATTGAATTCCTTTGAGCAAGAAAGAAGGCAAATCCCCAGTTGGCCATACCGATAAAAGCACCTGTATGGTTGATGAAGACTGTAGGAGGCACCGTAAAGGATTCATGCGTATTTACTTGAAATGGACAAAAAATAATAAAAATGACATTAACGATACAAAACAAGATAACACCTATGACATGTTTAATAGGAATCATTTCTGTCACAAATGGGATACGAATAACATAATTGAATCGACGCAAAAGTTTTGCTCCAGGTAAATCAGTGACTACTCTATTATCACCTTTACTAGAGATTCTTCTTTTCCTGATATAATATACACGTAATCTATTTAGTTGATAGCCTATACAATAGAGAATAAATAAACACCAAAAAAAGAAGAAGTATCCATTTCCATTGCTAAAGAATGTTGAAGTCGCCCTAACAGTATACGTCATATGATTAAAGATAAGTAAGTAATGAAAGAAAAAAAAAAAAAGGGTAAGTAACAGAGCATTAACTCTCTCTTTATTTATACCTAAAACACAAAGAATTTTTTTACCAGCTGATAACTATAAAAGAAAAAAAAATTCAACAGATAATCCAAACACCAAGATGGAAAAGAGTATAAAAGAGGGAATGGATTAAAATTTAATCATACTATTGAAAATTAAATATTCATATTCTACAATTGTTTGTCTCCGCATCAAAAAAAAAAGTTTACATTGTATTGTTTAACATGTTTAACTTTCAAGATTCAGACAAAAAAATAAAGAAAAGTTTATTTATTTGTATCATATACGGATATTTTTTTTTTAATGCTTATTAAACTAAAACAAAGATAAACGTATCTTGTAGTATTTCTTAATCAAAACTGCATATATTTTTTTTTTCTTTTACAAGGTTGTACTGATATACGCGAAATTAATAAAATTATTTCAGGCCATTGTAAAGCAGATCCCAATAATAACTTATATTTGGAGTTAAGATAATTATACCCATATGATAAAAATGCTGCATTTATTTGAAATAATGCTTCATTAAAAAAAAGTAATCAAAGAGAATTTTCATTTAGCATTTGCTATTATGTTGTATTATGCTATGCTATGCTATTCTATTCTATTCTATTTTCTTTTGGTTTCTTTTTCTTTTCTTTTATCATATTTGGTTTTATTTGTTTGTTTATTTTCTGAATACAATAAAGGATGATCCACTTACTGCTGGTTATCAAATTTGATACCATTGCTATGTAAATTAAAGCCCGCTTTTTATACAATATATTGTTTTCCCAAATCGGAATACTCTTAGTGTACTTTTTTTAGCAACTAACTTTATACTAGGGAAAAGGTAAATTTCTTAAACAAATAATAAGATATAATCAATTAGCAATAAAAATAATCGAAAATAAGTTTAAAGGTTTCTACCTTTTGATATAAATTAATGAACTTCTTTTTGATATTTAAAAAGAAAAAGAAAAAAAAATAGAATTGTTTGCTGTAAGAATATAGTTACTGAATCCTTTGACTACTGCTAAAAAATGCTTGAAACATATGAGACAGAATAGTTACTAAAGAAGAAGATATGAAACCAAACCTTTGATTATTTGCTAAGCTGAAGAGTGTAAAGACAGTTATTAGAATATACAAAGAAGTACCAAATCTACTCAGTGTTCTTCTTTAAGGCTTATAAGTTGATGATGTATTAAAGCCTGGTCTTATTTGTTTAAAATAAGACAAACATACATACTCAACATCATGTGGTTTGATAAGAAATTACTACTAGTAAAAATGATCTTGTGCTTTAGTTCTGTCGACGAAGATTTTAAAATAAATCAAACGTGATTTTTAAACCAGGTCCAATGTAGATAAGTTAATTATTTTTGTGATTATTTCAAGTTCCGCTTACTCCCTCCCCACGATACTCATTTGACCAGAGTCAATATTAATTGATCTGCTATAGATCTTCATTATCAAAATTATAGGAGTTATATAATTAGTATCAGATATTATAGCTCCTCAAGAAAAAAAATCATTCGAAAATAAAACGATAACCAAAAGTTTGAATATATATCATTAATAAAAAGTATAGAGGCCAAACTTACTAATAAGACTTGATGTGTTTCAGAGGCTCTAACACTTCATTTGAAGAGTAATATCAATGCTAATATTCTTACTCATGAGCTTTTGATGTGAAATTTGTTCACTACTATCGTAAATTTTGTCATTTTGATTTCTATTAACAAGCGAAAAGCACATCAGATACAGTATCATTTTGAAAATTTATATTAATTATATATATATATGTATAGACAAGATGAATGCAGTTTCATTGAAAATTAAGTAATACAACGGGAAATTGCTATCTGTGTTTATTGTAAATAAGTCAAGTTCTCATTGACTGACTGACTGACTGACTGACTGACTGACAGCCAACAAGTTCAGCATACTTGATATTGTTCGACTTTGAACAAAATTCGGATCAGTCAGGGTGCACTTTAATCTTTCCTCAAATATAAAATCTGTAGTAATACGATCTTCAACCTTTCGCTTTTTATAGGATTAATAATAATAAAACGCCTGAAACGTTTCTTGACAAATGAATTTTTTTTCTTTTTTATCACGGTATTTATAATGTGATCTCTCTAATTGACTTGTCTCTGTTAGCCGTGTAGTTTAATTACCTTCTATTATTTCATTGAAATGATTATCCTTTCTATTTTGACTTATAATAAATTACTTGTAATACTACATTGATATTGCTTTTTCAATATAAAGTCATAAGGAATATATGGATATATAATACTTGTATCCACATGTATTTATTTTCTACAAATGTAAATCATCTTAATAAAAACTTTGTAATTATTACCTAAAAAATAAAAAAAAAATCTGCCTTGAAGTTCTACTATTATTTTCTTACTTCTATACGTTTCTGGTTTGTTAAAAAAAAAAAAATAAAAGGTATGTAAAACCAGTTTTTAGTGTATAATAATGATGTAACAAATAATAATGTATTGTATATATAGAACTGCTTATTTATTTTTCAAACAAAAAAAAAAAAATAAAAAGTAAAAAATAAAATAAAATAGGAGTGCCATCATGATGAGTATTTTTTTAATGTACTCATACGACTCACACTTCTTAGATTAGTAAATGTTCCAGCAATACTTCCTGGAGGACGCAGACTACTAGGCCTAGTATTTGTAGGTGTTCCAGCTCTTTTCCCTTCTTGATAGGATGAGGAAGCGATAGAATTAGTAGAAGAGTTTAGATATGATTTTTGATGGTTAGAAGAGGAGAATAAACTAGTTCTTGATCCTCCTCCAGGAGTAGGACTTCGTATGCTTATTCGAGAAGGGGAATAAGATATAGGTGAATCAGGACGATGTATTGTCTCTCTTACGGTGGGTATGTGACTTGCACGTTGTTGGGGTATTCTTTTTTGTGGTGATGAGCTTATATACGATATTTTTCTTTGATTTTCAGTGGATGATGTACGTTGAGGGGTAGGTGGAGGTGATGAAGGTGTTTTTAGATACGAGGATTTAACTGGCGCTGGAATATGCGATGCACGCTTTGCAAGCTGACTACGCTGTACTACTCCCTTTTTGTTACCATGATCGTTATTAGTCTGTTGTGAATTATAAGATCGACTTTGTGTGGGTGTACCAGCGTTAAGTACATTGTTTTTTGATAATGAATTCTTACGCGGAAGAGGTATTCCTGAAGTTGTTGTAGATGAAGTAGCTGAGTAATTACTTAAACGACTTATAGATCGAGATGACGTAGAGGATGATTCAGAAAGATAAGTCATTGATGTTAAGCCATACTTTGAATATTGAGTTATCGTAGATTGTGAGTTTAAACTATTTTCACTACTGATACTACTTGATCTTTTAGATCTCGAATCATACACGGACAAAGGCGTTACTAACAATGTGCGTTAATATAATATAACGAAAAAACTAAATTAATTAAGTTTACATGGTAAAGAACTTTTTATTTTGGTATCTGAAGGACTCCAATCGAGATCGTAACTATTAATAGACTTTTTTTTTTTTTAAAAAAAAAAAAAAAAAAAAGATTTAAATATATTTAGCTTGCATAATAATTTATAAAAGTTTTATACCTTTGATGATAAAAAGTCATCAAATTCAGAATCTAAAGAGCTAATTATATCACTCTGTATGTATATGTATAAGTCAATTTTTTTTTTAAAAAAAAAGAAAAAAAAAAGAAAAGACTAACTTGTATTGAATTGATATTTCTTACATTATCCAATTTCCAAAACTCTTCAGTAGAATCATCTAGATCCAAATTAGCAAGATCGGGTAAATCAGTTTCATCATCCATGTCACCCGTAAAATTAGCTTTAATTAGTTCATCTAAACTAATACTATCTTCGGATGTTATTGAACTGGGTCTTCCATGCCTATTCTTACGAATATTTTCTGTAGGTATACTACAATAAGATTACATGTAATCAATATTCATCAAGAAGTTTAATCTTGTTATTTCGCATGTTACCCATTATTATCAGCATCAACGATGCTTATTGCCGTTGTCATAGTGTCTTCAGGTTCATTATATGTATGTACGTTCAATAACCAGCCCTCAACATTATCTGCTTGATTTGTTGAATTAATAGTTTGAGATGTTATTCCTAATGTTTTAGATTGTTTATCTTCTATCCTACAGTTATTTACAAAACGTAAACTAGGTAGCTGTGCCATTATTTAAGGGTAGGGTATATTTTACTTTTTTTTTTTTTAATTTTATTTTTTTTAAAAAAAAGGAAAGGAAACAAATAAAAAAAAAAAAAAAAAAAGTATGTTACTTTTACAAAAAAATCATTCAGCTGTGTAATATATAGTTGCTGTAGTGCTCACAGTATTTTTTTTTTTTAAAAAAAAAGGATAATTTAACGGGGTTAAAATTTCAATTTTCGGGTATTCAAATTAGTTGTTATAGAAACAGTAACGGCAACAACAGATAAAACTTTACTTGGAAATGAATCAAAACAAAATAGAACGAAGGTAAGTAGTTAATTCATCTGTCACATAAAAAAAAGAAGAATATGCTTAGTTGTATATAAGGTCAAGATTTCAACCAAAGTTAATAATCAGTATCATTTTAAAAATAGATAGCTAACTTTATTTAAACAGGTCATAGTCGTATATAATATCCTATTAAGTACATATATAATGGTCAAAATAGATTTAAAGACCATCTTAGGTACTGAGATCTCATATCATCTTTTGATAAATATGGCAATTGTATAAAGTTATTAAAGAAACAGTATACTTGTCTGTCATACAGTACCAGTAATTATACTTTAATTTCTTTTCTTGAATACAAATATAAACATTCTATAATACTGTCGAAGAAGAACTATTTCTATCTTTTCTTTTTTTTTTTTTTTTTTTTTTGAAAGAATATCAAAGCCTATTATAATGACTTGGTATAGATAAAGTAGAATATTTAGTTTCATTAAGGTGTTCTTATAATAAGTTATATATCACACAGAAAAGATTATACAGAATAAATTATATTTATGCATCATTTTTATTTTTTTTTGTATAAAAGATCAACGGATTGTTTTGACGTTAAACAAAAATCTATTATTTAATCTTTTCTATATATAAAAGTTTAATATATATTTTCTTTTTTAAGAAATGATAGATTCAGGTTCTACTACAAGGAACAAAGACACTATTATTGATTTGATTCTCAATGACCATAATAACGTTCAAACTTTTTATGAAAAACTTGAAAGCACTTCAAATTCTGAAGAAAAATTGGGTTTCGTAATAAAATAGTTAAAGAACTGATTCAGCATGATGAATGTGAACAATTAATACTTTATCCTTATTTGAGAGATTTGAATAACGAAAAAGCTGAAAGATATTACAAAGAAAGCTTGGAAGATCATCAAGAGATACGTAATTTATTATATCATATTCGGTACTCAGAAATGAATGAAGAACTTGAGAAGAAAATAAATAAAGCAATGAAGACTATTTTCCTTCATTTTGAAAAAGAAGAAAGAGACATATTACCTTTAATGAGACAAGAGATGGACAATAATATTTTATTAAGTGCTGGCAATTCATTTAAAGAACTCAAATATAAACTTAACGTAAAATCATATATACATTCTCCTACTAAAGATATAACAGCAGCTATTGCTAGTGTAATGATTAGGCCTTTTAAAAACGTTGAAGAAATTATGGACGCTTAATATGTATATATATATATATATACTTTCCTATGTAATATTTTGCTTTTATAATGTATATTCAATTTAATGAATAAAATATGTCCTTTTATCTCGCAGTTTTACTAGTAAATTGTTAAAGTAACATCCAATCTGTAAATGGTATATTGTTAAAAATACAAAAATATATATATATATATATTATTTACCTATAATGCTCCTTGACTGGTTCAACATTCCTATTATCGAAGAAGATTAGGAAATAAAGTAGTTTATAAGCATAGTATATAAATAATTAAAGTGTAGGCTTCCTCCAAGCATATCAATACAAAAGTTATATACTAACCAACTAACCAAAATTCAGTCAAACTCCCCAAAAATAGATTACTTTCTTTCCAAAAATTATTTAAATAGGATATAAATTTATGTTGTTATTACCTCCTATAACATAAATAATTTACTATGAATTATTTACCACTATTTACTGTAAATCGTTATATAAGTCTTAACTATAACATGATCATCATAGATATATACAAGTTTGATTATAACTTTTCTTTACTGAAAATAAATAAAGACATGTATTTACAACTTTCTCATAATAGTCTCAAAATCATTTTATCAAAGAAAGTAATAATTTATTTTAGTCTCAGTTATTATTACATCAGTATTTAAACTTAAGATTCGGATGATTTTAAATTTTTTTGTGGACAAAGTAAAATGAAATTACGGACAAATTTGAAAAGCAAATTCAGAAAAAATGGGTATCCATTTTAGAAACACTAGAGCTAGTTTTTCAGATAAACTAGCAAACTAAGGGTTTTATCGCCCTCTATTATCATTTTAACTAGTATTGTGGAAATCTGGAAGGCCCATATTTCAGTTTGTTTTCCACTCCCTTCCCCCCCGCAAACTGTCCTTCAACATATTTGACAACAGTTTTCTACGTATACTGCAGAACAATCACAAAGCTTTGACGAATCGTTTCCTTTCCTTTTTCTCTCCCGTACTAATACTACTTTATTCACTTTACATATATGGTTTTATTTATATTTAATTTCTATTACAAAATTTGAAATTTTATTTCTAATTATAAATGTACTCATAGAAGTAAAAACAACAATATTGGGAACCCGAAGAAGTTCGAGTATAATAGAAGCAAGCTACTTGTTATTTTTTTTTTTTGTTTTGGCACAAGTGAAGGGTAGAAATGCTGTTTATTTTAAAAGTCTTTGAACTAGAGTAACAGAAGTTTTTGTAGCAAATTTTAAAATGTCGGTAAAAAAAAAATGGGGGAGTTGATTCTTGCCGATGTGGATGAATTTCGTACCTCAAAGATAAGCTAATAACTTGGTATTATAACATTGATCAATTTTTTTTTCAAGTAGGTACGTTGCTCATACCACTAAAGAGTTTTCACAAATGCATTTTTAGGACTTTATAGTATTCAAGCTTGCCAAAGTTGTGGAATATTATAGCAAAGAGATATAAATGCATAAAAAAAAGAACATTTTCAATATCTCATAGGAAGAATTAGATAACTGTAGTCATCCTTTTGCTTTCTGCCAAGAATAATTTTTTTTTTGTTTCTCATATATATATCGTCGTGTTGAACATAGTTTCCTTTTTCTTTCAGGAAGAAGGATTTAGATATTTACAGGCAATACATTATCTAAAAAAATAATAATAATAATTTGCAAGTTTATCTGAAAAACTAGCTCTAGTGTTTCTAAAATGGATACCCATTTTTTCTGAATTTGCTTTTCAAATTTGTCCGTAATTTCATTTTACTTTGTCCACAAAAAAATTTAAAATCATCCGAATCTTAAGTTTAAATACTGTAGTTGTTGAACTTGAAATTTTTATCACTATGTTGTGTCCTTTTTATCGTTGTTGTTGTTGTTGTTGTTCAAGATATGAAAAATAAAAAGTCGAGTGCTACACGTGACCTCAAAAAGTTCTGTTATTGTGCTGCTGCACTGTGCAATATCCATTTATAATAAAGTTAATTATATCCTGCATTCCTTCTCCACAAAAATATATATAAACATATAGATATATATTTCTCTCACCCATACCCTACATTCCTTTCTCTCTCTCTTATTATTATTTATCATGTTATTAGAGTAGTCTTAGTATTATATTAGTAGTAGTTGGTAGAAGCAGCAGTAAACAAAATTATTTTATTTATTGCCAAGCACACTAAGTTTATTAAAATATATAAATATATTTCATAAATATTTAAATTCAACCCCCCTATTAAACCTCTTCATTTATTTAAATTATTTCATTTTACCGCCGACGCGATTTCTGTATAACTTGACCCTTTTTTTTTTTTTTTTTTTATTATTATTATTATACATATACTTGTATAAATAGATACATTACTACTAAAACATTACACATATTAATTCTATATACACTTATATATAAAAAGAAGACAAAAAAAAGTGTTATAAACAAGTTTTTTTTATTTTATTTTATTTTTAACATTCGAGGCAAATTTAAAGCAAGATGAATGTATGTATTTCAGTTATCTAATGTATATATTAACTCATCATGTATTTATGCAAATAAAAATATCAATTAAAATAATAATAATAATAACAATAGGAATATCATCAGAATAAAATAAAGGAATTAAAAGCCAAAATAGCTCAAAATGAACGGATGCGTGATAAAGCATATCAACTCAAACCTTTATTAAAAGATCGCAATGCTATTTCACAGTGTGAAACTGAAATTAAAGAATGTCAAAAATACATTGATTATTTTACTGAAGAACTTTTAAAGATTGAGTCTCGAGCAGAATCAGATACAGCGGGTGACCATTCTTCGCCTGATTCAACTAAACCTAATGATAATTCCCATTTACCTCCTCGCTCAGGCAATGCTAGTGTACCTCAAGAAGGACGTGAAGTAAAGAAATACTCTACTTTAGGTATGAAAGAAATGAAACGAAATGAGATGAAAACCAAAATATATATATATACATATATATATAAACATATTTATATCCATGTTTTATATTTATTTATTTTTAAAAATAGATTTATTGACAACAAATACCGTATACAATAAATCAAAAGTATCACTCAAATTACATGAATTAGAATATAAACTTGATGTAGAAAATAAAGTGTTGGCTGGTATCAAAACAATGGCTGATGTAATGGATCGAGACCATTTTTTGAGTGATAGAAAAGGAAGGCATGAACTTCAAAGCCAAATGTATGAAAGCATTGAAAAATTAAATTTATTAACAAAAGCTTTAAGGAAATATAAGAGTCTTTACATTGGTGAAGATGATGATGAAGAAGACTATGGTAAAGGAAGGAGCCAAACAAACAAACAAACAAACAAAAAAAAAAAAAAAAAAAAAAAAAAAAAAAAAAAAGAGAGAGAGAGAGTGAGAGAAAGGAATTGAATACATATTAACTGGTCTTCCTTTTAACTTTATAAAGAACTAGAAACACCTCCTGCTGCTCGTATGCCACCTGGATTTAGAAGACCAGTAACAGGAAAACTACAATTAGAACTTATTCAAGCACATGGATTGGCTCATGCACCTACAAGAATGTTTAAAATGCCTAATACAATTGTTTATGTTAAGATTGATGGAAATATTGTATTTAAATCTAAATTATCACGTAATGATAAATGGCTGGATGTATGTGAAACACATGTCAATAAAGCCACTGAAGTTGAAATATCAATCTATGATCAAGAAGCAGAGCGTAGTTTACCTATTGGTATCTTTTGGTTAAAAATTACTGATATTGCTGAAGGTTTACGTAAAAAAAAGATTCAACAAGAAAATAGTCCTGGTTGGGTTCCTGCAGAAGTATACCAAAAGCAAGACCAAGAAGGTGATAATCAGTTACAACAACAACAGCAGCAGCAACAACAGCAACAGCAAGAACCTAGTCGAGTGGAAAGTACAGAAGATGGTATTCAAGCTTGGTTTGATGTTGAACCTTCGGGTGAAATGTTACTTCGAGTTAATTTCGTTCGTGAGGCTGCTAATCGTCGTCCATTAGATAAATTAGGTCGTGCAGGCGCTGTAAGACAAAGACGTGAAGAAGTACATGAAATGAATGGTCATCAATTTGTTGAAAAGAAATTTTATAATATTATGCGTTGTGCACTCTGTGGTGAATTCTTAGTGAATAGTGGTTATCAATGTGAAGATTGTGAATACACATGTCATAGAAAATGCTATACAAAAGTCGTTACTAAATGTATTTCTAAAGCAAATGCTGATAATAAAGATGCGGATGAAGACAAATTAAATCATAGAATTCCTCATCGATTTGAACCTATTACAAATATTGGTGCTAATTGGTGTTGTCATTGTGGTTATATGCTTCCATTAGGTTCTAAAGGCGCCAAAAAATGTTCTGAATGTGGTATTACTTGTCATACAAAATGCCAACATTTTATTCCTGACTTTTGTGGTTTATCTATGGAGATGGCAAATCAAATGTTGGCTGAAATTAAGGCAGCTAATAAAAGAAAAACATTGGAAGGTTCTGTTACTCCTTCTACATCATCTACTACAAGTAGCAATAAGCCAGCTCGTGTATCGCATCATGAGGATGATAAACTATCAGAACCTTTATCACAGTTATCATTGAATCAACATAAGCCATTACCTAATATACAACAACCTGTCCCTCAAATGCAAATGCCTGTACCACAACCCATTGTACCACCTAAAAGCCCTATTAGTCAAATTCAGCCTTCACCTCCTCCTTCATTACCTCCTCATACTCAACTCTACCAGACTCCTCAACAACAATACCCAACACAAATAAATGATATTCAATATCAAGCTCATCTTGATCCTCGTCACCAACAACCTGTATGTTCAACAACTTATCAACAGTCACCTATTCCTGCTCCAGTATCCCCAACTGTACGTCCTGTTTACAATCAACCTCATCCAATCGAACTTGCTCGACCTCCTCCACCAAAATCTCCTCAACAACAAAGACGAGTTACATTAAATGATTTCAATTTCTTATTTGTGCTTGGTAGAGGTAACTTTGGTAAAGTTATGTTGGCAGAAGATAAATATGATAAGCAATTATATGCTGTAAAAGTATTGAAGAAACGATTTATTATTGATAATGATGAAATTGAAAGGTAATATATATAAATGTATATATGTATAAATATACGTTTTTTTTTCGGTAATTTATGTTACTAATATATAACATACGTGTTGTATAGTGTTCGCTCTGAAAAACGTATTTTCTTGGCAGCAAATCGAGAAAGACATCCATTCTTGATTGGTCTTCAGTCTTGTTTCCAAACTGAATCACGTGTTTATTTTGTTATGGAATATGTGAGTGGTGGTGATTTAATGTGGCATATTCAACGTGAACCTTTCTCTGAAAGAAGAGCAAAGTAAGAACTTAAAAATTATTTGATACCTAATTTATTCATTGTTACTTTTATAAATATATATAAGATTCTATGCTTGTGAAGTACTCTTAGCGTTAGAATACTTCCACAGCCAAGGTATTATTTATCGTGACTTGAAGTTAGATAATATTATGCTTGGTTTAGATGGACATATCAAAGTAGCTGATTATGGTCTTTGTAAAGAAAATATGTGGTACGAGGATACAACAGGTACCTTTTGTGGTACACCTGAATTTATGGCACCTGAAATTTTATTAGAACAAAAATATGGACGTGCAGTCGATTGGTGGGCTTTTGGTGTTCTTGTATATGAAATGTTACTTGGTCAGTCACCTTTCCGAGGTGAAGATGAGGATGAAATCTTTGATGCTATTTTAGAAGATGAGATTCTTTATCCTGTAAATATGTCAAGAGATTCTGTTTCTATTTGTCAAAGAGTATGTATTTCAACGATATTTAGTTTATGAATGAATAACAATCTAACTTTTTTTTTTTTTTTTTTTTTTTTTTTTTTTTTTTTGGTCATGTTTGCTTAGTTACTAACAAAGGATCCAAAGAAGAGATTAGGTTCTGGACCTACAGATGCTGCAGAAATCAAAAGCCATCCCTTCTTTTATGGAGTTAATTGGGAAGATATGCTTGCAAAACGTGTACCACCTCCTTTCTGTCCTTCTATTTCAGATCCCCTTGATACTTCTAACTTTGATGAAGAATTTACACGTGAAAGACCTGCTTTGACTCCTATGAATAACTTATTGAACCGTGTAGAACAACAAGAATTCCAAAACTTTTCGTATGTGGCTGACTGGACTCATACCTCTAAACCTTGGTAAAACAACAAAACAAAAAGAAAAGAAAAAGACAGAAGATTCTTCCTCTTTTAGTAACATTTGCATATATTTCTGTTTTTATAAAATCAAATAAAATCAAATAAAATATAATATAACAAAATAAAATAGAATAAATATTATTAATGCTGGTGAAGACGAACTCTTTCAAGATAAGCGTCCCAGCCAGCTTGACGATAACGTTTTGCTTGTTCTTCTACTTGGTCAGGATTTCCATAAATACCACGACCAACAATAATAATATCTCCGCCACTACCTACAATGACTTCATGTGGAGTACGGTACTGCTGGCCCAAACCATCCCCTTTTACATCTAAGCCAACACCGGGGGACATGACAATAAAGTCTTCTTCATCATAACTATTCATCTTGTGTTGAGCAATAAAGCCAATCACAAAGTCTTTATGATGACGTGCCATCTCTACTGATTCTGTAGTATAGTTTCCTTTAGCCAAACTGCCTTTGGATGACATCTCAGCCAGCAACAATAAACCACGACCCAAAGGTAAACCCACTTCAGCAAGGCCTTTGATAATACCATCACCAGGAACAGTATGTGCGTTTGTAATATGAGACCAAGAAGCAATCTTATAAACACCGTTTGCATATTGATGTTTTACCGTGTTACCTAAAATAATATGCATATTAAAAAAAAAATACAGATATGCATTTGTAAATATTTATAATTTACACAAAATGATAGATCTTTACCAATGTCAGCAAATTTACGATCTTCAAAGATTAAAAAGTCATGCTTTTTTGATAGTTCTTGTAATTGTTGAACTAAATCCATGTCAAAGTCTTCTACAATATCAATATGTGTCTAACGAAAAAAAAAAAAATTAAACTTATTTATTATACTATTTTTTTTTTGCAACTATTACTTTTAAAAGACAAATATATGGACCCACTGCATCGGCAATGGAGAGTAATTCCCTTTTAGAAGTGACGTCCACCGCAACAGAGAGGTTACTTTTCTTGCGTTCCATAAGCTCAAAAAGAGATCTGGCACAAGCATTGGGATGGTTTTTACCACGTTCAGCGTAAGTTTTATATGTGTTCATTTTTTCGTTATTAAAAAAATAAAACAAAATAAAATAAAAAAAAGATTGTTAAAGCAATAGATTTTTATTGATGATGAAAATTTAAGTGACCGATTCTACACGTAATATCTAAAATACTAGTTTTGTTTTTGATCAGAGTAAAAAAAAAAAAAAAAAAAAAAAAAAAAAAAAAAAAAAAATTAAACCCTTTTTGGATAAAAAAAAAAATGAACAATTGAATCAAGCAAACAACAACCATCAGGGATTCATTTATAAGCTAAAAAAGTCCAGCTCTTGTTAATAGTGAATACATCTATATCATTTCAGATATGACATAGAAAAGGTAAAAAGACCATCTATACCTCATCCTTTTTTTTTTTAATTTGTATAATGCTCTCCTTAAGAAAAGCTTATTAAATCCCAACTATGAATTGATGATTGTTTGTCTAGTAGCCGCTTTATTATAGGAAATATTTCTTTCTACATATAACAATACTAAAGATAGTCTAACCTATTTATATCAGATAAATATATTAGCGTAATATCCTTCATAGTTTAATATGGATTCTATCTACCCGAGAACTTATCTAAACAGCCAGCTAGTTATTTTTTCTTTTCTTTTCTTTCTTTCTTTTTTTTTATTAAGGGAAAATTTAAATAATTACAAAAGAGATTCCTCTTCAGCAATGGGTGGTAATAAACCAGAAGAAGAAGAAGAAGAAGGTTTACGATCTAATCTATTCATTCTTAACTGATCTAATGTATTTGGTAAAGATACACTATAGACTTTTTTAACCCATTCATTTTCTATTCTAAATATGACCCAAATCCATCGTCTAAGGATTTCTAAAAGTCCCATTAAAAATAGACTTGTATCTAATTTTCGAATGTAAAAGTGTGAGCTTAATTTAAAACTCCAGGTGATACGAAGTAAGAAATCGAAAAAGATAGCCAAAATATAGCAACTTGTTTGGGGGAAATACAACTGTCGACGAAAATGAATGAGAGGAGTCGATGATGATAATAAAGTAGTCTTCTTTTGATGTTGCTGTGAGTCTAAGGTAACATTAATTAAATTCCAATCCACTGAAATATCCCACCAAAAGGAATACATTGAATTAATGAAAACAAGTAATATCCTAAAGCCATAAAGATTATATATATTTGTATTCATTACATATACTCTTCTTTTATATTACCAAATTCGAAAGATAGTATCTTCCTTTAAAGGCCAATGTGTAGGTACTGTTCCCATTTCTGCAATATAAATAGTTGCCTTTCTATAGAGGGCTGAAAATATAACTACTGGTATCGAGGATGCATATTTTAATGCATTCAATAAATGACGTTTCTCTTTAAATTCTATGTATTCAGTTATACATTGCCGTAGTCGAATTAAATAGGGTATACTGAATAGAAAGTTAGGAAATTATATATGCATGTATTTATTTATACATTTACCCTATCAATAAAGGAACCATGATATCAAAATAATAAATATTATGTGTATTATCCATAAAATAGGAGGAATCATGACCACTGAAAATAATACAATTGGCTATAAATAAGTCTCCAAATACGTTGGAAAAACTTGTCATCATGTCTGCTAAAATAATGTCTGAAAAGAAAACAGATGCAAATATATTGATTGAAAAAACTCGTTTTAGCATTCTATATAAAATATACATGTAAGTTATTAAATGTAACTTTTTTTTTTTTTTCTTTTAAAAAAATAAAATAAAATAAATAACCTAATGAAACGCATTCTTTCTTTTCGATATAATGACTTTCCAGGCCATAATACCAAAACAAGAGTAAAGATATAAGAAAATAGAGCAATAGTCTCTGATTGATAAAACCAATATAATACAAGATTAAGAAATAGAATGATAGAAAAGAGACCAGACAAGAAAAAAACAGATTTATATAAAGGTGTATGTTTGTCAATTGGGTGAATTTGAAGTATTGAATTAAGATCAATGCCGCATCTAGTAAGAATTAATAAATTCAATGCCCATCCCCAAACACCTATTGAAAATAAAACAATGGGTCTAAATGTAATAGGTAAGATGGCGCCTTCTCCATCCATGTAAATGTCCAACTACTTCAAAAAAAAAAAAAAGGAAAGAAAGAAAAAATATTGCAACAAGTGTATGAGAACAAAAAGGAGATTTTCTATTAATTCTCTTCTAAATTAGTGGGCGGAATTTTTTCTTCTACTGATCGACATTTTCTTGTAGTGCAAAAGAGGCAATAATGGATATCAAAGCAACTAAAGTAAGTAACTTGGTATTCTTTCAATAGTTAAAATACAGATTAAAGAATAGTTTTTATTATCTTGCTTTCAGACACACATTAATTCAAAGAAAACAGGTGACTTGCGCTTTCTGCTGTGTAATTAATATACTACGCCTTAAACAAAACATTAATATCTTCAAAGAGCTTTTCTTGATAGAATCATTCTTGTTTAAGGGGCTTATTTAGAGATAAATTTCAATTATACTCTTCATTTTGTTGGACGAATGAATCAATAGAAGGGCTTTAAATAATAATGACTTGGGGCCTTAAGCAGCATATAATCATCGTTATAAGAGATTTTTATTTATGCATACTTAGCCTTTACTAGTTAAAATAAATAAATAAATATAAAAACATTTTTTCTCTTAAGGGCCTTCTTCTTATATTATGTAAAATAAAAAAGATAAATAATTTCCTTTAGTTAGTTTTATATTATACTTCCAAGATAGTTACTAGTCATATATATATATAACCATTACTAGCATCTATCTTGTTTTTTTTTGTTGAAGGATCTTGACATCCATAGCTTCTGACAATTCAGTCTATTAACATTCACAATTATTTTCAATAGTATATAAGAAATTGCAGCCAATATTATTAGTAGATACCTTGAAATTAAAACCATATTCAATATACACTCTATCAACATGGCTAACTGATATCTTGTCTAATTCAGAGAAAGATTGGTAGGAATAGATTTAATTTATTTACATGTAACATAAACTATTACTTCTTCTTTACAATATGTTTTTAATATACATAAAATATATATTTTATCTTTGTACATGTACATAAAGTTTTATTTAAAGAGAGAGAGAAAAAAAAACGCACAAGTAACTTAAAAAACTAACCATCTAATTATCAATACCAATATCTTCTCTCATGAAGGCGTCAGAGGAAGGCTCTCTACCAAGGAAGGCTTTCAAGAGATCCATACCATCTCTATATAAATTTTGAGAATGTAATTGTTAGTATATTCGATACTACTTTGTAAATTATATGATACATACTTGCTACTGCCCTTTTCAAGAATGTTCTTACGATAAGAGTAACCTACTTCAGGAGAGAGTGTGTCTTCTACGAACTTACTGAAGAACATATCACTGGAGAAAACTTTAGACCACATATAGCCATAATAACCTTTTTTTTTTTAAGAGAAAAAAATGATATTAATATTAAATTTATCTATGTATTTTTATCTACTTACCAGCATCATAACCACCCATTAAATGACTAAATTATGTTTAACGTATTACATTAGTCAACTCTATTTGATATTTACAATTATCTTAAGACTTACCCAAATGCTGCTTGACCGTAAGTGCCCTAAGTATCATCAAGTTCATTAATATACATACATACATATATATTCGTTACTTTTAATATTACCTCAGGAGCAGAAATCAATGAAATCTTCTTTCGGAGGTCGTTATAAACCTTGGTTGTATCCACATTTTCATCTTATATTATATACATATTTAAGTATGAGCTTATAGAGTTATATATTTTTAAATAACTCACCTTCAGCGGTATGGATTGTCATATCATAGATACCAAAGAATAATTGACGAAGATTAAGCATAGCAGCATCCACATTCTTAGCTTTAACAATACGCTCAATAATTTCATCAGAAATAGGTTCTCCAGTTTCGAAATGTGCACTAAGATACTTGAGTGATTTGGGATCATAACACCAATTTTCTAACATCTAATACTCTATCAATATACATACATACATACATACATACATAACATATATATAAATATATTATATTAATTTACCTGAGAAGGAGCCTCAACGAAATCACCTTCAACTGAAGTGCCGTGGAATCTTGCATACTTTGTACGAGAACATAAATGATGCATGACATGACCCTATCATATTCAAAATAGAATATTTAATCTTTTTAAATACATGTTTACTTAATTCATTATTTGTCATACCAATTCATGGAATAAAGTAACAACTTCATCATGTTTTAACAAAGATGGCTTCTCTGCAGTACTACATACATATACGTTCAATTTAATTGTAAGTTATTCAGATATAACATGATAACTTACGGCTTAGTAAAGTTAGCTACCATAGCAGCAATAGGAGCAACACGTTCTCCATTTTCAGCGATATAGGAGGGTTGAAGTGGGAAACAAGCGGCATGAGGATCTGTCATTTTTAAGAAGCAGTTAGAATTTATTTATTTATTTATTTTTCATTAAAAAAAAAAGCACTTACATTTGTTATCACGAGGGAATAAATCAAGATACATATATCCTGAAAAGCTCTTGTCTTCAACATCATCCCAACATTCAAACAATTGAACATCAGGATGCCAAACAACAGCCTTTTCAGTAGGCACTTTTACAAATTTAAGGCCTAAAACCTTTTCATAGATTTCCAACATTTCTATAGAAAAAAAAAAGACGTATTTACATTAGGGCAATTATACTATTTTTAACAACTTGAAAATGATTTACTTTGAATTGTAGTTTCTAAGCTAAAATATTGTTTGATTTTCTCTTGATCCACAGCGTATTCATTTTCGAGAAGAATACGTTCATAATAGCTTGTATCCCAAGCATTAAAGGTTCCATCATACTCCTCACCACGAGAAGCTAATACATATATACCATTTAGTATACTTTTTTAACTTGATTATAAACCTCCGTATACTCACCTTTTTCAGCCTAATTTATAATTAAAATATTTGTATGATGTTTAATATAAAAAAAAAATATATATATATAGGAGACTATTGCTTTGCTTTTATATAGTATTTACCTTTTTGAGTTCTTTAAGTACTTCAATTTCCTTCAAGCCTGGCTCATGTAATTTTGTGGCCAAATCATTCAAGAACTATATATATATGTATATATAAAAAGAATTTTAATATTTTTTAGTATAGTTGTGTGTATAAAGTAATTTACAGTTTCGACAGCTTCAACAGTCTTGGCCATTTTAACTTCAATGACAAAATCAGCATGAGACTTGTAGCCCAGAATCTAAATAATACCAAGATGTTAATTATTAATATTTTATACATGATTTAATAATATATACCTTAGCAGCCTTACGGCGAAGTTTAAGAGCCTAACAATAATAGGAACATGTCAATTGCTATGTGTAATATATTCATTTTAATTCCATTATACCTCTTCAAGCAAAACAATATTTTCTTTATTACGTGATTCATATGCGGTATAATGTACTCTACGTGTATTTTCATTCTTACATAACTTGAGAACTAAAATAAAAAAGAAAAAAAAAAGTTAAAGAGCTGTATATGATAATTTACATATGTATATACACTATCTTACCAGGACGAACATCTTTTCGTATATTTATAAATATAGAATAATAAAAAAAAAGGTTAATATATACATGTATATAATATGAAAGATAGAAGCTCTATTGCATATATATTACCAGGATATCTACATATAATATAGTATTGTGTTAGTAAACATGTATATATAAAAGATAAAATATCAAACACTTACTTCATGGTCAAAACATATTTGGTTACACCATCTTCTTCTTCAGTCTTTAACCCATCTATTTATATTGTATATTAGAAAAATACTTGTAAACTTAACATTTTCAGATTCATACTTAAAAAGTCTTCATCAAGTCCCTCTAATTCATCCTGTATAATAAAGAAAGAATTAACTATGTTCAACATATAATAATTCTTTGTATTGTACCTTAGTGAATTTAACAGCTAGAGAAAAAAAAAAGTAAAAATTAGTAATTTTGGCAAAATAGTATTGATTATATATATATGTATATAATACTTTACTGCTACTTTCACGAGCCCAGTTCTTATTGAATTCAATACAAGTCTCACTTAAGCGCTTACGAATTTCCTTGAATTCATCACGCTTTGCTTCAGGAAGATGAAGACCATTACGACGATAGTTACGTTCAAGCTTACGAAGAAAACGGGCGTCTTCATGCTCCAGTTTATCGAGATCAGTTTTTGAAATGTAGTTTGAAATGACAGAATAGAGGTCATGTCGCATACTTTGATCAATACTAAACTGTTCATACTTAGTTTCTGCAGCGACTGATGCTTCACGAACGGCTGCATCGGGTGAAAATTGACTCAATGAGCTGACTAATTGTGCTTTGCCTAGATTTTTTTTAAGAAGAAGAAGAAGAAGAAAAAAAAGAATGGACTATGTGTAAGAACGAAAAGAAAAAAAAAATAGAAATTCGTATATAAAATGATATGTATTCATTACCAGACAATTCATTTTCAATACGAGTTAAAGGTAAAACAATGTTTTCATAGGTCTGCTCTTCAGGCTTTAAACTAGCCACTTTATCATTAACAGCAAGTTCTTGTTCAATAATATCACTTGTTAACTTTTCAACTTGCTCAGCGTTGATATTAAAATCAAGAGTTGGAGGTGGGGCAGTTCTAGACATTTTTTTTATTTTGTATAAAGAGAGATAAAAAAAAAAAGGGGGAGAGGGGAAGAGATGAGGGTAACGCGTATGCTTCTATCATTTTTATTTGAACGAAATTGAAGTTCAGACATTTCAGATGAAACCAATTTATTAACCTCTTACTCGAAATTATATCATTGTTGTACGATGATTAATACACTGCCTTACAGTAGTTGGAGTAGAGTCACAATTGTTTATTCAATAATTCTATCCAAAATATTAGTATTCATCACGAACGCTTTTACCACCTCAACTAGGCAAGCAATCTTTTTTATTTTTTAATTTATTTATTTTTTTTTGTGCTGTCTGGAATACTTCTCTATAGCTTGGGGAGGAGAGTTAGATTTCTTGAATAATTTTAGTAATCAGTGAAAAGACGATTCCCCCAAATGGATAAAATAACCTTTTTTGGTAGTTTTTTCCTAACTAGGCTATTCAAAAAAAAAAGGACGTTGCTTATGTAATTTAATAAATCTAATTATCGACTTGGGATTGACTGCCTTCATCTTTGCTTATTTTCGACTACTATTAAAATAGACCATTGAATAGTGAACTATTTCCTTGAAGACTATAGTAAAAGTTGTTCGCTATTTTTATTCTAGTTACAACCTTTTTTTTGTTTTCTTTTTCTCTAAAATAATATGCTTTCTTTTAAGGGTTCATTTTTTAATTCATCTTGAACTATGTCAATTCACTTTAGTCCTATATTTGGAATGGAAGTTATCCAATTTTGCTTCTTTAATCTTTAAAGACATGTTTATTGTATGTAGTCAGCTTTGTATCTTTTCTTTGTTGCTCTTAATGTTATTATTTCTGCTATAAATTCTACAGCCCTATTTTTATAATGAAGAGAGTATTCAAGCTTATAAAGAATTGTATACATATACATATCTATAACCCTTCCAACGTATATGTGAATGAAAGAATGACATAAGAACTGAAGTGTGGGCTTATTTTTAGGATGATTATTTAAAAGAAAAGAAGTTCAATCGCTTCTAGCATTTTAAAGACAATTGATTAAAATGTTGCTTTATCTATAATTGTAGAGAAGCAAAATTGGTTATCATACGCTTGTCTTTAAAAATGACATAGTTACATAAATTGGATAATACTAAACAAGCATATCTACGAATCATGTTTAAATAATACGCTTATCAGTTTATACGAGGAAAGAAATTGACTATTTCAAAGAAACAACAGAAGAATTTTTTCTTTTTTTTTTTTTTTTTTTTTTTTTTTTTTTTTTTTTTTTTTTTTTTTTTACATAGATTTAGTATTATTTTTTATTCATTTACAATGTGGTTATAAATATTTATTATATAAAGTTATAAACAGCAGATTTCTGAAATTGGTTTTATAGCCATTTTAACTCTCGATAAAACATCAGTTATTCGCTTTTTTAAAGCCTCGTCCTCTGATTCAACAGCCTAAAATAAAAACTCATTAGAATTTTTTTTTTTAAAAGAAAAGAAAGCTTGTAAAAACTTACAAATTTGATTGTATCTACAGTAGCATTTGAGCCATCAATATTAACTTTAATCTTTTTGTCTTCCTTGTCTAATTCAACTTCACCAAATTGTGCTTCTAAAAAGGATGCAACATCTAAAAATTCTTTATCCAACTCATCTTCAGCATTTGATTTATGATGTGAGCAAGGTTGAGAGCTCACTACAGGTAAAGAAAAAAAAAAGTTAAAAATGAATAACATATATGGATAGACTAATATTTTAACTCTTATGCAAAATACCTTTCACACTTGCAGGAGAGCTATCAATAGATAGAATAACTGCTAATACAGAGTCAGCAACCATGTCATTCATAGCGTTTCCGATCCACTCTAGCATGACTTGATTAGGATTTGATAAAGTCTTTTTAATGTCAATTATATCAAATACACGAAGCACAGTTCCCTTTACTTCTTTTTCTTCCATAATATCTTTTTCTGACACATCTCCAAACATCATTTCGAGGTGCCATTTTAATAAACTAATTCCTGCATTAAAAGGCACAATTTGTCGTTGAGTTACTACCGTTGTTATTAAACCTCCTAATTCATTCAAATCTTCTGGGCTCATAATATTTAGTTGAAAATCTTTAACAACAAGGATTCCGTTTAATGACTGGTTTTCAGTAGGATATTTTTCTGCCAATCTGCCAATTGTCTATATATAATATATATAAATACATGTATATATTGCATAATTCATTTCATGATTTGTAAATACCTTTGCCATCTTTTCACCACGGAAGTGAAGCTTTACAGTATCACAATTTTTTGGTGTATAGATCGTAACATTTTCTTCTCTTTCTGAATATTTGCTTTGCAATGCTGACTTGAGACGATACATTGCATTTGCTTCACCGTGAACAAGAATCTATTAAAAGCATAAATATGAATACATCTATATATATGTATGCATTTGTATCTTTTTTTTTTTAAGAAAAAGTTACTTACAACATGGGGTGCTTTAACGTCGTCAATAAATTTACTATTTTGTGTAAAATCGACATGAGCAGAAAATGAAATATAATCTACAGACATTCTTAAAGGTATTTTACGACCATCCATAGCTTGGAAATCTAAAGGTTCATTCATTGCTTGCTAGGATTAAACTTTAGAAATGCTTTATATATTACCAAAAAAGAAAGAAAAAAAACTTACTCTAGCTAGTGTATTTTCAACACAATAACCTGTAATAACTAATCCATTTTTCTTGTCAGGTGCCCATCTTTCAAATAATTCTCTTGATAAACCATTCTACACGTATTACAATTAATATATGTATATATAGGTAGACTGAATATGTATAAACATATATATATTTTTTTTGTCTGTCTTTTACCTGAAGCATACCAGGACTTGCCATCATGACACAAGGACCAGAATCTTCAAATTGTTCAACATTTTTTAAATTACTAATATGCTTAAATACAAAGGGATTGGAGATAGCAAACTGTTTCCTTATACGAGCATTCATCATGTTAATATATGTTTGATAGACTGCCATACATTTCTTGGCTAAACTCGATGCGTAATAGATTGGAATACTGTCTAACTCAGGATGAGCTTCCCAATATTCATCCAGAATCAATAGTAATTCCTGTGCTCTACCAAGTGCGAATACTGGCATCAGACAGCGTCCTCCACGTCCCACAATATTATGAATAAGTGCTAGAATGATAATAAATAAGGTTATAATACTTGAATAAATAAGGTAGGTCAACCAATTTAGGTATGTCTATACTTTACATGTAAATCGAGACTCCTTTGCTATTCTAGGTTCATGACTTTGAACACCGTATGTGCTCTCTGTTATCAAAACATCAACTGCTTCATCAGGCTTTTCAGCTGCCATCAGATGGCGATCTTCTTCTCTTGAATAGTCTCCTGTATAAAGAACTTTGACACCAGCAATTTCAATCAAGAACATGGCTGCTCCAAGTACATGACCTGCATTATAACCTGTAAATTTAATGCCTTCCACTTCCACTTGTTGATGATAATCAATTGCTTCAATACGATGAAATGAATTAAGCATATCTTCCTCTGTATATAATTGATCTTCATCACCAATATTACTAATTGTATTATTATTATTATTATGCGTATTACTATCACTTTTTTTTTATAACTATTATCTTACCTTACACGTAGGTAGTCACTTAATAGCCATTTATAAATAGCTTTTGTAGGATGAGTCATGAAAACACGTCCTTTAAAGGTTGTCTAGATAAACAAATAAGTAATAGTAATCATACATTTAAATATTATTAGTATACCTTTTCCATAAGGTAAGGAACGGATGCAGCATGATCTACATGGAAACTATAGACGAAATACATTTTTAGCAAAATACACATATATATACATATACATATATATAATGACATACTGAGTAACCAAAAGTACATCAATACTTGCAGGATCCAATTCATCAAAAAAAGGCAACGAAGCAAGTCCGTTATAGGCAGGATGAATGCCAGCATCAAGCTAATAATGAATGCATAAAAAAAAAAAAAGAAAAAAAAAAAGAACAATCAATATAGATAACATTTTAACATTTATAGAGTATTTAAAAAAAAGTTTGATAATTATCACAAAATCAATAAAAAGATTGCTATTTTTATTATTTTAATTTGAGAATAGGAAAAATGGTTATGCGAATGATTCAATTTAAAAGACATTTTTTCTGCCTCTCCTCTTCCCTCTTTTTTTGTCATGCTTAATGAAGCTTCATACTTTTACATTTTCATTCCAAGTTTTTTTTATATGTATACGAATACAATCTTCTAATCTTTTTTTTTTTTTTTTTTTTTTTTTTTTTTTTTTTTCATCATTCTTGTGATAATTATCACCTTTTTTTTTGGCTTAAAAATTTTTACATTAACGTACCAAAACTGTTTTTCCTTTATATTCTAATAAAATGGATGAACGACCGACTTCATTACCAGATCCAAGTGGTGTAATTTTCAACAAGTCATTTTCATTCGCAATTGGAATTTCTAATTCTGCTTTACGTTTTATTCCTGCCATTATATGTATAAAGTGAAAATAAATGTGAAAAGAAAAGTTTTGGAAAAAAAAAATAGTTCTCCGGTTTTTTAATTTCATGTTCGTAAAATTTATAAAAACAAAAAAAAAAATGACCAATAGGCACATAGTTTATAGAATTACTGAATTGCCTTAGTCAGTCCAAAGATAATGAAAAAGTAACTAAAAATCCTCTTAGGACGAAAGGCAAAAATAAAAGTAAAAGATCAAACACATTATGAAAAAAAAAAATGTTGGAAAGAGGTGGAGAAATAACGTTGTGAGCTAGAACAATTCATCCCATGAAATATGGGCCAATGGATATTTGTTTTTTGATACATCAGATAACAAAAAATACATTTATAAGTTTAAAGCACATAAGAATTTGTAATAAATGTACGAAATATCAAGAAATTTCCTTGAGTAAAGTTAGTATTATATCATTAAAAAGAAAGGGAAATACTTTATTGATAGTTACTAGTGGGGTGGATTATCCTTTGAATTAGCTTATTGATTCACTCTACCACTATTAAATAAATAAAAGCACTAACATTATTTGATGTAATTACATTCAATAAAAGTAATATTGCATGTCTATTTTATTAGTTATCCTTTCTTGTAACTAAAGAATTCGTTCTTTATATATTGTTTCCTGTTGAACTAACTTTATATCAACCTTTGTCTTGTTTTATCTTTGTATATTTTTTTCTTCTTCTTCTTCAAGTGTCCCAATAATTTCTGAATAAAGTGTATGTAAAACGGACTTTTAGAAGGAAAACTTGATATACAGGGTTCCTCCTACTACTTACTACTGCAGCTTTAAGTGACACATTTGTACCCATACTGCAGTATAAAAGAAAACAAAGCAGCTTGTGACGTTTTTTATGAGTATAATAGTCATGAAAACTTTTATTTATTTATTTTCTTGTATATTTGTATTTTCTTCTTTTATAATATATCTTCTTGATGAATATTAGTAGTATCAGTGGCAGTAATTATCATATACCAACAGTAACAACCCCTTTATTATCAGATATTAGAAATGATATTAAGAATAAAGTCAAACGAGTTCCTACTTTTGTTAAGCCCTCTATCCCAAATAGACGTACAATTCTAAAAGCATTTTTTAACATAACTCTCCATTTGCTTTTTGAGCTCGTTCTACCAATCGTACTGTATTATATTATAAGAAATTTCTGTTCTCTCCTTTTGTCTTTGTTGTTAGCAGGTATACCTAATGCGATTGCAGTTATTGTAAAAGGCATTTGGGAACGTAAAGTAGATATGATGGGTATTTTGATGCTTATTGGCTTTATTGTATCTGCTCTTCTTGCCTCTATTCAATCTGATCCTAGACTTTATTTATTGAGGGAATCCGCTATGACACTGGCTATGGGGTTTATGTTATTCTTAACTCTATTCCCCTTAAAATGGCCACTCATCATACTTGAACGATCGTCATCAATATCAAAGCAGCATATTCTTCGACCTTTTATGTTTTATGTTGCACGTCAAGTTGCTATCTCTTGTAATAGCTTCATTATAAATGCTGATATCATTTGTGAACATTGGGATTTGTTTTGGAACTGGTTTGATGGTTTTCGATGCTTCTTCAGGACATTAACTGCTATTTGCTCTATGGCTCTTATTAGTGAATTTATCGTTCGTATTGTGCTGATCCATACTTTAGATAATCTTGACAGTGTTATTTATTATTCTAATATTTATATGCTTATAGTCATGATAACATTAGGAGGCATAATCCTTTCTAGTACATTATTACTAAGACATTATTTTAACTTGGAACAAAATCGTATCAAAATAGCGGAAAGGGCGTCAGAGATCGAAGCCATCATTGCTCGTGCTGCAGTAGAGCAAAAAGAATCATTGGTACGAAAACAGTTTCCATTTGTTTAACCACATAATCAATTCCTAAATACCAAATCCTCCCTCTCTCCCACATATATTAAACACTCTTTCCTTTTCCCCCCTTAAAATATTAAACAAGACTGCATAATATGAAACTCAAAAATCTTAAAAAATATGCACTTGCCATGCATCATTAATCTATATAGTCTGAACATCTCAAAAACAGATATAGATTTTATCTTCAGTTTTCAATAAATATTTAGACATCATATAGGTTTCTCAACAAGCCGTTACTCTTTGAATATTTCAAATTTGATCCTCATATTTTATACTACAAAATACAATGTGCTTATGAGAAAATTGAAAAATAAGATCATTTTATGTAATACATACAAAGAGACACAAATAAATTAAAGTGGTATAAAAAGCTATTTCTTCCTTACTGATACCATTTAAATAACGTCAAACTATATTTTAATTTTTTCATTATAATCATATTGGAAATACGAATAAACAAAGAATACACTGTGGGTCTTTGAAAAGAGCATTTGCTTGTATATGATTAAATACATATATATATAAAAAAAAAGAGAGAGAGGATATAAACTAGCCAATAATATTATACGTGATTGAAATACCAGTCACCCATCAGCCTTTTTTTTTTTTCTCCGCAGTAACAGCTTACTGCTAAATTTTTTTCTACTAATAAATTTTCATTTTTGTAAGAAATTTCGAAAAGTCATCCATCAGAAGCAAATGCCACCAAAAAAGCAACAAACTAAGAACGATAAAAAGAAAAAGGAGAAGGCCGTTGAAGATAAGACCTTTGGTATGAAAAATAAGAATAAATCTGCCAAGGTTCAACGTTACATTCAGCAAATCAGTAATCAGGCCAAAAATAATGCTGTAAGTGCTGTTGCACGATTGTATTTTTTTTTTTTTTTTTTTTTTTTTTTTTTTTTTTTTTTTTTTTTTGTTTATTCAGATTTAGCTTAAATTCGTTGTTTGCTTGTTTGTTTTTTTTCATTTAGGCTAAAACTAAAACAACTGCTGCCGAAAAGAAAGCACTTGAGCAAAAGAAAAGAGAAGAATTTGCTGAACTCTTTAAACCTGTCCAAGCACCTCAAAAGGTGCCATTTGGTGTTGATCCCAAGACTGTTCTTTGTCAATACTTCAAGGCTGGACACTGTGAAAGAGGTGCCAAGTGTAAATTCTCTCACGATTTGAATATAGGTCGTAAAGTGGAGAAGAAAGATTTGTATACTGATGATAGAGTTAATGGTAAAAACTACGTTTGTTATTTTCATTAATTCAAATATGAATCTGACATGTTTTTTTTTGTTTTATATAAAGATACAATGGATAAATGGGATCAACAAAAACTTGAAGAAGTCGTTAAAAGTAAATCAGGAAAACAACCACCTACCGATATTGTTTGTAAGTACTTCTTGGAAGCTATTGAAACTAGTAAATATGGTTGGTTTTGGGAATGCCCTAATGGTGGCTCAAGCTGTAAATACAGACATGCTCTTCCTCCTGGTTTTGTTCTTAAATCCAAGGCCGCAAAGGCTGAAGAAAAGGAAGAAATTTCACTTGAAGAATTTTTGGAAAGTGAGGTAAATGATAGATAAGCTATTAGTATATCTATATCTGATAATCTATATAATTACTTTAGCGTCATAAACTTGGACCAAATCTTACTCCTGTGACTCTTGAAAGTTTCAAAGAATGGAAGAAAAATCGTATTCAAAAGAAGGAAGCTGAAGAAACTGCTGCCCGTAAAGCTAAGGAAACTAAACTCAAGACAGGCAGATCCCAGGGCATGTCTGGCAGAGACTTGTTTGAATTTAATCCTGCCCTTGCAGAGGATAATGATGATGAAGGTGATGCTATTGATTTCTCACAATATGACCGTGAAGAAACAGAAAGAGAACGTGAACGTATGGAAAATGAAAATTTTTTGAATGAAAAGACAGCTGGATTGTCTCTAGAAGATAATGTTAATACTGTAACTGTCGCCTAAAAGAGTAAATATATGAAATATTTACTGAGCAATTTTGCTCATCTCTCCCCCTATATATATATATACATGTACACACAAACACAAATATACACACACACACACACACACAAATACACGAATATAATACAATAAACACCTCACTTTAAATGCGTTAAATTATCTTTTTTTTTTTAAAAAAAAACAAAAAAAAACAGTAACAGATAGTGTCGAAATATGATCTAAATTATATATTATACCATATAACGTCTTTAACATTTGTGAGTTATTTGCAAATGATCTTGATAAAAGAAAAAATAAAGGTCATTTCAGATAGAGAAGATGATCTACTGGTTACTAGCATTTCTATTTTTATTTGGTAATGTATTTTTTTTTCCCTATTCAAAAATACATATGTAATTTTCTTATTTACTTCCATATCATTACATATATGTATACACTGCTTAGTTTTATCTACGTAAAATCCTAATTGATTTATTAATATATCAATAACTTACATTGGTGAGCATATAGATATAGATGTTAGAGTCACAATATAAAAGATCACATGATCAACGCTATAACATCTACATAAAAAAAAATAGACTAATAATACTTTGGTGTAACTTAATTAATATAAAGAATTATCACTTATAGTCATTAAAATACTTTTGGATCAATATAAGCAATAGGAATGTAAGAAAGAGAAAAAAAACAGTTGATAGTTACTTAAATTTCTTTTCAAAGACTTTTAGTAAGCACTTTATGATGGACTTAGTTCTTTTTTTTTTTTTTTAAAAAAAAAAAAAAAAAAAAAAAAAAAAAAAAAAAAAAAAAACTTACTTTCTGATTTTCAGCTTGGTAAAACCAAAAGAATTGAAAAAGCAACGTGTACTGTATGCGAAATTTGTTTCGTTTCTTCTTTTTGGAGCTGTGTATCAGAGAAAAGAGTTGACAAATTTTGACCATCAATCTTTATGAATCGTCATTTAAGACTAGGATTTGGAGAAAGAAAAAGCAGGCGAGGCCTCTGAGGTTGTCGCGTTTGTGTCTGAGGATGGACTAAGTCGATCGTTTAAGCTGGTGCTTGCTCTGTTGATTGTTCTAATGGCTCTTCTGCTTGTGCTGGCTGTACATTCTCCTGCAATTGTATATTGATCTGCTCGTAGGATTGGAGAATATAACTCATTATCGATAAGAACAATGAACTGGTTTTCGGTCACTTCTTCTCTTTAAAGTGGGAGCCGATGTACTCTGTTCCTAACTGGCTGAATGATATTGTTTAAAAATGCTTGTAGATTTAGTGCCTATTAAGGCCATATTGTGTAGTAAAATCTTCTGACATATCTGACCTTGTGTCGTTCTTTAAGACTTCATACAAGACATAATCGTATACAACCTTATTTGCGATTGGCATTTTAAGATCCTTATAAATAAAAGACATAAGTGTAATAGTTATATAAACTAGTGTTCTTATTAATATTTCCAATATACTCGTGCTTCAGTCTGTATATAAAAAAGTTTCCGATATACGTTTCATAGTTTTCAACGTAGAAGTTGTTGTAGGCAGTAGCTACAGTATCACAAGCAGACGAAACAATTTGGCCATACCCTACTAGACCTTGTTTTTCAACAGAAAGATTGACATTGTCTAACTCTTGCAAATGATTATAGGCTGCTTGAATGCCAGGGGGTCTTGGATAGAGGCTTTGTAGTTCGCCGATTTTGATATTTCCATAAATTAATCTACAAGCTCTGTACCAGAAGTTTCTTTTCAAATATATCATTTGAGAGATACTTGACATTGTTGTTTGCATTATTTTATATATAATAAATAACTAGAAGCTGTGCTTTATAAACAACCTCTCGTAAAAATGAAGACTGTAATTATTCTCTCTTGATATCCTAATATTTTGTTCGGATTCCCTTCATCTTGCCTGATGAATGATTTAAGCGTCAGGGATATGGTATATAATTGATAAGAAGTAGGGAAAGTCATCTGTAATCTCTCTTTGATAGTGTAATCATGGTTGGGACATAAACGAGGGGCAGAAGTAGTATGACCGGGTTGGTCACAGGACTTGCAAACAGGCCCAAATGATGAAGTCGCCTGTTCTGTACTTCTATTTTTTCTGGCATCCGCTTTGGCTTTTTTCTCCTCTGGTGTATCTTTTTTTCTTTTACCTGTATCGGCATAGTAGTTAAATAATGTTATAAATACAATCAATAAAATTCACAGAAACTATTGTGGTTCAATGTTAACTCCTCTTTTACTACCAGAGTATCTTTCCTTGTCAACTCCGACTTCCAACGTGATACATGCTCTCTGAGTCACGCTTTATTTTCCTTTTTAATACAGTCGAACCTATGGAAATTGGCGTTTTCACAAAAATAATAGTCATTTCCGTAAAAATAATTGGACAGAAACTAAAAACAAATGTCACAAGCTCAATTCTTTTTGTTATTTTGGCCAAGGATTATTTGTCTATGCCAAGTATTTAAATTTGGCAGTTAACTTACCATATTGTTTTACTAAATCATTTTCTAAATACATAGAGGGGAATAATTAGAGCCTATCAAAAGTAGACGCTATATCAGTGCTACTTAAAAATTATCAAGAAAAGACACTGGTTCAACAGGATATTTGCAGTATTATTAATTTAGTTGAAGAGAAAGACTAATTTGATATTACCGATAATACAACACTTTGTTCATATCTTAAGCCATTTCTAATGTAACAACAATTGGCCAACAGGTGCTACTAAGCTATGTCAGCAAAGAAGAATTCACGTAAAATAATGTTCCATTAAATTGGCTCGTTTTTTATAATAAAAAATATTCTTCTCTGAAGATTAGCCTTCAAAACTTCTCTCTATTTCCTGCATCGGATACAGAAGATCAATACAAGACAGGTAAATACAGCTATGTATAGCTATATCTCGACTTGAAGTTCGGAGCTTCTTCAGTAGAGTCTCAAATTCAGTTATTGGCGCTCAATACTACAATCGTTTTTTCTAAAGGGCCACAAGTATGAAATATATAGAGAGAAACAAACATTAGGTAGTCTGAGGTGCAAAGGGAAAATACTAACAAAAAACGTCTGTAATTCTCAAAAGTCTCAACAATATTAAAAGAAAAAAGTAAACACTTTAATGAATTCCATTTTGCACTCTTGGAAAAATTGTATATTTATAGTATTTTTAATGGGTATGTTGATTCAATTTTCTTTTTTTTGCCTTTGGCGAGAACATAACACGAGGGACTTTACAGGGAGCCTCCTCATGATGTACTCTCGATCTAGTAATACCTTTCAATCTCGACGCTGGTAATCTCACTGTAAAACTTTCTGTAACTTCGGTAACCAGTTTTTCCAAGTGATTCTTTGAAGTTGGGAGATAACGAATTTTACGAGCTTGTTGTATATATGATGATGTATTACAAAATATAGTATAGATATTCAATCATTATCAAAGAGGGATGATGTTATCATATATTAGTGGTGCACTTCATGTACACGATACTAATCTACTTTAGTATATGAGACACACTTGTGTTAGAATGAAACTATAAAATTACAGAGATGTTATGTAATAGATGTCTTAAACATGAAAGAAGAATAGTTGCTGATCAATATATAAAATACTTAATATTGAAAATTAATTACCTATAAGAAGCACTATCTTCAGTATGGTTATGCACAATTATAAACAATCTCTAAAGAGTTATATAGAATAGAAACTTGAGGAGTTGATTAGAAGATGATAGAGATATGTGTTTCAATAAAGAAACAATATTGTATCAATTCGAGATCATTCTGAAGTTCTAAAAAAAAAAAAAAAAAAATTATTATTTAGTTTAATTTGAGATACCATTGGTAACTAATTATTTGAATCAGATTAGCATTTGGAACATAACTGACAGCTGAGATTAATTGATCAGTCAGGTTCTTCATTATCAAGGTTAAACAAGATTCATAATTATCTATTGGATATGTCTATGGTTTTATAATATTAAATCAAGAAATTTTACCCGTTTCCAGAAGATATAAATAAGGATCCATTTTGTATAATTTTAAAGAGACAGCTTTTTTGAAATAAAAGAATTAAACAAAGTTTTCACAGACTTTTATCGTTTCTTATATTTTTTCTTTTATATTATTTTCTTCTTAATCAACAGAGCTAAAGAATTATTGAAATTACCTTACCTTAAACTTAAAAAGTGCATTGATAGTCTCTGAGACATGTTTAATCGCTTCCTTGCTTGTGGGGAGGGAAAGTTCTTCGATCAAATTTGCAACATATAATCCTTCTTTTTCTTCTAAGCTATACATGTAGCCGACATTACCTATTTGTCAAAATTGTCATTATTGTTAAAGCCTATAATATACTTGAACGTTTTAGTAAACACTTACCAATAAAATCCATAACCACTACAGTCTTCGTTTTTATGTTGTATTTTCGATTCAATTGGTTCAACATCGACAAATTTGTTCGCAAATTTTTAGATTGCTGCTTTGTGGCCGTGGCAGAGCTTGCATTGCTTTTCTTCCACTCATTCGTTGATAATTCAACTCTTTCCATATTCAAGTTCATCACAACGATCGCATCAATTTTTCTTATGGCGCAAGTTGAGAAGACATTTTCTCCTGAAAAAGGAAACAAAGAATGGTTTACGATCATCTGCTCTTTTGCGGCCAAACAACCAGGCTCACACTAGAATTTTAACAGATTTATAATCAGTTAGCATTGTACTTAACACATATGCAAAACTTCAACATACTCTAGTATTTTCAGTTTTGTTCCACAAAAAAGACAATCCAAGAGCTTTGCACAGTGTCGGTATGCTGTCAACTCACTATTATCTTCTGAGTAGTCTTCAACATTTTCAATACTATTGTGTAATGAACGCGTTAGTGTTGTGGTTTAGGTAAGTTTAGATAATTAAAATAGAAGTCAAAGAAATAAAAATAAAGAAAATAAAACAGAAGAAGTACGTTGAGACTTGTCAATAAGTTTATTAAAAGTTAATTCAATACAAGTATTGTTCTTAGTTATATGTTATACAAAATAATGTAAGAGTATTTATATATTTTGTGGATAAGGATAATGAGTAATAAGAAGATAAAAATATAACAAATAGTATTGGATAATATAATTATAGATATAGATATAGATTCATGTCTTTTGTATATATTCATTTTTATAACTAATACGTGTATTCTGAGTAGAATCAATTATTACGCGTATTTGTATTATTCTTAGTTTACCCCAGTTTAACTTGTATAAAGTTATTTTTATAAATTTATATTCAGCAGAACAATAATAGAAGAAAGAAAGTATATTTTTAGATGTAGGACTTTTTATTAATTAATTATTTTTCTATACAATGGTAAATATACTAAATATGTTTATAGAGAGAATTATTATACAAATGCACTATGTATTCTATTATGACTATTTATCTTATTGAATTAAATTATAAATCTTACAACCATGACAACAATGACTATTATCAAAACTGAGAGTAGAATGAATATTATGCTGTGAAGCGCGATATATTAGTTTTATTTGAATAACCTCTTTATTATGTAATAAATGATGGTTTATTTCTATTAACTTGATTATAAAGGCTACTACAATCATAATAATATTAATAAAAATGTGATTTAGACAAGTGAATGCTGCTATGACAAAGCCTTTAAGCACTAATTTTATCTCCGAATAATTCTGCATACAATAGGATATGTTTTTATCTTTATTCCTTGAGTCGCCATGCTGTCATTGTTGCTAAAAATATAAAATGTAATAAATCATTATTTCTAGGTGTGATGGAAGGTAAATAAAAGATAAAAGACAAAATAAAAAGAGAGAAAGGGAACAAAAGGAAGTATAGTTTGAGACTGTTTTTTATTCAATAAATAAAGTTAAAAAAAAAGCTAAAGAAAGAAGTTAAAGATTATTTTGTGTCTAAACAACTGCTTGTATTTATATTAATGAATCCTGAATCAAAGAAATAGAAATAACCGTCAAAGAACATGAGTCATGAAACAGTGTTAGTATTCGTATATACGTCTTGTTGATTCAAGAGACTGATCTATGGATTATCTATTGGGTGTTATAATGATCTGATCAAGTTTTAAATAAAAAATTTATTGTTTAATCTGAGTATATGTTCCTGATATCTTTTATGTTTTATTTTATTGGATCAGAGACGACCTGAATCCTTTATCAAGGTTATAAAAATAAATATTTAGAAATGATACGATGTCTTATAATTGATACATCTAGACAATTGGATGTCAATAAGTTTTATATTATTTACAAGATGTTATATACAGAGTTTTATTTCATATTCAGGCTTATATTTTATCCTGTATTATGTAATTCATCTATTATAATATTACTCATGATTATATCCAGAGCTTGTTCTATAACACTGCTGAATATAAATTTATAAAAATAACTTTATACAAGTTAAACTGGGGTAAACTAAGAATAATACAAATACGCGTAATAATTGATTCTACTCAGAATACACGTATTAGTTATAAAAATGAATATATACAAAAGACATGAATCTATATCTATATCTATAATTATATTATCCAATACTATTTGTTATATTTTTATCTTCTTATTACTCATCATCCTTATTCACAAAATATATAAATACTCTTACATTATTAATACTTATATCGTATAACATAATAATAACACTACTTATGTTGAACTTAATTCTTAATAAAACTTATTGATAAGTCTCAACGTACTTCTTTTGCCTGTTTTATCTTTATTTTATTTCTTTTATTTATATTTTAATTATTTAACTTACCGAAACCACAACAATTAGACGTTCTATTCAATGGTTGTGAGATCAAATTAGCAGAGTAAGTACACACATATATTGAAATGAAAAAAAAATAGTTTATCTCATCATATTTTAACCGTTCTCTTAGTGGAGAGACCGCCTGTGAAAGCTGCGGGAAACTAATCGAGGTGAATAAACGCCTCTTCAATGTTGATGATGTTTCCCCATCGTACTCAAGAAAAATCGATCTGATATTAAAGTATGAAGACAACAAGAACGTGGAACTTTGTTCGAATGAATGGAAGCGAATGAAAGTCAGCACTGATTTAAAGATTAAACAACAATCAAAGAACCTTCGTGTAAATACAGCAATAATCAACAACCTTCAAGCAGAGTATGGGCCATCCTTCAATACCATTCTGGCAATGGATGTGATCGGTAATTGCTTTTGAATGAAAGGTTATATGATTTTATGTGTATTAAAGTGTTTGTCTTTGAAAGTAGGATCAAAAGGTTACGTTTACCAATTAAAAAAAATACGATAATTACTTTGTGGCTACACCTTACTCCACCATTATTATTCCGTTAAAGCTATCTAATATCGCTTGTTTTAAAATGCTTATTACATCTCCTCTCTTTAAATTTAAGGTAACTGCTTCTATATTTCGTGTCCCAAACCTGTTTAGGTTTTTTACCAGTTTTTTTTTTTCATCTTTTACTACAATAGAAATTTTATACAGCCGTTATCCCATAATTACTGGAAAAAATTCTCGAACATGAAGTAAATCATAACCTGGGTGGAGTTTGGACTGTTGATATACCTACTCAACCACAATCAAGTAATAATTTAATCTTTTTTAATACAAAAAAACAGAAAGAATAGTTATGAATAAAATGATAGCAACCAAAAGAAACAAAACCCGGCAGCACTTAAAGTTTGACTTCCTTTCCCCTTCTTATGACGTTATACTGTAAACAGATAGAGGACAGTCAAACTTATAGAATTTAGCGTTTTCTCAAAAATAAATGGCGGAAAGACAAAAATAAATGTCGGAATTAGAAAAATAAATGTTGTTATGACTGTAGTCGTATTTACAACTAAGTTAATAGAAATAAACTACCATTTATTACGTAACAAATAGGTTATTCAAATAAAACTAGTGTATTATACTTCACAGCATAATATTTATTCTACATTCAGTTTTAATAATAGTCATTGTTAGGGTATTCGAGCATTAAAAATAATTATATACTTTGCATTATGTAATAATAATAAGAATTCAATAGGTTTATGACTATTATATTCAATTATATAATTATTTATACAAGTCATACATACTATATATACGCATCTATAATATTAAATATTGTTATGTAATAACATCTTATAGGATGATAATAATAGTAGTTTATAAATAGTTGGTATTGTTGTGGCGGGAATATTCACTGTGAATTAATATTAACGCGTTGCTTACCCCAGAAACAATAATCAGGTATATCTTTAATAACAGCAAAAGCTCAGGTAGAAATATGTATACTGCATGCAAAATTATTTAGGACAATATTTGTGCATAAGGGCTTTATTATAGCAGTATTTACTGTCATGGTTGTAAGATTTATAACTTAATTCAATAAGATAAATAGTCATAATAGAATACATAGTGCATTTGTATAATAATTCTGTCTATAAACATATTTAGTATATTTACCCTTGTATAGAAAAATAATTAATTAATAAAAAGTCCTACATCTAAAAATATACTTTCTTCTATTATTGTTCTGCTGAATATAAATTTATAAAAATAACTTTATACAAGTTAAACTGGGGTAAACTAAGAATAATACAAATACGCGTAATAATTGATTCTACTCAGAATACACGTATTAGTTATAAAAATAAATATATACTAAAGACATGAATCTATAATTATAACTCTTAGTAATCCTTCTATAATTATATTATCAAATACAATTTGTTATATTTTTATCTTCTTATTACTCATCATCCTTATCCACAAAATATATAAATACTCTTACATTATTTTGTATAATTTATAACTAATAACAATACTTGTATTGAATTAGCTTTTAATAAAACTTATTGACAAGTCTCAACGTACTTCTTCTGTCTTGTTTTCTTTCTATTTTATTTCTTTTATTTAATCCCTTAAACCTACCTGAACCACAACATTTACTCATCTAAATCACACTCCTATTGATATCACTTACCTTGCAAAACATATAAATAGCCCTCGTCATTTTTCCGTATTATTTTCTTCTTGGACAATTTTTGTATTATTTTTTCTTCAATAAACTATACGAATTTTTCACAGACTTGTCTTTACTTTTTTCTCTTTTCTCATCTTTTGAACTCAAAGTAGTAGTAAAGGCGTTTGACGGGAAGATGCAATAGTTGTTTCATCAATAAAGTAATGAGCCTGAGCCTATTCATCGCTTGGTAGCCTTTTCATGAACGGCGCTTTGTCTGTTTCGGTGAGTTTTTTAGTTATTTCTCTCCTTGTTGAATTGATACATATTGTTAAAGCAATTGGTTCAACTTGATATTTATCTATGATATGCCCACAATATTTAATAAGGCGACGGATGAACTGTTTATCTACAACATTCTGTATTTCAATTATTACAGGGGGAGAAAGCATCTGTTGGTGAAGTAACTGGTGTATATAGAACGTCCGCTCGACGGCCATCAATCCATTCACATGGACTACAAATGTAATGATCAATTGCATTTTCACCAATAAGCGCTGTGAGTATTAAGTTCATAATTCTTGAGTTTTGAAGTGCTAGTTTGGTCATTAAATCAGTGCCGGGTCGATGATTATAAGGAATTACGAATTGTAAAAGAGCTTGATCTAGGATAAGAGAAAAAAAAAGAAAAATGAATTACTACATTAACAAGCAGTTATCAACACAGCGGAATACCTATGAAACTAACACCAGACATTTTGATTATAAATATACAGAAAAAAAAAACATCGACAAGGTTGTCGATAAAAAGTTTTCTAGGTGCTGATTGGTCAAAAATACTTTTTTTATCCGACAAGGTTGTCTGTTTTATAGAATAAGCTCTGGATATTATCGAAAGTAATATTGTAGTAGATGAATTACATAATAAAGGATAAACTATAAGCCTGAATATGAAATAAAACTCTGTACATAACATCTTGTAAATAATATAAAACTTATTGACATCCAATTGTCTAGATGTATCAAATATAAGACATCGTATCATTTTTAAATATTTATTTTTATAACCTTGACAAAGGATTCAAGTCTGTTGTGATTGTAGTAGCCTTTATAATTAAGTTAATAGAAATAAACCATCATTTATTATATAATAAAGAGGTTATTCAAATAAAACTAATATATCGCGCTTCACAGCATAATATTCATTCTACTCTCAGTTTTGATAATAGTCATTGTTTGAGTATTCGAGCATTAAAAATAATTATATACATTATATTATGTAATAATAATAATTCAATAGGATTATGACTGTTATATTCAATTACATAATTATTTATAAGTCATACATATTATATATAGATAGCTATAAAGATAAATGTTGTTATGTAATAATATCTTATAGGATAATAATAATAGTAGCATATAAATAATTGGTATTGCTATAGCTGACATATTCACTGTGAATTAATATTGACGCGTCGCTTACCCCAGAAACAATAATTTAATATTTTTAGTAACAGCGACAGCTCAGGCAGAAAAGAATAAAAATAGATCTTATTGTAGGCAGAATTATTCGGAGAAAATATTTATGACTAATGCTTTATTATAGCAATATTTGCTTATCCAAATCATAGTTCTATTAATATCACTTACCTTGCAAAAACATATAAATAACCCTTTACTTTTTCACATAATTTTTCCTGGTACAATTTTTGTATTATTCTTCTAAATAAAAACTACACGAAGTTTTCACAGACTTGTCTTTTGTCTTTTTCTCTTTCTTTAACTTTTTGCTGTCAAAACAAAGTCGTCTTTGATCCAATAAAATAAAACATAAAAGATATCAGGAATATATACTTAAATTAGACAATTTAAAACCTTAATCAGATCATTATAACACTTAATAGATAATCCATAGATCAGTCTCTTGAATCAATAAGATGTATATATCTGAATACTAACACTGTTTCATGACTCATGTTCTTTGACGGTTATTTTTATTTCCTTGATTCAGGATACATTAATATAAATACAAGCAGTTGTGTAGACATGAAAAACTTTCCTTTAACTTTCAATTCTTATTCTTTATTTTTAATTGAATAAAAACAGTCTCAAACTATACTTCCTTTTGTTCCCTTTCTCTCTTCTTTTTCTTTCTCTTTTCTTTCTCTTTTAAATTTTACGTTCCATCACAAAACCGACAAGGTTGTCGATAAAAAGTTTCCTAAATTCTGATTAGTCAAAAAAACTCTTTATTACTTATTGTTTCTTAACCAATCCCATTTGACTCGACTCCAACTTGTAATGCGATATATGCTCTCCAGACAAAAAATTAAATCGTTTATAACTGTACTTGAGGCTTGCTATGTGGAATTCAAACTCCAATGTGCATGTTTTTTAACTTCTTGAATACTGTGGCCCAATTCGACTGCCCATGTACTTGAAACTGACCTGACCGAATGAGTACTACAGTCCTTTGTGCTGATCCCTGCGTCAGCCATTATCGATTTTATATAATTAGCTCTCTATAGTTATTGGTTTAACTGAAGTTGAGGTTTTTGGTGAAACCACATAAGTTAAAAGCAGTGTTTGGTCTTCTTCTAGTGTTTCTCATAAAATTGATACCTTTTGTTGATAAGATAAAGATAACAAAAGAATAAGACAGAATAAATCTGTGAAAACTTTGTATAAAACTTTTATTATCAATAAAAATTAAAAATAAAAAACTGAATTTCTCCAAGATGAGTGCAAAATGAATCCATATTTATATCTTGTAGGAGAACGGGTTATTTCGTGACAGGAACAGAGTGGAGATATCTTGAAAGAAGAATATTTTCCCATAGAATAATTAAAGTTATTGTGTTTGAGCTCTAGTCTTTGCCCTGACTGAGAATTAATCTCAGTTAACTCTAATAAATATTACATTATTAGTGCTTGATCTAGCCGGTTATTTTTTTTGAAGCCAAATAATGAAATCTCGTTTGTTCATACTTGTGAATGATATAGGGAAGATGCTTTGTATTATATTCATTCCTTACTATAATGCTTGAATGAATGTCATTATATTGTATAGTGTATAGATAGTATATAATTATATTTATAAATTAGTATATAAGACAATATTATAATAATAATGTGTATATATAACTAATAAGTATAATCTATAATTCATATATCTTTATCATTAATAACTCCTTAGACTATGTTTTTCTTATCATTATTTCGTAGAGTTAGTATTTATTATAATATTATTTTTCTCATCGCAAGAATGTCTTATATAAACTGAAATCAAATAATATTGTATGCATAAAGCGTATAACTAATAATCATAATATCATTCTGTTCTTCATGACTCTGATTTGTATATTATAAAATATTATGTAATACGTCATTATATACACAACATGCTGTGTTTATTTATTGTCTACAAAAAAAAAATACAACATACTTACAGCACACACGATAAATAGTCTAATGGAATGCAAGGAGTTCCTGCGCTAATCAGCTCTCTGCCCACATTCAATGGATCAACCTTTTTTCTTTGTGACAAGATGCACTTGATTCGTAATGTCAGTCGTCTCTGTTATGATCTGATTTCATCTGTAGAAAATGCACGTTTCAAAGTGTTAGATACCTCAGAATACACTTTTGATTTAAACAGCTTTTACTTACGTCCCAAAAAATTCTTCAAAGTCATTGACAATTACGTCAATGAATCAAGAGTTCATATACCTTTGTCTTTTGAAGGTACCTGGCAATGTGCAAAAGGTCATGGTCGTGCTGTTGATTGGCATGACTTACTGCTTTACATCATTCCTACACTCATCATCTAACATCTAAAACATAAAGAAACAAGAGATGCAATCATTAGCTTGGTGTACGTATGCTCAATTGTTTTGCAATAGTCAATTTCCATGGCTGACTTGAACAAAATGAATAGGTATATGTAGTACTAAAATGTCTAAAGAACTACGATGATTAACATAATTTCTTATAATTAGACTCTTTAACCTGTGGCACATATTTTTAAAAAGATAAATCACCCTAGGAAGGATCAACGTAAGAGTAGTCACTGTCAATAACCATTACCTCTGCCATTTACAACATATAATCAACAAAGCTGGCCCATTAAAAGCATATTCTTGTCGCAACTTGGAAAGAACTATAAAAAAATATAGTAACTTGATCAAGTCTAAAAGCAAAATCAACACTAATGCTTCAAATGTCATCAGAAATCAAGTGGGGTATAACTCTTATCATGTCCATAATCTTACCCAAAGCTTAGTTCCCAATCCGACATACTCCCTTGATTCATTCTGGACCCATCCTTCAGACATCTTTCATTACCCTCAATTATGGGAACCTTTTATACAAGATACACTTTCGAGTGGATCTTTGGCTGATTTGTCTTGTTGTGGTATTGCAAATACTAAAGTTATTAGAGCTTTAAAACACTCCTATATAAGAACTACAGGCAACAATGGTGTGGAACTGGACAATTTACAGGTTGGAATAGCGGTAAAAGCCTAGAAAGATTCAAAGCAATATTCGTCAGTTTTCGATCGTAAAAGCAAAAATATTTATACTAGAGCAGGCAATATTGTTCTGTTTGATGTTAATACAAATAAAAGATAAAAAAAGAAAGAAAAAAGTTTTACCAAAATAATTCTAGTTTCAACATTACATTGCTAGTCGTGTTAAGAATGCTTGATTTGTAGGCACAGTCGAGTGCTATTTAAAGCATAAATAAAATAACAAAGTAAGCTTTCTTGCAGTAATTGAGGAAATGAAATATCACTAAATTGACGACTATGGTGTGTTAATTGTAACAAGCAATTCAAAAGGAAATGAATTCCAAAAAATCACTATATACGATATACCGGACATTGTCGAATGTGTTGATCTGGTAAAACTTTTGGCTACAAAAACAAGTTCAAAGTTGTTTGGCCCCACTTTCAACATCACAAAAAACTTAATGGAATGCTTACTGATCTTTAAAATTGCATTTGTAATGCGTTTAAAGTTCATCCTTACATTAATAAAAGGGTTTTTTTTTTTTTTCAATTCCAAGTAATTATTGTATACATATAATCAGATCTGTTAATAAGTTTCGTAAAGGATCATTGAGATAATAGTAGGGGGAAGAAATATAGAAAGAAAGACATGAAAAGAAAAAATAAAAATTGTTTATTGTACTAAAATTTATGTTCCACTAAAACAACCTCATTTGCATAAAGAAGCTGATGAGGCATGTAAAAAGATGGCAAACGAATCTTTAAAGTTATAAACTTAGAGGAAACTATTGTTTCTTTTTTTTTAAGAGAAAATGGCTTACTTACTTTTCTATTTACGCTATTATAGAGAGATTGTCAAAAACATAAATGAATTTAAGTTTCCTTAATGACCGATCTTCATAAACTAAAAGAAACTATCTTGGGTCAATTTACATAGATGCTTTAGTGTATAAAAAAAAATATAATAAATAATTAAATTTTTCTTAAAAAAAAAAAAAAGAACTTGAATATTATTTGGGTTATTAGACACAAATTTTGGTTCAGGATCAAAATCATACGCTGTGTGCGCTGTAATTGTTGTATAACTTCATTGATGGCTTCAACTTACTAGGTTTCGACTGCTTTTTAACTGAGGGCTCTTCAGCAATTTTTTCGGGGCGCTTGATGCTCAAGTAAGTTTGTCGGCTAGTTATTATTTCAAGAACTATGTTGGGATCATCGACATGTGTTAAAACATCCTCCATCAGATCGTAAATTTTTTCTCCTTCTTCATTAAAAATGTTTTCCTGTCCATCTTCATAAAAAAAAGGTATTCATCATTATGTTATATTTTATTAGAAAGAGAGAGGAACAAAACCAGGTATAGAAGATGTGCGACAATTAGGCACAATCTTCCAGCCAATTTTAGTTAGCTAGTTCCCGACAATTGTTTTAACTAAAGTAGACAAAAACAATTTAAACTCTTGACGTTCATTTTTGAGAAAACGCCAAATTCCATAGGTTTGACTGTAACAAAGAATAATTACTGGAATATATTCCTTGACTCTTAATAAAGATAATTTGATAAATACATATATGGTTCTTATAATTCTTAGTGTAGCCTTAATATAATTGAATGAATATGTAGAAAATTCTATTCTCATTAATTACTGTCATATTACAGAAAATATAAATGGCAAACATGTGTTACATATCATACATTATTATCCAAATGGAAGTCTAAGTTACCATGATTTGTCTTTTTCCTTTTTATTCCATAATATAAGAGGGTTGCTTCATATTGACTTATTTATACAAAATCAATTTATAAGTCGTGTATATCATCCAGCTCTCTTTCAAATTTGTACGATTTATAAATACATGTTTTTTTTATATAATGGTGCCCTTGATTTTATATGTGTAACGTAGAGATAAATTAACGCCTTTTTTATTTATTTGTATGACATGTATATTGTTAAACAAAATAGAAAAAAAAAAAGAAAGAAAGGTAATTGTGTTAATCAAGCATATTAATATAAAAGTCCATAGATCCTACTTTTCCTTTCTTTTTTTTTTCTTTTATCATTAACACTTTAGACACTTTATTTTTTTTCTGATCTTCATTTTCTGTATTCTATATATTTTATATATATTTAAGAATACCTATTCCTTTCGTTTTTTTTATTATTATTATTGATTTGTAAAAAAAATACATACATAATGCAAATCTCTCAAACTTTTATTCTTGTTGTTCTTTTGGCCATATTGGGTCATACTCTAGCTGATAAGCATTGTAATTTATCAGTTAAAAAGGCTCAATTGAAAGTCTCCAACAGTCATCTTAGAATCCGTGGTCGTATTGATATTGGTAACAAAGACTGTAAACCTACTACAAAAGCTTCTTCTAATGATGTCACTACTCAAATCGTCTTGAATTCCAAGAAAAACCTTCATTTCAAGGGCACTAATGATAAGGTTCATTCTGGTAATGAATGTCACATCACTGCTTCATGGTATAACGTACCCGATGAATACAAGGGATCCAAAAAGAATACTGAAGTTTATGTTCCCTTTCAATATATCAAGGAAATTAAATGTAATAAGGACGCTCCTACAACAACAAAAAGAAGCAAAAATAAAAAAGGAAAAAAGAAGACCAAGAAGACCACCAAGAAGACAACTACTACTAAGAAGACTACTAAAAAGACAACTAAGAAGACAACTAAGAAGACAACTACAAAGAAATCGGGATCTTCATCAAGTGATAGTTCCGAACATTACAGTGGCAAGGCTACCTTCTTTACACCTAATCAAGGTGCCTGTGGTGACTGGAATGATAATGATGATTACATTGCTGCCCTTGTAAGTAAATCTTTATTATAATACTTTTTTTTTCTTTCTTTTTGAAAACTAAAAACCTTTTTTTTTCTTTTATGTGTAGAGTGGTTCTCTTTATGGTAGTTATAGTAAGAAGAGTTCATACTGTAACAAAAAGGTCAAGGTTGTTAATAAAGCCAATGGTAAAAGTGTCACAGTCACTGTAAAGGATGCTTGCGAATCTTGCGATAGAACACATATTGATCTTTCTCCTGCTGCTTTTGGTGAGATTGGGGACTATGATACTGGTATTCTCAAGGTCGATTGGTATGTTTATTAAGCAAATATCACCAATTTGCTTACCAGTTTCTATAATAAAAAAAAAACAATATTATCATTCCATTCCTTTTTGTATCATTCTCCCTCAATCTTCCTTAACCCCATTTGTATAGTTAATATATTATGAGTTGACCTCATATTTATATTATGTATCCATATTCTCTACCCCATTTGTTCATCATTTATATATACTATACACTCGTTTTTTTCTTTTCCTTAAACAATTGTGAACATTGTACACTTCCACAAACTCGCTTCTTTCTTCAATAAAAAAAAACTATTATAAACTTATAATACTTGGAAAATAAATTGTTGTGAAATACAGAACAGTTATACAAAATTATTTTGTACTTTCAAGACGTTCTCTGTGAAATTTTAATATTAGATATATTTTACCCCTGAAGAAATATAATGAATACTAGATAAATCTTCCTAACTAAGGTCTAGAATTAATTTATTTTATTCAACGTTGTGGTATATGATCCATAGATTAAAGCTCAACATATAGCCTAGATTAAAACAGATAGTAATGCTCGTACCAAAAAACCGTTCTCGAACTTGGAACTTGTAAATGGCTAGTACAGTTTACCAAAATAGCATTTGATTTCTTGATACAAAGCAGAGACCTATATTATGTGTTACCAAAGAATGATTTTTTTTTCAGTTAGATGTAAATAACCATAATTGTCAATCGAATGACTATTATTAACCCGAACTATACCTGTTTCTTTTTTATTACATTTCTCCTTATATACTCTTGGTTATTTTTATTCTATTTTTTTTTTCTTTAAAAAGGTCTCCTTGTGCTACATTGTTCTTGATTTATGGTAAAGTATCAAATAATCAATAATTTTAGTCACCAGATAAATTTAAACGTATACACGACTCACAATGAACGAAGCTTATAAATTTTGAATATTAAATCCTGTATCAATGTACTTTGACGTGTTACTTAATCCTATTAGCGCTGTCTGAAAAATAAAAATGGAATAAAACTACTTCAGTAAATAATATTTCTGACATTCAGCTACGCTAAAATGAAAAAAAAAAAAATAGTCAAGCAAATAGACCGAGAGTTTTGTTTATCAGAAGAAGAAAGATAAATTCACTCTTGGCATACAAAACAAAATAATATTTGATCTAGCAGCAAAAAGAAAAAAAAAGAAAAAGAAAAAGAAAAAGAAAAAAAGAAAAAAAAAATAGGACTCTATTTTTTGATCCATTTTGATTCATGTTATAGAAGACAGATATGATGTTCGCTATGATTGCATATAAATGTTAACTAGTCTATTATAATAAGAATGAATTTCTTTTTTTTTTAATATGTGTGTCTAAGAAGCAACTTGAAAGGAGTATTCAAATGTATTACAGCAGAACCAAATGTTTTTTAATTATACTCTTTTATTATGTTGAATTATTATTATTCTGTTTGTCCCTTTAAAACTTTATTTTCGTGTTTATATGTTTGAAATATAATAATACAATCAAACTTAGAGTAGGTATGAAAAAAAAAGAAGAAGCATTATTAGCAAGATTTTAGTGCTTAAACAAGTATATATTTGTATATATTTTTTTAAACAATAAAAGAACTGAAGAGGCTCCTTTTAAAACTTGATGCGTTCCTGGTAAAATGTACTTTATTCATTCATTCATTCATTCATTCTTTCTTTCTTTCTTTTCTTTTCTTTTCTTTCTTTCTTTCTTCCTTTTTTTTTTTTTTTTTTTTTTTTTTTCCTGTCATGAAATATAGAAAGTCGTTGTTCTAATTAAATTTCAAACTCATAGAAAAAAAAAACCATTGAGGGTTTCGGTAAGATTATAAATTTACAGTGTCAGATTGATAACGATAGAAAATCAAAAATGATATAAGCTTAATCTCTCTCCCCCCTTTTTAATTACAAATTTGTATCCGGACTTTAAAAATTATTGCTTGGCTGTTACAGATAGGAAGGAGGAGCAGTAAGTAAAATATACATAGTCTGCGATTATATTAAATTAAACAAGGATTATCCATTTCATCGTGCGAGGAAAAAAGAAGAAAAAATAGATATTCAAGTCATAGGTAAAAAAAAAAAAAAATAAAAAAAAAGAATAAACTAATTGATTATCTTTTGTTGTAAATGACAGCTTACAATTATAGTTATTTTGTCAGAAATTGAAGCTTAATTTTAGGTTCAATACGCGTGGTGTAAATGAAATTTAGATGCTCAAAAATTTTTTATCATACGTTTTTTTCTTTCTTTTCTATACATATTCAAAACCTCGAGAAGACAAATAATTTCTAATTTGATACCATCATAAAAGAGCTGACTAAAAACTGAAAGTTGCAAAGGAAAGAAAATAATAAAACATTCAGTGATTTCCAATGATCATGTTTTGTTTTGTTTTTTCGCTGAGGACCTAAAAGATATGCTATATAAAAAGAAAACGCATTAGTATAAAACAAAGATAAAGTCGAGAAGAAAGGGCCACGAGAGGGAAAGATTGTCACTTAAAAGTAATATCCTGTTGCTTTGGTTGTACTTATTTTCAATCCATGAAAATAAAAGAAAAAATACGAAGAAGACTTTTTTTTTCTCTTTTCAATAAAACAAAAAGATAACAAATAAAAAACAACAACTTTACCTATTCATTAAAAAAAAAATACAAAAAGTTAGTAAATCTATCGATAAAACAAGAAGGTTAGCGAGAAGACCAATCTATAAAAAGAGCCATGAAAAAAAAGACATTTTTTTTCGACACTATTAAGACATGGACACACGCTTTTTTTAAGGGTGTAGTTTTTTTTAAGAAGGCAAGAAAATAAATTCTTGATCCTTCTTAAAGTTTTTTTGTATAGCAAGTTTATAGGATTAGAGTATTGTTATTGTTCAAATATCAACACAAAAAAAATATAATAAACTATATAATGTAATGGTTGGAGAAGGAGGAATGAAAGGGGGAGAGGGGAAAAGGGAAGGGGGAAAGTCCAAGAAGAAACTTCCATATAAAACCTTTTTTTTTTCTCTTTGCTACACTGTCATTGATGTTGATTCTTTTTGACTGTATCGTATTAAGGCTTTGTGAGTATCAGCAAGTTGTCGTTCAAGTTCTAAGATTCGGACTCTACTACTTTTTTCTTTAGCTTCGATATTAGCACGTTCACTTTCTGCTATTGCTGTACGTAATTTCAATCGTTCATTTTCAGCTTCTAAATCCATAACACGTTTCTCTAGGGATTCCATCTTCATAGCCTTACGTAGACGTGATCTTCTCGCAGCATCTGTATTTCTTTGTCGCTTTAATGCAATTAAATCTTGAATTTTTTGTTCATCTGTCAAATTATTATTGCTATTTCTATCACGCTTCAAATGATTGACTTTATTATTTGTATGATTTATGTTTTGTTGTGTTTGTGTTTGTATTTGTGATGGTGGTGTTTGCACTTGTGACTGTGACTGTGACTGTGACTGTGGTTGCTGTTGGTGTTGTGCTTGTAATTGTTGCATTGTACCTAGAATTGTAAGGGCCTTGATAAATGATTGAACATCTACTTGAGGTTGTGGCTTGTTTAAATCTTGTGAATCAGGCTTAGGAGTTTCCAAAGGAGAAAGAGGTTCATATTTTATATTAGGAGTTGACAAATCTAATAGTGGATCCATACGTGGTGTACATTCAGAAATTGGAGGAGAGGCCATAATAGATTGGACAGGAGTATTAATCATAGTCTTGGTAAGACTAACAGTGTCAATAGAAGGAGTAGCCAATGTAGGGGGCTTATCTTCAATAGCACTAGGAGGTAATATAATACCTAATTGACGAAGATCATTTTCTAACCATTCATCTACAGAATCAAGGTTAATCATATCCATATTTGATGATGACATTATATATAATAAATAAATAATATTAAAAGAAAAAAAAAATAAATAAAATTAAAAAAATAAAAATATTTTCTATCATGTTTTATATATACGAGGAAAAAAAAAAAAAAAAATTGAGACCTATGGTTTCAGCCATTTATTTTTTGCTTCCCTTGTTAAATTCTTTTTATAGTCTAGATTAAATTTAATTGGACGATAAAGAGGAGCTTATTAAATAACCGATCCGAAGATGACTTGTTGTCGGCGTTAAATATATAAATTATCTAAATAAAAGTTCAAAATTCCATACAATTTCTCAATTATGTCTTGTTGAAATCTGTCTCTGTGATCATTTACTTTTAAAGGAGGTAAAAATGCTTTATCTGATATGACTAATTCAGTTGATAGATTTGTCTTAATTCCAAGTTTATTTTCCCAATATGTTTTACCAATTGTACTTTCAAATGTACACGATTCCACAAGGTTTGCTAACGATTGATTTAATTCGTTATAACTGTAATTTTTCCCAAAAAAGGTGGAAATTAGTCATTTTTGTGTGATCTACTTTTTTTATACAATTGTATACATGTATTATATACTTTACTTGATAGTCATGTAACGCAGAATCGTATTATTTTGTAATTTGTCTTCATGAACTAAAAGATCTAATAAATCAACTACAATAATCAGGCTAGGTGGCTGATTATCTTTTTCATATCTCATCCAATCTAAAATACTAGTCTTTTGCTGTTGATATTTGATCTCCTCCATATTCATATGTAAAGCACATAAGACAGCTCTAATTTGATGTATTGTATCTATTCGGCTAATAATTGTTTCATGTTAAATATAATAAATGTTATTTATTTTTTTGTTGTTTTACCAAACTTGAATTAAATCCAGCCATTTCCGCTCCTCGGATAGATATCCTTCTTGATTAATTCTCTTTAAAAGTTCTGTCTGAAGTAGCTTATCATCTTTTAGGAACACAAGTGCCCAAGGTCTCGTTACAATCTCCATTCCTTCTCCAAGTTCTAATATTTCTTCTGTTTTCATGTCCTGTGAACTTTGTTCTAATGAATTTATAATCAAATCGAGCAAATTTCTATTCATTATTAGTTTTTCCATCTAGAATAATAATAACTAAAAAAAAAATAAAATAAAATAAAAATACACGCGACTTACTTTATGTAGGATTCATTATTTTCGAATTGAATCAATGATTTAGAAATGGACATGATGTTTATTATTATTATAAGATGCAATATGTTTACGAATATACGCTGATAAATTTAACCTCAGTGGCTGATATTGATGCATGACTGATTTTCCTTCTACTCTTAATTATTCTAGTACAATGCATCTGATTGTAATAAAACTAATAATATAGCAGTTAAATGAAGCCACCGTCCAATCATAGTCGATTTTTTATGTAGAGTTATTTATCTATTAATGTAACCTAGCGATATAATAATATATCTACAGATATTACTTTGGCCTTATTTGCTATGCCCAGCGCTTTTTCTTACAAAAGGTAATCCTGCAAAGAAAGAAAGCCAATCTATTTGTAGTAATTCAAACCCAGTCAGACGGCCGAAAAATCAACACGTAAATATAGATTGAATCTCACTCTTATATTAGTTTTTATATTCATCTTCAACCATCATTAGGTATTAGAAAAGAAAAAAAAAATAGTTATAAGCTCCTCCTTTTTTTATTTTTATTTTATTAAAGAATAGAGTTGTTTTTATATATTCATATACCTATATATATTATTTATTCTAGTTAAAAATAATGGTAAAAAGATTGAGTGAAATTAACAAGACGGCATTTTTTGCTTGGAGTCCAGGACAACAGACTCCCCTTATTGCAGCAGGTACAGCTGCTGGTGCTTTTGATGATTCCTTTTCTAACGCGTCTGAATTGGAATTATTTAAACTTGATATAAAGAACTCTTCATCTAATAATATCGAATCTGTTGGAAAAATTTCTTGCGCTTCAAGGTATATATATATATTTATACATTACAGATGAAAGACTTGTGTGCTAATTAACTCGAAATAGATTCAATAAATTAGTTTGGGGTTATGCTTCTACTGATAAACCTTATGGTATTATCGCTGGTGGTTTAGATAACAATGAATTATGTCTTTGGGATCCCAGTAAGATGATGGACGGTGATAAGTAAATTTGAACTTTTGGATGTTTTTGATAACTTATTCTTTTGATTCTAAAAGCTATCTTTCTATAGTAGTAATGAAGCCAAGATGATGTCCAATTCAACTCATACAGGTGAAATTCGTGGTCTCGATTTTAATAAGTTTCAAAATAATTTATTAGCTTCTGCTGGCAGTAATAATGAAGTCTATATTTGGGATCTTACGAATCCTAATACACCTTATACACCTGGCCCTAAGTCTCAAAAATTAGAGGATATTACAAGTGTTGGCTGGAATGGTCAAGTTCAACATATTTTGGCTACTTCTTCAGCAACAGGCCATACAGTTGTCTGGGATCTTCGTAACCGTAAAGAAGTAATGACTCTCTCTGCTCCTAATATGGGTGGAATTAACGCTAGTCGTAGAAGTATTTCTTCTGTTGTTTGGCATCCCGATGTGGTAAGTTTAGTATTTCACTTTTATAATTTTTATCCTCTAACGATTATATAATGTGTAGGCTACACAATTAGTTACTGCTTCGGAAGATGACTCTAATCCGGTTGTTACTCTTTGGGATCTTCGTCATGCTCATTCGCCCGAAAAAGTTCTTGCTGGACATACAAAGGGCGTTTTGGGTATTTCTTGGTGTCGTCAAGATTCTGATTTGCTAATGTCTTGTGGTAAAGATTGCAAGACACTCATCTGGAACCCTAATTCTGGTGAATTATTAGGAGAATTAACTCAAGACTCTAATTATACTTTCCAAACTGAATGGTGTCCTCGTAATCCTGACCTTTTGGCCTCTGCTTCCTTTGATGGAAAAGTAAGTAAAAGATTGTTAGGTAGAATAAGTAATCCAATGGTGCTCACCTTTCTTTTCTTTTAAAATAATAATAACAGATCAGTGTCTACTCTCTTCAAAATTCTGAGTCTGAGGATAACAAGGCTAAAACTGCAGAAACTGTAAACGAGGATCCATTCTCTGCTGCATTGAATGCATCTACTGCTTCCACTTCTTCATCCACATTTGCTTTAAGACATCCACCTAAATGGCTTCGTTGTCCTGTAGGTGCTTCTTTTGGTTTTGGTGGTAAATTGGTTTCCTTCAACAACAAAGCTAATCATTTAACAAAACAAGCTGTTGCTAATGCACCTCCCGGTCAAGCTTCTGCTCCTCAAATTGTCTCTCGTACTGTGCAAGTAAATACAATCGTTACAGATAAGGAAATGATTCAACGTTCTGATGAGCTTGAAGCTGCTTTAGAGCAACAAAGTGTAGAACAACTTGTTGAAGAACGTATTCAGGGAGCTAAAGAAAAGGACAATAAAGAAAGTTGGGAGGTTATTAAAACGTTATTGGCTGAGAATGCTAGAGAACAGTTAATGAATTATCTCGGATTCCAAAAGGCAGAAATCGTCGCTGCTGTAGAGAAAATAACAGCTAATAAGAAAGGTTTAAATGAGGATAAACCAAAGGAAGAAGAAAAAGAAGAAGCAGCTATTTCTCCAGAATTGACTACTGAGTCAGCTGAAATGGAAGAAACTGAAAAAGACAAAGTTACTAGTTCAGATGAAGCTATTAAACCAGACGAACCTTCTGAAGAAAAACAAGATACTGAGGACGTCCAAGAAGAATCTGGTGATAAAGCTGAAGAACCTAAGCTCGATGAAACTACTACTGATAATTCTGCTTCAAATCTCTTTGGTGATGATAATGGCGATAACTTCTTTATTCAAAGTGATAACACTCAAGCTCCTGTTGAAGAAAATACAGATAATCGCGATACTGCTGCTGCTGTTACTAAGATTCTTGGCTCAGCTATTAAACATGAACCTCTTCAACTTTATTCTGAAGGTAGCTCAGAAACAGATTCTTTAATTACGCGTGCTGTTGTATTGGGTGATTTTGAATCTGCTGTTAACCTTTGTCTTTCCACTGAAAGATTTTCAGATGCCTTATTGTTTGCTATTTGTGGTGGAGGAGACCTTTTAGCACGTACTCAACAAGCTTACTTTAAGCATCAATCTCGAACTACATCTTACTTACGTTTGCTAGAAAGCATCATTGATGAAGATTTACAATCTATTGTTGCAAGTGTGTCATTGGAAGAATGGACCTCTGTCATTGTTGTTCTATGTACATTTGCCAAGGCTGAGGACTTCAAGCCTCTTTGTGAAGCCCTAGGTGCTCGTCTTGAAGAAGGATGGAATAATAGTGAAACTGAAAGCGCTAAGGAATTCAGACGCCATGCTACTCTTTGTTATCTTGCTGCTGGTAATATTGAGAAGATTGCTCGTATTTGGATTGCCGAACAAGAAGAGGAGGTTGAAAAGACTGAATCTGAAAGTATAAAAACAGCAAGCCTCCAAGATTTGATTGAAAAGATTACTATTTTCCGTAAGGTAATCGCTTTTGAAGACCCCGCTCTCTTTGAAACAAATGAAAACAAGTTACCTTATGAATTCCCTCTTGCTCCTCTTTACGATAAATATTGCGAATATGCTGAACTTTTAGCCTCTCAGGGTAAATTAACCACAGCTTTAAGTTATTTAAGCTTGACACCTATTGTTTATCGCAAGGCAGCTTTCGATAAGCTCTCAATTATTCGTGATCGTATCTATCAAGCTTGTCCCGTAAGTGTTACTAGTCAATACACTCAGCCTGCTGTACCTTTTGAAAAGCAATCGATTGATGCAAAGGTCACAGAAGCTCAAGCTCAAACTCAAGCTCAACCCCAGACACAGTCATTCCAACAATCTTACCAACCTTATCAACCTACTGCTGTCAGTGCAAATCCTCCTCCCCCTTCTGTTCAACCCACTTACGGAGCAGTACGTTCACCTTTAGTGTCTAATACTTATACACCTGTAGTTAATAATTATACACCTGCTACTAATACCTATACACCCGCAGCTCCACCTGCTTCTAATTATGCACCTTCAACTGTGCCCACTTCTTCTACTACTTATGCACCACCCACTGCAACTGGAGCTCCTACAACAGCATATCAGCCTCAAACTACGCCCACGAACGCCACTAGCCCATCTTATGGTTATAACCAGCCTGCAAATAACTTTAATGCTGGCTATAATAATGTTTCCAGTGGTTATCCTCCTGCGGCTAATACATATGGCGGAGAACAATATAGTAATTCTAGTTATAATGCAACACGCACTACTATTCCTCCCCCTCCTCCACCTATTGGTGGTGTCGCTCCTACACCTAGATCTATGTCTCAAGAGTCTACTAGTACACCCATTAAGAAGGCAGAAGGTGCTTGGAATGATCCACCTATGAATATTGCCTCTAAAAAAATTAGAAGTCCCAAGATTGGTTCATCTCCAGCAAAGCGTGTAACTTCACCTTTCCCCAATCAACCTGCAGCAGCAGCTTTTGTTAACCCTACTCAGCAATCTGCAAGAATGCCACCACCTCCTCAAGGAACTATCCCTCCCCCTCCTATGAGCCGTGGCCCTCCCCCTCCTATGGGCCCTCCTCGTGGTGGTATGCCTCCTATGCAACAACAACAACAACGTCCCATGGCAATGGGCCATCAACAACCTATCACTCAAATGGCCCCTCCTATGGGCATGGCACAAGCACCCCCTCCTCGTGCAAATCCACTCCCTCCTCCACCTATGAATGCAGCTGCTCCAGTTTCATTAGCTAAAAGAGGACCACCTCCACAAGGCGGTTATTATCAACAAAAATAAATAAAAATTATAAACATTATACTTTATTATCATAAATAAATTTAAGAATAAGCGTCTTCTCCATCACCATCATCATCATCATCTCCTTCACCGTTATCAAAGTAAGTTTCAACATAATCATTTTCATCAAATAATTCTTCTTCATCTTCATATTCCTCCTCATTTTCTCCCTCTTCCTCTTCCTTTTCTTTATTTTCATCATTGTCTTCTTCATCATCCTTGACTTCAGCATCCAATAATGCTTGTATTTGACCATATTCGTCAATTGCTGTACGAGCTTTTTGTTCTAAAAAAAAAAAAAGTAAATAGATCTATACATACATTTACACATATACAAGAAAAAAAAAAGGGGGAAGGAAATAATACTTTTTTTACGTCTAGGATCTAAAATTGTTTGAAGTTCTTCGGGAAAGAAGTCCAGATCTAAATAAGAAAGATTAATCGTGTTACATTGTTTTTTTTTAAAAAAAAAAATGCAAGCAGTTGTATGATTTTACTTGTTTCAATATCTCTTAGACTACGTTTCTCTACTTGTACTTTATATTTATCTGAATATCTTTCTATATCTGGTGGTGGTGGTGCTGGTGTTAAATGAAACGGTGATTCCTTTACCATTGCTAAATATTCTTTTTTTAATTTCCATTCTTGAACTTCATTTGATGTTGGTTTACGAGGAATAGGTACATCCATTTCCTATCATTCCCTCCCCACACACACAAAAAAAAATTAGGACAAATAAATATAAATTCTTTTTCTTTTTTTTTTAAATTTATTATTATAACTTACAGGAAACAAAGCAGTATTCACATTAAAAAGATTACCTGATCCAAGATCTTTTAAAAGGTCAAAGGACACTAATTGCATCGCACCACTTTGGGCTCCTCCTCCACCACCTCCACGACCAAATCCACCACCTCGTCCTCCACGAGACATATTATATGTATGATCTTTATTAAGGAGAAAAAAAAGAAAGAAAAAAGAAAGGAGAGAGAGAGTATTTGGGTATGTATGTGTGTCTCTTTTTTTTTTTTTTTTTTTGACATTTAAAAGAATGTGACAGCATTTTATTAACATCGCCGCCGTCTCATACTACTTAACATTTTTTTTTTTTTTATAAAGCGACCTATGAGCACATAATATCTTTGTTATATTGGATTGCCCAGACCAGTTCAAATTATATGAAAAAAAAAAAGTATCTAAAAACCCTCTTACGGGACAAGAGGTAAAAAGGTAAAGGAAAGGTGATACTACTACTACTACTACAGTATTTTCGGTTGAGTTTGGGACGTTTTTAAAATTTTTTTGGGAAATTATGAAAATCATTTTTAGATCTCATTTAATTTTTTTTTTGAGACATAAAATAAATTACATTTAGACCATACTGTAAAAATTAAGACTTTAGTTTTTAAACGTTTCCTTTCTTTTTTTTTTGAAACTTCATACTAAATGGGCTACGTTAAGTACAACACAGAAACTAAACTCTTGCTAAGAGCACAATAACATGAGATGAAAGTTGATAACTATGAGCTTGATTTTGGTATATTGAATAATTTAATTCATTATGAATCTTTAAATCAACAAGTAATCGAACCTCAACCAATGGAAGACTTAGTAGAGGAAATTACAGTTGACATGAGTAAAACCAAGCTCAGTTCGAGGAAATATAAAAAAGTATGGAGCAGACCAGATAGAAAGATTCGTCAAATTGCTCTAAAAAGAGGGATTATCTGTCCCTAAAGCGGCTACGGTATGCGGCATATCTCGTTCAGGTGCTTATAGACTTTTGGACGAGTTTAATAGTGGTGACGGGCACGTACGAATATAAAATAGGTTAAATATTTTTATGTATTAATAAAAGTTGATAATTTATATATATATAATGGTTGACACTTGGGTATAAGTAGGGAATATATCATAACATAACTGTGGTGGCATATGTGATCATATTGATGGAAGCATAGGAATCATTTGGCATAAATCATTCTTGCATACAATTAAAAAGAGAGTGTTTTTCATAAAGAGTCTTGGCGTGTTAATTAAGGATAGGAGGTGGGGGAGGATGAAAAGAGATATTTAGGCCAGTCGCCATCATAAGGGAGATCTTTTTGTGGTAGTGGTGGTGGAGACCACGAGCCTCAAGCCCAATCCATATACTTGTCTTTGCCTTTTTCACTATAGGTAGATCCACCATCACTCAAGTCGTCATCATACGGTGATCGTTGATTGTTCAGTTGCGCCTTCAACGACTTTCTACGCGCCACCTCTTCGTCCTCTATGGAAGAGTGGATGACTGCCAAAGCTGCAGTAGAATCCTATAACCATATATTAATATATGAACACAACAAAAGAGCATCCATAACTTTACCTTGAGATTGTACAACCTCTTCAAAACTACACGCGCATGGCGAAGCTCATGGCCTGACGTGGGCAGTCTCAACGACCCAACTTTTATTGCCACATATAGGCCGTTGTCCATTAAACATAAAGAGTTTATCTGGCCTTCTACCTGGGCTATTTGTACGGAGTACGATCTCAAGTTTCTTTTAGTTCCCTTCTTGATGAGTGGGCTCCTGTAGAACTTGTCTGCAATTGTCTTGGCTTCGCGAAGAATCTTTCTGTAATCGTTGAAGATCTTGTTATCGGCCATATTGTTTGAGAACTCGAAGTTCAGCAAGTCAACTATCTTCCCACTTACTGACCTGGTACAAACTCTCAGGTCGACCTTATTGCCAATGGTGCTTGTTTTCGTGTTGTCATTATTTTTTTTTTTTTTTTTTTTTGGATTCGGATGAATCAGCAGAGGCTGATTCTCCCCTAAAAAGATGATATATTAGTAAAGTTTAATACATAAATGCTTTTAAATACTGTATTTGACTACCATCTGCAGAACATCGTTGAATCGTTGAACACCGCAGACAAAATTGGAGACCAAACGTTGACAACGTAATCCTCCTCCATGTACATTTTGTTTTTAACACCCAAATTCAAGATATTCTTGTTGTGGTGAATGGTTGACAAGCTACAGCCGACGGATACAATAAAAGATTAGATTAAATTTTTTTACATATATTACATTATAACATACATGGAAGAGTAAACTTTGAAGTATTCTTCATTTTCACTAAAAGCATACTTCGCTTGCATCTCCAAAGACTTCACATAGGCAAACTTTATATTGGTTTTTGCCAACTATGCTTTAAACACATGTTAATATCGACTATACTCTTACGGTTATTAAAGCGCTTACTGTTTCAATTTCCTTTAGCTCGAAAGAAATATCACTTGGGAGCGGCTTCCATGATTTCTTTTTGTTCCAAAGGTCGTTCAAAGTTTTCCACCAATCTTCAGTGAAAAATGATTTCTGTGAATTTTTGCCTTCGTTGTTATCAGACAAATCAAGAATGCTGTTGAAGCCATTACTGTTTTTAAAGGAACATGAGTAATTGTGAGGATTTACCACAGTGATTTTTTTTTTAAAAAAAAATACCTAATTGTGTTTTTCGATGCATTATCAAATTTGTGATATGCTTTGTCAAGATATATAGAGTTGGCCTTTTCTTTAATAATTGAAGCCATTAATTGTGTGAAGCCTTCGAGTATAGTATCCTTCTCAGCTGGTACGCTCTACCATTTATATTAGTATATATCATCATATCTTGCACGTTATATATACTCACCTTTTTTTGTCTTAACACGTTTGCTTCTTCTTTTTTTTATTAACCTAAAAATGTAGAAAAAATAGGATTACTACATAAAAAAATGGACACATAACCAATGAGATCAAAAATATCTACTCTACATACAGTAGTTTCTAAGCTCTCGACAGTATTGTATTGTATGTTGTAACTATTACGATATGTTAGAGGTTATAGCATCTTTCTAGAAAACTTTGACTCACTTGTTTATAGTTGCAATGCGCTTAGCATTAATATTGTTTGTTAACATTTAAATGATGTATTGAGGGAAAAAGTGCTGCTCAATTGATAGTAACCTGATTTTTAAAAAGGGGTTTTCCAGAGACATATACTCATTTACAAAAGGAGGTCTGTTTATACATAAAAAAGGAAATATTAAATTAATGAAAAGGATGTATCTTCTTATCTTATGCAAAGACGCTGTCTTAAAAGATAAATGCAACTAAGAAAATAATTCATATGTTGTACTGTAGTTGATACAAATAGGGTAGCAAGCTCATTTGACTTCGAAGCTATGTTTACAGCAATTCAGGGAGTAATAATACTGCTTACTGTTGCCTTATTACACGTAATTATTTAAAAAAGCTTTAATAATTATTGATGAATACTGTGTTATTGCTTTTTATTCCGGCTAATTTGTATGATGGCACGTCTTTGATACTTATGTTACTGATCTAACTAGTTTGGCAGCGCAAAGAATAAATTTAAACTATGGGCTTTATATATTTTTGACTTTGTATTTTAATCTGCTAATTAATCAGTATGGAATACTTGGGTATATGCTTGTGTGCAAGCAATTGTAACTTCAAGAAGTTTGCTATATCGTATGCACATATGTATACGTATATATATATATATATATATATTAGTACTGTGGAAATGAATTGAGTTTTGGTTTTACAACTTTCTTTAAAGAGAACAAGTTCTCGTGATACGCGCTAGTATACTTAATATCCATGACTAATTGAAGCGATCGGTCAGATTTAATTTATAATAACTCATCTGCTCAAATCTTTTAGACGTTCTTTCTTCCATAGGCTCTAGGTTTTATTTTCAATTTCGAAGAGGGAAATATGGGATCAGAGCAAGAATTGAAGGTTCAGACTTAATTTGCAATTTGAAAGACGCTGTTAAGGAAAACGTTATCCAGATATTAGTTGGTGTGCATGATGGGGTCGTCCGCCAAAAATTTGACGAATGGATTGGTTTTGACAGTTTTCAAGACAGTGTATATCTCGTAGGTTGAAGGTTGTGATTACTAGGCCATATTCTAATTGCGGTCGAACTATTTGGGCGTAAAAAACGAGCTGAAAGAAGGTAGTCAAAACCATTTTTATTTACACCAACGGTATTAAGCTGTCTCATCGTTCCAAGTTCTTTATTGATGTTTTGTTGTAAAAGTGCTGATTTATGTACAACACCACTAGGTTTAATAGGGACACCGACGTACGGGAAGGAATCTTTATTATTGTAGAGGTAGAGATCGTATTTTTGAGGTGTAGGATTGAAGTTCACAATGACGCATTTTTTAGGGTTTCCATCTGTATCCTAAATAAAGGCTGTGTTATCGCACATTATACAGTTGTTTTCTTTTCTCAACCGGAACCCACTCTTCATGATCGAAGATTAATATGATATTAACCTATCATGAGCAATAAAGAGCGATCGATTTAACTGTAATCTTAAAAGCCTATTTCATGCAATTGAGTTCATCATCAGTCAAGAGCTATTTTTATTCTGAATTTCTTAGCAATTGTATAATAAAACAAAGTATTTATACAATAAAACAATAGATGTATATAAATATTTATTTTTAAAAAAAAAGTCTTACAGAACATATATGCTGAAATTTATAATTATATTATGTATGTATACAAATATATATTTATATTAATTATAATCTAGATTTCTTTGACTTTTGCATCCATGCAAAATCTAACTTTTGTCTTCCTCCGGGTGCAATTAATACGTTAATAAGACATGTCTGGTCCTTAGAAGCTAAAGCTTCCTCAAGTGCCTTTGCTAACTCAACACGGTTTTTCACTAACCAACCTTTACCTCCACAAGCCTCGGAAATTAAGTCATATCTTACTTCAGGAGAAAGAGCAGTAGTAGGCAAAGTACCTTCCTTTTGTGAGGTCTGATAGTCATCATCTTCTAATCCGTGATAGATACCGTTGTTATTAATAACAATAATTACAACAGGCAAACAAGAGCGAATGGCTGTTTCTATTTCCATAGCAGAAAAACCAAAAGCAGAATCACCCACAATACTTACAACTCGCTTTTTATTTTCTTGAGCTGAATAATACACTTGAGCACCAATAGTATATCCCATACCAACTCCCATTGTTGCGCCTGTACCAGCATCTAAACGTTGTCTTGGGTGATTTACATCAAAATAAGATCGAGCAATATCCATCGTGTTTGCACCTTCGCTTACATAAACAATGTCATCCTCAGGAAGACAATTTTTAATAACTGTAAAAGCGGCCTGATAGGTTAAAACAGCATCATCGGAGCCATTTGCACCTGCTGCCTTTAACTTTTCAACGTTTTGTTTTACTTTATCGAGCAGTCCAGAGACATAAGTTGATTCTATATTAGGGAGCTTACCATCAAGTGCGCGGGTTAACTGAGGTACAACAAGTTGAATATCTCCCAAAAGATGTAACGTGTCATGACAGTTGTTTCCTAACTCTTCAGGTGCAATATCAATTTGAATAAACTTCACATCCTTGTTCCAACGAGGTGATTGACCATAATGCAATATCCAGTTGAGACGAGCTCCAATTAAAAGCACAACATCAGCTTCTTTTAAAACTTTAGAACGAGCTGCTGATACACATAATGGATGATCATCACGAACGACTCCTTTACCCATTGGTGTTGGTAAAAACGGTACTTGTACTTTATCAATAAATTCACGAACCTCATTTTCAGCACGAGCATAAGCAGCACTATATACATATTATAAATAAATAAATGAATATATATATATATATATCGTATATATTGTATATATTTTCAAGAAAAAAAAAGTGTATAACACATGTCTACTTTACCCTTTACCAACGACGATTAAAGGATGTTGAGCATTCTTCAATAAGGAGATCGCGTTATCAATATCCAATTGGCTAGCCATTGACTTTGGAGCATTAGGAATACGAGGAAGTTGAATAGAATCATATAATTCTTTGTTACGAATAGGATATTGAACATAATCAGCAGGTAAATCAACATATGCAGGGCCAGGTCTACCATACAAAGCTGCTCTAAAGGCCTTTTCGATTGTAGATGGCAATTGTTCAATAGATGTAGATCTTGCACTATACTTACAATAAGGACGTGTAGCTTCTACTTGGTCTAATTCTTGAAATGCGCCCTTGTCAACTTGGTCAGATTCACACGATCCCGATAAAAGGATTAATGGCCAACAATTAAGTTTGGAATTAAGCACACCAGCCAAAGCATGAATAACACCTGGACCACCTACAGTTAAACAAACGCCTGGATAACCACTAAGATAACCATAAACAGAGGCTGCATAGGCAGCAGATTGTTCATTTCGGAACCCAATGAAACGAATTCCTGCAGCAACACAAGCTTCAGCTACTTCAACAATGGGAATACCGACAATACCAAAAACAACTTCAACACCTTGACTTTTTAAAGTCCTTGCAATAAGCTCTGCTCCTGAAGCAATCACAACATCTGATTCACTCATTATTACTAATTAACTATAATTTTGTATTTACAAATAAAAAAAAAAAATAATAATAATATTTAATTTTACCTTTTTTATACTTTTGTCGCAGTATAAAATATAAAACTTTGAATTCGTTAATTTTAGCAAAAAAAAAAAAAAGGTCCATTTGTTTTTCTCTTAGTGTTTTACTCAGTTTAAAGAAATTAGTAATCCTTGTTGTTTTTTGTTTAAAATGTATATGCATATATAACACAACTAAATGGAAAGTATATTATTTTATTAGAATCAAATAAATGAACTTGATATTCTCTATGCATATAAAATTACTTGCAATGATTTCAAATCAGCTTATGTAATATAAGGGAAAAAACACTTTTATATACAATTATATATGAATTACAGTAAAGTACGGTGTACATATAATCTATCAAAAGAACTTTTCATTATACAAAATACTTTTCCATCTAGAAGATGACATTAATAAAGGCCTTCCTTAGTTAAAAAAAAAAGCGTAATAGCTCTGCCTTTTTTTCATTATTAAAAAACTTTCTTAAAATAGTTCACTGGGTTTTAAAAGATGAATTTATGCGTATTTATTTGATGGGTAATAGACACCCCAAAACTTATTTTTTTGTAGACTTGGTCCCAATCAAGATCTGATACTGAGTAAAAGAATCAAGATTATAAAGATTAACATTGACTATTTTGAATTGTTCAAAAGTTATTTTTAGCAATCGACAAATATAAGATTAAAGCTATAACAAATTCCTTAATAACAGTCTGTCTTTTTTACTACAGCTCAAATATAAGGAATAAATAAATGAATATAAAATAAGAAGTCATATTAACTAATTAAAAAAAAAAAGAATATCGATTTATGAATAAATTTAACCCCATGTGTGCAGTTATTTATTATGTAGGATAGCAAACTCCAATTTTTGTAAACGAGAGTGCCAGTCAAAATCCAAATAATAATATACTTTTATTTGTTTATTTTATGAAATATCATTCCATAAAAGTACACATGCCCGTACATTTTATATGATGGCAAGAAATATGAGCTAGCTTAAAATCTGAAGTCTCTTACTCCTAATCCTCTTTATTGATTCATTAAATGACTTGTAGTAGTCTTACATTTCAAAATTGACACTATTTGGATGGTTTGTTTATTACTATTATTAGTATTAGTAAGGTAAGGTAAGGTAAGATTACAAATAAAATTAATATTTTTATTTGGGGGCTACTAAACTTGAATTCAGCTTATCAACCATTATAGTTTAAGGCTCATTGTCCCAAAAGAGTGAGGGAAAAAAAGGCATTATTACCGATTCATTATCAAGTTGTATAGAGTCTCCTGGATCTCCAGCAGATAAGCCATTATTAAGTATGTCGTGTACTATTCAATAGTAATACTGGACTATAAGCACCTTCTTATTAGAGGTCGTGGATTGTACTCTTTGGCTTTCTTACTCTGCTAAAAAAAAAAGATATAAATTCCTATAAAGGGTAATGTTATAATAGTAATTAACTAGACTTTCTATAGTCAACAACAACACAATCTGCCAGGGAAATAGTTTAATTGCTGAATAAAACTTGGTGATCTGCTTTTTTTTTTCTTTCTTTCTTTCGTTATGGCAATTTTTAGAAAAAGTCATCGAATAGCAAGAAGCATCGTACATAATAAAAGATAGCGGTAGTTTCTCATTAAATGTATGCTCACATCATGTGCATTAATTTTAGTTAATTTATAGATTTTCCTTTAATTAATACATATAAGGAGAAGAATTTACTGAAGGAGCAATTATCCTTTATGAAGTCAATGCTCATACAAGAGCAATATATAATCGACAAGAACCTCAAAACAATGATAACCTTCATTAATACCGCACTAAAAGACTGCATCTGACAGTATCGTTTTCCAAAAACGTGTTGTTACGTTTTACAAGTGATGTCAAATGGCAACCTCTTTTGTTTACATGGTAACCTTCAAGAATACGTTTCTTGTATTAAGTGTCGTTGTACCATCCGTAGATACGATACTGAGGAGTAAATGGATTGTCTTTGTGGAAAATTTTGTAATAAAAAATTAAGATTCCTTCGTAAAGACTGAGATATTCCAACAACTTCTTTTCAATACCGTAAGAAAATTTCCCTTTGAGAAAATTGTGTTGATAAAAATCACTAGTTGGAAAACCAAAGTTAGTTTGTTTCCAAATAAAATAATGATGGCAAGGCTTGATATAGCTTCAAGTTATACCCTGAAGATGGACAGTTTTTTGTACAGCAATCAGATTATGAATGTTCATTATGAATGTTGACTAGTTTTAGTCTTATTCTGACAATGTACATTCTAGTGATGCTGAATTTATTCAACCGTACATAACTTACCTCGAGAGGAAAGAAACTTTAGGGAAAATATACAATAATCTTTTTAATATTTATACACTGTGCTATTATAGTCTTTCACCACTTTTGTTAATGAAAGAATTATACGCTTAATTATTAAATATTATTAGAGAAGCAACTTTATTATAGAACACGATTTTATTAATTTTTTTTTTTCATTTTTATTGATATTATAAAAAAAAGATGCTTTTCTTAGTTCTCAAATCTCTTTAGAAGAGACTTGATACTAACAGGATTAACCACGAGAAGGTGAAAGCATATCTAATCCCAAAAATAAGTTCTATAAACCAATACCCATGTTGGGCTTTTTTTTTTTTCTTCTTCTCCCTCTAAATTTCTACTTGAAAGATAAACGTCCAATTTCAACTAGTAGACACTTGGCAAAGTACCAACCTGACCCAAGCCTTGCTAGAAGAAAAAGATAGAATTCCTCACTTCCTACCCCAATAAAAAATACAGTTGGATGTAAGTTTCACTGGAAGCCGGGCTAAACATTCTGACCTGTAGCGTGGCGAAGTGGAAGGAATCCAGATACATGAAGTGCACGACCTGACTATTGTTTACCTGAGAATGTCCCTTCTTTGACCCCTAGCATCTACTTTTGACTTAACAGTAAATACAAGTTGGGATTCTTCAACTAAATAAATAGATGAAAAAACCACGATCAGAAACGTAAGCTGTGCATCCTTATCTATTTTTATTTTATAAACAGCAACTAGATAAAAATAAAAAGAAGGAAAAACCTCCAAAAAGAAAAACAGAAAAACTAAACCTTGAGATAAGCCCTTTCAATGGTGCAGACAAAGAGTACGCTAATCTCCCTAAAAAAGGAACAGGTTTACAATTTCCAACCCCAAGTATCCTTTTTATTTCCCTCCTCCTTTGGAAATAAATCAAACTTGAGCAGTCAAAATTCGATAAGGTCCCATCAATTATCTAAGGTTGCAATAACCCAAGGTGAAGGTGGATATGCATGTAGTAACCAAAAGAGAGTCTAGGCCTCTCCTTTAGCCATGTTATAAACGGACAGTTCTACAAACTCAAGTAAGCCAAGCTATGTGACTTGAGCACACTTCATAACCCTGACAATGTCTACCCATAGTTTCAAGTAAAAATAAAGAAGAATAGGAAAAATAAAAAAAAGCTAAAGAAAAGAAAAGAGAAAAAAAGGGAAAAAAAAACGAAAAAATGTACTTTTTTTTATAGTAAAATTCAGGAGAAAAAAAAATAAACGAAAAGAAGGAGAAGTTATTAAAGTTTAATCTTAGCAAATTTTTTTTTGTTTTTAATTTACTTTGCGTTAAATCTTCTCTCCTGCCTTTCTACTTGTCTTTTTTTTTTCTCTCTTCTTTTTAATATTTTAGAGATAAGTTTTGCCTTTCATTTGAATATAGTAAAGCATTACTATTTTCTTTGAAAGTAAGTAAGAAAGTAAGAAAGTAAAAAAAAGAAAAGAAGTTTGTTATGCATATTCATGTGAATATATTGAGCATTCTTATAAAGAAATTAAGCCAAAACTAGTTAAATGCAGTTACACGACAGAGCATGATGTTCATACATTCTCCAAAAGAATAAGATTAGATAAGCTATCAATAATATAAAAAATGCTATTTTATACAGCAGTTTTATTTTTATTTTTTAGATACACACACACAATCTAGACACTTTCAATTTTACAAGATGTTCCTTCTTAGCTTTGTTGTGGAATGCTTTTTTTCAATTGTACAAGATATTCTTGGCAGTTTATGCATTTTAAATAGTTAGGATGTAAGCTTTCTTATTACTGTATTATGACAATTGAGCTTTTTTTTATGATGATCATGATAATAAGGCTCTTTAGATTTTGATCAGTTTGAAAGGAATAATGGCTTTAAAGAGAAGAAAGAGATAGAGTTTCAAAGAGTGTACAAAAGATATGATACCTTTTATTATTATATGTTCAGGCTTATAGTTTGCCCTGTATTATGTAATCCATCTTTTATAATATTACTTGTACTTATATCCAGAGCTTGTTCTATAGCAAAATTATCAAATGTCTATATAAAGAGCCTCACTAAAAAATTTTAATAAAATTACAAAAAAATCTTTGTGACGATACGCTTTTCCTAAAACGAAATTTCTTTTGCGACAATTATTTGTTAATTGGCGACAATATCCATCGTACTGGTTGTATATTTTTTTTTTCTTAGGGTTGTGGCACCATAGTTCTGATTTCTAGTCTAGTAAAGGCAGGTCACTAAAATTTACTGTAGACCAATCATTAAAAAAACCAAAATCAATGATTCAGAGATAAATATGTTCAAGGAGCAGACTTGAAAATATCTACCGATAAAAAGTAAATATATATGAAAACACCTTTGTATTTTATACTAAATCTAGCCTTTATTTTATTTTAAAAATAATTATTTCTTTGTTTAATTTGCTATAATTTTTTAATTTTGAGTGGCAATGTACTTTTTTTCTATTTTATACAACGCAGAATGAGTCAACGTCAAACGTGACTGATTTTTTGTATTTTACATTTTTGATAAACCTATGGGCATTGCTTTAAAGCAGATAAAACCCTTTTTTTTTCTATTATATAAAAAATTATCTTATCTATTTATTATTTTATTTTTTATAAATGAGCACATTTGGCAAGCTTTTCCGTGTTACAACTTATGGTGAATCGCATTGCAAAGGTGTAGGCGCCATCATCGATGGTGTTCCACCTGGAATGGAATTAACCGAAGCTGATATTCAACCTCAACTAACTCGTAGAAGACCTGGTCAGAATAAGTTGACAACACCTGTAAATTATAGTTCAAATAATATTAAATTATTATTTATTAATAAGATCTGTATTTTTTATTATTATTATTAGCGTGATGAAAAGGATAAAGTGACTATTTTATCTGGTACTGAATTTGGAATAACCTTAGGTACACCTATTGGTATTCAGGTGCCTAACTTGGATCAAAGACCTCATGATTATAGCGAAACCGATGTTTATCCTCGACCTTCTCATGCTGATTATACTTACCTTCAAAAATATGGGCTTAAGGCCTCTAGTGGTGGTGGAAGAGCCTCTGCCCGTGAGACAATTGGTCGTGTAGCGGCTGGTGCAATTGCAGAGAAATATTTACGTTTAGCTTATGGTGTTGAAATTGTTGCTTTTGCATCTAGTGTTGGTAAGGTAGCAATGCCTTTTATTAGTGAACTTGAAAATGCTGATACCCCCGAGCCTGAATTGATCGAATTTATGAATACAATCAAACGTACTGATGTTGATGCTGATATTTCTCGCTGTCCTCATCCTCCTACGGCCGAAGCTATGAAGGCATTAATTGCTCAAAAAGCTCATGAAAGAGATTCTGTGGGCGGTACTGTAACATGTGTCATTCGTAATTGTCCAGTTGGTTTGGGTGAACCATGTTTTGATAAACTAGAAGCTATCTTAGCACATGCTATGTTATCTATCCCAGCTACAAAAGGATTTGAATTTGGTTCTGGTTTTAATGGCACCAGAATGTCTGGACATGAACATAATGACCCTTTTGTATTGAAAGAGAATGGAAAGATGGGCACGCTTACTAATAACTCAGGCGGTATTCAAGGAGGTATTAGTAATGGTGAAAATATTTATTTCCGTGTTGCTTTCAAACCTGCAGCTACTATCTCTCAAGATCAAACCACAGCTAGTTATGATGGTGTCACTGGTGTCTTAACTGCTAGAGGCCGACATGATCCTTGTGTTGTTTCTCGTGCTGTGCCTATTGTTGAATCTATGGCTGCTATTGTAATAATGGAGTAAGTTAAATTTTATATCATTTAAGAAGTTATGTTTAATAATTAATGGTTATTATTACTATTATAAATAGTGCTGTTTTACAACAAGAGTCTCGTCGTGCTGCTTTATCGCGATTACCTAAAGTTGATATTAATCCTGCTTTATTAGGCCAGCCTCCTAAGAAGGAATAAAGCCGAGAAAAAAGAAATAGAAACGAAGAGGTCATTTAAAATCAACTAAATATATAGATTTCCTTTTTACTTTGTAGAATAGTCATAATAGTACATATTTCATTATATTAAACATTGTGTTTGCATAATACAGGAATATTTTTTCTTCACTTTTAAGCTGTCCAGATTAATTTAACAATGCACATATAAATATTTAACTGACATAAATAGTATATGTTGGTAGATTGAAAATGGCTTAATTGTTTAATTCTTCAACCACACACGCACTCTCTTTTTTTTTTCTTATAATTGTCTCTAAAACAAAGTTTGTGCCATTCATTTCTTCTATGAGTTCATAGGCTCTGTGCTCTTTCTTATTATAAAGACGATCTTGATCATCTTTAGATGTTAGTCGTAGATAGCTTTTCTCTGTTGATTATTATATAGCCAACACAGAGTCCTGATGCTATTATAGCTCCTCAGTTCCCATTATAAAGTCAACATAATTACTGCATTTCCTTATTAAAGGTGTGTAAAGGCGTCAACTGCAAAGGATGTCTAATAATAAGGAAGTCATAAAGCAGAAATATTGAATGGTATTATATAATGTTATTTATTAGATCTATATTGTATCTTATAATTAAATTAGGGATGATGATAATAAAAACAAAGACAGTAATATTATTGTTTAAATCCTTAGCTTATTTATTTATTATATATACAATGCTTTTTAACTCAATTTTTAATAAATCGTCGGCTATAATCAAGATTAAGACATTTGATTATTATATATTCTAGTTTTCACATATCTTGTTATTTATTATTTTAAAGTACATTCTTTTTCTTTTTGTCTAGCTGTTTATCTTCCACAGTTGATAACATATCTTCATACGATTTCCAACCTAATGACTGACTTAATGCTTGGTTTAATGCATTAGGATCAGCTAAACCCTTTGTACGACCCATGACTCGGCCAATAAACCATTTGAACAGCTTTAAATCACCATTTTGAATTAGTTTCACCTAATATTTATATAAAGATGATTAACTGACATATTAATGTATATATGCGATTAATTTACTTTATCATCATGTTTAGAAGTTAATTCTTCACACAGAGTTTTTAACTGACTTATATCAGAAATTTTAAGCAATCCTTTTTCTTTAACTATGTCCATTGGGTCCGAGGGGTTTTTTAACATTAATTTCATAATTACTTTACCAGTGTTGCCTACTTGACTAATGAATATGATATTCTCTAACATAGTTTACACTAATTACCTGTAATTGTTCCATTCTGAACAAGATCGATTAAATTACCAAATCGCTGAATAGAGATAGGATTTTCTTGAAATGATAAACCTTGGGATGATAATGCTCCAGAAAGTTCGTTTAATGTCCTATAAATCTAGTTTAAACAAAAAATCATTACACTTATAATTCAAATATATACCATACCAATTAGCTACAATTTTAGGATTTCGACCCTGACACACCTTAGCAAATAGAGTTAGAAGATATTCTAATTAACTTTAATATTATAATACTTTTTCAAAATAGTCGACACATTTATATTCATGTAAGAGTAGATTCGCATTTAAAAGGTTAAGATCATATTGTTTTATAATTCTTTCTAAACATATATCTGGTAATTCTGGTAACTTGGCTGCTATATTGTCAATGTATGTCTATCAATATTATATATGAGCTAGTTGTTTTTTTTTTTTTTGGTATCTATCATATATTTATATGCATAATAATTGTACCTGAGATAAAATTAGAGGGGGCAAATCTGGCTCAGGCATATATCTATAATCTGGCGCGGTTTCTTTATCTCTTAATTTAAATGTTGTATCTTTTTCTTCATCATATCGCCTAGTTTCCACATATACTTTCCCCCCTTTTTCCAACACTTCTATTTGTCTTCGAACTTCTGCATCTATTGCCATTGACAGGATACGAATTCTGTTCAAGTTTTTCAATTCACATCGAGTACCAAAATGTTTGTCTCCTTTTCGTCTTACAGATACATTCACATCACAGCGCATTGATCCTTCCTCTAAATTTGCCTTAGAGGATCCTATCCATTGAAGAATATTTTGAAGTTTTTTAACTAACAAACCTGCTTCATAAGACGACCTTGTAAAAAAAAAAGAGAAATAAATGTAAATTTTATTTTATGATTTTATTTTACTTTACTTTATACCTAATATCAGGTTGTGTTACAATTTCCATAAGACCAGTACCGGCTCTATTTAAGTCGAGTAATGTTTCCCCTGGTCGCATATCATGAAAACTTTTACCAGTATCTTGCTCAATTTGTAACTGATGAATACCAATTTTGACAGGTGAAGATATGCCATCATTTTCGGTTAATAAAATGAAGCCCCCCTTTGATATCGGCTCTATAAAAAAAAAAAAGAAAGAAAAAGTGAATAATCACTCTATAAATTATGCAACATTATTTTATTTTATTTTTAACCTCGTTGTTGTGTAATTTGATAACCTTGTGGTAAGTCAGGATAAAAATAATGTTTGCGTTCAAATAGTGATCTCTTTTGTACTTGACCTTGTAATGCTAAAGCTGTCTTTACTGCTAATTCAATAGCATGATTATTTAATCTCTAATTTATAATCATCAGTACGGAATCTATTTTATAAAACAGTTTACATTACAGGCTGTACACCTGGAAATGCCGCATCAATAGCCGATACATGTGTATTCACCATGTCATTATATGATGTCGAAGAATCTAATAACCATATAACGAAAAAAAAAGGGGGGGAAACAACTTAATAAAAAACAATCTGGTAGAGTAGATCTTTATATACCTGAGAATAGTTTTGTTTTTGTATTCAACTGTGCGTGAACTTCGATGCCAATAATAGCCTCCCATCCTTCTTTTATACATGAAGTTGTTAATAGTCTTTTAAAGATATATCTTTGAGGGCCTTTTAATGTTGATGATAGCCGAAACATGTAAGGAAAAAAAAAAAAAAAAAAAAAAAAAAAAAAAAAAAAAAAAAAAAAAAGCCAAATCTGGGTTTTTACTAGGGGTGATTAACAAAAGAAGTTTAAATGTCTATAATAATATGTATCCCGAATAAAATTCAAATAATCTGCTAAATACTATATATACACACATACATATTGGATTTTGTGGATGAATTTGCGTCGCGATTGGGCAGAGAAATGTAAAAACTTTATTCTTAAACTTACAATAATGTCGAAATGTACGTTTCTTTAGCTCTTTCTTTTTATTAATCTATATTATTTCGGTATAAGTGTATCTCAAATTTCTCCAGAGTAGCTTCATGGCTTTAATATAAACGATAATTTCTAGCCAGCAAAACTTATGGATATATCTGATAAACAGGAGATAGGTCTTTATAATACCTTGCAGACAGAGTGTATATATTGGATTCCTGATACTAAGAAAAAAAAAACAAAATGAAGAGACAAATAATAATTTCTTAAGGCAAAGAATGACTCTCACCCAATTCTTAGATCGTTGACAAAAAATCTCATCTAATAATCTAACTGTTTCTGATGCAGTAGTATAAATATCTCTGAAGGAGAAACTGGAGCTTAAAAATAAAAAGCAAACAAATAATGCAACTGTAAGAGGCTCATACAGTATGTATACCTGAGCACAAATACAAGGAATGCTAGACTATGTTATGTTTCAAGGGCTTACTGCTGCAGCTGCAGGAAGATTATCTGGAATAGTTGTGAGAACTGTTCAAAAATTGTGTAAGAAAATATTTCGCAAAGACGAACATAAATGGCTACCGGGTATCAAGAACTCATTTAAAGGTAGTAACAATAAAAGGCTTTTTCCTCAACATATAAAGTTTTTGATCAACTATTACGATTCAGGATAAAATTCTATTTTATGAGAGGTTAAAGATGTACTTCTTGGAGCATTTCCTGACCTTGGATCAATTAATTTATCTAATATTCATAGACATCTTGTTCAGCACGCTACTTTTACGTTGAAGAAACTAGAGAAAATCAAAAAAGCAAGAACTAAAATGTAAACAATTCAAGCGAAAAGAGAGAAAGTCTTGGAATAGCAAGCGAATGAAAAAGTTGGACCGACTCTCAAACTGCATTTTTTATTGACAAAGCCGGCTTCGATTATGCATCTTTGTCGCGATTTTGGGCATTCAAAAAATCGGAGTGCTAACAAAAACAAAAGTTCCGGCGAATAGAGGCGTATCAGTCTTTATACTTGAGCTATTTGTGAAGAAGGAGTCATTGATTCGAAGTTAAAATAGACCCAAAACAATTTTAAAGAAGAAAGAGTCCCAAAAAAAAAAAAAAAAAAAATAATGATAATTTTGCTACAACAGAAAATGTTGTTGCCAGAGTAAAAACAATTTCAGATTATTTTCTGAAATTCACCAATGGGATTATGGATCCTTTAGATGCTCATAACATGAAAGGTAAGTAAAAAAAAAATAACTACTCTGAAATAATTATCTTACTTTTATATGTAAACTATTTTTAAGCCATTATCTGGCAATGAGTAATACTACAATCCATAAGACCACTAAAATAGACGAAGCAATAAGGAATCATAAATATATATCCCCGTACATTTTCCCCTCATATTTACCGTTTTTAAATCCTATTAAACTCTTTTTTGGTCAAAAGTCAAAGCTAGCGTTAGAAGGGGACACCTTACATTCGCAGGCAATTTATCACATAAGATCATAGATTCCGCAGCTGAAGTGTCAAAGGAAGATTGCAGAGGTTGGATAAATTACCGTCTTAGTTTCTTAGATAGTTGCTTAGCTTTAAAACCAATGTTATAGTTAGTTTTGGCAAATACATCCATGATATACTTGAACATAAATAAAATCCTACTGGACCTGCAAAAACCGAGCCGCAAAAAAATAAAAAATAAAAAGACTTAGGACGCAAATTCATTTGCAAAATCCGATACACATGTATATTCTAGAACAGTTCCCATTTCTTTATGTAAAAAGAAGAAAATGTATCATTACAGTAAAGTTAATAGTATTGGTTATTTATCGTTATTTTTCATCAAATCATGATCTTGTATACAGAAAGACTTTAGTGATATTTTGATATAGAATGCAGTAGCCTTCAGATAAAGCGTATTGAAAAGTAAGAAATTTAAGGATATGACATGTTTTATCTTTAAGTTTGATAATATATAAAATATAATGTCATTCCCATTGGTATCTCTTTGAAATATCCGCACATCTATCTGGACATTCATAGAGGCATTTCAAATTTCTTTAGGGACTAATGAAACTATTGCTTACTGTACAATTTACTCATATAAAATATATGACAGACTAGCTACACGGAATACACAGATTAGTTACAAAAGATATCGGAGTAGTCAAGTGAGGTTGTACATTCTTTATTTGCTGAGTCATTATGATTGCTACGTACCCTTGTTGTGAGAAATTCTGAAGAAGAAGCATCATATACTACGAATTATAATGTAATATTCGCTGATGGCACTGTATTAAGCTGATAGTTACGATTTCAGTATTATCTAAGGTTTTAATTATATTAAAAATGCTGGTGCTCAACTTCTTTATTGTGTAAGATTGATCTGCGCCGATTAATTATAAATCGCAGAGTCAATTAATCAACATCCTTTCTATTAGTTTTAAAGTAAAATCCAGTTACTATAGAATAACAAGTAAAGCTTAATACGCACACACACACACACACACACACACATATATATATATATATGAAAGACATAAATTAAATGCTATTTTAATGCCTATGAAGCTTTTCTAAATATTTGGCCATATCAGTTTCTAGCTATATTATATAAAGAGCAATGGGAACTTTTTAAGTTGTAGAAAATTAAAATGAAAAAGGTTTTAACTTGTCGAACTTTTAATATAATTTTTTTTATAAAGAATTGATGCACAAATAGACTATCTGAACTACAAATAGCCACATATCTTTTATTCTTTTTTTTTTTTTTTTTTTTTTTTTTTTTTTTTTTTTTTTGTACTCGGTGCTAGCAAAAGAAAAAAAAAATTAATAAATATTAAATAACCTTTTTTTTTCTCGACCCATTTTTTTTTCTTTCTAAATAATGAAAACGAATACTAAACTAATAACAAGTTTAATAAAACGAATTGAAATTCGAGTAAGATTTTATTTTATATATAATATGTATCTGTATTATTTATACACTTTTGATAGTTGCCCATTAATAACTCGGGTAAATCAATTGAAGTTTTAGAGCAAGATCCAATAGCTCAGCAAACAGGTACGAAACATTATGTAATATATTTTTTTATAAGTTACTAAAAAAAAAAAATGTTGTGAATAGTTGCCACGATCATTGAATTATCTATTCATAAATTGCCTATTATTATTAAGCAGCTTGCTCTTGTTTTGGAGCCAATATCCAAGGTATAAATTTAGTAAATTAAAGATGCTCTTATCACTGAATATATTATTGTTTATTTTTTTTTTAATAGAATATTCAACCTACTACCACTCAAACACTTAATGATCCTTATATTCCTCCTGATATACTTCAATCTCAATTATATATTCTTCGACTTTTATCAGCATGTTTTAAGCATTATTGGTCTTGGTATCGAAAGCAATCAATACGAATATCACATGAAACGAATATTACCGAAGAAGCCGCTGCTGCTGCCGCTGCCACAGGTACATATACCGAAACTACGAATAGCAGTAATGGAGCCAGTGATAATTCTTCTGCTTCCACTTCCACTACCACCACTACATCAATTCCAACTAAGTTATCTATACCACAAATAACTACTTTAAAGAAAGGGAGTTCGATCCATATCGATCCTCCACCACTTGATGAAGCATTAGCTACATTTTTATTATCACTTTTGATTCGGTTCTTGAACCAAATGCATGTCCTTGAAGAGCGAAATGATCAGATCCTAAATATACTATCATCCTCTGAACAGGCAAATGAAGGTTTAATTCATCATAATACTTCAAAGTTGGACCACCAAATGATAGAACATATACGTAAGATATATTCGGTATCAGGAAAAATTTTATATTATATTAGTGCAAGTAATTGGAATTCTTATTATGCAAGGGTAAAAAATGCTGTTAATGTCCTTGCAAGTATCAATGAAAATTCCGAACTGATTCCACCTGATGTGAGAATATTAGCTTTTGCATGTTTGAACATGTCAAAATTACAAATGATTTTATCAGGTAAGAAAATAAAAACGCTATATCATTCTATTCTTATTTTCACTAAATGTGTGTGCATATATGTGTTTTCATATAAATATATATATATGTATATAGATTTCAAGACATGTTTTCTGAATATGAAGATTCAGGGCAAATTGTTATTTGCAAAAATGATAAGAATAGCGATTTGGAAATGGATAGAAATGAAACCTTATCAATTTATAGAAATATATACGAATATTAGTAGTAAAACATTAGTCGGTTCAGAGGTTTTATTCGATATATGTAGCATGGCTGCGGATAGCACTTACAAAAAATCTATATTATGGCCATTGCAAACCATTTTATTGATTTTAACTCCCAATTTTCTAGTTCAGGCTTTTTTAGATGATCGAGGTTTACAAAATAAAAGAGTAAGTGCATTTAAATAAGATGAAAAAAGAAAATAGTTAGTCTGTTATGTTATTAAAGATCCTTTATGTATATAAATATATATACATATAGACTGCATTTCCTCGTCAGTTAAGAAAAGCACTTCAGTCTACACGGACACAGGAAATTGCTATCACTTGTTATGTAGATATTTGTAAAGCAGCAACCTATATCTCTCCAAAAGATGATTCTGTATTACGGCATGTTGTAGAGGATGTAGAGCATGCGCTAAGAGAAAAAGTATGGGATTACCTACGATTGTCTTCATCAAACACTTTACCTTCAAGTTTGGACTATATCTCTAATAATTATACTTTAATATCAGACTATTTTCTTGCATCATTACAACTTGACCCAAAAAAGGCGCTGAATAACTTAATTCCAACTTTATTTTCGGCATCGTCACCATTGGAAGAAAATGGTACTAGTTCTGATACAGCCATTTCAGTGGTCTTCAAATTAGCTTTTGTCACTGCTTGCTTAAGTATTGTAGTGGATGAGCACCCGTTACCATGGAATCCTACAATCAGCTCAATGTATAGCTCTATTTGTACACCTCTAAGACGTATCTTTATTGAAACTATTAAAAAGGAAATTAATACAATAAGAAATTTAACTCTTTCTCGATCTGAGAGTATATCTACCACTACAACCACTTCTGGATCTAATAAGAAATTAAATAATATCAATAATAACGCTAATGTCAGTAATGGAGAAAAGAAAATTCAACAACAACAACTAACAGCACTATTAAAAAACTTGCTCAAATTATTCAGATTAGATCCTTTATGTGCTTTGATGGTAATTAAAGTCTTTTTTTTTTCTACATACTAGTATTAGCAATTTAACTAAAAAACAATACATTAAATATAGAGTGGAGCTGAGGATTATGAACGTGTTTATGGTAATGCTGCTGTTATGGCCTCAATGATTCAACTCATGAAACATAACGACAGACGAATTAGACGAAATGCTATTGATTGTCTTATCCAATTACATGATCCATCTTATATTAAACATTGGGGACCTTCTTCAACATTGATTAACAATTTTTGGAAAATATCATCCCAAACTGTACTTTGTGTTACTCGTCAAATTCTAGATAATCGGCAAAATGAAGAATTATTAAAGTCATATCTTGATCTTTTGACAAAAATATTAATTTCACGGAATGAATTTTTAGACACCATGATGGTACGTAAAAAAAAAAAAAAAAAAAAAAAATGAATGAATAAAAACGATAAGTAAGCAAGTAATAATAATATTATTATTATTATAATTATCTTATTGTCCTTCTAGGATACTGTAATTGAAACAGCAGACGCTTGTGAACGTTTACAGACTAGCATAGCACTTGAAACTGCTTTGCTAGTATCACTATGTTCTTCTATACCCGATATTTGCTCAAAGGCAATAAAATGCTTGAGCTATTTGTGTAAAGAAGCAAAGCTAATAGATGAAGATAGTCTCATTTTTACATCTTCCCGTAGTAGCCAAAGTTTAATATCAGGAGTTAATACTAACATTATAAAAATTTATGAAGATCTTTCGTATGAAGAACCTTTCCCTAACCACAGTTTTCGTAAACAACTACCATTTGTAGGTAGGAAAGCTCAGCAGAAACGTGTGCGAAAATATTTAAGAATGATCATGACTCCTACCTCAGGCGTTCTTGCTGCTTGGGAAGAGATTTGGAAAAGATGGAAGGCCCTAACTCAGATTGTTAGTCGATTTGGTATGAATACTTCTTCCTTACGCGGTTTGAATGACATTGTAGTTAATTCGACTATATCATTATCTTCTTCTGCTTCATCTGTAAAGAAAATTGGTGGTTTAGTTCGTCATGAGAGGCCAAGAACATCTTCAGTACGTTCTGCAGCCCCTATTCCAGTAGGCTGGATCAAAACAGATGATGAAAAGCAAACAGAATGGCAGAATTATACAGGATTTTTAGCTGCCTTAGGGGGGAGTCGTTTAGCTGCTGACATAGCGGCTGCTGAAAGCGATTCAATAGATGATACAAAGTGGTCCAAAAATAATAATGATGTTAATAACAATAACCTGACAACTGCAAATCGAATGATATCTTCTAGCTCATCTCCTAAACTTATGGTTGAAAAATTTATAGAAGAAATGATTTATTTATTGACTTCTGAAAATGTCATCATTCGAGAAAGTGTAAAGGATACATTGGGCGGAGATTTATCTCCTTCACTTTATGGTATTCTCTTTCGTCATTTAGAGGCTACCATGAATGATTGCTTTGCATCGAATGGAGATGTTATTTTCGACAATACAAACACACTATTTATCGAACAAACAGTTTTAGTCTTGAAGATGATATTAGATAGGTTAACAGATCCAAATGATTGTTTGCTCAATATTGATTTTAGCACATTAATAATTCAGTTAGCAAACTATATCAATCATTTACCACAAGGAAAATACACAACAATGAGGATCATGATTATGATGTGCCATCTTACTGAAGTCTTAATGTTGAAGAAGGAGCAGGTCATCTTACGTGATGATGTTCGAGTTAGAAATAAATTATTAGAGACTATTATTGAATGGACTAGTGATTTTAATTTGGTAAGTCAAATTTATACTACAGTATCTACCATAATAGTTGATATATACATCCCTATACATAAATCTACATAAATATATATATATATATATATATATACTAGCAAGTTATGAGCAAAAATTCTATTATTTCTAATAATTCTCAAAATAAAGAGATACAAAGAGATCTGGATCATGTTTGCTTACAGGCTATCGTAGCCATTCTACACAAATTACCTCTTCAATCAACAGATCAACCCAGAGATACAGATCGAAGCATGAATAAGAACAGATTATTCCAAAAATATTTTGTATATTTTACTCAACTTTTGGATATATGTCATCAATACGAGGTAATCTATAATCAGTAAAAGTTATACATATATACATCTATATTATTTATATATTATTTGTTTATTATTCAGGCAGAAGTAAATATAACTACACAGTCTGATTCAATCTATAATACTAATAATGCTTCAATAAAATCCTCAGACACTTATCAATATTGGGGGCCATTAAAGGAATCTGTTGTTAATGCTATATCCAATATTTTAAGCGCCAATGTTGACTCAGGACTAAAATTAACTTTAGCAATGGGTTATCATGAAGATACACGTACAAGAGCAGCTTTTATGCAAGTTTTGTCCAATATTTTAAATCAAGGAGCGCAATTTGAAACATTAGCAGAAAATATTATCACTAACCGTTATGAAAAGTTAGTTGAGGTATTTGTTATAATATTTGATTTATTTCTAATAATACATATTAATTTATTTATCTATTTTTTTTCTTTTGTAAATAAGATACTTGTTGAATCTAATATTGATGTCGCATTATCACTTTGTGATGTTTGCCCTTCATCTAATGCAGATGGTATAGCTCAGGTGTTATTAAACTGCTTTGAATCACGTAGTAAAGTGCTTGTATTATTAAAGGCTATTATTACTAGAGAAGTACTTGCAACACGTATGACAAAAAAAAACATTATTATTATTATTATTAGCAATAGATAAAAATTGAATTAATGTATTTCATATAGAACAAGAATCAACGTTATTCAGGGCTACAAATATGGCAACTAAAATCCTATCTATATTCGCTCGTGACACCTGTGTTGATTATATTCGATTCACTCTTCAACCAGCTATGGAACGTATTAATGCATTACCTGAAGAAAATCTTACATGGGAAATGGATCCTCAAAAAATTGGACCCAATGAAAGTATTTTAACTAATAAGCAGAATGTATGTCGTGCCACCGAAATTTTCTTAAATGCCATATGCAATTCAGCAGCAAATGCACCAAAGTAAATATACCACCTCTTCTTTCTTTTTCTTTTTTTTTCCTTTATTGATTTTGAGTCTCTATTCATCATATCTATATTATTACTATTATAGATTATTCCGCCAAGAGCTAGCCTTAATGGTTGATGCTGTCAATAAACGATTTCCAGATGCATCCAAAGCAGCGGTTGGTGGATTTGTGTTTTTGAGACTCTTCAATCCTGCAATATTAACACCAGAGAATTCAGGATTTGCAAAGACAGCTCTACCAAAGTCGATCATGGTACGAAAGTTACTTCTCCAATCCACACGCATGATGCAAAATTTGGCAAATAATACCATGTTTGGTGCCAGGGATACTCATTTGATATCATTAAACGATTTTATCACAAGCAACTTGTATCGAGTAGCTACTTTTTTACGTGAGATCTCAGCTGTGCCAGATACAAATAAATTTGAATCCAGAGGTGTGCGGATGGATACAATAGCGTATATGAAGCTGCATCGTTATCTATCAGATAATCTTGATAAAATGTCAAGGGATCTTTCCTTTCGTCGTGCTAAGACGGGTACAGATACTCAAAAATTACTTGAATGGAAACGAATTATGGATCAATTTTCAAATTTACTTGCTCAACTTGGACCCCCATCTGAAATCGCACAAAATGAATTTTCAGCCATACGAAATTTTACTGTCGTTAACAACAATCATTATTATAGTGAATTTATGCGAAGAAACAAGTATCGTGATTTAAGCGCGATAAGTTCCTTGAATGTCTTTTATCAAGGTGGGGTTTCGAAAGGTGGTCGACCTGTGTTTTATTTTATCAGTCGGCATGTGATAGGAGAAAACTTTGACTTTGAATTATTGGTTTATTATATGCTTAGAGTAACTTAAACATACATACACATACACAAAAAGAGAGAATGAAATTTATGTAATGAAACTTTTTTTTTTTTTTATTTTATAGATTATGGAACCTTATCTTAATCATCCTTTTGAATTGCTTTTTGATTTATCGCGCTTCAGTGAAGATATTGAAATCCCTGTCCACTGGATGAATCAATTTTTTCAACTTGTATTTAGTGAAATGAACGACTATTTAGTAATGCTACATCTATTTAATCCCAACTTTCATATGCAACAATACGTTCGAAAACTCCCTAGAGTATTGACTAACAAATTAGTGAAAAGAACCCGTTTTGCAACTACTATCAATGAGCTACTGCAACATATTGCTTTGTCAGAAATCAGATTACCGAAGGATACATGTATGTAATATATATATATACATATATATTTATATTAAACTATACTAATATCGTTTGTCATTCAAGTTGAAATAGAAAAGGAAATGGGCATGACAATCACAACTGCTTTCCTTGTAACTAATTATAAAGTTACGATACCTATTAAAATCAAAATAGGATCAGAATATTTTATAGTTACAACGGTAAATTATGATATATACATTTATATATAAAATGACTTTAATTTAAAATCCTTTTTTTTTTTTATACATAGTTACGTGAGCAAGAAATATTTTGGAGCTTAAACACGGTTTTGAACAATGTGTTTGGTATGATTGATATTGTTGACATTTATTTACCTCCTGTATCATCTACCAGCAAGTCTACAACTGGGGGAGAAATTCATATTACTTTTAACACTAGAAAAACGACCATGATTTTTATGGTTCCTAATAGAGAGGAAGTTTACAAGGTATATATAAAAAAAAAATACGCGCATATACATATATATAAATATATACTTGTATATATAATTTCTTTTGATAGTATCTCTTGAACCGTAAAAAACATTTTGAGACAAATTTATCCGAAACGAATAATGGTATTCGTCCAACTGATGTACCAGGTCGTATTTTGAATATAGCATTATTAAACCTTGGAAGTGAGGATTCTGCTCTTCGATCTGCTTCTTATAATCTACTTTGCACATTGTGCATATCATTTAAATTTGGAGTTGAACATAAGCTAATGAATATTAAAGGTAAATACAATTTCATCTTCCATAAGATTTTTTTTTTTTTTTTAACAAGCTTGTCCCTTTCTGACTTTTTATAGATTTATGTGTCCCTTTTAATAATGTCGATTTTATTGTCAACATAAGTGAAAATCTAGCCACTAATGGAGTTCATCTAACGTTAGAATTTTTAAACGAATGTATAATAGGATTCAATAAATCAAGTACGGAACCCTCTAGACAAATCTTAACTTTGGAATATATGGCACCTTGGCTCAAGAATCTTACTTTTTTCACTCTTGTACCATTCGGTCAAGAGCCTTCTAAAGTAAAAGAAGTACTTCAATCACTCATCCTCATGACAACGGAAAAATCAAGAGTAATATATATATGCATATACAAATATATTAAATAAATACAAATTATTCAATATTCATTTTTTTTTCTTTCTTACATAGGTTTATCCGTATGTACAACGAAAAATTTGGAGAACTTTGAAAGATATAGAGGAACTTCATAATCTGATATTAGATGCTCTAGTTCAATATTCTGTTGAAAATGGAATTGGGTCTCCTCAAGCTGAAGCGATGGCTGATACTATTGTTACTATGAATAGTAATGGCATACGCGGGAAAGTGATTCATCGTATCCGTCGTGCCCTCTCAAGTACTTCACAGAATTGCCGACAGACATTAATTAGTCATCAAGCATGGACTGAAATTGGATGTCTGATACGATTCATATTAATGCTATCGTTTTACTCAGAGAGTATTAAAAAGTCATATGAAGCAGAGGTCTTTCATATCATATCTCTTGTTGTTTCAACAGGCCCTACCTTTATTCGTTCATCCGTTCATGAGCTGGTAGTCAATAGTATCCATGGACTCGTGACAAACAAAAATATAAACCCCTCTAATAGAAAAAGCTCAAATATATTCTCGATGATGTATGTGATGGCAAATATCGTGTTCACTTTGGACTTAGCAAATCATATGCCAATGCATTTACAATAACAGAGGAAACATTGACAGATAATGCAGAAAATATGAATCTTTTATCTTTAGAAATCATTGTTCGATTACTGTTGGACGCCATTAGTTTTGCAGCACCGGATATAAGTAACTATATATAACTAGGAGGGTATGTGTGTGTGTGTGTGAGAGAGAGAGAGAGAAAAGAGAGAGATCCATATTTGTTTCTATGTTTACATACACACATACACACACACATACACACACACACATAAAAGAATACTAATTTAATTATACAAATATAGATACTGCGAATACATGGCGTGCACGCTGGATGAGTTTAGTAACTAGCATGACATTTCAATTTAACCCTGCTCTTCAACCTCGCGCCTTTATTGTTCTTGGTTGTTTAGCACAGGATGAAATAGATGATGATCTTTTATATCAAATTCTGATTGTTTTACGTAATGAGTTAACCAAATTCGATGAGAAGGCACCCAACTTGATTATCAGCATATTAATGTGTCTAACAAATATCATTGACAATCTTCCATCTAACTCTAGATACCTTACATCTATGTTCTGGTTAGCTGTGACGATGATTCAAATGAACCATGTGCATATCTTTTCGCATGCTGTGAAACTACTTGATGCTGTACTTCGGGCCCTGGATACTCATGAATACTTCATTTCTCATTCAATCGAGGAGGTGTTGATGAAGGCTCGAGAGCGATTTAAAGAAGTAACTGAAAAGATAGATGAAGCCTCAGGTCTCTCCTTTAAGACACAGTTTTCATTTGCTATCGCTGGGGTCCTGTTAAAAGATGTTCGTAATTCAGATGCTCGAGAGATGATCTTTACATGTCTTACTACATTTTTAGAGATTGAAACTAAAACGAGTATGCGAACAAACATGATTGATGCCAAGTGTCTAGGTTATCTGTGTGGGCTTTTACCTCTTGCTGCTAAAAATGATGCCCTTCAGGAATTACTTTGTCTTGCTGGTCTAAATGATACTGAAGTAGACAATATAAATGAAATAAATGATATTTATTCATTCATATGGCGAACGATTGATATACCCAATAATACAACGGGCATTCTTTTGGTTTCCTTTTTAGTTAGTATGCTAAGTCTTATGGAAAATGAAGCAGAACGTTTATTTTTATATGAACTTCTTTCAAAAGCTGCTACCTCAACACCTGAAGTATTCGCTTTAATGTAAGTATATATATATATATATATATGTATACGCAAATCGTTATAAGATTGATAAAGTTTCTAATATAAATATATATATATACATATACATCTTCATAGGTATGAATCGCTTATACCAAGAATGAGTTCAATAGTTGTATCAAGTGAAAATGTTGCTTTACTCAATGCAGTTAAAAAAATTCTTGTCACTGCGTGCTCTGAACCCGCTTTTATTAACTCTGGTCATAATCATCCACAAATATACCTCAAACAAATTGGATTTGGTTCTTTTGCAGAAATTAATTTAGGCTCAATGAATGCTTCTACTTCTGTAAGCTCAAAGTTAACTAGTGAATTACTACGACTTATTTGTGAATAAATATTTATACAAATATAATTTTTTTAAGGCAATAATAAAAAAAAAATATGTATTTCCTTTCTGATTTTTTTTTTTTTCCTTTTTATATAAAATATTTCTGATAATGAAGCTTGAAAATGTGTATCCAGATATTGCTCAAAACGTATTAAAGTCAATATCAGTACCTGTATTATCGAAAGAACTAAGAGATAAATATGTTCGACCAGATACATTTCATTTGTACATTCCACCTGATTATAAATATGAAAGTGATGAAGATAGCAAAAGAGAAGATGAACGAAGGAAATTAGTAAATAAATATAAATATAGAAGAATCGAAAGAATAACGAGAAAAACAAAGAATGCTACAGGCCAAGTTAAATATACAGTTATTTTTGAAGATAGTCCGGAGGAAGTGGTAAGATGCAAATGTTTAAAAATATGTATAATTATGTATATATTTGATTCAAGTGTACATTAACAAAACTACTTTTTTTTTATTAAAAAAAAAAAAAAAAAAAAAGACTATGCCTTCTAAAGCATTACAGGATCACAGAGATTGGGATTTAGTAGAACATTTTGAATATCAACAAGCAATTAGACAGGCAATAAGAGACGGAATATAATAGACCTATTTAGTATTAAATCGAAATCAATGTTAAGTTATTTTATTTTTTTAAAAAAAAAATCTTTTTTATCCCCTCTTTTTTTTTTTTTTTTTTTTTTTTTTTTTTTTTTTTTTTTTTTTTTTTTTTTTTTTTTCTCTTTCTTTTCATTTATAAATTATATACAAATCATGGATGAACACGAATCTTCAATTTTAAATAAAATTATTCAAACAAAGACTCCAAAGACTCAGTTTAAACATTTATTACAAGTAGATCATAATTTAACAGCGTATGATGACAAAGTAGTGAATCCTGCTAAAAAAAGAACTTTGCAGGAATTTTTAGATGATTATAACTCTACAAAAACATCATCTATTGTGATTGAATCTGATGAGGAAGATCCACCAGAAATAGAAGATGAAGAAAAGATAAAAGCTTTAAAAGAGATAGAATTTACAATAAATAAAAAACATTGTCAACTATTAAAAACGCATCAGGTATAAGCTATTCTTAATTTCATAACCATATCCTGGTTGTTCTTTCAACTCATATACATATATATATATACATATATATATAGCTTGAAGGTCTTCAATTTATGTGGAATCGTATTTATAAAAAACGTCATGGCTGTTTATTAGCACATACAATGGGATTAGGCAAGACATTTCAGACGATTGTGCTTTTAACAGCATTATATGAGCAACTTCAACAAAGTCCATCGTCTAATTTTCCAACTGTAATTACACTTATATATATGAATACATATATATATATAACTTTTAAATCCGTATTTATATTGTTAGGGAAAACGAGTATTAATACTGGCACCATTAATCACATTGTCAAATTGGGTAAACGAGTTTGATAAATGGTCTGTTAATATGGAAAACGTGATTGGAGAAGTATTTACTTTTTCAGGTATATATACATATATGCATATATATACGCATATAGATATACACATATAGATATATACACATAAATATTTAGTTGATCTACTCCTAATATAGTACGATTCATTTAGGACTTGGATTTCGAGATACAGATCGCTCACGATTTTTAAAATATTGGTATACACATGGTGGTGTTATGTTGATGACATATGAACAATTTCGGATTTTATTAACTGGGAATAAAAGGAATGATAAGATAAGAGATGAATACTATACAATGCTTATCAATCCAGGTGCAGATGTGATTGTACTAGACGAAGGACACCGTATTAAAAACTCAATGGCATGTATTACTAACTTGGTCAAACAAATAAGAACACAGATTAGAATTTGTTTAACAGGATACCCTCTGCAGAATCATTTAAGTGAATATTATCACATGCTAAGTTTTGTTGCTCCAGACATACTTGGAAGTCCTGAAAGTTTTAAAGCTTATTTTAAGACTCAAATAGAAAGATGTTATGCAGATTCAAGTATAGCAGTCAAAAGACAAGCGGCTCTCAAATCAATTGTATTTCGTTTACTGACCGAAAATGTAACTCATAGACGTGATGGTACCATCTTAACCAAAGAATTACCACCAAAGACAGAATATGCAGTTTATTTTACAATGAGTCCAGTTCAATATGAAGGCTATGTTAATATATTACAACTTTCGAATGGGGTTAGCCCTCTTACTGGCTTACTTATTTTACGTGCAATCTGTAATCATCCAAAAATATTCCAATCAGTGAGTTTTTTTTTTCTTCTACAAAAAATAAAAAAAGGAGGAGAGGAGGAGGAGGAGGCCAACGTATTTACTAATCTATTTAATATTTAGTTATTAAAAAGAAGACAAGAAAAGCAACGAAAAATAACGATGAATAAAGAATATGGTACAAGGAACGTGGATATTGCTGATAATGAAGTTGAAGACGAAATTGTTAGTATTCCAGAAAATACGACTGATGGCATGATTACATTAGCTGCTTTGGATACAGAATTGATTGAAGATGATGAAGTGAATATATTTGAAAAATGGCTTTCTAATGGTGGCTTTGACTGGGCAATTAGTTATTTAGAAAAATCAGGTAATAAAGCAGTCTATATATTGAATACGAAGAAGAAGTGAATTAAATGCAATTTTTTTTTAGCTATTGAATCATGGAAATGCTCAGGAAAAATGTCGTTTATTGTTGATCTTGCAAAGGATTGTCAAGTGATGAAAGAAAAATTAATTATTGTTTCTCATAGTGTAGCATGCTTGGGTAAGAATTGTAGTTTTAACTATTTTTTTTACAATTTACTAAACATATAATTTATTGTTATAGATTATATCCAGCATTTATTACCTGTGTTTGGTATTAAAATATCCAGAATTGATGGAAGTACAGTAACCTCGGTAAAAAAATAAACTTTTTTTTTTTTTTACTTTAGTTCTACAAACAGTTATCAATACATGATTTATCAATAGGAACGTCAACTTAATATTGACCGATTTTATAACGAAGATGAGAATATTGATGCCATGCTTCTTTCTGCAAAAGTAAATATAGCAAATTTAATTCAGAAAAAAGAATCTAAATTATTTTATAGGCAGCTGCTATTGGTATTAATTTGACTGCTGCTAGTCGTATTGTTTTAGTTGATCAGGATTGGAATCCATTGTATGATGAACAAAGTATTGGTAGAATTTTCCGACTTGGACAAAAGAAGTCTACTGTAGTTTACAGATTAATTTCTGCAACTACAATAGAAGAACGCATATTTGCACAAAGTATACATAAGCGTAATATAACAAGGTAATTTATAAATAATTGCTTTTTTTTTTTTGTCAAGATAAATTAGCTTATATTACCTTTTCTTTTTTCAAAAATATACACATATACGTATTTATATTTAAAAGTCGCATAATAGATAATAAAAAGACAATCGATGTTTCAAAGGAAGAAGTAAAGAATTACTTTGCTTTGCCATCAAGTAATTTAAAACCAATAAACGTGGATACAGTTGAAGAGAGTATTAAAAACGATTTTATTTCATTCAGTTGTTTGAAGCAAAATCGTGATTGCATCACTCAATTTATATTGCATGACCAAGACAAGTTAGATAACACGAATTATGAAGACATGCTAAATATGGATGAAGTGGATATAGAACAAGCAAAACATGAAGCAAAGATACTATTAAGAAAATGGAAAAAAAGGCAGAGGTGTTAAATAAGGGTGTCTATATATATATATATACAAATATACATATTTATTTATTGTATGGATGATTTATCACCGATTTATTTATGCAAAACATCTATTATAAATAACAACAAGCATTAAATGAATGGAAACACGTGAATATGGATGTTGTAAAGCTAACTCTATTTCATGTTCTTATTTAAGGAGACCTAATTATGTATATACTACTGTTTTCATAAATTATTGACATTTTTTTTTGATTCAACTATCTCTATCTCTCCTTATTGGTCAATAAGAATAACACTTTCAGGAGTAATTAAAACAAGTGGTTAAAATGAATTGAATTTCAGAGTAAGATCAGCACACACATATTCATACAGAATAGAAAGGAAAAGAAAAGAAAAAATATACGAATATGATTAAAGGGAAGGGAGAAGAGATGCTATCTAGTATGTACGTATATTTGTATGTATGTATGTATGTATACATGTATAAATACATATTTGTATATAAAAATATGTATACAAATAAAAGTGTATATTTATATAAATATGTATTAAAAAAAAAAAAAAGAAAAAAAAAAAAGAAAAGAAAATATATATATAAATATATACATATACATGTATATAATAGATACACGTTATTACATACAAATATGTTCTTTATGTTGGTCATCTTCTGATTCACTTAAACTACCTAATCTTCTTAATTCAGCTTCTTTTAATCTTTTAAGTCTTTCGCGCCTTCGTCGATAATAGCCATTCTTTCGTTTTGCTTCTTCAAGACCATGCATGAAGATATCATATTGACAAAATAAGCAGATCCAATCATCTGAAATAGGATTTTCAAATAAAGTAATGTCAGATGATAGAAAACCTCCTGGAGCTATATCTTCTCCTCCTCCTCGATTAGATCTCTTTTTGTTATTCGTCTTCTTTTTCACAGTTGAAGAGGAAGGAGGAGCAATGATTTTCTTTTGTCCTTTATTAGTCTCTGTTTGATTCTTTATTGGCTTTTTCTTTTGTGATATTGATTTTTTAGTTGAATTTGTTGTGACTGATGGAATGGTGACTACCGCAGTACTGACAGAAGTTCCCTTTGTAGCTTGAATTGTTTTTAATTTAGTCTTTATCCGTTCTCTCATAGATTCAGATGATTTTAGATTAAATGGCTTATTGATAGATAAATTATGATTTGAAGAAGAAGAAGGTATATGTAAGCCCATCTTTTTTGAATCTATAAAATACTCATTACGAATTTCTGTCACTTCTGCAGTTGTACTACTACTACTAACGTTATCTTGCCAGTTTCTTTCTTTCCTTTTATTATCCACTTTTTGTCGTTGTTTATTACTAATCACTTTATTGCCAGCAGAACATTTCATCTTCTTGATATTACTCATATCCTCGTTTAGAGTTATATTTGATGATGGTATTCTATTAAATAAATGACTTGTGTTATTAGCATCTTGGACTCTATTAAAAGGATAATTCGTAGATCCATCTTGAGTTCGAATAGCGATTGTAGTTGTAGATTTATCTTGATGCCTTTTCCAACGAGGTTTTGGTAAAGGTAATATTTTTCGTTCTGATATATAAAGTGTATCGTTATTGAGATGATTTTCTGTTCCTTCATCTAAGTAGATATATATATACATGATCAATATTAACATTTATATATATATATTCATATTCATTATTCATATGGCTATTACTTGTCGTTGCGGTATAATATTCATTTTTATGATAATGATAATGGCCATTGATAGCTATGTTACCATCATCATATTCATCTTCTTCTTCATTAGGAATCGTCGTATTTGTACTATAACCATATGTGTAATGATGATTTGTATTAGGTATAGAGGCTGAAAAGGAAAACTTGAATTCAGGAGATGGAATAAAACTTGTTGTTGCTGACTGAGGTGAGGGTATAGGTGTTAAGGGTTTATTGTTGTTATTTAACCCAAAATTAAAATCAAATGATGCTGTATCATCCGACACTTTATGGTTTTTCATCATAGAAATAAGTTGTTCCATCTCTGCAGGCTCTTTTCCTTTTTCGGTATCAATCGTATTTTCTATAATTAGTAACGGCTTCGTTTGTTGTGAGGTAGTAGAAGATAATGAGGGCGCTGATGAATTGACTGTATTCAGATTGGATGCTAGTTTATGTCCTGTGGATCGGAATCTAGGGGTTTTAATTATTCGTGGCGGCTGTGAAGGATCTCCCTTCATGTTGGCTAATTGAAAAAGATGATAACCTGACCAAGCTCTTTTGGGTATTATTTTTGATGCAATTTCTATTTCAATAATACAATTTTATTAATATTAGGAATTAGATGAAAAAAAAATAAAAATAATATACAAAATAAAACAAAGAAAAAGTAAAAAAAAAAAAAAAAAAAAAAAAAATAAGAAAAAGAAAAAGAGGGAAAAAAAAATAAAGAAGAGAAAAAATATATACATTTATAAAGAGCAAGTAATCAAAATTAAATGTAGAGATACATACATTAAAATGTTGAAAAGAAAAAAAAGAATAGTGAGCACTTACCAGAAACGTTTTGTTTATATAGGGTAGCATCTTCTTTTACTAAAGGTGTTTGAATAATGGAGGAAGACATGGAAGGTTCATCTGAATAAGAAGGGGATTCGTTTAAACTTATATAAGGAAATTTTGCAGAATGAAAAAGCGGAAGTTGCTGGGTGACGTCGTCTTGTGAAAAATTTCTGTCAAACAGCATAGTAGATACATCTAAATCATTTGAAGAATCAATAGATTGATGTAATGATTTCTTTTTTTTTTTATCACCATGTATTAAAGTCGAAACAGCTGGTCCCATTTTTAGTTAGTTTTATTCTAGTAGAATAGATTCCTTTCCTATATTTTATTTTATGCTTTTGTTTTTTTTGGTTTTGTTTTGTTTTTGTTCTAAATTTTCTTATCAAGTTTTAAAGTCCCTTTTTATATATAAAAATGGATTATATATTTTTTCCTCTTCAAATGATTAATAAGAAGAAATTAATGAATGGAAAAGAAATTAAAGAAAAGGAGAAAAAAAAATAAATAAATAAAAAGAAGTATGTAAATAAATAAAATAATTAATCGACCAAATTGATGACTACATAAAATTACACTAAGCGCGTTATATAATAAGTTTGTAAATCACTTCATGTACACTACACTTGTAGTACGCATATTTCAATAATAAAGCATGTGTTGTACCTAAATTGAAACGATTGGGAATTTTTTTTTTTTTCTAGGACGATCTGAGATAAAATTATTCAGTTACGAATGCGTTAGTCATAAACATAATTTTTTATTTTTTAGTACAGTGATAACAGGCTTGACTATTGTCGTTAGTAATTAGCTTGTAAATATGAATGAAAATGAGTTGCAAGTGTTTATTTTTATATTTCTTTTTCTTACAAGTTTGAGTGATTGAGCTTGTTGCAGAAGTAATAATAATAATAATTGTTGTTGTTGTTGTTGTTGTTATTTTTTAAGCATAATAATAATAAACTATGCTTCTATATACGATATATATGCACCTTCACTTGTAGACTATAATATGGCTTCAGTCCATATATAATTAGAAAAGCTTAGTCATGTATACTTTCATTTGTCTGTATAATAAACGCATACTAAAATAATATGTAGACTATCTAGTATGTTCCTCAAATAATACTTAACTTCTTGTTATAGATGTTCTATAAAAGAGAGTAAAAACTTTGAAGTTCTAGTCTTTATTTTTTTTTTATTTTTCAATTTTGCTAAATTGATTTCTCACTTTTATAGAATTGTTTATTGAGGATTCTTCTTTTCTTTAGCTGTCTTCTTAATTTCTTGATCCAAAATTTTAGATCGTTAAATTTGTGACGACCTTTTCATGGAAGGAATCATATTTAGAGAAAAAAAAAACAACAGCAAGTGAATTATCTTTCTTTCAATTATAGTAAATTATGGTATATAATTATTTACATTAATTTATTTTGATTGTAAATCTTACTTTTTTTTTTTCTTCTCCTTATTAAAAACTAGGATCGTCCTAATATTAATAGTCAAATTGAACATTGTAAACTAAACTTAATTATTGAAAATGAAGGAATCAATACTGTCTTGATTAACTTTTTTTTTTTTTTTTTTTTTTTTTTTTTTTTTTTTTTTTTTTTTTTTTTTTTTTTTTCCTTTTACTCTTTTTTAGTACAATCAAAATATGTTGGAACTGGACACGCTGATACTGTGAAATAGTAAGAACAGCATTTCTTTAAGTAATCTTTTTTTTTTATATTCTTTGTATAAACTAATCATAGATTATCCTTGTTTTTTTTAAAAAAAAAAAAGTGAATGGCTCACTAATCAACATAGAGATTCACTTGCTTCCTTCATGTGTCATAATTCTTTACTTTCTTATATTTCTGTAGCTGAAAACGAATGCAAAGCACGTGTTAAACATAATTTGTTAGAGGTATTTTTTTTTTAAAGGAAAAAATAACAAACAATGATTGCTCATCCATTCATTTAGAAAATGCTTCAACCTTGTGGACCACCACCTGAAAAAGAAGAGTTTTAATGTACATAATCTTTATTTTTTTTTTGTGGAAAAAGAATAATAACAATTAAACTTTTGTATTTATCTTTTGATGATAAAAAAAAATAATCGTATCAACATAGCTTTTTAACTTTTTATTCAGACGACTTGAACAAAATGCAATGAATAAGATTATCGAAGCCTGGATAATTCAAAACTTTGAATGAGATAGATAACAATTGTTTTAACTTTCTTAGCAAAAATGTCCTTCACAAATATTTATTTTAATCCAGTTCTTTTATAATTTTCGACACCATTTTCTTTTAGTGAATAATCATTAATAGGTTCTAATTATACTAGATTTGATAAAACAACATTCTTTTTATTTAATGATTTCAAGCACAAATCAACCTGGTTAAATTAGTGAGATTATTGATTGCGACCTTTTTTTTATTATTTATTTTCAAAAACAGAGCAATTTAGATATTCGTAGACTAGCAGATATATATGTATTGATCAACTCTTCTTTTCTATTATTACATATGTATATACATAGTCTTCACGCTTCATTTGTTATTTTCTCCTAAAGATATAAAGAAAAAAAAAACTTTAATTCAATATAAAGTAAATTCAGTCTTTAAGGCAAGAAAGTTAACAAAAGATCAGAAATGTAATATTAAAAAAAAAAATTGTCTCGATTTAATTTGTATACTATTATGACTACTTTTTTGATAATAATAATAATCATAAAAAAAAAGCCTTTTTTTTTTTTTTTTTTTCTTAAAAACTGATCAATCAACTAGAATGGGAAAATCATCAAAAGATAAAAGAGATGTTGTATGTATAAATCAAAGTTAATTTTATCCATTTGAAGTTTAATAAACAATAAACAATAGTATTATCGACTTGCGAAAGAAGAAGGTTGGCGTGCGAGAAGTGCTTTTAAATTATTGCAATTAGATGAAGAATTCAACTTTTTACAAGGTTTGCATCGATCAAAAAAGAAATCAACAGCTTGTTTAATTAATCTATGTGTGTGTGTGTGTGTGTGTGTGTGTGTGTGTGTGTGTTTTTAAGGTGTAAAAAGAGCAGTAGATCTTTGTGCAGCACCAGGCAGTTGGTCTCAAGTGCTTTCTAAGCGTTTAAGGTAAGTGTCATGTTCAAAAAAAAAAAAAAAAAAAAAAAAAAAAAAAAAAAAGTACAATGTATCGCCTATCTTGACTATTCTTATTTATTTTTATCAGCGAAAATCACAAACAAACGCCTAATGAACCAGAGCCAAAAATTGTGGCTGTTGACTTACAAGCCATGGCACCTTTAGAAGGAGTCATTCAACTTCAAGGTGATATTACTAAAAAATCCACTGCAGAAAAAATCATTTCTTATTTTGATGGTGAAATGGCTGATATCGTTATTTGTGATGGCGCACCTGATGGTATGTAGAATGACTAAATATGAAAATGAATTTATATTCATTTTTGTTTCTTTCTTTACTTGACAGTGACTGGTCTTCATGATATGGACGAATACATTCAAGCTCAATTATTGCTAGCTGTATGTAATTCATTTTATGTGTTCATCATCTTATCTCCAATCCTTGCTTGCTCACTCTCTTTCTTGTAGGCCCTTAATATTACAACTCATGTTCTTCGTCCTGGTGGAACATTTGTAGCGAAAATATTCCGTGGTAAAGACATTACTTTACTTTATAGTCAACTGAAGATATTCTTTCCAACAGTGACATGCAGTAAGCCTAGAAGTTCACGTAATTCAAGTATAGAGTCTTTCATCGTATGTCAGAACTATCAACCACCACCAGGATATACACCAACTATGGCCAATCCTTTATTAGATTTACAATATGATTCTATGAACGAATTAGTAGGACCTAACAGAACAATTGTACCCTTTATTGCCTGTGGCGATATAAAGTAAGTAGGATTTAAATCATAATGACTGAATATTTATAAATATAAACAATGATTATAGCGGTTATGATTCAGATAGAACTTATCCTTTGCAGGCTACTTATAAGCAATTAGATCCTTTACAGCCTCCAATTACTGCACCTTATAAAACAGCAATGGAATTGAAAAGAAACAATTTTTTCAAAAAATAAGGAGATACGTATTATTAAAAAGAAACTGGATTTTTTTTTTTTTTTTTTTTTTTGTTTAAGCTGAGGATAATGATCGTACGCGTAATAATTAAACTCACTCAAATGTAGTTTAGAATATACTTTATCTTGATAATAGTAATAATAATAAAGTATAAATCATCTAAAGGCAAATAGGTACAAAGTTATTAGATATACTCGAAAATCTCCCATCAACGATAATGAAAATGATTACTACATCACTATGCTCGTTAGGGTTCTCTCTTTTCGATACCTTGTTATTAAGAAGAGATGATTCAATTATGACGATGAGCAGCAGTAGAGTAGTAAGGGTTCGCTTTTGGTCGAAGATGGGTATCAGAGCTCATATAAAGCCCCCTTTTTTTTTTTAAAAAAAAAAAAAAAAAAAAAAAAAAAAAAAAAAAAAAAAAAACGATGAACAAATCTATACCGTGTAATATTTCAACTACTGTTGAGGATTGTACTGGATAGGCTAACCATATAAGAATCACATTGGGGAAAAATGGTTTGAAGAAAAAAAAAAAAAAAGCTCTATAAAACCATCTATATTTTAAATTGGTTCATCTAATAAATAAATATTCTTGTCCAAATCTCATAAAAAAGAAAAAGCATTGCACTTTTAAGACTTACAAAGATAATAAAAAAAAATCGGTATTGTTAAAAATTGCAAAGTAAAGAGGCGCTAATTCTTCGTGTTACCTAACAATTAACAGCATATTTTATATTCTTGATTTGTACAGTTGCCATCATTTTGAGTATGAACAGTAGCATTATGAATAGTAAACTCCGCTTTTTTAACCAAAAAATAAATAAATAAATAAATAAATAAATAATAAATAAATAAATAAATAGATAAATAAATACAAATCCATATTTACATTTATTGTTCTATTATAGATATTATAATGAACAATTTCTTTATTCATTAAATAACTCTACTTTATTTTATTTTTAAACATTATATCGATCTTTTCTGAAACTTGTTTCTATTTCATTATTTTATTTTATTTTATTTTTGTTCTTTTTTTTCGTATACCCAAAAAACCCAATTCATCTCGACTTGAGTCTGTTACATTTATATAATGTCTTTACCATCTCGGACTGCCGCTACAGAAACAAAGACGCTAGAAGAAAGAGTAGACATGAAGAAATATAAAACTCGTCAACGGTCATCTTCCTTTAATCATTCCATCATTCGTAGACAACTGTCAGATTATTTACTGAGCAATACTAATCCACCTTCTCAAAATAGTAAACATATCAAAAGAGCACCTAGTTTTAGTTCACAGCACCCATCACTGCGAAATCAAACGTCTCATCACAATTTTTTAACTGTTCTTAATAATAGAACTGGAGCTACTTCTTCTATTGACGAATCAGGATCAGAGGAAAATGATGATGATGATGACGACGACGATGACGATATTATATCTTCTTATTTTCATTCTACAACAGACACCAAATTATCTATAATGACACCCTTCTCGATAGTAGAAGATGATCCTCGACCTTTAATAGGTAAATACCATCATTTTATAATTAATAGTCTATTTATTATTAATTATTGTCAAATAATAAAGATTCCCCAACCCCGATATCCTCAAATGATCATAATAGCAGTAATAAATCCCTTGCAAACTCATTCAAAGAAAAACTAGCCATTTCTCGTAAAAAAGGAGAAAATAATCAGCGACAATTATATGACGACGGTTCAAATACTACCTACCCACCTCCTCAAAAGCAAACAGGAGAAAGGTATCTTTTTTTTTATTTTATTTTATTTTATTTTATTTTATTCATTTTATTTTATTTTATTTTATTTTATTTGTTTCACTGTCTAATAATAATATGCATACTATGTCTAGAGATCAATACGGATTCTTGAAAAGTTCACAATGGGTTACTGAGGAAGACTATAATGAGTTTCAAAATAAATATGCACCCATTATGAAGCGAAGATTATTAAAATGGAAACAACTTTTAGCAGATAACAATGGTCAATGGCCTGCAAGAAGTAATAAAAGTAATTATTTATAAATAATATGTGTATACATATAAAATGCTTATTCTTTTTTTTTTGATATAGTTAAACGTTACATCCGAAAAGGTATACCACCTGATTTAAGAGGACAGGTAAGGAAAATTGAAATGTGACAAAAAAAAGAAAAAAAAATTAAATGATAGTCTTTTTAGGCTTGGTTACATTATAGTGGAGCAAAAGCAAAAATGGAAGCAAATAAAGGTTTATATTTTGATTTGGTGAAACATGCAGAAGAAATAGGAAATGAAAATGAAAATCTTGATATTATTGAAAGAGGTAGTAAAAAAAATTATATATTCACTTTGCTTATTTTTATTTATGTGGTTTGATTAGATTTACATCGTACATTTCCTGAAAATAATCATTTTCGTCCTGAAAACAATTCTTTATCAAATACAGAAAAGAAGATACCCATCATTCAATCTTTAAGAAGAGTTCTTTTAGCTTTTTCGATCTATTCCCCTTCAATTGGTTATTGCCAATCATTAAATTATATTGCAGGCATGTTGCTTTTATTTATGAATAATGAAGAAGAAGCATTTTGGACATTTGTAGTTTTGATTACCGATATTTTGCCATCCAGTATTTATGATGTGACGATGGAAGGTGCCAATATAGATCAAAACGTGCTGATGAGTTTAATCTCCGAAAGACACCCTCACTTGTGGAACAGGATCTCTGGAGGGAAAACGTTTTGGGAATGTGAAGAAGAAGCGACTGTAGGTATGCCAACTTGTTCTTTAGTTACTAGTCATTGGTTCTTAACTTTGTATATTAATATTTTACCGACCGAGGTATGTATAAAAATGAAGGAAAAAAAATAGATGTGATATGTACATATGTATATATTTATATCTGTATTTATTAAGAATGTATAGTAAGTTCATTTTATTCTTAATTTATTTTAGAGCGTATTACGTGTTTGGGATTGCTTATTTTAGTGAGTTTTTTTTTTGTTTATAGATAGATATAGAAATATATATTATACGAAAACAATGCTAAAGTCAATTCATAGTGATGGACAAAAAGTATTATTTCGTATTGCTTTAGGCATATTCAAATTAAATGAAAGTGAGATTTTATCCGTTCATGATCCTTTAGAAGTATTTCAAGTCATTCAGGTAATAACATTCAATATCATTTATTATCCTAGTTACCCTGAATACTTACATTTACATTTAGAATATGCCCAAGCGTATGATTGATTGTCATAAATTAATTGACGGAACTTATTTACAATATGCCTCTACAACACGAATAAGTGATGAAGAAATTAAGGAGCGTCGAGAGCTGTTCAGAAAGCGAAGAGATGAAAGACGTCGCAATATTCCTGTACAGAAAGGTTACAAGTTACTTAAGAGAGGAACTGTACGTGGTGCAATTATTCACAGAGCGAAAGAAGCTCGTTACTATGTCGAGAGAGCAAAAACTGTTAGAAAATAAAGATGCTAATTTATAAATTACAAAGAGAAGAATGCGTACTGTAATATTAATGAAATAGGTATAAACTACATGTATTTTGTTTAAAAAAAAGAAAAAAAAAAGGCCAAAAAGATCCATTATAAATAAATAAAAGAGAACTATAGAAACCTCTTTCGTATTCTCTTTATATATAAAACAACAATTCTAAATAATGATATACATATTCTAGTATATATAAATCTTTTAGCTGGAAAGTGATAAGTATACACACACACACACACAGCCTAAATCACCTTCTCCAAATAATGAATCAATATGATATACTCGTATACACGTTCCTTCAGTAAGGCTGCTATATCCTTCATTTGTTAACCTCTTTGTTATTTATACCTAACCATATGAAGCTCTCCTTCCCCCTCCTCTTTTTTTTTTTTTTATTAAATATTTACACAAGACCATTTAGTGTAAGAACTTACACAAATAATGCTTTTATAGAGAAAAGAAGAAGCATGTATATGTAAACAAAGCATATTTTATTCTTATTTTTCATAGATGGTAGAGTTGCAAATAAAATTGAAAAGCAATAAAAAGATTTGATTCATCTATTATGTTACAGCTTTTATATACCACAATTTTACTACTGGTACTCAGACATCGTTGAAGGTATGTTGTAAAAAAAAATATACAGATATATAAATATATAATATCTTAGAACGCTTTATGCTAAATATGGATATTTTTGTGACAACGCATATTACATAATGATTTTAAATAAATGATTCTATTGTGATAATAAATAGAAAGACTTTATTATGAGATTGCTTTCCTTCTTTTTATTATCTAGTACTCGTTAAAAGTGTATATCATAAAAAAAAAAAGCTTTGAATTTGTTTCTATTAAAATAAATTAAGCTAATTATGTTATAATATCCAAAAAAAAAAACTAATGCTAAATAGATGTAATATTTCTTATAACAAATGCTTAATAGTATGAGTATAATTTTTCAAAATATTACGCTTATAATAGGAAATAAAAAGTTTCTACGAGTAAAAGTAAAAAAGCTTCGAGTACTTGCTTTGTTTTAAAAAGTTTTTTTTTTATGAGTTCAAAAATTAAAACTGCGTCCTGAAATTTCTTTCTATGGCCTTCCAAGATAAGTTCCATTTGCTTAATCTTATTGGTAATTTGTTGCCACATCAATACTAATTGGAAAACAAAAAAAAAAAAAAACTTCAGCAGCTGCGGTTATTTATACGAATAAATAATGATAATAATAATAAAATAAAAAAAAATCCCAAGTTTTCAATTTCTTTTTTTTTTTTTTATTTCCTTAATTTATTTTATATTATCTAAACATGTCTGGTAAGACCATTTATATTGATATTTAGTTAGCAAGTCAATATTTGCTAAAGGTATATTATTTGTATAGACTGGGATAAGACTACCGTTCTTCGCAAGCGTGACCCTACAAAGGCAAAGGTTGCTCGTAGCGAATCTGATCTTAATGCTGCCAGAAGAGTAAGTATATCAAAAGAAAGATAAAAGATAAAAGGAAAAAGGGAAAAAAAAACGGATAAAGGGAAATATGGAGAGAATAAAATAAATAAACATGTATTAAAAAAAACAAAAAAAAAAAAAGTGCGTTTAAAGGATAAAAGCTAACTCGAACATTTTCAATTTTTAGGTTGGTGCTGCTATTGTTACTGAAAAGAAATCGACCGTAACCAACTCTAGTCATGCTGATACAGATCATCGTCGTATTGCTAAACTTGACCGTGAAAATGACGTTCCACCACCACCTCGTGTTGATATGTCTGTTGGTAAGGCTATTCAAAAGGGACGTCAAGCAAAGGGTATCACACAAAAGGACTTGGCTCAACTTATTAATGAAAAGCCTCAAGTTGTAAATGAATACGAAGCTGGTAAGGCTATTCCCAACCAAAACATTCTTGGTAAAATGGAGCGTGCTCTTGGTATCAAGTTAAGAGGAAAGAATATTGGTGAGCCTTTGACATTTGGCAAGAAGAAGTAAAGCTATACATAAACAAATACATGATATACATATAATACATACGCATATATATACATATATATACATATATACATATATATTATGCCTTATATATACACATTTATAACCTTTTTTATTCTTTCTTTACAAGCATCGCATTTGTTAATAATAAAAAGATGAATAATTAGATGTTAAGTCTTCCTTTTCTTGACTAAAATAACATGAACACAATTATGTAATACACAATCCTATTTTGTGAGAATAATGTATATTGCGCCTTTTTTTTTTTCTTTCTTTCTTTCTTGTCTTGTTCTTCTTTTAAAATTTAGATACATATGCAAAGGATTTTATTAAACTTAAATGGCCCTGTTAACGTTTTTAAACAAAGAATGTTACTAGTATCTTCAGTTCCTCTTCCAAGTCATACAATTAATAAGAGGAATGAATTTGATATTCGATATAATGCTAATCAAACTATTAATCTTCAAATGCGTAGAACATTGACTTCATCAGAGACAATAGAAACAATAAATAATAATAGTAGTAAGTGCAGTTTAGTCAGACTTGTATATAAATATATGATATGGATTGTTAACTACAGATATATATAAGCTACAAAGATTTTTTCGGAAAAAAAGAATTTAGTTATTATGCAAGAATTACTACAAAGTATTATGAAAGAAGACAATTCGTCTTTACTTGGTTATACAAGGAAATTTCGTAAATTGTATAAGCGACTAGATAAAGTAACTACTGCATTTAATATACCTTTTTTTTTTATTACTGAATCTTATACACACAATAGAATGAAAAAAGAAAGACCTTTGATCTCTTGATAGAACGTAAACGATGATTTTTTTTTTTATTTATAACTGACTAAAAGAGATATATATTGACAATCTAATATTAGAAAGCTACTATTTTAATAAGTTGGGTCACACTAGCCACAATCAAGTATGTTTATTCATTCATTTTATGTTATATTATATGAACGCAATTTAACAAAAAAAAAAAAAAAATCCTTACGACCCTCTTCCTTATCTAAAACTGAAGTTTGGTCAACTTTTTGATCGAATTCATCAAGTCTTGCCTGATGGACTTAAATTTTTGATTGATATAAGGGCGGATTTACTTGTAAATTATAGACAAGCGTGTTATTCATGTACCTAAGCTTATGTGTTTACATATGTATATGTGTATATATAGGATATTATAGACACAGAGAAAAGAAATAATTCTGCTTCCTCATTGTATACTCGATTCTCCGATTTAGAGCAAGATATTCGTTTAAAACTAAAAGAATATATAACTAAATGTTTAAAGTTAGAACAAATAAAATGGCAAAATACCTCGGGAGATATATTAGAAAAAGTAAAGAAAAAAATAAATAAACAAATAAATGGTATCAATGACATGCCGTCCAGTAAAAGGAAAAAAAAAGGAACTAATTATATTTTTCATATAGATTTGTACTTATGAAGCTGTTCATGCTGTTCAGGACTGGAAAGATTTGAAAAGGTATTGTTGAATTAAGAATGAGTCGAGTCTATTATATTATTATTCTTATAGTGTTGAAGACGGTTAGGACCTGATCGCCGAGTTTATGGTTTATTTTTTGAAGATAGTCTGAATAAAGCGAATGAGCCACTTGTATTCATTCATGTTGCACTTGTTCCAGAACTTTCAACATCAATTCAAGATATTATAAATGCAAAGGAATTCTTCTTAGATAACGATGAAGAGGAAGATAGGGTTATGAAACGACAGCAACAGACATTCAAATATGCTATATGCTATTCAATCACTACTCAGAAAGGATTAGGTGGAATTCATTTAGGTCATTATTTAATTAAAAAGGCCATAGAAAATTTGAAACAGACTCATCATCAAATACACACATTTGCTACTCTTAGTCCTATTCCGGGATTTCGAACATGGCTAAATAATAATATCCATACTATAATTCAAGCGGAATTTAACACTATAAAGAATTGGAAAATGGTATGATAATGTGTCACTACTACTAGTGCTAGTACTAGTACCAGTACTACAGCACAATATAATCACTTGTTAACCATCTTTAGTAAAATCTTCTTCATATTAAATAATACAGAAATTAGATCGATTTAATGATGAGGATAAAGAAGAATTAAGGTCGCCTCTAATGAGTTTATGCGCGAGATATATTTTAGATGAAAAAGACATGAAAGGAAAGAATGCTTTAGATCCTGTTGGTATGTATGATATCAGAAGAAGTTCTTACATTTTATTAACCATTCATATTAAACTGGCTTCCTAATGTTATAAGCTAACTTTCATCTAAAAAACGGTGCTTGCGTCCATCAAATTCATTGGCAAGCTGATACCTCAAATAAAGGCTTCCAACAATCATTTGGTATTATGGTCAATTATAATTATATTCTTAATAATCTAGAAAGTAATCAATATTTATACAAGAATAAGGGACATATTTGTATAAGCAGTCAATCCCTCTCTTAATAAACTAAACTATTATTTTTTTTTTTATTTCCTATCTGGTTGATTAAAACCAATAATAACGAATCAAAAGGACGAATAAAATGACGGAAGCAATGATAACAAGAGGACCATATTTACGATATAATGCTTGTAAATTTAAATGACGTGCCTTATCCTTAAACATCTTTGCACTGTCCTTTAATTCACCAGAGATAGTACTCATACGATCCAAGCTATCTCCACGCCATAATAAATCTTCCATATTTTTAGTCATAATACGCGTCACATCTTGTAAATCTTCATTTAATTTTGTCAAGTTGCTTTGAGTTCGTGTATCTTGATATATTCTTTTTGTTTTTTGCATAAAAACGTCTAGTATTTATATTCGAATCGTAAGATTACTGCATGTTATATATATATATACATGTATATTCTTGCATATATTTTACCAAATTTAACAAATGCATAAGGTCTTAATCCAGGCTTATCAACTTCATTACCATAACTCATATTAAACTCTTTAGCCAATTCCTCTAAATAGCTAAATGCAAGTTTACGAGGATATGATTTATCACAAATACACAAATAACAAACGCTTCCTTCAATAATATAGCTATATATATACATAAAGCAGATAATTAAACAACATAATCCATGAAAACAAATATATTCTATACAAAGAAAAAAAAACTTACTGGAATACATATTTTCCTGACTCAATAGAGCATCTCGGTTCAGAATTCATATTAAGTCGTTTAAAGATGGTCTTTGCTTGTCCTTTATATTCAGCTAATTCATTCTCGACCTTTATATACATGTATAATATAAATAAAGACACACACATATATATATAATCTATGTTTGCATATGTATACCTGTTCATCATCCATACTAGCTGCTAATGGAAGACCATCAGAGACTCTTGCAATAATTGTTGTTTTTACCATTTATTAATATATAATATTCTGCACTTGAAATTCAAGTAAAAAAGAAAAAGTTATAACACACACACAAAAAAAAAAGAAAAGATAATTTAATACACTTTGATAAAAAAAAAGCGTCTTTGTGACGTGGCAGCAGCAGAAACTTTTATTTCTCTCAATAAAACTCGACCAGTTCTTTTCTTTTCTTTTTTTTTTTTTTTAAGCTAGCCTACGTTTACTTGTGTATATGCTTATTCCTTTTTTATATATTTTCTATCATGCCATATAACATACATACATAATAAACGTAAAAAAAATTTTCTTTTTTTTTTAAGAAAAAAAAATTGAATAACATGTTTATATATTCTATTTAATTGCTAACTAGGAAATTCATAGAAGCTAAAATATCGTTATTGTTATCTCTCAAAACAGATTCAGCTTGCATTTTAGGAATCAAAAATTGGTTCATCTATTAAAATAGAATATTTGATAAACAATACTTGTTGCATTCCGCGTTTTTTTTTAAAAATACTTACTAAAAATTCAACATCTGTCTTGGCAACAGCTGGTATAGTTTTTACTCTAAACAAAACCAGAAAAAAAAAGGCATGATCTTGTCAGTAAGTGTGGCTCTATAAAGATATACGCGAAAGAAGAAGAAAAAAACTTACTGAGTCGATTTCTTATACTCTTTCGCTAATTCTTGCAATTCAATTAAAAACTATAATAATGAACATACATCTATAATTTAGCTTTTTTTTTTTTTTTCAAAAAAAAAAGAAAGAAAGTTGTATATCTATTATTTACTTTAGCAAGTCTATCTGCAGCTTGTTGTCGACTATTAATTTCATCAACTGCCTTTAATGCATTAGGATCACCATGTGAGCCGTGATCATGAGTACAATTGGAATGATCATGATGATCGTGAGTCATTTTAATTGTCTACTAAAATATATTAAAAAAAAAAAAAAAAAAAAAAAAAAAAGGAAAATGACAACATATTTAATTCTCTTTCTTTTACATGGTTTAAACTCCGTTAATAAAGTAAACAGGATTTTGTACTTCAATGCGTTTTATAAAGGTTTAAATTTATATTAAACGCAGCAAGATTCACCGAGTCATATCATCAATGAGCACATTAGTAACTTGAAAGTCTATTTTATTTTTTTGGTCAAGAGCACAATATAATTAGTGAAAGGGGGAAATAAGGGAGCCAATCATGAGGCTTTTGCCCTGATTATAATGATAATGAAGGCAGACTTTTTTTTTTTTTTTTTTTTTTTTTGGGTAAACGAGGTAATTGTATTTATCTAAATTATTGTCCAAGGATGAACAAAGAAAAGGTGTTAAAATGTATATGTAAATAAAATGAAAGGGAATATGAATAGTCTCTAGAATTTAAAGTCAATAACGTATTTGGAGACATATTGATAACACATTGCTTTTGAGTGGAAACGGAATAGTTTAAATGATCCAGCACTAATATAAGCAGAATAACTCTAGCTTTTAAATCATGTTTGCCTAAACAAATATAAATTGTACACTAGGAGTAAACTGCGTTAGAAGCAACAAACTTATTGTTTCTGATGGATGGGAGAAGATCTTGCCGAGTCAATCTTTCATAAGAGATAGGACGAGTATTTCAGCAGTATTGCAATTACATTCCTACAGCATTGCAACAGCTTTTTGCAAACAAAGTCGCCATAACGATCTGTTATTGTGGGTGTAAGTTTTCTTTTACAACATGAATGACAAGTCTACTTCATATAAAATATAAATAAACTATCTTAAAATAATATTAGAAGAAATTATCGTTTTTTTTTTTTTTTTTTTTTTTTGGAAGCTTTGTAATATCTCTACAGTAAGTATAATTGAATGGCTGCATTTTTGTCCAGTCAATCATGTTTAGACATCTTTTTTAAAGGCGATAGTTGGAATCTTTATCTTATCTAGATAAAACTTGTGTGGTGATCAATATTAGATTTCTTTGACTACTATACAATAAAAAAAAAAGGCTGTCTTAAAATAATCTCAATAATTATATACTCTAATTTTAACTTGAAAGATTAAAAGAGCATTTCTAGTCTACAGAACAAGTAAAATATACCAACTAGAATCTAATTCGTACAGCAACTGAATTTAAACTATATTTATCTTGTTTAATCGACTAAAGTAAAACATGTATAGAAACAGATAATGAAAGGATATTCTGTCAAAGACTCTAATACAAAAAGAAACTATAAAAGCCAACTTATTTAACTGTATATATGTATATATATATGTATGTATGTATGTATCTATTTATATGCTATTTTATTTCTTGTTAAATAGTCCTTTTTGTAACCATTTTGGAATAGATTTCGATGCTGATTTTTGTTGATTAGTATTATTTGAAATGGATGAAATAGTAGGCACATGTGATGAAGATGATTGAGGAGAAGCAGCAGGCGTTAAATCTTGCTTCATATCGAGATATATTTGCTTTAGATCTTTTCCTGTAAAAAGTAATACAAAAAAAAATTAGATATTCCTACTATTATCACAGTTAGGATAATTCTACCTCCTTCTCCTTTTTCAATCCAGCCAAACAACACATTTGATGCTGGAGATAACCCAGCTTTGAACAAACTAATTGATGGTTCAACCAATTTAGTACGGGGTGGCAAGCAAAGTACAAATTTACGCTCAGGTGTTTCTAATAAAGATCTTATGAATTCATACAACGCGGACACTGATAGTGTATCATAAGAATAAGTTTCTAATGTATAACATGTTTGTTCCTTCTTCAACATTTACCTTTTTCTTTTGATTGGAAAACGGCTTGTACAATTGTATGATCAGGCATTCGAACACGAATTGTTGTTTTAGGATATCGTTTTAATTTTTCTTGCTCTTCACTGTCTCTCATCTTTTGTGTTTTTAATGGTCTACAAGAGAATTAAATCTCTATTTAAATAAGTGATCGGTATTAATTATTTTCTTATATTCTCACCTATTTTCAAGATTTTGACGATATTCAAGTTGGGATTGATACAATTGTTTGAGTTCATTAGCACTTAGTTTATAAGCAGACTCTGGCAAATCAGCTAATAATAATAATAATAATAAAAGTAGAGGGAAGAGAAGAATCAATGAGCATCGTAAATAACTATTGAATGACTCTGTTTTAATCAATTACCAATAGGACTAGCACTTTTTGGTGGATTCAATATTTTGAGCTCCCTATTAAAAGTATTTTGTTCTATAGCATCTGTAACAGTTGTCATTATGATTAGTGTTGTTCTTTTTTTTTTTTTTTGTGAAGAAGATAAAAATAAAAGAAAGAGGAAAGTATACACGCAAATTTATTCTGCTTTCTTAACGGAGATTAAAATTAATTTGTAAAGTTAACAATAAATATATTGCGTAGTTAGTTAGTCAAAGAGCTTCATTTATGTGAAGAGCAGAAATTATCGTATAGAATGTGTTATGTTTCCAAACTTCTTAGCAAAAAAAATATATATATTTATACATATATTCTTATTAATATTTTAACAATTGATCTATATTGTTTCAGTATTCATTAAACTAATAAGATGTACCTGAATATTATAAGCAGGAATGACTTTAACTGCATACAAGCCTATAAATGCTGTAATATGTTTTATTTCATTTGTAAAAAAAATAAAATGAAATAAAATAAGTATTCGGTTAACTAATAATATTAATATCAATAGAGGTATCTTCAAAAAGATTGTAAAGTACTATTGATTTATTTTAAAATGCCTTCGACTCCTAGTTTTTTACTATAGGATTTCTGTGATTATATTTGCTGGCTCTTCTAGTCTTTATATAATAAATTCCAAGTGTTCAAGTATCAGGTTGAATGGCTCGAAACATGTCAATTATGTATTTTATAACCCTTATTATGGTGGTAGATAATAATATAGTACAGTCACTACCTGATGCAATTAAACAAGGATTATGCTTATTTCTCTTGGAGTGCATATAGAAAGGCTTGGCCGAAAAAAAAAATATACCTTGTAGGCAATTGAATGTATGATTTTGCATATTCACGAATCAAAGGGAAATGTCACCGCAATCAGTCATGTTTATCCCTAATATAAAAAAGAAGTCTATTATCATAACCCTTTATATATAAATATATGCATATAAATGTATATAATTCATTCCTCTCTTTTTACTTTCGGATATAAATGATGATCTACTTGTTATCTTGATGCAGTTTGATCCTTCACAAATACCTGCAGCAGACTTTAGTTCTCACAGCGACAAGAGTATTGTAGAATGTACAAATTACAGCAAGAGAGTGTAATTTTTACTTACATCCTCTTCTCAACTTCGAAAAAAAAAAAGGAGGGTAAATAAGCATACGTTGGTAAACTGGAGAAGTAAGAATGATAACCATTTTTTCCTGTTCAAGAATAAGCTCATTAATAAAAATAGAAATACAATCAGTGAAATGTTTATCCTTGTAAGCAATTACAATAACAAATGCAACCATTCATGATTTCTTACGTAAGAGTATTTGCTTTTCTTTGATGAGGGTGTACATATGTCTATAAATCTTTTGTAGCCAATAAAAAATTGGTACGCGTTGAGCTTAATTATTTAATAAAGCAAATACAATACATTTTATTTTTCTTTAGCAAAAAGAAAAACTCGTTAAAAGCCCAACATGCCGATAAAACAGAGTTCAATTTGCTGGAAGAAGAAAATTATTTATTTATCTCGTAAGGCCCTAATCCATCTTGTTTTATTCTTTTTTTTTTTCTTTGATTCCTAACGTATTAAGAAACAATATTTTAAAAACTCTAGCTATCATTATCGGCTTTATTGTTCAAATCGTCTCTGCAACTGAACAGCAAGACAATACACAACAGACTGTATAGCAAAAAAAAAAAAAAAAAAAAAAAAAAAAAAAAAAAGAATTGCTCAATTGAATATAGTTAACTCTTTATTTTATTTTTTTATTTCTATAGGCAGCATTCATAACATCAATTGAAAAGGGAAATGTTGACTTTAAAATTGAAGGTAATACCTGGTTATGCGCATAGAGTACTAGGAAGCATGTCTTAACACACACTTTCATTCTCTCTTTTTTTTTTTTCCTCCTTTTTCTTGATTATAGGCCAAAAGTTATATGAACAAGCAAAAAAACAACTCGAAATTATCGAAGAAAATTACATTAATAATACTCAAAAATTAGAAAAAGATTCGAAAATAAGTTTTACAGATCGTTTGTTTCAAAAGTTAATCAATTACTGGAAATCAAGTTCGATATCCTCCTCTATAATACCCTCAAATGACAAAAAAGAATTAGACATTTCAAGAAAAAATGATTTTCATAATGTCATTTTAATGCTGGAAAAATCAGCCAGAGAATATGGAAATAATGACGCATTATTATTATTAGCTGAGATAAATTTTGTAAGTACTTGAATATGAATTTTAAAAGGCTGAAATGAATTGACTGAAGATATAGTTCTCAAAATATTCATTTCCAAGAAATTATAAAAAAGCCTTTGATTATTACAATGAATTAGCCTCGAAAGGGAATGCAACTGCACAGCAGATGATAGGCTTTATTTATTCTACAGGCATTGGCAATGTGGTAGAGCGAGATCAAGCTAAAGCATTATTATATCATACATTTGCTGCTCATGGTGGCGATACAATGGCTGAAATGACAATGGGCTATAGATATCTATTAGGCATTGGTACAGAAGAGTCTTGTGAAGACGCTTTATATCATTATAAAAACGCTGCTAATAAAGTAATCAGTTACTATCTCTCTGGGCCTCCTGGAGGACATTCGCTTCCTCTAGCTAAAGTTCGATTATCTGAGGAAAATGGAGGTGTATATGGTTATGGTGCAAGTGCAGCAACAGAGAAAAGATTTAAACATACAAGTGGTTCAGAGAAAACTGTCAGTATTGATGAAATTTTACAATATTGGCGCTACTTGGCTTCAAAACAAGATATTGAAGCACAGCTTATGTTGGGCCAAGTTTATTACCTTGGTACTCGTAATGTACCTCGTAATTTTAATGAAGCGTATGCATTCTTCCACCAAATTGTAGATAAAGTGACATCGAGTGGTAAAGTGCATGCAAAGCACAGTAAGGTCATTGGACAGGCCGCTGGTTATTTAGGATTAATGCATTGGCGTGGTGAAGGTGTGAAAGTGAATGAGAGATTGGCACATAAATGGTTTAAACTTGGCGCAGATTTGGGGGATCCTACATCGCAAAATAATCTAGGTATGATGTATTTGGACGGTATTGTGGTAGACAAAAACCGAGATAAAGCAATAGAGTATTTTAAAAAGGCAGTAGATCAAGACAATGCACATGCTCAAGTTAATTTGGCTATAGAATATATTCAAAATGAAGCTACCATGTCTCTCGCCATTCGTTTATTCACGAAGGCGGCTGATGCTAAACATTTGTTAGCCTATTGGTATCTTGCTCATATGAATGAACAAAATATGACCCCTAGGTCATCTTGTCGTGTAGCTGTTTCAGTAAGTACTTTTAGTTTTTTTTTTTTTTCTTTTCAAAGAAGTTTAAAATGAAAACACACACACACACACACACACACACACACACACACACACACATAAATCACAAAAAACAAAAAGACTGACTAACTAATATTATTAAAGTATTATAAAGTAATTACAGAAAGAGGTGATTGGTTAAATCCAACTGTTGAGGAAGCATATAAAGCTTATAAAAATAACGATATGGAGAACGCACTTCTCAAATATATGCTAGCAGCTGAAAGAGGATATGAAGTAGCACAGTCAAATGTTGCATATATTTTGGATAATGATAAAAGAATGTTATATCATTTACCTTTAATTGGATCATTAAATGATCATGATGAGCAACAATCAACTGAGATCATTAAAGGGCTGAATAAAGAGGAGTCTGCATTTATCTACTGGACACGTTCAGCTAATCAAAATAATGTTGATTCTCGAGTAAAAATGGGTGATTATTATTACAAGGGAATTGGCACATCAGTGGATTTTGAGAAAGCTGTTTCTTGTTATCGTTTCGCTGCTGAAATGCAAGGGTCACCATTAGCATTTTGGAACTTGGGATGGATGTATGAAAATGGTATTGGTGTAGCTAAAGATTTCCATCTTGCTAAACGAGCCTATGACCAGGCACTTAATATTGATCAAGATGCCTATTTACCTGTCAAACTGTCATTAATCAAAATGTACATTAAATATTATTGGGAATGGTTAACAGGACAAGAAGTCGGAACTGCATTTGCATCTAATGACGACAATAAAGAAAATCGGGCATCAAAGCTAGCAAGTGGTTACAACAGCCATAAACAACAAAAGAATATCAATGATGAAAGTGAAAAGCAGTATGACATTGGTGAAGAAATGGAGCGACAATATAAAATGAAAAAACAAAAGGAAAAGGAGGAACAAGAAAAACTAAACCAAGAAGATTCTTATGATGACAGCCCATATCGTTTGGATGGCGTCTCTGAAGAAGATGAATTGTTCGAGAGTTTACTAATTTTATCTCTATGTCTACTAGTTGGTTACCTTATTTATGTAAGACAGTTCCGCTTCGGTGGTGAGAATAACAATAATAATAATCAAAGAAATAATGGCTTTATGGCTGACAATCCCCCTCAGTAACAATAACATTCGACATTTTTTTTTATGTAGTTAATTATACATATAATAACATTATTAATAAAAATAATAATATAAAAGAATACTTTACATTATGCATATATTGAAAAAGAAAATACTATAATTAGCATTGATGAATTTTCATATAATTTACAGATCAACACTATTTAATTTGTATAATTACAAAGGAAAGAAAAAGGGCAGATGATGAGACTGCTAACAATAAACTCTTTGGCTGCAGAAGAATAGGAAAAGAATAAGGATAGCCTTATCCTAATATTGACAGAAATGATTATTATTTCTTTTCCTTTTTATCCTTTTGGTTATAGTACGCAAGAGAAGAATCAAGTTTTTCTTTCTTTCTTTCTTTCTTTTTTTGGCCAGAAGAGAAATCAGTAATATAGTAGATATCTTGTATAAAAAGCCGCAATAAAAAGGACATCAAATAAGGGTCAATCGCAACAAAGATAAATAAATTTAGAAATGATGAAGATATAGTATCCTTGTATTTTTTTTTATTCTCACAAAGCAAATAAAAAGAAAGTGTATTATGAAAGGGAAAGTCTGCATTACGTGTATATTAGATAATACAGAAGCTTTGAAATTAACAAATAAAAAAAAATGTTGTTCCAGTAATAAAGTTTGTAAAAAGCCGTCGTATACTACAGTAGTAACAAGATCTAAGCGCTTTCAAGAAAATGCACAAATTATCATTTTCCATACTTAATAGCTATCGATACCCAGTTCCGCTTATCAGAAAGTGAAATAGTAAATATAATTCTTCAACTAAGGACAATTCTTCAAGGTAGAAATTTTAATATTTACGTTATAATAAGTTCAGTCTTGAAGTAAATTATCAATACTGTCTTATTAGACACTCATGGTTCCTCTTTAGTTTTGCGCAAGTAACTTGTCTTACTTTCTATAAAGTACTGTGTAGGCTAGTATCTTTTTTTTTTTTGTTTTTTTTTCTTTTTATTAATTGGCTTTTTGAAAGTTTTATATGCTAAAAGTGCGTTACTTGATTTATTTCCCTTTATCTAAAATTATTAGCTTTTGACAAAAAAGTGCCTAAAACTCTAACAAATAAAAGGAAAATAAATAAATTTTTGTGCCCATAATCATTAAGAAAAAAAAAAAAAAAAAGAAGATAGTACACACATCATTCCCCTTTTCGTCATCACTTAATATTTAATTTCAGCAACATTTTGCTATTTTATGTGGGGCAAAAATATAAGGTGTGTATCTAGCGTTAACTCAGCTACCCAGGGGGCGTGTTATTCAAATTAATACTACGAAAATAATGTTGTTCTTTTTAAATTAAACCCCTCTCTTACTCTCTTTCTTTTTTTTTTTGTCTCCACAAAAAAGAAATGAACTTTACTCGTGTTCTAGGAAAGTCTTCCATTAACGCCATTCGCGTTCAAAAGGCTAATGCCCGTATGCTTGGTCGCGCTCTCGGAGCACAAACCTCAATGGCAGGTAATGATCCGAAATTCAAACAAAATAAATAATAATAATAATAAAAAAAAAAAAAAAAAAAAAAAAAAAAAAAAAAAAAAACTTAACCCACTCTTTTTATCATAACTAGTTCGTTCATATGCTACTGATAACACCAACACTGGTAAAATTCGGTAAAGACAAATTTATTGATGATTGGCTTTAAAGTTGGACTCATCAAATTCATTTTTATTTTAGTTCTGTCATTGGTGCTGTTGTCGATGTTCAATTCGATCAAGAAAACTTGCCTGCCATTTTGAACGCTCTTGAAGTTCAAGGTCACTCTGGTGGACGTCTTGTTCTTGAAGTCTCTCAACATTTGGGTGAAAATACTGTTCGTACTATTGCTATGGATGGTACTGAAGGTAAGAAAAAAAATAAGGGAACAAATTGAAGATTTATATATATATTTAGATATGTATATGCATATGTAAAAAATAATAATTAATTTGAATAATATAACTAAACATAAACTATTTCATTAGGTCTTGTTCGTGGTCAAAAGGTTGTTGATACTGGTGCCCCTATCACCATTCCCGTTGGTAAAGAAGTTCTTGGTCGTATTATCAACGTTATTGGTGAACCCATTGATGAACGTGGTCCTATCAATGCTAAGACTCAACGTCCTATTCACGCTGATGCTCCTGAATTTGTTGACCAATCACCTACTCCCGAAATTCTTGAAACTGGTATTAAGGTTGTTGACTTATTGGCTCCTTATGCTCGTGGTGGTAAGATTGGTCTTTTCGGTGGTGCTGGTGTCGGTAAGACTGTCTTAATTCAAGAATTGATTAACAACATTGCTAAAGCTCATGGTGGTTATTCCATTTTCTGTGGTGTTGGTGAACGTACTCGTGAAGGTAACGATCTTTATCACGAAATGATTCAAACTGGTGTCATTCAATTGGAAGGTGATTCCAAGTGTGCCCTTGTCTTTGGTCAAATGAACGAACCCCCAGGAGCTCGTGCTCGTGTTGCCTTGACTGGTTTGACCATTGCTGAATACTTCCGTGATGATGAAGGACAAGATGTATTGTTGTTCATTGATAACATTTTCCGTTTCACTCAAGCTGGTTCCGAAGTATCTGCCCTTTTGGGTCGTATTCCTTCTGCTGTCGGTTATCAACCTACCTTGTCTACTGATATGGGTGGTATGCAAGAACGTATTACAACTACCAAGAATGGTTCTATTACCTCTGTCCAAGCTGTCTATGTCCCTGCTGATGACTTGACTGATCCTGCTCCCGCCACTACTTTTGCTCACTTGGATGCTACTACCGTCTTGTCTCGTTCAATTGCTGAATTGGGTATTTATCCTGCTGTCGATCCTCTTGATTCTAAATCTCGTATCCTTGATCCTCGTATTGTTGGTGAAGAACACTACAAGGTTGCCACTGAAGTTCAACAAATTCTTCAAAACTACAAGTCCCTTCAAGATATCATTGCTATTTTGGGTATGGATGAACTTTCTGAAGAAGATAAGCTTGTTGTCGAACGTGCTCGTAAGATTCAACGTTTCTTGTCTCAACCTTTTGCTGTCGCTCAAGTTTTCACAGGTTACGAAGGTCGTCTTGTCAAGCTTGCCGATACCATTCGTTCCTTTAAGGAAATCTTGTCTGGTAAGCATGATCACTTGCCTGAATCTGCTTTCTATATGCAAGGTGATATCAATGATGTTCAGAAGCGTGCTGAAGAGCTTGCCAAGGAAATGGGTTCTCAGTAGATAATATTGTTGTAACTTTATCTCATTCTTATTAGTTTTTTTTTTTCCTTCCTTTGTACTTTTTTCACTTTATCCTTTTTTTTTATAACAGAATTCTTAAAATTAAAACATATAGTAAAAAATCATCTATGTTTTTTTTTCTTAAAAAAAAATGAATGTATACAAATCTTTACTGAAGAATGTGAAAAAAAAAAAGAAGGAGAAGAAAATTTTATACCAACATGTTATATTTGTATAAAAAAGTTGATTAATAAGTAAATTAAAATAAAAAACATTATTTAAATAATAGAAGCAATATGAATAATAATAGTAATAATAAAAAAGAAAAATGATGGCTTCTGTTTTCGTAAGTGAATTCTCAACGAAATTTTTCTATGACTTTATCCCTTTTTTTTGAAGGAAAGAGGCATCAATGTGGGATAACATACCCACTTGAATGATGGGTAAATCGAATTGTATTGGCTGAAACCCTTTAGAGAGTGAGTCTATTGTAGACAAGCTTGGAAATGAGCACTGGCTATCAGAGGATTCTAAAATATTACGGCAGCGAGGTGTATAAAACGAAGTGGAAGACGAAGTAGTGGTAGTCATAGGCATATGCATGTCCTGGGTCATTGATATAGGTGGAGATAAAGGATGCATAATATGAGTAGGTTGATAATTATAATGATAATGCTCTTCATTATTTGGCTGAGAGGTTGTGGTGATCATAGTTGATTCTAACAGATCAATATCACTCCTTCGTTTCTCTGAAAACTCATATCCTGTCATTGTCATAGAAGAAGACTGTTGCCCTAATTCGATACTATTAGGTTCAGTTGTTGAAACATTTCGTTGATAATAAGACCTCAATGAAACACTATCTCTATCACCACTCTTTTTTTTCTGTTGTAACTGGTGTAAATTTTCGGATGTAAAATGAGTCGTAGAATTGACGTTACTTTTCTTATTGTAATGCCCCATATAATAAGGTTTATTGGGCTGTTCTTGATCTAATGAATAATAGGCTTTATCAGGAGGAGAGATAAGCATAGGTTGAGAGAAGCGTTGTGGGGGCGCTTCAATAGTAAAGATAGTAGTAGGTGGAATAGGAGAACGAATTAAAGTGAATAGCGTGGCTAGTAAAACTAAAACCCAACCTCCAACTGCTGCAAATGCTAAAAATAATATTTATCAAGTTAGGACAATTATCCATTTTCTTTCCTTTCCCCTCCCCCTCCCCCCCCCCACACACTGCTCCTTCCTCTTTGCATTTTTTTTTTTTTTTTTTTTTTTGCTGCAATTCCCTTATTTTTAATAAGTTCACCTCCTGTCAATATTATTAAAATTTACCTAGCATTAATGCAGTATTAAATAATTCACAAATGTCATTATGGTTATGGATATGTATAGTATTGTTAAATTGGCATGATGAAGTTGATTCTATGCACAACAAGGAAAAGAAAAAAAAATTCGATAAGAATAAGAGTATACGAATATGTGAAATACCTTTACCTTGAGAGTAAGTTAGGATAATTAAAGTAGCAACTGTCCATAGGGCAATTAATATAACAGACATGACGACTTGAGTAGCTGAAATTATTCTTGGTGAAGAAAATGGAAGATCTGGTTTAGAACCAAGACGGAAATATAAATGTATATGTAGGAACAGGTAAATGGTAGCATTAATAAATGAAATTGAGCCTAAAATAATCAGCATATAATCTGTCGCGCTAAAGTGAGTGCTGACAATAGCACGAAGTTGTGATGAACTTTTCAATAAATATAATGCTGTTGAATTCAATATAATAACAGCTAAGCTGATCCATTGTACGAGTACTAATAATGAAAGGTGAAATGCTGACTCTTTTTGAGCCCGTGTCATGATAGAAAAAAAAAAGGGAAAAAGAGAGAGCAAAAGGAAGGAATACTTTTATAAATTAAAAAAAAAAAGAAAGAAAGAATAAATGACTATACGAGCAATAATAAATTATATATATATATATATATTTTTAATATACATTATTAACTCTTACATGAGCAAAGAAGTATATCACTACTCTCCTCTTTAATAGAATATATATATGTATATATGTAATGATATTAAAAGTATATTAAGTGTCAAATATAATAAGATTGCATTTCTTATCTTTACTCCTTACGTTATAGCAACTTATTATTACATAAGCATTTTGCATGACGATATATACCATTTCCCTTCATATAAATACATGAAAATAATAATCATAAATACGAATATAAATAAATATAGATATAATCTCCCTTTATTCACATAGTACACTGCAATGAATTAAATACTCTTTACTACCCATAGTCTCCTTTTTTTTTATCACTTTTAATTTATATTCTAAAAATTTAATTAATAAGAATAACAATATATTTTGTATGTTATTAATCATAAAGAAGTCCTTAACCAAAGAAGTTTACATTGTATATATAAGAGGAACATTGAATTACTTTTTATTATCATTACATATTATAAGATCTGTTAAATGTAGTTGTTTATTTCTTTGCATGTCCTGCAACATCACCAAACTTAATATTGCCTTCTTCATCGTTTATATGTAATTCTATGTATATTATATAGTTAATATCACATGTTTTTTTTTCGTATTTATATATATATAAATATGTATCTATTTATAATATTTACTTGGTGTACTAGCTCCTTCTTCCCTTACTGCCTTGACGCCATTTTGTTTTAATAAAGAGCATACTTGATCAGCTAGTTTAAGTTTCTAATTGACAAGCATGTTATTAAACGTGAATTATGCTTGCTTATTTACTTATTTTTTCATGTTGCATACTTCATCTAAAACATCAACATTTGCTTCATTTTTATATTGCATAAATCTTGAATAAGTTTCCTTTCTAGCAGCTAAATAATTTATACTAAATACACTTTAAAGAGTTTCGGACCATAGTCTATATTACCTTGAATAGCTTTTACATCGCCTAATAAAACCAAGATTGTTATTCTCCATGTGTCAAAATAAGTGAATGCATGTTATACTCTACCTGTAAATACTTCTCTTTGTGTTTTTAAAAGGCGACGATAAGCAGCAATAGCAGCCTGTTTAGAAGGTGAGATTGACATTTTCTAAAATTAGTTAATAATACAGCGTTTTGGCGTTTAAAAGTATAGAAAAGTAATAAAATAGAATGAAAAATAAAAATAAATAAAAAATGAAAAATGAAAATAAAACATCATCCAAATTTTTTCTAGACCAGACCAACATTAATTTTCTGTAGATTATAAGCCCAATCCCCAAATTTCAGGAACTCAACTCAACTAATTGTATTATGTCGTTAACCATAAGAACAAGCAAAGTCGATATAAATTAGGCACGATATGGTGGTACAGATGATATTTTTAAAAGGAAAAAAAAATAAAAGAAAGAGAGAAGACAAAAAGAAAAAAAAAAGCACAGTTTGAGACTGTTCATTCAATGTAAAGAAGAAAAATAAAGACAAAGCTTATTTCGCGTCTAAACAACTACTTGGACTCATACTATTGAATCCTGAATCAAAGAAATAAAAATAGCTATGAAATAAGTTTGTTAGTATTCAAATATATATGTCTTGTTGATTCAAGGTACTGATCTATATGGATTATTTATTAGGTGTTATAATGATCTGATTATAAGCTCCTGATGTCTTTTAAAAAGTGTTATTTTCTTATTTGAATCAAAGACGACCTGAATTCCTTTATCAGAGTTATATAAAATAGGTTTAGAACTGACATAATGTCCTATTTAGTTGACACGTCTAGATGATTGGATATCAATATGGTTTATATTATTTACAAGATGCGATACAATGTTTTACTTTATAGTTTATCCTTTATTATGTAATTTATGTACTATAATACTCCTTATGCTTATACCCAGAGCTCGTTCTATTACACCCCCAAAGTACTAGAACTGAATTGTCGATGACTGGCAGCATATTTGTGTTCTTTAACGTGACAAAAGTTAATATATAAGGTCTAGATGGATACAAATACTATTGGTCAAGGCAGGGCGATCCGTTGAAGTCTCATTATTTTGATATTATATTCAAGCATGATGGAGGGAGAATTCTATTACAATTTGAGGTTATAAGATTAAATAGGATTCAAAGTACACAAATCAGATATATTATGATAATGTGAATTCCATATAATCACCAGCGTATTCTAGGAGCTACACTTACGAATAACTTAGGATATAACGGCATGTCATGAAATGTTGCTTATTTTCAGCAGGATAATGACCCTAAAATGTACATCAACGTCTACTAGAAGCAGATTCTCGATAATGATGTAATCTCGATCAATGAATGATTATCTTAGAGCCCTGAGTTAAAATCAATAGAGTACTTATCGCAACACTTAAAATTGAAACTTAGTGTGTATGATACTGGGATTAAAGAAAAATTATTTATTAATGGCGAAATTGTATTGATAAAGAATACGATATTTTTACACAAGACAAATGTAGAAGATAAGTTGAAAGTATGCCAGTCAATATTCAAACCGTACTTTCTACAAAAGTTGGTCATAAATTGTATTAATATTAAACGATGGTGTGAGTGAAAAAAAAAAAAAAAAAAAAAGTTCACATGCTACTAATGTTTTTGAATTCAATTTGCACTTTAAAAATAGCTTAGCTTTGTGTCTCCTCTAGTGTTGATTTTTCTCTTTCTGTTGTCAAGATATAGGTCCAAATGTGTTAATCCATAAAACATGTAAACATTTTTTATTTTAATTTTCATCTACTATACATGTTATAATTGTAGGAGAAAAAGCTCTTTTTGTTGTTGTTGCATTTTTCGTAAAATTTATTATGTCTGATGATTTGACTTAATGAAATACGGTAAAATATTACTTTGTATAAACGACTAGACACTGATCTCGTCAGTAGGCTCTTATTACAGACCCAATATATTGAAAATATTATCGTTGAATATTTTTTTTTAAGTTTATCTCTTCATTAATATCACAGTGCTCTTTTTACTATTTTAACTAGAATGGGAACATAGAAGAAAATAAATAAATAAATGGAAACATATATGAAAGTATTACTATTGATTTTTCATCTCGAAAAAAGTCAAATATTCTATACTTTCCCACCATCAAAGCAATACAAATGTGTCAACTCGCTTATTTTAGTGAAAATACAGAATGTAGTTGACGTCAAATTTATAACTAGAGTAAACAAATATTGCTTGAATATTCGATATAAATATAAGGCAAACCCTATAGTTATCGTCATGGCAGCAAATAGATTTAGATCGAAGAAAAACACGGAGAAAAAAGTCTTAATCAAAGAGAATAACTATTATACAACGGCATGTAAACATTTGATCAAAGCATTTAAAATATATTCCCCTAATACAATTTCAGATAACATCTTAAAACCACTTATGCAAGAGTATCTCATACTTATGTATTTCCTTTATTACCAATAAAGATTAATCCTTACATTAGAAGAATAACTAGACCTAAATCTACAAAAAATTATTATCTTCTTAACTTGCCAGCCAACTAAATATCTAAGCCTCTTAGCGAATATATTAAAGTTCAGGCATTGAATGTATGTGGTAGGATTAAACTAATATTAAGAAAAAATACATTAAAAGTGACATAGAATTCATTTCAAAAAGTAGAAAAATATTTGCACCAGAAGAAGATGGGGAAGTGGTAACATCCATTGAATAAATTGAAAGTACTGACCTTTTCGTTGTAAAAGGATTAAAAAGATAAAAAAGATTTAAAAGGAAAAAGGAATTGAAATTAGTGCTACGAGGAGGGTCAAAAAATAAATAAAAAAACTATTTATATATTTTGCAAGTTATTTGATATTCAACGAAAATTGATTGTAGTTATATGCTGTGCTTGATTTATAAAGTATTATTATTATTAAATCTTTGAAGCTGAATTATCTTGTTTGTTCTTATGTTGTAGATAATAAAACTGTATTCTTTATAGTGCTACCAATTTAATTACACTGTGTAGTGCTGAATTAGACTGATACAATAGAGAAGAAAAGTATTATATAGATAATGTAGATAGCGTTGGCAGGATTAACGAATCCAACAATAGCTATAACAATATAGATCATAGCAATAACAGTGATGACAAGGAGCCGACTAAATTTGATCCATCAAAGTATATCAAAAAAATAAATCAATCTAAAGTGATAAAAGGTTATTTTAAAGGCTTCCTCTATTCAATTGGTATATTAAAATTTCATGTATCTTTAATAGCTATCACATTCTAAGTTTAATAGTTATAGTTGAATTGATTATGCATATGATTTTATTTTCATTTTATAGATCGACTTTATATTAACTTTGTAACGACATAATACAATTAGTTGAGTTGAGTTCCTGAACTTTGAGGATTGGGCTTATAATCTACAAAAAATTAATGTTGGTTTGGTCTAAAAAAAAAAAAAAAAAAAAAAAAAAAAAAAAAAAGTCTGTACTAAACATACTACAGTACGATAGTGACTATTGTAAAGAAATTATTACTGATAATATCCGACTAGAAAAAAAAGAAGTTTGTATATATATCAAACAGTTTATTTAAATATTATTAAGCAGCATAAATTGCTACATAGAACTTGTATATCTGTTGAATTTTAATAAGATTTTTTTTTCAAAAATAGTGAAAAATGTCAACCAAATAATAATGATATACATTTTGTTGTGACAATTTTTTTTTTTTTTTATGAATAAATTAAATATTAATTGATTATTATTAGCTTTTTTTTTATTATCATTTCTTTCTTTTTTCAATAAAAAGAAATATGACAGATAATAATAGAGAATTTTCTTATCGTCTTACAGAGAGTATATTATCACAAACAGTTAATAGCACTGTATCTTCTTATCAACAAACAACCCCTAGACTTGTCACTCCTTTGCCACAGAATGCTATAGTAGTCCAGCCTAGAGATTCTGATTCATCTTTTAATAATTATATTGGAACTCATTTTAAAGAGGACGCACCTGTTTTACTTGATCGTTTAAACGTAGCAACTCCTACTCATCATACACAAAAACAAGACCCAATATCTTCTGCTTCATTTTGGACATATCTGTCAAATGATTTAGATGCTAAACCACCTCATGTATTAACTTCTCAGCAAGATAATAATAATGAGAAAGGAAACAATAACACGTGGTCTGAATACGATTCAATTTTTGCTGAACAAACTTCTTCTAGTCATTATCTAACTGTTAACCACTTTTTTTCGTTGGGTGCTTTCTTATTCTTATTTGGATTCATCTTTCCTCCTTTATGGTGGATCGGCTCGTTTTTTCCTGTGCAAATGAACGATGAACTATATAGAAAATATGATAGTGATTATAAAATGATTAAAAGATGGAGGACTTTGAATAGGTTTTTCTCACTAGGTTTTAGTACTTTATTGATTATTGCCATTATTATTCTAGTCATCATTTATTCAAAGACAAAATAATACTCTATTATTTATAATTCATGTATTCTGTATATACCCTTTCACTCATCTACCAATCTTATAAATACTTTTATTATATAAAAAGAATGTTAATATATAATACGTTTTTAGCCTATTAAAATTGAAACTGTAACTGGAATTTTATACAAATATGTATATGAATCTATATTTATATATACATGTATATTGTCTGATTTCGAAAACAGTTTTTAGGCATACTGAAGAATTGGAGACTTTTTTTTTTGACTTGAGAGAAGGTTATACTAACCAAGTTAAAAAAAAAAAACAAATAGCATTGGTGTTTTATTTCATTTTATTTTTAATTCCTCATTCGTATATCTGTTCCAATAAGTTACAGAGTGGTGCTTAATTTAGCTTGAACAGCTTTGAATTCTAGTGCTTTGACAAGGTTTAGCAACGTGAAGGGTCAACTTAGTATTTTCGTTTAAGGGATTTCTTTTTATATAATTCTTAATTTTATTAAACTAATTATTTTCTCTTGAGGTAAGGAAAGAAAAATAAGGAGGCATGTGCTTTTTTTTTCCCTTATTATGTTAATCATAGAAATATAGTAGTAATTTTTTTTTTAAGTTGTAAATACCAACTTCAACCAGCTTGACTATATTGTGGACTTTGATATACTCTTTGCTTTCAATTTAATTTCTTTTCTTTTTATTGAAGTTATGGGATTTTGTTTTCAACGTTTTTTCAGCACCGTTTTGTTTCAAAGTATTTTGATTTATAGAAATTAATAATACTAAAAGAAGAAATATAGCTAACAGTGCTATTTTTCTATTACTGTACACTTTTTACTTTTGCCAGTTCTTTAAATCTAAAACAGGCATTTCATTACATTAACAGGTTAAATCACTGATATCTATTCTATTTGTTACTTCCTCTTTTCTTTTTATTTATCCTGTAAAATATTTATTTATAAGAATTTTTATTATAGTAATTTCATTCTTCTAAATTAAACTAAGTTTATTTCTAATTGAAAGAAGTAAGATATCTAATTTACAAACAATAAATTTATCAAGTCAATTGTGAAATCTTTCACCTATTTAACTGAGATTTAAAATACTGTTACTCACTTCAAGGAACAGCATGACATCTGTCACCTATCCTTTTTCTTTCTCTTTTTTTTTTAGTTTTCAAACATATTTAAGCTGAACTTGAGACTTCATTTAGCTTATACAGTTATTGTAAGCGCTGCTGGTGAATCCTTGAAAACCATATATATTGAATTTCATACTCTTCTCCCTTCCTTTTTTTTTTATGAAAAAAAACTCTGAAATCACTCGTTTTATTAGGGCTCTTCGGAGATTATGCATTATTAACCATTTAAGGAACAAGTACTACTGTATTACAAAAAACAAATTATTCTCCATTGTTAGTGAGTGCCTACTTTTGAATGTAAGTGATTATAATTAATAAAAAAAAAATAACTTTGATATCTATAGAATGAAATTTAACCATAAAGTCTGTTTTATTCCAACTTGAAAGACTTTCAGGTGCTATTTTTCTTTATCTTAGTATATATATATATACACACACACAGAGAGAGAGAGAGACAACAGAACTTTACGTGTATGTGTCGTTGAAAAAAAAAAAAAAAAAAAAAAAAAAAAAAAAAAGATTAAATTTTATTTGCTTAGCATGATATTGTGATATTTTTATACATCTATTGTTCATCATATTGATAACCTATAAAATCATAGATAATTACTGACTATTTTTATTTTTATAATTAAGAAAAAAAATGGTAACTGTAATTCATACTTTCTCTGTAAATGACCTTTCTATTTGGCTTCATCTTAAACCATCTTCGGCTTTGTTTATTGATATCTGAGAACCCAGTGAATTAGAAGAGCAAGGTGTAATTGACGGATATGATATGAATATACCCTATTCTTTGACAAATACAAGCCCGGAATTGTTTAATAATAAATTTCATAATTTAGATAAAAACGTGCAGGTAAAAATTTAATAATTTATAATATTACAACAGCCCTTATTTAATAGTAAACACTTTAAACAGCTTATACTCTCTTGTAGATCGGGTAGACGAAGCCGATTTACTGCAGAATATATAATATCTAAATTTGTTTTTAAAAATGTATATAATGTAGAAGGAGGAATATTGGATTGGATTAAACATGGCTTCCAAATTGTTGAAAAAGCACCTTCATCATGCTATTGTTAAATCTCCTTTATGGTATATAGAAAAGGAGAGAAGAAAAATAAAATAAAATAAAATATTAGGAGTTCAAATTGAAAGCATACTATTCAAATGTGATTCCTCTCCCTTCCCCTTCCCTCCTTTTTTTTTTCTTCCTTATGTATTACTGAGTATGGTTACATTATTGTTTTAAATTATATAACCAGTATTATACATCTTTTATTTTTTTGTTGTAGTAAGTGAATCTAACTTTTGACAAGCGCGCTAATTTTCCAAAAGAAGATTATATTTGCATTATTAACAGTGAATATGAGTAAAATTTACTGAAATAATTTATATATTTCTTTTCCTCTCCTATACAAATATATACATATCAATTATATTATTTAATAGTACAAAATTGTTATTTATTTTATACTCTATACTTAACTTAAAGAAACACGCTTTTTATATTCAATTAGATAGAATCTAATATCCATATATATTCTAATTTTATATATTAAATACATATATAAATATTTTTTATGGGTAGATATGATGCTTCAAATGATAGTTATTTCGGTACATCAATTGTTAAGAAAGACAACAAAATCGATATAGGAAGAATACCAACAGCACTTGTTTCATCGATAAAGTTATCTAATAAAGTCCCAATTCGAAAAACAATCTCATCTCTTACAAATCACATTTTACCTTTAACCGAGTCTACAGCAATTAATAAAACAACAAAACTTTCTAAAAAAGTAAAAAACAGTTTTAATTTGACTGTTATGTCGATTTCATCTAGTTCCAATAAGAACAATACTAATAAAATGAAAAAACCAAAGCTTCCTAATATTGAAAATAGCTCTCTTTCTTCTTCATTTATCTCTTTTAAAACCGCTACAACGACTACTCAAAAAGGATCCAACTTAAACGCGGCTTCTGATGCTGCTGCTGCTACTACTACTGGGTTATCCCCCAAGTTACGAAAACCACACTTACCAACTTGGCTAGGAAGACACTCTATAGAAGAAACTGAAAGTAAAAGCTCTGTTTCATCTATTCATTCAAGCGCAAGTTCGGTTACCTTATCCACAATGTCTATTACATCACCTATTTCAGCAAATGCATTATATGATGTTGATACAAATGAATTAATGGAAGCTTTCGAAGATCTTCTTGTAAATTGAGATATATATATATATATTAATAAATAAATGGATAGATCAAAGAGAGAGAGAGGTTTCTATCGTTGTACTTACAAAACTCTATTTCCCTTTATTTATTTATTTTTTTAGGATGAATTGAATATGAAAGATGCTCACCGAGAAAAGTTACGACAATTACCTTGGGAACGCAAGATTTATCTATTACAGCAAAATGAACATATTAAAGAAAATAGAATGAGTCCTTCTTCTTCGATTCAAAAAAGTATTCCTTATTCTAATTCAAGTGGATCCTTATTTTCACCCAAAACACAAAGATCAAAATCAATAAAACGTGATGAGACAGCGACTCGATTTTTGTTCCCTCCCACAAATGATCATCATCATCAACAAAATAAATTAAAACAAATAGGAAGCTCAGATAGTCTTCAATCACTGACAACACCTTCTTCACTAAAGTCCAATGAGGATCATCGAAACTTATTTTTAAAGATTGGAGAACGGGCCATACTATCCTCTCCTCCTCTTACCCCTAATCCCTTGAGTTATCTTGATCAAAAGAAGAACAACCCTTCTTTGCAAATAGAGCATTCACAACAACAACAACAACAACAACAACAAAAGATTGGAAAAGGCAAACACTCTCCTACAACAAACATTACCACTGAGTATTTGGCAAATATAAAGACTGTATCAAATCACACTAGTATTAGACGATCATCCGCTACTACTACTACTAATAATAATAATAACTCACAACGAAATACTCCGTCCACCAAGATTGACAAGCGAGCGGAGACCTACAAGTTTTCACGTAAAAATTTATCTACAATACATGGTCAAAATCAATCCAAAGTGGGTTCAATGATTCTAGAGTTTGATGCCCTTGCTAACAAACTAGTTTCTAAATCATCAGATGATTCTGATGCCTGTTGGCTACTACTAGGGAATAAACCATTATTGCCACCAAGGCTATCTAATACAACCAAAATGACCCATAGCCAAGCACATCATACCCCTATTGGTCATCTATTCCCTAATACATGTTCAAGTCTGTTGGTGAATAAAAAATATTCTTCTTCTTCTTCTTCTCCTGTCTCTAATCATCATTTACAACCCACCTCTGGAGCAACTACCATTATACCAGAGGCATCCACATCAAGTCAACTTTTAGCTAATAGTTATGCGTATCAAAATTTAACTCGTAAAGATGCAAGTCGTTTGGCTACAGCATCATCAGTAATAGATAATGATAAGCGTGATCGAGACTATCAGAATAGTCCCTATTATTTTGTTGAACGACTTCGAGCCAGGTAATATATATATATATATATATATATATATATATATATGTGTGTGTGTAGGTGGGTGGGTGGGTGGGTGATATGCATTTTTTTTTTTTTTGGATTTTAATAGTTCTAATATATATGACCTTTATTTCCTCCTACCCTGTTCTTTCCTCTCTTCACAAACATATATTATTTATAATATTCTATTGCATGTATATTTACATATATATTAAAGAAATATGACAACCGATATGTTAACAAAGTATTTAAGTTCATTAAGAGTTACATTAGCTACAAGAAATGTAACTTGGATAAACGAGTTCTTGTCAAGACGTCATGATGGATTAGCTGCACTAGAAAATATATTACAGAAATATGCAACTAAAAAAGTGAGGTAAATGGGTTAGATACTACGATAAGAATTATTTACATTCTTACCTTCTCTTTTGTTTTAATTATTCTGTTCTTTTTTTTCTTTCCTCCTTTTAGTCAATATCATAAATATAGTAAAAAGGATGAAAAGAGTTTATTCAATATTGAAGAACAATGCTTACTTGAATGTATCCACTGTATACGTGAATTATTAAATACACAGGTATTTTTTTATTTTATTTTTTTTTTTTTGAAAACTATCAATGACATGATGATAGGGAAAGAAAGAAAGAAAAAAGAGAGAGAGAGAGAGGGAGGGAGATGTTCATTTCCATTTTGTTCTTATATATATATTAGGTTGGTTTGAAACAAGTGATTATGCGTCCTGCTCTATTCCAACACTTGTTAAGTATCTTATTTATATCCATCGAACCTGTGCCATCGAATTCGACATTTAATTTCAAAAGATCAACATTCATTGCTTCGTTTGAATCATCATCGATTAATTCTAATAATAAACAAAATTCTTTATCTTCAACTCTTACAACAGCAACAAAAGACATCAGGATATCCATATCATATAAAACAAGTATACTCATCTTTGAATTCTTTTCCTCTCTCTGTACAGCCTCCACAGTATCAGGACATGACATCGTTATGGACACATTTTCCAAAGTGAAAGGAGAGCAATATCGGTTTGAACGACTCATACAGGGATTATATGGTCTATATGATGATGTCTCTCTACAACAAGACGGGTTATCTTCTCTAGACGAATCTCAATTATTCATTTTGGATTGTTTGAGAGTTGCTCTAGAACTCATTTATCATATCATACATACACCAGATACGGTTGAAAAGCGAAACTCACTTCGAAGTGAGTTCGAGAGAAGAGGGTTTGAAGATATGGTGATACAATTAGACCAAAATAAAGAAAAGATACCAGATGCTCTTCAAAAGCAAGTAACTCGTTATCTTTACTATAAAAAACTAGATCAAGAAAAAATTCAAACTTTACAAGCTACTAAGAGACATATGTAAGCACATACGTATATATATACATATATATATGTGCAATATTCTCTTATAATATTAAACAACAAATATATGTAATGTAATTTTATAGTCAACCTTATGATATGATAGCCTCTGCATTTAAAGTGTTTTACAAAGACCCTGAAATCTACTATTTGGTAATAGATAGTATAAATGAGTTACTTACTATAGGTGTCAGTCAACTTGCCAACAATAAAAGAATTGTACAAGATATTTGGAGTCTTGTTCATATTTTTGCAAAGCAACTTAAATCTGTTCATACTGACAGTAAGGCAGATATCTATACTATAATTATTTACTAATTATATATATATATATATAGATGATTTTCAGCCATCATTACAACAATTCATAGTATCTGCTCAACCTATCGTAGGTAAATTGATAGGAACAATACAGGATAATGGAGGTTCAGCAATAGCTCATTCATCTGTTGAGCTACCTGTCACTATCGCCAACAAGATGAATAATACGGAAGATGTGGAAGGTTTACGTAATATGGTGGAAGAACTCAAGGACAATGTTCAGAAGAGTCAAGAAACGATTGCTAAAATTCGTAGAGAAAAAAATGAATTATTAATGAAAGTATCCAAGATGCTATCTGAAATGAAAGAAAGAGAAGATCGCATTAATGAGCTAGAATTGGAAAAGAAAAAAATAGTAGATGATTATCAACAACAGCAGAATTGCATATCTAAATTTTCTTTGAATCAAGCAATTCCAAATATAACTCCCACAACGATCACTCCCCCATCAGTGTCAGTATCATCAACACCATCAACACCATCATCATCATCATCACTATCATCATCACCACAATCACCGTCACTACCATCACTACCACCACCACCACCACCACCACCACCACCTCCTCCTCCTCCCCCTCCTCCTCCACCACCACCGCCACCTCCACCACTCTTTCCGTTAGTAACAGCTACAATACAACCTAATGATGACCCACTTTCTTCACAATCTGTAGTTAAACGACGTCATCTAATCAAACGGGATCCAGCAAATCGTAACTCTCGTTATTTGCATCCACTCGCACTTAATCTTCATTTTCCTGACTTGGAATCATTACATGAAAATACGGCGACAGTTATCCTAAACGAAGTACCTACGAAAGGACAGCAACAAGAGGGTTCCTTGTATTCTTTAAATGAGAAAAAGAGGAGAATAGGAGAAAAGGGACTTTGTTCATCCATGTCAATTGTCATGAAACAATTCTTTTGGTCTAAATTACCTGTAGATAAAATTAAAAATACAGTTTGGGATGAAATTCTGAAGTCTACGACGATGTCTTCCCTTCATAGTAGCCATGATAACGACGATAGAAATCAAAATGGAAATGATAACATAGCATTAGATACATTAGAGTTAGAGAGATTATTCAAAAAGAACCAGGCACACGCTACTACTACTACTACTACTACTACTACTACTACTACTACTACTACTACTACTACTACTACTACTACTACTACTACTAAAGAAAATGGTCATAAGAAACAACAGTTGATCACCTTACTCGAGTTCAATCGAGCCAATAATATTGCCATCATGTTGGCAAGGATCAAAGTTCCTTATACAAGTATTCGTGACGCCATATGGAATATTGATGATAACTTACTTAGTATCGATCATCTAAAGGCGATGCGACAATATATACCGACCAAAGAAGAAATTGAAATAGTCAAGGAATATGAAGGTGATGTTGATATGTTGGGAAATGCAGAACGTTACTTTAGAGCGATGATGTTCATTCCTCGATTAGCCAATCGTATGAATTGTATCCTATTCCGTCGACAATTTAAATATGAATTAGAAGATATTTTACCAGAGTTGGACATTATCCAGATTGCCATTACAGAGTTACGAGAAAGTGTACGATTTAAATATGTTTTAAAGGTATTAGTTGACATATATATATATATGTATATTCGTTTTATTCATATTTTATATGTATATCCATAGACGGTTCTTGCAATAGGTAATTATCTTAATTATCAAACAATTCGTGGTGATGCCTATGGATTTCATTTGAATGCTTTGTTAAAGGTAAATCATTTGAATGATGAAGACTAGATATATACATATATATATTTATATATTTATATATGATATAGATGAGAGATACAAAAGCAGAAGGAGAAGGTGTCAGTAATGTACCTACATTGCTGCATTATTTAGTCTATTTGTTATCAAAGTCCGATAATGACATTGTTCATTTTACACGAGATATGTCACACTTGCAAGCAGCTGCTAAATGTAAATAATATAATGCCCCTCCCCCACAAAAAAAATACTAATATATATACACACATATATACATATACATATATGCATACACATATTTGTATATTTGTATATATTCATACAAAATAGTATCACCCCCTACGCTGTTTGCTACTGTGAATTCATTAAGTGATGGACTAAATCTAATAAAAGAAGAGTTAAAATTGAATAGAAAGAGAAAGACTTCTGAACTTCAAATTGATCGATTTGCAGAAGCTATGGAAGAGTTTTTATTAGAGGCAGAACCTATTATTAATGATTTAAAGGAAATGGTTAAAGATATTGAAGAAAAATTACGTGATCTTATTAGTTATTATGGTGAAGATCCAAATACGATAAAAGCTGAAGAGTTCTTTGCTATTATATCCATGTTTACCAATTCGTTTGAAGTAAAATAATAATAGTAATAATAATAATAATCATCTTTTTTTTAAAAAAATATTAAAATATACATTATTTAGAAAGCACAAATTGAAATTCATGAGGCAAGAGAAAGAGCATTGAAGAGACAAAAGCAGCAAGAAATAAAATTATTAAAGGTAAAATAAAATAAAATAAAATAAAAATAGACATAATTGATTTAGGTCTTTTTTTTTTTAATTCGAAACAAAAGCAAAAAAAATCTACTGCAGAGGATTCTGTAGTAATAGAAAGTTTTGTTAGACCATTTGAAGAAGGATTTGAACAAGTATTAAAAGAGTTAAAAGCAGGACTTAAACGCAATAGTGAAACAGTTGCAACAGAAAAGAAATAAAAGTAAATACTAATAGCAGCAGCAGCAGCAAGCAGCAGCAGCAACAGCAACAGCAGCAGCAATAGAAGCGGAGGAAAAAAAAAATAATAAACATTATTCATAGAAGTTTAAAATTTTATCATTTTATTTAATTTTCTTTTTCTCTCTCTTTTTTTTTTTTTTTTTTTTCATTATTTTATACATATAATCTTTATTATTTACTCTTATTATACTGCTAATAAATAATTCAAAACCTCTTCCAGTTGTCAACTCTTTATATATAAAATATAACTAGACCTAATAATAGTCATGTATAACTCTTCGTCATCTTCAATTGAAGCAAAAGTAGTTGTCTTGGGTAGTCAAGGTATATTAGAGTAATAGAGACTGAAAGTAGGGAATAAAGTATCTTTATATTAAATTAAAATGTTTAATGAAGGTGTTGGCAAAACATCACTTGTTATGCGTTATATAGAGAAAACATTTTCACCTAATTCAACATCAACCATTGGTGCTTCATTTATGACTAAAAAACAGTAAAGTGTGTTTTATATATTTATACATGTATACAATTCATTGAATTCAATACATCCTTATTGAGTCTTCTAATTTCTTGTTTAGAACAGTTGATAATTGTAGAGTAAGATTGCAAATTTGGGATACAGCAGGACAAGGTAAATACAACTATGTAATATCTAACAAGGAAAAGAGCAAACAAAGAGATAATTGAAAAAGGTCCATGATAATAGAAAGATTTCGTGCAATGGCTCCCATGTATTATAGGGGTGCACAAGCCGCTTTATTAGTGTATGATATTACATCACAAGAAAGTTTTGAAGAACTATCTTCTTGGATAGATGGTAAAGCAGTCTATAGATATATAATCTATGAGTACATGTTTTCTAAGGTGTATATTATAGAATTGAAGAGAAATATGACAGATGAATTAGTTATTATTGTAGCAGCAAACAAATTAGATTTAGCTCAGTCTCAAAGAGAAGTATCATATGATGACGCTCAGAAATATATCACACGTGTATTAGGTCCAGAAACATTATTATATGAAGTATCAGCAAAAGAAGATGATGGTATATACATATGTCATTGACATTAACAGACAATTAAAAGCAACTTATTTATGCATTCCTCCTTTTTTTCTTCTTCTAGGCACGATTGAAGACATGTTTATTCATGTAGCTCGTATTTTAGTAGAACGAAAGCAATATTTACCTTCAGTGAAGAGAAAGCCAACAAACTATTTACCAATGGATGAAGAGCCGCCATCACCAAAATCTTCATGTTGTGGCTTTTAAAGGATAGCAAATACATATATTCCCTCCTATTATTAGTATTAGTATTAGTATTATTTTTTGGATTCCATTATGTGATTTCTTATATGTATATATGTATACATGTATATGTGTATCTATATAAGTCTGTGTGTGTATGTGTGTGTTTGTTATATATATTTATTACAGTAAGATTCTATTCAACAGAGAATATATAAATGCTCCACGCAATACTACTACTTTATCATTAAAAAAAAAAAAAAAAAAAAGATACACTAAAGTATAACAATCTATCTTATAATAGAGCAACTGTTATATATTTTATTTGGATATAAATACATTTAGTATACAACATGATGATGTTAAAGTCAATCGTTTCTAGTCCTTATTATTACTTTAGTGCTGCATGATGTATATATCTTTTTCTCAAGATATACAAATACTCTGTCTACTCACCTTGAATCTATTAATGCAGATAATAAGTTTCCTTTTAAGGAAATTTGACATGAAATTTAATTAATAAGTATTTATTTGTTTTGAAATGAAATGATTCTGTGCTTTTATAAGGGGAGAGGAAAAAAAGAAATAAAAAAAGAAAAAAAAGGGTAGTAGATGGACACAATCACAATGATGTAATAAAAGCTAATATGATCTACCTTTGCCTTTCTCTTTCTTTATTACATAATAAATATGAAATGTGAATTTTGTTAAGAGAAAGTAGTAAGGGCGGAACAAATAAGACAGTTAATTATAATATAGATACATATATTATGTACAAGTGTGTGTATATATAAATATATAAACATATATACATATATGTATATTCATATCCATATTCATATTTATATCTTTATCTTTTATCTAAATGTATTTTTATATCCCTTTCTTTTCTTTTCTTAAATGTACATCATAGTTTAATGTTACTACTTTTGATTATTGCTTTTTTATTATCCTTATTTATTGATTTTACTTCAAGTTTAGTATAAATTGTAAATCATGTAAATTGCTCTTTTAATAGTACTAACCAGTACATATAAAAATTAAGGTCAATCTTTTACTACAACAGCTATAAATGAAAATAAGCATGTGTCAAAAGTGGCTAATCTATCTTTATCACTCATCAATCATACTACAATCCCCATCCTAGCTCTTCCTTCCTCAATTATAATGACCACGACCACGACCACGACCACGACGATGACAACAGCAATAGCAACAGCAACAGCAACAACGTCAGAAACATCAGCGGCCGAGAAGGAGAGAAAAAAGGACAAAAAAAAGAAAAAGAAAAAGAAGAAGAAACATCATCATAAAAAGAAGAATCATAAAGGCACGATTCATAATAACGATATTATTACTACTATAATCTCAATGACATCTACCGGAGCAGTGATAATACCTACTGAAAGCACCAAGATACCAAATCTATCCATGACAACTCGAACATTATCATTATCACCTTCATCATCTAAAGCTTCTACTACTACTACTACTCTATCACCAAAGATAAAAACTCGTAAACATCGATCTCACTCAACACAACAATACGAACAATTCATATATACGAGTAGTATTACCAACATTCCTACTACTACTACTACAGAAACATCCCTTTATTCTTCTGCCACCATGACTCGTAGTAATATCAGAGATCTTCCATCTCATACATCACATGACAATGATAACATTCACTATCAAGCTGCACATATGAATGTAGTGAATCATGTTTTAGGATTAGCATTAGGAATTGGCTTTGGAGGGCTTTCATTACTTATATTATCTGCCCTTTTCATATATAATTATAGAAAAAGAAAAGCGGCTGGCCATGATTCGAATAATACGATGGATCAGAAAGGTGTCTTTTTCACAGAGAAGCCTTCCATGTTCAATAGTAATAATAATAAAGCAAGAGTAACAGCCAATGATACAACGCAAGCGGATGATGATATACAAACTAAATGGAGACCTCAAAGCTTTGCAAATGTTGTAGCTAATATTATTTCAACTCTACCTTCAGCCATCACAAGAGAGACTCTTTCTATAGAGCGTAATATTCATTAATACTATATTTGTATGTAATATTATTTATATCCGTATCATAATAGCTTATTCTGTTGTAATAATAATAGATATTTAACAGTAAAGGAAAAAAAAATAGCCCGAAATTACAAGTCTAAAAATAACTAATTGAATACAGATCGTATCGTGATATGATCATGATTATACATCAGTCATGGTGTGTGAGTGAGTGTGTGTGTGTGTGTGTGTGTGTGTGTGTGTATGTATGTGTTTATAAACATTCATGTATACTTTATAATAGTAGATATATATAATATGATGTAATAAACAAGTGTTGTATTTATTAAAGGGTCGCTTTATTTCATGTCTCTTGTAGCTTTCATTTTATACAAAAAGCTTTATAAAAAAATAAAAATAAAAAACGGAGTAATAAAGAGAGTATCAGTTCTATTATTTAACAGTAACAATAAGTTTCATTTTATTATTAGTAACATGTTTTATTATCTATTTTTTTAAGCTTTGACATTATATACTGCTATAATTTATTTTACAGTCTTTTATTATTATATACGTATATGTATATGTGTATACATTTATATATTTAAAAGGAGAATAATTTATTTCGCACAATAGAGTAAAATACCGTTAATAATACTGATAAATAGAATCAAGGGGAAGGTTGTGGTGTGATTAGCAGAAGAGGAAGAAATAGCATTACTGTTGTTATTATTTATAAATAATTTATCATCATGATGACTTGTTGTTGCAATCGTTGACTTTCTATTGTTAATAAGCATTAAATCTGCCTTTGAATTTGCGGGCAAAATTTTATCGACTAAATGGATAACTGTACCGTTAGATGTCAAAATATCAGTTCGAATGACATTAGCCGTTACTGTCGATTTTTGTGGTGGCATATCATAATATTCGTAAGTGTCACCATTCATGGCAACTATTGAACCATTAGAAAAGGATAAAACAGTCATAGGTGTAGAAAGATAATGTGTATGTAATGTATAATTAAAATATGAAAAGTTTCTATGATAATAAATGCCATCGACTACTTCATATTCTAAATTATGTATAATAGTGCCATAAGGTATATTTGCACTACCATTATAAATAGACCAAGCAGAATCAATAGGGGCAAAAATAGTTGTACTATTCGAATTAGCAAATATGCTACTTAAATTTTGTGCCTTAATTTCATTTTCAAGTATATCCAAATTAGATAAAAAAGAAATGGTATCTATGATATTAAGTGGCGCTAATAAAAATTGATCTACATGATAAATGATACCTAATAATAAAAATAATAAAAATGTATAAATTAAAAAAAAAAAAAAGGCTTATGTTTAAAAGAAAAGAAAAACAACTCGGCTTATTCTTCTTTACCATTACTGCATTGTGTATAATTCAATATATTAGCAATAATAGGTCCAGCTAAAACTTGAAATTTTATACTAAAAATATCTGTTTCCTGAGGTGTAACAATGATAGTAGGATATTTAGGTGAAAGTGTCTTAAGATAATAACGTATTGAAAAGAAGGCATTAAAATCATATATTTCACCTAACATGTGGTATAATAATTCATCTTCAGTTGTTTTGTTTGAAAAAAAGTTATTTTTAATTGCTGATTGTGTAGCTGATTCTGTTGGTAAGAATAAAGTATTATTGGATAATGGATCTTGAAGTCTATTTGAAATTGATTCAAATTTATCTAAATTTAAAGTTTCATAAAATGTCTAAATAAAAAAAAAATGTTAATTTTATTTTTAACATAGTTACAAACGTTACCTTTGATTCTGACGCTCCAACTATTTCCCAAATAGTCTTTAATACTTGTCCATTTGCATAAAATACAAAAAAAACCAGTAAAATAAAACTTAATAATTTCATTTTTTGTTTATTTTTTATCTTTTGTAAAATAAAAAATAAAATAAAATAAACAAAAAGAAAAAGAAAAAGAAAGAGAAAAAGGAAAAGGAAAAGAAAAAGAAAAAGAAAAAGACAGAAGAAAGCGTAGTTATTTATTTATTTTTTTTCTGTAAATAAATAAATCTATAATAAAAAAAATCAGGGTTTTCTTTTTCGATGTTTGTAGAATTGCGTTATGATTTTTTTTTTTTTCAAGCAAAAAAAATAAAATAAAAAAATAAAATAAAAAAAAATAAAATAAAAAGCAAGTAAAAAATAAAAAATAGAATAAAAGTCACTTAAAAATAGAATAAAAATAAAAATAACAATCGAGAAAAAATCACCTCATCTGAATAAAACCCTTTCAGTTTAAAATTGCTCCTTTTCGCACCCCTCATCTGCCCCAGATTTAAGATGAATAAATTCTTCTTCACTTCTTTCTTTCCTCCTTCTTTTTCTTCTTCAATAATATTTATAAATATTTTTTTTCTTAAATGAAGTCTTTATCATTTATTTCAATAGTAACTGCTGTTAGTTTTCTAGCAAATACAATTACAGCACAACAACAACATGATACATCTCCTTTCAATTGGCCTGACGATAAACAAAACATCATTTCTCCATATGCAAAATCTGGAAAAATGGAGCAAATTGGTAGAACTGGTGTAGCTGCCATGCATGCTGTGCTTTTAAAGTAACTAGTTTAATGCATACTTTTTTTTTTATTTATTTTTAATTTTTTTTTTTTATTATGATAGTGAAAATTCTATTCTAGTGATTGACAAAGGTATAAATAAATATACGAGCTTTTTAAAATAAATAAATAATCATGTTTGTTTTTTTTTCTTTTAGCTGAATGGAATGAAGCACAATTCGATTCAGGTCAAAGTGCATTTTCAGTAGAATATGATTTGAAAACAAATACGTATAGACCTTTAAAACTTGAAACCAATACTTTTTGTTCCGCAGGCGGCTTTTTGAGTAACGGTACCTTTATTAGTACAGGCGGAGGCGAAAAGAGAGGTCGAAATTGGAAAGCTGAACCTGGTTGGCAATCAATTCGACATTTTACACCTTGTACAGATCAGTCTTGTCTTTGGGAAGAATACAAGACTGGAAAGATGACAGAGAATCGTTGGTATCCTACTGTTGAACAATTACCTGAAGGTGACATCTTTATTATTGGTGGTTCTACAAAGGGCGCAGCTGTGAATCGTGATGAAATTAATGTTCCTTCTTATGAATTTTGGCCTCCTCGACCTGAAGGCGAAGTTCATTTCCCATTTTTAATTGAAACAATGCCCTATAATCTTTACCCTTTTGTTTTCGCTTTACCTGATGGTAATTTATTCATCTTTGCCAATAGGGATTCTATCATTTATGATTATAATAATCAAAAGATTGTAAAAAAATTACCTAAAATTCCTGGTAACCCCCGTTCTTATCCTTTGACAGGTGGTGCCATCATGCTTCCTTTAGATCCCAAGAATAATTATAATGTTGAAATCCTTATTTGTGGTGGCTCTGAACGAATGAAGAATAATGCCGTCGCTGATGATACGTGTGGTCGTATCAACTTGGGTGACGAGAACCCTCAATGGGAAATGGAGACATTTGTTCATAAGCGTCTTATGCCTGATGGTTTAATTATGGCGGACGGTAATCTTCTTTGGGTCAATGGCTGTCAACGTGGCTGGGCTGGTTATAATGGTCGTAATCATGATCCTACCTTTGATCCTCTTATCTATACTCCTACTGCTCCTGCAGGTCGACGTTGGACTCAAAATTTAGCAAATACAGATATTGCTCGTATGTACCATTCTGTTGCACTTACTTTACCTGATGGTCGTGTATGGATTGCTGGTTCTAATAACGTAGATCCCCCTGATATCAATGCTGAATATCCCACTGAATTCCGTGTTGAATACTTCTCTCCTCCCTATTTATTCAAGACAGCTACAAGACCATTAGTCTCTCATGTTCCTCGTGTAGTCACTTATGGTCAATCCTTTGATGTCCTTATCAATCTGGAAGGTCTTGCTACCTCTGCAACTGATGCTTCTAAAATTCGTGTTGGTTTACTTCGTACTGGCTTTAGTACTCATTCTATGCACATGTCTCAACGTTATGTATTTTTGGAACATGAAGTCTCTGAAGATTTACAAACTTTAAAAATCACTGCTCCTCCTCATGCTGCTATCTTCCCACCTGGTGCAGGTATCATGTATGTTCTCTTTGACGGTGTACCTTCTATGGGTACTGAAATCTTTGTTGAAAAACAAATTAGTGATTTAAAGATTTAATACTATTCAACATTTTATTTTTATTTTTATTATCATTATTATTATCAATTTACCTCCATCGCATTTGCTTTTTGTCGTTTCTTTGTTTTCAGTATTATATTTATTGAAAAAAAAAAAATACACATAAATATATTCAAATCTATATTCTATTTTCTGCATTATATAACTGCTGATACACACTGTTTTTTTTTCTTCACTTAATAAAAATAGATATATAGCTTGTACAAAATATAATATTCATTTTCTTAATACCTCTCGAGGAAAAAAAAAAAAAAAAAAAAAGAATCTTTATGATTGATGTTTCAGAAGCCCTTCCTTTTTTTTTATTTTAATTGGTAATCTTTATTCATATATTTTTCTCACTACTAAGAGAAAAAAAAACAAGATGAGTCACACTATTGAAACCAAGAGCGCCCTTATTAGTGGAATCAACGAAACCTTATATTATATGTTCACCAAAAAATAACAGGAGTCTTTCATTTGACTCCTTAATTACCCACCACTTAATAAATATAATTATTACACAGATTGTCTTTGTCTTTTTTTTTTCTTTTTTTGGTAACATTATACATGTTGCACTACATAAGTATCATTACATAATAACAGGATATTATATTTGCCATATTATGATTTTTCCTTTTTTGTAATTATATAAAAAATAAAAGAATAGGAGTGAATAATCATTCTCTTGTATTTATTTGTTTATAAATCTTTTTTTTTTATGGCATGAGTAATTAACATTATATCCTATTTAATAAGTGAGTAGTCTAGACTTTTTGTTTTTTTTGTTTTTTTTTGTTTTTTTTTATTGTTTGTTTGTAACGGCGAAGATATAATTTACGGGTATAGCTTTAATTATTGTTAATTAGGAAAGGACTTTTTTTTTTTTTTATAATACCAGAACCTACGTTTAATGGGGAAGACTTGTGTAAAGGTATTAGTGGGTTTTTCTTTGTCTTAGTCTCTTTATACATTGGTGAAAAATATATGCAGTGTGTACTACAATATTCAAAAAAAAAATTTTTTTTATTCATTGGATTACATAATATACCAGTATATACGTATTCCATTGTTGAATAAGCTTGTATATATTTATATGAATGTATATCATAAAGTTATAGTATTTACAAAAAAAAAAACGTAAGATAAAATATGTTAAGTGGGGGGGGAGGGGAAAGGAACGAATGTGATGGCAGTTTTTTTTTTTTTTTTTTTTTTTTTTTTTTTTTTTTTTAATGCTGAGTGAAGCTTTGAGGTTTAGTAGAAATGTCAAAAAGATTCCTATCACTTGAAGAAGTAATTCTTTGAGCAGGTAATTCATATTTGATATCTAAATCTGTCAAAATGGCCTTCAAGGCCATCATGAATCGAGTCTTTCTTTGGAATCGTTTACCAAGATCTGCCCAATTACCTTTATGAGGTAACCAGATAGTTAAGATAACTTGATTCATATCTTTAATGTCAGTGACGCGTAAATCAAAGCCGGGTCCAAAATCACGAGATTGAGATTGAACCCACTCTAGTAATCTTTCACGAAGGGTTAAGATAAGGTCATTCTCAGTTCTAAAGTCGATATTGAATGTTAACGTTTCGCCCATGTTGTTAGAACGACGTACGTTATAGATAATCTTGGTAAGTAAGACAGTGGTAGGAGCATATAATTTGGTACCATCTGCAGAAACAAAGACAGTACCTAGGATACCAATATTTTCAACTGTCATGTAAATACCATCAATTTGAACCAGATCACCCGAGTCGTAAGGATGAGTGACGAGTTGAAAGATGATGCCTACAAAGACATTACTTGCAGAGGTATCAAAAATAAAGGTACATGCAGCCAAGATAGTACCAAACGGGATCAATGCCGCCCAGAAATCCACACTGAAAACCGTTAAACAGATGACAGTGGTGATAACCAAGGTCAAGATTAATAAGATAGTATCAATTTTACCTAGTGCTTGACTCGTATCACGAATTGATTGTGCCAGTACTTTACGTTCTCGGTAAATGTAGACGACCGTATCACGAAATTCACGTCGAGTTAAATCACCATTTCCATCCTTATCAAATACCTTAAAGGCATCCATAGCTTCATTACGATCCTTAAAATAAGGGATGAAGGAATAAATATCAAGACACTTTTTGTTATCCTCTTGACCAAAATAACCTTCAGGATAAGCTAACGAATAAAATAACTTTTTTGCAACCTTTTTAGCATATTCGTCTGAATTAATATCCATCTTGCTTTTATCAACACGACCTGTCGTTGTCGTGGGCTTTTCAGCTAATATAAAACTAGCAAGTGATTTTTTAAATTGAGAAAAAAATGAAGAAGAAGAAGCTGGGTTTTGTCCTTGATAAGGCTCATCATTTAATATCATAGGACCTCTTTCTTGGTTATATTTTTCATCCTTATCTATTCCAGTAGCCCAATAACTCCTATTATCATTTTTCTTTAAAGCGGGTGGTGATTTTCGCTTTCTAACTTGATTATTTGATAAACCATTACTACCCGAAATTCCTCCAGAACCAGGACGAGTTCTTTTCTCAGATTTACTAAGCGTATCCAAAACTATATTAAACTAATTTAGTATCCTACTATTTCTATTTTTTTTTTTTTTTTTTTTTTTTTTTTGTGTATTCTACTAATTATGACATAAATTTACTTTTTAAACTTTTTTTGTTTTCCTTGAGTCTCTCAGCAAATGCAGTTCGATGAAACTTGAAAGCTAAAAAAGAGAAAAAAGAAAAATAATTTTAATAAGCATACCCATTATATACATGTATCCTTGTGTATATTTACCGATTATTTGAATGGCAGTTTTCTGCAAAAAGAATAAACCAGAAGCGGCTAATAAACATCCAAATACTTTAGTAATGATAAGAGAATATGAATGAATTTTAATTGACTAGAAAAAAAAGGAAAAAAAGGAAAAAAAAGAAAAAAAGAAAAAAGAGAAAAAGAAAAAAAAAAGTCAGCTATACAACATAAATCATCATGTTTATCCAAATATTTACATTAAATGGAACATTAATTAAAAACACCCAAGAGCCAATATTCCATGCTGCTAACAAAACCAAACAAAAGTAACCTTTAAGGCTCATGTAATACTTTACAAAAAAAAAAAATAGAGGGAGGGATTATTAAATTATCTTCTATTTTTGCAATAATACTCAATTACCTCCATGTAGGATTTGACTTTTTCTGATCTTCTTCCTTTAAAAAGTTTAGTCCAAAGAGAAACAATAGAAGGAACTAAATCCAACATAAAAGTAGTGACCCAAAATATATGCCACATGAAAGCAGCCCAATACATCCAACATTGGACATTACTTCGAATATTTTTGAAATTAGGATCCGCTTTCTGAGCCTCAGTAGGTTCAGGTAACGTAGCAAAGATAACGACAGCAATTGTAATAAAGAGACAAGAACCCAAGATAGCAATAATAAGACGCTTAATCACAGGTGATAAGTAATGCCAACAACATGGATTTTTCATAGCAGCTTGAAATCTTTCTTTAGCTGTCTTTCTACGTTTAGGTTTTGCAGCTTGATCAGGATCATCATTCCAATCAAAATCATTATCACTACTTTCATTATTTTTTTCGTTTGAGTCTAGTATTTCAGAGATGACTGTACTCTCATTGCTAGTACTATTATGTATTTCCTTTTCTTCTTCATCTTCTATTTGTTTTTCTTCATCACTTTCAAGTTCTTTAATTATCTTTTCAGTTTCATTCATATGATAATCTCCTCCTTCTGGAAGAACCAATGTAGTTTGTCGGCTTATAGGTTCAAAAGGATTTTGTAAAGTATTTGAAATAGAAGCTGTATTCGACGCTGATAAATGCTTATCATTTTCATAAAAGAATGGGTCTTCCTGTTGCATTTCAATACTGTAAAAGGGCTGTTGATCTTCATTTTGTAATTTTTTATTCAAACGACCTACAGCAGGTGGAGGAACTAAAGGAAGGGTATCTAAACACGTATAAATATAAAAAGCTTTAATTATGTATTACTATTTGACATAATTCGATTTTATTACCATGTGATAATTGTGTGTCCTCTTCAAAAGGAGAAATTCTAACAGATTTTCCTTTCTTTGACATGTAACCAAAGTATATTTATAAACAAAAAGGGAAAAAAAAAAGACAGAAAAAAAAAAGAATGAAAAAAGAAAAGAAAAAAAAGAAAAGAAAGAGTAACTAAAGAAAAAAAAAGCTTGTTTATATCAAGTTACTAAAAATTTAGTTAATTAGTTATTTACAAAAATAACATCAATGTTCCTTACTCCTTAACTCTAATATAATTTTAAACGTAGATCTTTGTTTTCCAATAGTTTCAATAATTAATGTTACCCGGTCCGAACAAAATGTTGCCCATTAAGAAATAAAATATCACTTGATCAGAAATTAACTATCATTGTTCTGATAAATAAATACTTGTGTAAAGATCTCCCTGTTTTTTTTTTTTTTTTTTTTTTTTTTTTTTTTTTTTTTTTTTTTTTTTTTTTTTTTTTTCATCAAAATATCCCAAAATAAATATGTTTATCCCAAAAAAATAAAGCGTAACTTAAAATCCGTCCAATTAAATATTATGTAATACAGGGTGTATTTAAATACTCCTTGTAATATGATTGGCAGAAATTTTGTAGATAGAACTCAATTGTCGTCCACTCAGGAACAAAATATTATCTTACCAGAAATAAAATATTGTCTTTCTGATTTAAAAAAAAAAAAAAAAAAAAAAAAAAAAAAAAAATTAGTAGTTTCATCTTTATAATTATTGCTTCCACCAGCAGCTTTTTGAAATGAAGCACTTTTTTTTTTCTTTTATATAGATGAAAAAAAAAAACATTCTTGATGAACACGGGTACCCAACGTACGATCCCATGGAAGACGTTATGACGACTATCGACGATCTGAACATTGTTTTCGAGACCTTGACGAGTCCTTAATAAAAAAAAAATAAAGTGTTTATATATCGTAATTGCTGTAAATCAACACTGGTAAAATGATGTTATTCAGCTTGATTTTATTGTATGTGCAGATATACTGATATCCTGGTTCATGAAAAAATAATTCCATATTTTAGTCCTTTATTGCAGTTGTTGCTTATGGAGTGAGGAATAACCACTTTGATATGGGACTGTTTTTTTTGTAATATAATCTATCATGGCTGAATATTTTTGGCAGACTGGGTCGACAATAAGCATCATCATTCATATCTCGTGAATAATGTATTTTTGGACGTACGAGTTACACAATAAGCCCAAAAATAAAGAAATATATAAAAGTAAAAGAAAGAAAAAAAAAAGTATTTTGCAATAGCAGATCAAAAAAAAAAAAAAAAAAAAAAAAGTTAACCATCAAATCAGCTTATTGGCCAATTATTTCATGTTTCAATGTATTGCTGCTTGTTTGTAATAAATTTGGAAAATATGAAAACTGAAGAGAGTCAGTAGTATTTCTTTGATTGAAAATTGACACATATACACTTTATACAAAGTACATCCAACTCAAAAGTTGACGATTGAATACATACTAGCTATTATATTCTTTTTTAGCTGATAGATCATTCAGTCGTGATAGAATTACGTTTATTTACAGTATTCAAAACATACAGTACTAAAATTTATTAAACTATAACATGATTTAGCTTTCAAATGATATTGGGCAGTGTCTCTTTATATATATATATATATATGCAAGTATTCCTTTGCAGTCTTCCAAATATGAACTAGAAGCGGTGTCACATTTCATTTCTCCCACTTCCCTTGTTGATGGTATACTATATCGTTTGTATACGGATGTGACGAACATACAGCTGTCTAAATGCCCAATCAGCTTGAGAAATTCTGACTCCTTCAGTGGTATGGGTAGCCGAGCCAATTCAGTAAATGTATATTAATTGATGACTTGCAAGCATCATCAAATAAAAGATTATGTAATTCTTTACGATCTGAAAAGCCAAGACTTGTTCAAGACTGTGCTTGTCAATCGCCTCTTTGCTAAAAATAGCAAGGCGGTAAAAATCAATAATGAGCACTGCTGGCGAAATATTATTTTCAGGTTTGAACTCGTCGTAGACATTAGTCTATTGGTATTTGTAACTTGGCCTGTATATGTCAACTCTATAATCGGGTCCTTTGTTCCAATTTTTTTTTTGAAACAAACAGTCCATGAACAAAGGGATGAACAAAGCTTGCTGTGATATATGATTCATAGGAACTCTTTATATCACAATCATATAAATTTAGTATAAGCTCTACGATGGCATTTACAACAGACTGTTCGTTTTCATTTGCCCTTTTTCTGACAGAAGTAGTAATCGAATTTTAGTCTGCATCTCGCTGATTAATGTAATTATCGATAATCGACTTCAACACCAAAATAAGGTTGTTGATCGAAAGACACCTGCTGATTTCTGTTGACTACATAATCACGCACTGATTTCAATAGTTTTGGGCTAAATAGATGCTCTAGAATAGATCGATAACCAGCTGTTAAAGTTGTAAGATTTGTTAAGATAAATAGCCAGAATAAAGCATATAATACATTATTATGATAATTCTGCCTATACACAGATTAAATGTATTTACTCCTTTGAAGAAAAATAATAAATAAAGTTCTACATCTAAAAATATATCTACTTTTATTAATTCTCTGCTGAATATGAATTGATAAAAATAACTTTGTACGTCAAGCTGGAGATAAATTAAGAATAATGCAAGTATGCGTAATAATTGATCTCACTCCAAGTACATAAAAATAAACATACAAAAGACATAATGATCCCTGATATTATAATAATTATATCATCAAATATAATTCCGTTATATTTTTAATCTTATTATTATTCATCATCCTTATTCACGAAAGATATAATATAAAATACCCTTACAATATTTGCCTTTATTATAAAATTTAATTTGTAGCCTAACCTTTATCTCAATAAAACTATTCACAAACCTCAACGTACTTTTTCCTATCTTTTTTAGTTTATTTTTATTCAATGTTAATTACCTGTGAATCATAGCAGCGCGCGTCTTTTTCATTAAACATTTTGTAGTTTTTTTTTTTTTTTTTTTTTTTTTTTTTTTTTTTTTTTGTGTGTAAGCATATACACCAAAGCCATGGTCACTTGATGTTAAAAAGCTAGTTACGAATATGAGTTAAGCACACTTTGTCACAAACAAAGACATTAGAATGAGTTATTTATACTTGTTTTTTTTTTTGAATTCGTAAGGATTGTATTTCAGTTAGTGTTTTATATCTAAATTGTCGAAAGTTTCATGGGTCCTTTTCACGAGACCTATCACTTTTACGAAAAATTCAAAGTAAATCTTGCTTACATAATAAATTATGAAAATAAAGTAACTTTGACAAGGATATAACAGTATTTATTCATAAAAATTATAAGGAGTTAAAAAAAAATCAAGTTTTGACGAGAAGGATGTGTTTGAAAAGAGCGGCCAATTTCTTCAAAAGAGGAAATAGCATTTTTAAGTAGTTGGATATCCTCTTGAATGTCTCTAGCGTCAATCACCATCAGCATATTTACATCTTCCAATTTCGTTTTTGAGTACTGTATTTAAACGATCTCATATCTTTTAGAAGATGATATAATCGACCCCCCCACTACCAACAACACTTGAACGAGTTTCTGTGTTCTGCAAATATATGCATCTGTCCATAGAAAATGGAATTACTAACACAGGAAACACCTAAAATATATGCTTGCATATACTAGCTGTAACTGAACAACTACAAGAACTTACATACTTATTATCGATTACTTACTTTGTCACTATCATCAAAATTTTCATTGGATTTGCACATGACTTTAGTATTATCAACAATAGCAATCATCAAGTAGCGTTTTTTTTTTTGAATATCTTTGTTGTAAGCACATATTATCTAATAAATGGTCATTAAATAAGATGTATTTAGAAAACGAAATAAAATACACTTTTGTGATTCAGAGAAAAGATATTAGTGAATAACTATCAGTATACATAATGTATTTCTACTGAATTAACTCTATATCGTTTGGTTCAAGCATAATTAAATGAGGAGGAGAATAAGGTATGCTAAACATTTATTATATTTAATAGCAAAATCATACTATAAGGTTTCATCTATAATTAATATGGGTCATCTTTACCATAGAGCAAGTTACATTGTGCATAAGACAATAGATGTCAAAGAACAATAAAAAATGTATTAAAAGGAAACAGTCTCAATCCCTATAAATATACTCTGCTGGTTGATTAATGAAACAGTTACAATAGAATAACCCCAGGTCATATCCGATTTCATGTAAATACTCTGTAATTAGTTTAGATTTTGTTTCTAGTTTTTATTTGATTTCTCTATACGGTTAATAAACTCCCCTCCCTTTAAGGGATTATTACAAACTTGTTTTTGTTTATTAATCGTTATTTTTTTTTTTTTGTTTCGTTCTCATTCAAAGTTAACTTGCTTAATACCAACGAGGACCTTACAAAGCTCCCTGTCTGTAAACTAAAGGTACAATTTGATTCAACTTATAGATCAAACGACCCGATCTCAAGTTTATACTGCATCCTAAATAAAAATGTCTTTAATCTGTTGTGGTAGGATTTAATAAAATAATTAGCCAAAAAGAAAAAAAAAAAAAAAAAAAAAAAAAAAAAAAAAAGAAAAAAAAAAAAGAAAAGTTCTTCATCTCAAAAAGCTGCTGGGGAAAGCAATAATTATAAAGATGAAACTACTAATTTTTTTTTTAAATCAGAAAGACGATATTTTATTTCTGGTAAGGTGATATTTTGTTCCTGAGCGGGCGACAATTTATTTTGTGAACAACGACAGTTAATTAAGTGATATTTTATTTCTAACTGGGCGACATTTTGTTCGGACCGACTGTACTTGACAGAATTTTCTTTTGAATTGGCAATGTTCAAAAATAATTAGTTATTAAAGTTCTAGGCAATCAAAGAAAAATTAACCAATCAAAAGGATAGACACCATGAAGATGTAAATAAGAGATTATATTGGTTTATTCTTTCTCTAAAATAATTTGAGTTACACGTCGTCTTTTCTTTACCAATGTTTCTTTCTTTCTATAAATATCGAGGAGAACGTGAAAAGGAAAAGTAATGTAACTGAGTTACAACTTTCGTTCTGAACTAAAAAAAAAAAAAAAAAAAAAAAAAAAAACAAAAAAAATAAAAAAAAAAACTTCAACGACTAACCCTTCAAAAGCTGATTTTTTTTTCTATTTACACACACACAATAACGCACCATATTATCATTATTAACTGAATAATCTCCTCCCCCCCTTTTTTTTAAGTAAAACATAAAAAAAATTTTTTTTTTTTTTTTTTTGTATTCCTTCTTAACATAAATACACATTTTTTTTTTTGCTGGATCATAATAAAGTGTCTTTCTTTCTTTCTTTCTTTCTTTCTTTATCCATTTTATCCATTTTATTTTTTTTTTATTTTTTTATTTCCATTTAAGTAAGATAAACAATAGAAATGAGCTCAGAAACTGGTTCGCCTTTACCTACTACATCCACTACTAGAAAGCGTACACATTTAAAGCCAAGTCAAGTGGCTATACTACAAGAATCTTTTAATATAAATCCTCTTCCAGATTCTAGTGTTCGCAGTCGATTGGCTCGGGAGCTTGCCGTTACGGAAAGAACTATTCAAATTTGGTTTCAAAATCGTAGAGCGAAGGCTAGGAAGGGAGAGCTTATGGGTCCATCACTTTCATCTCATGTTTCTTCGCTTATGAATAGACCTGACTGGATATCATCTTCTCATAGACTTTCTACACCTCCTCGTTATCAAGCTACTTTCCGTACTATGATGACTCCTGAACGTTTTGAAGAATTAAAGCATCAAGACCAACAACAACAACAGCATCAACAGCAGAATTCTTCTATTCGTAAAAGACCCCGATCAATTTCAAAACCAGAAACAAAGTCTTCTCATTTATTGGATATAGTTGCAAGTCATCACCAAGAGAATACAACTAGAGCTATGTCTGAAGATTTATGTAATACTACATCAACAGCCACAGCTGCAGCCACAGCATCGGCAACAACTGTATTAAGATCTGCATTATCTAATCCTGAAGGTAAACTATTTAATTTTTTCCTTATTATGTAATTATATATTAAAACTCTCTCTATTTCTCTTTTATTGTGTATTTTTAGTATTATTCCCAGTTCATTCTTCTTCTACAAATAGTCACCCTCATCATACTATTCTAGATACTACTACTCCGATTCAAATGGTACCACTTCCTGTTAGTGTACTTCGAATTGGTACTTGGACACGATTTGCTCATAGTTCATCTTTATATCAAAGGGACTGGGACTTGGTTTGCTATAGTAGTCCTGTAGATCGTGAATTAGTTTGGCGTATACAAGCAGAAGGTCATTTCTTCAGAATTCAAATTAGTTTTGATCATATTCGTCAACTTCGTCTAAGTCAACAAATTCAATTAGAAACAGGAGAACTCGTTGGTCAATTAGATATTGAATTGACTTTACCTTTAACCTTCTCTATGTGGAGATTAGGTCAAGACGAAGATTGGGTACGTTGTGGTGATTTTACAGAAGATAAACAAGCAAGTGTAGATGGTTTCCATATTTTACAAGGAAATCATGATGCATTTAAACAAGCTCTTTTAGATTTAATTTCTTTATCACCTGAATTAGCCACTAAAATGTGTGTTATTCCAATTACTACTACTACTGCTGCTGCTGCTGCTGCTGTTGATTTAATTCAACCTCCTCCTCTTGATCTTTGTCGTGATTTTACAATGTCGCCTTCTGCTACACCAGAACCTTCTTCATTGACAGCAACTGGATATGTTCCACAACCATGGATGATGTATCACGGTACTCTTCCGTCTTCATATGGTATGATAAATCCTCAACAATTATCTACCAAGACAAATCCAACTATGTCTCACTTGATGCTTCAAGCTCCCTTTTTCTACCCTTCAACACAAACAAATACAGAGAATGAAGATCTATATCAACTATTACTTCAACAAGATCAACAACAGCAACAATCTATCATATTCCCTCCTTCTATTCTTATGTAAATTCTCTCTTTATTTCGTTTATATACATACACACACACACACATATACATATACATATATGTGTATATATATATCAACCAATCAATGTCATTTTACCCATTTAGCATCATCATCCTTTTACCCATCTAACGTCATCATCCCTTTTTATTCCGATTTTATATCATTCCTTTTTATTTTTTGTATTATATTCTTCACTCCTTTTGTAAATGTGTTAAAAAGCTGTATTTTTATTCTAAAACAATTCCCGATACATTTGTTCGTTCATTTCATTGTTGTATATTACTTTCCCTTTTTTAAAATAAAATAAACAAACATATACTTGGATAAAATAAGTTAAAAAAAAAAATTTTTTTTTTCTTTTAATTAGTTAAAGAAAAGCGGAAAGTTATCCGAATACCGGAGTTTATTATAAAAGGGTGTCATATGATTTATGCTACTACTTTATTATTATATTAGTCTGTGCACACGCACAAGCGCATACACACACACACACACACACACACACACAAAAGAAGGGCAATGATAATACCATCTTTTTTTTTTTATTTTTTTTTTCTTCTTCTTTTTCTTTAAATTAATTTTTCAACATAAGACCAAAGCGAAGGCCAGCTACAGCTAAAGCAGCAATTTTAACTGTGTCTAATGTGATATACGCACGATGACCTTTTAAAAAGAATGGATCATGATCCCATATTTCTTTAGCAGTTGCTTCTCCTTGAATTACTTTGGCTGCTCGTCGATTAAATTTAGGTAACAAATAAAGAGATTGAAAGACAGTGATAGCAACAGGTGCAAGTGTAGCCAACTTTAATGTATTATCTACAAATCCATTATGGTTTATAATTCGTTCATTCCAACTCAAGTAAAGATCGAGACTTATCAAACTTACAGTAGCCTATTTTTTTTTATAAACATAAACATGAATATCCATATATATATCGTTCTCTCTTTATTTACTTACTTCTATCTTATTGATCCAATTAAATCTATGTCTACCCACATCAAGTTTAGTTACTTCATTTAAACTGGGTACATTTACAACAAGTGGTGTTTCAAGATAACTAAGATTTAATGTTGTTGCAAACCAAATCGTATTTAATAAAGTAAGGCCTAAAGTAAGTTCACGTAAAGAAGCTTTCTTGAATAGGGTTTGATGAATTACAAGTTGAACTGCTGCAGATGGTAAAACAACTTTTACTGTTGACCAAGGATCTAATAAGAATTTTGAAACTTTATTATTATTATTATTATTGTCGTTTCCTGTTGTTGTTGTTGCTTTATTCTTCATGATCATTGTTATTATAATAATACAGAAAGTAAAAAAAGTAAAAGAAGTATAAAGAAAAAAAAAAAAGAATGAAAAAATCCGGGGTTATTATAAATATAAATACAGCTGTAGTCTGTAGTAGTGGTAGTAGTGGTAGTAGTAATAGTAGTAGTAGTAAGCACTACTACTGCTACTACTACTACTACTCGCTAGTGTGGGGGTTCCAAATATGATGAAATATTTACAAATTTATTAAATAATCCAATCGTCATTTTTATTTGAAAAATGGCGTACCAACATAAAAACGCGTTTCGGAGTTGAATAACAAAAAGTTCATTATTATTGTTGCTATGCTATGCTGTTGTTTATGTCTATCCCAAATAAGGAAACAATATTTATTTATTGGACTGTCTAAATTTGTTATTTACTCCTTTTTTTTCCTCCCTCTCTCTCTCTTTTCCTCTCTCTCTTCATTTCAAATAATGACTAGTTATTTATCATCTAATTTCAATCAACTTTCTTTAAAGAAAAAGCCATTTGAAGGTTAGACACCCTTTTTCTTTTTTTTTTCTCTCTTCCCCTCCCCTTTATAATAAAATGAAGCTCCGAATATCTGATCTTTCTTTATTCTATAGACAAGCAACCCATGGTGAATGCATGGACACTCATTCAAAAGAAAAGTAAAGTGAATTAAAGAGAAAAAATAAAATAAAATCCTTATTGAATTCTTTATGTTATAATTAGCTTTTACAAAATGGGTGAATAATAAGTTGGACTTGAAAAGTATTCCTAATGTTACTCATTTAAACGAAGATCTAGCCAATGGTGTACGATTAATTCAGTTGCTTGTAAGTTGACTTTAGTTGTTTTTCTCTCTCTCTCTTCTTTTTTCCTTTATTCATTCGTTTTATATATATATAGGAAATTATTAGTGGAGAATCACTTCGACCTTATAATCAAAATCCAAACATGATTTTTCAAAAAATGGAGAATGTGAATAAAGCTTTGGATTTTATTAAACAAAGGGGTGTTTCTTTAACTAATATTGGAGCTGAAGATATAGTGAATAAAAATTTAAAATTAGTCTTGGGTATGTTGTGGACGATTATTTTACGATTCACTATTGCCGATATCAAGTAAGTAAAAAAAAAAATAAATAAATAAATAGCAAATGTAAATCCCTATTATTTAATCTTGTTGTTTTAAATAGTCAAGATGGTAAAAATGCAAAAGAAGGTCTTTTATTATGGTGTCAACGTAAAACAGCTAACTATGAAGATGTTGATATTCGTGACTTTACTTATAGTTGGACAGATGGATTAGCCTTGTAAAAATACACATAAACATATATATTTATTTAAAGAAAGAGGATAGCGCTTTTAACTTTTTTATATTGTATTTATCAGTTGCGCTTTGATACATCATCATCATCCTGAATTAATTGATTATCATTCATTGGATAAGGTATACATCGATGTCTTATTTAGAATATACACTATTCATAATAACTGACTTTTTTTTTTTTTTTTTTTTTTAAAAAAAAAAGAATGATAGACATGGAAATACAGCTATTGCATTTGAAGCAGCTAAAAAATTAAACATTCCTGTAAGTGATATAGACATACAGGACGGGTAGAAAAATAGATATTGATTTCTTTATAGCAACTATTGGATGTTGAAGATGTGTGTGATATATCAAAACCTGATGAAAAATCTGTGATGACTTATGTTGCTGAATATTTCCATGCATTTTCTGCACATGGTAGGAATAGTGACCTTGTATTTTAAAGATCGATTGCTAAAAAAAAAAAAAATTTATATTAAAGATGAATTTGAAACGGCTGGAAGAAGAGTAGCAAAATTTGCTGATGTATTAGCTTCAGTCTGGGAAATGGAACATCAATACGAACAACGTGTTTGTGCTGTAAAGTAAATCAATTCTCTTTTTTTTTATCTATCTATTTTTTTTTTATTGATTCGTTTTTCTTTTCTATAGCTTATGAAGGCAGTAACATTTATTCAAAAGGAATGGGAAAATACAGAGTTATCAGATAGTTATATGGATGCAAAAGAGAAAAGTACAGCATTTGATATCTACAAGAGTACTGAAAAAAGAGCTTGGGTTGCTGAGAAAAGAGATATCGATGCATTGTTAGGAAATATTCAAACGAAAGCAAAGACATATAATTTAAAGCCTTATTATCCTCCAGCTGGATTAACTTTAAAAGATTTAGACAATACTTGGAATACTCTTTTACAAAATGAAGCAAAATATCATCGCAGAATCAATCGGACTATTAGAGAGTAAGTAATGGAGAATACAAATATATATGTTTATACTTATAGATTCGCTATCTTGATTACAATAGGATTAAAGAGGGACTTCGTAAGGCCTTTGCTGATGCAGCAAATGATTTTCAACATCAATTGGATTCAATTTCAGCTAAATTAGTAGAACTTGAAGGCAGTCTTCAATCTCAACTTGATATAGTTCAAGGATTGACCGATTTATTCGAACCATTGCAAGAATCTCTAGAAATGATTGAAATTCTTGATGGAGAATGCAAAGAAGCACATACAGAAGAAAATGATTATACTGTATATTCATTAGAAGACTTGACTTTTGGATTAGATCTAGTAAAGGAAGCAGTACAAAAGAAAAGTGCATTTATACAAAATCAGGTATTTATGATTACAAATTAAAATAAAACTATGTTAATAATTTTTTTTTTAAATGATTAGATTGTTTCTCGTAATATGACAAATCTTACACCACTTCAACTTGAGGAATTTGAACAAACATTTCGATATTTTGATAAGGATTATACAAATACTTTATCAGTATATGAATTTAAATACGCACTCTCTAGCTTAGGTATCATTTATGATAATGAAAAATTAGAGAGTATCTTTTATGATACTACGAATGGTGTTGATTATATGTCATTTGAACAATTTATTCGATTCATGGTTTCAGTAACTGAAGATAAAACTACGCCAGGTCAACTCTTGGAATCATTTAAAACAATGTCAGGTGATAAGCCTTTTATAACAGAACTGGACTTGAGAATGAGTCAAATTCCAATGCATATGATTGATTATCTAAAGACAGCAATGCCTCGTAGTTCAATTAATCAAACCGAAGGATATGATTATGAAGTATTTGTTGAAGAAATGTTTAATTAAAAAAAGAAAAATGATACGATTTCAATTACGATATAACCAAAAAGACACATAATATATATAATTTTATATTATGTAATAATACCTTACTTCTATCTTACAACACCCTCCTAAAAAAAAAACGATATATTTAATAGAAATAAAAATTACCTTTATAAAATCCTATTGTACTTTCAAATAATGTCACACTAAAATAGATATGGTCGTTCCAATGCCAATAAAAGAAATCAAAGGGCGGGGTTTTTAAAAATTAAAAAACGGCCTTAATGTTGTCAAAAGGGCAGTTTTTTTTTATTCTCTCAAAGGACGGGTTACTTTTTCCCTAAAGTTCGATAACTTCTTTAACAATCTTTATTTAATGGAACATTTTTGTGTGTACTAGACTCTGTACATAGTGTTTTTATATACGGGGTTAAAGCCTCCTGGTTATCTCTATTTCCAATTGCTTCATAAAAGGTTCTTCAGTGTATTACTAATGATCTCCTACTTTAAAATACATCAGTGCTACGCTACGTAGAAATTGTATTAAAATATTATTACTTTCATCTGTTTGAGTTTCTCCATTATGGTGGACAAAAGCAAAGTCTTAATAAGAAATATACTTGGATAAGATATTTTTATGAAACACAAGTCTACATGGACTGAGATTACTAGACCACGAAAAAAAAAAACTTTACTGTTTTAGTTATCTGTTGCTGTAAATGATACATTTTTAAAAAAAAAATAATATACTTATTTTTTAAAGAAAAAGGGTATTCTTCTGCATTCTCTAGCAAGCAGACATTACTAGTCATCAGATCGACTCAATTCGAGCGGCACGGAAGCAGACCATACTACCAGTGTTGATGATTAGAATGCTAAAGTGGGGTTTTTTTCCTGTACACGCGTACTTTTACTAAGACCTAAGCCACGCTTTTTGTTGTAACGGTATCCACACTATCTTTCGACTACGGGCAGGAAAGGATAAGAGGAACAAGACTTCATTACCGCCAGGGGGAAGAGGACAGCAACCCAGATTTGATCAGTTGAGTCATCCCCTTCAGGATGATACAGGGTATCAAAGTACCAGAGGATCTTGCAGGGAGCAACCCAAAAGGGAGGACAGGGAGACGAACGAGGAAGAGGCGGTTGATTAATCTGGGAAAATCAGCCGGAAGAGGTGGCAAGGGTATCCCAATAATGAGCAGGAACCAAGGAAGACTGCAACAGATGATGACGAGAGATATGGTCAAGACCACAAGCACAAGGCTTGGGCTTACCTGGGTGTCAACCCATACGCCAACGGACAAGACGAGATTTATCTGCACAAGAGGCGGGGACAAACATGATGGGATTTAACCCCAAGAGACGGATGACATGTACAGATCAGTACCTTGTCAGTGGTCTCCAAGAAGGAAGAGAGCAAAGAAGAATGGTATTTGACCAGCTATATTGGTCACAGCAGTATCAGTACCACTAGAAACGGAAGCAGGCATATCTTGGACCATACGAAGGGACCGAAGACCAAACAAAGAGGGGGTTAGGTAGCGAACTGCACAACAAAGACAAGAGACAATCCTCTGGAAGAGAAGCATCACGACGACAGTACTTGAGTACCAAGGTGTCTGCACGGAAGCAAAGGGAAGGCAGATTGACCAAATGGACAAACACCATTGTAGAGGTAGCTCGGTGACCATCAAGGAGCATCCGAGTTCATTATCCTTTAGGATATTGGCTTTTTTTTTTGCGCACCATTTTTTTTTCCTTGTTCAGATTGCTGGGCGTTTCGTATTATTTTTTTTAAAAGTTTTGCAATGATAAGTGATCAGATGAGGCTGAAATACATAGTTGTTCAACAACTTACATGCATATTATAAACAAAGCAATCGCAAACTTGTAAAAAGGAAACTGTTACACTTGGCTACTCAATGAAAACAAATAAACCAAGATAAGAAAAAAAAAAAAAACTAAGCGCACGAAATCTGGTGCGTATATAACTGCCCGCTAGTTTCTATCCTTTATTTTTTGCTTTCATTTCATTGACTTATGACAACGAACTATTTTTTGGAATCTGAAGTCGACCTATGGTCTGTAAAAGATGCTTTCATAGAGATAGAAAGTAACAAACCATCGAATACTTCTCGTGATATATTACAAATATTGAAGAATCAAGTAGATGAAGCATCAAAAGTAGAGGATAAAAACGATCTGACGCAGCAAAGAAGATACTAGATGATTGGAAGGTAAACAATTCCATTTTAAACTGATATATTTAAACCATCTATTCTTATTTTATAATAGAATATAAAGGATTCATTTGTTCCCAATCGTGTCAAAAAAAAAACCTTACACACAAAACATCAACTATGAAGTGTCCATTACAAACGAACACGGAGTTGTTAATATGTATCGTTACAACCAAACTGCTCCAGGATCAAGTACCTCACAAACCGGTAAGTATAGCTCTGTGAAGAACAATGATAAAATAAATATTAAATTTTTTTTTGCCAAATATAGATTTGCCTTTAAAGCGTAGTCAGCATTCTGAAGATGAAGAAAGTGCTTTTTGGTCGTGGCATAGCGCTGACAAAAAAAAAGAAAATCAAAGTTCATTGATGCTTACACGAGCAGTTGCTATAGCAAAACAGACTTTGGTGATATAGATGATAAATACCCTCAGGTTAGATTTTGTTTTCACTTCAATATCTCAGCTCCCCCTTATCTTTTTTTGTCACTAAAACATTTCAGTCTATCTAGTGGATGATCAACAATTTCAACACGACGAGGGCATTAAAAGAGTACCGCCAAATTACAGAAAATGGAGCACAAATACGCAAACATTTATCCGACATCCGTTTTCTGTAAGTCATTGTTTTATTTCAATTGGTTCTCAATAGTCCTTTGTCTTATTTTAGAAAAGGGTTATTGTTCTTTATCTCGGCTCCTCTCCCGAACAATAGCCTTCAGTAATGAAGGATCTTAATCTAAAACAATATCTAGAGTTCATGGAAGACGATGTGTTGATAGTACGTTGTAAAATACATAAGCTATTATATAATGAAGATATGGACGAAGAAGAAAGAGAAGACGCTATTGATCTGATAAAGAACAGCAGCAGTAGTAGACATATAAAAACAGCTTTCAAAATAACTAAAGATATTATTTCTCACATTTTCAGTAGCAGCATTTTAAAGAAACAAGAAAGTGAAGCTAATCAAATCTTTGAGTTGTTGCGGCCATTTTTAACACATTGCTGGATTTTACGGCTAACTGGAGTGAAATATGATTGGTAAGTAAGCATAAATAGACTTTAATTTGTATTCATTTTCTATTTTTTTATATATATATTTTCAGGTTAACCTATCCTCCACAACATTCTTCAAGTCAGTTAATGATCCATGATTATATTTTATTTGTTGAACCCTATGCATCAATTACTTTCGAGCTTTGTTTTGTTGAAGTAAAGAGAAAGGGAAACGATTATAAAGGAAATTATGAGTTTGATTTAGTAAAACTGGGTGGGTAAAGAAAATGCAAACTGGTATCAATAAGCTCATATTACAACCCAGAAGTAGTTGGTTTACTTATTAAAGAAGGTAAATATATTATCACGAATACATGTTATAGATCATGTAGCAACAGCTTTTAAAATAGACCTTAAATATAATGAACAGTACCAAATGGTGAAGATAAGTGCGTTTAACTTTATTAGAAAGACACCTGATGATATTTTGCTTTTGCCCACCCTAATGGAGAAACTCAAACAGATGAAAGTAATAATATTTTAATACAATTTCTACGTAGCGTAGCACTGATGCATTTTAAAGTAGAAGATCATTAGTAATACACTGAAGAACCCTTTATGAAGCAATTGGAAATAGAGATAACCAGGAGGATTTAATCCCTTATATAAGAACACCTACCAAATCCCTGACCCTTTGTCAATCATCTTCTTTTATTACGACAACGATTTTCTGATAGTTGATTATCATCACTTAAACATACACTTGAACATTTTCCCTTTTATCCCAAAAGGGGGTTTCTTTACTTTTTTCCATAGCGATCTGACCAAGGCAAAAGAGCATATAAATGCTATGCACTCATTGGTCATTTTTTAACTTTTAAATAAAATTCTTTAATCGTATAAAAGAACATTATGTATAAGTCCAGTACACACAAAAATCTTCCAATAAATAAAGATTGTTAAAGGTATTGAACTTTAAGGAAAAAAAGTAACCGGTCCTTTGAGAGAATAGTAACTGCCCTCTGGCATTGGAACTACTGTACCTTGAATTATTTATTATACATAGGCTTCTCTTTTTGTACCTACTACTAGTAATAATAGTAAAACAATTTTTCCAAAATAATAATAATTGCTAATGATGAAACCTTTTTTTTTTCCTTTTCGCCCCCTTTTTTTTGGGTTTCCCCTTTTTTGGATGAAGATCTTAAATAATCATACGTCATAGTACAGTCTCTTTAATATGTATTTGT